ATTTATTTTTGGATGACATTTTTGTAATTTCTTGGGCAACTAAATGCCATTTTCTTTGGATATTGAAGGCTACAGATCACGGATTCGGCTTGAGGCTATTCTCCAATGATGATTGAGTCCATTAAGCACCGATTTGGGCGGATTTATTTCGAGTCAATTTTTGGCAGATTCCAAAGGGTTACCATCACAGATTTGGGCGATTTATCCGAAATGCCATTTTCTATCGATTCTGGAGGCTACACATCACGGAATAAGGCCGAGGCTATTCTACACCGATAATGAAGTCTATTGATCCTATTCTCTACGGATGATAAGTCCGTTAAGCATCGATTTTGGCCAATTTATATTCGGATGGAATTTTTGTAATTTCTTGGGGGACGAAATGCAATTTTCTTTGGATATTGAAGGCTACAGATCACGGATTAGGCCTGAGGCTATTCACCAACGAAGATTGAGTCCATTAAGCACCGATTTGGGCTGATTTATTCGGGGTCAATTTTTGGCAGATTCCAAAGGGCTGATTTATTTGAGTCCATCACAGATTTCGGGCGATTCATCCGAAATGCCATTTTCTTTCGATTCTGAAGGCTACAGATCACGGAATCAGGCCGAGGCTATTCTCCACCGATAATGAAGTCTATTGATCCTATTCTCCCCGGATGATAAGTCCGTTAAGCATCGATTTGGGACAATTTATTTTCGGATGGCATTTTCGTAATTTCTTGGGCGACGAAATGCCATTTTCTTTGGATATTGAAGGATAGATATCACGTATTCGGCCTGAGGCTATTCTCCAACGATGATTGAGTCCATTAAGCACTGATTTGGGCGGATTTATTCCGGGTCAATTTTTGGCAGATTCCAAAAGGGTACCATCACAGATTTTGGCCGATTTAACCGAAATGCAATTTTCTTTCGATTCTGGAGGCTACATATCACGGAATCAGGCCGAGGCTATTCTCCACCGATAATGAAGTCTATTGATCCTATTCTCCACGGATGATAAGTTCGTTAAGCATCGATTTGGGCCAATTTATTTTCGGATGACATTTTGTAATTTCTTGGGCGACTAAATGCCATTTTCTTTGGATATTGAAGGATAGATATCACGAATTCGGCCTGAGGCTATTCTCCAACGATGATTGAGTCCATTAAGCACCGATTTGGGCGGATTTATATTGGGTCAATTTTTGGCAGATTCCAAAGGGGTACCATCACATATTTTGGCAGATTTCTCCGAAATGCCATTTTCTTTCGATTCTGGAGGCTACAGATCACGGAATCAGGCCGAGGCTATTGTCCACCGATAATGAAGTTTATTGATCCTATTCTGCACGGATGATAAGTCCGTTAAGCATCGATTTGGGCCAATTTATTTTCGGATTACATTTTTGTAATTTCTTGGGCGACTAAATGCCATTTTCTTTTTATATTGAAGGCTACAGATCACGGATTTGGCTTGAGGCTATTCTCCAACGATGATTGAGTCCATTAAGCACCGATTTGGGCGGATTTATTCTGGGTCAATTTTTGGCAGACTCCAAAGGGGTACCATCACATATTTTGGTCGATTTATCCGAAATACCATTTTCTTTCGATTCTGGAGGCTACAGATCACGGAATCAGGCCGAGTCTATTGTCCACCGATAATGAAGTCTATTGATCCTATTCTCCACGGATGATAAGTCCGTTAAGCATCGATTTGGGCCAATTTATTTTCGGATGACATTTTTGTAATTTCTTGGGCGACTAAATGCCATTTTCTTTGGATATTGAAGGCTACAGATCATGGATTCGGCTTGAGGCTATTCTCCAACGATGATTGAGTCCAATAAGCACCGATTTGGGCGGATTTATCCTGGGTCAATTTTTGGCAGATTCCAGAGGGGTACCATCACAGATTTCGGGCGATTTATCCGAAATGCCATTTTCTTTCGATTCTGGAGGCTACAGATCACGGAATCAGGCCGAGGCTATTCTCCACCGATAATGAAGTCTATTGTTCCTATTCTCCACGGATGATAAGTTCGTTAAGCATCGATTTGGCCAATTTATTTTGGATGACATTTTTGTAATTTCTTGGGCAACAAAATGCCATTTTCTTTGGATATTGAAGGCTACAGATCACGGATTCGGCTTGAGGCTATTCTCCAACGATGATTGAGTCCATTAAGCACCAATTTGGGCGGATTTATTCAGGGTCAATTTTTGGCAGATTCCAAAGGGGTACCATCACATATTTTGGCCGATTTATCCGAAATGTCATTTTCTTTCGATTCTTGCAGGCTACAGATCACGGAATCAGGCCGAGGCTATTGTCCACCGATAATGAAGTCTATTGATCCTATTCTCCACGGATGATAAGTCCGTTAAGCATCGATTTGGGCCAATTTATTTTCGGATGACATTTTTGTAATTTCTTGGGCGACTAAATGCCATTTTCTTTGGATATTGAAGGCTACAGATCACGGATTCGGCCTGAGGCTATTCTCCAACGATGATTGAGTCCATTAAGCACCGATTTGGGCGAATTTATTCTGGGTCAATTTTTGGCAGATTCCAAAGGGGTACCATCACAGATTTCAGGCTATTTGTCTGAAATGCCATTTTCTATCGATTCTGGCGCCTACATATCACTGAATCAGGCCGAGGCTATTATCCACCGATAATGAAATCTATTGATCCTATTCTCCACGGATGATAAGTCCGTTAAGCAACGATTTGGGCCAATTTATTTTCGGATGGCATTTTCGTATTTTCTTGGGCGACGAAAGACCATTTTCTTTGGATATTGAAGGCTACATATCACGGATTCGGCCTGTGGCTATTCTCCAACGATGATTGAGTCCATTAAGCACCGATTTGGGCGTATTTATTCCGGGTCAATTTTTGGCAGATTCCAAATGGGCACCATCACATATTTCGGGCGATTTATCCGAAATGCACTTTTTTCGATTCTGACGGCTACAGATCACGGAATCAGGCTGAGGCTATTCTCCACCGATAATGAAGTCTATTGATCCTATTCTCCACGGATGATAAGTCTGTTAAGCATCGATTTTGCCCAATTTATTTTCGGATGACATTTTCGTAATTTCTTGTGCGACGAAATGCCATATTCTTTGGATATTTCGGGCGATTTATCCGAAATGCCATTTTCTTTCGATTCTGACGGCCACAGATCACGGAATCAGGCCGAGGCTATTCTCCACCAATAAAGAAGTCTATTGATCCTCTTCTCCACGGATGATAAGTCTGTTAAGCATCGATTTGGGCCAATTTACTTTCAGATGGCATTTTCGTAATTTCTTGGTCGACGAAAGGTCATTTTCTTTGGATATTGAAGGCTACAGATCACGGATTCGGCCTGAGGCTAATCTCCAACCATGATTTAGTCCATTAAGCACCGATTTGGGCGGATTTATTCTTGGTCAATTTTTTGCAGATTCCAAAGGGGTACCATCACAGATTACGGGCGATTTATCCGAAATGTCATTTTCTTTCGATTCTGGAGGCTACAGATCATGGAATCTGGCCGAGGTTATTCTCCACCGATAATGAAGTCTATTGATCCTATTCTCCACGGATGATAAGTTCGTTAAGCATCGATTTGGCCAATTTATTTTTGGATGACATTTTTGTAATTTCTTGGGCAACTAAATGCCATTTTCTTTGGATATTGAAGGCTACAGATCACGGATTCGGCTTGAGGCTATTCTCCAATGATGATTGAGTCCATTAAGCACCGATTTGGGCGGATTTATTTCGAGTCAATTTTTGGCAGATTCAAAAGGGTTACCATCACAGATTTGGGCGATTTATCCGAAATGCCATTTTCTATCGATTCTGGAGGCTACACATCACGGAATAAGGCCGAGGCTATTCTACACCGATAATGAAGTCTATTGATCCTATTCTCTACGGATGATAAGTCCGTTAAGCATCGATTTTGGCCAATTTATATTCGGATGGCATTTTTGTAATTTCTTGGGGGACGAAATGCAATTTTCTTTGGATATTGAAGGCTACAGATCACGGATTAGGCCTGAGGCTATTCACCAATGATGATTGAGTCCATTAAGCACCGATTTGGGCTGATTTATTCGGGGTCAATTTTTGGCAGATTCCAAAGGGCTGATTTATTAGAGTCCATCACAGATTTCGGGCGATTCATCCGAAATGCTATTTTCTTTCGATTCTGAAGGCTACAGATCACGGAATCAGGCCGAGGCTATTCTCCACCGATAATGAAGTCTATTGATCCTATTCTCCCCGGATGATAAGTCCGTTAAGCATCGATTTGGGACAATTTATTTTCGGATGGCATTTTCGTAATTTCTTGGGCGACGAAATGCCATTTTCTTTGGATATTGAAGGATAGATATCACGTATTCGGCCTGAGGCTATTCTCCAACGATGATTGACTCCATTAAGCACTGATTTGGGCGGATTTATTCCGGGTCAATTTTTGGCAGATTCCAAAAGGGTACCATCACAGATTTTGGCCGATTTAACCGAAATGCAATTTTCTTTTGATTCTGGAGGCTACATATCACGGAATCAGGCCGAGGCTATTCTCCACCGATAATGAAGTCTATTGATCCTATTCTCCACGGATGATAAGTTCGTTAAGCATCGATTTGGGCCAATTTATTTTCGGATGACATTTTGTAATTTCTTGGGCGACTAAATGCCATTTTCTTTGGATATTGAAGGATAGATATCACGAATTCGGCCTGAGGCTATTCTCCAACGATGATTGAGTCCATTAAGCACCGATTTGGGCGGATTTATTCTGGGTCAATTTTTGGCAGATTCCAAAGGGGTACCATCACATATTTTGGCAGATTTCTCCGAAATGCCATTTTCTTTCGATTCTGGAGGCTACAGATCACGGAATCAGGCCGAGGCTATTGTCCACCGATAATGAAGTTTATTGATCCTATTCTGCACGGATGATAAGTCCGTTAAGCATCGATTTGGGCCAATTTATTTTTGGATTACATTTTTGTAATTTCTTGGGCGACTAAATGCCATTTTCTTTTTATATTGAAGGCTACAGATCACGGATTTGGCTTGAGGCTATTCTCCAACGATGATTGAGTCCATTAAGCACCGATTTGGGCGGATTTATTCTGGGTCAATTTTTGGCAGATTCCAAAGGGGTACCATCACATATTTTGGTCGATTTATCCGAAATACCATTTTCTTTCGATTCTGGAGGCTACAGATCACGGAATCAGGCCGAGTCTATTGTCCACCGATAATGAAGTCTATTGATCCTATTCTCCACGGATGATAAGTCCGTTAAGCATCGATTTGGGCCAATTTATTTTCGGATGACATTTTTGTAATTTCTTGGGCGACTAAATGCCATTTTCTTTGGATATTGAAGGCTACAGATCACGGATTCGGCTTGAGGCTATTCTCCAAAGATGATTGAGTCCATTAAGCACCAATTTGGGCGTATTTATTCTACGTCAATTTTTGGCAGATTCCAAAGGGGTACCATCACATATTTTGGTCGATTTATCCGAAATACCATTTTCTTTCGATTCTGGAGCTACAGATCACGGAATCAGGCCGAGTCTATTGTCCACCGATAATGAAGTCTATTGATCCTATTCTCCACGGATGATAAGTCCGTTAAGCATCGATTTGGGCCAATTTATTTTCGGATGACATTTTTGTAATTTCTTGGGCGACTAAATGCCATTTTCTTTGGATATTGAAGGCTACAGATCATGGATTCGGCTTGAGGCTATTCTCCAACGATGATTGAGTCCAATAAGCACCGATTTGGGCGGATTTATCCTGGGTCAATTTTTGGCAGATTCCAGAGGGGTACCATCACAGATTTCGGGCGATTTATCCGAAATGCCATTTTCTTTCGATTCTGGAGGCTACAGATCACGGAATCAGGCCGAGGCTATTCTCCACCGATAATGAAGTCTATTGATCCTATTCTCCACGGATGATAAGTTCGTTAAGCATCGATTTGGGCCAATTTATTTTCGGATGACATTTTTGTAATTTCTTGGGCGACTAAAGGCCATTTTCTTTGGATATTGATGGCTACAGATCACGGATTCGGCCTGAGGCTATTCTCCAACGATGATTGAGTCCATTAAGCACCGATTTGGGCGGATTTATTCTGGGTCAATTTTTGGCAGATTCCAAAGGGGTACCATCACAGATTTCGGGCGATTTATCCGAAATGCCATTTTCTTTCGATTCTGGCGCCTACAGATCACTGAATCAGGCCGAGGCTATTCTCCACCGATAATGAAGTCTATTGATCCTATTCTCCACGGATGATAAGTCCGTTAAGCATCGATTTGGGCCAATTTATTTTCGGATGACATTTTCGTAATTTCTTGGGCGACGAAATGCGCATTTTCTTTGGATATTGAAGGCTACAGATCACGGATTCGGCCTGAGGCTATTCTCCAACGATGATTGAGTCCATTAAGCACATATTTGGGCGGATTTATCCCGGGTCAATTTTTGGCAGATTCCAAAGGGATACGACTAGGTTAGCACATATTGGTTGCAAATATGGCATTTAAAGCGAACATTAGCTTATAACAACCTTGTGGAAATTAACAAAAGAACATTGTAACCATTTGGTTTGATAATTGATATACATCATGAACACTCACGAACAAACTTAAAAGAACAACAAAATACAACAAATATGTATATTTTCCCCTACATAATAAGGGACCGACTAGGTAGCACATATTGAGCAAGTTATATATATAACTATATATAATTAATTAATTAATTTGACATGTTCTTCTTTGTTGAAAGCCTTAGAGGGCTCGACCTTTGACGATATCAAGGCTCATTTCACTGGGATCGGTGGCCTGCAACTCGACTTGGATCCCATCCAACTCCCGCTTGAACCTGTCCTTGGAGCTTGCGTACAACATCTTGCTCCTCACCCTCGACGTGTCCGGCGCCCACGCGATGAAGAAGATCTTGGACTTCTGGCAGTTCTCGTCGGTGGTGAAGTCGAAGTCGAACACGGCGTAGCGGCACTCGTCGGCGGGGAGGGAGTTGGTGAACTCCTGGTACGTAGAGGTCGGGGAGCCGATCTTCTCCACCGCCACTTGCTGGATCTTCTCGTCGATCTTGAACACGATGAACCGGTGGTTCCTCTTGGCTTTGAGCTCCAAGAACTTGAGCTTGCAGTCGTCGTGCACCGCCATCCCAGACGATGAATTCGCCTGCCATGCCCATGCAAAAAATCAAGGTTCAAGAAGGCTGGTAGGCGCGCGTAATTACGGGCATCGTGTGGTGTTGCCTAGCGCCTAGCTTCGTGTTGGCACGGATGCCTAAGAGTGTGTGCCTGTCTAGGCGATAGATGAACAAAAAGTAGCAATTCGTACGACATGATGCAATGAAATAAATAAAAAAATTACACTAGTACTTTCTCACTTCAGCTCAAATGATGAATGACTTACGCAACACTTAACAACGGGAAAATAGGTTGCAAGTTTGTAGAATTACAGCTCGCGGCAGCTTTACACGAGTTCTTGAGTTACTCAAAAAGATTGAAATAGAAGATTGAGTCTGTAGATGATTGTTAATTTTTCCAATTTGATTTTGATTTTCTCTAGATCCATCTAGTAATGCGTAAGTGTCCGCTTTAGTCCATCAACGTATTCCAGATACGTACCTAGCTAGCTCATCACGAAACCCTAGATGAGGTGTTTTTTGTTTTGCCAAGCGCTTAGGCGTGTCTAAACTTAAGATTAATCGCGCCTTTTCGAACCATCACAAGGACATATATCCCTCACTTCTATATGTGTTTCAACTTTCAAGCACTTTAGAAGATGAAATCAATGACAGAGAATCTAGTCATGCAACGAGTTCATGATTACCATCTCAAATTAAAGAGATTTGAAAAGTATGAATTAACATAATCATCTTAAATCATATCGATCAACATACCATGTTGGCACCAAACGGAGCAGAGACGACGATGAAATTATTTCCAAGAACAAAAGGGAAAATGAAGAAGGATGAAAAATAAGATAGAGAGAAAGATGAAGGAGAATTATTTTTTTCCTAAAATGGAAAAGAAGAAAGGAGGAGAACATGTAGTTTTGATGGGGAGATTTTGAAAGGAATGGCAAACTGAAAGAAAGGCAGGGAATGAAGAAGAGATTTTTGTGGGTAGAATTTAGAAACAAGGGTTATTATTTTTTAGCTAAAAACATATGCTCATCAATATGAATAGTACTCATCATTTTGGAAAGATAGCATAATAACACTCAATATATATTATTATCATGCTAACTCGATAGAAAAGAGGACCTAATGAAAAAAGAAACATACATACTAGAAGATAAATTTGATTTTGGTTAACTATATACTTTATAAACATAATTTTGTAACTACATAGGCGAAATCACTAGTAAAGAATAGATTATATAAGAATTATCCTATTCTCACCATAATCTTCTCAAAATTTCGTTTCTCTCATCCTTAAAGACTGTCGACCATTCTCTTCTTATCCTCCTCAATTTCTTCTTCAAAACTCTAATTTTGTCTCTTAAAGTCTCTAAAACTGTCAATTCTCTTCTACCCCATCATGTTGCGATGATCGTATTTCCATCGGCAATAGTAGAGCCTGGTTACATATAAGAGTTCCTCGCAACTCACAAAATAAAGAGCCCAAATTTAATTATGCAAGATTATGCACAATAGGATTATTGATCCTATCCACAACGGGCAGGAAGGAGATATTCGATTAGTCAATCCTGAACTACAATTCTATTACAACTGTTTTTGTTTACCGGTGTCTTACATTTGTATCCTACTCTCAAATATTATTATCTAGCGTACGCACCCCAAATTCTAATCTTTTCGATCTCTGTTCCATCTTTGGCTAGAAGCCTAGAACTGAAATTTAGCCGACTTTAATAATGAAGGATCCCTCTATTTGTATTTTTCATTTCATTATGTATAATGTAGTTCAGGAAGGCTATCCGCATCTATGACTATGTCCAAAATGAAATAGACCAAGTTCTTTGAAACTGTATTTTAGATTTAGCTTAATGGGGGTTAACAGTCTATTCTTGTCCTAACTTTGTATAAAATAACAAACTTACGCACCCAAAAAATAAAATTGAAATAATCGAATTTTTAAATAGTGGATACCTTTGGCCTGATTCGTTAATGACAAGAAAAAACTGCTAACGTCTGCCACAACAATAAACAATTATTATCCTTTTTAATCTTGGTGTTCCACCGTTGTCACTTGTCAATAAGGGTGGGCACGTGGCTCGTTGGTGTTTAATTTGCAGAAAAATATTAATTCCCTCGTAAATAATCTGAACCGTAATGAGTGGATGATTGATACGGGTGGATTGGAAATTGATAAATGTCATGCCCGCACTTATTTAGGTGGGTGGTTGGTGGATTGTCAGTCACCCAAATGACCCACATCATATTTCGCATGACAAAACATTGTTTCGTGTTTATACTATTGAATAGTCATCTTATTTCCTAACCACGCTACACACTGACCATCGACTTCTAAAAGGAGAGAAGAAAAAATATTTTTGGACTACTATTATTGATTACTATGTTGTGTAATGTCCATTAGATATTGAAATGCAAATAATAAACTATTACTTGTATCAATATCGCAAAATGTGTCGTCTTCTCGCACAATTGGTTGATAGTGTAATTGAAATTTGATGCAAATAATACACGGATCTATAGGAGACAAAGTGGGAAGTGTCTAAATCAATACAGTCTTACTAATTTGTGAGGAACTTATTATAAATGTTAGTCAACGTTCTTAATGGATAGTTAGAGAATTGTTGACGCTGGTTAATCCATCCCAACCCAATCGAAAGAAGAATGTGGGTGGATAGCTGGTCACAACTATATCAACTTGCTAGTAAGCGGGTGAGTCAATTTGAGACCAAAATCCACCTAACCTGCCCATTATCCACTCCTAATTGTCAAGAAGATAAATTTACGAAAATGGCAAAATTCACCAGCATAGCCACAACTATCAACTTTGTGACAATAATATCCACTTCTTGAGCAACCCTCCTAACTTAGAACTAGACCACCTAACGAGGGAAAATCGGCACCCAAAATGGCTCCAGGGTCTGTTATCTCTGACAATCTGTTCCAAGCACCAATACCAGTGAGTCTCCTTATATCTTTTTTTCCTATGATGAACACCCACGAACCTCTTTTCATGGCTGGCTAAGTTCCTTAGTTGCGTAGGTATGTGAACTCTAGGGGTTCTAACCATGTAAACTCGATAATTTGGTTTAACACTGTCGCAACCGTCCCTCCGGGGGGTCCGATATGTCGTCGCGTCGGCATTTTTGGGAGTCGCCATCGATCTTAGTTGGAGTGGATCGAACACTCTTCGGTCGGCTCTAGCCTTAGGGCCAGAACCGAGATATGGTCTGCGAAAATGAAGTTCTGGGTTCGGGAGTACGGTTACGTGTAGGGAAGTTAAGCAACACCCCCACAACGCCCTAAATCGGTACTACTTAAGTCGATAAGTTTTATACGAGTTGGGTGTATTTTAGTAATAATTTGTAATTTTAGGGGTCCCACTGGACCATTTAATGATTTAATCATATTAGTTGTTATTTAATTATACGCCCACTGACGTAAAAATTTAAAGATAAAGTTAGTTGATTAATTGGACTCGAACCTTATCGGTTGCCTACGTACCCGTTAGACGGGATCAAAGTCCACGTAGTTCGTTTGAACTTTGATAGTTTAATTGTGACATTTTCATCACGTTCCACTAATCGTGATTTTCGTATTATAATTTTGTTAATATAATTTAATTTGATTATTATGAAATTATGAAAAGAGAATATAATAATTTAAGTTATTAGGAAGAAGCTTGACTCGTATTGGAAAAGAAACGAGATAAACTTAATCCGCATTTACCATTTCGTATTAAGAACTATAAACAAATAAACTTAAGCGGAATGGTAAATTCAACATATGATTGTCGGCAGCCCAACTGGTCAAACCGTTAGCCTCCTCTGACCCAGAGACCGCGGGTTCGAAACGAACTGAGTGCAATTTTTTTATTTTTTCGTTTTAGTGTGGGGATGGGGGAAGGGCATTCTAGTAATTTCACGAAAACGCGGTGGCAGGGCCGCGTAAATAGCCGGAAACCCTAGGGGCATTTTGGTCATTTTAAAACTTGAGGTATATATAGGCTCTTAAAGCGCAAAATCAAACCCTACTCTATTCGACCTAGCGGCCGCCGCTCAAACTCTCCCTCTCATCCCTCTCTATCTCTCTCGGCCAGAGACCACAAACCCTAACCCCCGATCCAAAACCGCCGCCGCTCTCTCCTCTCGTCCCTCGTCTCTCTCTCTCGCTCAGAGAAACACAAACCTAGCCCCGATCAAAACCGCCGCCGCTCTCCTCTCTGCGAAACCTTAATCGCCGCCGCTCTCCCTCTCTATCTCGCCTCTCTCTCTTCTCTCACTCTCATCCCTACCCAGAAATTGAAAACCTAAACTAAACCCATCTCAAGCCGCCGCAATCCTATAAACCTCTCGCCTCGTCACTTATCGCCCCGTCCGAGCTACGAGGACGACGATGACAGCGACATGCGCCGCCGGTGGTGATAAAAATCGAGTTTGAAGGTTCGTTTCTTTGTTTATTCTGTGATTTCTACCGTGTTCAAATATGATTTTAGGGTTTCAAGTTTCTAATCCCTATTTTATTTTCTTTTTATTTCCGGAAAAAGCAAACCCAGGGCCGAGATGGGCCTCGATCTAACTTCCCCTTCTTCGATCTACTCTCTTTCGTAGAAACGACGAGGATGATGAAGAGACCGGGTTAAGATTTTGTTTGCATGTCGGATTTTGGTGGATTTTAGATTCAAAATTAGGATTTTGATATTTTATTTTTGTTTTTATTTGTGAGAGGGTTTTGGTCGAGGAGAAGGTGGCTTCGGGCGGCGAGTTGCCGGCGGCGACAGGCCGACGACGACACAGGTAGGTTTTTTTTATTTTGTTATATATTTGTTATTTTGATTTAATATCCCTTCAATTGACTCTGACTTCTATTCTTGTATTGATGCAGGTAAAAAATTAGATCTAGGTAGGTCTCCTATAACTCTCTTAATTTTGGATTTTATGAGATATAAAACTGAAGCTGGATTACACTACAATAAGGTCGTGAGTGAGTTTGACTATATGGAATTTTGGTTTTTTATTTGTTTGTGGATGGTTGCGGATGTGAATTTTGGTGGTGCCGGAAATTGCTAAAAAAAGTAACGAAAATGGGCTACCGCTTGGAATTTTGATATATTACAAATTGCCAAAAATTATTTTTCTGTGATGGAGATGTAATTAACATCCTCTAAATTGCTTATCTTAGCGATTATAAGTCACTGCCACTTTTAGTGATTTTGCTAGACTATAGACTAAATTACTGTTATTGCTTGATTATATCAAATTTTGGACTCTAAATCACTGCTACTGCTTGTGATTTATTGAGATTATGATTTTTGGTTGGTAAACCAGTAAGGGTTTGTTAATCTGAAATTTTATTGTGTTTATTGTTGTCTAGATCTGGATTTTGATTTAGTTTGTTTATGTATGATGATCTAGTGTTTATCAACTACATGCTCAATGATGGTATAAAAGCATGGCAGAAAATTAAAATAGACTATCAATTGGTAATCAAAGTAAATACATGCTCAACTGAGAGAAGCTTAATCCTGGAATGGACTTACTATGAGCAGATTTTATTTTAAGTAAATAGAGTGCTTGAACACAAAGGCCTTTGTATAGTAAATCGCATGAACATAAATAGGCAAACTTATGGATGATTATGAAGATACAATGATGTAGAAACTATGCCAAATGACATGAACTTTACCAAGAACCATGGAAACAGAATTAAAAGAACCAACCTTATTAAGACTTTGGCTCCAATAACGCCTATTTGATGCTGCTCTGATCCAATTCTTGAACTCAGCTTCGTATTGTAAAGAAGAGTTGTTTTTAGAATCTGTCTTTTTTCTTCCCCCTCCCCTCAACAAAGAGCCCCAAGAGCTCATTTATAGCAAACCAAACCGCCACTTGTCACTATTTGATTCGTCCAATTTTTTAATATGACTTTGAAGAGTGTTCCTGGTCGGTTGTGGATAGGATTTGGTTAGACCGATTTGGTTAAGGTCGGTTTATTGGGCTGGTCTCTGGATCGAACCAGTTGGCCAAGTTGGGCCTGTCGGGTTTGGGCCGAGTTGGCTTTCGTTTGAGCTTGGAATGGGCTGGGATGGTCTCTTCTCATTTTTCAGGTAAATGGGCTTGGTTGACTGAGAAAGCTGGGCTAGTGGACCAGATTCACCTCAAAGCTCAAATATTCCTCTCTTTGTAATTTATATGTACAAATCCAATTGCGTGGCCCAAATTTTGTAGAGCTAGTATTAGTCATTGTAATTAATTCTAATTCTTGTTTTATTTAAAGGTCATTACCCAAGTTGTATGATGTATCAACTTTGAATCGTTGATAATAAAGCCCATTTTACTATTCAATTTGTCCCATTTCAGATACCGAATCCAAATCAAAACTCGTGAGACAAAATTTTGCAATATAGTCACTTCTTCCATTCAATTGAGAATTTATATTTAAGATTCGCCACTGCTAATCTTATCTTAAATCGATCCTATCGTAACTAATTAACTAATTATGCCCTATGCCCTATAATCGACTAGGAGCAAATTTGATAATTGTTGATTCATATTGACTTGCAACTGCTAGTCTCAACTAAAATATCTTCAATTTCCTTTTTAAATATAATCGTAGTACGACGTTACAATAATTATTTTCAATAAAACGATTCCCGGACAAAATGTGGTGTCTACAGTTGCCCCCCTTTGTATATCTCTTTGTATAAAGAGTTATACAAAGTTTCTATAAAGACACCACATTTTGAAAATGTGAAAATCTCAAAAGTAGAAATTGTGATGATGCTTGGTAATAATGACGTATCCATATTGTTAAGATGATGGTAACCAAATTATATAAGAAAATGGCAGTGATGAAATCAAACTGGCCATTCGGTAACGACGAACATTGATATACTCAAGTTGTTCTTGATAGAAACAAATCGATCGATTTTGACACATGTTAGCGATGAAATCAAGCTAACCACTTTGTAACAATGATATAATCAGGTTTTCTGTGATAGAATTTTAGACGAACATCGGAATAAGTGTTAGCGATAAAATCAAGCTAACCGTATTGCAACAACGATGTACTTAAGTTGTCTGTGGTAGAAATCAAACTAATCAATGGTAGAATGACAGCGATAGCGTCAAGCTAATCATTTTATAAGGACGATGTACTCAAATTGTTTGTGACAAAAATCAAATCAAACAATGAGGAAGATGTCAGTGATAAAGATCAAACTAACAATTTTGCAAGGGACCTTGTACTCAAATTGCTCGCGATAGGAATCGAATCAAGTGATGAGAAGATGTTAGTGATAAATATCAAACTAACAATTTCGTAAGGAGATTTACTCAAATTGTCTATGATAGAAATCAAATAGCACAATGAGGAAAGCGTTAGCGATAAAGATCAAGCTAACGATTTGGTAAATGATATTGTACTCAAATTGTCTATGATAGAAATCAAATAGAACAATGAGGACTATGTTAGCGATAAAGATCAAGCTAACGATTTGGTAAAGGATATTGTACTCAAATTGTCTATGATGGAAATCAAATAGAACAATGAGGAAAGCGTTAGCGATAAAGATCAAGCTAACGATTTGGTAAAGGATATTGTACTCAAATTGTCTATGATGGAAATCAAATAGAACAATGAGGAGATGTTAGTGATAAAGATCAAACTAACAATTTTTTAAAAGATATTGTACTCAAATTGTCTATGATAGAAATCAAATAGAACAATGAGAAAATGTTAGTGATAAAGATCAAACTAACAATTTTGTAAATGCGTAGTGGTATTTCGCATAAAAAGTTTTCACATACTATTTATATGGATATTTTAGAAATTTAGGAAATGATTGTGATGCATAGCAAGTCACTTTAATGTATAATGATGGTATGACGTGATTATCAAAATGATTTGAACATGATTTTGTGATATGTCATGCTGATGAAGTCGTGAAAGTTGAGTGACATGATCCTTTTGAAATTAGGTATGCCAATATGTTGTTTTGTTTTGTTGGTTATTTTGTTTTTACTCGGGGTTCCTTTAAATTGCTCATCCTCCAGGAACTATCATTTCCTTTTGATCAACTCGATCCATAGGTCATGCTTATGTTGGAGAGACTTTGAACTTGTTGTCTTGAATATATTTTCTTGGTAGTAGTTGTGCGATGATATGCTTTGTATTGTGAAGTCATGATGTATGCTGCTTCATCCTTCTTCTCGGCCAGGTATGGGCCACATGTTTCAGAGTCATATAATTCTCAGTCAGTGCGGTATAATAGGACTTCTTTCTTGCTATGCATTTGAAGCATAATCGATTGGCTGGTTGGCTTGATGAGATCTGAATGTTTTCAGACTCCTTGAGATTTTTCCATCAACTCATGCGTGAAAAGCTGATTAATCCGATTCTTGGGTATTCAGACTTCCCCTTCTTCCATGATGCACCAATTTTGCCCCCGAAGATCCGTTACTCACTTTCTATTCTTCGGAACAAAGAGTGACTATATCAATCTTGACTTAAGACGAAAGCAAAAATGTTTGAAAAACGTTTATTAGAGAATTAAAATTGAAAGCCATGTCAAGACTTTGGTTTCGAGAAGTGTGTACAAACTGGAGAAAACCGTTTTTGTGTGATAGTTGTCACGTTGCCAAATTTGGTTTTCTTTTTAATAAGAGAAGTGGAAACCAAGCCATGAGAATATCAGTAAGCCCTCGCTCTCACTCTTGCTTTTGATTTTACTCGCTCTCACTCCCGCTTTGGATTTCGCTCATCACTCATTCCTATAGGTGATTTGAGTGTACGACACTTCAGCTACCATTAAGATTCTAGTCACCTTGAGACGTTGCCTATATGTTGTGACCAACTGTGTTCCTTGTGAAGATTAACTCAAATATGGAAACCCTTGGTATGAACAAATTAGGAGGCCTCCATATGGATTCGTCGCAGACATTTTTAGTCTCCCATGAAAGAGGATTTTGTCCAATATGACCTCGAGGATATGAGTCTCCTTGTTCTTGAGGTGTAGTTTATTCAGATGGGTGGCGAGTATATGAAATCTTAACATTATCCGTATAAAGCTTCTTGTAGAGGGATTTTTGCTTTGCTCCCAACGTATGAGATTGACTTGATGGGTTAAGAACCACTATTATCTGGATCTTTTTGCTGACAAAGTCTAGTTCGAAAATACTGGTGGATTTTCTCAGAATGTATCCTCAGCTGGATTTGCCCCCCAGTATTTTTCGCTAGCCGAGGCTGTGATTTTCGTGAATGCAATCTGGCTTGGGACTTGTCGAGGTCCTTGTTTGGCCTCTAAATTTTGAATGTTGTGGATTTTCAGCTTCTGGCTTTCTCTCAAAATGATGAGTACTTTGGATGATGGGTTTTGGCTAGAACGACTTTCTTATCATCACAGTTTACTGTTTGAAGGTCCTTCTTGTCGTATCTTGAGATTGATCGGGCAAGACTTTGGCTTGGTGCAGGTATTTGGTACTTCAAATGCTAAACCGGGGGCACCTAGATTGTAAGTCCCACGACATTTTGTTTGTTTTTCTTTTGTCTTTTTTCTTTGTTTTGTATGTGTGGGACTTACTGGACTCTGTCATGCCCCATATGCGTTTCACATTTTCCCTGATCTAGCACTTGTATCTGGTAGGACGATTACCGAAAGGTAGAGAGTCTTCTTGATGATCGATGATGTGAGTGCCACTTCTCCATAACTAGATTAAATTGGCTATTCTTTTTGGTAAAAGTAGGGATGCTGACGCCATTTGCTTGCCGGTATTGCGCAAATATCTCACGATCGGACTTTGACGTGTGAGTTTAATAGACGCCCCGTCCGTAAGGAGGTAAGCTCTCGAATCGGGGATAAGACTGCTTTCTTGGTGTGAATCCTTTGCATGATAAATTATGTCCTTGATCTTCCTCGATATTCTAGTCATGAGACTCTGTGAGGATTTACTTGCTATGATAGTAATGTTAGGCTCCCCGTGCATCGGGATTTGGATATTTGACTTCACGCAAACTAAACCTCAATTTGTTGGCAAAAGTCTACTACAATGGTGACGAGTTTCTACAAATAGCAAGATGTCGTATACTCATTACACCCTTTGACTATTAGCTCACATAATTCATGGACACCAGTAGGGTGTTTACCTCTCGATTTTAGCAAAACAAGTACACTCGCAACACCAGTGGGTGTTCAAAATTATGACAGTAGCATGGTGTTGATAATTGCTCGACACCAGTGGGGTGTCCCAAATCTCAGCACCAGTGGGGTGCTCACATTTTCTTGGCATGACAATCTCATGGCTTAGCTTGAAAATAAAACTGGATTTTGATGGCTTTCATTTTCGTAGAGGATAAATCTGTTTTAAAGAAACTCGGAAGTGGCATTCGTTATTTTGATAAAACATTGATGCAAATTCTTAAATTAAGATTGATACCATTCACACAATGCTCCAAAGAGGTCGAAACGCGAGAGACCTTTTATTTATGATGATAAAAACAAAAGTGATACATATTTTGCTATGGCAAATTATCTCGATATTTTATTTACTAGATAGGATCAACATCATCCTTAAATCGAGCTTTGCCTTGTAGTATGTCTACTAATTCCCATGAGTTGGCAGTGGGTTATTGTTGACATCCGGACGCTTTGGCTCATCATCGAACTTTAACCAGCCAGTATTCATCATTTGTTGGACCTTGATCTTGAGCGATCTGCAATCCTCAGTTGAGTGTCCTGCTACTCCCGAGTGGTAAGCACAATGCTGGTCTGTTTTGTACCAGTTTGGATAAGGAGGTTTCATAGGTTCACATGGTATTGGGGAGATTAGGTTACCTTGAATTAGCTGAGGAAAAAGTTCAGTGTATGTGATAGGGATAGGATCGATTTGGATGGGTTTCCTGAACCTCTCATAATTATTCTGATTTTGGTTATTAGGTGGTGGTGCGACTCGTGTCGGGCTCTGGATGGCTCGTTGAGTAGGAAAAGTTGGACGTTGATTAATTATTGCAGCACTTGCAACACATGGATGGGCTTGATTGGCCTGAGGTTGATGATCCCACCTTCTTCCTCTAGATGATTCTGTTTGAGCATAATGGACATCTGCTTCTCCTCTTCGGGCCTGGTGTGGTTTCTTGGAGGCTTCTGGAGTTTCCATCCGACCTTGCTTCAAACCCTTTTCTATTCGCTCTCCGATTACAAGCAGATCCGCAAAGTTGGTTGTCGTAATTCCGACCATGTTGTTGTAGTATGGAGCCCTTAGTGTTCCGAAGAAGATTGACACCATCTCCTTTTCTGACAGAGGAGGTTGAACGTCTGCAGCTTTCTCTCTCCACCTTTGAGCATATTCCCTGAAAGATTCTTTTTCATTCTTTTCCATATTCCTCAGATCTTCTCGGTCTGGAGCCAGATCCTGGTTATGCTTGTAGTGCCTCATGAATGCATCAGCGAGGTCTTGCCATCTTCTTACTTTTGTTTTCTCTAGTTGCATATACCATCGTAGGGCAGAACTACTCAGGCTGTTTTGGAAGCAATGTACCATTAGCCTTTCATCTCGAATATGGTTGGCCATTTTGTTGCAGTACATGACCAGATGACTTTTTGGGCAAGTGGTGCCATTATATCTTTCAAATTCTGGCGTTTGAAATTTGTGAGGAATCACGACATCTGGGACTAGACATAGTTTTGATGCATCCATAGGCTCGTACGACTCAACTCCTTCTATGCTTCTTATTCGTTCATTCATGTGTTCTAATTTTTCTTCTAGCATAGCTTCGATTTTATGTTCCTCTTGCTTCTCGGGTTCTCCGGATTTGTCATGCTTTGATGACCCAATATCACCTTTGTCGCCTGTGTTCTTCGAAGGTATGAGGATGAATTTACTACCTGAGACGTTTCCTTGAGGTTGCTCATAGTGATCGTCGTCGTCAAATATGATTTCTTCCTCGTTCTTTGCAACCTCCTTTCCTTTTCTTGACAATATGCTCAATATTGTGTTGAGCTGGCCTTTCATCTCATCGAAGCCCGTTAGTTTCTCATCGAACCCCACTAACTTCTCGTCAAATCCTGTCAGCTTTCCTTTAATGTCGTTCAACTCTTTTTGAAATGCCTCCATAACTAGCTCGATCTTGGATCTTGTTAAGTACTTGAAGTCTTGACTTTTTCCTTGTGGACGAGCAATTTTAAGGAACCCTGACCAATTATTTTTATTAAATTGACTTGAATGAGTAATGGAGAGTATGTATGATGCTTATGCGATGCACAGATGATTCATTGGATGCACGTGCATTTTGAAAATGTTCTCAAGATTTATTTTGAATGCATAAGCGAAAACCCAAAAAGAGAATGATGCTTATGAGTTTCATTTTTTCAAAGAAGAAAAGAAAATTCATATTGTTCTCACAAATAAATATATCGCGATTGGTAAAACATACCACAAATTATCACGTCAGTAGAAAACATACATATAGATAATAAAAATATAACCCTATTTGGGAAAACGTAGGGCTTTCAGAGGGCGTAATGACGTGGTGCTAGGGTTGTTTCGGGATTATTTTGGACGGTTTAGGGAGGCCTCTATGCTTACTATATGCTGGCAGAGGAATTCCTAGGGGTTTGGTCCCCAAGTTGTATCCTGCCACAGCCCTTACGAACTGGCTGGATACCTCAAGATCAACCTCGGATCTGAGTTCAACTTGGTTGGAAAGTTTTGCGTGCTTTCCACTACTGTGAAAGTCACGGTACTCCTTTTCCGTTTCTAATAGGATAGCTCGGGTATAGAGCTTTTATGCATGAATGCAAAATTAAATTGCGAAAATATAATTGCGCAAATAATAAAGTAAACACCCAACATTTGATAGGAAAATAGAAAACTTATCGAACTTAATTATGTAGCTCGACTCTCGAAGTTCCCCAGCGGAGTCGCCAACTGTCGCAACCGTCCCTCCGGGGGGTCCGATATGTCGTCGCGTCGGCATTTTTGGGAGTCGCCATCGATCTTAGTTGGAGTGGATCGAACACTCTTCGGTCGGCTCTAGCCTTAGGGCCAGAACCGAGATATGGTCTGCGAAAATGAAGTTCTGGGTTCGGGAGTACGGTTACGTGTAGGGAAGTTAAGCAACACCCCCACAACGCCCTAAATCGGTACTACTTAAGTCGATAAGTTTTATACGAGTTGGGTGTATTTTAGTAATAATTTGTAATTTTAGGGGTCCCACTGGACCATTTAATGATTTAATCATATTAGTTGTTATTTAATTATACGCCCACTGACGTAAAAATTTAAAGATAAAGTTAGTTGATTAATTGGACTCGAACCTTATCGGTTGCCTACGTACCCGTTAGACGGGATCAAAGTCCACGTAGTTCGTTTGAACTTTGATAGTTTAATTGTGACATTTTCATCACGTTCCACTAATCGTGATTTTCGTATTATAATTTTGTTAATATAATTTAATTTGATTATTATGAAATTATGAAAAGAGAATATAATAATTTAAGTTATTAGGAAGAAGCTTGACTCGTATTGGAAAAGAAACGAGATAAACTTAATCCGCATTTACCATTTCGTATTAAGAACTATAAACAAATAAACTTAAGCGGAATGGTAAATTCAACATATGATTGTCGGCAGCCCAACTGGTCAAACCGTTAGCCTCCTCTGACCCAGAGACCGCGGGTTCGAAACGAACTGAGTGCAATTTTTTTATTTTTTCGTTTTAGTGTGGGGATGGGGGAAGGGCATTCTAGTAATTTCACGAAAACGCGGTGGCAGGGCCGCGTAAATAGCCGGAAACCCTAGGGGCATTTTGGTCATTTTAAAACTTGAGGTATATATAGGCTCTTAAAGCGCAAAATCAAACCCTACTCTATTCGACCTAGCGGCCGCCGCTCAAACTCTCCCTCTCATCCCTCTCTATCTCTCTCGGCCAGAGACCACAAACCCTAACCCCCGATCCAAAACCGCCGCCGCTCTCTCCTCTCGTCCCTCGTCTCTCTCTCTCGCTCAGAGAAACACAAACCTAGCCCCGATCAAAACCGCCGCCGCTCTCCTCTCTGCGAAACCTTAATCGCCGCCGCTCTCCCTCTCTATCTCGCCTCTCTCTCTTCTCTCACTCTCATCCCTACCCAGAAATTGAAAACCTAAACTAAACCCATCTCAAGCCGCCGCAATCCTATAAACCTCTCGCCTCGTCACTTATCGCCCCGTCCGAGCTACGAGGACGACGATGACAGCGACATGCGCCGCCGGTGGTGATAAAAATCGAGTTTGAAGGTTCGTTTCTTTGTTTATTCTGTGATTTCTACCGTGTTCAAATATGATTTTAGGGTTTCAAGTTTCTAATCCCTATTTTATTTTCTTTTTATTTCCGGAAAAAGCAAACCCAGGGCCGAGATGGGCCTCGATCTAACTTCCCCTTCTTCGATCTACTCTCTTTCGTAGAAACGACGAGGATGATGAAGAGACCGGGTTAAGATTTTGTTTGCATGTCGGATTTTGGTGGATTTTAGATTCAAAATTAGGATTTTGATATTTTATTTTTGTTTTTATTTGTGAGAGGGTTTTGGTCGAGGAGAAGGTGGCTTCGGGCGGCGAGTTGCCGGCGGCGACAGGCCGACGACGACACAGGTAGGTTTTTTTTATTTTGTTATATATTTGTTATTTTGATTTAATATCCCTTCAATTGACTCTGACTTCTATTCTTGTATTGATGCAGGTAAAAAATTAGATCTAGGTAGGTCTCCTATAACTCTCTTAATTTTGGATTTTATGAGATATAAAACTGAAGCTGGATTACACTACAATAAGGTCGTGAGTGAGTTTGACTATATGGAATTTTGGTTTTTTATTTGTTTGTGGATGGTTGCGGATGTGAATTTTGGTGGTGCCGGAAATTGCTAAAAAAAGTAACGAAAATGGGCTACCGCTTGGAATTTTGATATATTACAAATTGCCAAAAATTATTTTTCTGTGATGGAGATGTAATTAACATCCTCTAAATTGCTTATCTTAGCGATTATAAGTCACTGCCACTTTTAGTGATTTTGCTAGACTATAGACTAAATTACTGTTATTGCTTGATTATATCAAATTTTGGACTCTAAATCACTGCTACTGCTTGTGATTTATTGAGATTATGATTTTTGGTTGGTAAACCAGTAAGGGTTTGTTAATCTGAAATTTTATTGTGTTTATTGTTGTCTAGATCTGGATTTTGATTTAGTTTGTTTATGTATGATGATCTAGTGTTTATCAACTACATGCTCAATGATGGTATAAAAGCATGGCAGAAAATTAAAATAGACTATCAATTGGTAATCAAAGTAAATACATGCTCAACTGAGAGAAGCTTAATCCTGGAATGGACTTACTATGAGCAGATTTTATTTTAAGTAAATAGAGTGCTTGAACACAAAGGCCTTTGTATAGTAAATCGCATGAACATAAATAGGCAAACTTATGGATGATTATGAAGATACAATGATGTAGAAACTATGCCAAATGACATGAACTTTACCAAGAACCATGGAAACAGAATTAAAAGAACCAACCTTATTAAGACTTTGGCTCCAATAACGCCTATTTGATGCTGCTCTGATCCAATTCTTGAACTCAGCTTCGTATTGTAAAGAAGAGTTGTTTTTAGAATCTGTCTTTTTTCTTCCCCCTCCCCTCAACAAAGAGCCCCAAGAGCTCATTTATAGCAAACCAAACCGCCACTTGTCACTATTTGATTCGTCCAATTTTTTAATATGACTTTGAAGAGTGTTCCTGGTCGGTTGTGGATAGGATTTGGTTAGACCGATTTGGTTAAGGTCGGTTTATTGGGCTGGTCTCTGGATCGAACCAGTTGGCCAAGTTGGGCCTGTCGGGTTTGGGCCGAGTTGGCTTTCGTTTGAGCTTGGAATGGGCTGGGATGGTCTCTTCTCATTTTTCAGGTAAATGGGCTTGGTTGACTGAGAAAGCTGGGCTAGTGGACCAGATTCACCTCAAAGCTCAAATATTCCTCTCTTTGTAATTTATATGTACAAATCCAATTGCGTGGCCCAAATTTTGTAGAGCTAGTATTAGTCATTGTAATTAATTCTAATTCTTGTTTTATTTAAAGGTCATTACCCAAGTTGTATGATGTATCAACTTTGAATCGTTGATAATAAAGCCCATTTTACTATTCAATTTGTCCCATTTCAGATACCGAATCCAAATCAAAACTCGTGAGACAAAATTTTGCAATATAGTCACTTCTTCCATTCAATTGAGAATTTATATTTAAGATTCGCCACTGCTAATCTTATCTTAAATCGATCCTATCGTAACTAATTAACTAATTATGCCCTATGCCCTATAATCGACTAGGAGCAAATTTGATAATTGTTGATTCATATTGACTTGCAACTGCTAGTCTCAACTAAAATATCTTCAATTTCCTTTTTAAATATAATCGTAGTACGACGTTACAATAATTATTTTCAATAAAACGATTCCCGGACAAAATGTGGTGTCTACAAACACGATTGTTTTATTTTCATATGTGTGATGTTTGATTTCCTCTTTTATTTGTCGATTCGAATGAGAGTTTAAGACAAGCTTGCACTACTTCGAGGTGCAAGGATCGAAATCCAAGTCATTTAGAATGGGAATAGAAATAATAATCCTACTCAATCATCCTTCATTCGATCGTACGACGTGACACCTCAAGGGAGAAATCCGAAGGGTCCTTGTCGCCCATTAGTTCTGGTAAATGTTTCGACGCAAGGTGTGATCTAACAAAATAATAAATCAGCAGGTGGTGTCATATTTTGCCCACGAACCATGTCAAGTTCATATCTCCCAACCCAACATGGACAAAACAAACCTGACCTGATAAGCGACCCTCAATTGATTTGTGCCTCTTTCTCATCTCTTCCTCTTCATAACATTGATGCATAACTTCATAGCACCAGCATCCTTGACCTTCTTTCGATAAAGAGGAAATGTATCAACCAATGAGTCACCTTTGTCGAATGATAACAATCAATGAATATGGTTGTTTATTGAGAGTACTTTAAGTGATTATTAGTTCCATTTGTTTTCTTCTTCTATACTTTTTTTCCCAATGTGGTAATAAAAAGTAGAAAAATGGTCTTTATTTATTTTGATGGTGTGATTTGATCTTAACTTGATTTAATAAATCCAATAAGTTCATAAATCCCGACTAAACCGTATCTCAATTGAACTCAACCCGAAACCCACCCTATTGACATCTTTAGCTTTCATATCCATGCTTGGGAAAGACAAATAAGACAAGCACAATCACCCCCAAATACTATCTTTTCTTTGTCCCTCCTTTCCATCTCTGGCTACAAGCCTAGAATTGATTGCCGACTTTAGCTTGATGAAGGTTCCCTCTGTGCTACCTTCTCGAGTGAGTATCAGACAACAAACAGGAGCAGGCCAGCAGGATAACAAATCCAAAGAAACACGTTTGTGTCTCTTTTTTAAGGAATACCAAAGTATACAAACACGAATGCCACAGTTTTGTCCCCTTTTTTCCTTAATTTCGTTGAAATTTTAGTCATCCAAACTATATATATACACATCCAAATTAACATCCTCAAGCACTGAACCATCATCACAATAAGCTAGCAATAAGAATGGCGGACATACTCATCATCCTGATTATTTCAACTAATGTCTTCCTCCTCTCCTTATTTCCACAGCCAGCGGCGGCGGCAAGACTACACTACTCGTCGTCACCCAATTCTTCCTTCTTGCCTTCCAACGTCACGGCGGAGGTCCAGGGCAAACACGCCACCCTAACACTCAACGGCTTCCAGAGAGGCGAAGACGGCGGCGGCGCATCCGAGTGCGACGGCCACTACCACAGCGACGACAGGAAGGTGGTGGCGCTGTCCTCCAACTGGTACCAGAACGGGAAGCTGTGCCACGAGTGCATCGAGATTACGGCCGACGAAACCGGCGAGACCGCGACGGCCACCGTCGTCGACGAGTGCGACACGTCCGGCGGGTGTAAGCACGACATCGTGGACGGGTCGAGGGCCGTGTGGAAGGCCCTGGGGTTCCACCAGGGCAAGGGCGAGTACGGCGAGACGTCGGTTACTTGGAAGATGTGCTAAGTAACAGCGACGACGACGCGACGAATAAAAGGGCTTGATCTAATGATGATACCAAAGTATTGGTTTTGACGGATCGGAATAAGTTATCTATCTATGTGACTTTTTTTGTGTTGTTTTCTATCTTATAATTTTGTCGCTTTTTATATGGAGTGGTAATGACAGCACTATAATTTTGACAGCACTATATTTTTGAAGTATAATATTGGGCCAATTAGCTCAATCGATTCTGTCTAAATCTTAGGCGGAGGAAAATGAGTGGCCAAAAGAAAGAAAGGGACAGAGAAAATTATAAGTGATCTTTTACTACAGCAGCTGCTCTCTGTCTGCTTTCTTTTTTTCATAACTTTCATCTTGTTTGGTTTGGATAAAAATATTAGTGGGAGAATTATATTAGTGCGATGATAATTATAATAAAAACTTCCTTTGGCATCTAACATATAATTTTGTTCTGCTATATACATGTTTCAGTATACCATCATTGAACACTCTATTTATTAATTCCATACCTGAAAGGAAAAATATTTAACATGTAAAATCATCTAATTGTCAAAACAATGAACCGGTTTGATCTTCAAACAACCAAGGAAAAGGGATGGGATTTTGGTGCATAACCTCCTTTAATTACAGCTTGCATGGATCTCAGGAGCTATAGTTAAGAATCTTTTCAATTTTTTGCAAATTCAGCTGGCTATATCTTTTCATTTCTACTCTAATTTTTTAAAAATTTGTATTAGAAAAGCCATAATAGTTGAAACTTGCCGAAGAAAATTTGAAGACTATGACGAGTAATTCTATAAGCATTATACAACAACATCAAAGACAATAGTAGTTAGGTAACAATCTACTTCTAATCTTCTATTGTTTTTTTCACTTCAAGTTCATTCATTCGAGAGAGAAATTAGTGGGAATTTCGACTAAATAATGATCTCAATTGTTGTTATTCTATAGATTCAGAATTCAGCTTCGAGTTGCATACAACATTGTTAATCTAACTTTATAGTTCTATATCGCAAGAGAGCTAGGTTTTCTTGGAATACCTACTGAGAAACTACTCAACGTTAGTGGCAAAAATGAAAGAATATACACCTCTTCATCCCCTGCTGGGTAAATTTAAGTTCTTGAAAATAGGGTTTCACAATTTCAAATATTTTTCCATTAAATTTTGCATTCCGTGAAAATGTAGGAGAAGAAGGAAGACTAAGCTAATAGTGGAGGTAGTGCATTTGTGATGGAAATAATTATGTTATTGAAATAAAGGAAGAGATTGTTGATGGTGGATATAGAAATTTCAATGATGGAGAAAAGAACGAAATGTTGAAATTATTTATGATTTGGATGAGGTGAATTCTACCACGGCAAAAATGTTGTTTCACATTTCCAAACATTTTACCATTAAAATTTGGTTTAAGTAGAATGTAGAGAGAAAAAAAAAAGGAAGATACTATTGATGATTAATATAAAGGTTTTGTTAATAACGAAGAAGTTGGAGAAGATGTTTTTTATGGCGGAGCAATTGTAAAGAAATCCAAAGGAAATGTGTAGTAATTTCTAACAGCGAAGAGTAAATTGAAGTGTGACTATTAAGTTTTTTAGGAATCGGTTCCCTATATGAGTTGTATTGTTTACTTTTGATAAGGTCTTTGTCCATGGATGATCAAGATGCAAAACTTAATATATATGTTGCTTTTTAATATTGTAGTAATTGAATAATTTGGATTTCTCCCTGATACAAAATATAATAGAACTTAATTCGGGTAAATTACCAGGCCAATTAGCGAGCCCAAATCTAGTATTTGCTTATAAAAGATCCTATAGAGACAAACATTTACCTGAATGGGTATATTTTGAACCATATAATTTTGTTTATATTTCAATTTTTATAATTGTATTTTAATTAATATAATCTACCTACCATCGTGAACCCTAGTCTAGGATGTTGTAATTTGTAATTGTGAATTCTATGTTGTGATTAGCATGATTGAGTATTTATCATGAAATTGAAGTTCCTTCATCAATTCTCTCATTTTCGGGGCCAATTAACCTAGGTGAAAGAATATCTCTTTAGGGTAATTTAGGCATTATTCAATCATCGTAAGGGGGACATGAACGAGGATGATTCATTTCTTTACACTGTTCTAGGTCATCATCCGTGGGAGTAAATTTGGTTGCCATAATTGACTAATCTGGTAGTTTGGTACGCCTCTCCAGTTAGAGCAACTAGGCAGGTTAGGACCACTCAAATAGGGATTCCTAACTAGTTTCAATATCCTAACAGTATATACTAGATGTGAATGACACTAGAGTATCGCGTCTTTGACTCAACATGGAACTAGGGGGATAGTCATCCCAGTCAATGCAGTCAAAAGCGTGATTCTACCTAGAAGCGGAAAATTGGTAAAATCGTAAAGCGTAGAATCAAACCGTAAAAACGTAAGTTTTTTATGCATACTGTAAAATAACGAAAAATGTGTTAAGTACGATAAAATATGAGTGGACATAATTTAGATAAGTTAATAAATATATGAAATTCATGTCTAAACATGAGAAACTCATAACATTTTAACAATAAGTTCATAAACATATATCTTAACAATAAGCTACATTTCCCTCTATGCTAGTGAATTTGGGAAGGGCCTAGCTGGTGAATTAGATTGCTCTATTGAAACTAAGAATGCACCCAAGTACTTGATATGTATCTTTTAATCTCAAATATATCATATTTTTTGTGATTTACCTTTGAAATATAAGTATTTTCATGAATAGAATACTCCTTTAGTGAACTAGAAGCGTAAAAGCGTAAAGCGTTTTGGCGAACCAGAAGCGTAAAAGCGTAAGATTTTAAGCTTTAAAGCGCATTTTTGTCCCAATTTTATACACTTAAGATTTTATATGGAAACGAAAACGTTTTGGTGTCCTAGAAGCGTAAAACCGTAAGTTTATAAGTTTTAAAGCGCGATTTTGACTGCATTGATCCCAGTGAAGCTTTTCTCCACTGAATTCAACCTTGTTTTACTTGCATGTTTGTTAGTATTAGCTTAAACAACGTTTTTATCGCTAGATATGAAGTAAGGATACATAAACCACTCGGGTTTGATAATTTGAAAAAGGATAATATTTATTTTTTATCCAAACCTTTTTTTGCATATTCTTTTATATTATCCAAACCTATCGAAATACTAAGAATTAGCCAAATATTAACTTTCAGTTAACAATTTTGTTAGTAATATTGACTTGACAACATGATACTACTGACTTGAAAGAGACACATGAAGGTCAACATTCCAAAATTTTAGTATTTTAACTAAGAAAATAGTTACAAAATTATTAATGGTAACATAAAAATGACTAATATTTTGATGTATTACGAAAGATTTGGTTAATAAATAGAATTTTAATAGATTTGGATAATATAAAAAAATCTGAAAAAGATTTGGATAAAAAATAGACATTATCCTTTGCAAAAATAATTGCTCTATACTACCTCGGTTGAAGGTTCCACTAGGCCTTTGATTGGGAGTGTAATTACCAATTAGAACCTAGTCAAGAAACATTCTCTTATCCTCTATATTAGTTGTTGTTATTTGAATCTCATCAAACAAACAAACCCCAAGTAATATAGTCTATCTTGTTGCATGCCTACCCCTATCATTCTTCTTGAGAACAAATCCTGGATCACGCATACATTTTGTATAGAACTAATTATCCAGAGTTCGAACCATTATCCAGCATACATTTTGCTTCCCTAAACCATAAACAAAGGAATTTAAAGCAGGACAAAGGAATGCAGCATAGCATAAGTACAATCAAAAAACAGAGATCAATGATCAACAATAAGCTGTGCATTAGCCATTAACTAGCGGTTAGAAACTTTGCAAGAACCTCCCAACAACCAAATGAGTTCATTCGTTCCAGATCTGGATAGATCCCCCTACCAATTTTACACTACACTGGCTGCTGTGTTAAATTCATCAGCTACAAAATAATGAGATACACACCACGCCACCTCATGGGCGAAAAATCAACAGGAGAGAGCCAAGCCTTGCGTTTCAGAATCAGAGTAAAGATCCAACTCCACCCCCCCTTCATCCGCGCATCAAATCGATGTCATGGTGGCCGTGCATGTCGAGTGACCTCGAACCTGGCCACATCGATTGCGGAGAAGCTGGTCCGCCAAGGTTCTGATGATGGCTAGGTGGAACACTAGTTGGACTCACCGGATTCTCAATCGCCAGCTGCTCGGAGGATTCTCTACCGCCTAGTTCAGACCCTTCTTCCCTTTTCTTGTTCTTCGTCTTTGGACCACCCCATATGAAGCTTCCCACGATGACCTGCAGAAGAAGTGAACTGGTTAAGTATGGAACAAGCAATCGATGGAGATCAAATCTTTTTAGCATAACAGGTTCTAGTATTATAACTAAAGAGCAAATAGAGGTGTGATAATAATGTGAAACAAAAGATTGGGAAGCAAGTAAAGTCTAAGCATTTCATGGCTCTAATTGTAGTTGTTTGATCTCAATCTCTACTTAGCCATGTCAATATCATCATATTTAAACAAATGGATTGGTTACCTGAACAGGGCTTGCTGCAATGAGCATCCCTCCAACCCCACCTCCAAAGACGCGACCATCAGGACTGGCGAGAGAGACACTCAGGCCACCGGTTCTATTGCGCGAGCCAGTGATATCCGTTAGCAAGTAAGAGCCTGAGAGGCATAAGATCTCGAACCGCCCCTAACCAATAGCACAAAACTTGGTTTAAGAAACTGAGGGAGGAGCCCTTGGTTTATGATTCATCATTGTAGTAATAGAAGAGCAGGCAAACTGGAAAGCTTATTGGCAACCAAGCCATGTTAGAGCAAGCTCGAAGTTTCATTAGGATTTCAGGACCACTTAATCATTGGGGGGGGGGGGGGGGGGGGGGGGGGGGGGGGGGGGACAAACAGAAAATGAATTGAGCCCTTTAGCCTACTAATCAAGTCAACAACCATAAAGACAAAGACCACTATACACATGCAATTAAATAATACCAGGCTGATGTCACACGCACACATCCTAATCTTGGTATCAGACTACTGATTATTTTAAAGCCTGCTTCCTGCACGTTTTTATTTGAATAAAGAAATAAAAACATGGACACAAGCAACAGAAGAACATTCCCAAAGCTAAGCATCTGACATCCATGAATAATTTATACAAATATATGATCACAGCACTGATTATTGGTTTGTTGGTTTGCTATATATATATTAAACCTCGTATGTGACAGTGCCTCCAGAAGTTGACGGCTGAGTAAGAGTGACAGTGGAGACTGCCCCGTTTGCTGACAAGATGCATATTGCTCGCGGCCCTTGCTGCGAGAAGGACATGATCTTCGTTGCAATGTCCTGCAACAGATGGTTCATATGGGGCGCATTCAATCATTAAAACTACATCGAAGCCAATCTGATACAAGCAATGCAAGTTAACCAAATTGGTCAAGAATAAATGATCTCATTTCGACATGATTCGCAACGTGAATCTTTCACTCCATTCAGATAACCACTATAGATAGCATCAAGAAGACAACAAGTTGCAGAACAGAGTTATAGGCTTACTTCTCCCATTGCCACGGTGATTATGTGTGGAGTGAAACCAATTCCAGCCGAGCCTGATATCCAGTCGCCTATTCCACAAAACAAACGAACCATTAGCATCATTTTCCCACAGTGAAGAACAGATTTGGAGACAATGGGGGAAATGAATCAATATACCAAGAGAAGGAGCAGCAGCAGAAGCCAACTGTTGCTGCTTCTTGCCGCTGCCAGGGGGCCGGCCCCTGCCTCGCCTCTGAGTAGTGGTGGCTGGGGTTATGGTGCCAGGATGAGTGGAGAGTGAAGGCGACAATGCCAGTGAAGCAGTCCCATCGGGACCATATTTCCTCGGCCTCCCTCTTTTCCTCTTCACCACCGGCTCCCCAATTGGGGCCACCGCCGAAGTTGGGCCGACGTTAAGAGGCGACATTGAAGCTTGCTGCTGCTGCTGCTCCATTGGCATTGCTGACCCAATTGAGCTGCCACCACCACCACCCATGTTGGACTGGAACTGCACGGGCGGGTTGGAAAGAGGGTTCATGGCGCCGGAAGGGGAGACATTGAGACCCGACTGTGGCCCGGTTGGACCCGAACCCCCAATCCCTCTCTGCTGCATATAGAATGAAGCTGGCCCGGAGCGATCCATTCATTTACTGACCCAAAATGCAGTTGAAATTGGAGTGGGGGTGTGGATCTAGGAAGGCGGAGAAAGCAGAGGAAGGAGGGAAAGTTACAGAGAAAAAAAAGGGGACAAGAAAGAGACAAAAATGCAAGTTAATTTCTACAGGTTTACCAAAAACCAAAGGCGATAGGGCGAGGAAGAAGAAACAAAATGCAAAAAAAAAGAGAGAAGGAAGAAGAAAGCTACTAAGAAAGGGAAAGATGGGGAGAAAAGGCTTCAGTTCGAAGGTAAAGAGAAGGAAGGGAAGTGTGACTCCACAGTCTCTCTCTCTCTCTCAGTGACAAACCAACCAACCCATTTTCACTCATGAATCACTCTACCACCACCATCATCATATAATCTTCAACCTCAAGCTTCTCTCTCTCCCAAAAGGTTTCAAACTTTACGGCCAATGTGGTTTACCTCTGTCTTCCCTTCTCGAAACCCAGAAACCCAGATCTCAAAAACGAAGAGAAAAAAAAAAGGGGGAAAGAGAAAGGAAAGGGAGGGAGCTGGTAGAGTGGTTGTGATGAACAATGGCCAAAGAGAAGACCAGAGTGATGAGAGAGAGAAGTTCAAAAGCCAAACACTTTCCTGCAGTAAACAGCTCTGCTCTTTTTCTTCTTTTTCTTTTTTTTTTATTTGTCTCTCTCAGTCCCTCTATGGCGCTCGCAATTAAGGCGAAGAGACAGTGGGAAGCAGCAGGAGGAGAAGAAGTGAACGTACAGGAAGAAGAAGAAGAAGAAGAAAAAGAAAAGGCAAGAGAGAAGCCAGAAGGAAGAAGACGAGCGGGTGTCCCTTATCGCAACGCATGTATTTCTATATAATACCAAAAAAAAAATTAATTAAAATCCAAATTTTTCTCTTTATCTGCCTCTTCCGTTTCTATTTTTATTTTTATTTTTTTCCCTTTTTCCCTCTGTTTTCCAGTTTCAGTTTCAGACTGTGACGATTATTTTCTCTTTTTTGTCCGTTCCTACTTACTTTTTTTATTGTTTATATTCGCTGAGGTAGATTTCTTTTCAAATATTTTTATTTCTTCTTTATATTATTTTTTTTTTCAAAAAAATATGACTGCTGCTCTGCAGTTTAGGTAATTTTAGCTGTTGCCTCTAATCAGTAATTACATTATATATACTTCCTAATATTTTAGAATTTAATGACATGTACAACAAATCGATTATCGAAATATCTTAATTGTTAGCCGTTATAGCTAAAAAAAAATTTTTTTTTGGGTCTTTGTTATAGCACAACAATTGACTTGAAGTAGCCATCTCGTTGCCCCACCAGCTTCATCTCCTGCATCATCCACATTCCTATGTGGGAACAGTGTGAAATCGAAATCCAGAAAATGTATAATTTAGATCTGAAAATCAGGATATGGTCAAAACCAATTTTATTCGAAACGATTTTAAGTGTTAATTAAGTTATTTTAGTTCGAGAATTCGATCATTACTCTAACCAAGTCGGTTACGATTAATTATGATAAACATTCCGATGTTATTCTATTTATTCCAAGTATTCAAATTATTTTTAAGAAATTAAATATGATGTCATCGACAACAAAAACACATTATTGGGTCATAGAGAAGGCGCTCGAGGGTAGAAATGAGTTTTCGTTCATTGTGGCCTTAGTTAACTGAATGGTTATTATTTTACTTCCATCAATGTAATTTTACTTTCCCACGCTTGCCCGCAACCGTCATGCTGAGCACCTCGCACTCCTCCTGCACCGAAACTTCCCAACATTTGTCTCCTAGTAGTGGGTATTCACCCACATTAACCACCCAACCCATTTTTTCCATTCTCTCCTAATTGTGGACACCCAAGTGAGAAATTTTCATATTTTTACTCAAATCATTTCACTGTTGTGGGTGGTCTTTCGAGTTACAATGGTAATAGTTTCGGTGACTAAGTGAGGTGCTTAATCAAATTACTAATATCATTTCAATCCTTAGATCAAGACTAATAGATCTAATGGTCACATTAAGAGAATGGATAATTAATTAGTGAGAGGACAATTATGGCATTAGCAAAACACTAAAAGTATCTCCCTCTCCTCCACCATCGACGGCCAAAATCAACGAAAGAAGAACAATCGGCGGTGCAATTCGGTTTACAAGTGTGCCACCATTTCTACTATATTTCAATTCAACGACCTGTCAAATAATCAAACTGAAATCAAAGAACAGTGGAACTTTTAAACGTGGTACCGTCAGTATGACACTAGTCCACGGAGAGGATCTCCTTCTCAGGTTTTAAGTTTCCGTATTTCGTTAAGTCTCCAATACAGCTTACAATGATATAAATAGGTTGTGCTTACAACCCTAATTTCGAGTGGCTAGTTACAAATAGGTAACTATAATTAACACCCTACCTCAAATTGATGTTGAGTACGCAACAACAATTTTCCTGAGTCCTGACAAGTACTGGTGTCTGCTAGAAGATACTGCCTTTGTAAGAATTTTTGCAGTTTGATCTTTCTGTATTCAGGTAGCTAATCTGTATCGTTCCTTCTGCAACCAGCTGACGAATACAATGCACATGAACTTCAATGTGCATCGTATGCTCATGTATAGATATCAGAATCGCACATGTGTTGTCCCCATAAAGACGCATAGACATTTTGCATGTTACACCTAGCTTAAGGAACAACCGATGCTGTCAAACCATCTCGGAACTAACTTCTGACATGGACCTGCATTATGCTTCTTAAGAAGATTTAGACACCATTTCCTATTTGTGACAACGCTAGGAAACAAATACCTTACCAAAATGAACACACCATCCTGACGTGGATATCCTCGTATCTAGACAACCATTATAATCCGCATATGCAAAGACTTCATTCTCCGCCTCCCCTTCTACGAGAAAGAACAATCTAGCGTCCTTGGTGTCACGACTGTTTCTCTGCGGATAAGGAAATAGGTGTAACGATAAAGTAAGAATATGAAAGCAATGACGAATACGACACACGAATTTACGTGGTTAACTAACACAATGTGACTAATAAAAAGGAGGGGGAAATTTGGCTAATAATTAGTGTTTAACCTTAATATTAGAAAATAAAAATTGGATTCACTTGTCAGGCCCTTGACATAAACCATCGTGCCAAAGACTACATCCAGGGGGCGTAGCTAGGATTTCGCTTAAGGTGGGTCAGAAATAAAAAAAATATATAAATATTAATGTTGACAATAATTCATAGTGTGTTTTCATATTTGAAAAGTCATTAAAATACATTTATCATCCAACCTATTTAAGATGTCACTCTCAACATATCTTACCAAAAAATTATTCAACCATTCATCACGCATTCGACATCGCAGTGTGTATTCACGTAGTTCATGGCCATGGGAGAATAGACGCAATAGCGTTTTGACTTATGTATATGAATTCTGGTAAAGTCTAAGGGATAGTTTGGTTTTGGTTACAGTTAAATTGATGCATTGTCATTAATGCATGCATTATAATATACATGTATATAAAAAAAATTGGTGTATTGTAGTTTACATCGTTTGGTTACTCTGATAGTTATTGTATTATTTACTTTTTGGGTGAAATGTAACTCTTATCATTTGTTTTTAATATAAAAAAACAACAAGACAGGGCATAGTTGGAAGAAGAAAGAAACACAAAAAACTTGAGATTTAACTTTCATTAATTTTGAGTGATAATTTGTTTCACATCAAGCAAACAATGCATGCATTATTGTGCAGAAAATTCAAAAAAACGATAAATTGTGAACAATGCATGCATTATAACTATTCCAACTAAACAATATAAATGTTCATAATATATCAAGAGTTGGCTAATAGTGTAGTGGTTAAAACCTTTGTTGATATAAGGTAGGTCATGAGTTCCCATCCTATCCCTCTATATTTATACCTGCTTATTTTTTTGTGTGGGCTTCTCCTCCCAAGGTGGTGCACCGGACCTCCCTATGTGAGGTGTGGCTCCGCCCCTGACTACATCCACGTAGGACTGGAAAAGTAGACCAGACCGTTTGAAAAATCATGGTCCAACCGGACCGCATAGTTTGGTCCGGGCCATAGACTGTTAAGTATGGTATGGTCTAGTCCATGGTCTGTATTGTATGATGTTTTGATTTCATGATCTGGTCGAGACCGTGGTTTGCCGGACCAAACCGTGGACCCAACAAACTTCTCAATATGTGTTAGCAACCCACTTTACCACTCTCCTAACCCACAATGATACCCAAGTTTCAATCTTAATTTTGAGAATCTCGTCCCCTCCTTCATTCACAACCACATTTCACTAGAGAGTAGAGACGATCATGTCTCCATATGACATTATGTAAATGTTTATGACGCTACGGTGCAAGTTCGAATGTTTTGACTTTGTAACTTTATTATCTATTGCAATTTATGGTGTCAAAATTATACATGTAGGAATTTATGTTTTAAGGGAATAAAACTTTTTTTTCTTGGTTATTGGTTCAATTTTATGTGTGGGTGACTAATTAAATTGTTCATTTTTCGTTCACTGTGGTCTATCTAGGACCAAACTGTACCGAACCAGACCGCACTGACGTGATCTGATCCGGACCGTATAATCTGTAGTCTGATCTGTGGTCTATACTCTAACCTCTCAATATGACCCGTAGACTGCATATATGGTCCGGTCTGGACTAGACCGCATCGCTTCCCAGCCCTACATCCACGACTAACTCCGGTTGTCAAACGAAATTAGCCATCTTAAGCACTCTAACTCGTCCCCACTAGCTTTATACTTGTTGGCTTTGACACAGTGTTATTAACGCCGAGTCGAGCCGCTCGGCCCGACCGGTAAAACCGCCACCTGGTCACAAAATCGACTCGAAACAGTCTAAAAGTCGCTCCGGTTTTATGTAGTGGTTGACGAGCGGCCGAGGCGGTTAACCACTCGAGCCGTTCATGCCACTCAGCTATTAAATTTAATTAAAAAAAATTACAAGTGCTCTTTGCTCTAGCCTCTAAGCATGGCAGTCGAGTTTTCAAGCACCTTCGTCTTGCCAAGCCAGCCATGAGGCAAACATGTTCCCTTGTTGGACTTGTTTCTTAACCTAAACACACTGACACACGCAACTTCCAACCCCTAGGAATTGGGAGTTGTAAATCAACAAAATTCTAAAAGAACGACTAATAATCTCAGACCCCTGGATTACAATCGCTGCATAGTTAGGGAAACTGAAATGATATCTGGATGAAAAGCTGCAATGAGATTTGCTAAATCTCGTAATCACATTGTTGCGGGGGGAAATGCAATGTTTCTAGGGTTCTGTCATGAAGGAGAAGGGAAGCACTACCAACTCAACTGAGAAACCAGAACCTAGCTAAGAATTGTAAGTTTTGAAAACACGAAATCCTGAACTTTGACTAACAATCTTACGTAGTAGCTAACCTCGTAACCAAACCGCAACAAACATAGATAATGATGAACCTTAGCTAGTTGGCCTTCAGCCTGAAAAAAGGGCAAGATGAACCAACAAGAAAAGAAAGCAGAGATAAATTTCCAGACGTTGTATACTATTACCCAGTATGCTCGTTGTTCGATTTGGAAGGAGTTTGTTTCAACCAAACAACACACGACAATGTACAACAAACTACAACGCGACTTGCAGAGAAAGAACGAAAGAAGAATGCACCATCCTCATTGAACTTCGAACTACCTCTCAAAACGTCCATTTCCACAAGGCACACACACAGAACAGGCAAGCAAAGCATTCTCCTAAATAACTAGTTAGAATCAGAACAGAGAACAAACCTCACAGTACATAAAGTTCGTTTTTTTTTTCTCTTCCTACTTGTCAAGCTCCATGGCCTGAGCAGCTTTAGCTTTTGCAGTTGCAGTCAATTTGGTCTTCAACTTCTTCTTCTTCTTCCCAACCTGAAACCCGCTACTACCTTTCTTCTTCTTCGTCTTCCCACTACCATCAACCTGCAACAGAAAAAACCACCCAATTACTAGCTTTACCACACTGTAATCCAGAATATATCCCCTAAAGTTAACCAACAAGCGAAATACAAAACGAAACAAAAAAAAAAAAAAACCTTCGAGAAGGGCAAAAAAATAGCAGAGCTTACTTTCATCTTGTTCTTCTTTGCTTGGAGCTTCTTCTTCTGCTTCTCCCTCTCCTCCTTTTCTCCTAAACAAATAACGATTCTACTCCAGATCAATAATCGCAAACTACAGCAACTAATAACCGAAAGGGAACGGCGGAAATTGAATTAGGATTGGGCAACAAAGAAAGAGGAAGAAGACAGAAACTCACTCTGCAGCTCGAACTCATACTGTTTCTTTCTCTTGGACAAATTGTTCTTCTTCGACATTTCTCGATACCCTGCTGTGGTTCTATGCTCTTCGCGCAGAAAATCCCTAACCCTAGAATAGATAGGAGAGAGTTTATTGATTGATTCTTCTCCGCTCGGCCGAATCGATGAAATTTCACCAAACGGGCCACCGCAGTTTTGTTTTTTTTCTATTTTATTTGTTGACAAGGGCCCACTCCCAATATTTGAAATTCAAGCAGCCCACATGGGATGGATCCAGAGGAGTCGGGAAGGACCATGGCCCAATCCAAGATAAAGAAGTTGGGGGTGAACTAAAACTCCAGAAAACCGACCCACTCGATCAAGCTGATTCAATCCACCCGTATTTATCGTTAAGGGGTCGTTTGGTTTTGGTGATAGACTGATAGTGTAAGTTAGATTATTATGATGTGTGCATTGTAAACAATGCATTGCTTTTTTGGGTTTTTTTTTTCCTTCAACAATGCACCAATTGTTTTGTTGATGAGATGGAAAGAATAACTCAAAATGAGTAATATTAATATCTAAAGTAAAACTTGAAATTGTTGAGGTGTTTTATTGGGGATTGGTTGATTTTTTTTTCCAATTATATTCCTAGTTATTTATCTATATTCCTCTCTCATTTTTTTCCTAAAAACATCCATGGTTAGTTCCCTCCACTTTTTTCGTGGATATCTACCACCCGCTTAGTTTAACACGCTCTCTCCATTCAATATTTCATCATCGATCTAGCCTCAGTCCCACCAGCGGTCTAGCTTATGTAATTAGTGTATGTATTATTGAAAAATTCATAAGGACTACACTAATGCCGGATCCAGAGGAAGGCTGGGCAGGGGCCCGGGGTGGCCACCCCCTGAATCCGCCACTGCGAGTGAGGGAGTGAGGGTGTGTCGGACGACACACACTCCTTAGGTCCGCCACTGGTCATAGGGTTGCGTTCCCTCAGATTCGCGAGAATTGTAATTTCTCTTGAATCTGGGGGAACGAGAAAGTGGAAGGGAAAGTAGATGCTGAAAATGGGAGTTGTTGGATCTATTGTCGGCGATCCGACGACGACAATGAGGAATGGTGACAATGGAATTCGATGGAGGGTGAGATGGGGTAAGCTGAAATCGAATGGAACGAAGACATAAGAGTTTCCTAGTAGAGGCACTAATGCGGAGAATAACAGAGCCAAGAATACAATTACGATGAGGGGTGATTTGGACCTTTCAACCGCTCATCAAGTCTCTTAAATCGTGGTCTGATCATAAGTTAACGATTTTATACAGAGATTTTAACAGAATGACACATTTGCTGATATATAATATTTTATAATACAATACCATGTTTGATGAAAACATAATAAAAAAAACATATTTGATAAATCAATAGAGCAACATATTATACCAATTACATATAAAAAATCTTTACGAAATTTGTGGCTTTTGCAATGTTGGCCCCGCTTTCTGGCTGTCAACTCAGCTCCCTCCCTTTCTTTTCTCTCCTAATGGTTCCATGAACGAAGCCAAGTTCCTATTCCATCCCAACCCGCGTCGCGCCAAACCTTCCAGCGGCGCACCACCCTTCAAAGCTTGCAACAAGTCACAGTGCATTTCCATACCTACATGTTCCTCTGTTGCAACTTCTTCTACACAAAGTCTTCCTGCCGAAAGAGAAAAATTGACATTCTTGAGTCTTATTCTGCAATTTCATTTTTCTTCTTCTTTGCTTGACTTCTCATTTCTCACAAACTTAGAGATCTTAACGGCTAGCTCCGATCGTCTTCCTTCCATCTTTTTATTATATCTACCTATAATCAAATATCCAATTGATGCCCTGCTCCACGTTCCGCTCTATTTTGTTTTCGTCCATCTTCTTTTTCCCCCAGTTTGTCTGGGTTCCATTAGTTTATTGCGCGGCGAAAGGGAGGGGGAGGTAGAGCGACAGAACAGAACAGAACGTGCATCTCCCTTCCATGGCCACACTACTGATGATTTGATCCACTGGAAAAGGAGAAAAAAAGGCTCCTCCCTCTTTGTATACACATATACCCTTTTGATCTGGGATCCCTCCAGCAACTTTTGCTGCTCTTTTTAGCTTCACAACAAGCTTCAGTCAGTGTACTGTAACGATTGACAGAGAGAAGAAAGCCGGAGAGTGAGAAAAAGAGAGTTGCCCAATTTCTCGATCCTCCTTTACTTTTGCTACTGAGATGGGCAGCCAGTGTTCCACGCTTCTCCCGCCGTGTTGCAGTGAGTCACAGTCCAAAGCAGCGGTTCTTGAAGTTGCTGATGCTGGTGCGCTGTTTTACTCATAACCCAATTCAATTTTCCATCGTATTCTGTGTTTTGGCTGCCTCTTGTTGTTTGATTTGTTTCCCGTTTCCAACTTGTGACTTGGATGTCTGTGTGTATGTGCTTGTTTGGGATTTCTGGGGAGGCAGGGAATGTAGAGGAGAATGGAGCTGATTACTGGCCTGCTTTCAGGGAGTTCACATTCGAGCAACTCAAGAACGCCTCCTCCGGCTTCGCGGGAGAAAACATCGTTTCTGAACATGGAGAGAAGGCTCCCAACGTTGTCTATAGAGGGAAGCTTGAAAACCAGACCAAAATTGCTATCAAGCGCTTCAACAGGATGGCCTGGGCTGATGCTCGCCAATTTGTGGTAACAATTGACTTGCTTTTTCGCTCCCACTTTCTTTATTCTCAGATCACAAACTTCTTGGCATATCGGGGATAGGATAGATTTGCTCTTTTTCCCAAAACTTTCATGGGTTGCTAGCTTGGCCGGAATCCGGATATACCCTTCTTTCTTCCATCAAATTTCGCTTTTCCATGTTTTGTAATGATAACCAGGAAGAGGCAAGATCTGTTGGGCAGCTCCGCAGCCATAGACTGGCGAATTTGGTTGGTTACTGTTGTGAAGGTGATGAAAGGATACTCGTTGCAGAATTCATGCCAAACGATACACTAGCAAAGCATCTTTTCCATTGTGAGGGATTCTTCTTTGCTACAACCTAACTTACTTCCTTGTGTGATGCATTTGAGTATGTTGACAAGGTTGATGTTTGATCTGAACCAGGGGAAGCACAGCCTATGAAGTGGGCAATGCGGTTGAGGGTTGTTCTCCACCTTGCAGAAGCTCTAGAGTACTGCACAAGCAAAGGGCGTACGCTTTATCACGATCTTAACGCCTACAGAATTTTGTTTGATGGGGTATTTCCTGTTTACGTTTTCTTTTGCTGCATGTGTGTGTGACGTGAGCCATTTCATCATGGTGTATCCAGAATTTTAACCACTTTTGGGGTTATACAGGATGCTAATCCAAGACTATCAACCTTTGGTTTGATGAAGAACAGCCGGGATGGCAAAAGTTACAGTACTAACCTGGCATTTACACCCCCTGAATATCTGAGAACAGGTAGGTGGTTCTTGAACAATAAATGTTCCAATTTCATTCTCCCATTCTTTGTAGATCTACCAGGGTTTACATTTCTTATTCAAATGCAGACCCCACCTTGTTTAATGTCAAAGTTGACGGCTTTCTCGTCTGGTCTCCATTGGGTACTTTGGATGTTTGCCCAAAACCGAATGTTTAGACTGGTGTGTGTGAATCGTTGGAGCTATTCTCCCCTCTTTGTTGAAACTTGAAATGGAATAGTTTTGTCTTTGTCTTCATTTAAGGCGTTACATAAGGAGTTAATTTCCCTCATTTCAAATGAGGAGGCTGGTTTTGGCTGACTTGCATTGATGGGTGTACAGCACATGATAGGATAGCAATTGTGCTAAATGTGGATGTCGGAATTGTTTCTAATCTACTTATAGAGAGGAAATGTCCCTTAAGTCATATTTCTGCATGATTCAAAAATCGCCATTAAATTGGTACTGTATCACTTTCTGGTCGTCAAGGAGATATCATGCAAACCACTATTATGTAAAAGCAAATACTGCAAAACACTGTTTCATGTTTCTCGTTGTTATACGCAGGGAGGATTATGCCAGAGAGTGTCATATATAGCTTTGGCACTCTTTTGCTTGACCTTCTCAGTGGAAAGCATATTCCCCCAAGCCATGTAAGCCTTTGGAAACTAGAATGTTAGGCTGAAGTTCATTTTGTTCTTTGTGGACCGATATTTGGATGATTTACATTATCCAAATTGCACGGTTATGTATCTCGTGCTCGATATTTCTTTCCGAGTAATAAGAAAAATACTAGGAGTAAGAAAAATAACTTGCACTGCAAGCTTGTCTATGAACTAATGGTCAATTAATATGCTTCAGGCTCTCGACTTAATACGCGACAGGAATCTTCAAATGTTAACTGATTCTTGCTTGGAAGGACAATTCTCCAACGATGATGGTACAGAGTTGGTGCGTTTGGCTTCTCGATGTCTACAATCTGAACTCCGAGAACGACCCAGCCTCAAAGTATTAGTCCCTGCTTTGATTCGTCTACAGAAGGAAACAGATGTGAGTTCATGACTCTCTCAAAGTATTTTGGTGGATTTCAAAGCAGAACTTGTGATAGGCTCCTGGATCGAAATCCAGCTGCAATATGGAAACAATCTACAGAGAAACAAAGTCAAGATTAAGGTTTTGCCTTGAACGTGGCTGAGAAAAGCTTGCAATTTTATGGTTCCTGCAGTTCTCAAACGTCTGTTTTTGTTCTTGGTTGCAGGTTCCTTCTCATGTCTTGATGGGTATCCCAAGCAGTGAATCAGTGTCTCCTTTATCCTCATTTGGTGATGCTTGCTCTAGAAAAGACCTGACAGCTGTTCATGAGATCTTCGATAAGCTTGGCTACAAAGATGACGAAGGAGTGACTAACGAGGTTCTCTATTTTCTTTAAACTTAGCTTGGCTTACATTCTGCCGCATCATTACACTCAACATGAAAACAGACAGCTTAAATAGAAGCTCCCTGTCTCTTTTCCTTCCTTTTGGTTGTGGTGCAGCTCTCTTTCCATCTTTGGACTGATGAAATGCAAGAAACTTTAAACACAAAGAAAAAGGGCGATGCAGCTTTTAAGCAGAAGGTTTTCAAGGAAGCAATCGACTGTTATACACAGGTTTTTGTCTCCTCCACCATGATATTTGTTTCTTTGACTCTGAAATGTAACTGAAACTTAGCTTTTGAACAATACTTCTTCTGCTTGAGGACTTGCAGTTTGTTGATGCTGGAACCATGGTTTCTCCAACTTTGTATGCAAGGCGTAGCCTGTGTTATCTCATGACCGACAGGCCTCAAGAAGCTCTAGGCGATGCCATACAAGCCCAAATCATTTCTCCTGTATGGCATGTTGCCTCCTATCTTCAAGGCATCGCACTTGATGCGCTTGGAAGAGAAAATGAAGCTCAGATGGCACTGAAAGAGGGCACAAGTCTTGAAGCTTTAAGAGTTCAAAATTCTGAACAGAAGTGATGAAAGCTCATGGTGTGGTTTGTGTGATCTAATGTATCTTCTCAACTCTTGCTTCCTTCTCAAGGCAAGTCTGAAAATATGGAAGGCCCGTACTGCAGGTTCCACTGAAGTTATTTGCTCGAGCTGCCTTGTTCTTTCCTGCTGTTTTGTCTGGTCCGTTGTGTGTTCTTTGTATTGAATTTCCGAGAGAAATATGTTATTTGTTTATCTTATTTTTTTGGTAAGAAAGTGGGAAATGGAAACAGCAACAAACACGAAATTGGTTTCTTAAAGAGCTGCAGGTTTGTATGAGAAGGTTGTAATTCCGTAGCCCACACACAAAAATAGTAAAAGGGATTTGACTATTGAAAGATTTCAAACCCTCTGAGGTTCCAAGTTAGTCATGTAAAACTAACTACAACAATACACTAAAGACGAATCACAAAATTTTACAATGTGCCAAGAGATCTCTGAGCCATTTTCAACCATACAAAAGAACAACAATGGGTCATTCGGATCCGTTAGCAAACACTCCATCTGTCCATCGCGCGAGTATACACTGCACATGAGTTGGATCGGATCATGGCGCAGCAGCAGCTGCTGCTGCTAACCGAGCAGCTCGAAATGATTCTTTCGTTCTTCCGTAGTAGACCGGTTCGCTGCAACCAGGGTAAGTAATGAAATTCCAGCCGAAAGCTGAGGATCCAACAAGTTGATTCTGGTAGTTCTCGGGCCTTTCGGTGACTACAACCTTGTTGAAGATTCTGTCGTCAGATGGTTTTGCATACATGTCTTGGGCGCCCCCATTTTGAGCTGCAAATCTAGACTTGCCATAGTTCCCACCCGTCTCTGCTGTCATCTGCTTGCATAATTCCATCAGCAGCTTCAGCTCTGCAGCAACCCACGAATCAGCCCAACCAAGGAGAAACGCTACTACCAGACTAACTATCAATTGAGTTCACGAATTCAAGAAATGGGGAACTGCTGCCATCCTTACTTTCTTGAATCTGATGAGCTCCTTTGCAGCTCCTAAAATCAGCCGTTCGAATAACCTTCAAGACAACATAGCAGAAAATTCAGTACTGATTTCTCTCTTCTCTCGACACGAATTCCTACTGCTTTCAACTAACCCAAGTCAACCCAATTCAACCCTAATGCAATGGTGGGGTTCTAGTTTCCCACCATTTCAACAAACCCAGAAACTAATCATCAAGAAAGACGGAATTTTTGTCCCGCACAGTTAGTGGACCACCAAGAACTGTACCTCGAGTAAATGGGGACGAATATCTTTGATCACAGCCCGAATCTTGAAGTAGCTTCCGCCATCACTCTCAGGTCCCCTTTTCCTGCTGAAACTCGGCGGCGGCGGGCCTGCTGTTTGAGGTGGAGTTTGTTGATGAGAGTGAGGAAAAATAGGCGGCGGTGGAGCGGCCATTGACTGCGGCGGAGGAGGAGGAGGAGGAGAAGGGACGGCGGCGTCAAACGGGTTAGGAGTTGGGGCGGGGATCCCGTAATTCGGGATTCGGGGCGCGGTTTCCTGATCTACTGATGTTCCTTCCATGGATTTAGATTTCCAAACGGTGATTGATTGTCCTCTCTCTCTCTTTGCTTTTCGGCCACGCGAGGGAGATCGGAGCGAGTTCCGGACTTCCGGTGGACTAGTCGAGGTGGAAAAGGAGAGGGTGTTGCTTAACTGCTCTGAAAATTGTTATATATCATCTAAAAATATCAAAGTTACTCTTTTGTCCTTTTACGTTATCTTCTCTAATTTCGAAAAATTGTCAAACCGATTTATATTATGGTAAAGGTTTAGCAAGTGTTATGATTCCATCAGTAGTATAATTTATTTGTACCGATTAGTTTTGATTTAATAAAACGTATAATATATAAAAAATTATTAACAATAAATAAATTTATGCATATACAAAATATATGTGAAAAGTATTTACTTACCATATATATTAATATTTAAGTAAAATATTTAGTATTAACACACAAACTTTTATACGGAATCTAGTAAATAATATCAATATTCAACTTTTAAATTTATGAAATAAATAATTTTTTATTAATTAAATTTACTAACCTTTATTTATAGGCTGCATGATGGATGGAAAGTTGTTGTCTGTGATGCTCGATGGTGGTAGCTGCACCAATATAGTGAGTTTTGATGTAGTTAAGAAGCTGAGATTGAGTACTGTTAAGCATTCACAGCCTTACAACCTTCATTGGTTGAAAGATTATGGAGCCATCAAGGTCAACAAGATGGCCAAGGCTCGATTTCATATTGGTGAGTATGCAAATGAAGTATGGTGTGATGTTGCTCCAATACAGCTCATCCACTATTGGGCCGTTTGTGGTAATATGATCTTGGAGTTACTCACGGCGGAAGAGGGGCTTATGCAATTTCGGTTGACCGAGCAAGAGAGAGACAACGGGATAGCGAGAAGGGGAATCCCCGATTAGAGGGAGGGAGAGTGTCGACCGACGAATATGACGTCCGACCTAGGATCGGGCCTAGGCGGATGAAAGATACATTTTCCTTGTTTGTTTTGGTTATTTTATTTGCCTTGGACTAGACTATATGAAGGGTTAAAGACACGAATTTTAGTTAGTTTTGAAGAATATTGATTTTTATCTTGGTTTATTGAACTTTAGACTTGTGAATTGTTTTCTGTATCAATCAAGTTTTTCCCCTTTATTGTGATCGGGATTCTTATCTTTTATAGAGCCTTCTCCCATCTTTGTGATTATACTTTCAATTTTGTTATATCCCAAATAAAAATCCTAAAAATCACTTTTTTGTTGATCTCGAAGTTGCGCGTTACTTTGATAACTACGAGTGCTGGATCCATGTTCGTATCAAATGAGTTATTATATGTGTCTATTTATAATAATTTTGTTTATAGATCATCAGTTCATTAAACGTACTTTTAACGGTTTAACATCGGTTAGAAAACTAAAATATAAACTGTTTGCTATATCGGTTTATACTCCGATTCGATTCTAACCACAATGGTGTTGTAAGGTAAACCAGAACGAGAACCCTTTGCCTTGAATCGGATCGGGCTAATGAATGGATTGTCCAAGTAAGAAAACCAGAAAGAGATAAAAGCCCATACTAGATTATCGAGCACGAGCACGAGCCCAGTCCAGTCCGGGTTCTCCAACTGAAATTTTAAAAATTCGAAAATGTAAGCTTCTCATGTTTTCTACTAACTTGTCTTGCGGTTGCAATCAGTATCAGTTCCTCAAATCAGTTCCGAACCCTAAATCTCTTCTTGGACTGCGGCTTCGTATTTGACGACGAAGCCATCATCCAAGGCCCCTCGTGAAGTACCCGGTCATAATCTTCCTTTGAACGGAACCGAACGAAATAATATCCCATAGTGAAATCTCTCAACTCAAAAGGAAAAAAAAGGCTTGCATAGATCATTAAGTTTCTAATAAAGATCGGATCGGCCGCTGAAGGATAAATCGCGGGAAGTGGTGTTCTTTCTTTCGCGAGCGGTAAATTAATTAGGGGTTAGAAATGAATCCTGGAGTGGATAAGATAGTGAGGAGGACAACAATGGTGGCCACCGTCGTCGCTTCTTATTTCCTCTTAACTGCTGACTACGGCCCCGAGCCCAATGTTCTTGATCCGGTAAGTGAATTATGAGGAGCACCCTCTATCCAAGTTTCATCCTTTAGTTGCGTCTTTCATCGATTTATCAGAATAAGTGTTCTCCATCCAAGTGATTGCCGAAATTTACCATGATTGCTTCTGGCTTCCATGTGTTCGACGATATGTCTGTGTGGAATACTGAACTAGGAAAACAACAAGCCTGACTTACTTGATGCCCCGTCCGTAGCACGTAATGGTTAATCTTTCCCCCCAGCTTTAAGATCCCCAAATGGGACTAGGGTTGTCTCTCTTTGCTGGGTAGTCGGAAAGCCTCCAGTTTGTCTTCATTAAACTTTGGTACTGGTGGCGCCGTCCTCGGTGTTACTATTGAGTTGTAAACCTCAGTTGTCCATTCTACTTCACAGTAAATAATGGTGTACTCTTTGAGTGTCCGAATTTCCATATTCTTGTTGCAAGAATCCTAGTTTCTTCCTTTACTTGCATCTTTCACTGATTATCGAATGAGCAGAGTTTTGCCAGTGTGACGTTTCCATTGAGGCAGAGTTTTGCCCATTGTAATTAATCCAGTTTTGCCCATTATAATTAATCCCGGTCCTATCTATCCGTTCAACTTTCGCTTGCTGTTCCTGACCATTCTCGTCGCGTTTCCCTTGTTCCAGTTTCATTTGCTGGGCGGCTCTCTTGACTGAACTTGTTATCTCCTTGCAATATGCAGGTTAAGAAGGCAATACGATCTGCAGAGAATTCAGTGAAAGAGTTCTTTGTTGGATCGAAGAAAGACTCGTCACGGTAGTAGTCGATGGCAGACAACTTGGATCCCTTCCTCGAAATGGCCACGAGTGACGGATTAACTTTCTCTGTGTGTAATTTATTAGAAAGTATCAGCAGAAAAGATGGAAATGAATAAAGGGAGAGAAAAATGGAACTAGCACAAGGGAACTATAGGGTTGTCTATATAGTTCAGTTGAGTTTGTTCATTTCTTTCTTGTGCCAGATTTCCAAAATGAAGCTAGCGGTTGTATGGATGCAGAATTTTAATAATGAGTGACTTGGGTACAAATTACTCAATAAATAACTAGGGTTTTAGATGGAGTAGTAACCAATGTGACAGTGTCCCGCCCAAGTGGCCAAGTCCCAACGTTGTTGTAGGTCGGGTAATACCAGTTTCAGTGCGAGCCATGTCGGGTAATACTCGACGAGGCAGGTTCAAATTGTTATTCCTATTTAGACAAATCAATTAGATAGATCGAGACAGGTATCTTCTTACCCATACCAGTTGCGTGACAAGTTCAACAGTTTACCTTGGGGCACGAATCCGACAAGTCTTGACCAATAGGAGTATGTATTTTAAAGAAACAACATTTGACACATTAATTTTCATTAAAAATCGAGAAAAATAACTATCACATGATAAATAAAGTTAAATTATACGAGTTGAGGCTATCACCTAATTATAATTTTATTAGAGCAAAACATATGTAATTTTATCACAACAAAATGTAGTGTAATAAACATAAAATTTTAATTTCATACATAATTCAGACAAAATGACTCGCGAATCGGATGAATAAGAATATGCCAAATAAATGATTGACGCGATCCCCCGCCTCACCTACGAAAAGGATATTACTCGTGACACGTCTAAAACAAATCAAACATATCAGGTTAGGCGAAATCGCCATCCATACTCCACTAAATATTACTATATTACAACCCGGCCCGCTGGCCGGAAATTTATAATTTTTTAAGTGAGAACTCAATAATTTATATTTTGTGTGATCTTTTATCGCCAGAGAATTAATTAACTTTTATAACTGATAATTATCTTGATCATATATGAGAATTAAAGTACTCTCACAAACATTTTTATTCGAAAATATCTCTATCCAGTATCGATTTTGAAACAACAATCCATTTGAACATATTTTAAAATTATAAATTCTAAATATTTCATGTTTCTAAAATGATAAAAACCTCTAAAAACAGTCTTCTTATTGGTATTTTTTTTTTGTCACAATTTACCTAGACAATTGTTTTTTTTACAGCAAAAAAACTGATCTATCTGTTCATTATTTGTTCTTTCCTCTAAATCTCCACGTCCTTCATGTATCTTCAGTACCACGAAGACTTCTCGCTCGCTCCCAGCGGCAATTGGTAGCTACTTCCAGTGCGGAAGAGTGTCATCCTAGCAAAATGGTACCGAACCAACCGCCGGAGCGAGCCTTAGGGTCCGGCGTGGGTGCTCGTCGGGCATCGGAAGGATACGAACCCGAAGGCGAAGAGTTACCGATTGAGGAACAAGAGTTGGATGCGTTGGCGGAAGAAGTTCAGCAGATGGCTAACAAGATTCGACAGTACAGAGCTACTCTTCCCGACCAGCTCAAGACGGCTCTAGCTTCCCTTCTGTCCTCCCAGAGACCTCTTGTGCCTGGATTTGATTCGTCCTCGTCTTCCCATCCTGGTCCTTCCGGCAAGCCCGCCCCAGGTTAGGGTTTCTGGAATTTTCGCTTGGAGGGAGCTGAATGCCCAATCTAGGTTGCATTTCTGCTTTGATTGGCAGTGGATATGCTTTCTGCTTGAATCTCTCGATGTGTGATTAATGCACCAGGTTTGACTTTGAGGTTGGTTTAACTTGATTTAGGGGGGAATTGTGAGGAACAACAGAGTCCGGTCCATCTGAATTTCCGTTGCAAATCTCTACTTCTGAGTTTCTAGCTAGAGTTTTGTTAGGTAGAAAAATGCTGTACTGAATGGCTGCTGAAGCATATGGTCTGAAGTCTCTTATGCATATACTTGTTTTCGTCCAGTTACGGGGTGATCGGTTGAGTTGGTTTCTGACGAGTCCATTGTTGTGCTAATATGTGGAAATAGGTCGAGCAAAGTTTTGATCTTTCCAGTTTGATAGCATACCCTTGTCTAATTAGAATGAAACATTCCGGTTAAGGTGGGTGATCGGTTGAGTTGGTTTTTGATGAGTCCATTGTTGTGCCGATGTGTGGAAATAGGTTGCACAAAGTTTTGATCTTTCAAGTTTGATAGCATACCCTTGTCTAATTAGAATGAAACATTCCGGTTAAGGTAACATGAGGCAAGTGCCATTGTCTTACCAATACGAAGGTTTGAACTGTGTGCTTATTTCAGAAGGATCTGTAAAGAATCTTGAGCAGAATTCATGTGCATCGCCTTTGTTTCCTGATGAACATGATTACTGCAAATTAGTAATAAAAGATGATAACTGCTTGTGTACTTTTAGAATTAGGCAACACTGATGTTACCTTCGATTCACTTTTATGATCCGAATGCAATTTATTGATAACCAGTGGAGGCTGTGAACTGCTCCTCTTCTGTGATTTCTCTATTTGTAAGAGCTTCACCGGGTCAGGACCTTTGTATTGTTACTCGAAACTTCTCCGCGATGTGAATGAGCTAAATGCAGACCATCTAATGTTGTGTTATTCGTACAGATGCAAGTACATCGGCATTACCAACTGAAGAAGATCAACACACCGCTGAGAAAGTGGTATTACTGAAAGATAAAGTAGCTCGGAATGCATCAAGTATGCCCGTCGCTCTAAAGAGGATGAGAGATTGTATGTCTAAGATCGATATGTTAGGGTCGTCTTCAAATGGAGAGATACATCCTGCCTTCAGAGAGAAAAGGACAAGCTGACCATGGTCTCTGGAATTGAAGAGCATTTCAGGTCCAATTCCATCCGAATGAAAGCCAAGTCTCCTTGATATCTGTATATGTAATTACCAGAAGCTTAGGGATGATGCGCATTATGTTGTATGCTTTGATAGTTGAGTAGTAGAAAACCCTTGTAGGTCACATTTGTTAGGGGCAAAGACTTGCACAACTCAACTCATTTTTTTAATAGTGTTTGTATCGGCAGTCCGATCAGAAAAATCTCCTACTTGAGCTTGCATTGATAGACAAGTTTTAACTGTATAAAACGATTAAATCACGGTTAAACCATGATTTCACAACCGGTGACAGTAATATACAAACTGAATGCTTTCGCCCATCTAAGAATTCCGACAGGCAAGGATTACAGAAGTATATGTTTTACAGTAACATGTAGAAGTCTCACTCTCAAAGTCTTGCTGCCCTCCACTTTTATAATCTCTCATCGTTTTGGTACATTCATACAATATTTCAGTGTACAATCAATGAACAAAGATGGATTCAAATCGACACACAAGTGCAACTGATGATCTCATCCTGGCAATCTAAACCAGGAATGGAAGAACTAACCAACACCCCTTCCACATTATTCCCAGTTTGGCCAATGTCAACGACAACGGTGCATAGTCCCTTGCCCACAATAAATATCTTCTTCCCAATGGCTGCTAGTCTGCAAGGTGGTCTTGTGAGCAATGCTGACAGCCTTCCAACTGCAACCCATTCCCTTTTCTGCTTATCCCACATCATCAGCTTCGTCCCTGAGCTCTGGTCCAACACATAAAAGTCACCATCAACGATGACCGCTGGACCCCGCCAACCAGAAACTAAATCAGCATCTGCGTACTGCCACGTGTCATGTAAAGGGTCATAAACAACCCCATACACACGGGATGCGTAGCCATAAAGACCACAGAGAGAGTAAATCTTCCCATCCAGCACCATGGAATCATCAATCTCAGATAAAATGTTGGTGTAAGGGTGCGATTCGCAAGTACTTGTGTGGGGATCAAAGCAGTCCCAAGAATGGAGATCACTCGGATTTGAACCCAACCCTCCAATTGCGTAGATTTTGCCGTCCAGAATTTCACAAGCAAAATAACACCTGAACAGCACCAAAGCATGAATAAAACAATCTAGAAGGCAAAGGTGGTGGGAATCTAGATGACGCTACACTCTACATTGACCCTAGAAATGCAATCTATGGCCCATTCACTATGACAAGAACAACTTGTTTTTGTTAGTTATTATGAACAACCTTGAAGAGCTGTCAAGCACAAAGGAAGCTAGAGAATTTCAGAATTCATACAACAATTATCCAACAAGTAATCGGAGGATTGATGTTGCACATGTTGGTTTAGGACTTATTTGATGAATTAGGAGAAATTATTCTTTAATTTCTTTTCCAGGTAGGAGTTGTAACTAAATTCCTAGTATTAGTAGTAGTACTAGTAGAAGGCTTACTTTTTTCAGTTTCCTAGTTCCTTTCTTTTGCACTCAGCCTCTCTCTATATAAAGAGAGCTTGTAAATCAGTTAGATTCATCAGATTGCAATATAAGGGTTTGCAATATGTGATCTATTATACTTATGGAACCATGCTACAAACCCTAAACGCACTAGTTCTTCTACCTTAATGTCAGCAACCCTAGTTCTGATAACTAAATTCACAACAGCCTAGGTACATCAAAGAGTCTCTTTCTGTTATGACTATGAGGGGGTGCCGCAACAAATAGGCAGAATGCAAGGAATGTAAAAGTGTACCTTGCAGTTGACAAGGAAGTAACTTCTGCCCATGAATTCCTTGGAACGTCGTAGCAGTAGACTTCATCAGTAGTATCTTCTGACCAACCGCATCCACCCATTAAGTAAATCTTCTTTCCAAATGCTTCAAACCCCATACCTTTTCTCTTCAAACAGCGGTCTGGAACCACTGGAATGAGTTTCCAACACCTCCTCTGAGAATTAGGATCCAGGACGTAAAGCCTCAACTGGTCAAAGGTGCCACGACAAAGAGCATATATCCAAGTCTCGGCAAGATTATTTTTCCTACGATAATCATGCCACTCTTCGCTGCACACTAACTCCCGCCATCTCTTGGAAACACACTTCAGTACTGTATGGTACTTCCGAGGCACTCTTGCTAAACAGTAAAGAGTGATGTCATTAGGAAGTCCACGTAGCAGTTCTGTGTCCTCTGCTCCAAGAGGATCGGTACTCCTACATCCATCTCCCATATTTTTTCACTGGATAGAGAAACCCAAATTGGGATGTTAGAGGATATAACTTGTAAGTGAGGAAAAAACGACAAAAGTGTAGTGTTAGCAGCGCACAGCTTCGATCATTATTGTAACTGCACATTACAGGGTACAGCATAAACCCAATCCTAACCATCATTGCCAAGCTCCAAACTATAGAATCAGCCACTCAAAGTTCAAATCCTAAAATGTATGTGCACTAATTGTTTCAAGAGTTGATTACTACACATGGAGAAACCGATTTCAGTTCCTGTTTGATGCTCTACAGCCGTACATAGGGTCAAGGGCAAAACTTCAATGAATACGCAGATTAGCCCAGCCAATGGAGATCAAAAGAACCATTTTCTTCGATTCTCAGGGAAATGCGTGTCAGGACATGTCAAGTGAACAGATCGACAAGAACTGAACAACGTTTTCTAATGCTGCTTTTGAATACTGCAACAACAAACCCTAGCCAAACGTTGCATCTGGTCAAGAAACATAAATAGCTCAAAACCCTAGTTCAGAGTTTCAGGTTGAATCACATATAATTGGGGAATGGCCGGAAAATGTTGAGAGGGAAAGAAGACTTGGAAGGAAGTAGCAAATCAAACCGCAAAAGATCAAAGGCCCTCACCGGGTAGTGCGTCGAAGAGATAAAGATAGAAGTACGACGGCGTCGGCGTACATCCGCCAGCACGTTTGCTCCTGATGGAACCGCCCTATAGAAAGTAGAAAGTCTTAACTCCCGAAATCGGAAATCAACATATGTTAGTTCGTTTCATTTCAATTTATTCGTCGCTGAAAGGAGAAGTGAATTGACCCACCAATCAATTTTCTCGGGTAAATGCCACATTTGATCACTGATATTACTAAATAATGTTATGTTTAGTCACTAGAAAAAATTAATATTAATTTTGATCACTCGAATTACTAAAACATGTGACATTTAGTCACTCTCTCATTAGCCTCCGTCCAACTCCGGCCACTCGAATTACTTTTTTTTTTATGAATGTCACTCAAATTACTGAAACATGTCATATTTAGTAATCCTAGTGCCCAAAATTGATATTAATTTTTTCTAGTGACTAGACATGACATGATTTAGTAATCCTAGTGACCAAACGAGGCATTTACCCCAATTTTTTCAATGCACAAAATCAAATGAAAACTATTCTAAAATCAAGAAATAAGCCATACATTAAACTCAAATGAAAACTAATCTTGAATGTCGGGCTCGTTTGCTTGTTGGATTTGAAAATGAGGGTTTTGAGTTTTAAAAACCTTTGGATTTATGATGGATTTATTGCATTATGGATTTGGAAGAGTACATTGTTTGTTTGGTTAATTTTTATCATGGATTTATATTGATTTGTCTCACAACTTTGCCTTCCATGATCAAATCCCAAATGAAATGTGAGATTTGCAAATCCGTGGGCCCCACGAATTTGTGTCCCTTAGCAAACAATGCTGTTGTTCCAAATCCTTGATGCTTGGGATTTGGGTGCCAAATCCCAACAAGCAAATGATACCGTAGTGATGACAATTGACACCATTTGAGGTCAATCTCAAAGAACAAAGACTGCCTATCACATCAAAATCCTAACCATGTTGACTAATCACCACTTCTAAATAGTTCAGTAGCTGTGGATTTGCTTCGATGTGTCGTCCAACACTGAAGTAGCCCCTCAGCAATTGTGATTGTTGGTAAATTGGCCTAGCCGTACAATTGCTGCATGGCGAACCATGAGGCTAGAAGCTCTTTCGTGACTTTACATCAATGGTGTGAAACCGTGCTGAAAGTCATAAAAAAATTCAGTTGTAAGATATTTCGTACTAAAACCATAGTTAAACAGTTGTCACATTTAGTCACTAGAGAGATTATTATATTTTTTGTTATCTACGGTCATTCAAAACTGTCAGTGGCTGGGGCACAAGAAAGCACAAGGAGTGCAATGCAACATTCCCCAGAATAATACATATATAGGCAACTCAACCGGCAAATTACATAGCAACACTCCCAACCCTGAGACAAACTGGAGAACTGTGGCTAAACCCACAATGACCAAACCACCAGTATAGGGCGCCTCGTCTTTCTATATGAGTTCGTCTGAATCATCACGCTACAACTTCTAACTCAAAGCTTTGAGCCCGTGGCTGGATTTGGTGGCATATACTTCCGAAGCAGGCCCTCTTGCGTTAGCGACACAATGTGCTGTGTTCAAGAATTCAACAAACAAAATGGTTCAGTCCTCTGCAAATAATAAGAGCAAAGGATTGGACAAGGGGATAACAGAAAGGATAGGTTATTGGATTGATCATATACCTCACCCCCTTTAGTGAACATATCTCCTAACACAAAGCCGCGTGCATTGGAGGCAGCGGGGCTCTTGATCTGCAAGACATACACTTGAAATGTTAACTTCTGGTTGTTTCCTGGAACCATCTGAACTGAGATGACCCTGTGACCACTTACCACAAACAATATCCAATCGTCGGCTCTGAAAGGTCTATGGAACCACATCCTAAGAAAAAGAAGAAGACCGACAAAAGGTATTAACGAATTTCCACTAATAACCTTAGTTTCACACTGGAAACGCTATTGCAACAGAAAATAGGTTATATACTGTTGGCCAGGCAAAGGATGCTTACGAGTGATCCAGACTAACAGCGGATGCCTTCAAACCCCTATAGCGATGAGGGTTCAAACTAACTTGAAGAAAGATGAGATCTGAAGCAAATGCTGCTACACACCTGGAGATTAAGCAAATATTACACCACTCTAAGTTTTGAGTGGAACGTAAGGTCTGCAATCCCCCCAGGCTATAGTTAAGTTTATGAACCATCTTTATACATCACATAGCAAGGTTTCTAGGTTTCATTGAGCTCGGGTTGAGGTTGAAAGGATTAACTTGCCTTTGCAAAGCTTGATCGTCTGAAAGCTTTCCTTTTGCTCTGAACCAGTACTTCAAGCTGGGCAAGCATTTCATGATTACCAATAAATTTCAGGCGATTATAATCTTCATAGGACAGAATATAGACTGATCAAAGGTAAGGAAGCTGTGATGGTACCTTGGAGGAGACTTGGTCTGATTGGTACGGGTGCTAGGCTCGCAGAACCTAATCTCTATTGGCCAAGGGACAAATTCTTTAGCAGCTACCTTGTTTCTATAGCTTCTGCAACAGCCAATAGACCTTCAAACTATTATACGATTGTTTATTTGAAGAATTGATAGCATCACATTGACGGTTAAAGAACCTTTTGCAAAGCAATAACTATTGTTGGGTAAGAATTGTCAGTCAAACTCCTTTTCTGTGGTTGCAATTACTAGGTAAAAGTATAAAACCTTGCAGCTGGTTTTCCCTACATTCATAAATTCTACAGAAATTATATTGAATTCAGGACACTCAAGTACATGAATTTTGGCTAATGAAAATTTAGGGCTTGTCATAGAAGAACGCAAATACGTAGTAAGCAAAATAAAGAAGAAAAAAATGATTGAGTGAAGGCAGTTAAGAAATAAAGGTAATGATTTCAACATAAGAAACACACAAATTGAACCTTCCACCCATACCTAGGGAGACGAGGATCAGTTAAACGCTTATCATAGAAGAATGCAAATACATAGTAAGTCAAATAAAGAAGAAAACAATGATCAAGTGAAGGCAGTTAAGAAATAATGGTAATGATTTCAACACAAGAAACCCACAAATTGAACCTTTCACTCATACCTAGGGAGACGAGGATCAGTTAAACGCTTATCACGCAACTGTTCCAATGACAAGAGCTGCAATAAATCAAAGTTAGTTGCCACAAATAGACCAGCTAGAAAAGATTGCACACAACCACATTCCACTTACCATCTCTGGATCTGGCACAGATGGCATTGCAACTTCTTGGTGCTTGAATCCGGTTTCTTCTTTCTATAATTCACAACTCCACATTAAATAATTGTTGAAATGTCACAACTCCTAAAGCTCCCACTAAAATATCCTAATAGACTACATATTTGAGTTTACAAAAAAATGTAAAGGGATAGAAATAAGTGGGGGAAAAGAAACTGAGCAACAGTAGAAACCAGTGATTCTCGGGTAGGGGGTGTGTCAATCTTATTGTTCATGGTCTAGCTAAGAACACATATACTATTCAATTATATGATCCCTCATACTCTCACCAAAAGGCTACATATGTTAAAAGAGATAAGTTAAAGACAACATTCAATTTCTTTTTTTTTTATACTGAAGATTCAGACAAACACAATCAATAAAAGTTATCCAGCTGAATAAGTATCACGAAATTACCAAAATGACAAGGACATCTCACTCCAAGAAGCAGGAGAAATTAAGTTTCAAATCAGATAGTTCACTCACTGGATGTATCATTATCATACCAGTTAAAGCATCTCCGTTGGCAGTTGATATTCCTTGCAAGGCTTTCTCAATTTCTAGGTTTGCATATTATTAGGTTTGTTATCTGCGGTTGTTAATTGATTAGTTGTTTGGTAGAGAGAGTGGCAAATCCTTTTTTCTTTTTAACGGAAGAGCATTAAGCTAACTCCAACATCTAAGGGTGGCAAGACAAAGGATCTTTGAACGGAATGTTGTATGATGTGCAAAAAGTCCTGCACCTTGAGGCCTAACATTAGATGCTCAACGAATTCAATTTATTTAAGTGGCTAAATTCAAATTCTGCTTCTAATACAACTACAAACAGTAACATTGAAAACTACAACTGAAACCCATGCGTAGTTAAACCATAACTTTTTTTTTCGAGAAAGTTAAACCATAACTGGAAGTGGCACTTTCCATGAAAAGAGAATTGAAAACCTGAAATGATGCGAGTAACGTGAACACAACATTTCCCTTCTGTATTGCATCAACTCTGCGAGTAGCAAAGCTTTTCCCATCACGAACGCGATGAACTTGGTATAGAATTGGCACTACAAAAGTATCCAGATAACAATTGGTATAAATTCAACAATTAAATTTCTGGACATCATCACTCCAAATTCATGATATGTTTGTTCTGTCATTTCATTATAGAGATAAGATCCAAACAATTTCAGAAGTGAAATCCCTTTAACCAATGGACCGACACCATTGAAGAACAGGATGGTACCTTAAACCTTTCTTATTAGTACACATGATATGTCTGTTCAGTCATTTCATTATACACCTAAGATTCAAACAATTTCAGAAGCGAAATTCCTTGAACCTCGAAGGATCATCACATGTGGTAGCCTCAAAGGCTGGGAAAATCTAATGGGCTGACACCATTGAAGAACAGGATGGTAACTTAAACCTTTCTCATTAGTACACATGATTATGTGCCTATAACTTGACCACTAGTTCTGGAGTCAGGAGTACAGTGGACACCCTGAAAATCCATAGATTCTCCAGCAAGTAGGAAATTGTCAATTTCACACCAACCAAAGCCCAATCCTTGGAAGAACTGCTATATACGGACTTCATATAGTTTTACTTTGACAAGGAATAATTCACTAGTTTGAGATTGTTATGTAAGGACAGTGAAACATTGCCACAGGGCACCATGTAATCTTGTTCTTTCAGAAAAGCAAATATGTAAACTCCTCAAAAGAAAGATTAAATCTCCTTATTCAAAAATTCTAACACGTGAATTTTATCATGTTCATTAGGAACTTTTATTATGTGGGACAGTTCAAGTTTAGATATAGACATATGGTGGCTAACTCTTATATCACAAAAGAGGTTAACATACTTACTGTCAAAATCCCCAACAAGAAGGAAGTAAGAATGTAAACTGTGTACAATCTTCAGGCAATCCACAGTTTTCGATGCTGCTGCTAGTGCCTGCAAGTGACATTAACATGGTAGAAAAATCAAGATCTATTTTCAATCGTAAATTACCAATTCAAAAACTTTTTATTCAAGAAGGAAGAAGTAGTTAGGTGATCATGTGTCACAGGTAAAAGCCTACAGGTATAGGGTATATTCCGGTGTTCACAACGCAAGATAGTTTCAATAGTACCTTACAACCATCTCAAGTGTGGAAGATGTTGTTTAAAAGTCCTTTTAGGAAACCAAGATATTCACAATAAAGCTCATCAGATATAATGCTTTCAAACACATATGTCCTGAACAAGCTGGACCATATTCATACTTTCATTTCATTCGTCATGACACACTGTGTTTTAGTAAGTTAGGAACACATTATATTTAATTTCATTTAGATAAAGCATGTGTGCAGCACCATCTGTTCATCATGCTCATCGCACAGAACACATTCATCCCTACAAAATCACAGGTTTATAGGAGTGGGAAAGAATATGATCCGCACGTACCTGTCCAACAAACTGACCTCCAAATACCTTTCCGAACTTGGGGGCCTCTGGCAAGGTTATTCCTTGGAACAGATTCACCTTTTATGAATAAAAAAAAAACAAAGGGAGAAGAATGAAGATTGGAAGAAAGAAGCAATAGTAGATAACTAGATATCAACATGTGCAAGTGTGGGTTTGGGTCTGGGTGTGTTTGAAAAAAAAAAAACTTAAGAATCCCCTAGAAACATTGACTAACTTTATGCAGTGAGCAAAAACAATTGACATATTTTGTAATACAAATGTGTAAACAACCTGATACCTATTGCCGAGCAAAAGAAAAACCAGGGAAGTGAAGATCATACTTCTATTGAATCCAAGTGCAGTATACGCTCCACAAGGGAGCACGAATCATGAGTCTCATCTGCTCTCCAGATTGATTTTGTTTGCAGCAAACTGCAATGTTCGTAGGGCAGCACTAAGCAGGTGAGCTGTTAAACGACACGAAAGCAAAAACTCAGTGTCCTTCCCGTTGATGCCCTACTCCTGTTTGTCCAATGTTTCAGGAGCTGGAGTGTTGAATGTGGCATACAATGAAAAGGATGCACATACCTTGGTCAAAGCGATCACATCTACTTGCTGGACTGAGACAGACAAACCTGCAGAGTGAGCTCGTAAGCAATTTAGGTTTTGTAGAATTATTAAGCTCTCTAACTGTAACAAAGGAATATTGGAAATATTGTAGGTTTCTGTAGAGAGAGTAAACCGGTATGGATGGAAAGTAAGAAATTAAGCAGAAAACTGTAGTAAGTTAGTAGTTCACTCCAGGAAAGAGAACAAAAAAGAATCACTAGTACCATTGCCAAAGTAATCAAATCGTTTCAATTGAAATTCAGGACGGTTTTCTTCCTCGGTATGCACTGATCCATCAACTTCAGCCTAAAACCCAAAGTGTAGAAGAAACATAAAAACAAGTAAAGAAGCTGCTGAGACTGCAAGAAATTTCAGAACGACCAAATTAAATAAACATATGCAGAAGCTAACCTCCCCTTCCCATATAAAATAGACACCTTCTCCGACTTCGCCCTCACGAATAACATACTGCCCTTTATCTGCAGAACACCCAAAATGACATTAACAGCTTCATTCTCAAGACCATAACCCACAACAACACTGCACTCAAACTGATCAAACCCAGAGTAAAAAACTAAAAAAGAGAGGAAAATAACAAAATCTAATCACCATAGTGCCGAGGCGTGACAAGCTGAGCAATTCTCTTGAGCGAAGAACTGGGCAACCGCTGCAGCAAAGGCACGCCGCCTAGAAACTCCATTACTGCATAATATAGGTTCAACCACGCAAAGTACAGTCAGAAAGAAGCAATGAGAAATCGGCGGAATTCAAACCTGAATTTTCAAACGCCAATCGATTGGCTTGTCAGAAACAGAAAAAAGAGAACATCTGGGCGAGTGCCTACGAGAAGGCCAACGGGACACCAAACAGAAGAAGCTCGTGGAGAAGAGAAGGAGATCATCTTCACCTGATTCCATATCCATGGAATTGCGCAAGGAAGGGAAGAGATCGCCTCAAGTAGGCTTAGCGATCGGGTATCGTCAAATCGTGTGGCAGCCGGCTCTTCCCCGGAGAAGCAGGGATTTCGTATTAAGAAAGATGTATATGGATGACTGGTAGAAATGGCAGAGTGCGAGTTAACTGCGGGATCAGCGATGACAAGCAGGGGCAAGGATGGGGATAAGATGGCAATGATCCAGCGACGGCGAGAACGAGGCAGGCCGGCGAGGACCAACGCGAGTTGAGTGGCGACTTCGACAAGGAAGACGATGCGGCGAAGAAAGAATCGATTACAGTGGATCCCAAAAGACACGAAGCGAGGAAGGCGATCCGGCAGCTACTAGGCTGAGGAAGGCGATGACGAACAGGATGGGATGAATTAGTGTTTACTGTTTAGGGTTCTTACTCGATCGAGAGAAGAGAACAGTGCGGATTGAGAATTGTGATAAGGGGGCAGCAGCAGAGCAGGAGGAGGAAAACGAGGAACTGAGAGTTGAGTGGAGAATTGAGTGGCAGAGAAAATGGTTCGGTTCGGTTTGGTTCGGGTTGATGGTTGCGGGGGAAGTTGGTGGGAACAATTTCGGGCAGCCTTAAGTTCAGTGACCATATTTGGCGCCAAGGTTGTAAAACTGGTTTGGCAAATGGCAAGTGATATGGTTCAATGAGTGGTAAAACTCGTTTGTGTCAACCTATGTCAGATTTTAGCAAAAAATTTAGAGAAATGGAAAATCATTCACATTAAATGATTTTAGTCATAAAAATGTTATATGAATAATATATATTTGAAGACAAGCTCTTTAAAAGTCTCTCATCCATATTTAAATAAAAGTGTAAATTGTAAGGTTGGTCGCTGGGTTTACAAGATTTTCGCGCGCCCTTCCATTTTCTTGTTGGGAGTACATGATAGGCTGGGCCTCACGCGCTGGGTTTATTAAAAACGTTCTTATTTGGTCATTACAAATATTCAATTCCATTCGTGGTCATCAGGATTAGTTCAACAGTTGAAGTTTAGTCACTTTCCGTTAACTTTTGCTGATGTGACAATCAACCTCCACAGTTGGCCGAGTCCCACTAAATTCATCTTCCGCCACCAATGGAAGGAATTTCATCAACTCCGTCACGAGCAGCATCAGGTTCTTCTCCCTCTAATCAAAGCTAGGGAGGAAAAAAATTGGAAGAGAATGGGAAGAAGAACAAGCACAGAGTTGTTACGTGGATTCGTTGCTTGAAATGGAGATACCAGATAGTGATGGTAACAGAGAGCAGAGGAAGAGATCCTGGGCTTGTGCTCCGAGTTGCTCGACGGAGGGACTGACACGACTACTACAACATCGGAGTGGAATATGGCGAATTTCGGGGCTTTCCTCTCCTTCCGACATTCAGATTGTTCCGAGTTCAGTCTGAGATTCGGCCGAGATTGTCTCCATGGGAGAAGGCAGCAAAAGGGACATTGAGAGAGCGAAGGGCGAGACACCAGTGTCCAGAACACCATCGACGATTGGGGATTAGTGTAATTGGATTTGATTATTGGGTGTGGTAATTTTTTGTGGGTGGTGGAGAGAAGGAAGCATGATTGGTGACGAATGAACAGGAGAAGGAAGGAGAAGAAGAAGTGTACAATCCGGCCAACAACAATCCGTCGACCGCCATCGGTGAGATTTCCTTGGCGACCTGAAAAAGTGGTCTGCTACTTAACAGAGAGTGACCAAAATTGGATTATTGAACTAATCTTAGTGGCCACGAATGTAATTATATATTTATAGTGACTAAACGTGAACGTTTTTAATAAACCAAGTGACCAAACTTCTTAAATAAAATATAAAATTCCAAACAAAATAAAAAAGTGTCATATTTAGATACAACATTTAATGCATCCTTCCCAATATTTATATGTGAACCCAACAAATAACATTAACATTTAACTTCCAAATGCAAGAAACAAGTCAACAACTTTTTTGTTAATTAAATTTACTGGAACGACGTCATTTTAGAGATCAAAAAGCGGTCATGTTAGTCATACCAGTGTCCTTTATTGTACTGGTCGACATGTCACCGATTTAGCAACCATGTTTGCCGCATTTAATGCAGATGAGGTGTAGGTCATGAAACTCGATGTATTATGTATTCCTCTCCACTTTGTACTGGAGATTGGGTAAAGCAAACTTCAACGCAAACATGAAAATAACGTCTACTATCCCCCGTTTTAATGTTGCAGTCAACATTCACAGGTTTCCTAATCCGCAAAGCAGTCTTTCAACTGGTTCTTTATTGAAGAACTCGATGAAGACGAATTGTTAGGTAATAGTCGTCGAGCATCTAAACACTACCAATCAGGCCACCAGACAAAATAAAAACTCACAAGAGTTTGGTTATTGATTTGAAAAGCACAAAATCACTAACCATGACTCAAACAAGTGATAAGTCTTTGACCGTCAATATTAACGGTCAAAGAAAATTTTGGGCCAATTTTGTCCATGAATTTGAAAAGTTGGCCATAACTATCTAATTGGAAAATTCGGGTTAAAACTGACATTTACGCAAAACTTCGGACCAAACTACGGTATTAACCCTTAAAAAATGTATACTTGAATACATCAAAAGTTTATACAGAAAGGCTGATAGCTTAGCCTTTCTGTATCATATTTGTGCTGGCTGCGTTAGTTTTTCATTTCTCTTTGTTTGGGGTGCCCTTAGTAGCTCACTACTGCTCTAATGAACTGGGTTGTTTTTTCTTTTTAGGGATGGCAACGGGTCAAGTCGGGGGATAATGCATATCCGTTACCTTACCCAAAGTAGTTCACCATATAAGAATCAGGTAGAAAATCAAAACCATGCCCATATCCGTTCGGGTTTCGGGTATCCATGGTTATCCATGGATAATAATTTATATTTATAACTTCAACGAAAATGTTAACATTCACACGTATACTTGTATTACATAAATGAAAAAGTATGATAATAAATCACTAGAACGAAGAAAATTAATTAAACAACACGATTTCATGAAAATATTATAAATGTATGCTAAATAATATGTTGAGGAGGAAGAAGAAATGCATGTGAAGTACGTCTTAGTTTTATGTATATTGTTGTTACCATACTATACCATGGTGGTATTGTGTGGTAACTAGATGTATATTGTGGTTACCATATTGTACCATATGGTAATGTGTGATAACACGATGTATACAATATGGTGACCATATTTTACCGTGAAAGTAGAGTGTGGTAATCGACATCAATTCAGAGAAAGGAGATTCAGAAGACAATGAAGGGGAGAAGGGAAGAAAGTTGGAATTATATATATACCACACTATACCATATAGTAATGTTTGGTAACTAAATGTATTTTTATGCATACCATGTTTTACTATGGTCGTCGATGATGGTAATTATATTTATATTTGTTTTTAAATGGTTTTACGTTCTCTTACCATGTGGTATTGTATGGTAATTATGATTATTTTATGGTAATTCGATTTACCGTGTTCTACTATGGTGGTATTGTATGATAGTTAGATTTACAATTTGTTGTAACATGTTTTACCACGTTATACCATGTGGTATTGTATGGTAGTTAGATTTCTAATTTTATTTTAGCATTTATATCATATGGTATTGTATGGTAATTAGATTTGTAATTTTCTTTAGCATATTTTGCCATGTTTTACCATGGTAGTAGAAAGTGATAGTCCTATTCATACTTGTAATTACCCTTCTTGGCAGAGAATTATTAAATGAAAAAATCATCATTCAATTTGAGTTGGAGTTGGGGTAGAGAGAGCTGAGATTGTTGAATTCATATTTGTTTTAGAGATAGAGTTAGTGTGTATAGAACATGTACTTTTTTTTTCTCTTTTAGTTGTAGATGGGAGAGAGAAGAAATAGTTTAATTTTTCTTTTAACAATAGATAAAAGAGTGACAGAGGAAAACGTGTGGAGGACGGGGAGTTGGATCCACGTTCGGTCAAAAGTAGGCGTCAGGTCGTTAACATTAAATGAGGGGTGGATGCAAATTACCCTACTGCCCCTCCGTGTTTCATTTAAATAAAAGAGAACGGTTCAGATAAAGACACGTGGAGGATAGAGGAAGGGGTTACCCACAATTATTGAGGATATGGTTACTGACCTGATCCGAACCCGTTAAGCCGGGTTCCTAGCCTAAAAAGGAAGCTGGGGAAAAAGAGTTTTGCAACCATGTTAGTTGACGTGCACCCACAACCTCCGCCTCCTGGAAGTGGGAAACCGGGACGGCCGGAGACGGCGGCGACAGAAGGGAGGCGGTTGGCCATAGCCCATAGGAGAAGGGAAGAGGAATAATAGCATACAGAGAAAAAGATTCTTTTGGAGGACCGGGAATTGGGTTTTGACAGTTTGACTCGTAGCTATATTATTTGTTTGGTACAATAATAAACTCGAGAAGGAAGGAAAGAAGCCCTCATTTTCTTTCTTTTCTCCTTCCTTCCTTCTAGTTTCCTCTGTCTCAATCATAGTTCTGTGCTTTGCTTTCCGTCTGCAGTTTACCCTCTGTAATTTTCTGTGCGATCGGACACTTAAACCCAGGAAAAGGTTCAAATTTTGAGTGCAGCGGCGATCCTAATTCTCGAGCAGCACTCCGAACATACTCCTTCCTCTCATATACAGATATCTTCCTGCTTTGTTCAGTTTCCACTTAGGTTTTCGTATTTTCTCTTCAAAGGCAAAGCTACAGAGTTGGGTTCTCAGCCTTTCAGCTTTCAAATCCCCTGAACTATGCGTCCTGATTATTGCAGTGATTGCCTCAAGCTTTTCCGTCGTCTTCTTGAAATAGGTTGTCCTGGGGACAGCTCTTCTTATCATGGCGTTTGATCAGTGTAACATCATATCTCGAGCTTGCTTCTGATCATCTGTTATCGATACTTCACTGGGTTTACCTCGAAGTTGTCCGCTTTCGACTTCTATACTCCTTGATTTCGTCCTTCGGATTAGTTGCAGCAATTTTCCATAACTTTGTTTCTAGACACTTGGTTAACATGATTGAATTATAGGCTTCCTATGTCAATCGCCTGTTGCATTCCGGTAGTGGAATGTGTCTACTGTCTGGCATGTGTTCGCTGGGCATGGCGAAGGTGCATATACACTGCTGGCTATGAGAGCGAGAATTGGGGCTTAGCTACTTCTGAAGAGTTTGACCCTGTCCCCCGCCTATGTCGCATAATCCTTGCAAATTATGAAGACGATCTTCATAATCCCATTTGGGAACCACCCGGAGGTTATGGTCTTGATCCTGATTGGATGATGGTGAAGAAGAATCATGAACACACGGGTGGCAGGTCCAGTCCTTACTTGATCTACATCGATCATAAGAATGCTGATGTGGTGTTGGCCATTAGAGGGCTGAATTTGGCTATTGAGAGTGACTATGCCGTTTTGCTCGATAACAAGCTTGGACAGACTAAGTTCTGTGGTGGGTATGTGCACAATGGCCTACTGAAGGCAGCCCAGTGGGTTTTTGATACAGAATGTGGAGTTCTCAGGGAGTTGATCGAGAAGAATCCAAATTACCGGTTGACATTTGCTGGACATTCCTTAGGTGCCGGGATAGTTGCATTGATGACGATTTATGCCCTTCAAAATCGAGGTAGATTAGGGAACATAGAGAGGAAGAGAATCAGATGCTTTGCTGTGGCTCCTCCAAGGTGCATGTCCTTGAACTTGGCTGTCAGATATGCAGATGTTATTAACTCAGTTGTGCTTCAGGTAAGGATTATGTGCTGCCTTTTACCTTCACACATTTGCTGACTATTTTCAGTTGGTTATTAATTTTGGAAGGAATTACCTTAGATTTGGTGGATGATTGATGGGATGACACAAACCAAAACAATTTGTGGCAAACAGCATTTGTTAAGTGGATGAAGTTTTACCTCCAGGAGAATAACGAGCATACGCAGTTGGATCTAATGCCACTCTGGTTAATTGTTTTCCGTATTAGAACTGTTTGTTTGGGATGTGAGCCTGTGACATACTTTTTAGGTTGGCAAAACTTACTGAATGCTCAAATTCGGGGAACAATCAGACAACTTGCTGATAATGATATGAGCATGATTGTATGCTACGACCTATAAATCATTTTGTTCATACATTCTTATGCTAGTTATTGTTGTGGCAGGATGATTTCTTACCTCGTACAACCATGGCTCTGGAAGACGTCTTCAAGTCACTTATCTGGTAAAACAATAGTATGTCTCACCTTCTGGGTTCTAGCCCTTAGTTGTTCATGTTTTCATTCAGCTGAATCTTGGTGGATGTTGTTTCAGAAATCTGAAATCCTCAATAGTTGTGTAATAATTAAGAAAATACATTCTACTGTATTTCCTTTCTAACTTTGCAATATGCATGCATGAGAACTTCTTAGAGTCCAGTAGCTTCGGATTTATCTGAGCAGGTCTTGATGGATATAGTACATGTAGCTTGCTGTAGGAGAAATGCGTACTGGCTTCCTTAACTAGAACTTAGTTTATTGCTGTCAATGTGGCAAGTGGTTTTGGTTGGGATATCCTCTGTGCTCATGTCAAGTACTATCTATTGTCTAAGCTGGTTTTTGTTTTTTTGGTTTGTTTATTTGAACAGTTTCCCTTGTCTGCTTTGCATAATGTGCTTGAAGGACACTTGCACTCTTGAAGAGAAGGTGCTTAAAGATCCAAGGAGGCTATATGCACCCGGTCGCCTGTATCACATTGTTGAGAGAAGACCCCTCAGGTGAATCAACTCTGAAAATTTCTCAAACTATTTTATATCATTTAGTATTTCGGATTTCAAATGGAGCAACCTACTAACTAAATCAATCTTATTTTATATCTGTTGTAGGATAGGAAGATTTCCTCCAATTGTCCGGACAGCAGTCCCGGTGGATGGGAGGTTTGAGCACATGGTTCTGTCCTGTAATGCAACTGCCGACCATGCCATTATCTGGATAGAGAGGGAATCTCAGAGAGCTTTTGATGTAAGTTCCCAAGTCCTAGCTTTGGGTGTTCTGCTGTGGATAAAAAATAATAACAAACTTGGAGAAGAAGAAAGTTCTCATCTTTTAAGCAACGCAGCCATAACAATCGAGAGAGAGCTGCTGAAATATGTTATCTCTGTTTCGTCTTGCAGCTAATGCTGGCGAATGACAGGATGATGGAGATTCCAGGGGAGCAGCGGATGGAGAGAAAGGAGTCTCTGGCACGAGAACATTCCGAGGAGTATGAAGCAGCTCTTCAGAGAGCCGTTGCTTTGGACATCCCTCATGCACAGGCATCGTACGGGACATTTCTCGACGCAGAAGAAGGAGAAACCTCTGGGGGCAGCTCATCAGGGACTGCTGCAGCTGCTGCTGCAACTTCGTCGTCCTGGTCTTTCGGGAAAATGAGGGAGAGGCTTGATAGCTTTGTCGATCGTATGTTCGATGTAGATGAATTTGGTCACATGGTGTTTAAGAAGTCTGTCCCGTAAATAAACTAATAAAGTGAAACTACTTTGCCTGACTTCGTTTTATTCTACCCAATTTTTATTTTGGTGTGTTCAACAAGCCATCGAGTCAAACTGGCTCACGAATCTTACAAGTTGAGCAAGGTGTAACTCGACCTCGACTCATTAATAAACGAGTTGAGTGTCGAACACCGAACTGCCCGTGAGCAGCTTGGCACAACCCTAGTCTTACCTTGCCCAATATCAATCTTTCGTTTTTCTTAACACTACAGCTTTAGGTAAAAAAAAAAAGCCTCTTTCTTGTGATGTGTCTTACCCTACCCAACAAATTTGCATAATTTCGACCGAAGTGGACAACAAATCAACAATTGTGAAATGATCGGTGTCGTCGCACAAGCAAGCCGAAGTTTGCAAAAATTGTCAATTTTGGTACAACATTGTTTTAATGAACAATTTTGTTATGATCGAATCAACGTTGTGTGGATTTGTTATGGCATCCTGCAAAGAATTAGGATAAGAATGATATTAGTATTGAGATTTTTAATAAAATAAAATAAATAATCGAATTGGATTCATACTTGTGATAATTGTGTGAATTATATATTGCTTACACAGCCCACAGGGAGTAGAATAAAAGTTTTCTCCCGCTAAACTAATAGTCGTACTTTGAAATAATGTCCTTTTGTCACCTAAAATTAACCAATTTTGAAGACGATTCATAGGATATTTTTACGTATATCTAGGATGCACTAGAGGTAGGGGTGTTCAAACGGATTGGTTACCGAGGTAACCATATTAACCAGTAGCATTCGGTTAATTTGGATAATTGGTTTGGTTTGGTTAAACAATTTAGCTTATTTGGTTTAGGTGGTTTGGTTTGGTTTTAACACTACTAACCAATGAAACCAATTAACCAATTAATGATACACCTAATATACAAAATTATTTATACTTCCATGCAACCAACTAAACCAAACTTTCGTGATTCACTATCTTATTTCCATGTGCACAACAAACCAAAGCATTATGGGTCAAAAATTAAATGGGACTGCCTATTTACTAAACAAAAACATTTTGAACAGCTACTAGACTTTAGGATTACGTACAATACCATGACAACCATCTCAAACTATGTATAGTTTAAGTGTTTTGTAGGAGAGCTTTAACTTCATGATGAGTGGTATTGGTATGTATTTAATATTTATGTTAAGGGTTTGTTGTAAGCTAACTATACTAGGTGCGGAGATGATGAACGATGTATTAACTCGAATGATGATGATAACCATGGTTAGTCTAATTATTATTATTTCTTATATATAATGACAGTTTATGATAGTAATAACATATGGTTATGTTTTATTCATTAACAGGATAATTGTTTTCATGTAATATTATGTTATTTGGTTAATCGGATTAACCAAACCAATTAAACTTTGGTTTGGTTAAGACATTTTATTCCATGGTTAATGAAATTTGGACTTAATTGGTTTGGTTATTACTACGGTAACCATTTGAACAACCCTAACTAGAGGAGTGCAATGGAGACATGGGTCCCGTTGATAAGGTATCAAAATCACTATCATGCATTTCTTGGTCGCTTCAAAGTTTCTAGCAAAAACTTTCAACCACATTGATCTTGAATTCTTGATTGATTCCTCACCAAACCTCAAAAATGATGGTCCACTCAGCCCCATCTATTACAGCACTAACCATGGCTAGGAATGGAGTGCCAGAGGGCCCTCTTTTTATCTTCTATGTCAATGACCACCAAGTGGGTCGGAAATTCCAAATCATTCATCCTAAAAAAGAAACCCTTAATATATATAAACAAACTGTATTCAACCAAATAATATTATCTAGCCATCAATAAGAGTAAATTTAAGGTCAAAAGTGCAAGTGTTTTGGTGCTTCCTTGCACTTTTGCTGCATCATTTACATAGCTACTATATTTTTGTGCTACATTACATACAAAGATTGGCCTTCTAGCCAAACCAATTTAATTCTCCTGATGGGAGTCTGGCCACACATTTCAGTGCCACTGTCACGGCTATTACACTTATACCTGCATTTCCACAACTGCTTCTCCTGCGACCAAAAAGAAACGTCGGAGTTAAATGACACCAAAGTACTGGTCTTTCCTCTTCCCAACATTCTTACTTCCTGCAACTTTAACCCAACTTGTGAACCAACGAACGCAATCCATTTGCCATCTCTACAGCAGCTTACCATGCATTCGTTTGACGAAACGTTGGAACTCCAGAAAGTTGTATCTATCCATCAGAACTGAATTGAGTCTGTGGTACGTAAATGACAGAGGATGTCTTCCATCTGGATCGTTCAATGGTTTCACATTATCCAGTATCTTGTTGTAGGCGAGTCGATCATGACAAGGGAACACACTCTCGCTGACTATCTGTATGGAAACGTCCCAGGCAGCATTCAACACCTGGGAAAAGGGACATTCGATATCAAGTTACCATTAGGCCGCGACAAACTGTAATTTGAGAGCCAGAGACTATGTTTGGATGGAAGGAAGATGCCTTACCTGCCAAAATAATCCATCAGAATCGACATATCCATCAGCGAAATCCATAGGTTGTTGATTTAACACCCCCAGATCAGAGAAACAGAAATTTAGAGTAGCCCCGTGCTTCTTCAGCATTGCGACAATTGCAGCATAGCCATCACGATTGCAAGAGTTGTAGAATCCGGCAGTTAACTCTGCAGCATGGCTAGCTGTCTTGTACCACCAATGAATACTTGGTAGCTGCCAACAACCAATGAGATCGGATCAACATATAGCAAGTTATTCTATCATAAACTATATAGGAAAAGCTTACAATTAGTTACTATTAATTGCTAGGATTAGAGCAAAATACTGCCGGGCATTGATAGTATTCAAAAGCTGAAATGAGGGTAGAAAGATATAGGTTGGCAAAGGAGTGGGGTGACAGGGACCATGCGTTTATGGGTTGGTTGGCTGTTGGCATTCTCTTGAAATTTTGATTAGATGCGCGTTACATGTCTCAAATTGGCTGGGTTGATATCTCCCCCTCTAAGAAAAAGGATCAAGGTTCTGAAGGACAAACGCACCTTTGCCGCGATGCAGGTGCCTTCAAAAGCCAATTTGGACAGAGAAAGCACTAGATCACCATGATCAACTAAAATCTGGGAGTACCAATTAAGGAAGAACCTCCCATGATAGCCATCATAGTCTCCACCATCACAGAAAAAGCCTGTTTCATGCGGCTGCGAGTTATAAGAACCACAATTATCTGGCACTCTAGACCAAAATGGGTGTCCCCTTGCTTCAGCTGCCTTCCTCAGACTTCGCATCAAATACTGATCATAACACTGCAGGTAAAAAGTATTTTGTTACAACCATCGTAAGAGGTTTACAAAACAAGCCTCGACATAACAATAACATACTTCCGATAAATGGAAGCTTTTGGACTAACATATATAAGGCCTCGGACTTATAATCATTCAGTTTGTTAGAAGATGGAATGAGTTATTGAAGTGGCGAATTGCAATAAAGAATGAATGAATATGACAAAAACTGTCTGGCCTATGTTGAGTTCCTGGCAAAACTAACGAACTCATTAACGACTACCACACTTTCAACATGGGCATGATCAGAGAAGAACTACCATTGATCCAACATCTCACTATGCTTGCATAAGACGAAGTAACACTCCCAACCTGGATCTGTAATAATCATAAGCACCATACTTCATATATGTATGGTACTTCGAGAAGCTTCCTCAAGGTTGACTATCATTCAGATAACAATACGTTTCCAGTGAAGATGCTAGCTTTAATACAAACTTCAAAGAATGTATGCTAGCTGAAAACGAGTTCTTAGAGCATGACCCAACATAAAAGAAGACCTGAAGCCACAGATACAGAAAACATGTATTCATATCGATAACAAGAAAGGAAGATTGCAGTATGAAACTTGAACATACTTGACTCCTGCGTAGAATTAACAGAACTGGAAACTACATTAGGTAAGATCAAGCAGAACATTTTGTTTTCCTTGAATCAAGATGCAAGGTACCTGAAATTCACCAATCCCAGGATATCTCCAACCATTCTTTACAGGATTAGAAGGGTATCGGAGTTCACCACAGGGCCCAAGCCCAATTTCAACCATGGAGATGACACCTTCGTCAAAGAATTCATCAAAGTGTACCCGGAAACTTCTCATGTAGTCAAAGTATACCTACACGAAGACAATAAATTAGGTAGCAGGCACACCAGAAGTTACAAGTTTCAGCTAAGAAATGATAAAATAGACAAAGCTGTGCTAATTCTTTAGAGAGAAGTCTAGCCACTACATACATTATATATATTTTTCATAGTTTTCAGATCTTCATAATTGGACACACAAGCAGAAATTATGGCAACCGTTAGAAAAAACGATTATCAACTCTATATAGATGCGAAATAAGTGAATTCACTGGTGCTGACAACTTCAGAAGATATACCTCAACAGCAGTTCGGCCTCTTAGTACCCTTTCCTTGTCGATTCCCCAGGAGAGACATTCAGGGTTGCGTCTTCCTTCTTTGTCAGTGAAAAATATGTCAGGGTTACTCCGACCTATTTCTGCCACCCAATGTGGCAATGGAATACAAACATCATCACCAACATTGCCTCCACATTCATGAAATGACATGATGACCTGAGAAAAAAATCAGGAAGATAATTGCCTGAACCCACTAACTGCTGTAGACCATCAGTAGTTACAATAACACGAGACGAGAATTCATCCCAATAAATCCAAGAAAAGTACTTAATAGTTAAGACATATCTGATCAGGAGGGCCTCAAACTATGACTTTCTACTCACTCGAACATACAAACAACAATAGAATTGTCAACTCCCAAAAACCTTCCCAACTAGCCCTAATCCGTGATTCTTCAAGATGAACCATCATTCATCATGCCCACATGCAGAAGTAAACCATGGACATTAGCAGATCAACTTCATCATTGCAATTACAATATACTTGGGCTTGTGATTCACCAAGCAGATGAGCAAATGTGCAAGACACAAGACCCAGTTGAAGAGAGAGAAATAAACAGAAAGCTATTCACCTGTAACTTGAGCTTAAGTTGACGCACTATCTGACAAAGCTTCTTGTAACCATGCCAGTTATACTCCTGCGGGGCGTGAGCCTCCACTATTCCCCACCAGCAGTCAACCTTGACACCATCAACTTCAGCTGATTTTAGTGCCCTCAGCTGCTGTAATAGACCATCTGGATCAGCTAGCTCACATTTCATATTCATTACACCCAGCTGCCAAGAACAGAATATAAAAGACAAAATAAAACATGTTAAGAGTGTTTCACCTCACCACTGAAATCACAGGTGCTAATGTTATGAGTTATATACTTCAAAACCTTGATAACCAGGTCTAGGATCAACTCACTGGTAGCATCACATAAACTGGTACATAAGCAGAGCCCCCAAACTCTCGCTCTGAGAGCTTTGGATATACATCAACAATCTACAAGACAAGGAAAAGAAAAGGTTATATGTTAAACCCGACATTCTTTGAACAGTGCAGAAAGTGATTCTGCACGTGAAGCAACCAACAATTTCTGCTATTGTAACAGGTTATTCGGCTCATTAGAAATGATACAGGTTGACAGAAGGCTACAATAGATGCTTAGAAAACAATTCTATTGTCTTTAATCTCAACAAAAACAATATGTTCAAAATACCTGCTTAGCATTGATGGTATCTACAGTACCAGCAGTGAGAGGCTGGATCCGTGGTGTGTCTACACCATCGCCCATCATCACTGAAGTTTGTGGATGAGCGCCTGCAGATAAATCATAAGGTGATGGAGAGGGCACAAGTAGACCTTTCATTTGACCTGAATTATATTCCACTGGAGTCGGATAACCAGGGGAAATTCCTTTGAGGGAAGGAGGAGGTTCCTGTTGTGGGCTTTGATGGGAAGACGTCTGTGTAGCTGCTGCAGAAGGACCTCCCACAGACCTTGAGCCCTGAAATTTGTAGAAGAGGAGGTACGGGTATGCACATTAGGTAAGATAACAGCACATCAAAACTCCGGCTCATAAACCCTCAAAATTTCAGTATTGTGTCAAATATAGAAACTGAAAAAATGTAACCTAGTACCTGAGATCTTGAGGGAAAGGTAGTTCCATCTGGGAGAACAACCCATCCAGCTTCCCTGGCCAAGGCAGCAATTACATCGTTGATATCTGCTCTAACTCTAAGATTATAGTTTCCATGTCTTCTTAACCCGGCTAGGATCCTTGCAGTGATTGCCCTTCGGTGCCTCTCTCTCAGCTTGGTCCTCTCTTTCTCTTCAAGTGGCCTACACTTTCGACCACCACTTCCTCCTCCTCCTGGGGTACTCACCTGGTCTTGAACTTCATGATGATACTGAAACTGATCGTCAAAACTATCAGATAGCATTCCCGCTTCAACCCCTACCATTGCTTGATCAGCAATGTGTTTTGCTCTGTTTTCACTATCACCGTCTTCCTCTTTGACGTCCATATCTGTTCCGTCTCCTTCTTCATCATCTTCCTCGCTAGTTACAATCAGCTTTTGCATATCTGTTGCCATCAATCAAATTCCCTTAACTCGGTCAAACTGAGTCATACCGTGTCGTCCCAAGACAAATGCATTTGGCATAAGAATGCTACAACTGCACCCGGGCCAATGCTGGATTTTCCTGGCAATAATTTAAAACGTCAAGGAAGATGACCATGGTAGAAACGCAAAAGAAGACCAAGGAAAAGAAGGAAAAAATATTTCCCACCGATCCTTTGAGCAACAATCCTTTCTCAAAAGCAGCTAACCCAAACTTCCGTTCAACATTTATCCAACTAACCTCCATTTTCTCTAACCATTTCTCTTCTTGATACTTGGAAATTATCGTGCGTGCGCAAAAAGTGAGAACAAAGAACATTTCATAAAAAGAGCCAACTGAGAAACAATAGATTAGAGCTCAATTGAGCCGGAGACTCGCTTCTTTGGCACAGATAACCGGCTGAGCTGATGAAAGAACAAGAAAGGAAAACCAAGTCATAAGCATCGGTTACCTTGTCAAATCAGGCCTGCTAAGCGCTTCAATTGCTCGAAACAACTGAACTCTGGGGGAATTCTTTGTCACGGAGACTAAAACTTCAGTTTAATCGCCTTCTCCATTATCCTCCACGAACGAACTAGGCCTCGTCAGCTCGGACAAGCAACTCTCCGGAGCATTATCTCCTCTCAGGAACCAAAATTCAACCTCTCAACTGGACGGATTTCCGGTGGTGTCAGCGATGGAGAGGCCAGGATAAACCGGAGCTGCTCCGGTGAGGAGAGGGAGGCCAGAGCCGGGTTCCGACGACCAGCCGGAAGCAGACGCGTGTGAGATAGCGGTCTGCGTGCGAGGGTTAGGGTTTCGCTCGTGTGTGAGAGGCTCGAACGTGTTTGGTGTGTGTGTGAGCTGCGAGGAGTTGGCACAGGCGGCGCGTGCGTCTGTAATTTCAAAGGTATCGGCGAATAGAGGGAAAGAACTAATAACTGAATTTAATTGACAAAATGCTTTTTGGGTGAAATAAAAAAAGTTTATATATAAGAATTTTGAAGTTAAACATGTTTATTATGGAGCAATACAAGGATTGGTGACTTCTCGAGAAGTCAGCTTGATATTCATCCAAAAACGAAAATCGTGAGGGTCTGTATTTAAAACAAACAATATTTTGGTCGGGATAATGTTCGGGAGGTTACCGTTTCGCTTCTAGGAATTTCTTTATTTTTATAAATGCTTCTTGAATTTTAAATTTTAATGATGCATTTGCTTTCAAAATTTCATATATGAAAAAAATTAGGCAAAATACACTTGGATAGCTGTAACTATCCACTTTGTGACCATAATAACCAACTTTTGAAAAATACACTAAAATAACCATTTTAGTATATTTTTCATAAGTATGCTACTATCGTTACCAAGTGGACAAAAGTAGTCACACACACCACGTTACATTTTCTTACAATTCATTTTACATATTCATACAATACGTTTTTCTGTATTCATATTAAATACATTTAATAAGGGTTGTGATTATTTTCTTAATAGTTGTTCGAATATTCAAATTGAATACATTTTGAAAATATTCTTAAATCTTAACAAGTTGTCGTGCATACACATGTTGCGATGAGTGAATATGCTGCTAGAATAAAATAAAACCATTTATTATAACTTAAATTGAAAGAGATATAACACCTTAAAATATATAGAAGAAAAAGTTAGAAACAATTCATAAATGATGGTGCAATTATGCATATGATTATTGACCATAACATTACTAACAAACACCCTTCCAGACTGCCTAACTCGAAGACAACTAAACTAGGCAAATTTTTCCTATTCACTTATGGTCCAAGTTTTCTCTAGATGACAAGACCATTCATTCCTCCGCCAATATTTTGAATAGCTCCATTTCAAGTAAGCTTGGAAGATCAAAGCGGTTGTCCTGAAATCAGAAAGGAGCGATGTTAAACGAATGGGATTGATCCTCTTATATTATTATCATTATTACTGTCAAGAACCAGTTGCTCCCAATAACTCGAGTTGTTGGGAGAAGGTTATACTGAATCATATATCACTCTCTAACACGCCCCCTCAAACGAAAGCCAACTCATGGGCTTGAAGTTTGCACAGGCCCACCATGCCATGTGCTTGAAAGACAACGATTAATATTGGGGGTCGTGGAGATTCGAACACATGACCTTTCGGTTCTAGGCTCTGATACCATGTCAAGAACCAGTTGCTCCCAATAACTCGAGTTGTTGGGAGAAGGTTATACTGGATCATATACCACTCTCTGACAATTACCTCAATCTTGATCTAATATCCCCAAAGAAACATTGAACTGTACTTGCATGGAAATTTCTTAAAAATATCTTCCTACTGCATGAACAGGAAAATCTATCTGGTGCAAGCAATAAGGAAAATAGAAGGAACAATACCATGCATTCTCTTGACGAATCTGCCAAACTCTTCGAAGTTATGCCTCTCCATAAGGACTGCACTGTGCCTGAGATATGTGAAGGCGGATAAGTGCCTACCGTCTGGATCGTGCAGTGGTTTTGCATTTTCTAAAATCTTGTTGTAGCCTTCTCTGTCGTAGCAAGGAAGAGCGTTCTCGCTGGCTACTGGCAAAGAAACATCCCATGCAGCATTCAGTACCTGGAAAATTATGCAGATGATGAAGTAGAACATAGATGCAAAGCAAACCCGAGTTGTTGTATCGGGCTTGGGTTAGATGGATGATTGCAATCTAAGCTTTTTTGGGAACAGAGATTCAGAAGATATATGTCATGATGCAAGTTTAGAAGGAGCCCATTTTTATGTCCTGTTCAGTTTGAGAGGTCTACTAGAGAAGTTGTCAGCAGCAGCAAGCAAATCGTGCAATTCGAAGTGTTTGTTAAAAAAATTATTAAGCTATGCGAGTGATTGCAAGATGTTCAAGAGTGACACAATTAATTAACTCTTATAGGCTAGATGAAATAATTTAAATATGGTCTCACAAACTATGGGATTTTATAGAAGAAAAAGGGGTAGAATTGAAATAGAAAAAAGATTTTTTAAGTTTCAAGGGAAAAGTTTGAAGTTCGATTGATTGATATTAGATTAACTGGAGGCACCAAAAGAGGAACCAATTGAATTTAGAAGCAAAACAGCGACATGTATACCATGGCACCATGTACCCAGATTGAAGGGCAGACTAAAAGGAGCAGGCTCACATACCTGCCACACTAACCCCTCAGGATCTGCCAATGCCTCGGGAAATCCCTCATATTGATCCAGTGTGCGCATCTCAAAACAAGTGAAGTTAAGAGTCACTCCATGCTTCTTCAACATTGCTGCAATGGGAGCATACCCATCACGGTTTGAAGGATTGTAGAATCCAGCAGTTAATTCAGCTGCGTGACTAGCAGTTTTGTACCACCAATGGATCCCTGATAACTACTCATCAAACCACATAACAAGATGTCATTATTGGAAAACACACAGAAAGAGACCAATATCTTGGCTGATGAGATGAAAGCTCCTGCTACGAAGATCAAAGAGTAACATCAAGAAGAAACTGGCTACCTTTGCTGCAATGTTAGTGCCTTCAAAAGCCAAATTAGCGAGAGAAAGTACACGGTCACCATGATCAATCAATAATCGAGAATACCAATTCAAGAAGAATCTACCATAGTGACTATCGAAGTCACCACCGTCACGGAAAAACCCAGCCTCATGGGGTCCAGATTTATAAGAGCCTGCATTGTCTGGAGCTCTTGCCCAAAACGAATGTCCACGGATTTCTGCTGCTTTGGCCAGACTCTTCATCAAGTACTTATCATAACACTGAACTGAAACATGTTGTGTCAATATGGAAGATACCACTTACAATGGTACTTCTCCAATAAGCAGTGATACTAATTGAAATCACAACCATATAATAGGGAGAGAACATCAAATAAGGATATATGGCGCCAACAGTTCCTTCATATTTACAATACAGAGAGTTCAGAAAATCTTATTTATTAACCAGAATATTGCTGTGTGTGAAGAATTATCTGTCCTATTGGAATTGATTTTTTTTTACCTCTTATTACATTTGAACAAGCACAGTATCCTCCCTTACAGAACAGTAATCCAGATACAAAGAAGAAAATAATGTACCTGGAATTCACCAATGCCAGGATATGTCCAACCATGCTTTGCTGGATATGAAGGATACCGTAACTCTCCACATGGACCCAGTCCCACTTCAATTTCAGAGATGACTCCATCCTGGAAAAATTCATCACACTCTACTCTGAAGCTCCTCATGTAGTCGAAATAAACCTGCACTTATTGGGTAAGTAACTTAGTGATGGAGGCTCATAAACTGCTAATAACAACTCTGGAATCAGGAGTTCTTTACTCTATAATCTATATATATACAGAACATAAGTTGAGGTATCTGGCTGAACTAGGATTTGGTCCAAAAGAACCTTGGTTTCATAATTTGTATCTAAACTGGGTTTTAGTAAATTCATATGTGAAGTCAACTATGCAGAATATCGAAACATTAACAAAGACAAACCCTTGAGGTACTTGGGTATAGCATACATGAGATTATGCAAGTTTATTATGGCTTGATGCAATACCTCAAGAGCAGTTCTGCTTTTTAAAACCCGCTCCTTATCAATACCCCATGTGAGGCACTCACTATTGCGCCTGCCTTCTCTATCAGTGAAATATATATGGGGATTGGTTTCGCCGATTTGTATGATCCAACGAGGAAGAGGAATAAAAACATCATCCCCGACATTACCCCCGCATTCATGAAACGACATAACAACCTGATACAGTAGCATAAGAAACAGATAAGTAGGTAACCCTTTGTTGACCTTTGAAGGATCATTTACAGCAATGCATATTCATCTCAAGAAACGAACAGTAAATTGACATTACAGTGAGTATTTGCACTAAATCCATTTTCCCTTTCCTCGTCTATGTAAATGAATCTTAAATGTTAAATATAGAGAAGATACTCTAAACCAATCCAAGTGCAAAATTAGTAACCATGCTGGGTGAAGTATCTGGTGCTCACCTGAAGTTTAAGATTGAGATCACGCACAATCTTGAAAAGTTCCTTATAGCCACTCCAGTTATACGCCTGTGGAGCTTCAGCTTCCACTATTCCCCACCAGCAGTCCACCATAACTCCATCAACGCCAGCTGATTTCAAGATCTTCATATCGTTGGTAAGACCTTGAGGATCCACCAACTGGCAATTCATGTCTATGACATTGAGCTGCCAATGCCGCACACCCGACCCAAAAATCACAAGACACAGAATGTTACCCGACGAAATCATATATGAACAAGGCATCTACTAGTAAATTATCACAAGCACATAAAGAAGAAGAAAAAATAAGTAGCTTACAAAGAACCACCATGAGGAAAGAAAGCATACTCACTGGTAACATCACGTACACAGGCACATAGGCCGTGCCCGTAAAGTCACGCTCGGGCACTTTTGGACGAACCCTCGAAACCTACCAAGAAGGCCAAAGCAGAACATTCCTTGAAACCCCATGGTTTATTTCATAATTCCATCCCCACATTCTTCTAGCAGATCAGACATTAGATTCGACCTTCCGATCCAAACCCTAATAGAATTCCTATTCAAAATGTTCAAAAAAGATAAAGTATCTTCGGTAGGTAGATGGCGCCGATACCTTCTGGTCATCAGTGTCATCCCCAGTCTCGCTGACGGATGGATCATCTTCGATCGTCTTCCCGCAGCCAATCACGACGGTAGACTTCCGGGGTCCAGCAGCAAACGCGGAACGACCGCCATTGAGATTCAAACCAAACGAGCAGTTCGATTGTGACAGCGAGCTCAGTGGGGAGCCACGAACGGAAGCCACTCTCAAAGGAGCCTGGTTCGCAGTCCGCCGCGGCTGCCGAGTTAATCCACTGGAGGCTACACCGCAGGTCCTCAAGGTGTCGACCAGACGGCAAGTGGGAATCACCATTGCTGAAGAAGTGAGGAAACGAAGATCCTTCCTGCCGGAAGCTGGCTGCTCTTCATACGCGGAGCCGAGAGGAAACAAAAGCTACTTTCTTCCTGGAGAGCGCACAAGCAGTCGCGCATGCGCATCTGTCTGTGATGACTGACGAGCGGTTGAGTGAAAGTGTAAATTAAAGAATCCACAGGCTTCTCGGGAAACAAATAACAAGAACTGGCGGGGGACGAAGGGAACCCGTCTGCACCAACTAAAGAAATATATGGATAATTGGGTGTGTTATATGGATCAATTAAAAATCTTAATGACACAACATTTTCATCCTAGAAATTATTTAGTAATTTCTATATCAAGAACGGATTAGAACAATCGACAAATGCAACAATAGTAAGAAATGAAGACCTCACAATACTTTAAGGGAGCCCAATGTTTTATGACTAATATGACGCATCTTAATAACTCCAGGTTCATTAACACAATGTGGGTTAGTTAGTCCACGAGCGGGGGAGAACCAACTTCAATATAACTATTGTAAAAAAAAAACTTCAATATAATTGAAAAGATTGCAGATTACAGAGGGAGTATGAGAAGTATATATAGTACTTCTTCAATGGTCTAACCTTAATCCAATATGGTAAAGAATAAGGTTATAAACCAGACCTAGAACAGAGACCCTCGCGACTTCCAATCAACGTCAGATAATTCGATTCAAGTCATATCTACAAATCTCCACCTTGACCTGGATCCTTCCACTGAATCTTTGATGTACTCTGATCCTCTCTCTCCTACCTCAATGCCCCTAAGGCATGAGGGTGGATTCATTGACTCTGGACATTCAGCAAACTCATAGGCATCTCGATGGCTCAAAACCTCGGGCGGTATCTGGGGGTTCCTGTTCTCCAAGGACGAGTAACCAAGCAGAGATATAAATATGTGGTGGACATAATAGGTTAAAAAAAATTAGCAGGATGGAAAGCTTAATTATTAGTCCTAACCGTATGGGTCACTTTAGCTCTCTCCGTTCTTAATGCTATTCCTTCCTATATCATGCAAACCTCAATTTTGTTTGATTTTGTTTGTGACTATCTTGACAAAAAGATTCAAGACTTTGTATGGGGGCTCGAAGGAGGGTCATCGGCGTATCCTCCTTGTTTTTCGGGAGGAGGTGTGAAAAACAAAGGATCAAGGTGGCTTATATCTCCTTAGCACTCGCTATCTCAGTATGACCTTCATGATGAAGCTAGGATGAAATATCCTAGCTTAGAGAAAATTGCTTAGAGATGGCGCAGTTTTTTATGAAAACCGCATTAGGAGGGAGCGGTCTGATAAACCGCGTTGGGAAGCAGCAGTTCACATGCAAACCAAATGCCCCCTGCAGTTTGTATATATATATAAAAAATTGCAAATACGAAACAATAAATTTATATAGTCTAGTGGATGGAAGCTGGTTATGTGTTTGTTCAAATCATGGGTTTGAACCTTAGTCTAAGCAGTTTCTTCTTAAATTCCCTTTCAGTTTTATTATATGTTAATGCTTTTTCAATTTTCCAAATGAACTTAACTTTAAGCTCGAGTATCTGATCATAGCGAATTTGTTTTTTATTCTGCCATAATTTTTCAAGATCTTGCAAGCCACAGGCGGTTTGGTCCTGTCTTCGTCCCGAAAAAAACGTCGTTTTCTACCTCGAACGAGCTTTTTTCCGATTTCGCCAAACTTTGAACGGCCATGACTTTGTGTTCCGCACTCTGAACATCATGAATTTTTTTTTGTTTCATTTCGCATAATTTGTTAAGGACTACAACTTTTACTAGGAAGGAATTTTTCAAAATATTAATTATATTTGATATACGAGAGTTTGAGAATAACTTTACCTTCAGTTTTCACAAATTCACGTACATTCAGAAATTATTAATGGCTATGATAAAAATTGTATTTCTTAAAAAAAGTAGAGAAAGACAAGAGACTGCCCAAATTATCAAACAAACATATAAACTTCTAGCCTACTATGTAATATGTATTATCAAATGGAATGATTACACCTTTTGTTTTACCTGGATATAGACAACACAAACAATGTGTTTGGTTGTTCTAAGTAAAACCCAGAACCCGCATTTTTATCACTTTAACCTATTCCACTATTCTTCCTTGTGTCGCCACTTCCACCCATATCTCCTCCAAAATGAGAATAACAGTGGACGAACCAACGCAAAACCGAATCCATTGCACCACATATAAAAACCAAACCCTATACCTCCAGCATCATCATTCATGCAACCATGTCTTCTCGCACTCATCATCTCCTCGTCCTCCTCTACGCCGCCGCCGCCGCCTTCCACGTCGTCGTCCTAAGCGAGCTCGACTACGTGGTCGTCAACAACGCCCCGGACACCCCCGGCGGAGGCCGGTTCATGGACGACATCGGCGTCGACTACGCCCGTTCCCAACTGTCCTCCGCCGCGGACTTCGTCCTCAACCACGTCTTCCTCCAGCACAACGCCACCGACCGGCGAGGGTACCAACAGGTCAAGCTCTTCGTCAACAAGTTCAACGCGTCCCACGTGGCGTACACGGGCGCCAACGAGATCTACTTCAGCGCCGACTTCATCGGGACCTACTCGGGCCCGGACCTCAAGAGGGAGTTCTCCGGGCTGCTGTACAGGGAGATGGCGCACGTGTGGCAGTGGAACGGCGGCGGGAAGGCGCCGTTTGGGTTGGTGGAAGGGATCGCCGGTTACGTGAGGTTGAAGGCTGGTCTGGCGCCGGAGTACTGGGTGGGGCCCGGCGGCGGGGAGAGGTGGGACCAAGGGCTTGACGTGACGGCGAGGTTTGTGGAGTATTGTGAGGGTGTGAGGAAAGGTTTTGTGGCGGAGATGAATCGGAGGATGAAGGTTGGGTATGGCGATGGGTATTTTGAGGAGGTGTTGGGGAAGGAAGTGGAGGTGGCGTGGAGGGATTACAAGAGCAAGTATGCGAAGAAGACAAAAACCCGCCGCGGTAGGTGAATGAAGTTGAAGCAAAAACACTAGAATCGTTCGTGTTTGATGGGTGGTGGGGGGTTTGGTTTCTGGATTTGTGTGGCCCTTTCGAATCTGTGTTTGGTTTGGACAAATTTTCACATCTTTTGATTCGTTTCAAGAATTATATTGTGTTGGATTTGATCGTTGATTCTCGGTCGCGTGCTGCTGTTAATTCATCTTCACAGGCCACCGTGTCCCCATGTCGTGACGACCACCCAAACTTGTGGTCACTTGGAACAAGATAACATGGCAATTAGGGGGGTGTATGCGGGTCGGTTTGTTCGGGTTTTAAGTATTTTAATCATCCGACCCATGCACTACGGTTTGGGAATTATCAAACCCAAACCCACCTAAAAAAAATTTAAACCTTACGGTTTGTTTATAATTGGGTTGGGTTGGGTCGGGTTGGCGATATTTTTAAGTAAAAACCCAACCCGACATAAAATATATAATTATTAAACATCAAAAAAATATTTTATAATTAATTAAAATTTCAAACAAATAAACCGAGGTGAAAGGTATCAAAATTCACAAATGTTGGTTTGAGTTTTAATAAAATGTGATTTACTTCAACATATGTCTAGTTTTTTTTCACGATATTTGTTGAAATAGGCTAAAAAGGTTATAAACAAATGCATCCATAATATGTTAATCTATTAAAATTGTACACAAGAAAAAAAGATTACGTGAATCATAACTATATTCAATTTATGTCTAAACTTTAAGTTAAAGAATGCATTAGATTAGGGAGACCATGATAGAAAAACATAGCGAAATATCTTAATTTTCTCATAAGTATGACTATATACGACATAAATATTTTTTAGATACGAACTCATACTAATAGTTGGAACACGAGTTGGGTCGGGTTCTATGGGTTGTGTAATCCAAAATCCAAACTCAACCCAAAAGAGGCGGGTTGTACAAAAAAAAAAACCCTCACCCAACTCAAAACCTTCATTTTACCGATATATACGGGAGGGGTAGGTCTGTTTGCGAGTGTGTTTGTTCACCCCCAGTGGAAATGACCCTATATACGACAGGAACAAAGGCTATGCTCATGTCTCATCAACCATCTTACACATCCAAAGCTAAAAGATAAACATATTATACCTTGTTTGACATTCATTATCACTTAGGAGAAATATGGACATTGGAGAGATCAGATTCTAAGGGCATATTGAGCAGTTCGAGTTCAAATTAACGAAATAACTCATTTGTTATTTAACTTATATATATTATTACAAGGGCTTTTTCATAGGAATATTTAGTACAGGGTCATTTGTTATCTTTGCACAGTACAAAGACTGTTATGACCATTAACTAATCCAATTAAATATATAAATATGTTTCTGCTCCTTATCCGAAAACTTGTACGGAGAAGGGTTTTTTTTTTTTCCAGTGAAGTAGTTCTTAGTGAAGAGTTGTCATCGATGCTTGAATCTCTTCCAATGTTCTTCCCTTGGTCTCTGGAACTAACTTCCAGGTGAACGCAACTGTTGCAGCACTCCCGGTCGCAAAAATGAAGAAAGTACCTGTTCCAAAATAGTCAAAATGTAAAACATGTACAATTTAGAAAGCTGATTACAACTTAGTAGCTCGAATAAAATGGGATTTTGTTGTATATATACAATACCTGCAGGGCTCCATTGCATCATGAAATTGAAAGAGTAGGTTACCATCCAGGACGATGACCAATTGACTAATGTGACCAGAGTTCCAGCCAGAGCCTTCACACTCACGGGGAATATCTGTTTCGAAGAACATATGATTCATCGATCGGGTTTCATTTCATCGAGTAGTCATTATCTATGATTAAGATGATTCGTTAAGATCTCACCTCAGACATGATGATCCATGGGATTCCTCCCATCCCAATTGCAAATGATCCTATATGTCCCTGCAAAAAGAATTTGAACTTCCATTTTAGAGCAAGAGGCCAAACAAAACCCCAAAAAAAAAAAAACTTGGGTAGCATAGCAATGAATACTGCACTTACAGTGATGCTAATTACAGTAAGAATTGGAGTGACCTTTTTGAAAAGGTTAAGCCCCTGTAATACGAAAGATAATCCCACAAGGAATGCAGATATCCCCATCCCACCTGCAGAAACCTGCCACATACATATGCATGTTCATAAACACATGATCAAATTGAGATCCATGAATACGAAACTAGCTCTGGCTCCTAATTAATCAACCATGAGGAGAGCTCTTCTTCCGCTGATATCCATTAACGCTACGCCAACAGCTGAGATTGGAATCTGGAGCAAAATTACACCAAGCCAGAAATTAATTAGTGATACCACCAGTATGGACGTTAGTTGTTGCATGATAATTATCATCACTAAGCTCAGCAAATTCAGTAGGTGTACCTGAATCAGAGACATTACTATAGTTCCAATGTTGATTGGGAACCCTGCAGCCATATAGACATTCAAAAAATGGGTTGAGCAGATTAAAAGTGAAACAATTGATGTCACTGTCTACAAGGTTTGCTGACAGAATTGAGGGAACAAATGTTCTACATCACCTGATGATGTTGGATCGAGTCACACCCTATAGCTTAGTACGAAATACATATTCGATAATCAAAAGCTCGAAAAGAAGAATTACCTGATTTCTCAATGATGCTGCTACCATAGTATGCAACTCCAGAGTTGCCTCCCAGTTGTTGGAGGAACATTAGGCCCAGTCCAACCTAATTCATCAGCATTAATAATGAGATTAATGTTGATCATCAAGACAACAACTTTCCTGGGTGGATTAACAATGAGATTTGTTTTTCTGGATCACGTACAGTGAGGGCATAAGCATATTTTCTCTGGAAAATGTCCACCATTCTTGCTTTTGGACCATTGTTCATGTCATCCACAGAGGCCTAGCTAGATGAAGGAAGAAATTATGGTCTAGCTAGCAGTTGGAACGATTGAATGTGAATGTATATATATATGTTGATAGCTTATGAGGAAAGTTGAAGCCCCTGTAGTTATTTTTACCTGGATTTCTTCTTCTTCTGCTGAAATGTCTGCATTCTTGCCCCGCAAGTACTGCAATGCTGCTCGAAACTCCTTCACCCTTCCAGCGTTCGCCTGCCCAAGGAGATCGAGGATAAGGAGATGAGTGCACGATCGAGCTAAGTATTAGCTTGTAATACGTAGTATTGAGGTTGTTCAGAAACTCACTAGCCATCTTGGGGACTCGGGGATGAAGAACAGCCCGATCAGTTGCACGATTCCAGGAATAATAGCTGAGTCCAGAAGCAGAATAGTAGATTACAAATAGCCTTAGTTAATGAAAGAACCCAAAAAATATGGTGAGACAAATTGATAATCTTGGTTACCAAGCAACGCCAGGTTGCGCCAGGAAGCCACAGTCCCAACGGCATAGGTTACTGCAAACCCACTGGTTACTAGCAACTGATGAATATCAGATCAGTTGATGTGTACAAATATTCTCAGTGAAAAGTTGGGAAAGAAGAGTGCTGGAAAATATGAATGAAGGAATACTACTGCACCTGGTTAGCGAATGAGAATGAGCCTCTGGACTCCTTTGGTGTAATCTCTGCAATGTAAACAGGGACCTGCGCGCAAATGGTTTGATTTTGTACAAATTAAGAGAGTGGAACAAAAATGGAGGTAATGAATTTGGTTTTATTATTACTACAAGAGAGGTAATGAATGAATTTATTACCACATAAGTGATGAACCCAACTCCAAGACCCATGGACATCCTTCCCATAATCAGCCACCACTCACTCTGTGGGATCAAATTACGTTTTTTTTAGGAAACGTTTCTAAAATAAGGTATATATGCCTGTAGTGATTTGGACTCATCGTGTGATTTGAAGAGAAGGTCAACCGCTTCAACCAACGGATCGATCGCTTTCGCCAATCAGTCGACTGCTTTGACCAACCGAGCTATCTTTTCTCAATAGGTTGACTGGATGACACACTTACCTTAAACTTACACCTTACTTTTTTGGAAACAGTAGATTGCTTCCAATAAATGATCTACCACTTCCGCAAACTGTTTAACACTGTCGGCGAACGGTTGACCAAATGACAAAGTTATGTTTTACTTCCATTAGAAAAATAATGGACACTAGGAGGCCGTCGATACGAAACTGTTTTATAGTTATGCAGCATCCTATCACTCGTGGGCAACCAAATATCTACGAAGATTTTAGGTCTAGAGAAAAACAAATTACACTCTCTTCTACCACTTCTTGGAAAAAAAAACCCCATAAAAGCAAAGATAATACGAGACTGATAGACGTTGAAGATGACACAACTGTATAACAATTGCATTTAATTTTATGTATTTTTATAGCAACAAAGTTGCTCTATTACAAGACAACTATAGGATTCAAAACAAGCAAACGGACAATTTGAAGGAAAAATGAAAGTATGTGTAGAGTAAATCAACAGTAAGAAATACACATGTAAAACATTTTCCAAATCTATAGGAGAATAATGACCTAAGAAACTTCTCATCCATGCCCCAACCTTTGTACTAACTTTAACTCTTTTACCAGCAAGCATATCTATCAATATTGGACTTCTCCAATAAAACATGTAGATTTCACAAACAATTGTTCATTTAGGCAACTGATTAATGAAAGAGGTCAACCGGTTGGTGAAAATAGTGGACCGCTTTCTCCAAATCACGATAACTTATAAATCACCGTATCAAATTCCAAAATATTAAATATCAAAATAGTTTATGTGCAAAATGTTGGGAAGTATTGCGTACTTGAGCAACTGCGAGGGCGAGCCAGCCAATAATGCAAAATATCTGTGCCAGCCACATTGTCTGCATCCAACAAGCTTAACATTCCTCAGATATATATATATATATATAGCCAATCATGCATTGGATTAACCTGGTGAAAATGAAGAACCAATTCGAGAGCTTAATTACGTACGTATTTCCTGCCAAGCAAAGCAGTAATTCTGCCACAGAACAGGGCACCGATCATCCCTCCGATCTCCAACATCGACCCGAAAGCTGAGTACTGCACCCACAAAAAACCGCATTCTTCAGTAGTCTCGTTCATCATGTCACTCAGATGTAAGATGTAGTAAATCAATTGGATTGAATCAAATGGGTTGTGGACAGATGACGTGTTGGTGGGTTGGATTAAACAGCGGCGGATCCAGAACACAGAAGTGCACTGGGCCTGGGCCGCATTTTATTAGAAAATTAGAATAGTAAAAAAATATCATGATTATAATTTTTTTACAATGTAAATTGTACACGACAGTATTTTAATTTAGCGAATGCATTAATAATGGAGTCCACATCCATACCAATAGTATACACTGTTTCAAATAAAATACTTGAGCAATCGACTAGAAATTCATCGCTCATTTTGTTGCGCAAATCAATTTTCACATGTTTCATTGTTGAAAAGGTTCTCTTCGTATTAACTGTTGAAACGAGCAGCATCAACACTAGACAAATCAATCTACTAATCAATTTGCATTGTGTTTTCATCCCTATATCCACCCGCTGCTCTAGTAAATTTTCAAGTTAACAAACCAGATATATGTTTTAGTCTTTTACGTTTTAAACTTTTTGAATTTTTAGGTTTCATTGTTTTTTTAGACGAATAACCTTTGGGGTTAGAATTTATAAGCTAAATTTAGAGTAGTGATTTTGAATATGTTCATCTGAGTTATTTTTCTAATTATACCCAATCTTATTTTAAAATAACAACGACCCGAATATCTAAAACAAAAAATTCATAAGGCATATACTAACTATGGATCCAGAGGAGGGCTGGGCCCGGGCCCGGGGTGGCCACCCCCTGGATCCGCCATTGGGATTAAATGAATTCGTGGATTGAATTCATGGCGACATATAAATTTTTTGATCACTGTGAACATTCAGTTTAGATACTAAAATGTCGTAGTCGAAACTCCAGGTACCAAAATATAACTTTTTAAATAATATTTTCAATAAAATATTGAGTTGTAGATACTAAAATTGTAAAATATAAACCATATACGTGTCAAATTGTAATTTACTAATTTTCCAACATTACATGAATTTTAAATCTGGATCCAGATTGGTTTGAATTAGTTTGGATTTTCTAGTGTGGTTTCAAATAACTAGTTATGAGTTTTCTAGTGTGCTTTAACAAATTTGTGGTCTGTTTTATGGAGGTTTCTGGACTAGTGTAACGAACTTGTGGTCTGCTTTTGAGTTTTCTGGTATGTATTATGAAGTTTATGATGTGGTGAGGTTTTGATATGCTTTATTAAACATGCCTCTCTTTTCTTGATCTACATTAATTATGGTCAACCCATCGTAATAAAAAAAATCATCAAAATTTAATGTTCTTAAATTAGTATAACTACCGCTCAACCTAGTATAACTAGTTGTTTATTTGCTAATGAATGTGCCCCTCGCATTGGCTAAAGGGTCGTTTTTATTGGTGTGTCGGTGTCCTTAACAAACGAGAAAAAGGACATATCATCAATTCCCTCTCTCTTGTGGTTGTGGACCTAATTATTTTCTACCCTCCTCTCCTCAAAATATCAAGAGAAAAGGACATATCATCACTTCACTCTTGTGGATCTCACAATTTTGTATCCCGACGATAAAAAAGATTCAATATTGCGATATTGTCAAGACTCAATTTATTGTGATTTGAAATAAGTTTTGATAATTTTACTATTGTTGGTGGGTATATTTATATTTCAAATTTTAGTCTGTGTCTAAATTGAACTGGTAATATTGGAAATCCAGAAGATTATGTTCTAACGTTGAACACCGTTGATTAAATTTCTGGGTCCGCCACTAAAATAGAAAGGTGAAAACACCTACATTAAAAAAGAATATATTTCGCTTGAATGTAGTTTAATATATGATTTTTTTGTGTGTACAGTCATCTAGACCCAATTAGAATATTTGGATCTCACCCAAATGTATTTTATCCAAATAGAACTCAATTCATACCCAGCCCAAATCCAAACCCATTAAAACGGTTCATTTGGATCCGACCCAATGTCCATACTCCATAGAGATCATAAAATATTGGATCAAATTACCCAATAAATCCACCCATTGACATGTCCACCCAAACCTCTCAAAATATCAACAAAGCAAGCAAGGAATATTAGGTGATGCATTTCAACCCTAGTGCATAAAGGTGTGGTATAAAAAGTAGTAACAACTTAACAATGCCCTTCACAACACAACAAGCACTGTCCAATCAATTGGGGGCCAAAAGATTTTTTTTATTTTATATTATAGGGTTAGAGGTATATAGAGTAAAAAAACAACTCAACAATACTCTTCAGTGAATAATATTCTGCACCATACTATTACAATTGCATGCTAAAAAAGAGAAGCAACAGAATCAATTGGTGGGAATGAATATAAAGTAGAAGAAGAAGAAGAAGAAGACGAAGAAGGAAAGGATAGGGAAGAACTTACAGCAGCGATTGATAGCCCCAAATCTTGCATTATTCCCGATTGCGCCGGTGATGAGTAGGACAGCTGCACCCAATCACAAACCCGTCTTTCATTATTAGAAAGACAGAGAGACCACACACATGGCTCAAACTACAGATAAGTACCGCCAACAAATTTTCTTGGAGATGAACAAATGACTGTTTAAGAAAGTCAACTTATAAATTTGAAATGTACATCGATTTAAAGCTCACATTTTTCGTATTAGCGTTAAAAAAAAATTGATTTTTCCACTAAAAAAGACGAGCGTCAGCACGCTAACCGGAACATAGCTCAATGAAGTACGAATCATGTTCCTTCACGGCTCTTGCTAACTTCAATTATTGGTTTTTGTTCTTCCAATAAAATTCTCGTTAATTAATGATGTCCTCTTTTCCTTAATTCGCTTTTTTCTTTTCTGTTTATGTTTATTCAATTATTCTACACGCATTTATTATTACTACTATGATTATATTATGGATCAGACTTGTCATTCCAGACCCAAATAGGGGGGAAATTGTTTGTTTTTTTCTTTTTCCAGAAACAGAAGAATATTTTTTTTAGAGAGAACTAGCTTTAAAAAGTTTCCAAACTAGTAAAATAAAGAGGTGATATAGGGAAGAGGAAGGCCAGTTAATTAAATAATAATAATAACAGAGACGACCTAATTTAACTACTAAAACTGAACTTACAGCACAGCCGTAGCAGAAGGAGCCACAAATGGCGATGAATGTGCTGAAGATGACCGCGGGGTTGACCGCCGACGACGACGACGATGAGTCCCTGCCTCCGGTACCCGGAATACAGCTGCTGCTGCTGCTGGCGCCGAACTCGCCTGACCGCCCCTTCTCGTCGGCGCCCTCAAGCAGAGGCCTTCCTGCTAATTCTTCCATTGTATATCTGTATACTCCCCCCCTTCCTCGATCTGCTTTCTTAATTTCTTCTCAATTTACTGGTTACAGAGGGAAGAGATGAAAGGAAGGATTGATTGATTGATTGAGCAGAGTGTTAGAACAGGAGGGAGAGGAGAAAGAGATTTTGGAGGCTTTGGGATTGGGAGGGAGGAGGGATTTGGAGTGGTATATAAAATAATGTCCGTACAGGAAACTATGTTGGCTCAAGGTTGTTAGACCTCCATATTGGATTTTCGGTTGAACCTGATTCGACCAAAGTCGGCCTTCAAAACAGTCTCCAGAAAATCTCTCGGTCTGATCCGTAAATAGGGAGAAGAGAGAAACAGGAACGAAGGAAATAAGAGAGATGGTGGGTGGAGATCATGAAGATTAGGTAGATTTATTTTGTGAAAAACAAGTTTGTAATAGGAAACATATAAGATAAATTTCATTTCAGTCATTAAATCATTAATTACTATCTTTAGGGCTGGCTATTTGGTCCGGGTTTTTTTATTTTACTCAAAACCGGACCGTATAACCCGGACCGAGACCGATAGCAAACAATCTAATCTCATCTTTGGCCTTAGATTTGAGGTAAAAAACCGTTTGGGACCGGATCGAAAACCGAATAAGAGAGTCCAACACCAAAAACTTTGCCAACTCCTCACCTTTTGAGACATAAGAGAGCCCAACACCCAAAACTTAGCCAACTAGTCACCCTTTGAGGCCTCAGGAGTCAGGCCACTCAAATGCCAACAAGCTCAATCTAAAATTAAGACCGAATTGGGACAGAACCGGGTTAAGACCGAAATGTATCCAATCTTTGATCCTTATATTCCCGAAAAAATTGGATCGGAACCGGATCAATTCGGGCCAATTTAACCGGACCGTATAACCACCCTTAACTATCTTATTTGTGTATATATATTTAGAAAACGTCTAAAATGGCTCAAACCGGCCAAACTCCGATCAGACCTTTAAACCGGTTTGACTATCTTGATGTGGCTTTAATTGAATTTTTATTATTATTTGGGCTAAATTACACGTTTAGTCACTCGGATTATACAAATCTTTCACGTTTGCCACCCGAATTACTTTTCTTTCTTATTCACCACTAACTTTACGAATTGTTTCACCGTTAGTCACCGACCGTTACATTCCGTTAACTATGTCATACGTGGCAGTCAACTATAAAGTTTGACCGTCAACTAGATGACGTGGAAATTTAAAAAAATTAAAAAAAATAATTTATTTGTCCACATCATCATTCCACTTACTTTCTATATATTATTTATCATATTACTTATTTAATAAAGATTAATTAAATTATAAAAATAAATAATATAATTGTTGTCCCTTCAAATGATGTCGTGCTGCCTGCCGACGGCGGCGGCGGCGACCACCTTTGCCGAAGGTGATGACGGCCTTGTCGAGTCCCGTGGGCTCTTCGTCGTCGACGAAGCGTCCTTTGTCACCCAAGGCTTCGATGGCGCCCACAGAGTGAAGAGGATGAAGAACAAGAGGAGCGGCTCGGCTTCGTAAATTGGGATTCCAGTTTCCAGATTCAACTGGGATGGAATTCCCTTCCGTGTTAGAGCTTCCCCAAGCAAAGATGCCTGCACCAGCCAAGCCATATATAAAACACATGTGTACAATCACACTCAGCTGAGAGTCTATAGTTGAAAGAGGGCAAAGGCAAAAGCAGAGGCCACGAAGACTCACAGCAAAGCCAATCATGGCGGCATGCCCCACGAAGAGCTCATTCTGCTTGGTGAAACCAATCCCTCCAAATGTTCCAAAGATGCCATCCTCAACTTTGGGCTTTGGTGGAGGAGCCTATCCATGCATATACACATAACTGAATTCAACATTTCCGTATTAAAGGAGCAGAGCAAAGAACCGTGAAAAACAGAGTCTAGGCTCACAGATTGGTTTGAAGGTCTTACCTTCTTAGGAGCAGCCTTGGTTTTAGATTTGAACAGAGCGACAGTGGTAAGTGATCTAGAAGAAGAAGGAAGTGGGTTGTATAGGAGATGAGATGCGAATGACCTGGGCTTTACTAAACGGGAGAGGCCGCAGCCGCAGACGGAATTGGAGGCGGAGGAAGATTTGAAGACTCTGAAGAGGAGGAGCTGCTTCTTCTTGGTAGGATTTGGATTCCTCCCCTGCTTCAGCTTGCCGTTGCGGAGAATAAATCATCTTATTATTTATTTTTATAATTTGATTAATTTTTATTAAATAAGTAATATGATAAATCATATACACAAGGTAAGTGCAATCATGAGTTGGACAAATAAATTAATTTTTTAATTTTATTTTTATAATTTCCACGTCATCTAGTTAACAGTCAAACTTTATAGTTGACTGCCACGTAGGACATATTTAACGGAGTGTAACGGCCGGTGGCCAACGGTGAAACGATTCATAAAGTTAGTGGTGAATAAGAAAGAAAAGTAATTCGGGTGGCAAACGTGAAAGATTTATATAATTCAAGTGACCAAATGTGTAATTTAGCCTTATTATTTGCAAATGACAAAGCTGTGTGGTCCGACGGATCGGACGGCACACAATAGGCCCCGTAGTCGTTTTCAAACTTTATTTTTTATTTCCAAAAGTTTCTTATTCTTTTTTTATTCTTCTATAATTCTATTTTTGCATAGCACTACTACAGTACTACTTTGTCTTGGTTTGGGTGGTTGGAGACTTGGGGAGGAGGATACTGGCTAGTTAGAATGGCACGCAAAAATATCCACCAATGCACGTGCGAAAATGCCTTTTGTTAGATATCAAAAGTTAATAGGAGGGCAAAGTTCGTGAGGGTTTATGCCTAAAGCGGCCTTATGGGAAGTCAGTTTGATTTGCACCCCAATGCAAAATCTGTGAGGGTCTATGCTCAAAGCGGACAATATCTTGTCGCAAAAAAGTTCGGGATGTTACAAGTGGTATCAGAGTCTCTTCGCTTCATTCTTGAACGATGGTTTGACAAACCTCGACGAGAACATTGAGTTCAGGGGGGTGAATGAAACACTTTAGGCGGCTCTCACATCGAGAAAGTACGAGAGAGATCAATGGTAAGAAACTAAGCTTATCTGACAAGACATATTTTGGGATGATATGGAGTTCTTGTGATAACTTTGAAATTAAACATGCTCGCTATGGAGCACCGTAAACATGAGTGACCTTATAGGAAGTCACATTGATATGAACCATACTACAAAATTTGTGAGCATTCGAACCCAAAAACAAACAATATCTTATCTGAAAAAAGTTTCGAGATGTACGATGTGTTAGGGAATTCTAATTCCTATAATGATATAGGCCACATATTTTACAATTATATGAGCTATTTGGTTATGTGGACTAATTGAAAGTGGTCCAAATTAGAAGGTCAAAGATGTCTGGTGTTTTTTATATGTAACTAAATGGGTGGACACTCAATACTAACTCACCTTAGATTTTATGGGAGTCTATGGTGACCATACTTTAGAGATTGTGGTCCCCAATACACCAAGATCATACCGCTAAATATTCTTATCAATAAATTATCAATATTTATATATCGAGTCACTCTGTTTGTTTTGGTTAAAGAGTAAACACGTTATTTAATATATTTTATGCATAATATTTAATCGAAGGCTAAAATGGCATTTACCAAATAATGAAAATTTTGAATTATTTTCTTAACAATTCCGAGAATTAAAATTTTAAAATTATTTAAGATCTAAAATTTTAGACTTCATTTCTCCAGATAACAAGAATACGGCAATCACCAATCATATAATCCGGCTCCTTGCATTCGTTTCACACGTTTCTCTTCCTGCAATGTATCAGAATATGACCCGGCGACTCTTTACAAGTGGCGATTCCCCCGCAGGAGTTCTACCAAACTGAGGTTTTCCAGTTTAAACAGCAGATTTCATACCTAATTTTGTGGAGTGAATGTGAAGTTTAGCCTTGATTACACAATTACTTATTCTATAATGTTTGCATTGCGATAAATGAGAGAGGACCGAATTTCTTCATAGTCGTAGTTTCAGCATAAAAGTCGTGAGCTACCACATAGCGATAGCAATCAAACTACAATCATGCGCAGAGGCGGATACATGATATTTAGGGGTGTCACAAGACAGTTTTAAAATTTGGGAAAATGATTATCCAATCTCCTGATAGTATTTCGGTATAAATGATAATCCGGGACATTACTAAAATTTGAAGAAAAAAAAATGATTGTCCTACCCTTCATAGTATTTTGCGTTTGATTAAAAAAGTATCAGTGGTAATCTGTGTTATTCAAACCTGAACACTACTATTATTAAACATATTCTCTATTAGGTTGCAACTAATTTGTTCAACACTATGTAATATTAAAAACGTTATTTCTTAATAATAAAAATGTTATTTCTTATCTCCAAGTGTTTTCAAAACCTAACAATTTAACTAATTACGGGCTACCCTTAATTTGAATTGATTTTATGGTTAGACGGCAAATATTGAAAGAGTCTTTTCAGTCACATCAAGAATAAGGTTAGAAATCGAATATGCAATTAGTTCGTGATTTATTGTCTAGTAGAATATAAAGATTTGTTGAGCAGTGTAGATATCGAGTCTATTTTATATTCACTTTTTCAAAATATGAAAACACGCCGTGACTTTTTGTTAAAATTTGTACTAGTCGGATATTTTATGATTTATGAATAATTTCTTTTATTTTTTAATTTAATTTTTTGAAGAAGACACCCCTATAAAAAGTTCGTAGATCCGCCCCTGATCACAGGTACTCAATACCTCGATTCAATCAATAGAAAATTCATGCATTGACCAGAGGTTCAAAAAGGAGCTAGGCGTAAGGCGGGTGTTGAGCCTTTCCCTAGCGCCTAGCTCGTCTAGACGTAGCCTAAGCGTGCCTAAGTGTTGGAGGATTTTCGCACTGCATGATGAATGAAAATAATAATCTACAACACTTTCTCACTTTAGTTAAAATGATTAATAACTTACTCAACACTTAATGACAAGAACATAGCCCAGGAACTCACAGAATCATAGCTCAATAGCTCACAAAGTCTGTTGAGCTGTTGAAAATATTGATATAGAAAATTGATTTCGTACTTGATGTTAATTTTTTCCTTTGATATTGCCTTTCTAGCTCCATCTAGTAATAGTTAGGAGAGAATTAATATGTCGACTTACTCAATTGACGTGTTCCGGGATATAATTAGACGGAAAACCCCTAGACGAGGCGTTTTATCATTGCCTTGCATAAGCACTACCTCCACCAACCAAAGTGCTCCCACCAGAAGATAGGGCAATGTTGCACACGTTCCTCTTCTTTACAACAGTGACAAAATGATTCCGCCCTCACCGAGGTTTTCCCAGTTTGAATAGTAAAGGCCAAACCCAATCGGGCAATCGGCCCACAGAAACCGAAAGCTTTGCCGCAGCTTTTGTCTCAAAGCAAATAATGATTTCAAAGCTTACCGAGCCGAGGGTCCAATTCCCATGACAATATAAATCATTCAGCTGCTTGCTTCCTGCGTGGGCCTGTTTGTAAAATTATCAGGTGTAAAATTATCAGGCGTAGCTCTATTTGTTCGCAATTTTACCCTCTCGCAATCGGATTTGTAACCAGCAGCTCCAATCCAAAAATGGGGAAGATGGTGGAATGTGCTTGGACTTAACAAGCATCAATTTGTGGGGAAAAAAAAGACGAAAATTCTATAAATGTAGGGGACATCAACTGGTTTAATGATGTGCGGTAAGTTGTATTTGCCTATTTGGAGTAAGTGGGTATTGGTTAACAAACTAACAATGATTGAAGCACTTTGTTTAAAACTGAAGATTAGTTTATGCTCAATATTTCAAATCTTCTATTGATTTCATGTTTGTTTGCATAGATGATAGCTTTGAGCTCTTGAAATCTTGGAGAGGTACGAAGAAATTCTAAACGGCTTTGTTTATATGGAAACAATAATATACAAATAATTATAAACAAGGGCAACAATGTCAATGGTATCTCATAAGTATATACCCACAAATATATTTCAGCAAAATCCATCATGAAATCCAACAAGCAAACAAGGTTTTGGTCCAAATCCATAATGGACCAATTCCATCACAAATCTTTGGTTTTATAAAACTCAAATTTTAACCAAAACCTTCATTTTTCAAATTAATGAAGCAAATGAGCCCTTAAAGTCTGTTGGGTCCACAGATTTATTGCCCCTAAATCCATGAAGCAAACAATGGAGAGGTCGTTTGGAAGTTGTGAATTTAAATGGTGTATCGAGCTAATTCGTGCATTTATCGTATTAAGTCGTTTTTTTCTTTTTATGAACTATAATACATGCATTTACTTTTTGGAGGTCCCACCACAATCACTCAAAATTGAGGGATTATCAATATCTACTTTTTGTTCAGATTATTCACAATCACTCAAAATTAACTTTTGTAGCTTTGCAAGAAAAACACAATCTAAACCTCCAAACAAGATACTTGCATAATACGTCAATTGATTCAATATATCAAATGATAATACACTAATTGTCTCAATACATCAATTTGAAGAATCACAACTTCCAAACAACCCCATAGTGTAGACAAAGTTTTTGGTTGATCCAAATCCATCATGCAAACAACCCCTTGAGGAATTTACAGATTACAAAACAAAATTCGGAACAGAATAACCAAACAAATTGACTTGACTACAAATAGGATAATAAAGAGCATTTATAGAACTCTTATTTTAATCCCAAACAATTTTCCCGAACGTAAAAACAAAAATTCAAACAAAATCCCAAATATAATTGACAAAAACAAAGAAGACAACCCCTCAAACCAAATTCAATGCATTACGTGTGTAATTGAAAATGGTTGAGCAGTCTTGTGCATGAATTTTGACGACCCTATCTGCAAGCCTATGATATTCAGATTTGTGCAAACTTCAAGTCCATATAAGTTGAATTTATTTTGAGGGGGCGTGTTAATAAATAGTATAAGATCCATTAATAAACTCTCCCAACATATCAAGTTATTGATACTAAATAGTTCTTCATAACTCCTAACAACCAATGAATTTCAAGTAAAACATGAGGAGCAGTATAAGATGGAGAAAGTCTTGAAGACTGGCCATAAATAATTATAGTCAATACAGATGAGTAAAGATAGCCAGTATCCCGATTGTTTTCATATTGAACATGGCATTGGTAGATGGTAATGATCATCTTACTAGGATTTTAAAGAATGTAGTAGATTGTTTGTCCTCCTTAATTAGTAGGATAGACAAAAAAAAAATCCCAATTATTTGAAAGAACCGACTCTCTGAAAGAGTGAATTTGAAGACCTAATCTTTCGGAGTAAATCCACTTTGAGATTTACTGCTGAGCTCTCGAATTACTGCTGAATTTGAGAGGTAGAATAAAATTCGACGAGAGCACAATAATTCTTCTTATCTCATAAAAGATCACTAAAGTAGTTTCTGGTTAGGATGAGACTCACAACGGTTGGTATGCATGACTGTTTTGAAATTTGAATAGCTCAAATGAGTTTAGAAACTAGTGTGATCTAGGGGTGGCTATACGGTCCGGTCCGGTTAAATTGGCCCAAATTGATCCGGTCCAGTCCGGTCTTTTTGAAAATATAAGTACCGAAGATTGGATTGGATACAGCCGGTCTTGATCCGGTCCGGTCCCAATTCGGTCTTGATTTTACATTGAGATTGTGGGTTTTGAGTGGCCTAAGGCCTTAAAGGGTGAGGAGTTGGATAAGTTTTGTACTAAGTGCAAAGGTTTGTGACCGTTTATGCAAAATTACCCTTAAGTTTTGGGTGTTGAGCTCTTTTATCCGATCTTTATCCGGATTTTTACCTCAAATCTAAGCCCAAAAATTGGATTGTTTACTATCCGGTCCCGTCCAAAAACTCTTCTCGGTGACTAGTTTGAGAAATGGTTTTAAAAGGTGATTATAATTTGGAATTATTTATTTTGTGTACATACAAAATCCGGACCAGTCCCCGACCAGCAGACTCCACCCCCTTTTCCCCATTCTCAAAGTTGCATCGGTAACTGGTGAAACCCTAGAAGATTGTAACAATTGTAAAACATGCTTAAATTCTGATGGCCCCATTAATTACCGTCGAGAATTCACTAATTTAGAAAGAAAGAAAGATCACCCCTTTGACCAGCGAGAAAAAAATACATACAATTTCCCCTTTCTCAGTGGGTCCCCGTCTTTCCTCTATTCAAAACGGGAGGTCGTTTAAGCCCCTAAGCCATAACTAGTAACTACTACCCTCCCTGGCTTTTAGCTAGCTAGGAAAAAAAGGTTACAAAAGAACGAGACATCCAAAGCAAATCCAATTACTGGTCGGCCGAGGAGGCTGGCGGTGGTGAAAAGCACGGAAATGCGGGAGTAGGAGTCGTGGTGGTGGAGAGAGGGGACCAAAGATCGGCGCCGTTGGTGGTGGCGGCGGTGGCGACATGCATGGTCCAGTCCACCGGAACCAGGCACAGCCCTCTGCTCTTCAGCTCCCTCTTCCCCTGCTGCTGCTGCTGCAAATCGGGACACAAACACGGCCAACGTTTGTTTAGATTAGAGATTAAAAGGGTGTGTTAATGGCGATTGGGGGGGTTATTTTGGTACTTACAGATTTGGGTTCTTGGAGGAGGAGGTAAGGCGAGCAGAGGACCTGAATCTGATCTTGCAGGAACCTGATGTATCCCATCGCTTCGTGCAGCACCGATGCCGTATCCGTCTGCACTTTCCCACTCCAATTTCAATTTATTATTTGTTATCATGAGCTTGATTGAATCCCAAAGCAAAAGAAACAGAAAAGTAACTAGCTTTCCTTGTTCTTGAAAGTGGGAAAGGAAAAGAAAAGACAGGGGAGATGAGAGGAGAGGAGAAGAGCAGACCTTGCCAAAGGGGGAAACCAGCTGCTGCAATGTCGCAATCCTTTCTCCCACCTTCTCTTTCCTTGCCTACAGTACCAATACACTCAACACAGCTCCATCATCATCATCATTTCATTATTATTAGTATTCACAATAACTATAGGCTGTGGAAAGAAGAACAGAGGAACTTTTTTTTTTTTTTGTTACAATGCAATCACACACCCTAGGAATAGGAGGAGGAGCAGCAGCAGAGGCATTTACTACCACTGTTTTACTCTTCTTGCTTGCCCTCTTCCTCGGTGGCGGAGGATTTGCAGCGGCGGCGGTGTTTGGAAGAAGAAGATCGTCGTCATGATTGCTGTCCTGATAATGATGACGATGACGCGGCGAGAACAGAGCACCGCCAAAGCAGAGCATCGAAGGAGGAGGAGGAGGAGCAGAGTGGGGAGGATGGACATGCGCGTCATTAATGATCATGTGGTGAGGATCATCATCGCTGGAGCAGAGGAGTTGGGAGAATGTGGTCGGGTTCGGTCCCCCTAACAGATAATCGCCACTGTCGTCGTCTTCGTCGTCGTCTTGTTGATTTGCTGCTGCTGCTTCGGCCTTGACCATCATCCGATGATGGCAGTGAACAGAGGAAGGAGTCATGGCGGTGGTCTGCTCATCATCATCGGTCATCATCTATACAGAGACCAGAGAGAGAGAGAGAGAGAGAAGGCGGGTGGAGGAGAGGACTGCTGTGCAGAAGAAAGGAAATGAAGTTGGGAGTTGCGAGGGAGGTCTTTCTTCTTCCGCTTCCGTTTCCAGATAGAGATTTTCGAGGCAGAGAGAGAGAGAGAGAGAGGGGGGAAGAAGGTTGGGGTTCGGGTCAGGCGGGTGGCGTTTTTCCACTGTTGCCGTCTGGTGCTCTGGTTACACTCCTTTCTTTGTTTGGCTTTCTTGTTCAGGCAGGTGAGCAGTCAGCTGGTGAGGTCAGGTGCCAGTCAAACCACCACCTGGCCCGAGAAAACAAAACCCTGATTCACTCATTCAATGCTGAGTAGGGATGTCAATCCAACCCGTAACCATGAGTACTTTACCGACCGTAACCGGTCAACGAGGGTAATTACCCGCTTTGACGGGTTAAAGGGTGGGTACGGGTAATACCCGGTTTCAAGTAGGGTACGGGTATGGTAATCGATAATACCTGTCCCGTTATACCCGCCCAGCTAACCAAATGATCAATTTCCCTTGAGAAATTTATTTTAGCTTGAGAAATTGAGTTTAGCTACCATTATTGATGATGAAGATGTAGACGATTATTATGTTTGTGTGGATTGTAGAAGCAAGAACAATTATTATGTGTTTGCTGTTTTCATTTGTGTGGATTGTTGAAGCTAGAACAGTTACAAGTATTGAGAATTTTTAATGGACAAGAGTATGTATGTGCATATATGTGTATAAGTTCATAGTTTAGGATTCGCACCCATGGTTACCCGAATACCCGTGGTTACCCGGTGGGTAGGGTATGGTTATATAATTTTCATACCCGGTGGTTATTTGGTCGGGTATTTAGAAAGCTCTACCCGGCGGGTTAGGAGTTGGTATAGGGTAAACCCGCACCCGACCCTACCCATTGCCATCCCTAATGCTGAGTGACTGGTAGGGATGTCAAAAATAACCATACGTATGAATACCCGCCAGAATACAATCTTCTGTCGAACTAGGTGATGGATGGATATGATTTCTTCGCTATCTAACTTAAATCTGTCCGATTATACACATGACGAATTGACGATTAATTTTGTTTTCCTTTAACATATTTTATATTTATCATACATATATAATACTTTAAAGAAATTATATTAGTTTAAACTAATTCTTCCATTGATATCCACAGATAATAATTTTTTTTCTAATATGAAGTACATTTACTTCACAGAAATTACAAATAGTAAGAGAAATATAAACAAGGAATACTAGTTCATTATATGCTACAAATATACAAATTAATATACTAGGAATGATAAGTATATTGAAATAAAAAATTGATGATTTATACACAACATAGTATATGCATGTATAATCTGGCGGGTTTGGATTGAATTTTACTTATAATACCAAGTATTTTATTTAGTTCGGGATTTACTCTACCCTACTCGATCAAATCGAATTTGTAAAGGTATCATCTCCTTCCTCTCTCTCCCCCACCCGCCACCGAGCAAACAGAGATGAAGAGATTGGAAGCGACAATGAGGGTCGGGATAGGGAGACAAAGAGATGGTGACGATGGCAGGTTAGGTTGAAGCTTTTCTTTGAACGACTGTTGCAGATCTGGAGATCATTTTTGCTAATCTCACAACGATGCTAGTGAAGAAGCTCTTCATCAAGAGCGACATTGTTTCACTGATACGAAGATTGAAGCCACAACCACAAGTCCGCTCCTCTCACTACAAAACCCTCTTGAAGCTATCCAAATGATTTACAAATACTTCATGTAAGTCCATTTTATTTAAAGTTTGAAGTTACAACATACATAGCCTATACCTTGTATTGTATCTAGGATACCTTGTATAGTATCTAGGGCAGGAAGTTTGGTACCGGTATCTTGGGATATACCGAATACCGTACTGAATTTGTTTATATTTGGTATTACTGAATACACGTATTATTTCTTGTGATTGAGATTGAGATTGAATTTCAATTGTAATTCGTTATTATGGATTACGGGATTGGGACCGGTATATACCGAAATACCGACCAATACCGAAATATAAGCTAGTGTGTATTTTATCATCTCAACTAGACTCTCTCGTTCACTACTACACGATTCTCAACCACCAAAAGTGTCATTTTATTCAATATTTCGGTATTTGATATTGAGATACCGATACCATACTAATTTGGCGATTTCCCCTAATTGTATCACAAGATTATCTTTAGACCACATAACCATAAAACCAAACTGGATGCTAGAAACAGGACACACTAATTACTAATTAAGCTTAGTTAGGCAAGGTTTAGAGAAAATCGAAGAGAAGCGCGGGGAGAAGAGCTGTTCCTCGTATTGGAAGACGGGAAGTAGTGAAGATTGTCGGTCAAAGTAAAAAAAAAAAAAAACGCTGTTCCCGACATTTGCACCGCCTGCGTGTGTTGGGTTTCAACTTCCCACACTGCCACTGCCTTCCGCCGCCTGTTTCCACCCTCCTCCGTCCAGCTCATGCATCGAGAGTGGAAACGAAGACTGTAGCCATGGCAGGTGAATTCCTTTCATGCATTCAAAAAGGAGGACACTTTTAGATCCTTTTTTTTTTACTGATTTTCCTTGGAGGAGTTAAGCTATTAGCTATGCATCAACTAGAGTCTGTCCTCATGCCTGCAGTTCGCTATTGCAGGACACCAGTTACCCAGTTAGCAAAAGCATTGCACTGTGCACATGTCTTCCTGAGTTCTGCAGCTAGCTAGCAGTAGCTGCAAACCGATTCTCTCCTCACCATTGCTGTACTGAAGAATTTTTCCCTACAATTGTCAACCGGAACAAAATATGACGAGAGAAGGTAGAAGACTTTATTGGCGTGCAAGCTCCTTAATGTTTTTTAACTCAGCACCTCGGAACAGATAGATTACCCTTCTCTCAAATGAAGGTAGAAGAATTAAGGCTCTGCTCTAGCTTATGAACCAACATAGAACACCATTACTCCCCACATCTACGTCTTTTGATGATCCAGCTCCCAAAATCAACTCCGAATCCAAATACCCAAATGGGCTGAAGGAGCAAAATACAGAAAAAAATGAAAGAAAGAAAGGAAGCATAGTAGCATATTCGTTCTGGCATAACAACAAACACCTGGCGCGCACGGGCCAATTCAATTCTGCTTTCACCCGGAACAAATCTCCTTCAACTTGTTAGCTGCCGACTCCTCCACCGAGTACTGCGATCTTGCACAAAGATCCATAATCAACAAACTGAAGCGCGAACCAAAGATGGCGGAAAAAGATGGAAGAAGGGACCACCTTGTTGAGGACCCAGAGGGAGTGATTGTAGGCTCGATGGAAGAGCTCATCGGGCGACGTGTCGTCATTGGCGTCCAGTTCTCGGTAGTTGACGAAGTTTTCACGGGCGTATTTGGCGTAGTACGGCCTTGTATCCTTAGGCAGCCGCCTCACCAGCCTGAGGACCTCGCCGTAGATTCTCAGCGCCTTCCGCATCTCACTTTCCGGTAGGCTGATTTCCAATTCCCGTCGTTGATTTCCTTGCAACGGAGTGAATCGAACGGAGCGATGGGCTTCTAGGTCTGAGTCCAAACAAGACGTACTGGAGCATATCTTTTTCATTGTTGGGCCGGCCCAATATCTCGTAGAGATAGCGAAGTTTAAAAAGTTTTCAGTAAAATTATATTTGACATTTTTTTCCCTCGCTTTCTTCCGCGGGAAGCTTTGAGGCGTGGAGATTTTCTTTTCCTTAAAATTGGGAATTCAAAATTCAAAATCCCCCTTCCAAATTCCATGCTTCTTGTCTCCCGTTTCCCCCTTCGATTTTGCTCGGCGATTCTCTGCCGGAGTCCGGCTGAGCTTGGCGGAGGCTGAGAAAATTAGGGTTAGAGATGCCGATAGAAATGCCGAGAGGGTTGCCGTTCTCGGTGGACACATGGAGTGTGAGATCCCAGATGAAACGGCACCATTTCTTGACTCACGCCCACAAGGATCATTCCTCGGGAATCTTGACCCACTCATCTTTCCCGATTTACTGCACCGGTCTCACGAAATCGCTTCTCCTCAACCAATACCCTCAGGTAGGGGTTTCCTCTCCTTTTTTACTGAGAATTTTTGTTTTGTATTTAACAGCTTGCTCAGTTGCTCTATGCTTTGTGTGATTCTGGTTTCTATGCTGTGCTGTTTCATCCACTTTTTTGTTTATGTGTTCAGCTTGATGAGTCGTTGTTTCTGAGAATTGAAGTGGGGCAATCAATTTTTATCGATGACCCAGATTGTGAATTCACGGTTACAGCTTTCGATGCCAATCACTGTCCAGGTAACTCGGTCTAATTTTTGGCTACTTGATTTGGCAATAGGGTTTAGAGTTAACTTTTCTCGATGATCTGATATTGTGTATTAGTGAATTTGTTCATGTTGAACCTGCCACTTTGGGGAGTTTTGGGGTTTGCCATACATTTTATGCAGCATCTACAAATGATGAAATGATTTTTTTTTTTGGTTAGAGAGCTTCATTGACATATGTGACCTGACCTTGATTGGTATGACTTTCAGGAGCTGTGATGTTCTTATTTGAAGGCAGCTTTGGAAGCATCTTACACACAGGAGACTGTAGGCTTACCCCTGAGTGTTTATATTGTTTACCTGAAAAGTACATCAGCAAGAAAGGGATACAACCTACTCACCGCCTTGATTATGTTTTCTTGGATTGCACATTTGGCAAGTTCCGCCAGCCACTTCCATGCAAGCGTTCGTCAATTCAGCAGGTACACCAACATTGCTTCTTACCTTTCTCGTGTTCATCATTCAGCAGCAGGACTACTTGTAGTTCTGTACATGTATAGAAGTTCTGGTTTGCATTTATCTTGGATAAAGTTGGGACTTTTCGTTATGGAAAAACAGGTGATTAACTGTATATGGAAGCACCCTGCTGCAACTGTAGTGTACCTGACATGTGACCTTCTTGGTCAGGAGGATATAATGGTCAGTGTGTCCCAGGCATTTGGTTCCAAGATATTTGTGGATAAAGTTGCCAACCCTGAGCTGTTTGGAGCTTTGAATCTTACAGTGCCTGAGATCCTTACCCAAGACGAATCTTCTCGTTTCCACGTGTTTGATGGGTTCCCCAACCTGTACAAACGTGCAGCAGCGAAGCTTGCTGAGGCCAAAGCAAATTCCCAGCCTGAGCCCCTTATCGTCCGTGCTTCAGCACAGTGGTACGCATGTGATGAAGAGTATTCATGTACTGGCAGTGAAGGAAAATTGAGATTTGATACAGTTGTAAAAGACCTATATGGTGTTTGGCATGTGTGTTACTCCATGCATTCGTCCAGGGAAGAACTGGAGTGGGCTCTTCAACTTCTTGCACCAAGATGGGTTGCATCAACCACCACTCCCAGTTGTTCAGCTATGGAGTTGGATTATGTGAAAAAGCATTGTCTCGCCAGCAGATTAACTCCAGGCGACCCTCTATGGAAGCTTCTCGACATTCGTGTGGATGGTGATGATGTATCGACACAATGTACAGGTAAGAATTCTCCTGTGGTTGAGCGGGTGCCTGCTGAAATGGTAGGAGGAGAATCTCCTACGAAATCGAAGAATGGATCTTTCTCCAAGCTGCCCTGTACTTTGCCCCTATACGAAGGGCAAACGGTTACTTTATTTGGCAGAGCTAGACTTAGGATTGAAGATTCCTTTGAGAAATGTGGACAATTGGTTTCAGACAAGATAGGCAGGGAGCTCCAGGTTGAAATAGCCCGTGAAGAGGAAAGTGACGTGGTAAAAGTGAAACAACAAGTGGAGCATAGTAGTGTCTGTGGAGAAGAACTATCAGAGAAAGATGGGTCTAAGGTTTCTTCTTCTGGTGCTGCTAGTGGATCCTCGAACAACTTGGGTGAAAACTTGAAGAGGTACTACAGGTCCATGAACGTGCCTGTGCCTCGGCCACTTCCGTCGTTGCTCAAACTTCTGGACAATCACAAGAGAAGAACAAAGAGGAGATTTTGATTATTAGAACTCAGATTCATCGGCAACCACATCAAAATATTGCTACAGGGGAGATCTCAAATGAATATTGAAGGTTAGATGGGACGTGGTAACCATAAGTGCAAGTATTGTGGTGCTTCATTATTCTTGCTTTGGATTCGTTCAATAAAAAGGAACCAGGCTAGTTGCCAGCCTTTGATCATTGCCATGTTACGGGTGCAAGAGATTCATTATTCGATGTATCTTTTGGTGACTGTCTTAGATAGTTAGATGCTTCCATTACTTGGTGTTCCTATGGTTCGTTTGGATCAAAGATTTGAAAAGATAGAAGATTTGTGTCAAATATCGGGATTTGAAAAATGATGGATTGGTTGTGGATTTTGTTCATTTGGAATTTTGAGTAAATTATTCTTTGAATGTTAGACTTTATAATGAATTATGTTGAATAATATTATAATCTTTGCTTACAACGTAGTGGGGCCCAACCCATACAGGTTTGTGAATGACGTCTACAAGCTAGAAATGACAATGGCGTGTCTCGGAACAGGGTTCACACCACTTGGAGAACCCAAAGGTTGGAGGAAGCAACTTGTCACGTAATGAAACATCGTGTGAGATCATAGTACCACTCCATGTACTCAAAGTGATACGCTAAAGACTCATCATATAATGGCGAAGTCACAACATAGTGAATTTGAATTATTCTAAAAAAGCGGTCGACTCACAAACAAGGGCTTGATCTAGTGGTAATACCACTATCTTGAACCTGGAGGTCCCGGATTCGAATCCTTAAAGATTATCTAATTAAGCTATAAAAAGTAAACCTATATCACCCTTATAAAAAAAATGGTCGATCCTCGGCTTACAAGGCGTAGCTTGGTACCAGTACACTACGACCCACATGATGATTGACGAAACAATCACTGCACCTCGCTTGCGCTCGATGGTGCATGAGTAGGGCTGAAAATGAGCCAAATTGCTCATGAGCGGCTCGACACTCGACTCGGAAAAAGCTCGTTAGTAAACGAGTAAAGTTTGAGATCATCCTTGTTCGGCTCATGAGGCTCGCGATCTAGCTCGACTCAGTGGCTCGTTGAGTTCAACTAATGAGCTGGCTTGATAATAAGGTTAACGACCTAATCTACTAGTGACTTATGAGCGAATCAATATATATAACTTATGATATGACTTCTTAATAATTCATACGTTTGTTAGATAATATAATCTATAATATATTATGCTTTAAGGCTTTGGGTGTGTCATATAAATATGACAGAGCAATTATGTATTACAGAATGTTACTTACTAAATATTAATAAATAGCATAATATGAATTAGTTAAAAACTATGAACTAAATAATATTATACGAACATAGTATATAAACACGAGATCAATTAGCGATAAAATCTTACTATTATTCTCTATTCATTGACCAAATGTATCATATATGAATTATGACATACAAATATTAGGCAGTCAAGTTATAAATTATTTTAGAGTTTAATTTAAGGCTTCAACCATTTAAACATATAAATGAGCCGAGTTCGTGAGCTGATTGATGAGCTGACCTCGAGTAGAGCTCATGAGCTCCTTAATGAGCCAAGCTCGGCTCATTAAGAAACAAGTCGAACTCAAACTTAGCAAAATTCGACTTGACACGACTCATTTGCAGTCCTAGCATGAGGTATATCCTGCTCCATACCAAACTGGCGAAGTAATCGATCAAGGTGCCACTTCAGTAAAGAAAATGTTTTGATTAATTAAAAAAAGAAAGATATACATAATACAATTTTTTTTTGTCTAAGTTAGGGTGTCATTTTAGAGCGTCAGATAGCAAGACTAAAATGAAATCCAGAAATCCACTTATTCATAAAACAAAAAATAAAAAGGGAGAAAAGGAAAACACAAGCGAACCCGAAGATGATGGATTGGCTGTCATAAAAACAAACTGGAATCATTTTGTTCCTTTCCACAACGAGAAAAGGGTCGTGGTGTGGGGGAGTCAGAGGGGGTGGTGTGTTCGTCCTCCATTCCGCTCACCTCCTCCAACCTCCAACCCCGACCTTTCCTCCTTCATTCCTTCCCCTCGCTCTCCTCCTCCTCCTCCTTGGTTGTTTTTCAATCAAAATTTTACGTTGTTGTTGTATGTGTTCGTTCATTGGTGATTTATCCTTTTTTCCTAGTCTGGTTGGGGTCCCAGCAGGCGAAAAAACGCCGCGGGAGAGCAACCATACCCAGGAAGGAAACCAATCACGAAAATGATAGTTTTCCTCCCATAAAGAAACAAGAGGATAAAATCTGCCCCCTATTTATATTCTTTCATTCTTCCTTTTGATTTTGATGGAGACCTTGTATGCCGCATTACTTCAAAAACCCCTCAATATCAATTTCCCCTGTAAAATCATCGAACAAGCTCACTCTCACCCTTTTTCCTTCTCCCTTATTTTGGGTCTCTCTTTCTTCCTCTTCTTCCGCCTTAAGTTTGATCCCTGGTAAGCTTTCCTGGAGAATTTACGTAATATATTAGGAATGCATGTATAATATATTTTAGAATTCATTTCTTGTTTCATTATCTTGAAATTTTGTGATGTTTGATTGTCTACAGAGGTTTCATGTCTAACATTAACGAGTTAAAATTATCTATACTTGTAAGAAATTTGTTTCTCCATCTGGGTTCTTGTCATTTGAACGGGTAGAAATGCCAAGCCTCTTTATCATCTGGAATTTTGGTAAAGAGACTTGTGTTTGATAAATTAGCGTGCTATAAGGTTCTTACTTTTTCAGTTTGCGGTGATAGATAATGATATAAGCTAGCAGATGAGGAACCTTGAGGCTTAGATATGCAATGTGCGTATTTTTTTCCCCACAACACCTTAGTTGAGAAATAGTTTTATTAGGCTAAGAAAACCCAAGTAGTCATCCTTTCCACTGTGTTGTCTCCTACCCATTCGCTTCGTCATTTAACAAACTGTTCCACTGATAATTTCTCAAAACATTTTTTTGTGTGTGTTTATGTGGAACAGTCACCATCAGTAGCGCTCTGTAGGCGTTTATTAAGGCGGGATATAAACATGGGTGTCTATTGGATTTGGAGTTTCTGGAGTCGAGTTAGACGAAGGATGTTTTATGGAAAAATCATGAGGTATGTTTTTGTACATTCCGATTCCAAAAAAAAAAGTGTCAGATTCCTTTTGTTTGAGTTGATTTTCGACATTTTGTGTCGAAATGCAACTTAGTGGTACCATTCCAGCTTTTCCGTTAAATTTCCTCCATCATCTATCGATACCCATTGTTGCATAGTTACCGAAACCACAACATATTGAGGCTCTTAGTCTTATAGAGTTTCAGATTAGGAAGAGGAGGAGGAATTTTACAATGCTTTAAAGTATTGGTGCTTTAGTTTTGTAAAATCTCTTTATGGTATGGTACAACTTGAATTCGTATCATAACATAGGGTCTAATGTGCTGTGTTATTTTACAGTGGTTGTGTACTATATTCTTTGTGATCTCTGGCTCTGTTTTCTCCTCACTAGTCTTCCTACTTCATCACAACATTGTCTGTGTGCATTAGTCTACAACTGCTCATCTCTCGCTGAATAACTGCATTGAGATGAACCCCACATTGCAGAACTAACCTATTCGTGCGATTGCATAATCTGCAGGACAATTTTTGAGAACATGACAGACTATGATGGATCCGACGCAAGCTCATCTCATGGTTCGGATTCTGGTTTCGATGATTCCGGTTTACAATGCGCTTGTGGGTTGCCTGCCAAGCTACGTATGTCGCAGAGCGCCAGGAATCCATTCCGATTGTTCTACAACTGTCCCAGGAGATACGATGTAACGCAATCTATTCGCCACTCTGTTCGTTTTTTAGTCTCGAATATGGATTTTGATCGTTGGGTTGTTTTTTATTTTTATTTTCTGTGACATGATTGGTGGTAGCAATGCGACTTCTTCCGGTGGTGCGACGAGCCATCTCTAACTGGCGATAGACATGCCGATGAGCTGAACTTAATCCGCCACGAGTGCACGAGACTGCAACGGATGTTCATGAAAGCCCAACAGGACCACGAGAACGACAGGGAGAAGTGGGAGATGCAGAAAGAAGAGCTGATGTCTACACTGTGTGAAGTTCAAGCTGAGCTTGATGAATACAAGAGGAAGGTTAAAATGGCCGCTGAGTCTGATCTGATGCCACCGGTTGATCCGAGGTGGAGCAGTGGCAGGGATGAAATTGACTTGGGTGATGATGCAATTGAGATTCATGCTATATAGAGCTGATCAGTGTGTTAACCCACAAAAGCTTGTAACTTTTTAGATGGGAAATAAAGCCCATTTTTGGGCTGGGGGGGATTGGCATATTTTGTTTTTTTTTAGAGATGTCAAGTCCATTTGGGAAGTTTGTTGTGATATGCTATGGTGGTGGGGGGTTATGGTTATCTTTTTGGCTGCTCTGCTCATCTCTTGTGAGTTCTGTATGAATTGTTCCTGAGTTTCAATTTGGGAAAGAAGGAAAAATTGTATCAAACTACACAAACTAGTAAGTAGCAGCTTATACATGTGTTACTTTTTTTTTCTTCTTCTCAAGTTTGGTTTGTAGTAGGTGTTTGATTGCACGCTGATAGCAGAGAAAGATGGGAGGAAACCTGATGTTACTTGTTTTCTTGTGCGAGAAAATTTGCGTTGAAATGGAATTGATTGGACCTTTGAGTTCTTATCAATCGATTATTAAACATGATTCACACATCTTTGAACAAAGTTGAAACAAGGGTGTTCGATGTTTTTTTTATGATCTATATGAGACAAAGCTAAATTAAATGAACTCTACTTCTATGGAGGTTCCGTGAGAGCTCCAAAACTACAACTATGGCTATGTCTACATTTGCATTGGAAAATAGAAAAAGATAAAGTTTGACAATAGGTTATCTGGTGTGAGTTTTTCGAACCCCTGCTTTGTCATTTTCACCTCCTATTTATAGTCATTAGAAGTGATTGCCTCGAGAAACTACTCAGCTGGCAGGAGTGATGGTTACTCTCTTCAGTCTTGACCCCCTCCTCTTGATACTCCTCCATAACTTTGGCTTTCGAATGAGAAAATGATTAAGGCATGAGAACCCCTCTTGTTACACGTGGATGGATATTCGAATCACATGGGCCGAAATTGAAAATAATTCACCACTTATGACCATGAGAGCGGCATGTGTTACCTTCTTGTCACTTGATGTCATCCTCCTAGTCAACCAAGGGGGGTATGTCAATCCCCACGCTATCACCCTCCTCTCCTATATACTTCACACTAGGACGTATGCTGACTACCCTCCCCTCTAATCGCATAGGGGGCCTCATCGCCACATTCTTCTAGACTTGGCCAAAATTTTACTCTACCTTATCACACTATAGAGGTATATTGACTACACCCACTCTAATCGCACCAGACGGGTGCTCAAACCCTTAACCAAATTTGGCAATAATTCATCATATCATCGTTCTCCAGACTTAGCCAAATTTTACCCCACATCATTACATTAGGGGCGTATGCTGATACCCCCAATCACACACAACACCTAGCCAAATTTGGACATAGTTCACCTTGCTGTCATTCTCTAGACTTAGCCAAATTTTATACCACCTTGCCACACTAGAGGGTATGCTGATTACCTCCTAATAACACAAGGAGGTGTGCTCCAACACTTAGCCAAATTTGAACATATTTCATATGCTAGGGTGGTATACTACGCCACCCTGCACCTTGCCATCATTGTCTAAACTCCCCCGGTCCATTCATTCTTCTAAACTAAAGACCAATACTTCTGGATCGGCGAGACCCTGTACGATGTCACAAACCAGTTGGTCCCAATAACTCGAGTTGTTGGGAGAAGGTTATACTGGATCTTATTCCACTCTCTAACACGCCCCCTCAAACAAAAGCCAACTCATGGGCTTGAAGTTTGCACAGGGCCACCATACCATGTGTTTGAAAGACAACGGTTAATATTGGGGGTCGTGGAGATTCGAACACATGACCTTTTGGTTTTAGGTTTTGATACCATGTCACAAACCAATTGATCCCATTAACTCGAGTTATTGAGAAAAGATTATGCTAGATTTTATATCACTTTCTAACATACTAGAGAACCTACCCGCACAGCACATAAGGCCGGCCCTGTATTACGTACCTTCTCTTCCTCACCAAACGAGCATGATATATAATGTTAATTATTTTTTGTAGGCAGTGGACACCCACATTGAAATTTTGAAATGCCAAAGACTACTTGTCCCGAAAACAAAACCCAAATGAAATGACGACTTCCCTTTTTTTTTTTGAAATGAAATGACGACTTCCCGAAGTCTTTCTTTATTGGCTTTTTCGGGGTAGATTTTTGTGTAGTCTTCGACAGTTATGGTTTCGGATGGCCGGGGACGCCTTCTCTAACAAGGCACTGACGTATACAAAATTGACAAGCAAAGTAAACTACCCGGAAAATTAAATCCTGTTCAACTGATTTATCATTAAAAAAAAACCCCACCAAATGGTTGGTAATAGAGAGGTCGGCAGCAAATTTATTGCATTTTTGGAACTGCTTATGGTGTTGATAGGATGGCAATGAGTCGAGTTGGGTTTTCCCAAATTCAAAGTCAAATTCATGGGTATATCCAACAAATTTTTTTGGTATATATCAATCAACGATATATGTAAAGGGTTGGACTGATAAATGGTTATTCCGTTAACGGTGTAAATCGATAATCGAACCGGAACCGATGCTTAACGGTTACACCGATAACCGATTAAATAGTAAATGATCGATTCTCAGTAGTCAAATTTAGCTAATAACTAACCGATGGTTAAAACGGTTAATAACTGACGGTTAAACGACTAACCGATTATGACCGTACTCATAGTTAGGGCCGAAAATAATAGACCTCTATCAGTCGCAAACATAGGCCAAAAATAATGAGTGTTTGAAGGCTTGCAAGACTCCTTATCTATCTTAGTTGTAATAGTGACATATACTCAAATGAGAATAATTTAAAGGAACAGTTTTAGAAGCAGTACAGTAGAAAGTCAAACTTGGCACAGTTGCTCGACAACCATGAGTAATATTAAGCTTCCATGTAATTTGGTGGGGTTTACGAGTTGAGTAATTGTTGTTGGGTCTCTTATCGTTGTACTTGCATGCTTCTTTAATAAAGTTTGACGGTAGAATGTCATTATTGTGTACTTGTGTTGGATTGAGTTGATTATGTATTGATATATATCTATGTTAAATTATTTTGTATTCAATGATAACAACTTAAGAAAAGAACACATGCGCGTATGTATGAAAAAATTATAGAAAATTTCACAGTTGACAAAATAAGGTCTTTTGTAGGTAAGGTTTATCGATCGGCTATTTTGGTATATAACCTTACCAAATCACTTTGTTAAAATGGTTACCCGATTAACCGATAAAATAACCGAAAGTCGACTATATGACTACGGTTAACCGACTAATTTAAACGGTGTAATTAACGGTAACCACAATGTATTCAAGAAGATTGATTTAATGATTTCTTAGAGAGTCCCTTTTCCACTAGCTTTTCTTCGACACTACACGACAGTTTCTCGCGCTCTAGGATATGAAACGACTCCGAAATTTTCCAAAAGTCTTCTACTTGCCCTGCCGCGACTCCGATTAAATACACAGACAAAGAAACAACCAAAAACCAAATCACTCCTTTTCCTCCTTTCCACAACCACAAAAAAAAAAAAAAATGGCGAAAGCAAAGATGAGCGGAGACGTGATCGGAATCGACCTGGGGACCACCTTCTCCTGCGTCGCCGTAGCCCGCGACGACAAGATCGAGATCATCGCCAACGACCAAGGAAACCGAATCACCCCTTCCTTCGTCGCCTTCTCCGCCGCGAATTCCGAGCGGCTCATCGGCGAGGGCGCGAGAAACCAGGCGGCGCTCAACCCTCGCCGCACAATCTTCGACGCCAAGCGCCTCATCGGGAAGAAGTTCGACGACCCGGAGGTCCAGCACGACTTGAAGTACCTGCCGTACCCGGTGGTCAACCGGGAGGGAAAGCCGTACGTGGAGATAGAAGTCAAAGCCGGCGGCGGCGGCGGCGGAGGAGGAGGAGGGGAGGTCAGGGCGTTCAGCCCGGAGGAGATCAGCGCGATGATACTGGGGAAGATGAAGGAGACCGCGGAAGCTTATTTAGGGAAGCCGGTGAGCGGCGCCGTGGTTACGGTCCCGGCTTACTTCAACGACGCGCAGAGGAAGGCGACCAAGGACGCCGGCACGATCGCCGGGCTCAACGTCCTCCGCATCATCAACGAGCCCACCGCCGGGGCTCTGGCCTACGGTTTGAGCCACAGAATGGGTAAGGATGGAAGGTGACCTTAAAATATGTTTACAGTAAGTTTAGTGTTTGTCCGATTGGAAAATCAATACTAATTGGTAGATGGTTTTTATAGATATAAACTATTGATTGAATTACGGTTTCGACATAAAATATCTAATAGATACTGCGAGCGCGGTTTTACAATATTTTTGCAATAGGTAGATACAACCTTGCAAAATGTGTAATTTTGGAGTTATACAATCCTACGAGGCAGTGGGAGCGATCTGGTCCGTGACTCAGCTAAATTGTAACACTAATTTTTTTTTTCTTGTTCGGTTTCTGACAGGTAACAAGAAGCGGAAAATTCTGGTGTACGACCTGGGCGGCGGGACGTTCGACGTCAGCGTGCTGGAGATCGAGGACGGCGTGTTCGAGGTGCTGGCGACCGGCGGGGACACTCATCTGGGCGGGGGAGATTTCGACCAGAGAATCATGGAGTATTTCATCAAGCTGATCAAGAGGAAATACGGGAAAGATGTGAGCGGGGATGGCAAGGCGCTGGGGAAGCTGAGGAAGGAGTGCGAGAGGGCGAAGAGGGCGCTGAGCAACCAGAGCCAAGTGATGCTGGCGATCGACTCCTTCATCCAGGGTGCGGATTTCTCGGAGCCACTGACCAAGGCGCGGTTCGAGGAGTTGAACCTGGACCTGTTCAGGAAGACCCTGGCCGTCGTGAAGACGACGCTGGAGGACGCGAAGCTGGAGAAGAGCGAGATCGAGGAGATCGTGCTGGTGGGAGGGAGCACCCGGATCCCGAGGCTGAGGGAGATGCTGAAGGAGATGTTCGACGGGAAGGAGCCGAGCAAAGGGGTGAACCCCGACGAGGCCGTGGCTTATGGTGCTGCCGTGCTGGGAGCCAACATTAGCGGCCAAGCTGATTCTCGATATGGTATCATTTACCATCGGCGCTCTTACGATTTTAAATGTGTCTTTGTCTTTTTTTTTCTTCCTGTTGCTACCAAATACTTAACTGGGTGCATGCAGGTGTTACATTGTTTGATGTGACTCCTTTGAGTTTGGGAGTTGAGGTGACTGGAGGCCTGATGTCTGTGGTTGTTCCAAGGAATACTCCCATTCCAGCAAAGATGTCAGGGGAATATTACACTATAGAGGACCAGCAAACCGCTGTTACTATAAAGGTTGGTTGATTCTCTGATTTAATGATCAAAACTGATTAGGGCTTGGTTTATTCCCCTTAAATATTTGACCCATTCTCTGTTACAAGGAAAGATTGCATTTGACACCTTAAGTAGACTTGAAGCCGAGATTCTTTTTTTGAATAAGTCATGGCAATATATTATAGGTTCATGACTTTGATTCTATGTGTTTGTTTGATCTTATTTACGGAAAAGCCATTAAGTTTAGAAAAACAAAGTTGAGATTAATTATATCGATTTTGCATTATTTTCACCCTGCCTAACCCTTGCGAAGCAGGTCATTGGACTGACCCACACCAACACATTGATTTTTTTTTAGAATTACATTTTGGTACCTAATTTTATTTTACCTTACATTTTTGTACTAAAAATTTAATTTTTTTACAAATAGGCCGAATTTTTTGTGATAAAATCACGCTTTAGTACCTTTACATTTTTTACATTAAGTTATAGTACCTAATTTTTTTAAGAGGTTCAATGTGTTGGAATGAGGTTCAATTTTGTCTGTGTTATGGGTCACATGATCAAAACGTGATCCTACTCTTAGTTGACCTGCTCCACTGCTACATGTAAATATTTGCAAATAATTTGTACATGCCCAGAATAACTCTTCCATAGAAATACTTAAATTTTCGTACAAAGCATAAAAGTCAAACAATAAAAAAAAAACGGGTGTGTTGTAAATTCTCAGGTGTATCAAGGTGAAAGACCTCTGACCAAGGATTGCATTGAGCTCGGAAGATTTGTTCTGTCTGGCATTACCCCAGCTCCAAGGTACGTATTTATATTTTTATATACATATGGTCTTTAGTAATTATGGTAATCACCATCCAAGTAACTACCATTAACAATGTTTATTTACCTCACTAACCGACTAACTATTTATTAACCCTTTTGAGAGACATGATCAGTTGATTGATCGATTAACTAACTAAATTTCAGGGGAGTTGCAAAGCTAGAGGAGACATTCGAGATCGACGAGGACGGAATCCTGAGGATCACAGCGAGGGAGAAGGTCTCGTCGTCGCGATCCGAATCCCTGACCATCACCAACTACAAAGGGGACCTGACGCAGCGGGAGATCGAGAGAATGATCAAGGAAGCGGCGAAGATGGCCGAGGAAGACAGGGCAGCCAAGGCCCGCGTCGACGCCAGGAACCAGCTCGAGCGTTACATCTACGACGTCAAGAACGCCATAAGCAGAACTGGGGGCAGCTCTAGCAGCAGTAGCAGTGATGGAGACGACGGTAAGCAGAAGCAGCAGCAGCAGCATGTGTTGTTGCGCGACAAGATGGGTTGGTACGAGAAGAGAACGGTGGAGAGCGCCGTCGGGGATGCTTCGCGGTGGTTGGAGGAGAACCCTGATGCTACCAAGGAAGAGTACGAGAAGAAGCTGAAGAAGTTGAGGGATATTTGGAACCCTATTCTCAACAAACTCAACGGTAATAATGCATAGACTGCTAGCCAGTGTCTGTAATTAAGTTGGCAAGATCGTGTAATTAATTATGTTCTACGTACAGTTTGTTTTTTTTTTTTTTTTTGGTTCCAAGGTACTTGCTTGGACTTCCTTTTTTGTTTTGGATGCTGATGATAAGTTTGGTGTGTGGAGAAGTGTATGGCTTCCCTTTGCTAGTTTGGATTTGGTTTTGAGATAAAAAAAATTATATATATTTGCGGTGGATGTATTTATGTTTGTTGATGATCCTTCCGTCCTGTTTTGTTAAAAAGCATGGTTTAGGAAATCCTATTGTATCGGTTGGTTCGATTGAAAATACTGGATATCGGATTCTAAATGATGGACGTTTTTGGCGTTACGAAATTGTTCAACCACAATTTTCGTACAAAATATTATATCGTTAACTTTTTTGATATAACTTCGGGTACTTTTCACGGTCATTGTTGAAAAATAATGATACATGTTCAAGATGTCTAATTATGTTTACAGGATAATTATCATAAACTGTCACACAACTTATCACTTTTTTTTTAATTTTGCACGTTTCAGTAAAACACGTTTGGACGAATAACAAAAAGGTCATTTCGTTCATTTACATCCAAAAATCTATTAATTCAGTCCAGTGAGCATGCCACGTCATAAAGAAAAATTAATAAACCAAAATCTATTAAACCCAATCGAACCACACTTTACCCACCCGAAAAATATATATCCTATATTGGGTTTGTATACTTGTCGGGTATAGTCATAGATTGGGTGTGGACGTGTGGTTTGGTTGGGTTTAGTAGTGTTTGGGCTATTGATTTTTTTTTATTAATTTTTCTTTGTGACGTGGCATGCTGGCTGGACTGACTTAACGAATTTTTTGATGAAAATGGACGGAATGACCTCTTTGTTATTCGTCCAAACATGTTTTTACTGAAACATGCAATATTAAACTTTGGTGATCGTTTTGTACTAAGTGATATAAATTGTGTTTCTGTTTATGATAATTACTCCATGTTTATATCATTTCAAGTGGCATGTTGGCATAAGAGAACACAAGACCTGAGCAAGGATTTGGGGGATGGGAAGAGAGGTGTAAACTCAATTTGGATTGAACTTACTATTGAAATAGAATAAAGTTTATTAAAAAAATATATTTAATCAAATAACACAACTAGTTATAACTAAGGTACCATAATTACCTGATCTTACCCAAGTTGAAACGACGAGCTAAAGAATCAAGTTAATTTTCTGATCAAGAAAATCAGACGGGCCAAATGACAAGTGTACATGGATTGATAAATAGGAACCACCACATATGAAAATCCCTATCAGATATATATAAGAGCTGAGAGGGTTTCCTTAAATTTATTTAAAGTTTATACATCACGAAAATTTATTTTTCAACATTAGATAATACCTCCACCACATGTATAGCAAACACACACACACGGTTCATATGTAAAACAATTCCCTGAAATCTCAAAGCCAGAAACCCTAATCCTACCTGATAAGCTTATAAACTTTGGTAATGATAGGGTTCCAAACATCCGTCAGCTTCTTCAACTTCTTCTCGTAATCTTTCTTGCTACCACAATGGTTATCATCCAGCCACTCAGAAGCTTCCTCCAGTGCACGCTCCACCTTCCTCCTGTCCTCCAAACCCATCTTCCCGCTCACCAAGCCGTCCCCGTCACTCACCGTGTTCCTCAAGTCATAGACGAAACGCTCGAACCGGTTTCGGGCATCCACACGAGCCCTCACCAGCTTATCTTCCTCGACCATCTTCTTCGAATCCTTCACCATCCTCTCGATCTCTCGTTGCGTCAGATTCCCTTTGTAATCCTTTATCACGAGCGATTTCGATCTCGACGACGTCGTTTCCCTGGCGGTCACCTTTAGTATCCCGTCTGCATCGATCTCGAATGTGGTCTCCAGTTTGGCAACTCCCCTGGCAAAAAAAAAAAAAAAAAAAAAAACATTTTAAGCCAACATTTTGGTACATTCTAAATACAATTTTCATTTGTGATCGTCAAACCCTAATAACTCGTAACATACTTAGGAGCCGGTGTGATACCCGATAGATCAAAGCTCCCCAGCTTGATACAGTCCTCAACCAAGGGCCTTTCTCCTTGGTATACCTAATAAGATCATTAGTAACATATCGACAGTGATTAATCATATGATCTAGATTTCCATTGACCCAAAATGAATATATAGAACATGCATTGAAGTTTTGGTTCATCACATCCAACCTGAAAAGTCGCACTAGTTTGCTGGTCGTAGACAGTTTCATAGTCTTCGTCGGTCATCATTGTAGGAATATGTGTGTTTCTTGGGATCACTATAGACATCACACCGCCAAGTATTGCAACACCCAAACTCAAGGGCGTTACATCAAGCAAAGTAACATCTGAAGAGTCAATAAATCAATGATGCCATCAATCAACCCTAGTTTAATATTGAAATAAAGACAAACAACATAATATAGTAAGTAACATCTCCATTTCTGGTCAGACCGACTGATACGCAGTAAGATCAGGTTATTAAAACACTGGTCGTATTTTACCATGTTCATGTTGATCCGGTACGTCGCTGAGGCTCGCACCGAGAACCGCAGCGCCGTACGCCACGGCCTCGTCGGGGTTCACCTTGTTGCTCGGCTCCTTCCCGCCGAACATCTCCTTCAGCATCTCCCTGAGCCTGAGAATCCTCGTGCTCCCCCCTACGAGCACGATCTCCTCGATCTCCCCCTTCTGGAGCCCGGCGTCACGCAGCGTCCCTTCCACCACCTCGAGCGTCCTCCTGAACAGATCCAAATTCAGCTCCTCGAACTTCGCCCTCGTCAGGGGCTCCGAGAAGTCGCTCCCCTGGACGAGCGAGTCGATCTCCACGCGCGTCTGGCTCTGACTGCTGAGCACGCGCTTCGCCCGCTCACACTCCCTCCTCAGCTTCCCCATGGCCTTCCTGTCTGAGGTCAAATCAGCCCCGCTATACTTCCTCCTGATCAGCCCGATGAAGTACTCCATCACCCTCTGGTCGAAATCCCCGCCCCCGAGGTGCGTGTCCCCGCCGGTCGCCAGCACCTCGAAAACGTCGCCCTCGACCTCCAGCACGCTGACGTCGAACGTCCCGCCGCCCAAATCGTACACCAGTATCTTCCTCCTCGTCTTCACGCCCAGCCGCAGGCCGTACGCCAACGCGCCGGCGGTAGGCTCGTTGATGATTCTTATGACGTTGAGCCCGGCGATCGTCCCGGCGTCCTTGGTGGCTTTCCTCTGCGCGTCGTTGAAGTAGGCCGGGACGGTGACGACGGCGTTGGTGACGGTTTTTCCGAGGTAGAGCTCGGCGGTCTCCTTCATCTTCCCGAGGACCATGGCGCTGATCTCTTCCGGGCTGAAGGATCTGTCTCTTCCCTTGACGTCGAGCTCGACGTAGGGTTTTCCGTCGCGGCTGACAACCTTGTACGGCAGGTACTTGAGGTCGGACTGGACGTCGGAGTCGTCGAACTGCTTCCCCATGAGGCGCTTGATGTCGAAGATGGTGCGGTGAGGGTTGAGTGCCGCCTGGTTCTTGGCGGCCTCGCCGATGAGGCGCTCGGACTCGGCGGCGGAGAAGGCGACGGAGGACGGGGTGGTCCGGTTGCCCTGGTCGTTGGCGATGATCTCGATGGCGCCGTTGCGGGCGACGGCGACGCAGGAGAAGGTGGTGCCGAGGTCGATTCCGATCACTTCGCCGCTGACCTTGGTCGTCGTCGTTGACGCCATTTTTTGGGGGGATGGTTTTTGTTTTAGAGATCGCCGAGGCCAAAGGTGGGTTTTTTGGTATTAGTATTCGTATTTGGGAAATGATTAATTAATTAATTATTCACGGTGTTGTGTTATGTAAAAAAAAAAATGGTGATGTTTTATTCTTCTACCCAATGAAAAATGGCGATGAACTCTTGAGCCCCTAAACTGGACTGTAGTGGCTACATGGTTTGTGGCTATCTGTAATTTGTCTCGGTTGCTAATGGAGAAACGGGAAGCGAACAAAAAATGTTACTTTCAGATGATGGGAAATTAAATACATCGGTGTTGTGCCTTCACCGGACCTTCCGTTGATTTTCAGAAAGAAATGTAGATAGGGGAACTTGGTATAGACATGATTGTTCTACACTTTGTTTAGTCAGCCTGTAATAGACTTCAAATGAGAAGATAGGTTTACAACTTAGGAACAAGAAAAGCCAACGGCAAGAAGGGGATTATTCAACCTTTCTCTACAGGTTAATGCACTTTTTTGTAACAAGTTGGATTAGATTGTAAATGGGCAAAGTCGAGAAGAAAACGGTAACAACGAGATACATGTGAAGTAAGAAAAGAAGGATCCAAGCCCGACTTACAAACACGATTGTTACAAAAAGAACCCAAATAAGAGCAGTCATTCAGGGGCGTGGACAGGATTTTGTCGAGGGTGGTTTATTTAAAAAAAAAATACATACAATAAAAATATATTTGTTAGCTTTTTAAATCATTCATGATATAATTTTGTATTTACGAAAATTTGGTAAATTAAATATATGTCAAAATTACCAAGAATATCACTCTATATGTATCAAACAACTATTCATGATTTAATCAGACATTTGCTTTTGAATTGTGTTCTTTGTCACGACCGTTTAGTATATCAGTAACTCGAGTTGTTCGGAAAGATTTAATAATGGGTCTTCTAATATCTAGTAGTCTGGTCTTTGATGTTTTCGTCTCATACAAGATGGTCCAATAGGGTGTCAATGCTTGAAAATACACAGAATACTACAAAAAAAAAGGTACCAAGCATCTCTAGAGACTACTAAACATACATTTAAGCAATTACCCAACAAATCCAAGTTAATATGGTATAAAATATGTAGAGCCGCCGTGTAAAGCATTCCATGAAATGAGGGTATAAAAATGTACATTTTCCCAGTGATCATATACCAAGCTCCCCCACCGTTTCAAGAAAGAACTCCTTCATATTCTAGTATTATGTTATGACGATTATTGCGTTTATTCATTTTCTTGGAGGGCACAAAAACATTCCTCCGCATGTTAGATTCTCTCCTTCTCATAACATAATATTTAGTGAGCTAAGTCACCATAATCGTCATGCCCATCCACAATCACAAAAAAATGTGTTCATATGTTTCTTTTAGGTCACAAAACGGGCATCCTTCACTTTTCTTTTGAGTCGTTTGCACAACTCTAACCCCCAATAGGTAGAATGTTACAGATCCCCTTTAAACGCAAAATCTTATCCTTCGAGGGATTTTCAAATTCCACATCCTTTTCTAGTTTCATCGTGAGTATAACTCTCTGATTTCTTCATCATTTCCAGTTTGCCACAACTTGTATGCCGAATTTACAATGTACTGAGCTAACGTCTCACAACTCCACACCCTTTTATCTGGTGATGGTTGTCTAGGGATAGGTATCTTTTTCATGTGGATTCTGGCTGCAGGATTGAAAAAAATGAAGCAAGTAATGCAACCAAGTTTTCATCTCCATATCCATTAGTTCCACTACTGAAGTAGTCTCTCCCAACATAGAGACTTAGAAAAGAGACTTTAAATTTGTCTCCATATGGAATCCACTTAGCTTACCAGATATCCACATTCTCCCAAGTCCCAATTATCAATTCACCATCTCAACCCTGTTAGTAGTATCTCCTCTCATTGTTTTTTTTTGTATGCATATCACTTCCCATTTGAACGAGTTTGTTCTTCTCACAGCTTATTGTTGTCCCTCCAGAAATTTGTAATTATTTCTGTGTACCTCTTAAAGCACCCTCGACAGGGTATCATAAACAATGACATAGCAAAAAAAGGTATTTGTATTTGAGCGAGTGACTTAATAAGAACTTCTTTTTCGAAAATTGTGAGAAATTTAATTTTTCATAACTTCACCATTTTTTCTCTCAAAATCCACGAAATATCCAAAAACTGTTTTCTTAGCCCATTCAGCTCTATTCTTGTTTCTTGTTCAGTGTTGAGACTGAATGATAGCTATGATGTCACCAGATTGTGATGACATGTTGCTCCGACTGAACCTCGTATATAATGCAATGAATTAAATTTTACTTGCTAATCAATTTAATTCAATTCTCTACAACCAGAATCAGTACATACTAATTACTTATGCCAACATCCATTGTCATTGTTGATTGAATAAACTAAGTAGCTCTAAGTTCAATATCAATTTTAAGACAATATATTTTTATCCTCTTTCATCTTGATAATCATTATGATGATGCATGGAAGGTGTTTTGTTATTAGGTGATTGTTGTCTAAAAACCTAATTAACTACAATTCAATATTATGGTCATATGGTGGTTAGTCAACATAAGACAATAAAACAAAAACAAAAATCTTATACAATCAAAAAGAGGTTACTGAAAGTCGGACGTAAAGCATTATTCTCTTTGCTCCGGGCTGCTGCTGCTGCTACGCTCCGACGAAAACCGGCTCTCCAAGAACTCGCTCGCTCCAAAGAAACTCCGCCGCCGTAAAAATTCTTTCTGCCTGCTCCTCTGCTCTGTCCAACAAATGGCAATCCTTAGCCCTTTTATTTGTGACCCCTGAAGCTGACCAATAATCCTCCTTTTACTACCCTCCTCAATTTCAATCCTTCCCACAAAAACTAAAAGGAAGAAGAAGGAAGCTAAGCCTTCCACACAATTTACTTCCCTCCTCTCATGGCGTCTTCTTCTTCTTCTTTCTCGTCTACTAACCCTCGCTCCCACCACCGCCCGAACTCCGCTCCCTCATTTCTTCTTCCCCTCAGCTTCCTCACTTCCCTCCTCCTCATTGCCTCACCACTCGCTTATCTTCTCTCCCTCCACAATTCTCTGCCACTCGTTCACGCCACGCACAAGGAGGACTACGGCTCCCAAAGCCCCACCGCCGCCGCCGGACGACGCACCGATTCCTCCTCCGCCGACGGCGGAGTACTACCCCTGAAGCTTACATTCACCGCCCCGGCCAAGTACTGGACCGACACCATCCCCATTGGCAACGGCCGCCTCGGCGCCGCTGTCTGGGGCGGCGTCGCTAACGAGACTCTTCAGCTTAACGGTGAATTAAAATTTTACCCACATTACAGATTCGTTCAAAATCTGGATAAACCACAGAGTTGAGTCAGAATGTGCTTTGCATTGGCTGATTGATTGGGGTTTTTTTCTTCTTCTTTTTCGGTGTAGATGATACGCTGTGGACCGGCGTTCCCGAATCCTACTCCGACCCCAATGCGCCGGCGGCTCTATCGGTGGTCAGAAAACTCGTCAGTTCTGGTCTCTACCCTGAAGCTTCCGCCGAGGCGATTAAATTGTCAGGAACTCCCTCTCAGGTTTCTTCTCCATTCTGCTTCAATTTCCGGTATGAATCCCTTCCCTTCAGTCTTCAGTTCTAACCGTTTTCTGGGTATTGTAATGTAATGTAGAGGTACCAGCTGCTTGGGGACATAGTGCTTGAATTTGACGCCGCCCATCAGAATTACGATCCAAAGACGTACCTCAGAGAATTGGATTTGGACACTGCAATGGCTACAGTGAAATACTCAGTTGGGGATGTGGATTACACAAGGGAGCATTTCGCTACGAACCCACATCAAGCAATCGTGACCAGAATCTCTGGGAGCAAACCAGGGTCTCTGTCATTCACTGTTCATCTGCACAGCAAGCTGAATCACACTACTGCGCTCATCCAAGGTCGTCAAAATCAGATCGTTCTGAAAGGAAGTTGCAGGGGTCATCCGAAAGGAATTCAGTTCACTGCCACGCTGGACTTGAAGATCGAAGGAGGGGAAAAAGCAGCGGTGAGGGTTTTGGACGGCGTGAAGAAGTTGAAGGTTGATTTTGCGGATTCGGCAGTTCTGATTCTGGTGGCTTCGTCTTCATTCGATGGGCCTTTCACTAGCCCTGTCGATTCCAAGAAGGACCCAGATTCAGATTGCCGGAAGGCGTTGAGCTCGCTTGCAAATGTGGCGTATTCGGATCTACGAGCGAGGCATTTGGAGGATTATCAGAGCCTTTTCCGCCGCGTTTCGTTGCAGCTCTCTCGAGGGACGAACTCAGGGAGCCGTGTTGTGTCAACTGCAGAGAGGGTGAAGTCGTTTCAGACGGATGAAGATCCGTCGCTGGTGGCTTTGATGTTCCAGTACGGCCGTTACTTGCTGATATCTAGCTCCAGGCCTGGAACCCAGGTGGCGAATTTGCAGGGGATATGGAACGAGGATGTCAATCCACCATGGGAGTAATACATCTTCCTCTCTCTAACCATTTGATGTTGTGATGGAAACTACAACTAATTGGTAGTGTTTCTCTTGTTTTTTCACTTGTGTAGAGGAGCTCAACATTTGAACATCAATCTGCAAATGAACTACTGGTCAGCACTGTCGTGCAATCTCCAGGAATGCCAGGAGCCATTGTTCGACTACATGTCCTCCCTTGCAGTCAATGGGAAGGAAACCGCTAAAGTATGTAGTCCATCTCCACTTGTATTTCTTATCTGATACTTACCTTTTCTTTTGTTGGTTGACACAATGGTGGCAGGTGAACTATGGGGTTAACAATGGCTGGGTTGCACATCAGGTCAGTGACATATGGGCTAAAACGTCTCCAGATCAGGGAGATGCCGTATGGGCTATGTGGCCAATGGGTGGTGCTTGGCTCTGTACTCACTTGTGGGAGCATTATAGCTATACAATGGACAAAGTAAACTGTTTCAATTCAAACATCCCTTTCTCCCTGTGCTACAGCTTTCCCCACATTCATCTCTTAATCATTTTTGTGTGTGTTTGTGCGTCTTCAGGATTTCCTTGGGAAGAAGGGTTACCCTTTGCTTGAAGGATGTACAGAGTTTCTGCTAGGCTGGTTGGTGGAGGGGCAGGGAGGGAATCTGGAAACCAATCCATCAACTTCTCCTGAGCACAAATTCATCTATCCAGAAGGCGGAAAGCAAGCCAGTGTGAGCAACTCAACAACTATGGACATGTCGATCATAACACAAGTCTTCTCAGATATTCTCTCCGCTGCTGAGGTAAACAAAAAAGAAATGAAGTACTTCATTCATAGTTTTCACTTCTTAGCACCACCACCAGTACATTAACTTCTCTTCCCTTACTGCTCTCTGCAAAAATTATACAGGTTCTAGGGAGACAGGACGATGAACTCATTCAGAAAGTTCGTCGTGCTAGAGCCCGCCTTCCACCCACTAAAGTTGCCAAGGATGGCACCGTCATGGAATGGGTACACGATTAAAACCATCAGCAATGGTTTCTTCATTGTACAAACCGTGATGACCCCGTTACCTATTGGTTCTGTTGTTGTTTTTTGGAGGACAGGCTTTAGAGTTTGAAGACCCAGATCCTCAGCACAGGCACGTTTCTCATCTCTTTGGGTTGTTCCCTGGCCGCGCCATTACTCCTCGACACACTCCTCAACTTTGCAGTGCTTCTGAAAAGACTCTTGTCAAGAGAGGTACAGATATAACAATGTACATCGTCCCAATTGATGAACATGTTGAGCTTTTTCTGTGTTGATTTTGTTTCCATACAATTGTTGACATTAATCACCTTCTCCATTGTACGGTGAAACCCAAAAAAAAAAAAAAAAAACCAGGTGTGGAGGGTCCGGGATGGTCGACTGTGTGGAAAGCTGCATTGTGGGCAAGGCTGCAAAAGAGCGCGAAGGCATATGAAATGGTGAAGCATTTGTCCAACCTGGTGGATCCAGCCTATGAACGAGACAACGAAGGAGGAGTTTTTAGCAACTTGTTTGCTGCTCACCCACCATTCCAGATTGATGCCAACTTGGGGTGAACAACTCTACACACTTTGCTCACTTGTGGAAAATGGCTGAAGAAATCCCAAAATACAAGGGGTTGGAAAACAGCACTTTTCAAAAAAAAAAAAAAAATCTTAAAATACTAGAGTTTGAAACAGTTCGCCGGAAACAAGGGTAGGTCGTGGTTGTAGGAAGCGATAAGCTCCAAATCTCGGTGGTTTGTTGCACATCACACGATCAACACAGGTCATTTTCCTAGAACAACGATCTACCCTTAGAAAATTGCGGGAAACTCCCGCGATCTATATCAACTTTAGGTAAAAAAATTTAAACGAGAGTAAATTTGAGCTCGATTATCCATTCCAAAAACATTTCGCTACGTTCGGATAATCGAGAGTAAAATTATGATCGTTTGCATTTGATCTAGAATAGGAGTAGATCGTAGGATGATCAGCGATCTAGTGTGGTTAGCTGGGGTCGGCCGCTAAAAGGAGTGTTTTGAGGGCCATTCGCTTGTTTCAGCCATGATTATGGCCCTTCGAATATCGATCGCTCCAGTGTCAAGCGAATCCCACTGAAGCGAACTGGCCCAAACTCAAATATTTTAGGAAATTTTTTCGCGAAGTGTTATATTTGCAATGTTTCCTGTTGTTTTTTTGGATGCAGCTTCTCGGCAGTGATAGCAGAGATGCTAGTTCAAGGCACAGGGACTGACCTGTACTTGCTCCCTGCTCTTCCACGGGACAAGTGGCCCAATGGGTGTGCCAAAGGGTTAAGGGCGAGAGGAGGGTTGACGGTCAACCTGTGCTGGAAGCAAGGTCAGCTTCATGAAGCTGGTGTTTGGTCAACGGTAGGCGATTCTGTACAAGTATTGCACTATGGAGAAAAGATGGCGAAGGCGAGTATTGCGTCGTGTAATGTGTACATATTCAACAGTGATTTGACGTGTGTAAGAACTGAATCCCTTTTGGGAGAAGGTGGTTCTTGTTTGAAGAGATCGAAATGGTAGATAATATATGGAGGGATTGGATATTGGGCTAACTTTATAGGAGTTTGTATCGTACTTAATAAGGAGTTTGAAACGATTCGGTCATGTTCGGACCAGGCTAAATTTATGAGAACTGTTTTAGGATTAAGAACTGGACCAACATTGCATTCGATCCCTTTGATTCGGTCCTATTGTCACTTTGGTCCATTTTTCTTCCGTAATTATAAAATTCGTCGAACCAAGGATTGTACCATATTATATTGATTTCAGTATGGTCCAGTCTAAGTGTCGGTGTAATCCGGTGCGGCCAGTTGCGGCCTGGTCTAGATCATCTGGTTTTCTCATAGTTGTTGTCTGGCACCGGTGGGTGAAGAATAGGTGATTGAACATTATTCACGCTTGACCTTGGAGTAAGATCCCATTATTCTAGGCCTTGGTGGATCTTGAAGTTGACGTTGTTGATCCGCCATTGGAGGATATTGATGTCTCGCAACTCTTCTTAGATTCCGAAGGGTTCTCTCTAATTTTGTATCAAGAGGTACTATCTCCAAAGAGTTCTTCCTTCGCATACAAGAGTGCTACAAGACAAAAACTCAACAACCTGTTACGTACAAAGTTGGATAACAAAACACAAAACGCTAAAAACTACAAAAATACAACAAAGAAAATAAAGGCTAAACTAACAACTTGATGATTTCTACTAGTTACCGAGGTTCCGCGTAAACGGCGCCAAAAAGCTTGATCGATTCATTCCGTGCAAATCATTGTTAGTAGTTTGCACGTCTCAATAACTACCCCATCCTAGGCCAAGTTTAATCTAAAATAGCATTGTCATATAGTGGCAATCAAGGTCGTATTCACTCGGGTCCTGGTACCGTAGTCTACTTCCCACATTGTTGTTAACTAGTCGGTCGGTTTAAGGGGGGTTTGTGTTGGAGGATTCAAATGAAATACTAACAGCTTGTTTGGATACAATTCAGAAAGAAATGGAAATAGAATTCTACTTCCTTTTTTATAGAATTCTATTTCCAATTTTAGTGTTTGATATAATTTCTACAACTATAGAAATGAATTGCACTTTTAACAATAATTAATAATGTAATATATTTGTTTTAACTTGAAAATGGAATATGAATGATAGAGAAAGAGAGTAGGGTGATAGTTGGTTAATAAAATAATAATAAATAATGATGAGACCCACTAATTTCATCTTCATAAACCCAATTCTTATCACTTTTGATAGGAATTGTAATTCCCAAAACTTAGCCCAAATGGAATTCATTTCTCAACCTTCTTATCCTTCCAAACATAAAATATGGATCTGGAATTGAAAATGAAATTATAATTCCTGAGTTTTTTTGTCTATCCAAACAGGTTGTAATAAAGAGAATAAACGAGGATAAAAGCATGTACTTCGGGGAACTATCCCTCACCCTAGCCTAGGTCTATCATGCAATGTCTAAATAAGTTGGGTTAAGTGCATGTGGTGAGTGAGCTCTTTTCCGTGGGCCTTTGTGATTCTTCTCCTTCAAGTCGTGATCATCAGCTTCCTGCTCACTTTGCTAAACTTGTGGTCCTTTTCATACCTAATTCGCATATATTGTCTAAAGCACCATAAAATCACATCATAATCAAATATGAACGAAATAAGGATGTAATCGACGATATTCTGATGATTATACACATGAATTAGCACGAGACAAACCTAAATATGAAGGACAAATAACACCAATTTGGGTGTTATCAACTTCCAACCTCTTAATTTCATTGATCATCCATACGAATTGAGGTATATGAGTTAAACGAACTACTCTGGCGATGGCAGAGATATAAAATTGCTCTTGATCAAACAATAAGGGTCTAATGCTCTAGTAAATAGAGAGCTTGCTACATAAGAAAATCACAAAAAAATGATGCTCTGTAGAAAATCTAACAAGAATAGAAAGAAAGTGATGGTATGTGTTCTAATAAGGTATGTCAAATGATGGTAGAAGCATTATTAAGCTCAAATCGTTTATCAAAAGCTTCTCCCTATGTGTTTTGAGACTCTAATGCATGATTAGTTGTTTATGCTTGGATTGGACTGCATGAAGATCTTGCATACTAACATGGTTAGAATTCTCTCGTGCTATTGTTGACCTTGTAAAGTTCACTTATGACCCACTACCTAAGATCGAGGTAGGGTGATGTTCCTTGATTTTCATTAGTTGTATGATTGTGAGTAGTGTTTGCTTGGGGACAAGCAAAGTTCAAATGTGGGGTATTTCTCATGACGCTCAATTGATAGTGTCTATCACTTTCATATTTGATATATTTTCCCTTCTATCAATGCCTCTTTAATGTTTTTTTTTATATTTTATATGAATATTGTAAATATTTTATTTATGAGTTTAAAATAGGCTTTGAGTGTGTTTTTGTACTATTTTACGAATTTTGATGTTATCTTGTGCTTTTCATGGATACACTAAAGACGAACATGGATTACCAAGAGACTCAATAGATACACTAAAACCCCACAATACTCACCCTATTTTTGTAAATAAAAAAAAGGGTAAATACAATATATTAGCCACAACTATTATGAAGTGGGGAATTATAGCCATAACTATGAAAATTCAAATTATTAGCCATAACTATTGTTGCGGGTCAAGATATGGCTAAATGTCCGTTACCGTTATTGAAATTTTGACAGAGAAGGCCACGTCGAAATACTTTTAATTTATAACTTTAAAACATAAAAGTTTAGTGAGTATTACTAACGAAATTGTTAACAGATAGTTAACATTTGGCTAATAATTTGAATTTCCATCATTGTGGCTATAAATACAATTCACCACTTCATAATAGTTGTGGCTAATATATTGTATTTACCTTTAAAAATATATAAAAGAAAGGAGTCAGCAATGAAGACGTCAAGACCATCTTACTATATTTTCTTTCCAACGTTGGGCATTAGCCATCTTAAACCCTAAATCCAAAAACCCCTATTTCGGCCACTGTTACTGACTCTTCGCAGCCATCGCCTCCTCCAGTGCTCTGTCGATAGCTGTCCGCAACACAAACCATCTATGGCTTGGCGCAGCGGAACTTCTTCCTTCTCGCGCTCCTTGATGTCTGCCGCCAGGGCGCCATCTGTGCGTTCCTCTTCAGCTCCGCTTCCCCGCCTTCGCCCGTCGACCGCCTCCGCTCCCCGCGTTCAGTCGCGCCGGGTCTCCTTCTCTCCATCCAGGTATCCTGCTCACACTCGTCAATATAGATCTGCTTGATAGTGTTGAATTGAAATTCCGGCCGTCCCGTCTATGTCTATTTGATTTGTATAATATGGAGTCCTTTCTGTTGAAGAACCGGGGGGTTATTTGGATCCAATTTAGTATAGTCACTTGATCATTTCAGTGGAAGAACCAGGAAGCTAGCTTAGTACGGGTTTATCAATTCAGATTTAGGGTAGTTGTTTGGCATTTCGAAAGAGCAAAGGAAGGTGCTCTTTCAATGGAGCTCGATTGCATTTGGCCGATGGTTGATCTAAATCTTGTTTATGGAACAATTAAGAGCATGTAAAACAAGGTGATGATAGGCTGTGTCAAAGCAAGCTGTTAATTTTTAACAAACTCTTAAACTACTAAAAGCTAGGTAGTGAGACATGCATAACCGCTGAATGCTTTCACTTTTTTTTGTTGGGGTTTCAGGTTTCTCAGTACGTTAGTCTCTGTTTCTTTTATGCCGACCACTTTGAAATTGTTGTCTTGCAGGAACTTGGGAGAGTTGGGATGTGTCCAGTCTTTCCTGCCACTGTACAGCATGGTTGCCAAGACCCACCTTGCTTCTCATCTCAATGCTAATTTGCGGGCTTTCTGCGAGCTGTCTCATGGTACCGTCTGCCGTTCTTGTCAGGATCGCTAGTATTTTCTTTGTGAGTTTTACCATTTTTTAGGGCGCATGATGACATAAAAAGCTGCATGTCTTCATTTTTTTTTGGTTTGTGCCTCTCGTATTTGATAGCAGGACATATGCTTTTATATGAGCTTCTTATTGTGTCTATGATCTAGGTTTGATGTAAGTTTTTGGTGCATTCGGTTCATATGAATATTGGGATTGGGATTGATAGGGAGGAATGGAAAAGACGGGTGATGCACGTGTGAACTTTCAATCAACCAAAGGCACAGGATTCATGCAATAACTGTAGGTTCTCATTTATTGTTGATATCTTTTGTTCTCAGAAAGGAAATAGAAAAATGAATTCTCAACTTGCTTGAGTTAGAAGATGACCTTATGAACACCCTGAAGCATTTTGCAAATGAGAGACATCTACAATCTATCATCTTCAAACATTCCTAGGCTTCCTTTCACTAAATCAGCCTCTACTTGCTTCTCTACTACTTTTCCTCTGCAGATCCCAGCCTTATTTTCACATGTTTTATGATGCTCTCTTGAGCTGCTTCGCCTTTTATTTATAGAACAAGCATTAGTCAGATTGTCGGATAGATTTCCTAGTTTGCAGATCTTTCTGATGCACTCTAGGAATGGCAGTGATTTTATTCCTCCTGTCAACATTCCTCAAGTGTTCTAGAAACCATGGAATCTTAATCTAAACTAAAAAGCGTACTTTGGACGAAGTTGACACAATTGACATTGTCTTGCTCGGTGTTCAGTGTTCCTGTTTATCCACTGAGCATGATATACGAGCTTTTAGTTGCATGTTTCACAGTAAAGTAATTTGTATTTGCCTAGAAAACCCTGTTTCCTGTGTCGACGCTCTTTGTAAACAATGTCATCAATCACATCCATCACTGCTCCTACAATCTGATTCGTGGAACGCCCACTGACCTCTCTATAATTTGTCTGTTCCACAGGTACTTAAATGGCCATCTGTTCCGCACAACAATCTGATGGAGTCAGAAATCAGAAGGTGGGATGATGTTCTTGTGGGGGAACTTGGGCTGTTTCAGTACGGTCTCGAGCATGGATTCTGTCAATAAAGATGTCTCCTTTTCTTATGCTACTTGCTAGATAAACCATTACAACAACTCCAAGCTTGCATGACAAGTTAGCAGACAATTTTTTTAGGTCGTCTGTCATTGTACAATTGGACAAGTTATTTGTATCGTAAACTGTTAGATTATGGCATTGATTTTTGTCGCTGACTTGCTGAAGCCTGCAGGCAAATTGTGCTTCTGTAAGTAGCATGGTGGAGTGTGCTTATGTGCGTGCAGGGAAATGGTCTTATGCCCATCCTTGTGAAGTTATCATACATGAATTATTAGTATTAGTGTGGGTGGCAGAAGTGATTGAAAAGGCTAGGCGAATGTTGGCCATTGCTGCCCATTTTGGGGAAGAACAGTTTCGTCGGTACTTCCAGGTGATCGGAAAGGTGAAACGGCCTATATCACTGTCTGCTTGATAATGCAGTCCCCGAAATTAGCACTCGATATATCCAGCCTTCCTGCGGCCGTGCCGACGGGAAGAAATGTTTGGTTTTGGTCGAAAATCGAATTCCCATTGACATGAGGTTTTGTCTCCATCCGCCTCTGCTGTGGGTAGAGAGGTGTCAAACAGAATTCGATTAGAGTAATTCGTCCGATCAACCTGATTCATAATATAAGTTCATTAAAAGACAATGGTCCGAAACCCGTCTGACTTGCTTTTTGGGGAAAAGAAAGAATAGAAATTTTGGTGCTTTCAATTTTTTTAAAGAGAATGTGACACACTTTATTTTTTTAATTTTGGGTAATGTCTATTTTTTATTTAATTTTCTTTTTAGATTCTTTTATATTATTTAAACTTCTTAAAATGCTATTAATTAGTCAAATCTTTCATAGTGCATCAAAATATTAGTCATTTTTACATTATCGTTAATAATTTTGTAACTATTTTCTTAGTTAAAATACCAAAATTTTGGAATGTTGACCTTCATGTGTCTCTTCCAAGTCAGTATCATATTGCCAAGTCAATATTACTAACACAATTTCTAACTGAAAGTTAACATTTGACTAATTCTTATTATTTCGATAGGTTTGGATAATATAAAACTAGATTTACAAATTATACCAGTGTAATATGAGGGAGAAATTTTACAATGCTATATAGTATTGGTGCTATAGGGTTTTGCCTTTATGATACAACTTAAAATTGTACATTTACGTAATGGTACAACTTCATATTGTATCTATACTTTTTATACAAATTCTTTTATGGTACAACTTGAACTTGTACCTTTATGTGATGGTACAACTTCAAGTTATAAAGTTGTACCATAACATAATAGTACAAATTCCTTTATGGTACAACCTAAACTTATACATTTAATGTTATGGTACAACTGTAAGTTGTACGTTTAAGCACCAATACTATATATCATAGTAGAAGTGCTCAATATGAGGTGGTATTTTTTGGTCCGATATATTTTTTTTCCAGAATTTGTTGATCCTTGATTTTTTATTAGCTTAAGTCATAATTGAAGTAATAGATTATGATGAATCCCATTCTTTCTGTGCAAAATTTTTCAAATTCAACTTAAAAACGAAGGTGATACTATAAGTGGTAACAAGTATGAAAATTTTTTTCTCTCGAAATATATTAAAAATGAATCTCATTTTACAGATCTGAATTGTTTTGGATCCACTCTAAACTAAAGGCTCATATTTAGTTATGCATGGTGGGTTATGCACCCTGATTCCCTAAAGGGCCATACAATTTTGGATAGAGGACCGACATTACCCGAATAGCTCCCACCACCATTTTGCCAAACAATTGGTTTCTTCTATTCTTTCTTCCCGTCTCTTTGTATGTCCCAATAGTCAGTTTCAAGGCCATTATTGATCGATTTTCCACATTCAATGATTCAGCTCCTCCTAAAAATCACAGTGGCAGCAGCAAGAGATAGTACTGGTATCGAATTTCGGTAGCCTGCTGAACTTATTCATGTTCCGAACCATCGAATGCCAGTACATTGTGCCTGGCCAAAACTACCAGCCAGGTACCAAAACCCACCTGCTTGCTATCTGGCCTGAAAGGATTAAGGTACAAACCATGTACCAAGTTCTGCATCAATACTTGGCTCCAAGACTTATAGTTGCCAACCACCACTACTCCCCTAATGTCGTCCTAGTTGTCGCCGCTTGTCATTGGTCTTCGTCGACCACTGTGGCAACGCTTCTATGGTGGGTGGTACTGTCAAAACCAGTAAAAACAAAAACAAAACCCTATATTTCAACCTTGGCTGAGAAGCCAGCAGTTAGTTAGCAAGTGATATGAAAGGGCGCTTAGACACCTGCACAAAACATCACCACCATTCGAAGATTCTATGTCCACAATATCATGTCTGACTTTTTTTCTCTTCACCCTGCATCTATCAAGCTTGAGAGATACACCCACCTTCAATCTCAAGAATCAGAACAGATATGAACTTACTGCTGAAGGAAAGTGAAGGACAGATCAACTTCCATTTCAGACCAGTTTGCGACATCAGCATTATCTCGTCCACTCACTCTCATGTCCCTGTTCCGTCATCTCCCTTAGAACTCAACATCTCATCCATCCAAGGATTCTTATTCCATCTCCAGACAGATATAAAGCAAGCAAGCAAACTTATCATTTAATTCTCTCTTTCTCGCCTCGTCAATCATAAAGCTACAACCCCAACTCCAGCAAAGATAGAGAGGGAACGTCGTTGTGCCTTAACAGAATCCTCTAGCCATTTAGTCCCGTCAACCAGAGGGACTCTATCATAAAGACAAACAATGATAATAAATGATTCCTGAAGATAACAAGTGACCTAAGCAGCAGCAATGAAGATAAAGGTGTTGATGACAATGGAACAGATATAATCATATAAAGGAGGGTAGGATGATACTAATAAAGGATATATGATCAATCATCTTGGCAAAGGAACTCATCTACCTACCTTTTCTCGTGTTTCATCTTTCATTTCTTTCCCCCCACTAACAAAAAAAACTTACTACGTGGCTGGAGATGACATTTCCCAATGTCTCCGGAAGCAAAGTAACTTCCATCCAAACCTAACCATATCAGTAGAGGGGATATTCTGCCATGACCATAGACATGTAAAAGCAATTAAATGAAACAACAGCAAGGACAGGGAGATTGATTCCACCAACAGAAGAGTAGCACAAAGTAGTGGTGTGTGCCTGTGACTGTGACTGCTGAAAACCTTAATCATAATCTAGCATTGGATGATTCATTCAGAAGCTAACAGAGTTTGGCAGAGAGAGACAGGCAAGAAAGAAATAATATCTCCAAGAAAGCTATTCAGACATGAGTTCAACAGCACGTGTCTGTGTGTGTCTAGAGGGGGGAGATGCATGTGTGAAAGAGAAGATGACAAATGCTCTATTATGTGAAACCCAACTGAAGTGCTCTTCTTTTTTTGTGTGTGGAGCTGACTGATTGAATGCAACTTTTTCAGGTACAACTTTGCGAGTGGAGCATAATGCCACATCTATCTGTAGTGATCAGTGATACAAAGCATATTTTGCTCTTCACAAAAAGAAGTGAAGAGCCAAAAGCTATGAATGATATGAAGGCAAGGCACCCACAAGATGGAAAGAGACCCCACATAAGATACTCTTGTTTCACAACCAAACATTACAGACTTAAAAATGGCAAGTCACCAAGGCTATTCCAGTTCATGCTTCTTTTAAGTGCTATTATTAGCATGGCTTTGGTCCCATCATTCATCAAACCTCTACCAAACAAACTATCCAATGGCTGTGGATTCCACTTCCAACAAATATCATCATGTGTGATGTTTTATTCCCAAGCTATACACAAAAAAAGCACTCCCTTCACCAAATACGAAAATACATACAACTCTTCTTGCTAGCTGCACGTCTGCAAATTAGTTCAATATCTCATTATGTGCATATGTTATATCTGTCTTTTGCAGGGGAATTCTTCCACTAGTCACTCATCTACTAACCCTTTGCAACCGCAATCAAATGAACTTAACTAATAAGTGTTCTCTTCCTAGTCCTACTAGCTCCCGAGGCCAACAAAAGACTGGTAATGGAAGTAAATTCACTTCCTTCACTGCAGTACATCACAGTGAAGTCAAGTGGGTAAAACGACCTACATGTTATTGTAGCGTTAACTAATCAGCGAATTTAACTCCAACCAGTGAACACAAACAAACAAGCATCTCAAAATACACAGAAGGGATAGGTTACACAGGTAAATGCTTGTTAAGGATAAAGAAGCAAATCGATGGCAGACAGTATCAGTAGAGATTATGAGGTTGACAACTGATGGACCTGCTGTTGGGCTGCTAACCTTTGAAATTAAAAAGTATTATCAAAGGACGATAATGGAAAGTAGGTATAATTTGAGCAGAGAGAACAAAAAAAAAAAAGAAGAAAAAAAAGGAAGATACTCAAGATTAAAAGAGAGAGAATCCTAAGCTCGACAAAAGACTAAACAGTAAAGCTGACGTAAGCATTGTCCCCCTGGAACACCAAGTGGGGGGAGTTAAGGTCCTGAACTGAAACCCAAGCTATGATTTAAAAAACGGACTCATGCAGCAGGTTCCTTTCCAAACTGGTACTTCGCCCTCAAATGATTTACTCTCCCTCCTACTTTTGCCACCATTCCAACAACCTCTCTCTAACTCATCAAATCTAACCTCTGCTCCCAGCTATGGTGTTTCAGGAAGAAGGAAACGAAATGCCAGAAGCAAGCCAATATCAAGATGAATTCACAATAAGCAATAGAAGCAACAACGAGTGGTTGAACCTCAGCCTAGGTGGAGGAAGCTGTAACTCGGCAACTACAGGGTGCGATTCATCACAAGGAAGAGTTAAACCACACGGAAAGGTTTTCTCATGCAACTTCTGCAGAAGGAAGTTCTTCAGTTCACAGGCACTTGGAGGTCACCAGAATGCACACAAGCGGGAAAGAGGCACAGTGAGAAGATATCAGTCACAAAAGATGATGGTTATGATGGGTTTACCTACTATGCATACTAGTCTTCCAGTCGGCAGATCCCTCGGAGTCCAACCACATGCCCTGGTTCACAAGCCAACTAGAGATGTGATCTCTACCGCCCAGAGATTTGCTGAGCTCGATAAAGGGTTTGGATCAACTTGCAAGCCCTTCTCCCTTGAAGGTACGGTGGAGTTGACGTGGCCAGGCAGCTTTCGCTTGGATCCAAAACTACCAGAGACGACCCTCGACCTTGACTTAAACCTCAAACTCTGATCACCCCTTCTGCCATATCCACAATTATCCTCTCATGTCAGTTCTATAAGGAACAGTTAATAGACTTTCCCCATCTACCAATAGAAACCTGATGGAGAAGGAGAAACAAAACCTGAGACCTCATAATCCTGCAATACAGGTTCTTCCTGCTTTAACTAGAATCAAAAAGTGGGGAAAAGCCAACCATGTATCATCTCTCTACAGAACATCAAAATCTCATAACTTTTCAGGAAATTTCATTGAAAATAGTGTCGATGCTTATTTACTTTGCGAAGTGTCTGTTGGTTTCCCCAGAAGATGATGAGAGATTACCTCTGCCAAGATGGTGTAAAGGGAATTGTAATCAAAATCAAGTCATAGAAATCAGTGGCACCTACCAGATCTAGAATCCAAGTTAAAAGAGCCACTCATTCATCCATCCATGTATGTTCTTTATTATAAAGACTTCATTGCAGTTCTCGAGTCACTGTTCTTCCATGGAACGATTAAGAGGCAACAATCCGATGTCTCTCAATCCATTTGACTGCCAGAGCTCAGGGCCTAGACAGTGTCTGTACATTATACAGCATCCTACAAACATCTTGTTCTACATAGTTCCTCCCCCCGCCAACTCTTCACTTTTCATACTCTGCAGCAGTTAATGCATACTACAACTACAAAGTGTATCCTATTCTTTACTTCCTACACGATACATGGTACTATGCCTTATTTCAATATCACCAACACGATTATCCTAAAAAATTCCAATCTTTAGAAAAACGCCCTCCTCTCAATGAGCCTTCTTTCAATATCACCAATACGATTATCAAAGAAAGATTCCACTCTTTGGAAAAACGTCATCCTCACTTTTTTTTCCTCCATATAGCAAGTTGTAATTCATCGGAACCATCATACTCTACTGACAATAGAACATTAGAAATAGATATCATCGTAGCACTTGGCCTCTGTTGCTTTACCTCCCAAATATGCAAGCATAAAGTTCTATTGAAAAATTCACCGAGCAAAACATGTGTGTGCCAACATAATACACCTACAGGGTCTTACCCTCTATCACAACAACATTGGAAGAACGTCGTCTTCTTCTATAATAAGTCACACAATTTACCATGGACCCTTAAGCTTCTGAGTCCTATGCATGATGACAGGAAGCCTCTGGCTGATGATGTTAGGATCACTATAAGCAGAATCATCAATAGGGTACCCTTTCTGCAGCAAAATACAGAAATATCAGATGAGGAACAAGTAACATTAGGATGCTAAACCACTTTCAAGGATGAGAGAAAATGTTCTCTATCTTTCAAAGTCGAGAGTGAACACTGAATGTTATTCACAACAATTGTCCTTTTTTCCTTTAAAGCGACTATCCACGCTACTTGAGGGTCACTGATAACGTTATTCCTTCAATTATATATACCTGATATACAAAATTCAGAAAGCAATGTTCTGATTGATTTCATCAGGGGCTACATTGAACTAAAGAGATAATATTTGGAAGCCGTAGCTCCTGTAGGAGAAGCTTAATAACATTACAGAATCATGATGCTGATGACAAACTATAAGAAATTCCGCGAAATAATATATACATCTCTCTTCTTCGGGCTCTTCCTATTGTCTAGTTGAAAATATATTCTTTCCTACGGCTTCATTTTTCTCACTAAATTAAATCTGCTTCTTTATCCTTTCGATAATGAAAACTTTTTCAAATATTTACTAGGCTCTTCCTATTTGAAGGACTAATGTATTCAGTAAGGTGATGCAAAAGAAACTGGCCTAAGATCAGTTTGGCTCCTGAAGAGCATAAACAGCTTCACAAGGATAGGAAATATGAGATAGCAACCATCATGGAAGTCATTGTACGCTTGTTGCACATACAGCAGAGATCAGAATATGGCAATGCATAGGGAGAATGCGAAACCTACCGCAGACAGAGCCTGAAAGGTCACTTGTCTCCAGCAGCTTTCACGAAGGATAACAGGGTTTGCACTGTCACTGAAAGCACAATAGATGCGTGTATCCCGTAATCTCATCAGGACTCCATCAACTCTCAGCTGTACATCAAATTTGAATCAGATGGCATGGAAAAGGAAGTTAATGCAATAAGAAAACCAATAAAAATATGAAAAGATAACAGCATTAAGATAAGAAAACCCGGTAATGTCAGTGGATAGATTATACTTATTCATTAAGGCCATTTACAGGTATCTGATGTTCGAGTAATAACTCAATTCTTCAGTTTTGGTCATGAGCTCCAACAAAGTTTGAAGCAAAAAAGTTCCAAAGAAGTCCCTTAACGTAAATCTCAAGGGAATGAAGTGGTGATCATTCAGATCAGCAGGGTCCTAGACACGTGACTGAGAAATAGGAGTGCCATTTTCTCTTTTGTCTACAAAACATGGAATTAAGTGATTAGAAGTTTTTCAGTAATTATTGTTCTTTCCCTTATTTTGGAAATACAGAATGTAACAATATATTTTGTTTCGTGTATTTCAGTTTAGTACGAAACAAGCCCAGATTTACATTTTACGAGAAAAGAGAGAAAATAGTGTTTGGTAAGGTTAACATTTATCACAAAAGTTGTTACTACAAATTCAGATGAAGTGTGTTGTTTGAGCAATTTTTGTAATTTAATTTTGTTTATGCAACTTTTAATATAATTTTAGAACCTAAAGGATTAGATGATACAAATCCAGTTATCCAAAGGAGTGTCATTATATGCAAGTAACACTGTTCCTCTTCTTATTACTAAAATATTACTTAGTGATGTGTAATGTTTAGTGATTATTAAAACTTTGTTATTACTTTCGGTACTTATTTGATTTGGGACTATAAAATTGACAAAGACTCAAATATGGAGCTATTACACGCATGACAATATTGAGGAGTGTTGGCTAAAAATTATCACAATTATGTAGATAATGATTGGAGGCTAAAAAGGAATTGTGTTTCAAGACGGTGTGATGGTTAGAAGAAATTGAATGGTATTAGATTTTTACATCTTATACACTTGTGTCACATTTTTCTTTTGGTGATCATTTACTTTACTTTTACAATCCTTTCAAATCAAACAATACATCTGGCCAATATGCAGACACCAAATAGCTATTTTTCTTAAAATGTTCCATGTTTGATGTTTCTTAGGCAATCCAGAAGTGCAAACAAAAGCTTGGTAATTCAGGCATGACAACTGGTCCAACGTACGTGCTTGAAATTTTTTTTTTTTTTAAGCAAATAGTTCTTCTATAAGTGATGGCTTCATATAAAATGAGAAACAAACATACTAACCCAATATCGCAAAAGAAGAAACCAATAACTTGGCATCACCCTCTGCAAAATGGCCAATGATATGGTTAGGTCTAAGGCATTCTAATATACCCAACATTCCATATCCACAACTGATTCACAAGCAGAGAGTACTATTTACCACTTTTACTGTCAGAAGTGAAACTCCATTATCAGCCAGTTCATCTTCATACAAAACAACCTGCAGAGTAAGACTCCTTCACATTAGTTTCAACCAAACCTAGAGAGCAATATTGAAAACTCATGTAACAGAATCAGTTGGCCACCTCATCATAGAAAAGAATAGGCTCTTTAGAAGCTAGTGCACCAACATCAATGTGCTCCTTGCAATCCTCCCAGTGAAGCTTGTCACTTACATCAATGACTTTCCCATTTTCATTCTGGTCATGGAAACCAGAATAACAGCATTATTTCCAAGTTTACACAAAATATGCAAAAACAGCCATTCAACACAGATCATAGAAGTTCAGTCCAAGTTTAACATTTAAGAGACTATTAAACAGTCACACATCTTCATATAGTAGTACTATATCAGGAACTGAAGAATGCCCCAGGTAGAAACAAACTGAGTTCATCATGTAATGTTTGAAAAAAACAATAGTGGTGTGTTCCTATTCGGTTGGCTCTGAAGAGGCATCACCGTCACAACAGACACGCAATGTCGCTTCTGAGCTCCCAGCTTTTAAACCTCTGAAGTGAAGGCATTTTCAGTACTGTTGGGCACAAGGGTCAGAATGGCTATCTCCTTGTTATTTTTTCCTTCTAACAAATGGCTTAAGAGTCCTACAGCTAGAGAGAATAATCACTAAACACCCTCTGTCAGGGTGCAAATCATTAAATATAGAAAAGCACCAAGATACAAAGAAGAAAACAGAATACAGCAAGGCCAGCAAAATACACAGATAAGCATACAAGACGAGAAGATAACTATTCAGCTTATTACAAAAAATCACAGCAGGAAAGGGTTCAGGAAGAGTAATGTGTAAGAATAATCTGATCCCAGGGAACTATTGTTCACCATACAGAATACATTGACATTTCAACCACATTCATGTGGAAAAATTGAATAGAGAAACCAAAACTTGTATACTGACCTCCATCATTTCACTTCCAACATATGGTGTCGTGAAAGTATAATCATAATCTAGGATCACCTGCTGGAACGGCTTGCTGCAAGTTCACAATTGGCGTTATGAAAGCCCAAAAAGAGTCTCCTTTAGTTTGCCTATATATCTAAGCTAAATCAATTCAACAGCAAAGTTGCAGATACAGAAGGGAACATTTAATGGATTACACCAGACCAATGCCATCAATTTGTTCCTTATAGCCAGCATATGTTTAACCCTGCACGTAGCTAATTCACAGTACCACGTCTTCTTACAAAAGAAGATAAAACAAATAAATGACCAACGTCAATGTGAGCATATCAACCAATATTAATGCACCTGTAACAATTCATGGACATGATAACTAGTTCAGTCATTTTGGCCTGTTGATTCATTCCATGCACATAAACCTGAAACTGCTAGCATGCAGTAGACTATTGATTTAGGGATAAACATGAGCATCAATAGTTCTATACTCTGATACACTAACATCAAGGGAAATGGGAAGTGCCACCTTCTGAATTTCCACTGTGCAGCAGCAGGAACTTCAACTGGGGGTAAAGCTTCCTGCTTCCAACCCATAAGGGCATCAAATGCATTGAAATGAAGTTTGGTGCCACTCTTCAAATGTTTGAGAACCAGACAGCTGTCCCCAAAAACCATCTCTGGTAAGTGAGAGGTCTGCAGCTTCTCTTCCCACCTGCAAATAGATAGAGCATGTAGATTAGATAAGTATATGGAAGGAAAAAGGGTATAGAACTTCTGTCGTCAATTGGAGAAGAAGCCCATAGACTTTGTGGCAACAAAGAGTTCCGACATTAAAGAAAGATAAATTATTTATACTTGCCAGACAAATTTCTTATTTCCTTGCACTGAAAATAACATATAACTCACGAGCAAACTTCAACTACCCAGAAAACATGACAAATACAAAAAAAAAACAATACTCAGTGACGAGATACAATATATACGGAATACCCAGCAGAATCAACAAGAACTTGTCTAGGCAATTTTGTTGAAATGATGTGCAATTGTATGCCCTCCCTCAGCAACGGACGGTAAGAGGGCAGTGCAAGAACTAGCCAAAACAAAGAAATTGAGCAGATGGAAAGCAAAACTGACGTTCAAATAACCAGAGAAATGACATACTTCGCAATTGAGTGTCCTATAAACCAACCGTCATGAACTCAAAGCTGATAATTAAACCTAATCTTTCAAGAACAGCAAAACCTAGCCACCCAGAAAAGTTCCACAAGGGGCCACATTGTTTAAGAAAGAGGGACAATATCATCCGGAGACCACTCGTTATTATCTTCAAAAAAAAATCATCAGAAACTCCCCACAGACACACAAAACAGTGACATTAGGATCACTCAATAGCATCTACATACTTCAATAATTACCAATCAGACAAACTAAAATTTTCAATATAGCATGATAGAATAAGAAACGAGAGAGAGTGAGTGCGAGTACTGTTCATGAGAGGAAGAGCTGAGAATAGAGCCTCTCTTGGAAACGATCTCCCAGCCATGAATACGGAGTCCGTGGCGTCCGTCGGTCAAAAGCTCAGCCCCGGCGGCTTTCAGGCCATTCGCGTCTACCTCCTCCGTCATCGCTGCTGCTGATTGTGTAGCTTCGTGCTTCCGCCGGCCTTCTCTTTTAACTTCCCTCTCTGGTCGTCTTGCCTTCCAGCGTGCTATTTCGATTTTCGGCTTATGCTGGTAATGCCCACCGCATCAATTATATTTTCAGCTACCTGCTTCGGCCGGGTCATGCTTGATGAACCCGACCGAGAGGACTAGTTGAATTGAAATAGTGCTGTGAGTTGGGTTTGGTTTGGTTTGCCAAAACAAAATGGTTAAAGGTCGTCCTAAAAATTACTAACCATCGTCCTAACTTAATATGTAATTTACCGAATTGCCCATTTTGAATTTCAAAATCAAACACAAAACAAACAACCTCTCCCCTTCCATAAATCTAAAAAAAATATAAACCAAAATCCAACAAATTATCTTATGGACCGAACCATAAATCGTAGTCAAATAATAGAAAATTATTGATATAAACCAAACAAATCCAAAAAAAAATCGAAACCCCTCAACGAAGCTAATTTTCAGTTGTACCATGGCTCAACCTAAGGCAATTTTCGTTTGTACCATGGACCAACCGAAAATCACCTTCGGTTGCACCATGGCTCAACCGAAAATTGCCTTAGGTTGAGCCATGGTGCTACCGAAGGTGATTTTCGGTTGGTCCATGGTACAACCGAAAATTGCCTTAGGTTGAGTCATGGTACAACCGAAAATTGGCTTCAGTTGAGGGGTTTTGGGTTTTTTTGAAAAAAAATCGGATTTTTATCTCGTCGGAGTCGCTACTCGTGATTCGGACGTATTCCCAACGATTACGACTCGAGAATGTCAACGATGAATTCGAGAGCGTGGGAAATTGAGTGTTTTTCATTTTTTTAGTTAAAGTGATGTTTGTTTGCTAAAGATGACAAAAGGTTAAAAGTGTAACTTTATTATTTTTTAGGACGATCAATAATAATTTGAAGGACGACGTTTATCAATTCCCAAATGAAAAACCCAAAGTCAAATCACGTAGGTTCCAAAAAACCAAAACCAAATTTGTTAAGGACTTTGTGCCTTCTATTGGTTATACGAAAAATCGATAATATTTTAAATGGTTTTGGTTGGTTTGAATAAAACCAAAACCAAAACACAAACCCATAATTTGGAAAGTTCAAAAATGAAATAAGAAAATATAATAAGACGCATGAAGATTGAAAAAATATATACTACATATAAGTTGGTGATGACGTGTGTTGTTGATGGGAATTAACTTAGTTAGTGTGTGATTAATTTCTTATTGGTTTCATATTTTTTTTTTCGTTTTAACCGAAACCAAAAACATTAAGATACTAAACGGCTTAAAATCAAAAAACAAAACAATTACATTTTTTATCGATTTCAGTTGAAACAAACAAAACAAAAAAAACCAAACCGACAGCCCTAAGTTGAATTGGCATTCTAATTACGACAAGGCAATGGCGGCTCATAAGATATATATCGATTCGCTCATAAGTCGGTAGTCGAGTTGGCTCACTAGCCACAATGTTTATACGTCTCATGAGCTAAAGGAATCGGCTCATAAGTTGAGCTCAACAAGCCACCTAGTAAAGCTGACTTGCGAACCTAGCGAGCTGGACAAATTTAGCTCAAGTTTGGCTCGTTAGTAAATGAGTCGAACGCACTCACAAACAACTCTAATCATTTGCATCTCTAACCAAAATAGACTCAAAGAGTTGGCTTGGAAAAAATATGAGAAAAATGCAGTAGTTACCGAGATAGAATTTTTCAATACATAACTTACACTAAAATTTCTCCAAACTACTAAAGTTTGGGTTAGATCACTTCTCATACAAGTGACTTTAATGTGCAAATCATTAAAGAAGCACGCAATCCACGTCAATCGTCGTTGCATCGAACAAACAAATCTCTCACTCGTATAATCCGCGATTCAATACTATAAGTCGCGCTTGTGTAAAGCAATTCATAGAGTGCCAAAATGTATTGTAAATCACGCACAACGATATTTGTCACCAAATGTGGACTCACGGAGCTTTGTGCTAATCCCAATAGTCAATAGATCCAACAGTAAACAATCGACTTGGAGAGTTAAGTCTCCAGAAACCGAAAATACAGAAGTCAGATTCATACATCTTATGATGCAAACCAAAAAAATGAACAGTCAGATTCATACATCTTATGACCTCAGGAATCGCATCGCAACCAAGCTTTGAAACCTTACAACAACGGTCCGCTATCGGGGTTCACGACGATCAAAGAGCAACATAAGTGAATGCCAGAGGTAGGGGAACAACAATGGTAGTTTGCCGCATCACAACTTGCATGGTAGGAGCATCAGAAAAGTAATATCAGTACTCATATTTTTTGGCATATATAAAGACGATGATGAAGAGATACCAGTACTCAAACTCGGGGACCAAAAAATCGAAAGAGCACCGGTTGCCTTGTCGCAGAAGCACCAATCGAGCACTGGTTGCCATATACTCCTCTAGAAAGAAGCCACACCTTGATTAAATCATTCAATCACCTCACCCAACAGAATTCCTTCTTCTTTTCAATCTGCCACTCACCCGGAGAGTCATCTGCGAACTCAAGCCCCCCGTACCTGCTCCCTCACTTTTGACTTCTGCCTCCACCGACTGTTTATCGGATTTACGTTTTCTGCCTCTGGGCCGCGACTTGCTACCTTCATGTGCATCCAATTTTCCGTCCCCTGCACCTTTGATGCAACTTTCAGCAACACCATCCGCGTCATTCTCCAAAGGTTTCCGGTTTTGCGATCCCCCATTACAAACGGCATCTACATTGACGTCATGATGCTCACCCTGATGCTGTTTGATGGCAGTTCCAGGGACCTTGCTGACATTCTTTCTCGAAGTACTTTTTTTACTTGAACTCCCTCCGGGCGTTGATGAATGGTTATAGCTCCAACGAGCATTCCCAAACCATTTGGTAACCTGCATCCAGAGAAGGGAAGGGGGTCAGGTCTACAGGTTGCAACAAAATCAGGAAGCACAATAATCTAAACTTAAGTGCAAGCACTATTTACAGAAAAGTGTTCAATGAATACCTGATCCATAGTAAGTTCAAGCTCTTTTGTCAACTTCTCCTTTGTGGAATGGTCAGGATACTGATTCTCCTGAAAAGATTCATGAAGCCTCTGGAAAAAGGACTGCTTTCAGAATCTCATATCATTTATGTAAATTCAATCACTAAAGATCCCTACATTAAAACGTAACCAAACAGCAGACAAAATCAAAGTGTCGTGAAGTGAGATGAAGTTTGCATTAAACATACCTGTATCACTGCTTCCCCAAGTTTCTTATAGGGTCCTCTTCTTATACGACGAGTTGACTGAGAAGATTCAGCCTTAACATTGGACTTAGCACGGAATCTTCTCCTAGGGGTGATTTCGTTGTCCCCGGAGACTTGCTCTGTTCCCTCAGAATTCACAACACGATTTTTCGAGGATGGAGCAGCCACTGTGGCCTTTTTCCTAAGCTTTTCCCCAGCAGTATAGTCCTCATCATCACTTGAATCAGACGAACCATTCCCATATGTTTCCTTCACAGTATAAGAATAATATCAATGGACAGCTTAGACAGACAGTAACAGAACTGGAACCAAATGAAGTCCAGAAATTTCAACAGTCATTGCACAATTTAAACAGTTGCAAACAGAAGCAGTGGCATCCACCAGTGTGATGGAAAGTAGAACCCATGTAGACAGGCATGAAACAGAGGGATCTGCAAGTACGTAAAATAGCACCAGAATGATAGAATAGTTACCACCTGAATCTCTCTCTAAATGAAACAGATACGTGCCTCAACTTTGGCAAGTTACGGACAAATAAGTTATGTTTATTCACTGAACTAAGGAAAACAGACTATGCCATAATGTGCAAAGGCAGCAGTGGATGTATGTTGCAACTCATAATACTTCTAAACAATCATATGAGCACTCAAATGAATTGCAAAAACTAGAAAGCAAGAATAATATATGTGAACCTGAATCATGAAACAATATAACCACACATCAGGGATCCGACTTTACCAAACCAGTGTGGCAAAGATACTCACATCATATAGTTTCCTATAGTCCAGTCTTTCAACATTTCTTTTCCCAACTAGCAGTAAGGAATCATCTACGATGTCATCTGGCTCTGATGTTGATACTGGTTCACTGTTTAGTGACCGCCTCTTGATTCCACCACGCTGAACGACTTTAAGGTTCCCATTTTCTTCGGGCAACTCATTATCCTCAAGAACAGCATCTAGATCCTCAGAATCGGATGAAAAATCAGAACCTGAACTTTCTTCCCTCGCTGGCTCATCAGGCCCTCGACCATCAGGATTATAATCATCATCTTCTGAGTCATCAGATGGAAGACCCAAATACTTCTCGTCACGGGAAGTCCCAAGCTCCTCAGATGCAGAACTGAAGTCAGATTCATCAGTATCCAATCCGCCTCCCTGGCTTTTCTCGTCAACTTCTGGACCATCAGGGTCATAATCATCATCTTCCGAGTCATCTGAAGGAACTCCCAAATTGGGACCTGGATGTGGTGAGGATAATGTGGCAGCAGCTTCAGGGAATACCTTCTGCAAATAGTAACAGTACACAATGCATATTTCTGACTAAGTAATTGGTCAAAATTTATTAGATACCAACTTCAAAAATAATTAGAGATTGCATGATGTACCTCCCAGCCATCAGTGATAGATAGATTCGTTCCTAGGTAGTCATTAACCATGGCGATGGAATCAACTTTGCAATCACATGCAGGGCACAACCAGCCCTCATCATCAGGAGGAACTACAAGCAAAGCAATAAAGAAATCAGAAGAACATGATGAGACAAATACTCAGAAAACATAGAAACCAACATATTGCTACCAAGCAAGCAATAAGATATTACTGTCTTCTTTCAACAAAGGAGGTATCAGACAGAACTGATGGAATCCTCGGTCACAAGCACCATCACAAAGTATAATATCATTTTCTGCTGTAAGTTCTTTGGATTGACATTTTGCACAATATATCTGTCAGAAAAATGAAGCCAAGATCACAATAAATAAATAAATAAATACATAAATAAATAAATACATAAACAAATAAATAAATAAATAAGCGAATGATAATGATAAAGAAGAATGAGGTTCTATAACAAGAAAGCTCATAGCTTAAGTAGGAAATTACTCACATCCTCACTACTAATCTGTCCATCAGAATCGAATATAGATGCAGGGAAGCTTCCTTCAGCACATAGTGAATCAATGTGTTTAAATAATTCCCTTATTTTTACTTTAAGACGAAAAATGTCAGATGAAGCTCGTTGCAGCTCCTTCTCAGGTTTCAACTTTTCCAGACTGCATGAAGTTACAAAAGGAGCAAAGCAACTATCAAACATGAAGGATGTTGCAGTCTATATACAGAATACAAATAAAACACAAACGAGAGCAGGGGCACTGGAGTGGGACTAAACCATGTGAAACATGTGCTTTCCTTTAACAGAATAGTTTTTAAAGTGATTCTTGGCTGTATTTGTAATCCAATTTTACCAACTGTAAGTCAAGGGTGCAGACTTCTCCGTAAAATTACAAACTATTCCACCTGGTTTTGCTCCCACATCTAAAGTTATCCTGCTAAACCAACTGAAACGAGGTGGAATAGTTCGTAATTTTAGGGAGAACTTCCTCCACCCTTGACTTAAGCATTCAAGATAAGGAGGAAAAGGATGGTATGCAACAAAGGCAATGTAGAATAAGTAATTCAGCTAATAATCATGGCAAATTTATCTTGTCGAACCAGGCAAAACAAGGTAAGACTAGGTGTAATTTCAGGGACAAGGTCTTCACCTAGATAAATTACCTCACAACCTATGTTCGGTAAACTCTAGAGAACAAGAAAACTTAGGATAAGAGGGCATAGGTGCTTTGGTTGAGAAAGTAAAGCAATTGAAGGAAAGAACAGGAGGGAAATGCCAAGAAATAGTTTGAATGTAGCACAAGACCAGAACTAGTAATTCAAGGCTTATAAAGATCAAATTGCAAGTCTCTTTGCTCTTTGGATCACCAAACACCACCAAATCATACCAACACTTCCCACTGTAAACGATCCCAATTCTAATTCTTTAATTTTCTTCTTCGGCACTTTCCACTGTAACATTCCAATATAAAATTACAGAGTCATGCATAAAAGCAATCATACATGAGAGTACATAACAAGACAATAACGATACCAGACCTAGTATGGGGGAAATTAGCTCCAAGAAACAATGCAAGTTAATGTACTCACTTTTGTCCTTTCCAGCCGTCTGCAGAATATGCAACAATCAGGCTTTGCTCGAATTTCATTCGGTGCAATAAATACCTGAGGTGTGACCTGATTCTAGTATACTCATCTGTCACAGTTCCCTTCTTCCTATCCTTCTTTCTTCTCTTCTGTTTCTTCCCATCAAGGCTAACATTAGTCGGGTCTCCACCTGACTCTGTACTTCTATGTTTACCTTGTGACTTCAACTGGAGTTTCCTATCACCTCGTGCTGAAGACCCTCTCTTAGTAGTGTGTTCAAGGTAGCTAAGACCACACACCACCTCTCTATGAGGAATTCTCAACTGCTTTCCATTGGTTGACTTCTGGCCATCTTTAAGGAGTCCAGGTTGTTCAGCAGATAACAGGGTAGCATCATCAGCAGACATATCTTCCTGTTTGCTGGGAGTGCTTATGGTCACAACCGTGGAAAGTGGTTCAGATTGCTCAAGCGAATTACAAGTGGATGAAACAGGATCAATCTCCACTTTACCATGTTTTCTTTCTTCGGTACTAAGATGTGGCTTATCTGTTTTCCATATTGAACGTTGAAGACGACAAAAACTTCCATCAGAATTATCAATCCTGTCCGCATCCTCACAGGCAGTTCTTAAGCCTTCAGTGTGGTCACACGTAGCAACATCTTCAGGTAACCGTTGCGAAGTTTCCTTCAATAAGCAGTTTGATGGTTCACTACCAATTCCTTGGCTATGAGTTAGCTGAGTACTAGGAGTAGGCATATCAACGTCACTAAAATGTTTATCCTGTAGACATGCATCACCAACTTTGTTGTGCTCATGTTCACAGGCACAATTAGGATTCTGCTCTACTGTAGTTTGGTCCAGGCTCCCATTCTTAGCAATCAGACTGTCCATGCCTGCTTCTTTAAGCTGCAAGCCAGACCTGTTACCGTCCTGTTCTGATGCATCTTTGACAGATGGCTCACAGATTTCAGTGGTTAGGCTCATGGAGGCAGCAACATCTGCATCTGTTAGCTCCGTTTGCGCCGACACACAGTGACCTTTCTCACAGCAAATTCCACTAATTCTACATTCATTTCCTAAGTCATGAGTCTGTTCCACTGTTGCTTGTTTAGGATAGGACGTCTGACTAACTTTAGATGGAGAAACACCCATATGGTCGACTGTTGACATAGAAGGCTGTTGCTATAAGTATGATATAAAATGTATACCTAGTCTACCTGAACTAAAACGGACCCTCAACCATAACGGCTTGCTAATAGCTCAAAGGACGGAGAATTTTCTGTACAACTACACTGCTAAAATTCAAAAACAAATATCATGAACCATCAACGAAGGACTCGTGGTGTTTAGCGTGAATACCACCCATTCCCAATGGTTGTGAACTAAATTAAACTCATTGCCTGCAGCATAATCAACACGCCAATTCAACTTCTTTGATCATCTAGCTGTAGACCTGCCAACATCCAATCAGGGAAGTGAGTGTTTTTTCACACAGGAGACTCGGAAAAAGAAAAGTATATGAATGGAAAGGCCTGGCCAAGGGTAGCATAAAGCCCTTATGTAAACAGTAAGAGGTATATACACAGGAAGGTAAAATAAAATTCCACATGGTTCACACAGGCAACACCATAGTGAATCAAAGCTACTCATGTATACAAATGTTGAGAATGAAACCAACAGAGTAATGCTAAATATAACGCTCTGTTAATTTCCACCCAAACTCTTAACAGAGGAACATAAGCTTTAAGTGGAGAGAAAATACATCAAACTTCTTCATCATTTTAGAGAAACGTCTCAAAATATACTTCCCTTTTCACTTAAAGTAGACAAGATCAAGGGGGAAAGGAAAATATGGTGTGGGAATTTCCAAGGTAACTCATAATATCACATGTTTCCAACTTGCATCTTTCTCTATTATGGTGTACCAGGTACTTAAACGTGAAATAATTTATTCTTTCTTGCATGTCAAGCCATATCCAGACTTACATAGCTTCGGCTTCCGGTTGTCTAATACTATGTCAGGAACCAATATTACGCATGAAGTAGAGATGCACAAAATAAGAGGTAGCACACCTGATTGAAAATCAAAGTTAAAGATCCAACAGAACCGTACAAAGTGGCTTCTACGATACAACATACTCCCTTTGCACTACTCCTTAAGGCACATATAACATCAGAGGTCTCAGAATGGTCAAACCAAATTGCTGTATCGTCAACAGTAATATGTTGAAGACTAGAGGAAACCAGGTTACTTAAAGAAATGAGGATTCTACAGCAAAATATTCTAGGCCGGGTATTATCAAGGGATACTGTTCTGCTAAACAAACTGATGAAAATCAGATGAAATTTTTATCATTGTTTCCAAAGACAAAATATGGGAAAACTGACGCATTGCAATCTCGTAGTTCCTATCACCAAGATGGTATCGATTCAGGAAGAATTAAAGCACTTGACTATCCCCATTGCCAGCTATCTACTGCATACACGGCAAAAAACAGCACCTAACTTGCAAAAACACGCAATCATCTTTCTTCAAAAATTTAGGAGAGTAAAATTACACTCACGCTGTAGGAACGAAAAACGCCTTGTACTGTAAATTCACCGCAAGAGACTGAACGAAACGATGAAACTTTCACCTTTCCATTGCCGCTGTCGATTAAGGACAACAGCCCAACATCAACACTGGGGACGTTACAAATGCCATTACCGCACTCCATCTCCACGCACACAGGAAACGAACAGAGCGAAGGCAGACATGTATGCCTCCAGCGACCCGAAGAAGCACTGGGAAAGAAATATTACGAGGAAAGCAAACGAAAAAGCAGCCAGTATCCAACACATTTTACTTCGTGCCCAGGGTTTCTAAACATCCCGCGGCCTATCACTAGCTAAAGGGAACGAGAAGATGAAAGAGGAAAGCCTACGCAGCTAACAACTTCCAAGTAAACGTCCTCTAGCTCTCATCGTCGTTCCAAGATCAGACGGCAAACATTAACACGATGAAATGTCATCCTGCCTATCTTTTTCCTTCGCTAAGCCACCATTATTCCAAGAAGAAGAAAATAAACGGAGAGAGAAAGCGAATTGAGGATATAAGGTACAAGGAAGAACTGACCTGAACTCGGGGACGGTGGTAGAATGCTCCGGCGAAGAAGAAGCGGAAGAGAGAGAGGGCGAGAGATAAGAGGAGGAGGAGGCGGTTGGGAGGGGAAAGGGGAAGAAAAAGGGCGGTCGATAGAGTGAGTAGAAGCCTCTAAATCTGGGGCACCGTCGCCTGCTGCGAGGGAGAAAGAGAGCTTTGGCTAATTTTTTTTTGTTGTTGTTGTTGTTGTTGCTGTTTTAATAATTTTTCAGTTTTATTTACTTCCACTAAATTTGTGTTATTAATTTTCCTGCTTTTGTGCGCTGACCGACCGTGTTGTGTTTCCCGATGCAAAGTTCCCTGATAATGGGCTGGGCCAAAAAAAATTTGTGCATTCTTTTTGGGCTTGAAGTTGCTGCAATGTTTGGGTTGTTTTGTTGAGAGTTGGATGGTTATTTGAATCCGTACACCGGGTATTATTCGATCTTATTTGAGATGGGGCGGATATTACTCGATACGTATTAGCGTGAGATTGGAAATGGATATTTATTATTTATTTGTTTTTGTGCCGCAGCACCCCGCTCATGGCACATTCAATTTTAATTTCTTACAATGTTTATTCATATTTCTCATATTTTGACTTTTCTTCAACTAGTTAGATTGATTTTTCATCTAATTAGACTGAAATAATCAGGACTGACTTTCGGTCGGTTTTTTTCCTAACCGATAATCGAACGGTCGGTTTTCAGCTAGCCAAATGACACTTAATTAGCCGTTGAGCACCGACTGCCAGGTTTACTCGGTTAACTGCAAAACCGACCGAGCGGTTATCGATTTTAACCATCATAAGCCGAATATAAACGAAAAGCGAAATTGTCATCGGTCAGAATCGATAATCGAACCGACCAATAACCGACCCTGCATATAAATTAACAAATCACCTAAATTGAAGTATCCAAACTACATCTAAATCACCCAAATTAAAATCTCGATTACTTTTGCATTCAAACTACATCTTAATCACACCAAATTAAAGTCTCAAATTTAACAAGTGACCAACATAAAAAATGGAGTAATTGACAATAGTAGTACCAAGTAGAAACTAAACTAGCAACAACAACATCAAGCCATCACTCAACCAACAATATATCATGACTCACGAACTACCTAGCTAGCATTATCACCAACAGCAGCAAAACCTTTTGCATAACCATATTTGCCACATTTCTGCGTATATGTTGTGTAACCGAAGGACGGCTAGCTACCAGAGGTGAGCAACGGTTCCTTCCGACTTGGGAACGAATCCTCTGTTGGCGGAGTAACCATGAGATCGCCGTAAAAGCTTCCCGCAAAGAGAAACCCATCTCCCCGAGAAATTAGGAGCGAACCCTAACACCAATGCAAATCTACACTAACAATACATTAGTTATAAGGGTTAATATATTTGTGTGGCATGAACTTTTTACATATTATACATCTTGGTCAATTCTTTTGTTCTACAACTTCGTGGCCTTAAATATGCATCAAAGTTATAAAATTGGCCAAACCTAAGATTTTACCGTTATCTTGGACGGTCAACGCGCCACGTCACTGCTAAGTCAGTGTAGACCACTTAAAAATTTGGTTTTTTCCACCTGTTACCATTTATCTTTTTAATTTATCTTTTTTTCTTCTTCTTTTGTTCAAAATAAAAAAATGGTAATTAATAGGTGGAAAAAACCAAACTTTTTAAGTGGTCTGTGCTGACTCGACAATGACGTGGCTTGTTGTCTAACGGTCAACGCGTTTGATCGTCAAAGATAATGGTCAAATCTCGAGTTTGGTCAATTTCGTAACTTTGATGCATAGTAAGGCCACGAAGTTATAAATAGAAAAGACTGTCGTGGATATTTAATATGTTAAAAGTTCGGACCATACAAATATATTAACCCTAGTACAAATACCATATCAGTTGTAACAAATAAAAATATTATGTCATGAATTATTTGTATATTGTCCAAATAACAAATTTGATAAATCTCAAACGGGCATTTCTAATTTCTAACCCGGATTTGTTCAAGAAGTCAAGACCAAAAGGACAAACTGGGGCGGATCAGTCCATCTTTCTTGGGCCTTGGCCCCTAATTTATTTTTAATTCGATGGCATTAGGATTACAGCCAAGCAAGGTTGTCAACCCGCGGGTCGACCCGTGGGTTGACCCACTTTGATCCTGATCCGATGAGAAAAACGAGCCGTACGCACCTGTCGGGTCGACCGCCACAAGGTACCGGGTTGGAGGTCAAATTGTGTTATTTTTTTCTTTGTTTTGCGAAATGTGCTTATTTTCCTATTTTTCTTTTCGCTTAACTCAATCTTTGGAATCCTAAGTTGAACATTTGAATATAAATGTTATATAAGTGTGTGTGAATTTTCACTATATGTTGAATCTAAGTACGAAATGTTATTTGGGTGTAATATTATATGTTATAACTCATATGTTAGATGAGATTTGATATAATTTATCAGGATAAGTATAATATAATGACGCTTTCCATATTTTCGGGCTAAACTAGGCTAAAATGGGTGATCCATTAACCCTTGACCTACTAGCTCAACCGGGTCCGGGTCAACCCGCAGGTTGACAACCTTGCAGCCAAGAGTCCGACGCTAGAGTGGCAACCAGGCCACGCCTTAGCCGGTCTGAGTTTAAAGTTTCGTTTGAAAGCAGCTGTGGCTGGCAGTTGTACAGTTTAGTCTGGAGAGATCCCAGCCAAGAGAGAGAGAGAGCGCGCTAGCAGCGGGAACAAGAAAACAAAAAAGACGAAGAAGAAGAAGAAGAGGAAGAGACGAATTTCCCTGCTTTACGATCCGGACATGGCAGCTTCTGTTGCCATCTCCTTCTCCACCCCGCGCTCTCCTTCTTCTCCCCCTTCTCAATCTAAATCTTCTTCTTTCCAACACTGCCGTAGCCTTCCTCCTTCCTCTCTTTCATTTTCTTCTTCTTCTTCTTCTTCTTCTCATCCTCCTCCGAATCTCCGAATCCTCATCTCCGTCACAAACCCTAGGAAAACCCGAGCCTTAGTCCGCGTCTCCTCCAATTCAGCCTCTTATTCGTCTTTCGAGGATGATTTCGGCTCTGATTCCCCACCGTCCTCTGCTGATAAGGTTAGCGCCCGTTGCTCTTTGCTTTTTCATGTACCCTTTTCGGCATGTTTTATTCTGTGGTGAGGGGTTGTATTGTGGGGGTCTGGCCTTACATGGTTAATCTGTTGTGCAAATTATTGAGATTACGGTGATCAATTTGAATTTACTGAACGGATTGGTTATCGTCAATGAATCACCTAGTCTTTACACAAGGGAAATGGGTTGGCCCGCTATTGTTTCTAAGGGATACCTGCATAGTGGACCTGCAAATCGATGAGATTTCTTGGCGAGCAGCTGTCTTAGTTGATCAGTGACCGCTGTTGGCAAATCCTTTTGTTTTTTGGGGGGTTGAACAATGCTTTAGTGGGTCATAACTGGACAAACCTGCCAATTAACATATTGGTGGGATTTGAAAATGGTATTATGATCCCCCACAATCGAGAGGGTTTTCAGTGGGGGTTGCTCTAGCCTGTAGGCGAGTAGTTAAATGACTGGAACTACTTAATCGTTGTACTTTGAAGCTTCTCTTTATTATGCATTCTCTAGAGTTCAGGTCTGCATTTGTCTGTTGCTTTTGCTCTCTTTCATGGGATACCGCCTTCATTGGGTTAGTGGCTGAATTTCTTTGGAGATATATTTGATCCTTACAGTTCGTAGTTCGAAATCTAAACAGTATCGTCTATAATAGTATTCCAAGTCGCAAAAAGTAAAAGACGGGATATGCAATGTAATAATCGCTTTGTTCTTTCTGTCTACCGTTTTTTTGTTGTTCTGCTAAGTGAAAGAGGAGGAATATTTTCTTTATTGTTTTTTTGTGCCACACACAGCGGTTTACATGTTCCATAAGCAGATTTTTGCCTGGTGTAGAGCCCATTTTGTGTGTTATTTTCTACGCCATTCTCTTGCGGAATTCTTACTTGTGCAATATGTTTCTTAGAAATCCGTCCTCTCAAAGTTGATACAAGAGATAGAACCATTGGATGTTAGCCTCATCCAGAAAGATGTTCCACCTACTACCTTAGATGCTATGAAGCGGACTATTTCAGGCATGCTGGGCTTACTTCCATCAGATCGGTTTCAAGTTTATATTGAGGCTCTGTGGGGACGTCTCTCCAAGTTATTGTTCTCCTCAATGATGACAGGGTATGGTTTAGATTGCAGCCAATTTTTGGATAATGATGTTCTCTTTCTCTCTCTCTCTCTCTCTCTCTCTCTCACACACACACACACACACACACGGAACTGGTGAACAATCAAACATGAGAAAACTGTTGTACTTTGTGGACAATCATGAGACCAGTTGAAATGATGATTGTCTCTGAAGCAAACTATGTTAGTTTTTTTCCACTGATTTATCTGCCTAATGCATATGTATATTATTACATGTTGATGTCGGCATGTTCTGTATAACTTAGTGTCTTGAAGCCACTGAATAGGTGTGTAGTAGTCTTTTAGAGGTCTACTTGTTTGTTGTGTGAAAGATGATAGAAGAGGGAGGAAGAGAAACACGAGAAAGAAGTCTTCGGATTGGTGAGGATGGTTGGTGTTAATTGGGTAACATTGTAAAAATGAAAGGGAAAACATAATTGTGGAAAGAAGTAGGCCTGGTTTCTCAAAATGTTCACCATGATCATTTCATGTTTGATTTTACTCGTCATTTTATTGTATACTTTCACTTAGATTTCACTGGTTGACTTATTAGTGGTTAAGTTTATGCCGGGACCAAGTTAGTTGAAATTGTTGGGTTGGTTCTTGCCTTGTGCATCCGTCTCTCATCGACAAGTGTCAGGGACAGCATCTTCAGTTTATTAGTAAATAAATTAAAATTCTCAGTTACTTCTGATCTCTTAAGAATCAAAGTACATGAGAGTAAGTCATTGATGAATTTGAGTTTCATGCAATAGGTACACATTGCGAAATGCGGAGTATAGGCTTTGTCTTGAACGAAACCTTGTTATAGCAGAGGAAAATCTTGACCATTGTCCTACAGAAAATTCTGCATCAGATTTGCTTGGAACAGTGGACAGTCCAACTGCAAATCAGTGTTTGGGAAACAATATGCAGTTTGAAACGGTTGTTGAAGAATCAGGAGACGATAATGTTATTCAAGGCCTTGGTGAAATTCCCCCAGAAGCTCAGCAGTATATTCTTCATTTGAAGTCTCGTCTATCTTCTATGAAGAAGGTATCATGCTATCCTCAAAGCTGTAAATCAACTTTTACCTCTGTCTACCTTCTTAAATTCTTGACATTAATGTTGTCATACAGAGATGTTATGTCATTGTTTTTTCAAGCAGTACACTATGTTAAGATCTTTAGCACTTTGTATTTGAAAGGTGATTCCAATGGTGGCAAACAATGATGGAGTATCACAGAATGAAGCCTGGTATGAGACCTTTGGATGTCTTGAAGCAATACCACGTTTCACTCCTATCTGATCCACAGCTTACAACTTAGGACTACTCTTAGTGGTGAAAGCAATAAGTTATTTGCATGAAGCCTATATCAAAAGCGACTATGGTGGTAGTGTTTACTTGTTGCTTGTCTAAGGCTTATAGAGTTAAGATTAGTTGTTGTCCACCCTTCTAGGCATCTACCATCTAGTCGTGCTTATGATTTCCCTTCTTGTCTTGCTGGCTCAGCTTATTCTGGAGATTTCAGTTCAGAATTCTTGTAGGGATGCTGAAATAGCAAAATCTTTTACCTTTATTGCTGGCCACTCTTTTGATGCTTCATCTATAGCTGTTATAACTCAACCTTTTATGCATTTGGCGAGTTCTTAAATTCTTTTTTCCCCATTCTTTAAGGAACTTTATGAAATCAAGCGGAGAAGTGATGCTCTTCAAATGCAACAGTTTGTTGGTGAAGAAAAGAATGATTTATTGGACTACTTACGATCCTTAAAACCTGAAAAGGTGGTATTCTCTGAACTGTTCAAAAGTTTTTTGTATTGTTGAGAACTCTTTTATGGAATTATGATTGCATGTGTTCTTCTTGTAACTGCTTCTTTGGGCTTTGAACTTGGAATGCTTGTTTAGTTGGTGTTACGATAACATATCCTTTTACAATGTATACACGATGAATATATGTTTGTATTTTCCTGATGCATCACGTTTAAGTTCCAGACTGCATCTTAGAATGATTCTGCCTCCTATGTTACCGGGGATGAAGATTGAGGAGCAACTATTTCTTCCTTGTCTTATTGGCAAGGTCTTTATGTGAAGTGAAGCTATGGTTCTCACAGTAAGAGGTACTATGTCGGCAGGGATGCTGTTTCAGACAGTAAAATTTACTGGAAACATTACTGTGCTATAGCATTTAAGATGTAAGATTTGGAAATTCAAGCATTAGAAGCCATTTTAAAAGGGCTGTTTCATTGTCAGATTGATGACCTTGGTTGTTATGAGAATACCCCCTGAAGTTGTTTGACAAAGCCAGCTCAGTTTGGTTTGGTTCTATCCAGTCAATTACAGTGGTTTTTATGACAATTCTTCTGACTTTTAGTCTGATAAAAGTTGGTGGGTTTATAGGGACAAACCAATTCCTTGCCTTAACCGTTCGATTAGCACATTGAATGACAAAATTTAACCGTGGCAATCAGGTTGTAGCACCTTACTTTCTGTTAGAGTTGCTTTTGAAGTGCGCTCTCCCTTTTGTCATTTCTGATTCCCATATTCCTCATGGTGCTATGTGTCTTAGATAATCTTGCAAGCCGCTTGTGATGTGGTGTTCTCTTTATTTTTTTACATTTTGCTTGCATCTGATGCTATTCCTGCATGAACAGGTAGCCGAGCTGTCTGAACCTACATCCCATGAATTGAAAGAGACAATTCACTCTGTAGTTCATGGTCTTCTTGCAACTCTTTCTCCAAAGATGCACTCTAAGCCTCCCCCTCAATCGGAGTCCACATCAGCTGGATCTGTGAACGGTGGTGGTGAAGATTGTGCTGAACTTGTTGAGAACACTTCACTTCAGTTCCAGCCGCAGATTTCATTGACCAGGGACTATCTGGCACGCCTACTTTTCTGGTGAGACCTGAATCCTTGGCCTTTTGTTGTGTTATGATTTTTCTTCTTAACTAATGAAGATTTAGGCATGAAGCACTCCGAGTATGCATCGACACTCAATCTGGGATTTGTGACAGCTTTAGATCAAGGGATTTCAAATGTGTTGGTGGAGGATAATAATCATGACATGTGTTGAATGATACGGTTTGAATGGAAAATTGCATGCGCTAAAACCAACTGCTCAAGATGCTCGAAAATGTGTTTGTTTTGATGAAGGTTGCCATCTGATTTTGGCTAGGAGCTTTTGTTGTTGCCTTCTTGACAGCTTTAAATTTCTTCTGTGGCCTTAGGTGCATGCTGCTGGGACACTACCTACGAGGCCTCGAGTATCGTATTGAACTGTCGGAACTCCTGTCCTTGACAAATGATGGAGAAAGCGATGCAAATTGAAGCCGGTCGGATTAAGCATGTTTTTGTAGATGTAAATAGATGCCAGGGCATCATCACTGCACACAAGATTCTTTTTTCCAGCAAGGAAAGGAAGAAGGAAGCAGTATGCAATTACTGCGTATCAGTACTGTAGATATGAGGACGCCACTTTATATTTATTTATATTTATTTCCGTCATTATTTCATTCAGGTGCTGGTAAAAGATTAGCTTTTTATTATGCCACAGAGAATAATCATAAAAAAAAAACAGAAAAAAAGGATTTTATAACCGAAATGTGATGGCATTAGTAATTTTATTGTAAATTAAACATTATTTCTAGCCCTATAATTTTAGAGCACTGCGTAAATGAACCCCGTGAATTTGAGCAATTGAATGCCACTCTACTATTCCAGTGTGGGTAACCTTGCATGACTTGCTAGCAGAGTATGTCACAGACCGTATTTTTACACGCTTGACTAGTATGCTTGGGAACCCTCTGTGGCTCGATCAGACTACGAGACTGTTACGAAGATTAGGGTAGCCGAAGGTGAGTGTTAGATAAAATGCAAAACAAGAAATTAGACTACTGTTGCGTACATCGATATAATGCAAAACAAGAAATTATTAGATAAAAGTAAAGAAAATATTAAATAAGAGAGATATAACTCAATAAGTAGATAAATAACTAAATTTTCTGTTTGTAAATTTTTTTCAAACTTGCATCCTTTTACTATTTAATACTTATTTTAGTTGATGACATATACATCAGCCATAAAAGCATGTTTGACAAAGCTCAAAAGGGCGATATACAAACATATAAAGTAATATAGTTATTTCCCAAACTTGATTGAATGTGAGTGACTACATGTGAAAGTTTTTGCTTCTTCCTTTCCTTCTGCTGATGATTGTTTTCTCATTTCCATTGTTATATTTTGTTTAATGAACAAAATTATTATTATTATTTATGTGTGTTTGTTTAATTTTTTTTATCAAAATGTAACTTACTATTAAGTTTAAGAAAATATGAGTAGAAAATTTATTTGATTCAATCATATATTTTTGGTTTAATAAATCACAATCTACCTCACTTTCTGTTTCCATCTTTATACCTTTTTAGTCGACAAAATATTATTTTCTTATAACGACAAAAGGATTATTTTCTTATGATGAAAAAAATATTATAACTTATGTGTGTGTTTTTTAAATTTTTATTTATCAAAATGTAAATTATTATTAATTTTTAGTAAAAATGAGTATACAGTTTACTCAGTAAGGTTTAATGAGATACTTTCGGTTTAAACAAATTTGATATATGTTGCTTTCAGATATTGGTCTACTGCTGCGTATATCGACATATTACCATATTACAGAAGAAAAAACAAAAAAAAAATTATTGGTTAAAACTTAAAAGTAAAGAAAGTATTAAAAGAAGAGAAATAGAACTTACAAATAAATCATTAACTAAATTTTTTGTATTTCAAATAAGTTTTCACCTCAACGACTTGAGAATTCTCCAAATTACCTAATAAGTACCTTTATAGGTTTTTGAATACCCACATAACAAAATTTATTTGCACTCGAGCAAACCGACGTAATAAGAACTAGAATTAGTATTTGTGAAACCATATTGTATTGGCTCTCTGACTGTAAAATTTATGTCGGAACCTAAATTAACGATATGAAATTATTAAACTTCGATTAAACCATAATTTTAATATAAAATACCCTACTTTTACAATACACCTCCGATACCGTTTCCCATTCAGTGATTGAAGTATATAACAAACTGAGTATCCAACTAGGAGGAAGAAAAGGAAGAAAAAAAAATTAATTTGGATTAATACAATCCCCAAATAATTCTAACTCCACTCTAACTCTTTCTCCTCCATATCCGCTCTTTCCCGGTAAAAAGCTAACCCTCTCCTTCTTTCTCCATGCAACCGACTACTTCCCCCCGTCTTCTGTAAACCCTAAACCCACCCCAAAAAAAAAAAAAAAAAACCAGTCATCATCAATAATGGCGCGGCGAATTGACGATCCAAATGGCAACCATCCATATCAACAACACCAATTGCTCTTCACCGCCGCCAAGAACTACCAAAACCCTAATAATTACTACGCCGCTGACCCGGTCAACAACCACTCCTTCCCATGGCAGCAGCAGCAGCACCAACTCCTCCTTCCATACCTGAGCCCCAATCAGCTCGCCACAGCCGCCGATCTCCCAGCTTACACCGCCGCCGCCGCCGGCGGTCTGGATTCCGTCAATTTGCAGTTGATTATGAACAACAACAACAACATCAATCAAAGTCATCTTCATGATCTGGAATCGGCTTTCGCCCTGATGAACCTGGCCACCGCGGCGGCGGCGGCTCAACCACCGTGGCCATCTCAATTAGCCTTCCCGCCGGCCGTGGGTTCCTTGTCCGACACGAGATTTCAGTCTCTGAACAGCTTGATGAGAGGAGGAAGAAGAACCGACATCACCGATCTCTTCCCTCCGCCGAATTCAAGCCCCGCCACCGCCGGCAACTGCCCTGATTTCAGCCGGAATCAAAATCCGTACGGTTTCCGCTTCGATGACGTCACCCTGACCAACGATAGCTACGATCTTCGTCATCATCATCATCGCAATCATTCCTCGTACGATCGTATGCTGAAGAACGACAAGCCGCAGCTTCTGCCGTCCAATCACCGCCCACCACGTCAGCGGTACGGTAGCTTATTAGAGACCGGTTACAAGGATCGCCAGACTACTCCGCCGCCGTCGTCCTACTACTCGCCGGAGGAGGTGAGGGAGAGACTTGTGGAGCTGGCCAAGGCGAAAGAGAGCTCCAGGACGCTGCAGGCGATTTGGGAGAGCCACCACCACCGCAACTCCGATCAGCTTGGGGAGCTGATCTTCGCCGGGGTGAAGGCGAACCTGAACGAGCTGATGGAGGATCAGTACGGGAATCATCTCGTGCAGAAGATATTCGAGCTCTGCAGTTACGATCAGATGGCTCAGATTCTCCTCGTCGTCGGAGCCCACAGGGACAGATTCGTAGATACCTGCCTCCACCAGCACGGGTATACGCATATCGCTTACTCATAAACTCTAATCAACCAAAATTTAATGTACTAATATAGTGATGCAATCTATGGTTACAACAACCAATTTAGGAAAATTTATATCCTACATCCTAAAAATGTGTCTGAATTGTCAAATGCTAGACACAAACACGAATTATAAATTAAAAATTTATGGATCGATAATACGTTACACGAACATATGGAATGTTTAATCGAGCAACTCGCAGGACTCGAGCTGTGCAAAAGATGATACAACACATCCAAGCTGCGGATCAGAGGGCTTCCTTCTTGTCGACGGTGGAGAACGCGATCATCAGGATGTGCAAGGATCAGCACGGCCAGCATGTCGTTCAACAGTGCTTGAAATGTTTCGTCGGAGATCGGAGCATCAAGGTACGTTTACAAATGATGCTACTAGTGATTGGCTAAGTTTCTTTGTTCTTTTTTGTCTAATTTTGATCGCTTGTGTGATCGTATATAGCAGTATGTGCTGGAGCAAATAGCAGAACACTGTCTGGACCTCTCGATGGACAAGAGCGGGTGCTGTGTGGTGCAAGCCGCAGTGAGTTACGCCAAGATTTACGGTGAAGCTGAGCTCCTGGACCATCTTTGTGCTCGAATCGTCTCGAATGCCCTAATCCTTTCCGAACATCCTTTCGGGTATGTACCCATTTGTTAATAAATGGTATATGATTCACGATTCAACTTCTCCCAATAACTCTAGTTATTAGGACCAACCGGTTCTTGAAATGATATCAGAGCTTTCTGTGACCGAGACGTCTTCTGTTCGAATCTCGATGACCCCATCTGTTTCTGTTTCTGTTAAGCACACGGTGTCCGGACCTGTCCAAACTCCAAGCCTATCTGATGGCTTGAGTTTGAAGGGGGTGTTAGTAAATGTTCTATGATCTACGATTGAACCTCTCCCAACAACTCGAGCTGGTTATTGGAACTCATGACATAATTGCTTAAATTAATGCATGCATGATTTGTCTATCAATCAAGCAAGCAAAATAAAATCACTGGTGATAGAATGATTATTATTCTTGTTGTTGTTGTTTCAGGAACTATGTTGTGCAGTATGTAATCGAGCTGAGGATGGAGGCGGTGAACGGGAGGATAGTGAACAGGTTGATCGGGAACCACGTCGGGCTGTCGATGAGCAAGTACGGCAGCAACGTGGTGGAGAAGTGCCTGCGGATCTGCGGGGACAAGGAGAAGGCGGTGATCATCAACGAGATCATGAACAGCCCTCAGTTTCTCGACTTTCTCCAGGATCCTTACGGGAATTATGTTGCTCAGACGGCACTCAAGAGATCCGAGGGTGTTCTGCAGAACAAACTTGTTAACATGATTCAAGAGCAGTACCCGTATTTGCACAGCCATCTTCATGGCAAGAAGGTGCTGGCTCGAACCAGCAGATCATCAGGGAACAACAACAAGCACCTGCAGCAGCAGCATCGTGCCGGTCCGAGTGTGATGATGATGATGAATGAGTTCCCCAGGCGACATTTCTGAGGATCAGTTCTGAAATGTGTTGTGCCTGGAAAATCAGTGTTGTTATTTTATTTTTATTTTCGTTCTCTCTCTCTCTCTAGATGTTATGTAGCCAGTTAAAAAACCCTAAGGGCGGTTTATGTCGTGTGTTAGATGTGGATGGGAATTGTTGTTTGTTGTTTAGAGTAGTGTCTGTTCGTGAAATGTTCCAAGTTGTAATTTGACACACTTCTCAACTTATGGTTTTCACGTACCAAATTTTTTTTTGATTGGCTTGCTTGCTTGCATTACTTTTTCGGATTGGTTAATCACTTTATATATATATAGTGGAAGTGGGCAAAAAAGGGTGCATGCATGCAGTTTTAATATCGTTCTAATTGATGGGAATAGAGCTTAATTACTATATATGTAGCCAATCATTTATAATTTCGTACATGCAATGGATGTATTTTGATGTGAGGGATATATATAAGGTATTAACACTTAAAAGTATTAAAAGCCTGCATGGTTTCGTCGATCCAGTGTAAAATAATCAACGGTGATAAAAAAAAACCTCACAAAGCAAACAACAAACATTATTGAAGAAAACAGGTAATACAGAAAGATTACAATGGTGAAGTAAATTTTACCCTGTCGATTTTTTTTTTCACACAAAAGGGAGAAGTGGAGGTGGGTTCGATGGCGGGACGGAAGAAGAAACTGTTGTGAATAGTAATTACCATAATACCATTAATAAATTGTTTTTAGTATAGTGCTAACACTTAAAGTATTAACATTCTATATGGTTTCGTCGACTCGATATAAAAAAGAAAAATTAACAGTGATAAGAATAATTAAACATGCCACCACGAAACCTAGCATACTATGGAATCGAAAATATCATTTATTATTTAATAATCCAGAAATAGTCAAAGTTGTATTGCAACAGAAAATACTAATAATCCACCATTTTAACAACCAGTCGATATATTTATTTATTAATAACAGCATCCCTAATCCCCTAACAAATCAGCCTACTAATTTGGCCGCCTGACAGATAAATAACATAAACCAAACACTACAACCCAAAATTTGATCAATTAAGCAGCGTAGAAATGGGCAGCAACGACGACGACGGCAGGTGCGAGCTGGACATCGGCGGGAACCTCTACTCGTTCCTCCCATCAGCCACGGTGATGGACGTGAAGCAGAAGATCGCGTCCCGCTCCAACATATCGGTGTGGCGGCAGAACCTGCTCCTCCCGGCCGCGCAGACGGAGATGGACAACGACCGGACGCTCGCTTCCTACGGAATAATCAAGTCGCCGGCCGCCGCCGCCGGCGGCGTCAGGAGGCTGTTGTTGCTGGAGATCGATCCTCTACCCATCAAGGTGATGCTCCGGTTCGTCGGCTACCCGACCTGGCTGGACGGCGACTTCATCACGTGCTACGAGTCCGTTACCGTGAGGGATTTCACGGCGATGATTGTGGAGAAACTGCACATCATGGGCCTGCTGGAGATCCGGCCGGAGGATATGGTGTTGAGTGCTGGAAATGATGCGCTCGACGATCCTGGTGCTGCTCTTTCGGATTACGGTGTGAAGGGGATGAGCTGGATCACCATCAAGTTCATCAGGAATCATCCACCGGCTGGTACAAGATTGTAAAACTTTGAGTTTTTGTTTCAATAAAAGTCTTTTTCACCTTCATTTCATGGTGTGTGTGAGAGAGCCGGAACTGTAAAAATAGGACAAATTAATCGGAGGAAAACAATAACACGAGAGATAAGGATTTAATAACGTGGTGTATATCTCCAGCAAGTCGGGACTAGTTCACGGGAAAGTAAGAACTTCTCTGGCCGGCTACTGATCGTTGTTTGTTTTTTGAGTTTCACAAACGGCCTAACACACTACAAAAAAAGAGGCCTTGTGCCAAGGGTTATTTTCATGTCATATCGAGGGTTTTAACCCCCTTGCTATACAAGCTATAACAAAGGTTCTACCGACCCCTGGACGTATCCTTGGCAAAGCTGCCTTTGCTATGTGTAACAAGGGGTTTTTAAGCGACCCTTAGTGGAAGTACCCTGCATGCAAAGGTTATAACAAGGGGTTGAAACCCTTGCTACACGTGTTTGTAAAATTCCGCAAAGAAATTTCTGTAACAAAGGTTACCACCCTTTGCTAAACTCATTTCTACAACTAGCAAGGTTAAAACCCTTGCTATAGGACAATATAGGAATAATCGTGAGTGTTAATTCCCTTGCATAATTTGTGACGAAAGTAAAAACATATTGTGTCGAAACGAGCCGTCACTAAAGTTTGGTCACTATAAACCCCTTGCATACTTTGTGACCAAACTAGAACATTTTGCGACGAACCCGGTCGTCACCAAAAAGTTTGTTACTAATAGAAGCATTATATATGGTTGCGTTACCCTTGTCAATATAGACAAATTCATATTATACAACATACCCACCAATACTTATGTCATTCATACCCTGAATCATAACATGATATCTTTCATCATCCAAAATATTGTTTGTTTTACATGGCTAAATGCTAAACACCATAAACATTCAAGTATAATGCAAAGAAACACAGTATGCTCATAATATTTCAATCACTAAAAAAAATACGATTCAAAGTAACATGAGTAGATCGCGATCCCAAATCCTTCAAATAAGAGCTTCACGATATCATTTCACGAAACCTTCAAAAAAGCAACGTGAAGGATGGAAATGATGAGTATAACAGAAGAGAAGGAATAAAAATGCTATTTCAGCTAGTAGAATATCCCTGATGTGATTGGTTCATGTTGTGCATAATGTATCAAGTGTATCGTAGGCGGCTTCAATTGCATACATGGAGTCGTAGTTGTTGTCTGGGAATGCCATTTTCATGAAGTCAACCTATATGCGCAAACATGAGAGAACAACGGAATGCGTTATGATGAATATTAGTTTTTTAGTAACCATCGTGGCTATCTACATCTAAACCATTCATTAGCTCTATTTTTTCCTTTTTTTAAAATAGCGGTCAAGATTAAATTAAGGATAGTTTGGGAATCAAAATAATATCACATAAGATTATTACCTATATTTATAACTTACCTTCCCCAACCCTACGTCTACCATCACCACCCTCTCACCTCCCCTCCCACCGACCGCCTCCCCCTAACTCTCCTCCCCACCTCACCCTCCCTAACTCCCCACCCAATACCACCATCCCACGACCCTCCCTTCTCTTTCTCTCTCTAACAGCCGGAAGGAGCCGATGGACAAGCGTCCTGGGTGAGTATGGGATCGCGGAGGTTGTCAAAGCAATCGCTAGCGCTGGCCATTCTTTTATCTCCGACCCTCTCGTCTCAATGGTATTGTTTTTGTCGCATTGGTATTGATTTTGTTGCGTTGCTATTTTTTCTTTTTGTCGCATTGGTATTGATTTTGTTGCATTGCTATTTTTTCTTTTTGTCGCATTGGTATTGATTATCATGTAATGGATTTAATTTGCATGTATTGGTATTGATTAAATCTGCAATGGTATTGATTTTTTGTGAAATGGTATAGATTTTTATTGGTATAGATTTATTTATGCAATGGTATTAATGTTTTTCAAAGTGGTAGTGGTTGTCTAATGAATTGGTAGTGATTTCATGTTTTTTTATTCTATTTTGCAGAAAGATTGAGAAAAATAAGGAAAGAGGATCTGGTTGGAGATTACGGAAGTGAGAGAAAGAGAGAGAATTGTAATTAATAAATATTTGTAACTACCTAAAATGTAATTTATTAAAAAAAAATTCATTGATAAGATTTATTTTTCATACCTAATTTACCCTTAGTAACCATGGTGATTACTACTTTTGTGGTAATTACTACTTTTGTAGTAATCACCGTAACCTGTCCCGAGAACAACATTAAGATTCTTGGTCACAAATATTGTTTATATATAAACAGGGTAGGTTACGAAGGAAACAATAACATAATTTAACAAAATCACATGTCTTGCTCTTGTCCACTCAGGCAATAAGATTTAATTCCTAAATGGCAGAAGCAACAGATTAATTCCCACTTATTAAGACAAACCAAGGTATAATCTACTTCTCTAGACACTATTGAAAGCAATAAATAATTAACTAGGAAAAACGACAGAGGAGACAGTACCTGATTGTTTTCAGCATCCTCCATCCACTTTTGTCCAGGAAATTTCTTAACGACGAACCTCACTCGTCCGACCCCTTTGCCATCACTAATTAAAATAAGTCCAATTGAGTCCTATTTTACCCAAAATTGTCATCCAAACGCTAAACACAAGCTCTAATTTCTGTTATAACTTCCCCTAATCGTCACAAAGATAAACAAAGGAGCAAAGTTATCGTTCTCCATTCCCTCTTCTTCGTAGTCGAGTATTGTATTTTCAAGAACTCAAGTATTCTTTTGCGAGATTATTATTCTTATTTAAATTTTCTGAAAAAAATAATTCCACTAATTAAAATTCCCGGATCTTTCACTACTTGTTAGTGGCCTCTTGTTGTTAAACTTAAATGATAACTTCACGGGTTCATTACATGAATGAATGATTACTGATGTTTGGGTTCATCTTTTAATAACTTTGCCAACATGCTACGAAACATACAACAAATAAAGAGAGGACATAATTTTGGGCTTTTGGCTTTCGTAGTTCCAGCAAATCCCAATGGTTAAAAGCTTCTGTACACCTACAACTGCATTCTCAACAGAAATTAGGAATCAAATAACTTCCTACGGGTAATATTTCAACGTAACTGAGCTTTGCACCCAGCATATTTACAGAGTCCCACCCTTCAGCAGTAACTTCTCTGACTTCCATGCTTGATTAATTGCTGGAGGCTGCATCTTGAATTATGTACAAAGCATGAATTTTATTTGCTTCCAGACAACTCACACGAACAATTCATCGTATCAACCACCCATTCTGTTCGATGGTCTCGAATAAGGACTGCAACACTCTTCACCGGGTTTCTGTGGAGATGCTAATAAATTCACCTGCATAAACCAACCGTATACTTCATCTCACTGAGGACGGCAAAGGGGAAGAGATATACCCTGAAAGAAGAATCAATCAAGAGCATTCGACTGTAGCAAACGCAAGACAAATGCTGCATTACCTTGACGATCTCAGACCTGGAGCTTGGTCTCATGTAGGCAGCCAAGATGCTCATGTTGAAATCCTGCATTAACCCATCATCGTTTTGCTAATCTCGTCAGTTTAAAAACAGGAACCAATTAAAGTTGGAGTCTAATGGTGCAGCAAATGACCATCCCACTCTAACAGAATCCGGAAACTACATAATTTCCTGATTTATCGCAATGCAATCAAATGCAGAAAGTTCCAAATAGGTGGTAAGACTATATAGAACTTACTCTGAAAGGATCACCCCTCAAGGATTGCACATACATGGAAGACCCTAGGCCTTTTCCCTGCATAATGAGCTTTAGTGAATCAGCATGACAAATGAAAAAAGAAAACGAAATGCTTCTTAATATTTATGAAATCCTATTTAAAAAGGTTCAAATCAATTCCGAGACGATTCCAAATCAATTCTGGATGGCATATGAAGTAACCAAAACCCACAGCAAAATAAAATTGTTCATCATAACTCTTCAAGGGTTCCAAAAGAAGTAATGTTTAAATGGACAACTGGAGTACCTCCAAGGAAATATCTCTAAGACGCCTCCCAGTTTGAGCACAGCAAACACGGACCACTTGCTCATCACAACTCCCACTTATAATGTAATCCCTACCATTCATGTAGTAGGATCTAGTGTAATTCTGTGCACTCCCAGTATGCGGTATTTCAAAACTCATGTGAAGCCTTCCATCAACAGCCAAAAGTTGTCGAACCTGGCAAGAGACACATGTAGTATGTAGTCTTGCATGTTAATCTCAAGAGAAACACATCTAACAAGTTCAAGTTGGAACATGCATATTAAAATACCAGCCCATCAGGACGTACCTCATTGTCAACAGCTGACACAAGAAGGTAGTGATCGTCTGGGGAAAAGCAAACCATCACATTTCCCTTGGTGCTTGAAGTTGTATAGCAAGGCCAAATGGGTTTTTGTCTCAAATCCCACAGCTTCACATCTTGATCGAATGATGAGGTAGCAAACATGGATGGATTATGGTTCGAGAACTTCACGACATTTATATGCTCTCTGTGCATGTCATTAAACACCTGAATGCGCTTCCCGTAATTGATATCATATAAAGCTACATTCTTTGAGTAGCCACTTGCAAGAAACAATTCATCTGTTGAGTTGACGTGAACAGATGTCAATTGTTCGAAATCGTCAAAAGTGACAGCACGAGGACTAGAATGGAGGCCATTTGTTATGGAGGGCATATGTTCTATGTCATACAACTTCAGTGAGCCATTATCTGACCCTGCTATAAGCTGGCATCAACATGAATAGACAGAAAGGAATCAGAAATGGGATGTCATGAGGGACACAAAGCAATTAAGCAATCCGATATTGTTTTTGAACAAGCAGAAGGTAGCTCCATAATTGAAAACAAGAGAAAGAACTCAAAGACACAACAGAACAAGGAAGGTGCTGTCCATGACATGCATATACAGATCCCAAATTAGCGGCTAAAGCTAGAGTAACGATATCATTGCAGAACAAAATGTCAAATTTCTGCAAGTACAACTAGCTTCACTGCTGGAAGTCAATGGCTTTCCAAAAAGGATCAAAAGAAATGGAAAACTGCAGAACACTTCAGGACAATATAACAGCTTCAGAAAAAGATAATAGCACCGACCAAAGAGAAAACAGATAATAGCCAATAAGACCTTCCTAAGGCATGATGGTGTTTTGATATCAAGACCAGTCGATAACTAAAAGAATAGGTGAATACGTGAAACAATCATTCTTTCTGACTTGTAGCTTTCACGAACGCCCTGAACTCAAAGGAGAAAACATGTAGGAAAATCCCAAAATATAATACTAAATATAGGAAGAATATGGAAGAAGTAAAGCAGCCATGAGCAATGACAATTAACAGGCTGTACAAGGCCAATCAACGGATCTCACAATCAAAATATTTATTTATCAGAAATGATGTTATTGCCCATCATGCTATTTTAATCTCACAAAATTCCCATCTTGAACTTGCACAAACTGAGTTAGCTTCACAGAAGGTAAAATAAATAAAAGACTGATAACTAGAGTAGCACCACGTAAAAGCGCACCTAGTTTCTTGGTCATTAATTGGCACATACGAGTAATTCACTTCTCTAAACATTGACATACAGTTGAACAATTTTAAATGGCTATGGAGATGGATACCATCATATATGCAATCATCACATACCTTGGAGGGATACTTCTTGAGCCACGAGAGGCCCAGTACGCTATTCATTGCTCCAAAGTAAGTAACACAACCAACAATTTTCTCAGTCTCATGGTTGACTACAACCACTTCACCATCTAAAGTACCAAAAACCATTAGGCTAGAGATAGTTGGATGGTACTCAAACTGCCTTGGACGAAAGCTTCTGCCTCCATTTGACAAATCACAACTTGATATAGACAGTGGATGCAAGGAAGGCCGAGCAGTAGATCCCACTTTGGCAGCACAAAGAGAACGTGTGTAGAAGAACTGTGAACTTCCATATGGTGAAGAAGACTTCTGATGGTTAATCTGTGGACAAGAGCGACTTCCTTTTATCTCACGTTTATGCAAAAGACTAACTACGCTCTCCTTATACTTTCGCTTATATGGCAAGTACTCAAAGGATTTTGAAAATGTGATAGAAGCACTTTCCCTATCAGCCTTTCTGACAGGTAAATCATCTAAGACTTTCAGATTAGGCAGTGAAGCTATCATGTAGTCTCGGTAATGTTTCTCATAGCATATTGGTGAAGCACAGCAAGAAACATACGTCAAGGCCATGTCTCCATCATATCTTGTGATAGCAGACGGCTCTTCATTTTCATTCCACAACATACCGGTTGACCCCTGACATCAATAGTAGCAATTCAGATATGGAAAATACAAATGAAGGAGAAACATGCAGCCATAAGTCTACAGGCATTCATGAAAATGTTTCAGGAGAGACTTCTTTCATAAGCAAAGACCTTGTTCAGAGCACAAGTATACAGAATGGAGATCAAGGAGAAATATGCAGTGATAAGCCTCAGCCATTCATGGAAATCTTCCAGGAGAGACTTTTGTTCTTTCCCTTGGGAGAAAAGACATTGTTCAAAGCACACTTAACCTCATAAATAAAGGAAATTTTGATAATCGCTTCAAAGTTCTATGACCCTGCTATGCAACTCTCAACATCACGCAAGAGAATAGTAAGGATAAGGAAGAGGAATTACCACAGTTTGCATATTGGCTTCTCTGTGCTGCCCATGAAGACTGTTTAAAAACAATCCTGCATAATCAGCCTCCTGATGCTGAAATGAAAAGTCAGCTTCACTCCCATCTGACATATCCTCCATCATGCTTTGGAGGTCTTGAACTGTACCCACATTACTAAAAGGAAGAATATTCCTAAGTGTATCTTCTGTGCTTGAGACAAGATTTGAAGTTTCGCGAAAATCAATTAGTTGTCTTCCACTGTCTGCAAAAGTATTTGATATGCTAAATTGATCATCCCAACTACCATCAGATGACACTGAAGGACATACAGTCTCATTGCAGCAGACCCACTTCTGAAAACGAAGTTCTGTCAGAGAACTAAGCTTTGAAAGTGCTGCCACGGTCGTCCAGAGATTTGAAACTCTTGTCTCACACATGGAGAGGGAAGTTAGGTTTGGCATCTGAGTAAAACATCCCTCTTGGAAGCTGGTAAGCAAAGTGCTAGAGTCGAGATTGAGTGTATGCAACTTTGTAAACTCCCCTACCATGTTAAGCTTCCTAATATGTGAAGACCTCAAGTTCAAACCTTGGCATGTCGTTCCTCTACAAGAAATTTCCCTAATAGTAAAACCAAAATCAGTTTGACATAGATCATCCACTATTCTTTATAGGACTATTTTTCTCATGGAGAAAACCAATGTATGGATATAAGAGCACAGGACAAGTACCTCTACCATAACCAAAAATTCAACAAATCACAAAGAATTGCATGTAAAAGAATAATTTACCTAAAGAGGTCATTTCCATTTCGTGAATCTTCAAGATGAACAGTCCGGAGCTTTTGACTAAAAGCATGAATCAATGCTAAAGAATATTCTACACTCAATACACAAGATGATCCATTGTGAATATCAACGGCTTCAATCTCAGATGAGTCAATTGCCACAGATATGTCTAGGAGAGGTTGGAAATCCATATCTGTGAGATCATCCAAGAAGATGTCTAGGCTGCACGGATCACTGCAGGACTTCCTAATCTCAGCCTGGATATGCAGAAACAAAGCACAAACAAAATGATATATAACAGCATCTGAAAATCTTATGAATGGTAAGTGAAATACCATAATCAATGTGATATTAGAGATACCATTTCAACCAGTGTTCTAAAAGGGAAACAAAGGAAAAAGACAAATGCCAACCTTGAAGAAACTGGATAAAATTGTGGCATTAGGTAAGGAGCCAAGTCTCCTACAGGAATCAGTGTACCTGAAACCAAAGCCATGTGAGCAATATACTTCGTCAAGTGATGAAAAACATCAAAGGAGACATATCATTGTCAAATTTCATGGAGACTTATACTTATGATATCATTTCTTAAGGATCTACAGAACAATTTGTGTAATCTACTTCTGCTAGTTCCATTAGATAAGCTTGCATACAGTTTCTTCATTTAGCCGTCCCCCAAGCGGTTGACCTAGCGTATAATTAGGGTAAGTGCATACTACACAGCCAGGGTTCACACTTGAGGCCAACATCATTCATCAAAAGTTCCCTTGACTAGTGAACTGAGGGGGGAAAATGCAAAGTATACTCATCCACAATCATTCTCCTCCAACTATATAGTCTCGCCAGCTAGATCTTTCCTGTGTCTCACCACCTGATCTCTTCAGCGTTACCCCACCAACAATCCACACTTCATGAAAAGATTTAACTAAAATTCCCAACGTTCTATATACTCCCAGCTATTCCTACCCGATACTAGATTAACCACTTATATCCTAAAATATTATGAAGTCTCTAGCTATTGATTCTGCAACACCAAGTTATAGCTTTCTACTAGAAAGAATTCCACCAACATCCCCACATTCAAGTAAATCCCTGGCCACCAAAGCTAGGCAAAAGAGGGTGCAGTGCTACACATATATCTGCCACCATGGATAATCTCCCCAAGTTCAAGACTTCTTAGCAAGTTCTTAATTTCCTAATGAAGGGGTCAGCTGACATTAACACCCCCTCCCTCCCCAAATGGCTTAAATGAATCAAACCCGCATCAATAATTCAAGCAAAGAACAAAGCACCTCATCAGAGACATTCTCGCTAACATCCCATTTCAAATGATTCAAAGAAAGGCGGATTTCTTAACTACTGTAACTAGTAGTTCGCCAGAATTCGCAACAATACGTAACAACATCAGAACCTCCTCCCCTCCTTCGGGCACGCAAATTTTACAAAATCAAACAGCAAAGAGAAGGCCAGAAAAGGAAGGGGGGGAAACTGTGGGAGACAAGCCAGGGCTGGAATCCAAGAGGGAACTCACCTTCGTTGCAAGTCCGAAAGGTTTATGAATGTTGCTACATCCGGAGCAGCCATATTCCAGATCGTAATTCGTTCGCGCAACTAAATTCAAAGCTCCCAACAACTTCTAATGGGCGGAAAAACAGAGAGACGAACAAAAACTGAGACAAAATAACAGCAAACGGAGATCAGCTTTGTGATCATCACTGGCTTTCCAACAAGACAAGAGAAGCCGGAAATGAATTCGTATGCAAGAACCTAGACATAGTGGGATACGTACACGGCGGAACAAGACGGTGCGCGCATGCGAGCGAGGGCGGAGATGAAGACGGAGGTGAAACCGGTTCAGCCTTTTCGGGATTGAGGAGAGTTCGGATATGGCCGACATTTACAGGTGTTTTCTGTAACGGTAAAAATCAACGAGCGCCCGTAGTATACCAAACCCATCCAACGGCGAAAACGTAGCTAGGGGCAAAATGGGTACGGGACATGTTGTCAAGCCGGTAGTAGGGATGGCAATGGGTCGGGTTGGGGCGGGTTTTGTCAAACCCAAACCCATGGGTTTATCCGCCAAAAAAACCCGGGGTAAAACCCGTTGGGTTTGAAAAACTCAAACCCAACCCGCTGGGTATCCGCGGGTTCATGGGTACCCGCGGGTTTTCGTGGTAACAAATTTACAATAACAAGTTTCTTTCAAAATAAAAGTTTAACATCAATTTTCTCATACAAATTAATCATACAAAAAAACACCAATCTAGAGCATACAAGCAAACCGCAAATGATCAATACAAATTGTTCAAAATTAAAGATAAACATCTATAAACAAAAGATTAATTGAAAGCTTCTTCCTCGTCAACTAAGTTTCTTCACTCTCCACTTCATAATATCAACTTCATTCTAAACAATTAGAAAGAACAAATTATACATGTCTCCACAAACATAAAGAATATTAATTGTTTAAGAAAAATATATTATTTAGAATATTAAATATACGGGGAAAGTAATTATATGTGTGTGGGCGGGTACCCATGGGTCGGGTTTACCTAAACTCAAACCCAACCCGACTCGGTGAATAGTGTAGCGGGTTTAAACCCGAACCCGGCCCAAAACCCGTCAACACGGATTTTACCCGCGTTGACCGGGTTGGGTCGGGTGGATACCCGTGGGTTCGGGTTTTGTTGCCATCCCTAGCCGGTAGGCGTGCCACTGGTTGAACCTGATTCAATCTGTACCGGTCATAAAGCCGGTATGACATCACCGGTATGACCGGCATGATCGATATACGAATCTCTAAGTAAAATGATCTTATATTAGTGAATTTATTTGATAAAAAGTAATTTATTATTTATTTTATGTGTTAAAAAGTTAAATGTTGATGTTATTTGTTGGATTCAAGTACAAATATTTAGGTATTGACGTTAAATGTCGTGCTTAATTATGAGTATTTGTAAATTATTTGTAATATTAACCGGCATGAAACGGCACAAACCGATATATAACACCGGACGTCGAACCATTCCACTTGCTAAACCGGCACACTAGCACAAACCAGTTTGACAACCTTGGTACGGGAAATACGAAAAAGTCGTGCTATTTTGTGAAATTCAAAAATAAAAAAAATGTGTTCGTATATTTTGAAACTTCTCTTCTTAGACCATCCAGTGGGAGGGAAAAGTGTGAAATAGGGAAAATGGGGAAAAATGGATGTTTTGGTCACAATATGGAGGGTGGGAAAAGTGGGTAATTGGTTTAACACTTTGTTGTTAAAATCAATTTACAGATGATTTTCTCACTTTATTTTTATATAATGATCATTATTTTTACGTAGTTAGTTATAATTAATTAATACGAACATTTTGATATAATTTTTTTAATTTGGACATAATTTTTTTCATCGCTAATTAAATATAACGTCATTAATTTTGTCAGTTGCGGATGAAACCAATCAAAATACCTCACAATAAAAGAAAACCATTAAAACAAATAAATTAGAACAAAAAAAATAATAAATAAATTATATGCGGGCCCGGCAGTGGACCCCTTCTCCCTCCCTTGCATACACCATTTGTTTGCTAGTGGGTGGGTATTGTCACCCAATTTTTTCCCTTTCTCCATCTTTTCCACTTTTCCCACCCACATTGTAGGTTATTTTCCCACTTTCCCCCTAAACCCACCTACATTGTGGAGAGTCTTATTTTCCAAGTTCCAACTTTGATTTTCTATTGGATATTAATCTTTGTTTATTTATCGGATTACTTTAGGTTACCAACTCGTAGAATAGAAGAGAAGAGCATATATTTTCAAATGTTGAAATCCTCTAATTTCACATTTAGAGCAATGGTCATGTCTCCTAACTCTCTATATTATGAAGAGCTCGGTGTAGGGGCGGACCTAAGGCAAGGGAGGGTGTGTCGTCTGAAACACCCTTTCTTGTGAATTTTGTGAATGACCTACATATTTTCGGTACAAAAATTTTAGTTCGGGACTTTCGACAACATTTCGATAATTATAGCTGACACACCTTTATTAGACTAAAATAATTTTTATTATATAAATGAATCAATCATAAATTTAATTAACAGTAATTCCTTTTTAATTTGTTTAAAATAACTTAACATATCATACCAATGTACATGTGTGCTGGGTCTGGTCCTTTCATTAAGGGGGAAACAAAAAAACCATCAAGGCCCAAGCGGCCACGGGCAAGACCCACCAGAATACTTGATGTTGAAGTTGATAATGACTTTATTTGTTGCAACTGCAAGCCGTGAAAGAGCATTTTCAGCTATGAAGATAATCAAGAACGAACTTCGAAATCGGTTGAGTGACCAATTTATAAATGTTTGTTTAGTTGTGTATATTCGGAAAAAAATTGTTTTGCAGCATAACTGATGAATGTATTTTAGAGACATTCCAGTAGATGAAAAATCGTCTTGATTCATGCAAACATGACGTTTTATAACTTTATGAATTCATTTCTAATTATTTTTAATTATTATCGTATTTTATCAGTTACACACCTCCTTCAACAATTCTGGGTCCGTCACTACCCGATAGTATGATAGGATTTAGCAAATATTGATCAAAAATCAAATTCAATAATCAAGAGATCTCAGTCTTTCCTTTTCCTTTGTGGTTCTTTGATCATCGATGTGAATTGCATTTGATGTCTGCAACCGACATAGGTTGAAGAATTTAAACTAGTTTCATCTTGTAAACATAGTTTAGCACAGAACCTTTCCCACTTTACTTCAATCCTTAAACTACTTTGTATCCAACAAATAAGCATAACGGATGGACAATTCAGTAATGTTAGAAAGTCCGCCAGCCTAGCTCATTCATCATCGCTTGGTGATTTTGGGTTGTTTGGTTTTGGTGATAGTTTAGTTGAAATTGTTACAATGGATGTCGATAGTTTTTTTTAGTTTTTTTTTTTTACAATAATGCATTCATTGTTTTGTTGATGTGATGGAAAGACTCACTCAAAATGAGTGATATTACTATCTCAAATAAAACTTGAGAATGTTGAGATAGTTTAGTGGGGATTTTTTGATTGTGTTCCAATTCTAACCCTAGTTATTTATCTATATTCTCATAATACCCTTGAAATTTATTATCTAGGGCTCGTTTGCTTGTTGGATTTGAAAATGAGGGTTTTGAGTTTTCAAAACCTTTGGATTTATGATGAATTTGTTGCATTATGGATTTGGAAGAGTACATTGTTTGTGTAGTTTATTTTTGTCATAGATTCATGATGGATTTGTTCACATTTTGCCTTTCATTATCAAATCCCAAATGAAATGTGGGATTTGCAAATCCGTGGGGGATCTAAAAAATGGGTCCAAATCCGTGGGCCCCACGGATTTGTGTCCCTTAGCAAACAATGGACTTGTGCCAATTCCATTATGCTTGGGATTTGGGTACCAAATCCATCACCCAAATCCCACAAGCAAACGATACCCTAATCCGCTCTCATATTTTTTTGGGAACACCCATGCTCAGTTCTCTCCACTTTTTTGAGGATGTCTCTACCACCAGTTCAATTTAACACCCTCTCTCTTCATAATTTCATCATCAGTCTAGCCTTCTCGGTCTCGTCGTCAGGCTAACATATGCAATTAGTGTCTTGTATCCTCAAGTAGAATACATGTGTTTATATCCATTGCTTAAAGAGGGGTAGTATTACTACACACTAGTGTTCGTCTATAACCTATAAAAACAAGGGTAATCCGTAATAGTGATATTTCATACAAAAAAGAAATATAACTTTTTGAATGCTATACAATAACTATCTCCAGAACCAAACAAAGTAAACTACATTACACCATTTTCCTTAGTTGTATGTATATTTTATAATGCATGTATTGATCACAATGAATTGATTTAACTGTCACCAAAACCAAAAGAAACTATTGTGTGTGGAGTTTTGGACATTGGAGATTGGGGAGAGTAGCAGGCTGGCATAGAACTTTGACCAGAATGTGAAGCAAACCTTACCTTGCTTCCTCGAGAAGAAAAAGAGTGGATGCCAATTGCCATGGGTATGACATCATGATGACTTCACAATAGTGAAGAGTTGAGAAATTGGACATCAGTGGAGGGAGACAATGTCTGAAAAAGGCAAAGTTAAAGAAACAAGAAAAGAAATGAAGGGGGTAAAAGGAAAAGTTTGCATCGATAAACCAAAGATGTTGTGAATCACTTATCTTTTATATTGGCAAAATACACATGATAGTTTATAAATATCAGTAGCGGATCCAGAACTTTGGAATATGTGTGCCGGAAAAAAATAAAATTATAAATAAATAATTAATTAATAAGCTCATTAAAATGTGTTTATAAAATTCACAATGTCATTGTTTTTAGAATAAACCACTACTGTTTTTCATATTTTGAAAGGTTTGTGAAATAAATTCATCGTTTATGTTGCAAATCAAATTTTTACGATATAAATAAATTATTCTTAAATTGGTCACTCGATCGATTTTGAAGATCGTTTTTACTAACTTCATAGCTGAAAATGCTCTTTTATAGCTGGCAGTTACAATAAGTAAAGTCAACACTAACTTCGGAAGCAAGTAAACTAATGAATAATAAACTCATCGATTCGTTGCAATCTATCAAATGTATTTTTAATATGAGCATGAGCATTGGGTTGTAGAAACAACTTCCTTTATAAAAGATAAAGGGTTGTATTGTAGCACAGGAATTTAACCCATTGGATAAGTCTAGGGATAATGCTCTAGGTTACTAGTTATTTACATGGCCATTAGCATAAGTGCATAACGTAGGTACATAGAAGAGTGATTGAGTCCATAACATAGTTATTCACTAGTCTAGGATATTTCTCACAACCCAGAAGATAGGGAAATTTTGATAAGACTTGCATAAATCACATATAGTTCTACCACTAGAAGAATTCAAACCTAAGTATTTGTTCATCTATTGTTGTTTGTTGCCATATTTGTTCATATGCTCGAACGACTTTGCTCTTTGAAATCTTTCATTCAAAAACGTTAGATTGACATAAGTTTATGAGCTATCCTTGCAGCTTGATTTCTACGAGACCGCGTGTAAAAAGAGGGAAGCATTGTTTTCACAAGAGGTTCTCGTCGGCGTTGGCGATTCTGAGTGTGGGTTAAAAGACGAACTTGCCACCAGCCGAGTCAAAATCTGAAGTGGATTTGAAGCTATTTCATCATCATCGTTGTAGTGTAGAGGGAGAGCATAGGCTGGTAGTCGAGTTTCTTGCCGGTGTTTTTCGTCGAGGGAGAAGGGCCGACTAAGTTGTTTGGTGGGTGATTTGAATGTAAAATTAAAATGACCAATAAGATAATTATGTATTGCATCTGCATTGAAATGAAGGTTAGTAATTTTAGGATAACTTTCAGCAATTCATTATAAATTTAGAGTATAAAACTATTAAATTATGTTATTCAACAACCTCAATATGATTTTACAAATATCCTTTAACTTCAGGGAAGGTCTGCGCAGTAGGGGTGTAAGTTTGACCCTTAAAATCCACTGACCCGCCCCGACCCTCAGGGTCGAGCTGGGTCAGTTTGTATACAGGGTCAGCTTAGGGTCGGGTTAACATAGGGTCGGGTCGTGTAGGGTCGGGTCAATTTAGGGCCGGGTCATTTTTTGACCCTATGACTCTTAGCATCATACAAATACGTTGGACCTATTTGTAAAGTTTTAAAAGTCCAGGTACTAAATTGTTAAAAAAATAATTTTGGGTACCAAAACGTAATTTTACCATAAAAATTTTGGGACTTATTTGCAAGAAAATAATATGGAGGTACTAAAATATAAGAAAAAATAAAATTAGAGTACCAAATTATAATTTTTAGAAATTAGTATACTTTATTAGGATCGACCCACTAACCCAACCCTTTCTGACTCGTCCCAACCCTAAAGGGTCAGACAGGTCATGAAAGAAACAAGAGCAGGACATGTCAATTATGTATCTTTACTCTTCAATGACGGTCAGACAAGATTAGTGACACAGGCCGGGCCAATTTTCAGCCCTACAGTACTCAGAGTTCCATCCATTCCCAAAAGGTAAGATATCAATAGATATATAAAAAGGGATTGCCAGTTTGCCACTGGTGAAGGCACAGCAAGAGCAACATTATACCTCCACTTTTTGCCCACCACCGCTCCAGCAACAATGACATTCCTTACAAATTCTGTCAACCCACTTGTTGTGTATGATAAAAAAAAAAAACATGTTCATATATTCATTGATTCATTCACGGTCAGATGGAGCTCAGCTTTTTAATTGAACAGAATGGCATCTTTTTACAATGCTAGCTGCTACCCATTTTCATACACAATCTTACACAACACTCCTTGCCCTTGGCGACGAGCTGCGTGCAGTCTAACCGACCAGAATTCAGTAGCCCCTGTCTCAGTGTTTCTCTCTTAGCTGCTGCTTTTGTTACCAGCCAAACTCCACTTTACCAACAAAACTTCGAGCAGATTTTAGAACTATTAGATCTTATTATTTAGGCCTAATACCAACTTATAGGTGGATTGTTTTAAAAACAGATTATTTACATGCACAATTCATTTCGATTTTAATGATTTTTTATTTTTTCTGTCAAAATCAAATATATAAATTGGTTGTATATCGATCGAACCATATCACTTGCTATAGCATATAAACTAAAATTATTAACGCGATCTTACAATCAATCAATTGATTCTTTTCATATGACCCAACCGTGGTTCAACCTTATTTAAGGGCATGTTTTTTGTTAAAAAAAAATTATTTAAGGGCATGTTGGGAAGAGGGGTAGTTCTTATTTGAAATACAGTAAAGGAACACGTTTGGAAAAAAATATATAGTAGAAGAAAAAGTAATATTATTAATTCTAATTTTCAATAAAAAAAATGAGGAAAATGTGTATGCTTTTGCTAAAACTTCAGGTTGAAAATAAATTTTGGAAAATGAAAATTCCACACAAAAAAACATCATGGTTCTAGAAAGTGTGCTTAACCTTATGCTTAAGTACGCATATGCATTAGGCAACACCTAGGCTATTGGCAAGACTCCAATAACCGTCTTATACCTAGCGCCTTCTTAAATCTTAGAAAAACAAACTATAACAACTTCGTAATTATCAACCGCATGTCTTATTGATTGAACAACCTAGAATAACCGTCTTATACCTAGCGTCTCGTTGTTTAGGAGCTTCGCAACAAGTTAGAAATTAAGAACATACCATGAAGTAAGGAAGCACATAGGTGTTGTCTGCGCGCATATTAGAGTGAGCTAGGTAGTCAATATTAAAAGGAGAAATCAACATCATCTACAAACACGATCATCTATATCAATAATTTTTCGTAGCCCAAGAACTATATAAGCTATTGACCTGTGGATTATATGTACTTGTGAGCTACTTTCCTTTCTTGTTGTTAAGTATTATGTTAGTTACTGAACATCTAATGCCTATGCATTGGTTAGGCAACGCACTCCAATAACCGTCTTATACCTAGCGCCTTCTTAAATATTAGAAAAACAAACTATAACAACTTCGTAAGACTCTATATCAACCTCATGTCTTATTGATTGAACAACCTAGCATTTTCTTTCCCAAAAGAAACGGCTAATACTGTAATACATCTCTCCACGCCATCAAGCCCAGAAGAACAACAAACAAAATGATGCAGCTCTGCACGAAAAAATCAATAGCAGTTTCTTTTCCCTTTCTTCTGCTTTTCTGCTCTCTAAGTCTCTTATGCTCAAAAGATGGCAATAATTAATAACAATAATTACTACACTTATCTGCCTGCCCTGCCTGCCTGGCTTGGGGCTGATAATGGTTCCTTTCTCTCCTTCCACCCACCTTCCCCTCAAAACCATGGAAGGCGAAAACCAAGTGGGAAAAAAACTATAAATATATTCCACCTCCGTTAGCTCACAATCCCTAACTGGAAAACTGAGCCTCCAACTCACCTAGGTTGGACTCTGCACCTAAGAGAGCATAAGGATCTATCAAAGTCCAGGCCGCCCTTAGTTACGACCTGCAAGAATGATGATTATGCTCCTTCCTATTTACAGACTAACAGAGGCATTTTTAACCCAAGTCCCAGGACTCAACCAAAACAAAGACCAAAAGACTTGAAACCCCCTCTCCACGACCTAATATAATAATAGTGTGCTTCATCCATCACCATTCTTCTAAACTGGGTTAGTCAACAGCTGAAACCTAGTCACCACTCACTATAAACAATTGCCCTACTTTTTGGAATTTGGATTTTCCTTCCCCCATGGTGTTAAACCCTCAACCAACTATCAAAGCTCCATCTTCCACAGATTGCTGTCCACCTGCATATCGTGACACTTCTCTATGGCTGCAACTTTGGCCCGGTATGCTGCTGCTGCTATCGATGTGGCGCCTTTCGCTCTCTCGTCCAGGGGAAGCTCGCAACTTTCGCTGATGGCACCGGACCTCAGGTCTCCAGGAGGGATAAAGCAGTCGACCGAGAGGCCCGGGACATTGAAAGCCACCTCTTCGATGCTCCAAGATTCCTCCATCTTGGTCTTGGTATGGCTCATCGCCATCTCGCCAAATCTGTAGAGGGTCACCACGGAATGACCAGAATGTGCAATCATTATGCCCTCCACTGGCCTGTAATCATTCATGAAAGAGTTGATTGTGGTCTCCCAGTACACCGCATCCCCGCCGTTGGATTGGATTCGGGTCAGATGTGAATCCTCCATGTGAACAAGAAGTCCAGTCTTTTGACTGAAGTAGCCAAACAGAACGTGCCTTATAATCTCAGCTGGACCTTCACTCCTTGCCTTCAATGTCTGGGGATCAGCACATAGCTTCAGCATAAAGCAATCCTCCCCATTAATCTTCTTCTCCCCTATGCACTTTGCATCAGCAAACAAGCTCGCTGTGATCCTTGGATCAAGACCCTGCAAATTTTCAAACGGGATGTTTGGATGGATGTATCTAAGAATGGGGTGAAAGTTGCAACAACAACATAGATTCAACAAAAACTATCACTTTTCATTGAAACTGTTGATGTATTGGGGGGCATTTGACACTGTCAATCAATCTCAAATGCATAAAAACCATGCCAATACGTACCTGAAGTGCACGTCGCAAAGGCCGAACAGGTCCTTTAGCAGTGTGGGCACCCAGCCATGGGGTGTGGCGCCAAACAAGCTTCCCATTGCAGCCAGCATGAACCTTGCTACCACCCACTGCAAGCTCAACATACCACATGTCTGGATCCATCTGCCAGAGAACAAATCCGCCCGTCTCAGCGCCTCTGGCACCATTTCGATTCTTCACAACCTTTGTGGCCGTCTCGAACTCTGATGTTATCATTTTGATCTTCCCCATAGCATAAGCATTCCGAATTGAGTTCTGCAGCTTCTGCCCTCCAGATGCTGCAGTGTACTGCTGTAATATGTACTGAGCCGAGGAAGTTTCCTGCATAGAAGCATAGACAATCAAATGCTTGAAGAGATTTTACACCTCCTATTATTTGAATGAAGTCAAAGATCTTAATGCAGTTGGGAGGGATATCCACATCAGACAGATGATGCAAGCCAAATTTTTTTTTATGATATGGACAGGAAAACCATCCACACAAAAATAGAGCAAACCATCCATTGTTTACATTTTTTATGATATGGACAGGAAAACAACAATTTACTTGCTCTGATGGAAGCTGATTCGTAGGATGAAATAGTAAACCATGGAAAAAAAAGCTAAAACAATAAGCACAAATATGAGACATTCCAGTCATAAGGACCCTTCTTTTCTTTTCCTTCCAGTTCTCCCACCAACCAAACACCGCAACTGAAGGAGCCAAAAAAGTAAGGACAAAAAGATGTTGCATGGATCTGGTGTTCAACCAAAAAAATCAGTTCTTTCAGAGTATCAAATAAGCCTCACCGAATTTGCAACCTTCTTTAGGAGAAAAATGAACAATCAAAGAGAATTGAAGCAAATCTAGACACTGAAATGGAGAGCAATCCCTACTAATTCCCAAGTGAGTAAAAAACATCAAACCCAAAAACCAAAAAGAAAACAAGGGACTGGAAAGGAAGAGTGGGGGAGAGGAATTTTTTTTTTTTACAATGGGAGTGTCTTTAATGCTGAGCAGAGGCAAAGGGTCCGTGCTGCTAACGTGAACCGGAGCCAACGGCGCACCCATTACTCCAAGAAGAAGCCTCAGATCGGACCTCCTGTAGGCAGCGCCAGCGGCCACTGACGGCGTCCTCGACAGCTGACCCTTCATCCACTGGCCCAGACTCGACCCGACGGGCTTGGGCTCCCCTTCCCCGTCGGGATTGGGACCTTCCATTAACGGCGTTAGCGTCTCACCAACCACCGGCCTCAAGCTTCCGGATCTCCCGATCAACGGCTCCGGCTGGGACACGTAGCAGTTGGCGGCGCCGGAACCCTTCTTCCGCCGGAGGAGACCCGAAAACGGCGAAGCGGTTCGGGCAGGGCTGCAGGAACGGGAACGGGAGCGCGAGCGAGATGGGGAAAGCCCACGAACCACTTCATCTTTCAGAGCCGAGAAGAACCCTTGTTTTTTCTCCATTCTTTCCCCCTCTCTCTGATTTTGTTTTCCCGGAGCTGAACCCAGAATTAAAGGAGAGAGAAAAAAAAAAAAAAGGAAGGCAGCCAGAAAGTGTATTTCAGACGAGGAAAGGGAGAAGGCCGAGAGGGTTCTGAGGATTCTCCATAGAGAGAAGGAATGCGATCGGTGATGGCGGATTGGAAACGCCGGTAGCCAACAGGGACTGCGAGATTTTTAGTTTCTGCTCCTTTTTTGGGTTGGTGCGCACAGTGAAGCAGAAGGGGAAGAGAGAAAGGTAGGCGAGTGATTTAAAGAGAGAGAAACGCAGAAAAGAAAGGCTATCATGTGGGACCCGCGAGAAAGAGAGAGAGCGGATGCACTGGATCATTTCCTCATTTGGGGCTACCGAGAGGACGACGAGGAGAGAGAATAGCGATGCACCAAGAAGAAAAACTGAAAAAGCAAGGAGAATTCCATATTATTGTCACACCCAGTACCCAATTTTAACAGTTCACACCCAAAAGCCCCTAATTAATCACAAGCTATCTTTCTGTAAAAATAATAACAATAATAATAATAATCACAAGTCATTAATGATTATGTGAATCTGCTCAAAAATCAAATCCATTATTCTTTTGCTTGTATTTGAGAGGGGTAGGCTTGACCAACCCGCGAGTAGCATGTAACATGTGGCAATGGATCTCGTGATATCTACCTCGTTCTCGTCCCGTCACCCAAACCGACGCCATATTAGACAACAGTGTATAAACTAAACGAAGGACAGGGAAACCATAATCCTCATTTCCTCTAGTGCGCAGTCATTCGTGGCGGCTGACTGCTCCCATTTTTCCTTCACTACTTTCTCTCCATTGAATCTCCCGGGGATTCATTTCAACTCAAAATTTCCACGGATTCCCCAGGAATTCCTCTCCATCCAGGCTGTTTATTCATCGATAATTGCTAGTGGGCAATCATTATCCTGAAATTTGGCTAGTTGGAGGCTAGTTTTGCCGGCGATTTCGTCGGGGAACAACATACAAAACCCTAAAATGCTCGTTGCAATCTTCGATTCGCTGTTATTGGGGAAAACCATGATAACACACACCGAGATAAGTTCTTTCTCCCTTTTCCTTTCGTATTCTATTGCACCTTCTTCCTTCTTCTCATTTATATATCAACCCCACAATTAAATTCAGGGTCATTGGTCAGTCTTAGTTCTTGCTTGTATCATTACCTTCACTCTCCTCAACGCACAATCTAGGCAATCACTAATAAAACTTTATTTCTCCTAGTCCATTACTTCATTAGCTAGGTCTTTAACACTCGAAGAATGCTAATGTGATATTGTTTGTTTCGACTTTGTTGGAGTTCATCGGGTTTGCATCAGGCATCAAACTCACCATCGGCAGTCTAGTCAAAGAAAAAAATTTATATATAATTAGTTGGAGTCGGAAAATCTCATCTCCTGGAAATGTAGACTAGGCCACAAAAATGTGCGTAAGCAGGGTACAAAATCGGACGTTATTTGGGTTAGACCTTGCGGCTTTCTTGCTAACTTTTAGTCCATGAGTCTTGATGTCCGCTGCTCATACAAAATACTATAAAATAAAACTCATCAAATATATACAAACACACCTAAAACTTCTAAATGCACTCAAGAGAAAATATCAATCACATTACATCGAAGTTAAAACGACTAAGATATGAAAAAATGATACAAAACATATAATAGAATAAGGTGATAAAAACATATATTTTACGTTTCATCACTCTATGAAAAATTGGCTAAAAATAAATAGAGAGTTTCAATGTCTTAGTGATGGAAGCTCATGGTTTTTGTAGTCAGTCCGTGATCTCAAGATCATGGTCCCCAAGCTGCGATCTATGCAGTCAACAGTCAAACCCTATCAAGCAATACCATTTTGGAAGATCATGGGCTCACTTGAAAGATCATGGGCTTGCTCAGGCCTGAACTCGTCCAACCCCAGGCCCATGAATTTGAAGACTTGATTTCACAGAAGGCCAATACTATGGTACCGCTATTAAAAGTGCGGCACCGGTGACACCAATTTCTATTGGTCCACGTGGCATGAGAAAATGATGTGGCAGTTCTTGGTTTTATAGAAACCGAGCCTAAAATATGTCGCTCAACCGACCCAACCCTTGCAACCGAACCAATGGATTTGTTTTTTTTTTTTCTTTCCATAATTGCTTTCGATGAAGTTCTTTTTTTTTTATTTCTGTGAAACCCTCACCCACAATTCACCATATTCAAAGCACTCTGCCCACTAAAATGTCCAGGAACAGAGTGATGAGGATGGTAGACTTATGAAACAAGGTGTGCAAGATGCGGCCGACGGTAGCTCATGACGATCCTCAAAGCACCTCTCTTCTTCTCCGAACAGCTGCTAATTCGTCTGCACTTAATTCCCTCTATGGAATAATATTACAATATGATATAAGATTGATTTTCTTCACCTTGGAAACACCAACTTTATATGCCATAACTGATGATGGCTGAAATCGGAATGAAGGAGCATCATTCGGCTCAATCTGTTTGAGATAGAAACCAAATATTTGTTTTCACTCCTTCCAAAAACCTTGAAGCCGGTGGAAAACTTTTGATTGAGTGTTACTGAAATTCTTATGCAAATTCATGGCGCTATCTAGCTAGCTACAGACTCTTCAGAGTCTGACAGGGGTTTTATTTTTCTCAAATTGGATTCCTGAAGAATGGATGGTCCAGAGCATTTCTAGCAATTATTCATTCTGATGGATCATATTTCAACAGACCAGTCCGCCCAACAGATCGATAAGCAAGAATCTAGAGCTCTGTGTGTGTGAATACACCATTTCCTGAATTAATACAAAGAATGCTCAGGTTAGTTAAAGTCCCATAATCCAGGATTCTAATGCAGCAAGCAGAATTGAAAGGGCATCAAGTAGTCAAGCTTCCTCGCATCTCCAATACTCTTAACTGGAAATTGCTCCTTCTAGCCCATTCAATCTTCTCCTGACATATTTTTCAGCTGCCCCACTGCAAAGCAACATGTGTTCTGGTAAATACATAATACCCTGCTCCTTCTGGTCAATTTAATCGTGGATGCTATATCAATTGAATGTTATAAAAGGGAGGGTAAGGAAATATACATAATTAGCGTTAGAAATACTGTGTTCTGGTAAATGTCCTAATATCCTCTCCATAATTTTATAAATGTTCCAAGTTCTCATGTGTATGGAATAGTGCTTCATCCTACTAACAAGAAAAGTAAAATAAAATTAACTTCCATTCGTGATTAAGAGTGGAATTACAAGAACATCCAAAACTCAAAATGAATTTGTACATAATGACACTAATCATGCATAAGTTCACGAGTATGCAACCAGCACTCCAGACATCAGAAGGGTAGCTCCATCCTAAACCTACGAGAATAATATTATGGTGCAAGTTAAAACACAAATCTCTATGATTCTTTTATGAGTCTTAAGAAAAACATAAAAACTTGGTCCAACTCAAAGGCCGGCGAGACAATTGAAATGCATTCTAAAAGGAATATGTATGTTTAGTCCACAATTGCACGAACTCAGATCACATAGCACCTCGGTGCTGAAGTACTAAAGGGATGGCAAGAATTCAATTCATCAAGCATACTGGCGGGTCAATCAATCTTTATCTAGAACCTGACCTAAAATCAAGTTCATACAATATGATGTTCTTCACATTCTGCACAATAAATAATTGGCAAAAAGGGGGAGAAATGAGGATGAGATAGACAATAATTATATAGACTGATAATAGAAAGCTCTGAGTAAATCCAATTTCCATCTACAACCTGTGAGCATGGACTTCATCATCACAAACGTTGTAAAGGAAGATAAAGAACAAGGAGCAACCAACAGATTAAAATGGAAGAATATGGAGGGATACTACAGTACAGATACAAGGAGATCAGTGAGGCGAAGGACAGAGACTGGAGAATGGATCAGCGGCACACAAGTTCGCCGGAACTGCTACTGACAGTCCGCCTGAGCAGGAGAGAGAGGAAGACGAAGATCCATAGATGTGAGACGGAAACAGATACGTCTCCGTTTCTTTGGCCAATAGCAATTCGACCGGTTCATGGTTAGTGGTTACAGAGTCAGACACGAGGTTTAATACATTTAACCAGTGCCATGTCATCATCTGCGTGGACCAATCACAAGTTGCGGCACCCATGCCGCACTTTTTGTAGCGGCATCATAGTATTGGCCTTCACAGAAAGGGATCTGTTATTTTCAATTTTTAGCACAATTATGAGAAGAGAGGCAAGGGTTTTCTTCCAGAACAGAAGAGATCGAAGACGGCTTGGATAAGAAATGGAGGGTGCTCTCATTTTGGGAAGTTTGAGGTTTCAGATTTGAATACTCTTTAGAAGATGGCTCGTCTCCTCATCTCTTGCATTTCTTCTTCTTCTTTCGTGGGGTAATCACATTGATACTTTGGAATAAAAACCGCGCAAACTTATGTAGATTTTGTTATGTCTTATATGAGATTGACGAATTCCTAGTAATCTTGTCTAATTGATTTTTTTTAATTATCATTTTGTGCCTTTTGACTGATAACTAACTGGTATTTCTCCCCTCAAAACGACCTCGTCCTTCGCAAACTAACTCTCAGAACTTGGATCAAACAATTTCATAACCAGGGGATCGATTTGCATAGAAAATTAGACCGAAACAAACAACCAAACGCCGAGAAGAACCCTCTCTCACTTCTAGAACCATAGATTAATCGAAATGCAGGAAGGTAGTAACAATAATCATCATCATCATAAACTGTAGGCCAACAGTATTAAAGTAACAAGCAATCGACAATCACCATATCCCCGCCAGCAAAATAAGAGCAACAAAAATCAAACAATCGCAATACAAAGCGAGACGACAAAAAAGAATGGGGGAAAATAACTCTCTGGAGGAAGAACCCTCTCTCTCTCCTCTCTCTCTCTCTAAAGTAACAACCAGAAGAAAGACGCCAGTACCGTAGCCGTCACTCCAGCCATCGCCGTCTCCGCTCCGCTCTGCAAAACCAACAACAGCCTCCGGTGAGTAGACATACAAAATTACCATTCACAACCAATTCAAGCCGAAAGCAATTGGACCCGTAAATGGGCTGGTCTTAATTCTTCATCGGGTCTGCTCATTATTGGGCCCGTTAAAAGCCCATAGACTAACGGAGTTTGAACTAGGGCAGACTGCTAAGCCTACTCACAGACAGCACGCCTCGTGGGCCCCGCCTGACAACTCCATCAGTCCTCGGGCACCGAGCCTCTCCTCTCAGATTTGCTTTTCAATTTTTATCAAAATTTGAACTTTTAATATAATTTTGTTTTCCTGACAGCTCTCTCCATTTTCACGTGCAATTGCGGCTCCCCCGAGTAAAAATAAAATAAAATAAAGTAGGGGAAGCAGCAGACCAAGATCTGTTTTATCTGGTTTGTGATCTATCTTGATCTACATTACGGGGACGGTGGATCTGGCTACACCTGATCCCGCCCTCAAAACGAGAAAAAAAAGGAAGGGGAAACGACGACGTACCACATCAGTGCCGGGGCCGGCGGGACCGGGAGAGGTGGCGCCGAGGCTAGGGGCGGGAGCTCCGGTGGGTGGAGCCGGCGGGCTTGAGGACAAAGGAGAGGGAGCGGGAGCCGGAGACTTCACCTTCGTGGCCGGAGCGGGAGCTGGGACCGTGGCAGGCGGAGAAGCGAGGGGAGCCGGCGGCGGAACGGCCGGAGGGGGAGTAGCCGGCGGCGGGGAGGCCGGAGGAGGAGAAGCTACGGGTGGCGGGGTGGCTGGGGGAGGGGAAGCCGGGGGGGGAGATGCGGGTGGTGGAGTGGCCGGCGGCGGGGAGCTGACTGGTGGGGGTGTGGCCGGCGGTGGTGCGGTGGAGACCGGAGGAGGGGCGGAGGCAGGAGGCGGGGCGGATGTCGGCGGAGGGGTGGCGGCCACCGGAGGAGAGGCGGTGGGGGTGGTGGGAGTGGTGGGAGTTGGCGGGGCCGGGGTGGCAGTTGGGGAAGCTGCCGGGGACTGGCCTCCGACGCCGGCGATTACGATGCAGATCAGGGAGAGGACAACGACGGCTGAACGGTTCTTCATCTTTGGGGGATTTTGTTGGCTGGCTCACACTCTCGCTCCTTTTCTCAGAGACCAAACGGGAAGAAGAGAGAAAGAGAGAGAGTGAGTGAGTGAGTGAGCGATGACACAAGAGAGAGAGCAAATTAAGGGAATAAATAGAGTGAGGGAAATGTTAGATCTTCGTCTCGTCTAGAAGTAAAAGGGAAGGAAGTGTCTTCGGGCGAATTTAATTTTTTCTAAAAAGTATATTACGAAAAAGCATATGATTTTATGGTTGGTTTAACCAAACCATGGCTGTGAATCCGGTTCAGCTCCAGACACGGTCGAGCAAATAGGTTAAGCGTTAATGGTGTTGATCGTTTTAGTGCTGTTTAGTTCGAATATATGAGAAAGCAATTATAATGCTCATTTATATATAAATTAAATCAAGTCTCGTCTAACACATGACTCATGAGTACTAACATATACATAATATTTACACCAAAATAATAGCTTGTACTCGAATCTAGTTCGTTCCAGGACTCCACCACCTCAAAAGCAGAATGTGGACCGCAATGGAAACACACTTAAAATCGATCAGATAAGTTTGTGATTAGCACATTAAATGAACCAGAACAACCTGTTAAACCCAAGCAAACTAGCCTAAGGATTTAGAAATCAAAGTTCGTTGGTCGATTTTGTAGAGTTTTGATCGAGTTGACACTGGTTTTTGTCGTATTTTGACCAAACTGAAACGAGTTCGAAAAAGTCCAAAATAATTGTGTGGCACCTGTTTTCCCCACCGGTCCGACTAGGGATGGCAACAAAACCCGAACCCACGGGTACCCACCCGACCCAACTCGATCAACGCGGGTAAAATCAGTATTGACGGGTTTTGGGTCGGGTTAGGGTTTAAACCCGTCCATTATTCACCGGGCTGGGTTCGGATTTAGGTAAACCGGCCTCATTGGTACCTGCCCACACCCATATAATTAATTTTCTCGGTATATCTAATATTCTAAACAACTAATCTTATTTATGTTTGTGGAGACAAGTCTAATTTTTTATTTCTAATTGTGTAGAATGAAGTTGATGTTATCGAGTGGACAATGAAGAAATTTAATTGACACAGAGAAAAAGAAGTTTTAAATTAATCATATTATTTATGGATAATTTGTGATTTGCTTCAATTTTCTTGAGTTTTCTAGAATGGTGTTTTATATATGGATAATTTGTATTGAGATATTGATATTCGACTTTAATTTTGATAAGAACTTGTTATTGTAAATTTTTTACGACAAAAACTCGTGGATACCTATGAACCTGCAGATACCCAGGGAGTTGGGTTAGGTTTGAGTTTTTCAAACACAATGGGTTTTACTCCGAATTTTTGTCACGAATAGGTTTGGATTTGGGAAAACCCAACCCATTGCCGGTTCGACTCAACCGTGGTTAATAACCTTTTGATATAACAAAATAGGGTTTTTTATTTTTTTTTTAATTTTCTTTTCCCGCCCCCCTTGCTTTAACTTTTAACTATGATATTTGGTTTGGTTTTGGGGGAAGTGGAGATCAGACGATGATGGTGACGAATGGCCTACTGAACAGATTGGCCAGCGGTCTGATTTTTGGTTTGGATGGTGGCGTGGCAGGCCCAGGCCCAGGCCCACCAGGACAATACATGTGATGGGAGATGGAAGATCTGAATGACACGTTGCATCCAGCTAGCTAGGGTTTGTGGGGGCAATAGTGTCTGTCTCTCTCTTTCTCTCTGACCAATGATGAGAGATGATTATTAAGCTTGGGTCTTACGGTTTCTTTTACTTATGATAAATGATTGTTTTGTTCCGCCCGCTAAACACCCATTAATTTCGGCTTTACCCCAACAAAGAGTGAAAATCAAGATACATAGTACACTAATTGAGAGCTCATTCGGGGAAAACACTTTTTTTCTTATGCTAACCTGTATCATTTGTTATTAACTAGCGGTAGCGGTTACATTAATCCGACTGTAGCTGGTCAATCAAAACAATCGGTGATTTATCCATCCAGACTACCATCTCATCCCAACTCGTCTTAACGTGTGTCATTTACATGAGCTGCCTGATTTCCTTCTCTACCAACATGCTGCCAAGTAGTCGTACTCGTATCCATCAAAGCAAGATAGTGCTTAGAATTTCGAGACATATAGTACCAATCTCAGATTGCAGAGTTGCCGCCCTCGTCAACTTGTCCACCAAACCCATACTGTACACTTCCAATATAGGGTTTATTATGTGGGTTCTGATAGGCGACTTGAGTTCCGAATTCAGCAGCCAGTGCTTCAGCCTCCTCCACCTCCCAGCTGCCTGGTACGCATTTTGCAACAGCCATAAGGAAAGTGCCGTCATGATTACGTGCAACCATTCCCAGTCCGATACCTCCCGTCGCAAAAACCCCAGCATCAAGTATTTATCTTTACTCTCCCCGCAGCAGGACACCTCCATCTCACCTCCCTTGCGTCTGTCGTGGATGGAACCTCAGTTCGCACATGGTGGGTATAGTAGTCTTGTAGAAAAATATGCGCGCGAGTAGTGATCTCATCCTTAGCCGACCTCAGGTAGTCGGATTTCGTTAAACATATGTGCATTCCTCTCCCGCCATAAGAACCAGAGCAGCGCACACCATGCCTCCATCTCCTCATTTGTCGTCCTACTCCTCATTTTTTAAGTGGTATGTGCTGACTTGGCAGTGACGTGGCTCATTGATTGTTAGTCAATGTGTTTGACCGTCCAAGATAACGGTCAAATCTTGGGTTTGGCCAACTTCGTAACTTTGATGAATAGTCGAGGTCAAGATATTATAGATCGAAAAAATTGGTAAGGATATTTAATTTGTGAAAAATTCAAACCATACAAATATATTAACCCTTCGTCCTGCGGATTTGCTGCTTTATTCATGGGACATGGGGCGAGATGCGTGTGTCGATTTGACCGGATCTTCACCTCTGACTCAAACCGGGATGACTGGTTTTGTGCCTGGCTGAGTTGTTGCTGATGCTGCTCAGCGAAAGTGTGCCAAGTATCGGGACTTGTGTATGACTGTTGGGTATTGTTTCTTGCCATATTCTTTTTCCTTCGCTGGGAGAGTTGGATACGGATAAACGTGACTTTACTCAAGAGGATCCAGAAATTCTCCATGCCTCAGTATTTGTTCCTCCGTTACATCAAAATTGGACAACTCTTTGATCTTAGAAGGCAAACAAAAAAAGTGTGGGCTTTTAGTTGGGTCGTACAGATATTAGGTCATACGTCTTGTCGAATCGGTTAGAAGTGGAAAACGAGAAATTATTGCTTCTTAAAAAGAATTCTCAACTTCTTGAAGTTTTTTTCTACTGAAGGGTGATTGCTGGGGTAACAAGTTAAAACTCGACCAGCTTCTCCACGTCTTCTAGCCAACTTCATCCAAATACTTTATATATATATTCATAAAAAAAGTCAATAACTACTAGTCCTTTATTAGTTGGCTGGCCAATTGAACAGTAACCCAATTTGTTTATTCATTGATTTTCTTACTTGATTATGCCTCCTGGACTAGACAAGATTGCATGCTAACTTTTAAGAGGTTAGCTTCATCCTCACTATTCATCATAAGTCATAACTATTCTAATTACAATTCAATTCTTTTTTAAGTTACATTTAGTGATGGAAAGTAATGAGAGGAAGCTTATTCGGATTTGAGTATAAATAAGTACGTAAAATGTAAAAGTTACGGATATAGCTAAGCAAAATGCTACTTATAATAAAACCTCATACATACTTACAACATAAATTACTACCGAGAAATACCTATTATAGAATGGCTAATAATAAAATAAAATATCCACTACACAATAGCTACTCATCAAAGCAATAAAACACTACTACATACAAAACTCTACTACTCATTTTAAGGTCGTATCAAAGAATTAGGAACTTGGAGACTACTGATCGATGACACGTAGAAAGAACTATTTTAGGCCCCATAACCTAAAAAATTATATATTTATTGTCATAATATATTGAATTTAATTCATAATCATTCAAAGTATGTAGCTAGGAATAAATGAGAAGAGGATGAATGAGAGACTGAATACCAGGCATAGATGATGATGATAACCGACCCCCTTATAAACACTTCTCACAACCATAGTCAGGAAGGAACTTTCAGGTGGTGGTTCGGTGAAAGGTTACAACCAAAACCAAGAAAGGAGCAAGTTTGTTGTGAGTAAATTCTAACCTAGTGACTATGTTAGTAAGAATATGATAATCGGGTCATGAAGCGACAAGAATACATGGTATGGATATATAACGAATGCTTAGTTTCTATTATATGTGCTATGGTGTGTGTGTATGAATGATATGACGAGATGAGACTGTGAAATGGAATGTGATGAACAAATGTGTGATTGATGTGCATGGAATGATATGTGACGATGAATGATAATTGTGACTGAATTAAGCGGTCCTTATTGGGCTATATGATATGGTATTGGTAGCCTATAAGGCTATGAAATGGTCTTGGTAAGTGATAAGAATTCTGAGCTCGTGAAAGTTTAGGTTCTTTTGTCAAAGTCCCGCAGTTACAACTCAAGTTTGGATAGCTCGAATCGACCTTCAAACTAACATAAGAATAAAGGGATACATGGAGATAGATACTCGCCTTAATCAAGTGTGATCGCTTGATTGATAAGAGCTTTGCCAAGCTGTTTTGGATCCTTCAACGGAAAAACTTAAACAAGGATCTTGCCCTAGCTATGGAATCCACTAATAACTAAACTAATAAACCATAAGCACAACGTCTCCATGGAGGAAAACACACCTCAGTGTAAAATTCGTATTCAACAACTCTCTAACCCTAAAATTCGTGTTTACAACCCTTTAAATAAGTATGGAAAAAATAAACCTAATGAAAATACATAAAAAGAAAAAGAATCCTAATCGAAAAAGGAAGTTTAACTCGTCAGGAGGCCCCGAAACCGGTCACAATACCTGGTCGGGGATGTAGTTGCACTGGCCATGGGTGCTTCTGACTTCGTTCCCTGGTCTCCCCTATAATTTCCAGATCGGGGAATTAAATGATGTCGACCGAGGGAAATAGAATCACATCACATTAGTCCCTCCCAGTTGAAGAAGCTTTGCCCTCAAAGCTTTCCAGCCCAGCTTCCAAATGAAATTCTCTAGAATCCTCTAGCAAGGTTCATCGTCTTCTTGTCTCTTCTTCCTGTACTTCCACTGACAGAAATGATCATCCACAAAAACATGAAAATTACGTCATTGCTCCTCTCTAGGAAAGCCTCGAACCCTGTTTGCACACCTGGCGATTGTCGTCCTTTGTTTAGCAGTGACGGACCTCAAAGCTTGGGAGACCCAGCAAGAAAAATCATCATAAAAAGGATCGCGATAAACCAACTGCTCCTTTTCCACCGTGATCACCTGGTAGAAACCTCCATCTTCCTTCTGCGGCTCTGGTGTTGAAGAAACCACTTTGTTGCCTTCAAGGAACTCATCGAAATTAGTGGTTTCTTGCAACTCGTCCTCTAGCTCAACATGGACTTCATCAAAACTCGAACTCTGTTGCACCGGAGAACTTGAACTCGAACTTGATCTCTGATTAGCCATGGTATGGAGTGAAGCTCCAATATGTGCCATCCGTGCTGGTTGCTCCTACCTTAGTGGTTGAATCTCCTTTTAATGAAAAAGAGGTCCATTGTTCGATTCCCTACCCTGCCAGTTGCTGTCCTCGTGCATGTGATTTTAGTGTGGGCCTAGCCAACTTAAGGGGTCAGCTCCGCATGTTTGAGTATTATACGACCCAGGTTGAGGCCCACATTGACTCTGCCTCCGAACTAATGGATTATGAGGTCCCAAAAAGTTGAGGCCTTTTGCGGTGGGTCTGACCAGCACTAGAGAAAAGTTGAGGCCCTGTTCGTTGGACACCTCCATTGAAGGATCGGAACGTGACTCCTCGGAATGTCACGAGAATGCCACAAGGGGAACTCAGTCACTAGAGAAAAGTAAAGAGTTCGAATAAATGGTGAGCAACTTGCATATAGGAGTTCACGAGGCCAAACCAAAGAATTTCTTTGAATCTCCTCCTCGAGGTGATTGGGGAGGAGCATTGCCTTCTAAGCCACATTGGCTGCTTGACTAAAATACCAAAGACCTCGCGTAGCTCAAAGGCATAAAAGAAAGGGTGCTTCATGGAAGGCAATCCATATTTTGTCTAAGTTAAAGACGTTAAACAAAAGTACTAGGTCGTCAATGATGTAAACAATTGAACGAGGTTGAGTTCCTAGTGCGGTTGTCAATTACCGTTAAATGCTCCTCAAAGGCGGTTAATCGACCCTCTGCCTTTCTTCTATAGCCCAAAACAACAGTGTGCAATTTCACACTCGAATTGGTTCTGTTCATGTTTTCATTCCACAAAATCCTGCCATACCCATTGAAACAAACAGTGAAACATTTCTTAAGATGCTCATAAGAATAAATAAAAAGAGACAATGAATCTCAGGTGCATGGAAGACGACGACAGTCTCTCATCAGAAGTATAAGTCTATAAGCACACAAGTCATGGATCTAAACTCAGATTTCAACTACGACTTACTACTGGAGACTATATCTCTGCGGCAATAGGGACAGTCTCCACAGGCTCGAACCCATGGATCTAAGCACACAGAGTGGAAGCGATGTCCACATGGCAGGCGCATAAGCTCATCTCCTCCACTGAAACTCTCCAAGCATATGCTACAATCTCTTGACGACACTCCCTCGTCGTCTCCACTTTCAGCCACATAAGTAGTAAACACCTCCATCTTCAGACCAACTAGTTCCTCTGGAGATAAACCAGGAGGTTTCTTCTTGGGTGATTGTCGCCTCTCGCTTTCAGAAGTTGAATCGTGGAATGGAAACCCGCCAGGAGACCACACTGCAGGGACATCAGTCCCCCAGTCCCCCGTATCAACTGCACGGAGATCATCGCCAAATGTATGTTCCCCGTTGCTGATGCTGAAGGCAGCAGACCTTGTATTTCGCCTGCAAAATACCAAGCAAATATGGAGTGTTAGCTTTTTTATTTCTATTTATTTATGTTCGGATGAATAATATGGTAGGTTAGATAATTGAATTCAATCGAGTGGGTTTATGAACAAATAACTAAGGGGTCACTTTTGTGTCACCCAATCCATCAAGTGAGTGATTATCCCCAGAGTCCACTATTTGACAAGAAAAACATGATGGATGTTGCTATACTGGATTTGGAATGATGGGCACGATGGATATTCCAACAACCCATCAGTCACAATCCACTTCTAAGAAAACAGCTCACCTCGACCAACCATCTATTTGAGGTAACCATCCAAACAACCTCTAAAGTCTAAGGGTATACAGCCTAAAACACAACCAAGCCCTAGACCGTTGCCTGCTTGCTCATCTATCATCTACAAAGTAATAGCTTTGCTGGCAGCACATAACCATACAAATCAAAGCATGAGGGGCTGGAATTATAGTCCTTCCAACAGTCAAGAAGCATGCTAGTAGCACCACTAAGGATATGGATGACGCATTACATGTCTAATCTGAACTGCCTTCCTAAAGGTGGTTGGGCTCGATTGAAGAGAAAATTCTCAGTTGCAAATCAGCGACTGAACCCTGCAATTTTTGTTGAGTGCTAACCTTCATAGGTCAAAGCTTCACCAAAAGAATATGACGGGAAGATTTTTGTGCAAAACCAATTCATAGTGAAACAGAAGCAAATAGGAGAGCAGCGGATATCACAAGCCAGCATAGCAACACAACTCTAATGTTTAAGAGCCTAAGCTTAGAGCTACCACCAGTACTTGCACAGTGGGTGGATCGTCGTACCCCCGCGGTACTTTGAATTGTAGAAAAACTCTAGCAAAGTCCATCAAAAAATTTCCTCCAAAGGATCATATAGAATCATTACTTTATACTCCATTGTGTTAACTAGCACGGCAACAAGTAAAATGTATGAAGTTGCAGTGCCTCAGAAAAACAAAAGCTAACCCTTATTTACAGGATGTGATGGGTTTCGGAGGAAAAACAGCTTCACCTAACTGGCATTTATAACAAGTTGTAGCATAAGCTTACCCCTACGTCAGACATGGAATACAAAATAGAAGTTAAGATTACCGGTTTCCAGAGAGGGACACTCCTCTTAATCTCTCAAGAAGCCTTGCCCTTGCAAGTAGCACAGCACCAGGGAGCCTCTCATTTGAAGTCACCCTAGGCCGGCCTGATGTGCTTGAAGCTTCCTGACCAAAACTGTTGTTTGATACATACTGCCGGGAGACGTGATCAAACCGTCCAGAGGATCGTTCCTGGCCATAGCACAATGCATTGCAGAAACGAATAAGAACAACTAAAATGAGATTACCACCTTTAGGATTTTAAAAACAACGCAGAGAGAAACACAAACTCCATCATCTATTCATGGGTGCCACTGCTGTGCAGGCTATTCACAACACCTAATTTTTCTTAACATGTTCCAGTGCAGGCAATATTCATGAAACATCTTCCCCTTGCCAACAAGCAAGCGTTCCAGGTTAAGTCAGGATTTCAACTGCCTGGTGATTCCACTGAAATCCTCACGTGATTACCCCCTCTCATGCATGAAATTCAAGAACATAACTTTCCCTTACCAAACACTAACGAGATTAATTCCTCTCTTTCCTTATGCTTAATTCCCAACGCCCACTTCCAATTTTCCCCCTAATATCCACAAACCCCAATTTCGCATTTCTAACCTTGGACAGCTCAATCCAAAGCATTTCTTCGAGTTCCTTGGCCCTCGAGTGCAAGGAAACGGAATACGTGTGGCAATCAAAAACTTACAGAGGCCCGATGGCAGGCATGCCGAACATGCTGAGATCTGCGGAGAGTATCGTATCCGTCCAAATCATGCCGCCCGGCACCGTTGTTGTTGTGGCTGTGGCCGTGGTGATGGCGCCGGCCAGAATTTTGGTGAAAACCACGATCGGAACTGGAAGCCTCGAGGCCGAGGGGTAACTCGGTGCTCAGCCGCCCAACGCGCGACCTTCTCTGGTAAAACAGCTCCGACGCGCTCGTCATACACCAGAGCAAACAGCAACCAGCACGTCCACAACACGAAAACCTTATTTCAGGTAAGATCGTGAGCTATTGAGAAAGAACAAGGAGATGGAGAAGCCGAGAAGCGCCGGAGGACGGCGGGTCCGGCACACAGAGTAAGGGAGCTTCTGAGAATTGAGAAATGAGAAACAGAGAGAAAAGCACTTTTTCTTTTTGAGTTTTTCCCCGGAAGATATTATTGATCCATTGGCGAGAAGAAAAAGCGGTATTTTCTCTGGATAAAGTCCGAAATTAGAAATTAAAGATTTTTTTTATATATTCTCACAATAAAAAAAAGATTTTTTTTTATAATCATCCAGATTCATTCAAAGAACTCGAGAAGAAAGGCATAAGGGCTAAGGCCCATTCGCTGTCGGCTTGAAGAACCGGTATAAACAACGACTCACACTTTATTGATTTAATCAATTCGTTAAAATTCAGTTAATGAATCATTATTTTATAAATAAAAATATTATAAATAAAAATATTATAAATATACGACATATAATAATAGACTAAATCATAAATTCAAATACTCTCTCTCTAAAAAAAATATAGTTACTTAATCAACAAGAAACTTATTGCTTATTTAGTTGTGCAAATAAGTTTTCATATGTTTCATTGATGAAAATATTCTCTCTGTAGTAGCTGTTGAAACGGAAAAGTCAATACTAGCTCAATCAACCGACAAATCAATTTGTATTGTGTGTCCATCTCTATTTCCACCAGTTTCTCTAGTAATTTAGCAAGGGAAGAAATTTCAAATTCCTGACTATGAACCACACTAGCGGCATAATATCGTAGCTCATTCTTTAAAGAATGCATTTTATAGCCTTCAAAGTCTCGAGGCTAAACTCTTGAGCAAGTTGTTAATATTTTGTTTATCAAAGACCAAAAATAACTTTTAGGTTCTAATGCTCTACACAACTGAATCAATCAAATGATGACTCAACAAGTTTGTAAAATATTTTCCCAACTGAAGCAATCTAAATAATGACTGGCAGAGGAATTCATTTCGGGTTCGTTCGTCTCCTTGCTCATATTTTGTTTTGGGGGGATTGGATAATTTTTTGAGTTTTGACATGGAAGAGTAAGCTTTAGTTTAGAGTTTTTATTTTATTTTATTTCAGTGATACTTTATACTTTTAGTCTTTTAGGTTTCATTGTTTTTAATTCTTCAAATGAAAATCATTGGCTAGAATTTATGGGCTAAATTTAGTGTAGTTGTACACTAAATTTAGCATTGGGCGGAATATCTAGTTGCACAAAAATATTATTATGAAATAACACTATACCAACTTTTAAATAGTGTCGGGCCGAATACCTAAATCGAGAAAATAATTAGTACTATACTAGCTCTTCCACGCAACCCTAGATCCACCACTGCTCAAGTTGAAGTGGACTAGTCCAATTAATGGTTTATATGGTTTCATCTCCATCCGTTAAAAGTCATTCGGTCCATCATTGAAATCCAACCAAACAACAATACAAAATTGTATATTTTAATGTACAGAAAATTTTGATAACGAAGGTGTAGCTAAATCTATCGCTTTCGCCTTATGTATTGTACAAACAATATATAAATAAATCATGGAATCTATTCCTAAACCCTAACCCAAAATAGTAAACTCCTAAACCATAATTCATAGACATAATCAAATTATTAGTAAGTAATTAAGTATACGAACTCTAATTTAAAATACCCTATAATTTGAAGCGATTATGGATTTTAGGCTGATTGAGATTTTGGGGGTGGAGCCTAGATCCGGAAGGGAACCAAAATTGAAAAGAACTGAAATTGAAAAATAAGCAAAAGACATTTCGAACCAAGGACTAGCCCAACATTGTATTCGATCGTATTTGATTCGGTTTGGTCCAATCTAAAAGTTAATTCTGCCCATTTTCTTCAATATTTATAAAATTCAAGTGATCAAGGATGATTCCACATTATATTCAGTTTGATATAGTCCGATACAAGTTTCGGTTTAGTCCAATCCAAGTATCATTTCGATCCGCTGCGATCGAATACGAACCAAACCGTTGCTAATCACTAGCACTGACTAAGCAATCTGTGGAAAGCAAAAAATCCGGTTCCAGACAAACTTGCCCAAGCAGTTGCTGAAAAGCATTTGCTTTTCTGCATAGTAACATAACAAACAAGCGACTGACGCATGCCACAGCCTTGTTATAGATCTTGCTAACAAGTTTTCAACGAGACCAACTACCAGCAGAGCAAGAAAAACCTACAAGTTCAATAATCCACATGGGGCTCCTCAGGAACAAAATAAGAGAAAAAAACTAGTCGCCCTTCCACAATTCTAAAGAAACTAGTAAGTGCTACACCATCTGTGAAACTGCCACGCAAAATGATCTTTCAAGTCTCCGCCCCAAAAACTGGCCTCTGCTTTGATTCTGGATCCAACAATGCCCCCCATGTTTCATTTGACAAAGTGTGGGCTAATTAAGCCAGCGATCTCCAGAAATCCAACCTGATCTTTCCCTGCAAATATCTTCTTCAGCTTCTCGTCACATTTTATGATCTTCTTGTTTTCAGGATCCTGCAAGAACACACATACAAAGTTAGTAAGCTAATTTTCAATTTTGTTAACTTGTTCAAAGCTCTTATTGTGGTGCAAGGCCAGCCCGGTTTGTCATTCTGACAGACACTCGGAATTAACCAGCAAGGTAAGAACTTTTGACAGACCTGCATCTTCCATCATCTCAAACAATACCCAAAGTTGATAAACTAAATCAATAAACTAACTTAGGACATTGAGAGAAATGGGGACTCAACTTGGGATTCTGTCACAGTGTCACTAGTCAAATGGCAAAAGTTACATCCCACAACCTCATAATCTCTAGATGTTCAATTTGTCAAAGGATCCAATTGAATAAGAGCACTTAAGGAACTAATAATCCACAATACAGCATGAAAATGGAAGAGAAGGCAGCATAGAGAAGTACAGCATTATATCAAAACAACAGGGGAGCAGCGTTTCTACTTCTAGCAAGTAGCTACATTGAGACAATCTATTGCATTCACATGAAACATGAATAATGGCAGCAGAATGAAGGAATGGAGGAAGAGAACCCTCAAAGTAATACAAATGAGATTCAGAAAACCAATACAGGATGAAGCCACTAGCAAAAGCTAAAGCAGAGCCCTTAATATCAACCATTCCACAGAAACCAATTTAAGCCAACAAGACCACCAGAGTTCGTCCCATAAAACCTTCCCCGTTGCACAAAATCCATAGTTACACTGGCATAGCGGAAATTTGAACCCGGGGCCAATCTATAGGCTACAGGTCTCGGTCGTTGAGCAAACTAGGGATGTTGTCTATCAAATTTCCATTGCAACTCAAGCTAACCCTATCAAGAATCGAAGTACGGAACTATCACTTAAAACTCCAACTAGTAAATCATGTTACCCGAGTAATTTCATCAAACACATAATCCTGCAGCTGTACGGAAACCCTATCACAATTTTTTTTTTTTTTTGTTTTGTTCCTACAAATAATGCAGCAAGAAGCAGCGTACGCGAGAGAAATAGCAATAGCACGGGTATAAAGGATGAGAAGAGAAGACCTGGAGATTGTGCTCCTTAATGTGAGCCCAGATGAGCTTGAGAGCCTGGGTCCGGGAGATTTCAGGGGAGCCAACAAGCTCCGCCATCTCGGGAGAAACGGGACGGGGTTTCATGATGCCACGAGGCTGGCGAGTGCCGGCCGCCGGCTTGGGAGACGCCGTGGCGCAGGTGACGGTGTGGACGAACCGATGGTTAGGGAGCGTGGGAGCGGCGGCGAGAAGGCGGATAGAAGAAGGGGAAGAGGCGGCGGATGAGGCGAGAAAGGGAACCGCGTGGGCGGAGAAGAAGGTGGAGGAGATGCCTGAGGAAGAAATCGCCATCGGAGCTGCAATGGAGGAAGGGAGTGGGAGAGGGATTCGGCTCGGAAAGGTTATCCTGATATTTTGGGGCTGTGTGAAAAAAATAAGGGGCTCTCCTCTCCTCCGCCGCGAAAGGGGATATATAACGGAGATTATTAGAGTCCTAACCTCAGCACAGTAACCACTCTCGTCATCGTTTGTTACTTTTAAAAATTAAATCATGCAGTGGAAGCAACAAGAGATTTATTTGTTATTTTTTAAAAAAAATGATATTTTAGAAATAAATTAGATTTTGAATTATCTAATTCATACTGTGTGCGGATTTGTGGGCGGCGCGAACTAGATGAGGCTGAGAGTTGTCTGTGAATTAGTCTGTAGAATAACCTTCCTAACTCCCGGTTCTCAGAAAATCTTGAGACCATGCACAAATCCAGTCAATTATGCATGAGCGATGGAACCTCCCCCAAGGTTCCATCACTGAGAACGCTTTAAGGAAAAGACTATCATCTTCTCGGACAATTCCTCCTGCTGTCGTGCTCGGTGAGGCATGGTTGACTTACCCATCAGTGTTCAAGCGAGTCCATCCAAGCGATGGTGACGCCAATGAATCATGCTGCTCTGCGACGCTCTCTCCCTGCCAAAGATGCTTCTACTCTTCTCAAAAGCCTCAATAGTTTGTTTCTTTAGTTGTCTAGACTCGAACTGAAACTGTGTACTAGTTTCAAGTTTACCTTCGAACTGATGATTGTTCTAATCTGATTCTTCCACAGGAGCCAGCAAGTACTTGCAAAGAGTGGGATATCTATGATGGAGTTGCGCCTCGCCATATAGTGAAAAATCCATGTGGTCAGATCCTCTTGAAAGAAGTCAGCGTCCAGTTCACCTTCGAGGAAGTCTGACCAAACCGCTCGAGCATAACTACAGACTCTTAGCACATAGAGTATCGTCTCCGGCCCTCCTCCACATGTCGGACATACTTTCCTTTGCGTTAGATGGCGTCGCTTTCGCTCAGCGTCGGTAAGGATATGCTGGTTATTAGCTAGCCACAAGAAGGGTTGCATTCTTCGTGTAACTGGGGCTCGCCAAATAGTCTTTCGAACCAGGCGATAATGGGCTTGCTTGTCAATCTCAACAATAAGCTCATACGCAATTTTCATCGTGAATTCCCCAGAAGGGGAAAAACTATTATGATGTGTCATAACCAAGAATTGAAATACCGTACCAGAAAGATACTCGTAAGTTATTTTATACTAAAACCGTGGTTCAATAATTTCATACTGATAAAGTTTATGTTTGGCCAACTTTCATAAGTGCTTTTTGGTTTCAAAAGTTAAAGCATGGCCAAATACCTCTAAAAGCTTGACTTTTGAAAAGATGAAAAGCGTTTTTAAATAACTTAAAAGCATAAGCGAAAATCTGTTTTTAATTATCCTTATCATATTTTAATTATATTTCAGAAAATATAAATGTCTTACATTTATATTTTAAAAATTATAAAATTAAATAATTTATAAAATTAAATAATTTAATTAAAAAATCTAACAACATTCATTTTGACTACTTTTTATTCCTTCGAATTTTTATTCATATATATTATATTATAAATTTTTTATATTTATTTTACATAACCTCTCATATTAAAATACAGTCTAATATTATACATTCTTTCAGTAACCTCTTATTCACATAATTGTCAATACCCATTCCTTTAGAGAATTTCGCTTTTAATACAGGATCATTCAGGTCAGGTTTCCTATGTCCCTTTGGCGCAAAGTGGTTGCCGCTATCTGTCATTCACAAATCCCAAATCTATGCCAATTTGACAGAGATTTACTTCTTCACATCCATCGCGAGTTATTTTACATTACTTCTCATATTAAAAAAATAGTTTTGATAATTATTCAGTCAAACACCCAACTGTCATTTTTTTTTCACCCAACTGCTTTTTTTTGAAAAGTACTTCTTTAAAAATTCTCTGTGAGAACATGTCTAAAGAAATTCTCTGTGAGAACATGTCTCTGCAAAAGACTTTTGTACGCTATTGGTAGAGCACTACAGCAGGGCCAAACTAATCCAAATACTGCCCACTAGTTTCAAAGATTTCGCTTCCAATATAAGATTTTTTTGGTCGACCCTTTTAATCCTTGGTTCTGACAAACTGGTTGCTTTGCTAAGGAGAGAATCACCTCTCCTAAAAGTCTAACAGGTTAAAATTCATTGGCGCGTCCAGCCCAAATACTATCCAACAAGCTGGAAGACTCATCAACAACGCCCAGTTTTTACAATCTCAGATTATAATGAAACATCTTCCAGAAACACCACAACTCATGATGAAATTTGGACAAACCATAGTGTTCTTCAGTGAAAGCATCCTCCAGGGCACAAGTAAGGATGATTATATAATGTAACAACACGGTACACGAGCATTCCTAGACTCTACAACCAAACCTCAGTACCTTGCCATGCAATGTTTCCAACTTCCAGTTGTGTCATTTCTTAAGATGGGGGAAACAAGCATAGACATCAGCTTTCGGGTGCTTCGCTTCGGCGTGCTCTCGACACTTCACCTCTGTAGTGGTGCATATGAATGTCTGCATGCACACCTTGCACTGCATTCACCGTTACCGGAAGCAATCATCCAGGGATCCATCGAGGGAGCAGCACAAACAACAAAGAACACCAAATTACTACCTTTGCAGGGTAACCAAGTAAAAAAAAATCTCTTTCATCACACAGGCAAGCTATAACAGCACAACACAAGTCCTGAAACAACCACCACTACCACCACCATGGGTACAGTAGCTCATCTCAAGGGTGAATTAGCAGGATAATCAACAGACGAAGTATAGCTATGCGAGCTTTTTTAGCGCATTACCGAAAATCGCAGAGCTATGATCCTAACACCAAACTACTTAATGCGTGAAACCAGGTACTACCACCACCATGGTACAGTAGCTCATCTCAAGGGAGAATTAGCAGGATAATCAACAGACGAAGTATAGCTATGCGGACTTTTTAGCGCATTACCGAAAATCGCAGAGCTATGATTCTAACACCAAACTACTTAATGCGTGAAACCAGGTACATTTCTTGATGTACAGGACAGAATTCCCCAGAATTTGCACACTGTGTTGATCCTCGTTAGCCATAATTTTGAACATGATTTCAACATACACCATGATCAGACCCCAGATAATAGATGCTATAAAATGATCACTAACACAAAAGACTTCAAGGATGTCAGAAACAGAGAAATCAGTAACCCTAACAGCAGCCCAGAACAAAATTCACAAGTCTCGAACAGAGAGTATCGAGAAGGTAGAAGATCGCCACTCAAGAAACCGGCAATCGTCGGGGGAAAAAGGGAGAATTGAACTATAATGACCAAATCAAATATCAGAAAGAAGGAATAAGAACAGCATGCAAGGAGGATTACCTGAATACTCATGGCTTTCTTGTTAGTTTCGAGTTGGCTACCTGAAAACAATAAAAGAAACTCCGCCTTTAGATCACCAAAATTCGCTGCTAAGGAAGGAGGGCGGTGATGGAAAGGGGAAAAAGGAACAGGAAGATCAATTTATACCCTTTGCACCCTTTTGCTTCTCCAGATTCTTCTCGCGGGCCATCTTGGCTTTCTGGCCGTTTCCTCCTCCCATGGCTGAGCTCGATTTGATCGTTCGGCGGATCCCAAGAAGCTCGAATTCCGCCTTTCCCCCCTTTCTCTTCTCTTCTAGGGTTATTCAGTCGGGATGAAGGAGGAAGCAGGTACCGGAATTGGCGAAGTTATATACAGTTATTAGAACCTGGATGGAAGAAGCCTCTAGAATGGGTTAATTGACCAAAATGGTCACTCATGTTTTGCTCATTGACAAAATAGCTACAATATTTTAAATGGTACACAAATCATCCGTAGTCGGTAGGGGTGGCTATACGGTCCGGTTAAATTGGATCGAATTGATCTAGTTCCAGTCCAGTATTTTATAACCAAAATACGACATACATGTATGCCAAGTCATTTTATTACTCTAATAGTAAGTTAAAAATTAGCTTGCACTATAATGATAACATATATATACGAAGGTTGGTAATCAAAAAAATTTCCCGATTTTTTTTGGAATATCCAAGTCCAACCTAACTTTAAAATTTTCATATGGCAATACCTCAAAGTCATTCTTCTCACAGTGGTAGTCCTACAAATACGTGGAATTAACTGTCTCAATCGATGTCGTATGTGCTTGCGACATCAAGAGCACATTATACACAGATGCCCCCTAGCCACCAAGTTGTGGACCTTAGTGGGATTGAGCAACTTCATTGATTCCGCCCCGACTGTTAATTTTAGTCTATGGTGGTGACATGTCATGATCTCTGAGATCTCCCCATTCCACATTCTCCAATGCTTCTGTTTATTTTGAAGAATCTGGAAGTCTAGAAATAAAGTGACTTTTGAATTCTACCAACCTCATGTGCGTACCCTCACCAGATAATTCTACAACCAGGTCCTTGAAGTCTCCAATTTTCACCCCCCTCCTCCGCCCCCAGATTGCTCCTCCCAAATCCTCCTCTCACCACTTGGGAGCCTCCACCAGACAACTATTTGAAGATCAACTTTGATGCAGCTGTTCGTGACTCAGGATGCTAGTCTGGTCTTGTTATCCGTGGGTCAGACGGGCATGTGGTGCTAGCAGCCGATATGCGTCATCAGAAAGTAGTCAACCCCTACCTGGCAGAGCTCCTAGTAGTAAGAGGCGCTATCACCATCGTTGACTCAAGATCCTTGACTCATGTGATAGTGGAAGGTGATTTCGTGGTAGCTGTCATCCAGATCTGACAATTTGTCTTAGAAGATTCCTATGGAGGTCCGGTGCTCCGAGAGTGTCGTCAAATCCTATACTCTTTTCCAATTTGCATAGAGTTTAGGGCAGTTCCTAGAGCCGCCAACAGTGCTGCCCATAGAGTGGCTCGTAAAGCACTGCTATTGTCTCTCTTATATTATAATTTTTCGATTTTTTTGGGTGGCTTCACTAGAATGTGGCTTGTAGGAGGTTCCATGGTGGTTTTGTTTGTATAACTCTTGTCCTCTCTTGATATCAATCGGAAAAAGAAAAAAAATAGTATCTTTCTTTATATACAATCCATAGTTAATTGAGATGCATATACAACGCTAATTGAGATATTACAATCCATGGTGCAACACCCTCTCAAAATGTCATAGTTACTTGCCTTCTTTCCACGCTGCTGCTTGAGAATTACTCTCCTAAAAAGCTGCAAGTGAAATCAATGCTTTCGGAACCGCCTGTTTCTTCTTCTTCTTCTTAAAACTGAAATCCATGGTGCAACCCGCAAGTGAATTACTCTCCAAAATCTGCAGGTATAATACCCAAACTCGGATCACATTGAAGTCCTAAATTCACTACGTAGAAAGGTTTAAAGTTGAATGCGGGTTACATTACACCTAACTCAACCCAGCTTCCAACAACACGTCTGTCTTATACAGGCACAATGTAGACAATAAAAGCAATTGCAAGTCGCAAGTACTTTCTGATCATCGATCTCAATGTTATGTACATGCCATTTCTGTCCTAGTAATTCAGCAAGCAAAGGGCAAGCAACAAGAGAACTATTGACCGCATTAATACAAAATATGTACTAGGAGAATCACAATTTAGGTACCTGGAATCACAATTCTTGAGTTATCTGTTGAAGCCAGAGCCTTCCTTTACCGTATCAGTTCAGATGCGTCTTCATCCTCGCAAATATTTGACATGACATGTGTAACAGGCTAACCCCTATTGCTAAATCGGCCAACGGATGACAAGGCATTAATGAACAATTGGTGAAAGGCTACACCATATTCTTAAGATCATGATAAAGAAAAAGGGAGCTTGCAGAGCACCAATACTAAGTCGAAGAAGACAATTACTTCTTAGGGCCACCTCTTTGCTATTCGTTGTGACAACCTGCCCTCTTCTTCCCTAGTAACACGTGGATCAAGCTTTTGAAGAGTGCTAATGAACATGGTTGCATCACCCTGGCGACTGTGCTTACAATAGCCATCAACAATAGAGTTGTATGTACTGTCATTCGGCTGACAACCCTGCTTGATCATGTATTGCAGAACATTGATGGCTTCCTCAAACATCGAGTCAGCTGCATACCTTGAAATGAACGTGTTATATGTGATCACATCCGGAGTAAGCCCAGAAGAATCTTTCATTTCTGAAAAGATTCTTGATGCTTCCTTCATCCGACCATTTCGACAATAGGCAAAAATAACCGTGTTGTATGAGATTAGATCTGGTTTCAGTCCTTTCTGAAGAATTGCTCTCAATATTTCTTCCGACTTCTCAAAATTTCCAGAGCGGCTGTGCATGTACATCAAAGTATTGTATGTTGCCAAACTTGGGGTGAACCCACGGTCATGGATGAAGGTTAAGATCTCATCAGCTTTAGCGACCATTTGTCTCCTTCCATATATAGAAATCATGGCATTCAGTGTACTGATATCAGGTGAAAATCCTTTCTTCTTCAACTCCAAGAAAGCATGCTCAGTTTCCACCAGAAGGTCACTCTTACTATTAACCAAAACAAGGGTCTTCAAGAGAAGAGTATGAGGCTCAATAGCTCCTGAATATATGTCTGCAGCAAGAGCATGCATTCGCTCGATCTCTTTCCCATTGGCATAAGCATGAAGCAACGAACTGTATGTAAATTCATTGGGCCTGCAGCCACTGTCTTTCATTTCAGAAAGAATTTTCTCAGACTGTTGCCAAAGCCCACCCCTGGCAAGTGCAGCCAGGACAGCATTGTAGGATGAAAGGCCAGGAGTAACTCCTGCTTCAAGCATTCTCTTGTAAATGGTCATGGCTTGTTCAAAAGAACCACATCTGCTGTACGCGCTAATTAGCGTGTTGAAGGTGTCCCTCTCAGGCACAAACCCTGCTCTTTTCATCTCCCTAAACACTCCGGAAACTTCAGAGTCCAATCCATTGTTCCCAAACACTGCAAGAAGCGTGTTCCAAGTAACAATATCGGGAGCACAGTTGCATGCTTTAATCTCCTCAAAAACCTTCATCATCTCAGTAAAATTACCCCTGTTACCATGCATTTTAATCAGTGCGTTGAAAGTACAAATATTGGGCTTGCAGCCATTATCTCTCATTTCCTTGAATATACTCATTGCATACTCATCTTTCCCAGCCTTCTCAAATCCTGACAGGAGAGTAGTGTACGTAAAAACATCCGGTATGATCTCATTCTCTATCATTTGTGATTTAAGCTCCATAGCATCATCCAATAACCCATCTTTTGCATAAGCTGATATCAATGAATTGTAGGTCACAATGCTAGGAGAAAACCCATTAATCTCCATATCACTCAATACCTTCATAGCCTCCTTTGGCCGCCTAGACTTTCCATAAACATCCAACAAGGCGTTATAAGTGACCTTATCAGGAGAAAACCCAGCAGCTTTCATTTCCTCAAAAACCTCAGCAGCTTCTTCATACAAAGTCCCTCGACGGCAGCAAGTTATGAGAGTGTTATATGTGTATTCATCAGGAGGAATCCCCGCACTCTTCATTGCTTCTACCAGACCTATAGTCTTACTCCAAGGCATGCCCATTTTCCCATACGCATTAAGAATAACATTATAAGTTATTAACGTGGGCCTGCAACCTTCTTCCTCCATCTTATTAAATAACATCACAGCATCTCTATACCTGCCATTACTAGCATAAACAGTAATCAAAGATGTATAAGCATACACGTCAAGTTCAAACCCGTCTTTATGCAAGCTGTTCAGCAGAGAAGCTGCCGCCGAAACTTTCCCACTTTTACCAAGCATTCTAAAAACTGAAGCCACCATAGAGTTACTGACAACCAACTGGTAACCCTGCCTGCTCCTCACCCATTCAAACACACTCATCGCCAGGTCGAATTTCTTTTGGAACCCCAAACCCTTCATAACCCCCAGAACATCAATAGATAAACCGTCAACATCAACTTTACCATCAACACCACCACTCAAACTAGACCCAGCTCTGTAATACTCAAACAAAGTCTCCAAGATTCCATCCAACTCCGAGACTTGATAAGATGGGTTGTTAAGGGAGTCGAGAACTTTCTGACCTTGCGGGGAAAGGCGGAAGTGTGACCAGGGCTTCCCACGGTTGGGGTCACGATTCTTGCCAATTCGAGTTTTGCTCCTGGTAATGAAAGCAGGGCTTGTTACTGTTCTCCGGGTTTCTCGAGAATTGGAGTTTTGGGTAGAAATGAATTCTTGGAGATGAGGAGTTGCAGGGGTTGATGATAGTGAAGAAGTCTGTAGCATCACCGGCGGCTGCGACTGCTGCTGGTGCGAATGGTGGTGCTTGTGATTATGGAGACTCTGTGTTGGGAAAAGAGATTTTGAGGGCGGCGGAGTTGGGAATAGGAGGGGAAGGGCTAGTTTGTCCGCCATTGGAAGAGGAGGGAAGGGAGAGTGAGAGACCGGGAAGCCAAACTGGCGCTATACTGATTCTGTGGGGAGATATTTACGGGGCTTTGGATTTTTAGTTTTGTACTAATTTCGCAATCAGAAACCTTTTTTTTTTTAAATCTTTTGGCTAACGTTGTCAACACGGTTAGCTCATTGACCCGGTCAAGCTAGAGAATCAAGAGTTAATGGGTTGATCGGTTTAACCAGTTTAACCCAAATGAGCCCGATTTAATATGACTAATGAAAAAGTTATTGATAATAATAACCGAATACCCAATTAGAAAACCAACTTTTTCCTATTATCCCAAATCCCCAACACTCCCTTGTCAAACAAGGTCTATTTCTTTCTCGATTTTCCATGTTCTTGCCCCAATTACCAAAGTCCAAGCGGCTAGCACACCACTCAATCTCACCCCTTGTTCTTGTCACAATTCCATCTCTATGTGTAGCCCCTATGGCGGGAAACATCTTCACAAGCCGATCACCACCAAAGCTCCACACCAAATCGAGAATACCCAATCCACCAAGAAGCGAAACTAGGCTGGAACGCAAGATCGAACCATCCCGTATGCGGATCGGAACAAGACGTGCACGACAGAACCCAAACTCGCCTCCATCGGCGGATCTAGGGGAGGGCCACACTGGGCCCGGGCCCAGCCCTTCTCCTGGAAGAAGCAATATGAGCTACTCATTTCATATGGGCCCATTTGCATTTCCTTTTCTTTTTGGTATAAGGTAGCAAGCCCAATCTAGGAAAGCCTTTGTATGCGTTTTCTCCAAACCCGGCAAAAAAATGATAAGGGTGGTACATTTATGATTTTTTAAATATTCATACTGAATTCAATTCACCCTATGGTTGGATTTTTCTTTCAAAATGTTAGGGTTACGGTTCAAAAGGTAGCAAAAATCATAGTTACTAGTACTCGGCCCGCGCTCCGCTGCGGGGTAAGATTGATTCCAGAAATTAACAAACATATTAACAAACTTTGTGCTCACCGCACATATACATCTGCCATATTTTTGTCTGGATTCAAAATAGGGAAAAAAAAACTTGAGTATCTGATGCCTTCGACTAAATGTGAAAACATAAACACATTAGCCATAGTTTTGTCTTCACTGAAAATAGGGAACAGAAACTTTAGTCTAGAATGGATAATTCTGGGGGTGGATGGGATACTTTGTCTGGTCTTTCTGTCTGTAGTGTTGAAGGTTACTTATCTATCCTTGAGGTGTGCCAAAGGGTAGCCACTCTTATATGGGATACGGCTGTTCTGGTTCTGTTCTTCAGATCTGAGGAACCGATGTAGAGCTCTCCTGCAAACATTCTGCTACATCTTTTGACCAGTAATGCCTTGGCTGATTCTGCATCGAGTTTTTTGTATTTGCTGGGTGACATTCCCATTATTGATAGTGTAGCCTCATGGTCCAGTATGACATCAAGACTATCATCTCCTTGCTTGCACTTGACTTCCAACTCATAGTGCAGCCTAGTCATAAGTATAAATTCAGAAATTTGTTGGCATATTCGTAGATAGATTGATTCACATGAGATGTAATTGTCGTCTTGAAATATAAAACTTACTCTGGCCAGTCCTCAGTCGCTTGACATATGGCTTTTCGAAATTTCATCTGTGAGATGGAGAACTTAACACGATAGAGTACCTAGCATGAACATAAGATGTTGATAAGACATTGGTCTACGAAAAATGGAGGGTGACAGTATAGGAATTTGGTTTTATGTTTTGTCCCTCACCAACCTTGTGGACAGCCTGATCAGATGCAAGCATTGTTTCCATGTCAGAGAGTGTCTTCTTTTCGATTCCTGATCGAAGGCAGCCTGTCTTCTTACTGGTATTGGCATCCATGAAATATACTTGCCTGCGACTGTAAAGGAAACTGCTTGTAGCATAAAAGAGACAAAAGTGTCAATGTAATTGGTTTTGGCCGACTGGCAACAAATAGGATTCAAAAACTGGAAAGGATTCTGTCAAACTAAATGTACATGTGCATTATCTCCTGGACTGGGACTGTATAAGATCTGATCATGAGTGTACTGGCTGGAGTGGATTCGAACCGATACTTGTATTTCTGGTCGGCTAGAGGTGCCACCCGAATGACAGACTTGATTGTAACAATCAGAGGCAAATGAGCCTCAGCTGTCGGGGCGTTCTCTAAGAAGTTCGGTATATCATATCCACGATACCGAACAGTTGCCTTGGCGCCACTATCAGTGACATTAACATGTGAGGTTGTTGATTCATACAATTCACATATCGATATTCTATTCTACAAAATGTACCTCACATCCTGAACGACCATGTGAAATTCTTTGAGCCTACTGCGAATTGTTGTGGGAACACTGAGACGCCTAATGCATACAGTTATGTCTATAAGCAACACAAGAGTTTGTCATTCAAAAACCTAAGTTCATTTTATTATATCAAACAGATATAGTATAGTTAATGTACCTGTATGATAGTTGATGGTGTCTGTCTGAAGTGGTACCATCGAAAAAGCCATCCCAATGTCCCAGCCAGTCGGCAAGCGCGGCTCATTTGGGTCCTCTTCAATCCTGGTGATTTTGTGATCAGCGGTTATGTGCACTCTTAACTCTCCTGCAATGATCTTTGGATTTTCTCTTGCTGGTATTGCTTCAACCGAATCAAACCGATAAAGGTTGCCGACTTGTATTTTCCGAGAAATCTCGTTGATGTCTTTTTCATCAACCATTGACTCGATTAGTCGTGCCTATAAGATAAGCAGTTAAACGGTTCCAAATCATGTATTATAGCAGTTTAAAATTGTTGACAAAGAGATTATCTAATGTTGTAAGTGAAATGGAAAAAACCTTTTTATCTATCCAGATCATGTGCATGCTCAGATTTTTAAGCTTAGGTGCCTCTCGATACTCCAGCCATGCCATCACAGGCCTAGCAATTACTATGCGGACGTTTGTGCCCAGACGCAGCCCTCGAAATGGCATGCAAGTTTCGATCGGATCTATAATAAGACAGTATAGGGAAATGAAACTCATATTTTATCTTTGGAGCAGACGATTCGAGATACCTGGTAGTATTCTTTAACAAAAATGGAAAGCATTCACCTTTGTTGTCGGTGGGGACCATGTGAGCAACCTCCGTTGACTGCTGGTTTTTGGGCAAACCTTCCATGTCTTGTGGGGATCTAAGCAAACAACGTGGATGATGATTAGAAGTTAATACCCAAATGTGAAAACGGTGAGAAAGAGGAGGACGTGGAGTTACCTTTGTTTTAAAGGCTGTCGTGTAGTTCGGTTGTGGGGTTTCGCGGCGGAGCAAAGTGTTTGTAAATGTGGACGGCGGATCTGGTCGATGAAGACAGTTAGGGTTTGTAAAGGCAGCTGTGATTTTGGGCCAGTTTTCCATGGGCTTTTGTCTGCAATCCTAAAGCATGTTCGGGGTGGGCTCAATATCATCCATTACTATCAAAACGTAACAGAACGTGGGCTCGGTTTTAGTGAGCGTTTAAGGCCGAAAAATTCAAGACGCAAACAATGTCTCCTTTTAATTTCGATCAAAGGATCATCAAAAAATATTCTATTGTGTCGTTCTACAAGAACAGGAAGAACATGAAGAACCTGCCCAGAATTCAAAACGCAAACTATCGCTCCTACAAAATATTTTGGTAAATACAATATTCAAGCCAAAAAAGTAGATCTCCATGTGTCCAATCAGGCACTTCATGATCAAAACAAAACATTGACCTCTCTAAACATTGAGGTACCAACACCAGGGACTTGCATATGTACAGAGCAGAATAACCAGCACCTTGCAAGCTGTCAAAATGAGTACATCGGTGAATTTTCAAAATACCAGAGTAGTCAGGAGAAAACATTAAGTTCTTTTTACAGAAAACAGAGTATTATGTCCTGAATAGATAACATACAGAATTAAAAATAAGCTGTCCCGATAAACTAAGTTCCAAGTAGAACACTTTCATATCACACAAAAGCCTCAGGGTTCCAGATTGAAGCAATTCGGATTGCAGGAGGATTTTCTGAAGTCCCGGGAGCAACATAAGCTTCAGCCATAAAAGCCACATGACACCTGTCCTGAATGTACTGATATCCATCTTTATACGTCAGGCTGAAAAGTTCATCGGGTGAAACCCAAACCAAGACCAACACAGCTTCATGATCAAACACAACATCAACATCTTTTCCCTCGCACTGACATGTTGCTTGTAATTCATACCGTACCCTGAATTAAACAATAAAAGGAATGTTTTGATCTTCCTGAAATGCAATGGCCAACATATTATGAGTAAAACATAAAATTGAATCATACCTTGGAAAACCCGAACATGATTTAAAGACTTCTGGACCGTATGTAAATCTTTTGATTTCCACCATACAACGATAAAGAGCCTGAAGGAAGGAATTTGTGTTATAATAGGTAATAGATATGACTATATATTTGGGAATGTGTTATCCAATACAATTCAAAACAACAATATCATACATATACCTGATAGGTTTGTGCATGGAACATTATATCATCCTTGAGCTGCTCGAGGGTTCTTTTGGGGGGAAGAAGACCACGAAGATAACCAATAGAGCGGCGAGAAGTTTTGTTGATGTAAGTGACTGGCATTCGATCACTCATGAACCTAAACAACAGAAAGAATGTATGTATTGTTTTTCTAGCATCCAACAGAGCAGTTCTATCAATATATAAACATCGAATTTGAATATAATAATACCTATTCATGATCTTCTCATAATGATGATTATAAGAACCAATGATCAGACGACTTCCAGGTGAAGATTGAAATACATATGCATCTCTGGTGGCATCTGTGATTGGCAGCCTTGTAACAGCAGTAACTGTTGTAATGAGAGGAAGTCGAGCTTCAGATTCCTCTGCCAACTCCATATACTTCATAACATCAGTTCCAGAGTAGTTCACTGTCGCCCTGTTTCCTCTATACATAACAGCAAAAGATCAGTTAATCACACATGAAGTCTAACGAACAAAAAACAGCACAAGAAGATTCAAGAAACCTGATGTCTTGTATGATGAGCTCAAAACTAAGAACACCATTAATTGGAAATCCTGGAATCGTCAGATGAACAACACAACCTGTAACATCTGCAATTCAATTTAAAGTAAGCAAATAATCATGAATACTTTTTGTGCAAACTACACTGCGAGGAAGATACCTCCATAGTTCACAACTGCCTCTTTCTCTATTGGAATAGCCGAGAATGAAGTTTTCAGAAAAGCATTGACTGGAAACTTGGGATAAACCGGATTGTCAGGGACACAAAACAAGATTTGTTCACGCCTTAAAGCAAAGCGCACTTCAGCTGGAACAACACGCCTATTCTTCCTTGCAGGAATAACATGAAAGCCATCCAGGACATGTAAATCTCCTACTTGAAACTTATGCTGCATTTCTTGAATGTCATTTTCCTCAACACAGGCCTCTAGCATATGTTCCTGTTAAATGTGATTTAGTGCATGACCACAATAGAATCAAACATAAACAATAAAGAATACATTACAGAGACGAATAACAAACCTCTTTGTCAAGACACAGCACATGCATTGTTCTTTGATGTCCTTGAGAGTCATCACCATGCTCAATCCATACATTAAGAACTCGAATGATCATAATATCAGTATAAGCACCCACACGTAGACCACGAAAGACCTTGCATGTGGAAATTGGGTCTGATACAAACGAAACACAAAGAAAACGACGAAAACTTCACACCCGACAGCGTTCATTCACAAATCAACAAACAGAAAACTGAAACAGTAAGCAACAAAGGCGATACCTCGTGGAAGACTTGGAAGTCTGAAATCACGCGGCATTATACAACGATGACTGACATGGAAAGACAATGGAAGATCAAAGATTTCTTCAAGTGTCAAGAAACAGAAACAGAATGCAAAAGGGAAAATTATCGGCGAGCATACCCCATTGAATACACAACTGCTCCTGATCTAGAATCCGCGCAGTACTGTAGTTCGTGGGAGGAGAAGTTCAGAGAACAGGGGAAGTTAAAAGACAGAATCAGAAGCGAAATGAAGAATCGGTGGCAGTTGGTCCCCAAAACGTTTTCGCATCACCGTTATAAAATAACAAATTGAATATTAAATGGGCTGGTAACTGTCCCCCTAATGGACCTAACAATTATAGAATGGGTTTCTCAAAAGCCATAGAAACTTAATCTAAGCACAAAGTAATTTCCTATTGGGGCTAAATATGAGAATTCTGGACACAATTCATTTATCCACTTCTGTATCGTAAAAGAGGGGCCATTATTTATATTTTTCTATCCGCGTCCGGGTTTGAAGCAAATTGAGTACACACAACTGTTCCATTCGAGGACACTTTACTCATGTATCCGTAGTTTGTGACTGTTTATTCATTTTGTAACATTGTCAATGGTCTAAGTGATACCACACAATTAAATTCAAGTTTGCTCTTGTTGTATATCAAGAACATGAGTTGTATTCGGTTCCTCTTTCATGGTTATGTTCATCAAATTTGGTGCTGTTAGGGTCAGTTTTTCTGATATTTAGATGACTATCCATGAAAGTTTTTCATGGTTATGTTCCTCTAAATATAGATGTCTGTGGATGGTCATCTAAATATATAGATGCCCTCCACACGCAACGATTTACTGGTTGGTCCTCTTTTGTTGCATACATTCTCAAACTGTAGTCCACCAAGGCAATCAACGTTTCATCCGACACCATAAAAATACATAAACACCACCATCATATTACGTACAGTAACAATACATAGAACTTTGTACAAAAGAAGCTCATTAGATACAATTACACTCCCGAACTCTGCCCACCAAATGTATATTTCTCCCACAACGTCCAAAGTACCCAACTAGGTAAAATAGTAGCAATTGCAAAGACAACACCTGTTCTGCCACCATGTAATAGTTCAAGGGTCACTACTAAAACACATCACAGAAAAGAATGGCAACAAATAGCAATAGTGGATTCTAATCCTACTGAAGAGCGTAATCACTCGCGGGCTCCAAACACACCCAAGAGACTTAGAAAATCACTATAGGAACTGGAGCCACTCCTCTTTACTGAGTTGTCTCTCGTATCGAGACAACTACCAACAACTGACTTTCCATTTCTTTCTCAAGGAGAGCCAAGTCAAATCCATTCCTCCTCTGAGCCCTCTTTCGCCTCGAGACCGCCACCAAGAACTGACCTCTAACTTCTTTATCAAGGAGGGTCTAGTCAGATCCCTGCCTCGTATCAGAAAACCCAGAGAGAGAAGAAGGTATGCGAGAAAATACAGCCAGAAAAAAGGAGTAAAGGATCGGACCTCTGCGGGTAATGTGCTCAACTGCGCAAAGGGCCACGCAGGAAATCCAGCCCAAACTCAAAAAACCCAGGTAAAACCCACAAAGGCGGTAACGTAACAACAATGACCACAACGAATCTAGAACGCAAAAGAAGAAAATAAATAGAGGGTAAGACAGGAAGCTGTCGCGCCCTACAGTCAGTATTCTATATTGGTCAGAAGTAGGCGCAAACAGACAACGCATTCTTCATTCTCACTAGTGCAGGGAAATAACAGATGCCGGGCTCCTCATTCCTCATCGAATCAACCCCTCCATCCTCATCTAAACTACAAAAAACTGATCAGATCCACACAACCCATAAAACAATCCTTGATTTAAAAATCCGAAAATCACCAAAAATCACTGAAACAAAAAGATGAAAAGAAAGATGTGATTATATATCGATACATCGGAGATTCCTGACGATGGATCAAATCCCTTGATCAATGAGCATCTTAACTTTTATGATGATCAACAAAGGTTACTGGCAAATACTATGATCAGCAAACTGAACACAAAATAGCCTTCCAACAACCTGCAATAACAAACAGAAAACAGGATCCAAACGATTAAGAGACTCGCAAAAAGAGAAAAGAAACTGAACAGAAAATAGCCTTCCAACCACCTGCAATTACAACAGAAAACAGGATCCAAACGATTAACAGACTCTCAAAAAGAGAAAAGCAAACTCGATATAGAGAGACGGACAAATCAGCTGGGACAAATACAAAACCTGCGAAACTGGATCCTTTCCAGACCTCTCAGCTGTCCTCCAGTGTACCTGGATCTCCTCCAGATCTCTTAAACCTTCTTTTTTCAATAAGAGAGCCGAGAATTCCCAAAGCAGATAGACCACCGAGGGCGCGAGATGGAGAGAGAGCAGGGGGAGAGGTGAATAACAAAAGGGGAGAAAGTATCATGGTAAAGAGGAGCAAAGTTTCTTTAAGCGGGAAGATGAATGAAGAAAAAGAAAAGAAACAGATCCTCTCAATTAATTAATGGCCTAGCCTGCATAAAATAGTAATAGCCTCTCTCAGCGTCGAACAACGCAAGGACTTTCCAGGCCCTCCCAGAGGTGCCCAAAACCGGTCTTTTCATATACAGTAGAGGAAACATATATATATATATATACAGTAGAGAAAAAGCATGTCAAGTTGTCTCTCTGTATCTAGAAAACCCTCAACTGTCCAGAAACAACCCACCTCTCCACTGTCCAGGTCTGTCACTCTGATCCACACATCCACAACTCCGCCAGATCTCCCAACCCTCAATGATTCCTCCACAGCAGAACCACCAAAGCAACTGAATAAACCTCGATCCACACACCCGTCTCTGCCAAAGCAGCATATAGATCTCTGATGATCTAACGCCCGTCAGAGCCACCAAACGACTCCAATGCAGAGATACTGAGCAACACAACTCCTTTCAATCAACTTTGAAGTCCCTCTCATGGCCCACCATCTCTGAGCCATCCCATCTCCCAACACAGTCTAACCCAAAACCCGCCAGATCTTCCACCACTTAACGATCCCTACCCAACAGAACACCCACAGAGTAACCGAAACCCTCGACCGGCGTGCCCGCTCGGGCCAAAGTAAAATATCGATCTCTGATGACCAACGCGCGTCCGGGCCACCAAACGACCCCAACGAAGGCCAACCAGAAGCCAAACACCAGTCCCACCCCGACCGAGCCCCCAAACTCCGTCAGATCCCAATGAGGCCTCACCCAACTCCAGCCCACACCGAAGGACACGCCAGTTTGAAACAGTAAATCTCAGTCACAATGGACAGTAAAAGGTGTCTGTGTGTACAGTACCAGGGGCTGCGGTGGGTTTCTTTCTTTCAATTAACTAAATTCCCAATCTATTCAAATTTGAACAAACCCTTGTTTCGATAGCATTTTTTGTTTCAATAGCATGTTTTGTAGTAAAACGCTTTACAAAAAAGCGACATCACTTGAACCATAAGCATTTTAAGTAAAACGTTGTACTTGCAAACTTGTTCTCCTCAATAGATCGTAATTAACAGTGGGTTACTAATGCATTCATGCATCACGGTCAGTGTTTATCTTTCTAAATAAATAGGATGCATGAACAACATTGCATAAGTTGTAGCGTAGTGGTAAAGGATTTTTATGTAAACTAAAATACTTTGAGTTCAATTTCATATATGCATAATTAAGAGGTATTTTTTACACGGTCACATTACCATAGCTCCGCCTATGCTCAAGCACTTCAACTCTTCGGCCATTCCTATCCATCAAACTGGTATATATGTATTGAAATCGCGAATTGAGAGAATTGTAAATAAAAAAATTCCAATTGAAATTCGTTGCAATCCCATCATGAGATACAAACATATATAGGGAAAATAGAATGTCGCGCACAAGACATGAATTGTTTGACTGATTGCTTAACTATTTTTCTTGAGAGATAGTATGTTATTGGCATGATGAAGACTCAATTATTGATGAATTTGCTAAATTAAAAGACCGTCGTGTAATGAAAAAAATAGTTATTATATATTTTTCTTTAATGTATATAATTTTCTACTAAATGCGGCCCAGTGCTCTACTATATCCTGGATTCGCCGCTGCTCGCCTCCAAACCTTACCTCATTGGACCAAATCATCTTCAGATGCTCCCACAGAAAACCATGCACAAGCAGGCCTTCAGAAAAACTGGGCGTTCAACGACGAAACACATAGATCGAGTCTCTGTCTTCTGATCTCCCAACTGCGTCTTAGCCGATTCGCAGGGGAAGGCTACTGGCATCTCCGAAATGCCAAGATCAGCAGGGCGAAGCAAAGAGGTAGACGAGAGGCGAGAAGACAAGCCGATCCGAAGAATCAAAACCAGCCACCCTTTGCCACCACGAACAAAAGATATCTAGATCTGAAAAATCAGAACAAAATAGGAAAAACAATCATCTCCATAGGAGAGATTGAAGGAGAAAATACAAATGAGGACTTGAAAGAAGAAAATATGACAAACAGAAGGAAATAAAGCGATTGGAAGTGAAAAGGGAGCGGAGGGCTGCCACTGATCACCGGAAAGACGGCGGCAGCAGGCCCCAAAAGGAACTTGGAAAGAAGAGTTTAAAGAGAAGTCACATGGAAAGCGTGAAGAGAGAGGAACTGTGAGAAAGCGTTGATGGAGAGAAGAAAGTCGAAGGTGGTGTAGGCGACGGGGATCTATTGAGTGGCATGACGATTGCTAGGGTTTTTGTCCTCTCTCTCTCTCTAGCCTCCTAATTCACACAGAAGAGAAAATGGCACAGTCGATTGAGTTTGAAACACCGCCACACGCAAATAAGGCCCGTTAACTCGGTCGTTGGGGCCAACTGTCCGGGTTTGAACGAGTTTGACCGATTCCGGGCGGAAGCTTGATTGGATCACTGGAGCCATTTTCATGAACTGGTTCGGGTCGACGACAGGTTAACTCGTGGGTTGATAATCTTACTTTTGCCACACTTGATTGTTTTTGAAGAGCTTGAATATATAACACCATAGCCTTAATTGGATGGGTGTGTTTTAACACTCATGTCTATAAAAAAGTTGTGATATATATTCGCAAATAACTTACAAATTGCATGTGTGTTATTTGTGTGTCATTTTGATAAATTCAAGAGTATAATTATTTTTTTTGGATAAGAAAATTTCAGAAGGATGTCAGTTATGATTTTTCTCTATTATATTTGGTGACAAGTCTTTGAAATTAGATGATATTTTATGCGTCTCGACAAATTAAGAAGCTCTTATTATTTGTGGCAAAATTATGTCGTACTAATCCAATTTTCAATTGAATTTTTTGCTACTTTTTGTTGTTGTTGTGAATGATCTAAGCACGGGTGCACCACATCTGTGGGGAAGGAATAATGGTGATGTCTATGAATTGTCGAAGGATTTGGGAATGGTTCGGCTAGCATTGGTCACCACTCATATCCCTTCGTCTTCTTGGCATTATAGACTTTAGGGGTGGATATACGGTCCGGTTAAATTGGCCTGAATTGATCCGGTTCCGGTCTGGTCTTTTCGGGAATATAAGGACCATAAATTGTATTGGATACAGTCTGGTCTCGATCCGGTCCGGTTTTGATCCGGTCCGATCCCAATTCGGTCTTGATTTTAGATTGAGCATGTGGGAATTTGAGTGGCCTGAGGCCTCAAAGGGTGAGAAATTGGTTAAGTTTTGGGTGTTGGCTCTCTTATCCGGTTTTCGATCCGGTCACAAACGGTTTTTACCTCAAATCTGAACCCGAAGATGGGATTGGATTGTTTGCTATCTGGTCCCGGTCCAGTTTTGGGTAAAACCAAAAAACCCGAACCAAATAGCCAACCCTAATAGACTTGGTCATCCCTCGACTAAGTCATTGTCTCGTTTACTTCATACTCATTCTCTTCCAGTTTCTAAGGAGTAAAACTTTTCATGTGATTCGTGTCTTTGCAATAAGAGTCATAAACTACCTTTTCCAGTCTTCAGTTTGACAAGTAGCCGGTCTTTTGATCTTGGGTACCAGATGTTTGGGGTCTTTCCCTATTCCTTCAATCGATGGTTTTCATTGTTATATTATCTTTGCTGATCACTTCACTAGATACACTTCGGTTTATCCTCTTCCTAAAAAATCTGATGTTCTGCTGACTTTTCTCACTTTTCATTGTACGGTTGAGAATTATTTTTTTACTACCATTTAGCGCCTCTATTCTGATGGTGGTGGAGAGTTTTCCAAACTTCATTTTAATCTTGAATCTCATGGCATAAGTCACTTGCTCACCCCTCCATACACACCGGAACACAATGGTTTAGCAAGGCGAAAGCATCGTCATCTTGTTGAGACCATGATCATTCTTCTTCATCATGGCAGCCGATGTCACTCAATATTGGCAAGCTCTTGAGGCCCATCAATATTTGGTGTACACCAGACCATACATTGCCTTTGTCGTCAAAGAGTTATCACAATTTATGCACGCTCCTACCACCATCCACTGCAGTGTGTGAAGCGCATTTTTTGCTTTCTCCGTGAGACCATGCATTTTGGCCTATCTATTCGCTGTCAGTCTTATCTCTTGGCGTTCCAAAAAACAACACACGGTTGCCCGCTTTAGCACATAGGCATAGTATTGCACTATTGCCCAAGCCACTGCAAAACTAGAATGGGTGCAAAACTTATTTAGTGAACTACATCAACCCACTGCCACAACAGTTGTGATTTACTAAGATAATTTGGTAGCCACATACTTCAGTGCCTATCTCGTGTTTCACTCTCGTATGAACACTTAGCTCTTGACTACCACTTTGTACGCCAACTCGCTCAAGCCGGTCGACTCCGAGTTCAACATATCTCTACTATTGATCAGTTAGCTTATACCCTCACAAAGCCAATGCACAATCCTGATTTCTTCTTCTTCGGTTCAAGATTTGAGTTGTTGACACTACCTCCATCTTGCATGGGGCGTAATAGAGATAAATCATAATTGAAATCTTTTGAATTGGCTCAAATCATGGCATGTAATTACTCATAGTTATCTCTCCCTAATTGGCTCCCTAGATGGCTCTCTCTACGTATAATACATACGATTCAAAAGTATATTGCACAAAGTCTTATCAATCCCAACATGAGGGGGGCCACCAACCGGCCATCAACATATTGCAAAAATTAAAAAATGCGATCAATTGAGCAAAGACCATTCGGACACACTAGCTTGATCAAGCTTGGAAGATGCACCAAACAGGCAAACAATAGGTTTCAGCCATAACACCATGACCAGATTTCAGTTGATACTTCTTTCCGAAAAAGGGAACCTGAGTTTTCACACAAGAAAGGTAGCAACCCAACATAACAAATCGCAAACACTTATCTATATATGAAGGACAAGCAAGGAAAACATGCTTTTCATCTTCTATCTCAAATGTTGTTGGGTCATAGGGTTAGCCCATTTGACCTAAAAGCCTATCAAGCGAAGCCCACTAAACAGTCGAAAGGACAAAGCATAATTGGAAATCCAAAACCGACAATATGATCACCATTATCGAGGCGTGAAGACCGTCTGAGGCAGATGCCTCGGGGCGACGGGGCCTACTGACACAACATTAAATGTCATCAAAGACATAATTCTTCAGATTGCACGTCGAACCACCACCAAATCGACTATAAATACCCACTTTCAAGTACTTATTCTCTTACCAAATATTCTTTTCTTATTCTATCTCTAACTTGATCGTCATCGTCGAGAGCGCCACCTTACATAGCACAAAGCTGATGGCTAATAGCCAATAATAACTTATCACAAACAAAAATATTTGTCTCTATAAATAGTTAAGAAGTAAAAAAAAATACTTTGATTTTTAGAATTTACAAACACAAGTATTTGCTTCCATTTCCAACATTACATTAGATGCAGGAAAGAAGCAATCCTCCACTCAGAAACAGAAAGCCACCCCCTGAGAGTAGAGAGTGATGGTAAGGTAAAGTGAAGAACAAATTACTCATATTCAGTTCCATTTCAAGCTTCATGCACTAAGCTTCCTGTTTGTTTTACATAGGCCCAAAAGTTAGTGCAGGGAAGAAAGCACTCTTCCCCGCTACAAGAAAAAAGAAAAGAATATCAAAGCAGCTATTGACACTTTTACACTTCATATCCCACAACAACAACAACTCTGGCCCAGGATCAAGCTCAGCTTTTGAAGAAATTTACACAGCTTCTTACACTACACGTCTACACAACTTGCCTTCTTTCTTCTTCATCAGCTTTTATCCAAGCAGCCTGCACCAAAGAAACCAACAATCGCATAAAAAACTCAATAAACAAGAAGACCCTTCAACAAATACAGTGTTACAGAGAAAACTCACTCACCTTGTCCCGTTGAAGCTTGGAGAAATGTGGCCTGAGGGAGTTGCCAAAACTTAATCCACCCCATGCTTCTTCCAACTCCTTCTCCCTCACTTCTCTTCGAGACATGGAAGACGAGACTGCGACTCTTGCATGTTCTCCTGATTCCTTTTCGAAAGCGCTCATCTTCTCCTTCTCCAGTCTAGATTTATGTTTAACCAGAATTTGGTCCAGACTTCCTTCTTCACTTCTCTGCTGCAAATGCAAATTTCTGCCTCTTCTCTGCACCACCTTGACATCATCTTCCTTCAAACGTGATTCCATTTTCTCTCTCTCTAGCTTAGACACATGCTTTACCAAGACTTTCTCCAAACCTTCTTCTGCTGCCCCAATTCTGTCATCTTGTGCTTGCTGCAAATTTCTGCCTCTTCTCTGCACCACCTTGACATCATCTTCCTTCAAACGTGATTCCATTTTCTCTCTTTCTAGCTTAGACACATGCTTTACCAAGACTTTCTCCAACCCTTCTTCTGCTGCCCTAATTCTGCCAGCTTGTGCTTGCTGCTGCTTACTTTGGATTCTGTTGTATTCACTTCTCATATTCTTAGCCTGCATTGTGTTCTCCCGTTCCAATCTGCTCACAGGCTTGATCAATATCTTCTCTAAGCTGTCTTCTTGCAAGTTGGGAGAAGTCCACATCGTCTTGCCTTCAAATTCTGAATCTGACGAGATTGTTGCTACTTTGTTGAAGTCAACGTTCTCTTGCTCTGCCATTTCATTTATTCGACTCCTATTTTTTGCTTCTTGGACCTCTTTTTCAAGCCTGGATACATGCTTAACAAGAACCTCATCCAAGCTAGGCACGCCTGGGACACTACTTGCTGCTTTTGGCCTGTTAACAACCCACTTTGATAACTTTTCAGAGTCCTGTCTTGCTTCTTGATTTTCAATCTCTGGTTTTGTTGGACGCTTAGCCATTATGCTTGCTAGGTCAGGGATCACCTCACATGAAGAATCCCATTCATTCACCGGTTTCTTGCGGGCTGTTTTGTAATCGTAATCCTTAGCTGAATTCCTCTTCGCTTCTTGAATCTCTCTCTCAATCCTGGATGAGTGCTTGACAAGAATACTTCCTAGGTCAGGAACAATGTCGCATGCACTTGCTTTCTTATCTAACTGCACCTTTCCATTCTTGTCATCATTAGTCGACGCGTCTCTTGCTCCTTCCGCCTCTTTCTTCCTGTTATTCTTGGCTTGTTCAACTTCCTTCTCAAGTTTTGACATGTGCTTTACCAGAAACTTGTCTAGGCTGGGGAGTTCTGACCCGCCTTGCTTCTTTCCTGCATCTACTGAAGATAGCCTTCGAGGAGCACTGAGAGCTTCAGTTGAGATGCGATGATCACGCTGTAGCTTAGTGCTCTCGACTTCTGCCAATGCAGCACTTAAGCCACAAGTTGCAACTATCGTTGCAAGCGAAGACAGCTCATATTCTTTCAAGGATTTAAGCCTGTCAAGCATCATATTGACAAGCTCCACCGACTGTCTCTTCTTTTTCTTTTGACTCGACTTTGGAGAGGCAGACCTGGGTTCAAAGCCAGAATCTGATCCGGACTCTGAAGCGAGTTCTTTCAAGTCTTCTTGTTCTCCTTCATAAACACTACTCTCCGGATTCTGACTAATCTTCTGCAACAAATCTCTGAATTCATCTTGCTCGGAAGGCGGACAAGTGGCGGCAAGCCTGATAAATGCAACTTTAACGGCTGCAGCTACTTCTTTGTCTACATCAAATGCCGTCTCAAAAGATGCTTTGACAGTATGACCAGTAGTAGTAGATCCTGCCTTGTTTGTTGTTGTAGAGGGTGCAAATAACGAAGCATTTTGAGGGCAACTTGGCATATCATCCATGATCACTCCCACAGCTGTTGCTGCTTCAAAAGCTTCGGCAGCAGCCTTTTCTGTTTTTGCGAGTAGGTCTTCTGCTTCCTTGTTTTGAATCCTTCAAGGGTAAATGAACAGCATAAGTGTGTTTTCCAGATATAGAGGTTTCATAATTTTCTTAATGCAACCAGAGAGAGTCTTACCTAGCTGCCTGAAGTGTACGGCACCAAGATGCCTCGACCAATGCAGCCTTTTGAGCCTCCATGACCTTGCTTGCAGCCTCTCTTGCTGCCATTTTTTCTCGGAGCACTCTGCAATAGTGCGGATTGGAATCCTCAAGGGTCTCATCCAGAGTCTGTTTCATCCCATCAACTTCCTGAAACATTGGATATCATGCTTTTTTAACATCTACTTCGAACACAAGTTCTTGCTTCTGGGTTGACAGAAACCACAAGAACAAATGCATACCTGCAGCATTTGAATTTTCCTCTTCAAGTACGAGTCCACTTTCTTGCGAGGAAACCAGTTGAGTGGGCTAGTCTTACGGCGACTAGGCTTCTTAATCTGTGACGTGACTTTGTTTAGAGCAGTTGGTGATGACTGGCCACTCCCCCTCGGTGAATTTCTCTGCAAGTCCAGGAAGAAGAGATGATGAAAAGCAGCTTGGAAATAATTGACATCAGGTAATCAAATCTCGCTTATGGACTGACTGCTAACTGTGCACCACCAATATTCCTCAATTTTTCCAACGGGCAGCAGCCAGCAAGAGGAAGCTTTCCCCTTGGAACCTAACTAAAGTACAAAACCTCTGGACACATCCCCACGAGCCTAGATAATCAAAACCCTAAACAATCATCCATCCAAAGAGGGAAATTTCTCCTAACGCAAGTGAAACTTTGGGAATATGATCATTTTGCTTTGCTACAGAAAAACCTAGAATTCAATCAGACCTTTCTTGCACACTGTTCCGACGAAATCAGTCGTCAGGACTTGAGAACAGAAGAAAAAATTAAACAACACAGTAGACAGAGAGCAATCGGCGAGTTCTACAGTCCCGATTCATGAGTCCATCGGAGCATAATTGTTCACTAGCAGGCATACGCACCGCTGAAATCCACGAGGAGGGCTAAGGACCTTCCGCAAATTAACATCCGAATTCGATGAGAAAGCGCAATTAAATAGAATAACGAAAGAGAAAGATAAACGGAAACCCTAGCGATGGAAGCAAATCAAGCGGAAATTATCTCACAGAAACATGAGGGAAAGAAGAAGAGCAGGGGATACGTACCTTGCCGAACTTGGAACCCGAAGAAGTGAGATGCCCGCTAGAATCAGATCCACCTCCATCTGAACCAGGACTGCTCCTAGCGTCGCCACCGCCGTGCTTGGCCACTTTATCGAGGCAACCTAAGTCCAAGCATCCCAGATCCATTCTTCAGAGGGCGAACAGAACTCTGTCAGTAATCTTGAGATATCCCGAGACGAACGGGCGAAGTTAGATTGATCTCTTGATTGCAGAAACAAAAAGAAGGGATTCGATTTCGGAGAGAAAAGGAGGCGACGATGAGAGGATTGATTTCTTTGTCTGAGGGACGACGAAAGTTGGGGAGTGAGTATTCTTTGGTTTGAATGGAGAAGTAGCCGTTGGAGCAGGGGAGGGTTTTTGCTGGTGCCTTCTCTCTTTAACGGTCTTATTTTTTTCTCGCCGGATATTCCCTTGCCGGCAACGGAGTCAATGGTTATAGGATGGTAACTGGTGGTAGGCGGTGATTAAAGGTGTTAAATGATGGTTATAATATTCATATTATCAAGTATACAATATTCATAGACTATGAAATATCTATACCACTATGGTTCACTTTCATACTACCATAGCAAAATATTATTTATTACCAAACTTTACCACCATGATATAGACTGGTGATAACACCACATTTAGACAGGTTTTACCCCTCATTTTTTGATTGTTTAGTTTGGTGTTTATCATAATTCGACCTATTTTATGCTGGGTTGTGTTCCTTTGTCACATTTCAGGTCCTAGCACGTAAAGTGAAGTATAGGCGCAAGTTTCAAGTCAATCGGAGATCAATTGGCAATTCGGGGAAAGAAACTCGGGCATGACCTAAGGAAGAATGGATTTCTACCTCATTTTATGGACAAAGAATCATGTAAACTTGTCATGAAAAGAAAGAGGACGAGACTATGAGCGTTTGAGATCATAAGACTACTTATTCGGAGTCCGAACAAGGGAGAAACGAAGAATCAAATACAGTGGAACAAGAACTGAGAATGATACGAGTTGGAAGCCAAATTCCCCGCCAGGGTAAAATAACATAAGCAAATCCCCAGTTCGGACACCAAATTACCCGACTGGGGATTCCTGAGAAGACCCAGGCGAATTTCCCATGAGCAACTAAGTGCTACGCAGTGTTTCAGAAATCCACGGGTTGGAAGGTAAACTTAGGACTAGGAATCGATGCAGTTGCGGTTAACTGCACCAAAATTTGCGGTTAACCGCAACCGAAAAAGTAGGCATATACTCCAACCGCGAGCACACCACAAACGGTTTGTGGTTAGTCACTAATCACAAAGTTTAATCGTCAATCGCGGTTAACCACGTTATTAACAATTTTTATGGTTTGGGGACATTTTGGTCTATGGTTGTGTCACTGTTTCATGGTTAACCGCACTAACCGCGGTTAACCATAGGTAACCGCATCATTGATTGGTTGAAATGTGGTTACATATTGTTCGATTGCAAAACATGCAATATTGATAACCGTGGCCACAAAATACCCTATTTTTTCGGTTTGTGATTAACCTCTAACCGTAAAACCGCAACCGAATTTCCACCCCCTAGTTAAACTCCCCTATAGGGGAATTTGATGTCCAGGGAGGGGAATACGACCGGGGAATTTCCAAGTGCGGGTATAAATGCATTTTTGCGAGTTCTAAAGGAGAGAGCTGAGTTTTGGACACCAAACAACTAAGGGACGAACCTTAGAGTGAGAGAGTGTTCTTAGGGTGATATTGGATCAAAATTGGAGTATTTCTTCGCCTTGGAAGCTCGAGGAACAAGATTAGATATGAAAATTGAAGATTCAGAAACTTATATAGTATTCTCTCTTCCCTATGGAGTAACTTCCTTTCACTTAGGTTTTGAGGAACTCTAGATTTGTATGTTAGGAAGAGTTGTATGAACTTAAATTCATGACTGATTGACATTTTATATTTAGCTGAACTTTTATTCAGAATTGCTTGAATCTTGATCACATTCCTTCAGTTTCAGCTTTGACCTAGAACGATAGGTATTGCATACGATAATAGAGAAATATGAATTGGAAGTAGTGAGTTAATTGTGCGAGAGTCGATCGATCCACTGCTCTGTACTCGAGTAAAAACGCAGTAGAGGAAGTTTGAAACTTATTGCCTTGGTTAGGTTATTCCAGTGGAGGTTAGTCGCCCGTTGGGTAATCTATTCAAAAGGGTCTGAAACACTTTAGTCGTGTACATGTATATAAATACCATTGATCAAGTGAATATTGATGTTGTTATCCCCTAAAGGTACATGTATAATTTGATTCAAGTTTTGATATGTAGATCTCTAAAGTGTTTTTAAAAGTTAAAAAAATTAAATGTGCTTTAGTGGATACAAAAAAGAGTTGTCAATCATCATAGAATATATGATCTCTTATCCACTTTGTTGCAACCCATTTCTCCCCCTTAATCACCGGGCAACTTCCATGAAGAGACATCTGCAAGGAGGAAATTGTATATGATTAATATCAATAACTTATTTTTAAGTTCATGATAGATGACATCAAGAAAATCATAAAAAGTTAATTGAAACGGCATATTTTGGTCACACCAACTTCGTAAGCTTTTATGTCTATAATGAGTCCGCGAATCAGGTTAGAGATCAAATTTGAAGGCGTAGGTTGTGACCAAAGAAATTACCTTATCAATTGTTCCATTAGGAAAGACGGAGTAGAATAGAAGGCCATCACCTTGTCGAGGCTTCACTTTTAGACCAACGCATTGTTTGTAATCATAACCAGGAACTTTCAATCCATCCTACAGAGAGAAGATCTAAATTGTCAACAACGAACAAGCAATAATGGATAGTAAAATATTGAGGAGATTTTGGGGGTCGTCATAAATCGAAATTTCGGTACCTCATAAGGGAACATTGTCTCGCCACCCTCTTCCACATTTGTTAAATACAACAAAAATGAAGCTATCTGCAGTTCCACAGATTTTTAACATTAGATTATCATTTTTTGTAATGAACACAATTGTACTCAAAACCTGAACTAGCGCATCGCGTCTTCTTGAACTTTGCTCACAATTAGTGCTATTGTAACAAGAATAGTTTAATCTATAAGTAAGAAACACATCTTTTAGTCATTAAAAAACGATTTAAGTAGTATTGATTTTCACGGTGATCATCGACATCAACTAGCTAGCCAAATCCTATTCACACCGTAAATTAAATAAGTTACGAGAGGATACATCCGTAATTTACCCTTTGGCTTTGTTGTGGGCCATACTCTGCTGGGTTGAATGCATCGTAGTGGGAATCATACTTCTGCCCGATTTCATACCGCAACACGTTGAAGGCCTACAATACAACATCATCGTGGTACAAAATGTTCCAACTTGACAAAGTTTCAGTTACTGCAACAAGTAATAACAAAGGTAAGCAAACTAGAAGATACAATTTTTTTACCTCTCCATGAGACCTTGGAATCATGGTAGCTCTTGAAATTTTTTGTTCAATCAAGTCGAGCGTCCCACTGTCGTCTTCTGCTGCACTAACGAATGTGCCTGAACTGTTGTACCAATTACCCATTGGCTCGTCAAAAAACCAAAGTAAAAGAAAGTAAAAAAGAAGTGAATAAAGAAACTGAGAATATATATAAATGTCGAGAGAAAGAAAACCTTGTCCTGGTCCCCTGAGTACTCTCAGCGCTCTCGCCCTCCCTCAAGGCAAGCAGAGATGGCTTGAGCTGCGTCTTCGTCATTGCAATGATGGCATTGCATTGCTCTGGTGTTGCGAACTTGGGGAAATACAGGGCCCTCGGCTTCCAGCTCAAGATCTGCGCGCATATATATTACACAAAAGCTTCTGCATGCACTAGTTAAAAGTACGTAAATGTTGGTTACTATGTTCACCGCATGGTATCAGAGCTGTTGGTTCATAGCATGGAGCTGGTTTGATCAAGTGGTCGTGTGTTGAAATTTTCACGACATGGAAATACAAACAGTTGATTTTGAAGCACTAGCCTGGTCATGCCATGTGCTTAAATCAACGGCGGTTAATATTAGGGGTCGTGAAGATTTGAACACATGAGCTCAATAGCAAATGGTATTTAATATACCATATCAAGAACCAATCAGTCCCCAACAATTCAAGTTGTTGGGAGAACCGGAGAAGATTAATTAGGGATCATATACCACTATTATACAATATACACCCTCAAACTAAAGCAAACTCGTCAATTCTGATATCATGTCAAGAACCCATTAATCCCATTAATCTCAATTCTGATATCATGTCAAGAACCCATTAAACACCATCATATATCTCTTAGCTCTAACGTGTAATTAACTAACTTATAACCAGATCTATTGTCTCAAATCAAAGTTTGATTACGCTATATATGATGAGGAGAACCTGGAAAGGAATCGATTCGACAGAAGATTCGCCGGTCGCACCATGCGGCTGAGCATTATTACGACTGGTGTGATCTCCTCCCTCTGCCGCCTCAATGTCCCTCCTTAACCTCGGTCGCAGGTCAGATGTTGTCTGACAGGAAGATAGCATTATTGTGACTGCCAATTATTCGACGTTCATTGCAAACATATAACGAAATCAAAGTGATCGAACCTGTGAGAAGAAGATTCTTGAAAAATAGAAGCCACCAAGGAAGAAGAGAGCACAGAGAAGCAACGTCCCCCGTAACCCTAATTTATTCTTCGAGCGTTTTGTTTTGATTTTCATTTCCGACGTTGGTTTGGGATGTTTCTTTTTTCTTTCTTTTGGGTTGAAACTTGAAATACATTTATGGCTGTGGAGTGTGGAGACAAATGAAGGGAGGACACATATATGTTGAAGGTATCTTATTTATTGCATAAAAACATATGAAAACATAGTTTTTTATCGGCACAACTTTTACATTTGTGACATTGATAGTCAATTTTCTTTTAAATATACAAAATATCCAGAATTTTGGGTGTTATATGACACATCTAGTCGTTTCGTTACAAATTTTAAGGATGTCAGAAACTCCATCAGTTAGGTTAATTAGTTGCCCATGTGCCACCTTAGTCCATCTCCAAAGGACTACAGGCCCACCTGAAGATGGTAGGATATTGAATCATAGTGAGTGGATGGAGCTAGGGATCTGAGTAAATGTCTTCAATCACTTATATATATTATTTTCGTTCTAATACATGTATGAAAAATATAAGGGGACTCATATCTGAGCGAGTTCCTAAGTTATAATTAGTTAGGTTAATTAGTATTTTCTCTGTTTGTTAGAGTAGTTTAATCATCTACAAACCTGTATTGAGTAGATAATAAACTCAAGCTGAGTAATTGTACCATGAAGTGGCGAATTTAAATGCATTTGAGGATGATTCATTTCGATATTTGATGGGTAGTCATATATTTAAGAATGAGGTAAACAAATTTGGGTTCACTTAAGATGAATAATCACCAATTCGTGAATTAATAAGAATTGGTTGTATGATGCTATACGGCTATAGTACAATGTAGCAGTAGACGTTCTTTTTCTTTCTTATGAAGCAGGATGGTTTAGAGAGTAAATACATAGATAATGAATAGTACTGTGATCGAACAAGCTAGGATCATTTGAAGTATAGTGCATTACAAAAAGTATACTATCATTTAATTTTTTCATATATTTATTAGTGGTAGGATAGAATATAAAGAATTGAGGAATAATTAACTAAATGATCAAAGATGCTATTTGAACAAATACTCTAAACTCGACACGTACCTAAATGGTACTTTCATAGATGAGGACAGGGCACAATAACTATGCCACTCTTTACACAAAGAAAAGTTCAAAGAATTATTCTTCACAGACACCAAAATCTTCCCACTAAATATGCCGTACATCATCAGAATCATCTAACCGAAATTTGACCTACAGGACGCGGAGACTAGAAACTTTTATACATCCACACGGACTCGGCTATGCGAGTATTTCTTCCATAAATATGCTTTAGTTTTTTTTTACGCTAAAACTTCATGTTGTAGTTATACTCTTGTAAAATTCATTTATGTACAAACTAAAGTTATACTTTTATGCTGTACCATAACATAAAAGTCAAATTTTCTTATAGTACAACTTCAATTTGTACATTTACTGTTATAGTAAAATATCAAGTTGTACTTTAAAGTATCTTTGAAATATATGTAATAGATAAACACTTTTTATGAGGGTTAAACTTGGTCTGTTAAGTTACACGATTGAAATAACTCAATAATCTAAAAGAATATAACATTAATGTTGCACTTTGACAAGTTTCATAAACTTTTATATGTGATTCTATTAAAAAAAAAACCCTTCTATAACTACATATACGAATATGAGGAAGAAACAAAAAAAATTAAAATTTGAGAAAAAAAGTTTGAAATTAGTATAATAAATAAAGTGTAAGTTGTAACGAGTAAATAGTAAGCAACACAATGCACTGACTCGAACAACTCGCAACCCGATCCGTTCGCAACCCGTGGACTCGCAACCCGTCTGACTCGTAACTCGATAAACCCGTAACCCTACTAACCCACAATCCAATTGAACCCGAATCGGGCTGATTATCCACAACCCGATAAATCCATAACCTGATTGAACCCAATCCGAACCCGCCCGGACCCGCTTGATTGACACCTCTAACCGAAAAATGCAAATAAACTACACTAATTAATAATCCAATTCCCTTCTACGAACTTATGCACCAACGTTACTTTACACAATAGTTTCCCCTAAACCGGAGGCAAAACCTTAGGTCGGGAAAAGGTTCTGGCTTCCAACAATAGAACTATCCCTGGCTTCGATTTCAATCTATAGGTATAGCGTGTGGCTAGCTTTTCATCGCATCATAATAATAATAATAATCTTTTCATCACATCGTAAGCCTCCCCTTTGATCATCATGCATGTGGACATAAGTAACCGAACTTATTCTTCGAAACAACAAATTAACGATGGACCAAAACATCACACATAATAAAAAAGATTCCAGCAGGGGAAAACAGACCATTAAAAAGAAACCGAATGAAACGTAACATCAACGATCGTCACTACTACTACTATTTAAACTGCCGAGATTTCCCAGAAGAAACTATTATCATATCCTTGAACAACTTCCTCAGGTGTGATGCAAATCTTTAACGTTTTTGTTCCTGATTTGCTTTTCCTTAAAAAACCTGTCTTTTTATTAACCGTGTAGAAGTTGTTTCATGCAACGGCAAGCAGGGGAAAAAAGTGCGTGCGTGCGTGCATGGCAGCAATACTAATGGCGATGAGGCGTCATTTCAGTGTTACTAGCAGCAGGACGTTTGCGGGGAAGTGGAGGAGGAGGAGCGGCGGCGGGGTTGAGAAGGAGGAGGAATCGAGGGCGGCGGCGGCGGCGGCTTGGTGGGTGCCGGATCCTCGGACGGGGATATATTTCCCTCGAGGGCAGGAGTGGGTGATGGAGGGCGTGCCGGAGAACGCCGCCAGCCTGGGGCAGAGTTTTTGGCTGCGGAGCGTCGACGGAGTGGAAAAACCCGACCCGGATCATGCGGAACGCTAACCTCTCCGCCGCCACTTGATTTTAGTACTGTATAATTTCTGGTTAGCCAAGTGGGTTACAGTTAAATGTGCTGATAATAATTAAGGTATCCGAACGATCGAGTAGTGATAAAGCAGTTTCTACACATGAATCATCAGGCTGAATAAAGCTTCTATACATGATTTTAAGCAAAATCCAACCATTAAAGGGCTAAATGAGATTGTAGGTTAACCTCCAAACCAAATTGAGCATATCTTTGGCTAACAGATAAGTCATTCGGTAGCGGTTTTGATTGCCAATTTTAATATGCTCTCGGTCTCGGCTAACCGATATGGCAGGTATCACCCGCGACCTACTAGTAGCGTGGGGCGGGGTATGAATATCTACTTGTGTGACCCATCCTGCCTCGTCCCATTTTTGGTTCATTATATTTCAATTTCTTATAGTATTTGTTCATACTTCTCATATTTTAACTATTCTTCAACTAGCTAGAGTCGATGTCTCGACTAGATAGACTCAATTACCCATTCCACTATCACTATTTTTCATTCATAAGTTTCTTCCCCTTCGTTTTATAATAAAAAGTAAAAGTTTGCGTGTATTTTTTTTAAATAACATGTAAGAGTGGGTCGACCCGCCCCGTGAGCAGGTATTACCTACCCTGGCCCGCAATAACATGGGCCGGGGCATGAGTATTGAGGTACCCGCCTCGCCCCATTGCCATCACTGCCCCTGTTTGCTTGTCCTCGAGCAAACCTAACTCAAACTAGTATAACTTGATAGACCCTCGCATTGGTATGAAATCTTGATCGTCCGTAGCGGGACAACTAGCTATTTATGAGCTCAACCGGAGACAAGAAATTTCCCAACCCCCTTGATGTGAAGCACAAACTCAAGTCGGGACCCTGTCGACTAGTAGAGTCGGGACCCTGTTGACTAGTAGAGTCGGGATCTTGACTGGTGGAGTCGAGACACAAGGCATGTGTATGAAGGGACTCCCAAAAACATTTGAAATCAATAGACTCGATTGGTGGTGTTCATACTTCAAAGAGCTCAAACTTTAAAACCTCAACTTAACATTGTCACTTACGGCATCAAAACCACAACTTCGCAAAACAAGGGCTCTATCTCGTGGTTAGAGCGGAAATGCCATCCACTTCCCTTTCTAGCCATGTGGAAAAAAGAGGTGTAAAGTGAGGATTGAATGTAGTAAGAGAAGGTATGGATGCAAGAAGATCCTAAACTTACTTTACGCAAAGCATTTCCTAAAGCACACTCATATCCCTAGGCTCGATCTGTAGCGATCAACCTAAGTTAATGACGGGTTGTCACACATGTGAGATAAAAAAAAAGAGCCGAGGTATCTCGATTTTTTAGCAGAAGCAACGGTCTCTTCTCTATCAAGTTTCGTGAGAAGGAGAGGTGTAAGGGAGGATGGAGTAGCAGGTGAAGGTTCAGAAGCAATATCTTTGTCTCCCTTACGCATCCTCAAAGCTCAAACCGATTTCAGATAAATCGTTCCACGGGTTCATTAAGCACTATGTCCAGTTGCCAAAATACACGAGAGACTCTTTTTCACATTTAAAGCACATTATTGTTGTGAATGTAGGAAAATTACTTGTTAATCTTAACATGGTCTCACTCTTATAACTTCCTGCTCTGAACTCACTACCCAATTAATCCTAACAAATTATCACTGCTCAGAAGTTTCTTTCTTCGCTGCATGCGGTTTACTTTACGTCTCTGAATTATTGAGATGCACATTGGTCCAGCCCAACTTCAATTATTGGGACGAACGTGAGGTGGTGTATAGATTTATATAATTTATGGATTTAGTACAAGCTTATTTATTTGTTCTTTTTTTTTTTTAGCGTTCGGTCAATTTTCTCTCTATTTTTAGAAAAATAAAAATTCTGGCCACCCGACGAACCTGAAATCCTCAATTCTCTTATTGCCATCCACAATTATTGCTTACGCTTCCTTCCAACAGAGTCACGAAAACAGAGAAACAGTCCAAATAGTTGTGGCTGGCTGTACTCGATTTCTTTCTGCCACACCCAACCAATTTCCTCACCACTCAAAATTTTCTCGTGTGCTGTTTTGCTGTACTTCCGTCACTCATTGATGATATATCGACAATATGCATCGCGTCGCGTTGCGTTGCGTGGCGTGGTACTAAGTAATTAGCCTCTCTCTCTTCTCGATTTGATGCGAGCAGGAATGACGACAAATGAACTCCGACTCATAGATTTTCCTGCTTTGAAAATCGACGAGTTGGGGTACTGTGCTTAGATTTTATCAAAATTCCATCCGCATTTCCGCCCGACCCGCAACCAAACATAGAAGCGACTTAATTTTGTATCTAACATGAAAAATACGGATAATTTATGAATGTTATTAATTTTTATACAGATATGTTTGTTAGGAAATTTTTTGATCATATTGTGATTGAAATAATTTTAAGTTATGTTCGTGAAAGCATTAACACCCGTTTGGTTGGGCTGGGTTGGATTTGCTCTTCTTAAAATCATTGAGCATATTTTACCGAGTTTATTAACGAGATCGAGTTGGAATTTAGAAAGAATCCGACCCAACCACCTGACTCGTTGCCATTCCTACATGTGAGTCGTGTCGCGCGCATGCATTCATCCTGGCCTATAAATACACATCACCAAAAACCTTCACACCATCCGCATTCTAATCGAACTAAACCGACAATCCATACAAACATACCAAAAAAAATGGCGAAAACGTTTAGCTTGGCTTCAGACAAGCAATTCATCCACACCGCCACCAAAGACGAGAAGACCAGCGCGGGCAAAATCGTGGCCCTCTACGTCTCCGAGTACAAGGGCGACCAAAACGGTTTCGACATCACCCGAGCCGGCGACGACGGCTGGGTCGGCCAGTTGGCCCGGGTGAGCAACGACCCGGACCAGCTGCGCCAGGGCCTGGCCACCCACGAGGCGCTCGAGGTTAACGGCGTCACGATTCAGGGCGAGCGGCTGACGGAGCTGTTCAACGACTTGGCGGTGGAGAGGGAGGCGGACAGGGCGAAGAAGAGCTACCTGATGACCAACCGCCAGGGGCTCTGTCTGGTCAACGTCGGCGGGTCGACGGTGAAGAAGGTGAGGGTGAACGACTACTTCGGGTGGTCCAAGTACGGGGTCAAACCGGCGGCGGGGGAGTGGAAGAGGGTCGACATGGCCAATGGTCAGGAGACAGGTGGCGGAGATGACTGGTGGAAATGGCCGTGGCCGTGGCAGTGAGGTGGCGGCACGGGCAGAGAAGTGGTCAGTGTGGAAATTAAGTCGCCGGCCGGCCGGCCGGCAATGTTAGTTACGTTCTGGCGTGTACGTTTTATAATAATAATAATAAAACTGATGAGATGCACGTGGGAACGAGCACAACCACATTAGTTTATGTTATTGCTTGTAATTTTGTAATTTTTTTTCAATAAAAAGGACGATGGTTTTCTTTAAAGGTATAATATGTTCATCTACTATGTCGTCTTATAAAAAATGACATAAAATATGTATTTGTACTTAAGAAAAATGATCAAACATGTCCTTTTGTTAATATTTTCATCCAAAAACAGTCAACCACGGTTGTATATATGAATGGCTAAACATCGCTCTAGTTTTAAAGTTATCGCCCTAAATTAAAATATAAAATGACTAAACTAACCTTAATAACTAACAAAATAAAACACCCAATCTTCTTTCATCTTCTTACGGCTTGGCCCTAACCTGCACTCCGAAAACCATCCCATCGCCGCCGACTGCTCCAAACACCCATCCTCCATCCCGCCATCGTCGGACTGGTTTGTCAGTGGAGAAGAACAAGGCTAGAGAAAGCGATCGAGAATGGAAATTGTGAGGAGCGTGATTTATCATTCGTCCAGCCTTTGGTGAAGGAGTCGCACCGTGACCCTGGTGTACTCGCGCAATTTGGCTTGGCCCCTTCTCTCGCAATTTCTACTTCGATTCTCCTTTTCCAACACTTGTTTCTCTATGCTGTGCTTCTCAATCGATAGTTTGAGCGGTAATTCAGCAGAGCGGGCAGTGTGGCTTTTGATGGATTAATTGTTAGCCGGGATCCATGAAGCTCTAGTGGGAAAAACTCTGTGAATTTCGATTTGGTCGTTGCTTGTGGGTCAAATTTCCCAATTTTTAGCTGCTATGAATTCGGAGTTCTAAGGTGAAAGGCTCGTATATTTGCAGATGGTGGAGAAATTATATGGTGGTTGAATTTGATTCATCATGTTTTGCGCTTAGGTGCTTGGGAGAGGTTCAGGGCTTCCTATTAGAGGGTTTCTTCACTACTGAAGTGATTTTGATGGCAATATCAAACCTTGAATTAGTTGTATTCTTTATCTGACGATTACCAAAAACAACAGTAAGTTCCGCAAGAAATGATGAAATGTACAGTTTATCCGAGAACATGCTGGCTGAAAATGGCATAGGGAGTGTGTTGAGAGTAGAACAGCTGGTCACCGGAGGGCCAAAATATGCAGTAAAACTAGGGCGATAGTCGATAAAGAACCAAAATATTTTTCAAAATAAAAAGGATAAAGGGGTAATTTCCACTCTTAAATTAGGGCGATTACTGTAGAGCTAGGGCGATAATTAGCAATCCCCTTGTATATTGGTTTGTGCGACACAAATGTCTGAAATATCTCTGGTAATTTCACTTTAGAATTTTTTGGGTTCTTTTGTAGATCCAAGTTACCTCTAATAATTTCACTTTAACGAGACCTAGAAAAATAAAATGGGGGACAAAAACTAACATTTTCCCTCTCATTTGCCGATGTCGGGTCGTCGACATCTCGGTTCAACCATGGTTGACGATTTTTTTAATGGAAATTTTAACAGAATGACATGCGTTTGATAATTTTTCCAAAGTACAAGGGCATATTCGATGTAAAAAATAATAAAGGGTCATGTTTGATAAAAACTACATAGTAGAGGGGCATATTATACCTATAACCCTTTTCTCATCCTTCCCAAAAAGCAAGTTCTACGTTTTGGTTTTTTCCGCGCCCCTCGTGAAACATGTTTGAGACGGTGTTAAACTCATTTGTACTTTATTAAGAGTTGGAGAAACTATTAGGTAGTTTGTTAATTAAAACCCTATTCAACGTTAGAGTGACTAAATATGACTTATTTTAGTAATTCGAGTGATCAAAATTGATACTAATTTTTTCTATTGAGTAAACATAACACGATAAAGTAGTGTGTAGCGAACAAATCATCTCATATCCCCCATCAGCTGAGTCGGCCTAAATAAACGACACACTAACCGATAGAGCCGCGAGCCTATTCTACCATCATTTGATCCACATAAACTTTTAATATCAAGTACATCGGTCGAAAATACAACTCAAAAGCGAATTGGGTGGCCAGATCATGTGCTAAGAGCCAACTTCCCTCGCAATGGTTGCATATTCTTGATATGGTTGCACCTCTCTTGTAATGGTTGGATTTTGCTTCAAGAAATGGAAATTCAGTGTCCTTTGTAAAAAAGAAAAAAGTACATGTTCTGAATGCTACTACTGAAATATGCTCAGAACAATTTCAGACGATTCAAATGATTCAAGCACCACTCTTTAATTATTTGAACAATACTATAGGAGTAAATAAGAACACATCTAGGAGCTGAAGCAACCTTTCTGCAAATTTCTTACATATGGTACAGTCAGGAATTTTGGTACAGTAGTACAGGTACATACTTTCAGCCAAGACTTAGCAGACGAAGTCAATGGTGAGCCAGTAACGACAGTTACACAATCTAGTCTAAGTTATTTGTTTCGAGGTTCTTAAAACACCATGAAGAAATACATAATATACACCTCGCCGACGTGGCACGTCTTGATTGCATCCATCTCAAAGATCATGAAATAATATTGCAGCTACATCATCCTGAAATCGGTAGAAGGCTTCCACACTCCTTCGACTGTAACTTGCAAACGAGGTAGCAGTCATCTAGACTATATAACCTGAAAGAGATCTAGTAAGCATCTGCTAACTTTTGAGGTTTCTATCTCAAGCACATTGCATTCCCCAGAGCAAATCATGCACAGATATTGAAATCGGTTCTTTCATCTTACTCGGTTGTATAATGGATTATAATTGATAATTATTTAGTAGTAAGCATGCAGAGATGATTAGAAAACATGTTGAGAGTTGAGACCAAAAAACTAACAGAAGACCTATTCAGTGCATTGTCCATTCAGGCTGTATGAGTGAACTGTGCTGTGAAAATATGTTCAATTACCTTAGATCATACAGATTCTTCCTGCTCCAAGGAAGCACATCCCAGTATACAGCCACGTGCAAACCCACACATCGGCCGAGTTTCTTTCCACTTCAATGGCCTGACCTTGGGATCACAAACCCTAACCAGAGCCAATCGCACAATGTCAAACCTCCCAGCTCCTGCTTCTTCCCACTTGAGAACCTTTCCCCCCAACACATATAGTTCACCTCTCAACGAAGCAAACCCATAGGCAAAGGCTTCTAATGCACGTGCATGGTTATTTAGGATGACAGCAGGGACAGAACCGACATTGTACCACTCTCCATCTTCAGAGTCCCTCGTCTTAATGAGGCTCTCACCCCAATCGACAACTGTGTACACTTGCCCATCGCCCATAACCTGAACTGCAAATTGCATTGCTCGGGAGAAAGGCCAGACGTCCTCCACCGTCGCCCATGTTGTGTTTGAAGGATCAAAAACTTGAGATGTATTCACATCTGACAGGCCTACCTGGTCACTTAAAACATGGAACTTGCCTCGATATGACAAGCCTAAACAATCCACTTGTGGTATGTGCATAGCAGGCAATTCCTCCCATCTGCAGTATTAAAAAAGCCATGTCATGGACTCATGGTTAAGAAACTTCATGAGCATGCTTCCTGGAAGGTGCAAACAATAAGGAAGCAACACCAAAGAAACAATCTACTGAAATGAGAACTAAAGTAGTATCTTTGTGGGGAGCAATACACAAAATGTAAGGGAAAAGAACAAAACTGAACGAGAAGGGAGGCAAGTTACCAATCACTCGGTAAAGCATAAATCTTATGCAAATTCAAGGATCATAAACTAGCACAAGATGTGGTATTTGTCAGTTATTGAAATTACATAAAAGATGGTGGGAATGTTTCCCCAAAGCCCCAGTTAACTGATTGGAGACGAAATTATAATTCTCTTAAGAGTTTCAATATATACAAACAACAGAACACATTCATCAATGTTACAGTTCACTGTAGCAACAAGCATCAAAGAACACCCACAAGCTCGACTAAAAGAGAAAAAGAATTTCTTAAATAGTCTCTCCAACGGCAAAAATTATGTTGCTAACAAATAATGAGAGTGATAAATTAATCATATAATCCAACAGTCTTTGTCTCAATTATTTCAAAAGGACTGACAAGCAAGAAGGGTTGAACCTGCGATCTTAGTGTAGAAGATCAACAATGTAGTGTATTATAAGTTGCTTCGCAGCTGCTCATGACTAAGAGTTATAAGGTGGTATTTTCAATTGAAGCAAAACATATAAGCTGCTCAAAAGTTCGGATTTCAGATTGGAAACACAAACTGGAAGTTAGAATTAAATTGGAGCACGCAAAGCAAATAACAATTGATCACTATACTAGGTTTTGTGACTCTCTTAAGCTAATAAAAAGAACTACCATAACAAGTTGAAGAATATCGAACAAATGTTATAGGTTGTCCACAATTAACATACTTATCGGTTAGAGGATCATAAACCTCAGCAAGCGAAAGCCCTCTGGTGCAGCATAAGTTGCGACCCCCTGCTACATAAACCTTCCCAGAAACAACACTGCAAGCGAACTGTGAGCGTGGGGTCCGCATTCTTGCAACATTAGTCCACTGTTTCTTATATGGATCGAACTGAAGCACCTGATTAGTTACCGAAGGCTTTTGGCAACTTGACAAATCCTGTTGTGCATGAGTTCCCCCAATCACTAAGAGCCGGTTCTGAACACAAACACAAGAAAATCCAAAGTGCTGCCAATCTGCATACTCTCCTGAAATCTTAGGCAGAGGATGCCATCGGTCTGCATCAGGATCATAGGCAACCCACTGCCTTTGGGACTGCTCGGTGAGAACGAACAACCAATCACCACACCATCCTTCTTTAGCTTTATAGTGTGCATAGTCCGAGCTGCTAATCAAATGTTTCCATCTTTGTGAGACGCTTTCAAGAACCCCATGATATCCGTGGGACAACTTCGCCAGACAACGCATAGCCAAGTCATCTGGCAATCCCGGGATGACAGGTTGATATTCGTCTTTCCTATCATCGACAAAAGGAGAAAAGTCAAAATCTTGCATTTTCGCACTCTTTCGGCCAATGTGAAACAACCCAAAGGGTGTTGAGCTAGTGTTATGTGCAAATAAAAACATCAACCACACCCTGGACTTGGGGCTAACATTACTTAAAACATCGAGAACGATTGACAGTAGAATTCATTTGTGAACTAAGCTGGCCAACTTGAAGCACCCTCAAGGGGAATTGATGGAGTATTGATGGCGTACTTCAAGGTGAATCCCCTTTTTATCCAATTAGGAGCTATCAACATGCTCATCCATTTAATTGGGGAAAGTTGTGCTCCTCAGAAAATAAAACAAAGTTCGCATCCATTTCCTTGCTACTCAATTCCAATACAATTCCTACCGTGATATGTACTAATCAGTTTCTGTCGCAAATATTGGCTTGGGCATGCCTGGGGCAAGTTAAATGACGACCAACGCAGCCTCACAGATGAACTGATTGAGGAAATGAAAGGAAGGAAGGGCAGCTAACAAAGAACACTGCGCAGAAATTCATGAAGCGCCCACTGCATTTCTCATGAAATTCTTCAGCCTTTCAATCAAAAGGCGGGGAATTTATTGGTAGAATCTTACGGGCAAAGCTTTGTTCTTTTGCCCAAATTGGCAATAACAATATGTTTCGAATTGAAGAGGGAGGAAAGGAAATAAGAAAATGAAGAACTTACATGGAGAAATCCAGCACCGTAGAAATGGGTCAGTAGTGCAGGGAATAAGAATTAGCTGCAATGGCTACAAAGATTGGCCGCCTCAGCGATTGATCGTTGCCGGAGACTACTGCAGGATAACGAATTATGAAAAGCCAAGAGGGAAAGAAGCGACGACGACCTGAATGCGGAAACAAATTGATTGGCCTTAAAACATTTATCCCAAACGGCCAAACCCCAGGAAGGATGCGCAATTGCGCATAAAACAACTGCATTTAGGCTCTTAATTTTAATTTCTCTATTTTTAATTTATTAATAGTTGCCCTATTTCGAAATTTATTTGAGCACAATGTACCTTTTAACATATATTTTATTTTTTTTCAAATTATTTGAAGTATTGAATTTCATATGACACTAATTGTAACATCAAAATGATTTTTAAATTTTTTACATTATAATAACCTTTCGTCCGAAGATTGTATTCTTTTAATTATTACAACACTTGTGAATAATCATGACATGTCTTGTTCATGATGTAGTCACTTGGTTGATTGTTAAGATTAAAGATCGTTTGGTTATTGGATTTGGGTGATGGATTTGTAATTTAAATCCCAAGCATGATATATTTGTTACAAATTCTTTGTTTGCTTTAGCTAAATGAAAAAGAACGGAATCTGTGAGGTCCATGGATTTGGATCCAAATTTGGTCTCAAATCTGTAGGTCACTAGGTCCCATGAATTTGTAAATATTTAATAAACTGTCGGGTTTGAGGTATGAGTACAAATCTATGTTTAAGCATGGTCCATGAAACCGTACCGGAAAAGTGAGTGGTATGATATTTTATGATAAAATCGTGTTTAACCGTAGTTCAACCGTTAAACCGTTAAATACCGCCTACCGGTTTAGCCTCCGATACTGGTATTTCATGATTGAACCGCCGGTACGGTATGGTTTCATGGACCATGTGTTTAAGACTATTTTATCCTCATAAAATTTATTTTAATATGATTTTACATCTTTATTGTCTTTTCTTTGTAAGAGTAATTTGATTTAAGATCAACGAAATCACTTTCATTCTTAGCAATATGGCGAGAGAGTAATAGTATTTGATGTTAGTCGAATATTAAAATAAAAAAAAAACCCCCTTATTCTTCTTTAGTCCGATGATAAAGCAAAATAAGCAGCGAGAGTCACCATTTCCTAAATTTTCAAATTGACGATAGTCGAAATATGAATTTGCCAATGCAGTCAAAAGCGCGATTCTATCTAGAAGCGGAATAGGGTTAAAATCGTAAAGCGTAGAATCAAAGCGTAAAAGCGTAAGTTTTTGACGCATACTAAAAAAATAACTAAAAATGTATTAAGTAGGACATATGCTATGCAAAATATTAATGCACATAATTTAGATAAGTCAATAAATACATGCGATTCATGCCTAAAGTAGAACAACTTGTAGCATCTTAATAATAAGTTTGTAAACATAAATTTTAACAATAAGCCACTTTTCCCACTATGCTAATGAATTTGGGAAAAGCTTAACAGGTGAATTAGATTACTCTATCGAAGTTGAGAATGCATCCAAGTACCTTATATGTATCTTTTAATCTCAAATGTATCATTGTTGGTGATTTACTTTTAAAATATACTTTTCATAATTAATTTCATGAAAAGAATACTCATTTAGTGAACTAAAAGAGTAAAAATGTAAAGCGTTTTGGAGAACTAGAAGCGTAAAATCTAAAATCGTAAGCTTTTAAGCTTTAAAGCGCAATTTAGTCCGATTTTATACACTTACGTTTTTATATGGAAACGAAAGCGTTTTGGTGACCTAAAAGCGTAAAATCGTAAGTTTTTAAGTTTTAAAGCGCGATTTTGACTACATTGGAATTTGCTATTGGAATTTCTCGCCTTTTGAAGTCTTGTGGTTGATGATTTCATGAACTTGCTATAAATCATAAGAAAATTAAAACTATATATTGTGATTAGCTATTCATCTTAAAAAGCCTCATGGCTAGAATAACTATAAACTTTCTATAAAATGTCCATCTCCAAACACAAATTAACAATATAATCATTATATAACTCTGAACTAAAATCCGAAAGAAAGAAGGGTAGTAAGGTAACATACATTTCAAAGCTATAAATCCATACCGCCAAAATCCAATGATCAAATCAACTATACAAACAATACACTCTTTTCGACTCCATAATTCACTAAAAATCTCCAACAAATCCAGAAGTTTTCAAAGCCTAAATTGTCACCAAAACCCTTGCACCAAAAAGAACAAAGTGTATACTAGTCTGTCACCTTGATTTGCAGCGAATTCCAAACATGAGCAACCAAATAAAAGCAACCGGTAAAAGCCAGAACCGAGGCTAAAGTTAACTAACCATTAACATGAATGAAGATAAAAACTGTCTACGTAACAACCAAAGTATAAAAGAAAACAACGGTCAGATATCCAAATCCCGCACAAGAGCTAGGATTTATAGAGGCAAAAGAAATAAGTCTTCACCAACATATGGCTCTCCCCCAATTCAGCTTTCATCAATAGCTTTGACTATGTACACACTGTAACCGCATTCCAAACATATTTGTCATAGTTACCTCAATCTCACAGCCCAAAGAAAAAAATCACCATTGCAGCAGTTAGAGGGTCATTTGGTTATTCCCGAAAAAAGCACGAGCTGAGAGCAACCGAACATATCAAGACGACTGTGTTCTGTGGCTAATCTGCTGTGTAAAGAGAGTAAATATCCATGGGAGCATATGTGCAGCCGATGGCGTTCTTCTTCAATCTGCCATTTGGAAAAGACCTTCTGTGTCGATCAAGATATATCACGATCACAGTGATATCATCGTGAATGTGCCGCCTAACTCCCTTCCTTACATTCTTTATGTCATCGTATCTCAACTCTTTCTTCCTTGCTGCTTCATTGAGGGCAGCTCTCACCAGTCGCTTTGCAATTCCCTGCAATTCAACCCCAGCTCACACAGGTTAAGACAAACTACACTATAGGCTATAGCCACAAGATTTTCTTACAGCGGCAATGGAACACTCTGGTTGAAAGATAGGGGGAACTCACGGCTCTGGGATTATTTAACACAATCTCTACTGCTTCTTCGTCAGTCAATTGTTCCCAAAGACCGTCTGAAGCAAATATGAGGAATTGATCTTCTGGCATCAGCTTCCTTATTAGAACTGAAGGTTCTGCTGTCACCACCGCCCGTTTCAAGGGGACAGGATTGCCGAATTGCTGGAAGAAAGGATCTAGATTGACCTCAGGCTTCTTCAGATAAATGTCCCCGATAGATCTTGATACCTGTAAGGTAAGAACAAACACATGGAAAGTCAGAGCAATGTTCCTAATGCAGTAGTAAGTAAAGGCTCTACTAAACTGTGAGACGCTAAGCAAAACAGTCAAAAGTCACCATAGAAGAAGCAAGTGTTTCCTGATATGCAAGAAATAGGGGGGGAAACTAGCCTTCCTGTAATTAAACAAGGATTATTGTGTTCAGGGGGGCCGCCCATCATGTTCATCTCATGCATGGAAGTCAAAAAACTGCTTAACTTTGTAGCATGAGACGTTGGCCAGGACGAGGCGTTGCACCAGAATCCTGGAAGAGCAAGCATAGGATGACCACCCTTATTAGAACACATCTTTTAACTACAGAGAAAACCGAACCACCCAACATAAGTTCAAGATACACACGCACAACAGGCTTATCTTGGAAGTTCAGACTCGGTCAGAGGAAGGATGAAACATTACCATTTTACTCTAAATCACCTGAAACCTTAACTGCAGTACCCATAATAACAGCCAATTTTCACCAAAAACGAAATTCCAACAGACAGGTTTCTAGTGAAGCTAAAAAAGGGAGCCAAATTGTAGCAAGCACCTGAATTATGCCCTTTATCCTCCAACAACCACGAGCAAACATGACAATCTGGGAATCATCAGGATGAAGTGCCTCAACCTCTTTCCTAACTTCCTCAACTTTAACATTGTGGTCTGTTGATAGTCTTTCTGCAATCACCGATTTTCTCTTATCTTGATTCGCCTTTCTGCCAAGCACTGCCCTCGAGTCCCCGAGATTAGCTACGTATAACACCTCGTTGGATATGGCACCAACCAGACAGCAAGAACCTACAGAAGCAATTTGAGGCTTCACTTGGAGTGATCGCTTCACTAAATGCCAGAATTCCTCTTCAGTTGCATTGAATGCCTTCTTTATCACATCAACAGACAAACCCCCTTGCTCACTCGCGAATTCTTCAATGAACAGAAAACAAAAACAAAACAGATTAATTAGGGAAGGAACAATCAAATAGTCAAGCCTTCAAAGGAAGCTAAATAACCTGCTAGAAAAGCAGAATTCTAGATGCCCAACTGTATGCCATATCGTAAGGAATATGGATAAAGACATTCATTCTACTGTGGAAGTTCAGTAAACAATAAAAGACAACACACAAGAATCCAACTTGCACAAGAAGTAATGAGGAGAACGAAACCAGCAAACTAAATAGCTAATCCATGGTACGGTTTAAGAAGGCCGGGATAACATAAACAAACACAACACAATTGAGAGAACGGGAAGTAAAATAAGAATCAGAACGAGGAACTATCTCATCATGTCGCAATCTCAAAACCCTAAATGCAGGGGGAAGAAGTTTGGGGGGTTAAACTAGGGCTGGCGAGAGAATTTTACTGTGCATGAAAGGGAAGAGGTGCTTGTTGACAAATCTAGAAGCTTCCGGGCCACCATGTCCGTCGTAAATCCCAACATAAGTCACCGACGGAGACGTGAAAACCTGACTCTGATCCTCCATGTTCGAATTCGCCTGGACCGCCGCGATCGAATAGTCGCCCGAGGCGTGCGGCTTCAAATCCGAGTGCCACAACAGCCCATCGCTACCCCCGCCGCCGCGTCGGGCGAAGCATCTCTCAAACGGCCGGCAGCAAGAGCGCAGCATCATCGTATATCCCTCTGCGACCACCACTGTTTCTCACCCGCTCCGTTTCGTCGTTCTCTGATCGGCCTTCTTTTTTTTTTGTTCACGGCCACTCTGTTCCGACCTTCCCCTGTTTCGTCTGTTCGCTCGCTCCTCCGGCGCCGCCGCTGCTAATAATTCTGACGGAGAATTTAAGGATAAGGAGGCTGATGCTCGATTAGGTCTGGATTTCGACAGAGGAGGAAGAAAGGGGAATTAAAAGGGGAGAGAAAAGTTAGCGTGTGAGGAAAAGGAAGAAAGGAAAAGAAGAGGGAAAGCAATACAAATAAAGAGGGAAAAGAAAAAGATGCCGCGTGAGAAGAGAAGAGAAGCCAAGCGACTCGCGCCGCGGCCGGGTCGAACGTAAACGTGAATCCAGGGGCCAAAGCTGGCTTTCCCTTTCTCCGTTCTCACTTTACTTCCCGTTTATACTTAAACGCGTTACTTTACCTAATTAATCATATAAAATTAATAAAATTTTCCTGTTTTCTTTGGTGGCGGACTGCCGTAACCCGTAATAAACAGCAATTCGGTCAGTGGCGGACCCAGAAATTTTTTATAGGGGTGTCCTCTTTTAAAAAATAAATTAAATAAAAATAAAATTGTAAATATGAAAATACCTTACTCGTACAGGTTAAAAAAGTCCATGATGTGTTTTCATATTCGGAACTAATTGTAGAATACACTTGGTGTCTATAGTGTTTAAAAAAATTGTCTCTATATACACTACTAGACAATCATTCACAAACTTATCGCATATTCTATTTGTAAACTTGTTCTTGATGTAACCCAAAGCTGAAAGACTCTTTCAACACTTGTCGTACAATCATAAAATCAATACAAATTAAGGGTAGTTTGAAATTAGTTTAATTGTTAGGTTCTTAAAATAATTAGAGATAGGGAATACCATTTTACTATTACACATTGTTCAAAATCGAACAACAAATGAGTTTAGCTCAACGGAAATTGAGCTTATTAATAATAATAGTGTTATAGATTTAAATTATCCAACCTACCACTTATATTCCTATACACAAATGACAGTAGGATAATCATTTTTTCAAATTTAAGGGGTGTCTCTCACTATCAATTATATTTTTTTATCCATACGTAAATTACCATCGAGGGTTGGATAATCGTTTTCCCAAAATTTAGGGGTGTCCGGGGACACTCCTAAACCTCCCTGGGTCCGCCCCTGAATTCGGTGCATAGAGTAGAGGTGGGAAACGGTATTGTATGGTCCGGTCCACATCAGATTATATATACGGTTTGTGATTCAGATCGAGAGGTTAGAATACAGATTATGGATCAGATTACGTATGTGCGGTGTGGTTCGATATAAATATGGATCAAGCAGACCATGTTAAAAAAATATTCACTCATATCCCGTCCTAAACCGTCCTCGATATTTATAAAAATACAATTTTTAGTGACCAATATGTTGGGTGAAATAGAAAAATAAAATAGTTATCGTAGTTAAAATGAGAAAAAAATATATGAGGGGAGAAATGGACTTTTTCAATTTTCAAAATCTCTCTCCAGTCTTCACGGATCTAACCAGTATCCATTAAAAAAAAGCACACATCAAAAAGCCGTATTTTCCTATTCCTCTTTGTGCTACCACTTCTCTCCTGCTCTCGGATGATCCGGAAGGTTATTGCTGTCGATCACCATCGTGACGACGCCGAGATCATTTTGAACAACTAAGATGGTTGCTTATCTCTGAATAATTTTCCTTATATCATCAAGGTGAATGAATATTATTTATTGATTTGTCTTGGCTTTATGTGGCTCTTTGATAAGGAGATAACGCATAAGAGATCAATTAGATAAATAATCAACCAACTTTGTTCTCCAAATATAGAAATGGGAGGTTTAATTTAGTGTTATTTATTATGAGTTAGTAGGTAGTGTGTCGTGCTCTATTGTGATTTACTACGGTAGACCGCAGTTCATACCATTAGGGGTGGCTATACGGTCCGGTCCGGTTAAATTGGTCCAAATTGATCCGGTCCAGTCCGGTCTTTTTGAAAATATAAGGACCAAAGATTGGATTGGATACAGTCCGGTCTTGATCCGGTCCGGTTTTGATCCGGTCCGGTCCCAATTCGGTCTTGATTTTACATTGAGATTGTGGGATTTGAGTGGCCTAAGGCCTTAAAGGGTGAGGAGTTGGTTAAGTTTTGTACTAAGTGCAAAGGTTTGTGACCGTTTATGCAAATTACCCTTAAGTTTTGGGTGTTGAGCTCTCTTATCCGGTCTTTATCCGGTTTTTTACCTCAAATCTAAGCCCAAAGATTGGATTGGATTGTTTACTATCTGGTCCCGGTCCGAGTTATACGGTCCGGTTTCCGGTTTTTAATCCGGTCCCGGTCCAAATAGCCACCCCTACATACCATACACTAAAGAAGGGGACCATAAACCAGACCAAACCAAAACCTGAACCTGCCCGATTATACACATGCATATGGGCACGGTTTTGATTTTTTACTCGATTTTCATGTGAGTATAAGTATAGGTAAAACCCGAATTACTTCGGATAGGGTAACGAATATGCACTATCTGCCCACGACCATTGTCATCCCTAATTTTAACTACTGCTTCATACGATTAGTCTTTCAACCAGTATTTATTCGATACCTATTGAATCCGGTTATACGACCGACATACAAATGGTTTGGCAGGCTGTATGTAGGGGTGGGCATTCGATCGGTTTGGTTTTGACCGAACCGAAATTATGAATACCGAGTCCCCAAATTCTCCAAAATCTCAAACCGAATTCGAGTCGAATTATAATTCGGTTTGGTCGGTCTAAACCGAATTATAATTCGGTTCGGTTCATAATTTCATACAAAATCGAATTTGTGAGGTTACTTTTATTTTCTCCCTTTTAAATTATTTTTCACCCATAATATAAACAATAAATATGTATTTATATGCATCATTAATGATAATATCACATATTTCAGCACATAAAGTCATAAAACACTAACACAATTCTATAAAAAAAACACTAACACAATTCAAATATTTAAGTTTAAAAACCGTTACAAACATTCCACCATTTGGAACTTGCAATTATAGTAATTCGTTTACCGATCCGAAATATACATATTCTCTTCCGAATTCCTAACAGAATAGCATTATTTCGATTTCAGTGGGGTTTAATTTGGTTTCGGTTCGAGTTTATCGATCCGATGCCCACCCCTAGATGTAGGGGTGAGCAATGGGTGGTTTGGAACCGCCCACTATGCGGTGGGTGAAGGAGAAGATGACCCACACCCACCCAAGCATTGCATGTGTGTGGGTTGGGTGAATGCGGATGATGGGTGTTTGGGTGGATTCGGTGGGTTTACAACATATATTTCATATGATCACATAATTTCAATAGTTTTAAACTTAAAGTGCAAAAAAATTCAAACTAAATAACGCTTAATTCATAAATTAGGTGACTCATTTATTTTACAATATTGGTATTGATAATTATCCCCAAATTACAAAATATTCAACCAATAAAGCTTGTCTAAGCCTGCTAATAATCAAGGTTCAATAAGGCACTAGGCATAAGGCAAACATTTTGGTCTTGCCTACCGCCTGATTCGCCTACAATTCCAAATTGATGGAAGGAATGAAGGATGAATTTGTAACGGTTTGAGATGGTGTCATATTTTGGTAGAAATTTTTTTTTCTTCTTGTAATTTGTCTACTAGTTATGCTTAAGCACACCTCCAATTGTCTAAACTCACTTCACCTCACAATTTTTTAGTCGAAATTAGGAGGAATTTTTTTTTATGATTTTAAGGGTTTTATTTTTAGTAAACCTAATTGCGGTTGCGGCTGCGGGTGGTTTTGGGTGAATTTATGGGTTCAACCACCCAACACTCATCCCTAACGAGCTGGGACCCGGTCAATCGGAGTTAACAATATTGTTGACTAGTCATCTCTGTGTTCCCCACTCTGTCTACCTTCTTCTCCAAGAACTAGAACGCCCTACCACCGCCTGACACACAAATCCCAGGCCAGTAAAAAAACCCCACAACAAAACCGCCGCCGCCAACAACTACACGGCGGCGCTTCTCCCTCTTGGAGGTTCCTTCAAAATGAGCGGAACCTTCATGACCAAATCCAGCGTCCTCCGCGTCCTGCGCGGCCACACGATCACTTACATCACCGACCCAACCGTGGCGGCGGCGGCGGCGACCACAGCCCATGGCCTTTTGAGGAACCAAACGAAAAGTCTGCAGTCCAGAGCTCATTACCACCTGGGCTTCCCTTCTCATCTCTTCAGGAAATCCAGAGAGTGCGTCAATGACATCTCTCCTTCCCTCTTCTCTTCAGCCTTTTCTTCGTCCTCTTCTTCTACGTCTACTGCTCCGTTGGCGAGTAGGATCCCGTTTGTGTCGTGGTACCTGGACATGGTGAAATCCCGTCCTATATTGACCAAGAGCGTCACAGCCTCGTTTGTTTACGCTGCAGCTGACCTATCTTCCCAGGTAAATTCTTCGATTTCGAAACTTGGGTCTTTTCCAGTTTTGTGTATTTTGTCTTGTGGACGCAGGCATTTGTGGTATACTTAATCTCTGAAGGTGTCAAAATCTACCATCAATCTAGCCCTTGTTCTTCTGTTCCCAAATCTGCACTACTTTCGAATATTGGTTAATTAGGTTTGAGGGTAATTTTTCATTCTGTACTGGGAATGGAAACTGATGCACATGCCTTGTGTTTGTACTTCAAAACAGACATTGTCAAAGACGAGTTCTGAATCATATGACCTGGTGCGGACATCGCGCATGGCTGGATACGGCCTGCTAATTCTGGGGCCATCGCTTCATTTCTGGTTCAACTTCGTCTCGAGGATGTTCCCAAAGCGAGATGTCATGGCAACGTTGAAGAAAATGGCCATGGGACAGGCCATTTATGGACCCATTATGACTGTTGTGTTCTTCACCACGAATGCACGATTACAGGGTAAGTGTGGGGTATATATAACCCTTGCTTCTTGTTTTTCTTCTCTCTTTTGGGGTTGATACTATGTTGATTGATGCCGTAGGATTAAAAGCATTCGAATTTTCCATGTCAAATGACGGTTGTCTCAGGTGAGAGTGGTCCTGAGATAATGGCCCGCCTGAAGAGAGATGTAATCCCCACAATGATCAATGGTGCCATGTACTGGCCCTTGTGTGATTTTGTTACATTCAAGTTCGTCCCTGTCCATCTCCAGGTAAATTACATCCATTCCTGATTCCCTTTTGATTTCATCTCATGATCATTCAGCTGGTTTCAATGTTCTTCACTAAATGATGTATGCTGTTATTTTCTTTTGATTTGTGCAGCCATTGGTGAGCAATTCATTCTCCTACTTGTGGACTGTCTATATGACATACATGGCGAGTAAAGAAAAAGTGGCTGCGCCTGCTCCAGCGAGTTAGCAGCTCAAAGCTCGAGTGGTGTATTCTGCAGCTCTACCTTGGCTGATTCGAGTACCAGGAACCCTGATTCAACCGTGAAAAAGTCTGATTCATCCTATTCCTATGGCTTGCGTCGGGGTTGATCGAGCAGCAGATGCTGCCTTCGGTTGCATTGATTTGAGTTTCTGTTTAGAGGGTTTTTGTGCAACTCGATGAATAGATTAGCATGTCAGTGAAATAGGTCAATGTTTACTGTTGTTGAAGCAGGGACCTTATGTTCTTCCTACTTTGTAATGGAATTTGTCCACCCCAAATTTATGGAGGGTTCGCTTATGGAACTACGACCCATCCAATTTTCTTCAAGTATCTATAATCATCTATACTATGAAGAATCTATAGATTCCAATTCGCTGTGTAAAGAGAAATTTTAGATCCCTGCTTCCAGTGTTTCATATTATGTGGGGAGATTCATACTAAAGAACTGACAGCTGATTAACAAAATGCACTGTTTTATTTCATTGATAATGTTATTACATTGCTACAAGATGCTGATAAGAAAATCAGGACAGAAGCTAGTTGAGGAAGAATGTTCCTAAACTTCCCAACGATGTAGAAACTCCCAAAACTGTACTAGTATAACATGTTTTTCCTTCACTGGTCATCACTCATCAGTACTCGTAATATTATTAAAAACATGTCGCCTCTTATCAGCAAATACAGCAGGCTGGACTCATTCCCTTCAGCCAAACGCCCAAACCTCGCAAGAATTCCCGCACAAGTCAACAGCAAAACTCAGTAAACCAATCGACTGCTATAAATGAGTCCCCATCAATGTCATGCGTTGTATTCACTGATTTCCAATCAATCAGTAGTTATTTTGCCTAATGATGTTGCTAGAACTCATCAATCACCACTCCTCAGAAGCACGCAAGGTAACTTTCTCCAGCTGCACAGCCCAATCAGCTCCAAACATTTGGGAGTTTGACTCTGCCGATATCCGGAAGTCCAGCATTGACCCAGAACGAGATACCCCCTCTGAACCTCGCATCATGAAGCGGCTACTTCTTGCTGCGTCATGCAAGAAGCCGCCACTTCTAGACCTTGAGCAAGCTGCTAAACCCAGACAAGGCTCAACCAGCCTCTTCAAATATGCATCCAATGCATTATTCAGCAGGTTAACACAATCCAATGACACATGCATACCCTCTGCCTGCAACTTCTGCTGCAAACGGTTCCTTAATAATCTTGTATCAGGTAGCTCACCACTGTTCTGACACGTCCCGTGATGAAGGTTAGTAGTAGCCCTACCACATAGAGACAAGTTTGATAAAGCTTTACGACCCAAATTCATCGATATTCCAAAAGGAGCAGTAACAGGACATCTACTCTGAACACCGGGACTTCCAGCAAATTGTTCAACCTCTTCCCCTTCTTCCACTGATGCAACGTCCACAGGTGGCGGTCTACTACCAAGAGAAAGCAACTCTGTAGCACTTTGTTGTTGTTCCTGTGCCCTTGAAATCAACTCATCACTTAATAGCACATTCTGGGGCTTGCTGCTAAGTGGCCCAAGCGGACTAGGACGGTCCTTAAACTTGCGGTTAATAGGGGACCTGCCCTTTCGTGTGGATGGAGAAAATGCTGCTTCCCCATAGAGCGACTGGAGGCTACTTCTATCCAAAACTTTAGCATTTGGGGTAGTGGGTACTCTTTTTATACTTCCAAGTGGCGGAGGAACCTTTCCGAGGCTAGCATTCTTGAGAATCGATCTAATGAGCTGGTTGTGAAGGGGGATATTTTCTCTGCCGACGATCCTAGCACAAGATTTATCGAACTCCGATTTGGTGGTCTTCAAACTAATCAATCTTGTGAGCTGGTCAAAGTACTTGTCAGCTCTATGATGCCCAATCCTTTTAGTAAGTAGAGCCTTGATCTCCAAAGTATCAACCCTCTTGTAGCTTTGCTTGGATGACATTGCAGAAGAAGAGTCAAAACCACCTCAATTCTTGCTCTTCTACCAAGGAATAGCCACCATATCACAGAATCCAAAACATCCACAACCCTAGCTCCTCCAAAACTTACTCAATCTGCAAAGTAGCAAGCAATGAATCTCAACGAAGAGCAGATCATTAATTAACCAGATCCTAATGAAGAAAAAAGAACTCAAAAACCAAAGTTGCAGCTCGAAACACAACTCCTGGGGTTATCAGGAACTGAAAGATCCAAGTGGATAAGGAGCAATGAAAGGGAAACCATTCAAGGAAGTTCACGGTAACTCACGAATTCTGGGAAAAGAAGAAACAACATCATTGAAAATGTAGCAAAGTAAAGCAGAAAGTTCATTCGAACCTGAATTGTGCAGAATGCAAGTGAAAATTAGAGAGCCGAAGAGCTGAGTTCGAAGCTAGAAGCAGTTAAAGAGCTAAATTCAAAGATGGCAGAGAAGAGAGCGAGAGAGAGATGAGCTTTCGTACCAAATGGATAATTTGGGGGAATAGGGTTTCCGCTCTCCTTCCGACCTGCTTGCCGCTTTGTTTTTGTGTCTCCGGTGATCGACCGACGCGACGACTGGATGTCTTTGCCTGTGGTCGTTTGTCGGACCAGACCAGTCTACGGAGAAACTTGGACCAACTATTGAAAGGGCGCTGAGTTCGTCATATGGATTATGGGCCTTTCTTTGCTCTTGTAGCAATATAGGCCCAGTTCAAGTTGGTTAGGTACTACCGGTTTTCAGTTTTATTTATTTGTTTATTTATATAAATCAGCTGTTTTTTCCCATCCTGTTTGCTAAAAGTCATGTACTAGATTTTTTGGGTTTAGATTCGACCAATAATAAATGTACGGATATAGTAGATGATTGGCATACGAATCTCAAATAAAACCGAATGAATTTCAATAATCAATAAACGGTTAAGCAATTGAGTCGAATTATTATGTATGGGCTGACATTTTTTTTTTAAATAGTTAGGAGATAGAAGAAATCACCAAGCCTCAGACCCGATTGTAAAAAAGGAAGAGGATTTAAAAGAAAAGAAGTTGGATAACTCTAACAGTAAAAGGAATGAGTGAAACCTGATCTATGAAATCCTCGTCTTTTCGCAGTCGTCGACAGAAGTTATCTTTACTATCGTCGTTGAATCCTTGAATTCGTTGTTAGTCGCCATTTTTGTGGTCGAGGAAACTTGAGGCATCCCTCCTTGTTTTTTTGGTCGAAATTTAGGTTATAGAGGATTTTTTTTCTTCTTTTCATTTCAAGATAAATGAGTCATAAGAAAATTTATGGAAATACCTTTACTTTGTATATATGATACTACAAACTAGAATCTATGGAACTTGCATATCGCGATTCGGCCTCTCTGGCGGAGTGGCGGTGGCCGTAAACGAGCTAAATCCCAACTCGAGCCCTTCTTTTCTTCGACCCGAACAAATGTCGGACAATCCGCTGCAGCATCTCTCCCAGGCCTTCCAACGCTTCACGCGTTGCGTTCAAACTCAAGTTTCCAATCTGATGCCCCAACCTCAAAGCCACCCGCCTTTCTTTTCCGCTTCTTCTTCTTCGTCAGCATCTTCAACAAAAGTGCTTCCATCAAATGTAGATGTCGCCTTCGTCCAGCCCATGGATACGTTCAACAAGGTGATTTTTCATGTTCTATCTTACTCCTGACATGCTAGTGTTGATGTTACGGTCGAATCGCGTTCCGGGTACTCGTTAGAAGTAGTTTCTGAAATCCGGGTTCGGCCCTGATGGCACTCGTGAGTAATGCACAGCAACTGTTCGACGAAATTTCCCAGTGGGCGTTAGTAGTGTATACTGTATAGTGCTCAGTTTTATCGATTTTGCGGAACGGCACAAAATGTAGTTCGTTATTTCTCTTTTTATGTCTTGGTCGAAGGGAGATGACCAGCAGCAGTTGCAGTAGCGCCCAACTCATTTCCCGTCTGTGTTCACTTCTTCACCAGTTAGATAATTGATCCGGAACCAGGATTTTCAGGTCAAGTCTGGAATACAGGGTTCTCCATCTTTCAAGATGTTCTTTAAAGGCTTCGACTTTGGAATCGATCGGACAAAATATCTAGATTTTCGTACATGCAAAATGGGAATCGGGTTTCGGTTTCCAGAAGAAAACGGTTTTGAGTCTCATTCTGGATATCCATTTACTTTGCTGAACTCTTCCTTTTATGCATACCGTATGGAAGCTTTGGAAATGAGCCACCGTGATAGGACATATGCCGCTTTGGTAACTCCGTTGGCATAATTAGACAAGGATGTGCTAAGACAATTAAGTAAGCCTTAATTAGCACAGATGTTCTTGGTTTTGTGTGGTACGTAGAAAATGGAAACTGTAGAGACAGGAATCTCTAACTATATTATCATTATTTTCCTCAGAACAAAGCTCCCGTGACTAAAGAAGACCTTGGAAGAGCTACCTGGACTTTTCTTCATACACTTGCTGCTCAGGTATCTCGTACCTACATATTTGGCAACTTATTACTGACACCTGCTTACAGAGACATAGTTCTTCTTTGTGTTGCTACTTACTAGTCATTTTTACCAGTTGAAAATGGTTGCTCATTTCATAGTTTTGTTTTTAGTTTCATGGATTGTTGATGCTGTAATTTTGCTGTCATGTAGAATCAACGTAGTTTAAATGAAGTTCACTGTTAGTTGATCTTATAATGATTTTCTTTCACAGTATCCTGAAAAACCAACTCGACAACAAAAGAAGGATGTGAAAGAGCTGGTATGCTTTTCTTTCCCATCTGGATTTATATGTTTCTTCGAAGGAGTAGGACAAGTGTATTGATTGGACACTTAGTTCTGGATCCGCAACTTGTCAATGAATGTTAAACATAATACTGCAGTTGCCTTTCGATCCCCAATCAGATATTAAAAAAAAAATAGCGAAAGAGGCATTTTGCTGGTACCTTTTCTCAGATGTAGTAAGTGCAAAACCATAGAGGTACCTTCAATAGAGTAATACCTCCAAAATCTTGTATGCAGATGGCAATATTATCTCGGATGTACCCCTGCAAGGAATGTGCAGATCACTTCAAGGAAGTTCTGAGGTATATTTTTCGTCGTTTTTACAGAATTACTTCCTCTTAGTGTTGCCTTCAGCATTGGGGTTGGTAACATTTCTTCCTGTTCTTCTGTTAGAGTCATACTTCTTATTAAGTCAGAATCATGCTACAATTTCAGCTAGACCACCCACCCTTATTTGGATGTTCAAGGAAACTGAATGTCTCCTTCCTTTTACTTTGATTTTTGTTGCTTCCCTTTGTTTCTTAGTATCCAGAGGGTGAAAATAATGTGTTAGCAACTATGCTAACTAGAGTTTTTATTTTTATCATGGATGGCTGAAATATTTTTACCACCTTCAACAAACAGATCAAATCCTGTACTGGCTGGCTCTCAAGGTGACTTCTCCCGGTGGATGTGTCATGTACATAATGTTGTCAACAGAAGGTAAGCAGATCTTCTCAGTGGTGTTTTTTTGATTTACTGGGAGCCTTTTTAAACCCTCAGGAATAAATAGCTCTTCAGCAGATGAATGGAACATCATTGTTGTGATATCATGTGGTGTAGTAGCTAATGGTGTCACTTCATGGTGTTTATTTTGAACAACAGCCTTGGTAAGCCAGTTTTCGTTTGTGAGCGTGTTGATGCAAGGTGGGGCAAGCTTGACTGCGAGCAAAGGACGTGTGATCTTCACGGGACAACAACACATTTTGGAAGAGACTAATAGTGCACGATTCGTGCTATCATGTATTCATCAATCCATATTGCCTTGCATAACTTGAAACATATAGGTATAGCTTCGTAGTTGGTGATGGGTCGCTAGACTAGTCGGGATGCCATCATCAAATTGATACATATGTAAGTATTGCAGTACATCAGCTACAGCTAGCTTAAGCTACATGGGTCGTCAACTAGCCGATGATTTCTTCGGCAGTCATAATACTGCAGAATGATGAGGGAAACAAGTTTGTTGCCTGAGTAGAAAGATTATACCAAGGTTTATTATGTCCAGAAGAAATCAGGTACTTTGCTACTAGCCCCATGTAATCATTCGGCCACTGTGTTTGTAACTAGATCATAATGCACATCCAACACGATCTTCAGAACTGTAGCAGACAAAAGTAAAACCCTTGACACTCCACATATCAAAAGAAAGAGAAAACAACAGAAGACTTGGCAAGCAAGATGAAGATCAACTCGTCCCAGAAGAAGTTGTTCCCTCTGTGGCAGGAACGCCTCCCGGGATGAATGGAGGAGCCTCGCCGAACTTCAAGATGTAAGCTGTTTCATGCACAGGCCTCAGCTGCTCTATTGCTGTCGCATCTAGATACGCTTCACACGCGAAACACCACACCGATAGGTCGCTGCATTGTTCGACGGTGTAATCGTTAATGCAAACAGTAGAACAGACAGTAGTAGTAACAAAGGAAGCAGTAGCAGCAGCGAGAGTTAAAACCTATAGCTGAGAGCCACACAATGGTTGGTCTGCTGCTGGTAGTGTTGCAGCATGTGCTTGTTCACAAAACGGCTGCACAGGACTTCCTTACAGGACAGGCACAGCCAGTTCTCCTTTGGATGCTCGCACCTAGACAAGATTCCCACAGTGGAATTTCGGACGATGAAAGTGTTGATTCGATGGTTGAACGAACGCCATAGAAAGGGGAAGGGGCAATTAAGAAGGAAAAAAAAAACCTGTTGCAGAAAGAAGCGGGACTGGGTATGTGAGTGAGATCAGGGGAGAGTGAAGCAGCCAAGTGATTGCAGGACTTTCGAGCCTCCACCCAACCCGACTCGGCTCCGTAGTATAGCGCCTGATCATCTTCTTCCCCCTGAAAGATTGCAACCCAAAAACATAATTGAGGAAAAAAAAGAAGAAAAAGCGCTTTGATTCAGTGGTCTCTGCCCTAGATTTGGTCACTTACCGATTGGGCAAACGAAGAAGAAGATGAAGAAGGAACGGACGCAGGTATATCTCGACTCGCCATTTACAGGGAAGGCTCAGATTGGGAAATGCGAACTTTCCTTTCTTATTAATGGCGCCGGATCAGTCGCTGCACGCTGCTTTGGGATTCAGGCGCGGTTTGTAGAACGAGGGGGTCAGATTGGTACTCCTGTAGAATACAATTCTCAAGGTATTAATAGCGAGAAATATCTATCTATACTATATATAATGGCAATTCAAAAACAATCTCTTGCCACATAAGCACTTGGAGGATCTACAATTTGTCAAGTTGGACAATTTGTTAACAAATAAAAAATTAGTTATTAATGTATTTATGGAGCTACCTCTCTCTTCTTTAATATTTCCATTTCTTTTATCCATTTTTTTTTTCTTTAATAATAAGTTACATGTTGATAAACTTAACCAAACACACATTAATAATAATTTTTTCCAGTAAAAAAAATATGAAAAAAGAAAACAGAAAGTAACATATACCACATTTATTTAAATAAAAAATATATGATTAAACCTTATGAAGTAAAAATTTTACTCATTTTTACTAAAATTGAATGATAAGTTACATTTTGATGAAAAAATTAAACAAACATACACATAAACAATAATGTTTTTTTCGATTAAAAAAAATTTATATGAAAGAGAGAAAATAAAATTTTGGCATTCAATTACCTGTGAAAAATAAACTATATTACTTTATATTTTGTTGCAATGAAACACTCTCTTATTCGTAAATTATATGTCTATAAAATAAAATAAAATATTATTTAGCAAAATGTCAGAGTATAATCTTGATCAAGTAGTCATAGTTATTTATTTAAAAATGACTTATTATTCCTCAGATCATGTTCTACCTTAAACTTCTCAAATGAAGAGAAATCGCATGTGCAATAATTTTATAATGTGTCCTAAGTTCACATTAATAATATTTGTTCTATATCATGTTGATTGAGCAAGCTCTATTGAGGTCCTAAGTCGTACGTTAATAAATTTTCTTTCATACTTGGGGTTATCGTTAATGATTATAAATCAAAATTTTCAAAATGACTTAAGTATGATTGTTGACGAACTTTGACTTCATACCCTAGGATGAGACACAAGATTTCTTGAAAAATAACATAAATGAAGGTTAGATAATCTTTGTTGAGAATCTACGATAAACATCGCGTTTCATCATCTACTAACCTAGACATTTACCAATTAAAGGTTGGCAATTTTTAGTAAGATAGTCAATTGGGATAAAATATTTATCCGACAATCAAGTATCTTTATCCAATAATCTCAACTCTCAAAATTGGTTGCCAGTTCGTCCAAACTCGAGAAACACGAATTGATATATGTTGTATAGATAATAAGTTAATGCAAATAATCAAATGATATTGTTCAAATGATAAGACATTTTAAATGCACTTGAAATATGTGTGTACCGTAGACACTATTTATCAAATATTTATATATAAGTGATAAAATCTTTGAAAATTACACATTCAACGACCATGTTAAGACCTAAATCCTCGATAGTGTGTGTGAGTGTCTTAGATTGAGATTCTAAGCCAACATATAAACAATGACCACGGGTTGAAGTTTCATATAAACTTTAAAATTAACAATTGATACATATTGTATAATATATACTAAATTTAAGTGTCTTGATAAAAAAAAACTAACATCCAAAATGGAAATGAGTCGAGATTATAGAATTTAATCATCACGAGGGCTACTGTGTGTGTCAAGTTTCAATATGGATTAATAAATTGATCCAATAATGATGTATCTTTACTAAAAATTTCTCAGTAAAAAGTCATATTCTTTACAACATTGGTCGAGAGTTCGTCCAAAGTTGAGGATCATGAATGTGTATTGGATTTCCAAAGGACCTAAAATCGCAATCCCTTTCGTGGGCTAAATACCTTTGATCACAACCATAGGTGCCAAAGAAGAATGAAAAGAAGCCCAAAAAAATCAAAAAGAACATAACCTCCGAGGCCGGGTACCAAAAAGCTGCCACCCAGTATAATGTACCAACGCCTGAATTTGACGAAAGCGATACGATGAATAGAATAAGACCATATCGAGTTATGATCCTGTCATCCCTACCCTTTTATTCTCCATAAAGGGGGCGGCGGGAGAGGATAAGAAATAAATAGCAGGATCTTAGGATTTGCCTCTTTATATATTGCATATCAAACGATAGACAACCCTAACGGTTGTCTGACGTTATGGGGGTAAAAGCAGGATCTCAATCCCGAGGGTGGGGGATAGACAAGTAGCACTTTTAATATGAGTATTAGGCGAGATAAGATAGGTCTGGTGAAGTATCTGGATAAATTTGAGTCTACTATACACACACATATATACATATATATAATATCAAGGTATACTATCTTTTGATTTTACTCAATATACGATAGAAGACAGGTATGATAAAGTATTTGCATAAATTAGAGGTTAGAGAATTATGGATTGGAGTTCACCTATTAAAGGTTAGGGTATAGTATCATGCCCCCAAAAACTCCGGAGTTTAAATAATAAAACTCAATGGTCGTATGGTAGTGTGAACGCAAGGTTATGGATTGTCGTTAGTTTGAACTATTTATATATATATATATATATATATATACATGTGTGTGGTTCAGGTTGGCGTATGCTAAATATTAGTGTTTTGGTTGAAAAATTTTGACATAAGTTCTAAATGGGACGTGACAGCAACATAATTTATGATTAGAAAACGAAAGCATCAGAAGTGAGTGTGCTAAATATTGGAAATTTCCAATATAGACATACTACAAACTCTTTTATGAATCAAGAACACAAAATATTTAGAAGATCCAAATAATTTAAACATATAAATAAGTTAATTAATATAAATTATGAAATAAATCTCTCCGGCCAACGGGCCGGGTAAAAAGCTAGTTTCTATCTAGATGTTGAATTAAATCAAGAGGTTTGGATATCATACTATATCAAAATTTCTAATGGATAAATTTTAGGTTCTATTCTCCATACTCAAACCCGAAGTTCACCTTAATATAAAATATTAGGGTAAATACAATTTAATAGTCAAACCTTTCATTTTAAACAAAATAATAGTCAAACATTTTCGAAAATAATTTAATAAATAATAACCAAACTGTTAACTTTCCATCCAATCAACTATTAGTTGACTCTAACGTGGCAAAATATTAAGTGAGCTATAATTTTTTTGCTTAGGTGGCAATAAGTCAAACGTCGACCTTGCCACATGGATATACATTCTTTTTAAAAAATATTTTTTTTAGAAAATTAAAATCATAAAAAAAGGATGGCTTTCATCCGTTTCCTCTTTCTAGCCTAATCCCTTCCATCCCTATCCTCCGACCTCCGCGTAACCCAGCCCGTCTCCACCATCTCAATCTTCCAGCAGCATCAGATTCCCAGTTCGTATTGATCTCCACCATATGAATACGATTAACTTTCCCCTTAAACCAACAATTGAATATCACTTCCCTCACCCAAAACCTCCATCGCCTCCATTCCCAATTCCAAAGTCCATCTGAAACGACCATCCGCTGCCGAATCTCGCTTCCCTCAACCAAAAGCTCCACCGTCACTTCAGATCCCGAATTCCATCTGAAAATGATGAGTCAAATTCCATCCCGAATTCCGCATTTGAAACTACCTTCGTCCCTTTTCGATATCACCGTCACTTCAGATCTGAGTTTTAGATATCAGCGTCGTCTGATTAGTGATGAGAATGACTCTTGATTGGCGAAATATGGGTTGGATAGCGTCGATTGAGAGAGGGCGATGTCCCCTCTCACAGCCAATCTCCTCTAGAGGCAGCAATCGACAGCGGATCCGCCATTGCCAATGGGAAGAAGCTCTTGCTAGTTGCTGTTTCACTTTTCCTTCTTCTTCCTCTTAAACAGTGCCCTCTGCCTTTGAATCTGAAGCAGAACAAAAATCGGATGTGGGAGCCCCTGTAACGCCCCTTCCTCTCCCTCGCCGCAACTACTCTCCGTTCATCTACTTCGCTCTGGACAGAATCTGGAGTCACCGCCGCCGCTAGAGGCTTCTCCGCCACTGTCGGCCGAAGATTTCAGGCGAAGAACAAGTCGTTCAAGCAGAAGTTGGGGAATTCTGCATTCCCGGTGGAGTCTCGTTGGAGAAACCAAGCGGCGAACGGAAGAATAGGGATTTCCGTTTTTTCTTTTCAATATTATAATTATAATTTAAGTATTTATATCATTAGAATTTTATAATAATTCAACAAACATATAAAAGAAAAAATATATAGGCTGACGTGTGCACATATTTGCCACGTCAGAGTAAACTAACAGTTGATCGGATGGAAAGTTAACGGTTTGGATATTAAATTGTTTTCGAAAAGATTTTTCTATTATTTTGTTTAAAATGAAAGGTTTGGATATTAAATTGTACTTACCCAAAATATTAATTGACCGTTGAGATTGGTCGGAACTTAGAAAAGGAGATCTAACGGCCATATCACATGGAGCACGATATACTCTAGGAGTATACAGGTCATTACCGTAGAACGAGAATCGTTATATTCTACCTATATAAGGGAAAACAACTTAGACCATTTAAAAAATGGTGGACCAAAGTAGATCGCACAATTTGGTCTAAACCATAGACCATTAAAAATGATCGAGTCTGGTTCATGGCCTATATTATATGATACTTAGGGGTGTTAAAACATAGTGGTTATCGTGGTAACCATACTAACTGACAACATTCAGTTAATTTGGTTTGGTTAATATGGATAATTGATTTGGTTAATTTTTTTAACTTATTTGGTTTAGATGGTTTGGTTTGGTTTGGTGTGGTTTCAACACTGCTAACCAATGACACCAATTAACCAATCAATAATACACCTAATATAAAAAATTATTTATACTTTCATGAAACCAACCAAACCAAACTTTCGTGATTCCCTATTTTATTTTCACGTGCACAACAAAGACACGGTTAACTCGAATGATGATGATAATCATGGATGGCTAGTCTTATTATTATTGCTTATACATAATGATAGTTTATGATAGTAACAACATATAGTTATGTCTTATTCATTAACATGATTATTGTTTTAATGTAATGTAATGTAATTTGGTTAATCCAATTATCCGATTAACCAAACCAATTAAACTTTGATTTAGTTAATTTGGGTTTCGTGTTAATTTGGACGGTTTGGTTAAGACATTTTATTTCATGGTTGATGAAATTTAGGCTTAATTGGTTTGGTAATTACCACGGTAACCATTTGAACACCCCTAATGATACTAGCTTATAACCCGACCTGTTGATCGGAGTTAGCCAAGCCGAATATTGAATTATTGGTATGGACTCATGTATATTGTGAGGGGAATAAGTGACATGAATTTGTTTTGATGTTTAGGATAACTAAATAGCTAAATTTACCGTCAATTATTAATCGTTTAACCATTAGCTTTCGAGAACTGACCATATTATTTAATCGATTATCATCGATAGAACCACTAATCATTTCAGTTATCGGTTACACTAGACAATTGTTTAGCTAATCTATACAAAATTGAAATAAGGTATGGGCTTAATTGCAAGTTTGGTCACCCGAATTGCTTAAAAATTTCACGTTTGCCACCCGAATTGATTTATTCCATTTATAGTCACTCGAATTAGTTGAACAGTCCAAGTTCGGTCACTCTCCGTTAACCTCCGTTAGACTCCGTTAATGACGTCCGTTAAGTGATGACGTGGCTAACAGAAAGACACAGTCAGCACATTTAAACATTAAAAAAAGACGACCCGACCTGACCCGACCCGCCAACTCAGCCTTACCCACCAACTCAGCCTTACTTGCCCAACCCAAGAACCAACCCAGCCTAATTCACCCTAAACCCAGACCCGAGACCCAACCCCCCCTGAAAATTAAATCGCAGATGGATTAGGGCATTTCCCTTCCTCCATCTTCATCCTCTCATCCTCAAGCGCTGCCTCTCTCCAATTTCCTCGCTAAACCCCCGCCTCCCTCGATTGCACAGCCAGCAGCCAAACGCTGCCTATTAATCCTCTGCTTCCGGCCGCCGTCTGGAAACCGCGCCACTCTGCACTTGTCGGCCAGATGTCTTCTCAGTCGCTTCATTTCTTCACTCCATCCTCCACCGCCTGCCCGAACATTACCTTCCCAAAGCTTTCGCTTCCGTTTCCCAACCGCCGCTTCGCGTTCGCTTCCTCTCCTCGGACATTTTCGATCAGAGCCGTTTCGGCGTCTTCAGATCCCAATCAGGCACCGCCGCCAGTCGTTGTTGCCGACAATGGAGCGGGTAGCAGGGTTGTGGCGGTGTCGGCGACGGCGGATTCCAGCTCGGGTCTGGGTTTAGGGTGAATTATGCTGGGTTGGTTCTTGGGTTGGGCAAGTAAGGCTGAGTTGGCGGGTAAGGCTGAGTTGGCGGGTCAGGTCGTCTTTTTTTAATGTTTAAATGTGCTGACTGTGTCTTTCTGTTAGCCACGTCATCACTTAACGGACGTCATTAACGGAGTCTAACGGAGGTTAACGGAGAGTGACCGAACTTGGACTGTTCAACTAATTCGAGTGACTATAAATGGAATAAATCAATTCGGGTGGCAAACATGAAATTTTTAAGCAATTCGGGTGACCAAACTTGCAATTAAGCCATAAGGTATGTAGTGCTATAGTACATTGGGTTTTGCACTGTATCTGATCACTTTTTCCCTCTCTTCTTTGTTGCTCCTTCTCCAAACGTGACCTAGCTTCTCTTTTTCTCCAATACATCTTCTCTTTTGGTAGAAACTAGAAAGTCCAATCCGTCTCCTGAAGTTCCGCCATTCCAATCTTCGCCGAGAAGGAGCCAATTGGCGGCCGGGGTATCGCATCCTCCCCATCCCCCATGTCTCGACGAGACCGAGACCGAGATCGCGACCGCGACCGCGACCGCGGCAGGGAGCGTTACGAGCGCGATTTCAACACCAGACGATACCGCTCCGGCTTCGACAGGGAACCCAGGTACCCATATCTCTCCCTTCTGCGCAAAGTATGAATCATCTGGAAAACCCCTGGCTGATTTTCCCGGTTTTAATTGTTGCTTGAATAAGCTGGAATTGGAATGGCCGATTAGTTCGCAAGATTTTCTGGTTTATATAATCTGCTACTCCTGGGACGAACTAAGGCTGTGGGTCACTCCCGTGCAGTTGAAGTTGCTGTATGAGTGTGCTATGTTACTGATTCTTGTAATGGACCTTTGAGCGAACGGTGCGAGAGTAGGATTTAGGTAAACGGCTCCTCAAGTCGAGGTTACATAAACATTAACAAATGGATGGAGAAACCTGATTGTCTTAATCAGTGGGCATAAAACTGAAACTTGGGTTCTCTATTCCACTCTCAAGCTTTGCTCTTTCTAGTTTCAAAGAGTGTTAATAACTGCTTCATTTGGTATGGTGCTCTATTCTGTTGTTGAGTCTTGAAAGGAGGATGCCTTAACTTTTACTCCTATGCACCAAAAGGAATGGGATCAGCCAAAATGTATGTTGTGCCATTGAGGAGTAGTTACTATTTGTCATCCTTTCTCTATTTGTATATTTGGAGATCTAGAATCCGTTTATGCTTACATTAGTTTCAACTCTCCAGATTGGTTCCTCAGAGAATGCTGTTTGAATGACTAATCAGATAAATGAATGCCTAAAGTTAACTTTGAACTTAGCTAGCTCCAGACTTGGTTTTGAATACCATGCTGCATTCGCTTAAAAGCTCTCAGTAATTATATGGCGGTTACTCCTTAAGAACCTGGCAGTGCCCATAGTAAACTTCTATGAGGAGCCAGACACAGACACACAGTGGTTGATGGATTTGCTTGACATATTCTCGCCATTTTTCCCACACCTCATGTATTCATCTATTTACCTGAGGCTATTGGAAGCGTAGTTCACTTGGTTTCTTATATAGTAAAATCCATTTTTTTCCCCCGACCCTGTAACATATTGTAAATTTTATCTGAGTTGTCTACCGGTGAATGTGTCTTATAGTCCCAAGAGGTCTAGGAGGGACGAGAAGCTAGAGACAGAGAAAGTGTTTAGCGAACCTAATCCTGAAAGTGGAGATTTGACGCATCATTCTGAAAGCGGTCATGTCAAGACGCAAGATGCAGAAGTACCTCTTGTTTCTGAACCAGGCCCTGATTCTAAGTTGGAATCTGCTGATGATAAGAAAGAACTTGAAAAGAAACCCAATGAGCAGCATCATGCAGATGTTACCCCAAGTACCAATTCAAAGGAAGTGCCTCGATCTCGAACTTATTTCCAGGTTCACCTGAATGTCTCTTCTCTTGGTCTTCTGGATTCTATTGGAATTGGTTGATTTTACATGTTTTTTTGGTTATCCTAACCTTTTGCTGTATATCCAACCTGTCCATAAAGTTTATAAGTTACTTCCCTGTGAAAGTCTTGCCTGAATATATAGTATTTGACCAACTCTGCTGGTTGATTTTTATTACATATTGGCTGCAGAGTGTTTATTTAGCTGTTAGTTTGGTGCTACTTACTTCCATAAAGATATATAAGTTTCTCTCTCTGGAGAGTATTCCTTGGTATCCCATGATTGGGAGAGTAAGCATATGTTTTCTGTGTCTGTTTATTGCCTCAACTTGGCTGCATGCATGATATAAACACAGTGGACTCTGCTAATGAGAATTAAAGAATTGTATCAAGGCACAAATATCTGGTTTGTAAACTCTACTTGTAATAACGGTTGTTTCTCATTATGGTTATCCTTTTCGCCTGGGTATTTGAAGTTTGAGGAGTCATTATACTATGAAGCTAGCAGTAGATAGTTGCAAGTAATTGCTCAGGTTTGGGCCACAAAATTTTTCTCTGAGTGGCTTTGCAGCTCTAACTTGCCTTTTGAGCAGTTGATAAATAAAGTACCTTTTGAAAAATAATCAAACTCAATATGTCTTTGGGTTTTCCTCTGAGGATTCTGTGGTTCCAGAAGAGAGGTTCTTTAATTATCGTTTTATTTCAACTTATTAAAAAAAGTCTTCATCTAAAATCAAATGAGATTGGATCTTCCATGATCAGAGACTATTTGTTAATCATGTGGAGTTGAAGCAGGTCGTGTAAAATATTTCCCAGCGCTCCAAATTGGTCATTTGATTATTGTTATGCTAAATACTATTGTTATTATTCAGTGTAAACAGACATTTTTTGGGCTGATTCAGCAGGATTGTTGTTCGTCCCATGCCTTCCAAAGCTCCATCCATGTATATAACAATCTTAGGCTTGACTGTGGATGTCTTTTAAAAGCAGGATGACCGACGTAATGCTGGGCAAGCTGGCCGAGGCGTTGTTCGTAGATCCTCCACTGGTGAGTTTGCTCTAGCAATTTCTTTCTCCATTGGGTTAACTGATGATGTGTATCTTCTGAGAATAAACGCAGCTATATGGTCTGAATATAATGGAAATCAGAATGTTTAAATTTTGTTACACAGGTCTATGGTTAGTGGAAGATTGGCATTCTGTTTGAACTTCAAGTGCTTTTTTGGCGTACATACTGTATATTTTGGTCGTACACAGTATCAAAGAGGTTTTAAAAGAACATATATGTTGTGGAATTTTCCTTGAATCTGATGTCCGATTCTCGTATGTAACCTTGTTTCAGATTGTTACTACACTCCTCCAAGTAGTTGAATGTTAATGGATCATGACTTGGTTGCAGGATGATAGTATCCTGTTTTTGCTGCTTAAATTTTCAAGTAAGAATCTAATAAGTTCACGTTGTTGCTTTTTTTAGAGCAAGAACGGAGAGATCCGAAGGACGACAAAAATGAAAGGGACACAAACAGGTCAACAACTAATGATCGAGACCGGAAATCAGGAGGTGCCAAGGATGACGACAACACCTCCTTGCACCATGATCGTCTCTTTAAAATGGAGGATGAGGCACGCCCAGCTCATATGAGAAGACAACGACCTGCATTTAGGGAGAAGAAGACACCAGCTGGCTCCGACAATCTAGCAGTGGTTCCCATGCACTCAAGCCAGATAGATCGTCGTCCTGTGTCAGGTTTGGAGAAAAGGGACCGCCATGTAGTCGACAGATCAGAGAGGGCAGTAGCTGGAGGACATAGGAGGGGTCTCCCTCTGTCGAGAGACCGGCCTGGTGGTTTTAGAATCAACAATTACAACAAGGGAAGAGAGCAGTTCAATGCAAGACAAAGCAGCCATCCGAATCAGGGTAGTGGAACACGCGTGGAGAAATGGAAGCATGATCTTTTCGACGAGGCTGCTTCTAAAAGCCCTACCTCAAAGAACGACGACGAACATATTGCAAGAGTGGAAGAACTGTTAGCTTCATAGAACTGGAAAGGACTCTGGGAAAGTCAGTTCGCTGTTAGGATCTTGGTCTAGTTTGTTGTTCTGCGTTAATAAGTATATTGTTCTCACCTTCCAAAACATTTGTTATACTTTGCGACTGGTTTAGCTTTGGAACCCTTGATCTGATATCGGTTGTGGCCTTACATCTAATGTTTTGAGCGATTCTTCCAACTTGCGGCGCCTCTAAGTTCAACAACATTGCTTGTTGATTTCTCTGGCCAGACTCCAAGATAGTAAACTTGTGGCTAGTTGTTTGTATCAACGAGCTTATCGAGGGAGTCAATTTGCTTGGAAGCCATAGTGACCAATTGTTCGACAATATCTTCGAGCCTTGTCATTCGTCCCTCAAGTTGCTATGTTTTTTTTTTTATAATGGTGAATTTATTAGAAATAAACTGAAAGTCACGCCAGACAGCAAAGGCCAGCACAAGGTGTGCGCCTCAGAAGGAAGAACCAGAAAAAAAAAGTTGCCATAACAAATGTAGGATAAAATTCCGGCTAAATACAATTTAATATCCAAACCTTTCATTTTAAACAATATAATAGCCAAACCTTTTCGAAAACAATCTAATATCCAAATCGTCAACTTTTCGTTCGTTTGACCGTCAGTTGACACTTCAAAAAAGCTTTGTTTAGGTAAAATTGTCACAATACAACTTTGTTTCTTGTTTTGGCATTGCAGATGACTGAATATTTAGATATTCTATACCATCATGGTGGAGTCATGGACTTCTCCGGTTTGAAACTACGATATATTGGTGGTTTTTCAGAGAAGATATCGATGGATATTGATGAAGTGTCGTACTTCGAACTTTTTTGAAGTGTCAACTAACGGTCAAACAGACAGAAAGTTGACGATTTGGATATTAGATTGTTTTCGAAAAGTTTTGGCTATTATATTGTTTAAAATAAAAGATTTGGATATTAAATTGTATTTACCCTAAAATTCCCAATGTGAGAGGCAATAATTCATTGCACCATGGGAGATGATGTTTAATTGATTGTCTGTTCGCGATTGTAAGATGTTGTTTACTCTAATAAAATTCCCTATCAAATGGAATCTCACCTTAATAACGTGCTTAAAGGGCACAAATAAAACTTCCGTCACTTCATCCTGCATTGGCCCTCCTCATGTATCGAGGAAGAAGAGCTGAAACAAGCATTTATGCAAAAAATAAGAAGAAAAAAAATTGACAAAAAAATGTTCTTTCTCGATCATGGATAATAAGAAAACATTATCTAATTATACTAAATAGGATAAGTTGGAAAGCACGAAAAAAGAAGAGAGAACAAAGCTCATTGCTCAATCATGGGTTGTAAGAAAATATACACATTTTTATTTCTGAACTAAACTAATAAGTCCAAAGCTTTCCACCGACTTTGAGAAGATTATGAATTGGGAAGTTAGAGTATAGGCTGAAAATTAGCTATATAGTTTGGCTCATTCGAGCACCATTAGGCACAAATCCTTAGAAACAAAAAGTCCAAAAGGTTGGCTAAAGTAATAATATAATCTCTGTTCAAGTTGATTAAGAAACATTACAAGAGTAACTAACCCCAGTAGATTATTCATAAATTAGGTGCCAGTATTTAACGAAATAAACGGCGTCACCATATTTGGTCTTTCTGTGCATGCATGTGTATTTCCATTTCTTCTTAATTCGTTTCCACCTTTGAAGGTTACTTCAAATATTCAAAAAAAAAAAAAAAAAACAGATGAAGTTTGAATTTTAGGGATTCAAATTTTCTTAGCCAACATGTGCAAATGTATCTTACTTTGAAAGTAAATTTAAAGGGTATGACAATATCCTGAGGAAGAAGATGATATCTAAATTGCCAACTAATTAATGGATTGTCCTAAGCTTTACAATTTGAATTCTGACCCCTAACCCTAACTCACAAATCGTAACCCTAAATCCTAAACCTAAGAGCCTAAATCCTTCGGATCAAAGTAAATATTGAATGATTTTGTGCAAACTCCTGCATTTTTCCCCCATTGTATCACAAGTGACAATTGACATTGTTTTGATGTGAATCTCCTCCTCGGAATGACGATTATTAGGCGTGTGCATTAAATGAAAAAAAGTGGGTGCACTAAAAAAATGACAAATTTTTATATTTAAGAATTTCAAAAAAATTTGGCCATACCACTTTTCACCAAATTTGACCAGTTTTGACTATCGCTTCATGTTGGGGATATTTCATCGGTTTGTATCCGTACAGGTTGAACCCAATTGTACCGGCCGACATTCCACTGGATTAACAGCCATGATTGGTGATCATGAAAAATGGGTGAGACGCGCCGAAAAATTGTTCATATCTATCTACCCTACGAGTTTTATGATATATACCGACTTTGACCAATTTTGACTATCACTTCATACTGTGGATATTTCAGCGGTCTGTTCTATCAGGTTGAACTTGGTTGTACCGGCCGACATACTGCTGGTTTGACAAACATGATCGTGATCATGATGACTTCCCACGAGGTCATCCATCTACGTACCACTTCATATTGAGCACATTTAACTTCAAAGTTCTTAAAAAAAAAATCATCCATTTTTACCATAAAACGCAACTGGTCAGTTGAATTAAATTATTTTATATGAACAATAAATCTATCTCATGTTTTATCGATCTACGATTTGAGCAACTAGTTAAAATAATTTGAGAACAAAAATAGCCGGAACTCTTTTAAAAAAAACAGCGGAAACTAAGAAAATGGGTTCGGGTTGGGGGAATGGTTTTTTTTCCTTTTACGTTTCCATATTTAATTCTTAACCATAACTAAAAAAATTTAATTCTCAGCCAACTGTTCATATGAAACAAAGGGGCAAAAAAATCATTCTCATCTCATCCAACTGTAACCTATTTTCCTTTTTTTTCCAATTAAAATATAGATAACAAAAGCCATACATCGCATAAACCGTTTCTATAAGCTTCAGTTGCAAGCAACATTTTGTACGTGCATTTCTTCATGATTGGCAGCCGGAGGAAAGGGTCAACCTGTAGCCACACTACAGCTTGGAGTTTGCTTATTTTAACCATTGATTATTGATCACAACACCTGAATCTCTAGCAGGAGATCATCCTGATAACCACCTGCGCAACCCCCATAAAACGAAACATTAATGAAAGAGTGAGCCATGTACACCACTGTGTAAGAGGTCACGAAGAGCCAGAAGCTAGCTCTGCGAGAAAAAAGATCTTATATAGATATATCTAGATAAATGCCCCAAACTCCAACGACCGATAACAACCCTGATCGCTAAGATCGAGAGTAAAACCACATAACCGATGAATCATGCGTATCGAATAGTCGCAGCAATTTGAAAAAAAAAAAGTCGAAGAACCTAGCTAGCTAACTTATACGCAAATAACCTAGCTAGCTAGCTAGCTAACTTATATAAGTGCTACTTTAACTCTGAAGCTTTTATAGACCCGAAGGAAAAGGAAGAAGTGTGTTCGAGCTGAGTGATAATTTACCATACTTATTACACACAGTTTTGTTATATCTTACGAAAACAACGTCGTCATTAAACTCATAGCTGCAAATATGTCAATTATTGGATTCCAGTGGATACGTTTCTTGGAAAATCAGTTTCCCAGCATCATAAATGGCCACGTTCTTACCACAACCTAATCAAGAAGAAAGAAAGAAAGAAAGCGGAACGGACAAGATTCAACGATTTATTGCATATCATCCGGCGACATTCCTCACGGTTAGCCTCGGAAAAAAAGTAAAAAAATAATAATAATATGCACGTACGTAGATAAAAAAAAAAAATTTAAAGAATAAAGTCCGCCAGAAGTTCGGCGCGGTTTGGCTTCATGATTTGATTGCTACAGTCGTGTTATATAGCAATTACCATGCACACTTCGGCTCTATAAATTATGGTGGCTATATGGTCCGGTCCGGTTAAATTGGACCAAATTGATCCGGTCCCAGTCCGGTCTTTTTGGAAATATGAGGACTAAAGATTGGATTGGATACAGTCCGGTCTTGATCCGGTCGGTTCCAATTTGATCTTGATTTTAGGTGTTGGGGGTCTCTTATCCGGGTTTTTTTTTTACCTCAAATCTGACCCCGAATATAAGATTGGATTGTTTGCTATCTGGTCTCAAACCGGTCCGATCCGGACTATACGGTCCATTTCGGGTAAAACCAAGTCAGCCCTACTATAAATACCCATTTCCCCACCCGCTCTTCATCTTCACCATCCACCACAAACCGATTCAACTTCCTCCTTCCCCCTTCAATAACTACCAAAAACAACAATGGCGGCCTTCTTCCCACTCCTCTCCGTTCTGATCACATTCCTCACCACTTACTTAGCCACATCAGCTTCTTCTGCCGCCGCGGTGGCCGCGCAGTACGCCGTCACCAGCTACGGCGCCAGGCCCGACGGCAGGACCGACTCCACCAGGGCCTTCCTCGCCGCCTGGAACAAAGCCTGCAGCTCCCCCTCTCCGGCCACCATCTACGTCCCCACCGGAACGTTCTACCTCAAGAACGTCGCCTTCCAGGGCCCATGCAAGTCCACCTCCATCGCGTTCCTCGTCGACGGCACGCTCCTCGCCCCGTCCGATTACGGAGTAATCGGAACCGTCGGGAACTGGATCATGTTCCATGCCGTCGACGGTGTCACCATCTCCGGTGGCACCCTCGACGGCCAGGGCAAGGGCCTCTGGGCCTGTAAGGCCTCCGGAAAGTCCTGCCCTCAGGGCGCCACGGTACGTGACCGTGACAACAGTCTCGAACATATGCATCAAAAAAATTTTATCACTACAAGAAATAACACTTTTTTCGATTAATAAATTCAATTTTTTGGTAATTAATCTCAGGTAGATTTTTTCCCATATATATATAAAATTTGTGCACGTGTCTATGTGTGTAGAGCTTGGAATTCAGCAATTCGAAGAACATACAGATCAACGGCGTAGCTTCACTGAACAGCCAGCTCTTCCACATCGTGATCAACGGCTGCCAGAACGTGAAGGTGCAGGGCGTACGTGTGACGGCCGCAGGGGATAGCCCCAATACGGACGGGATCCACGTGCAGGAATCCAACGGCGTGACGATCCTCAACTCCCGGATCGGGACGGGCGACGACTGCATATCCATTGGGCCGGGAGCGACCAACCTGTGGATCGAGGGCGTCTCTTGTGGGCCGGGCCACGGGATCAGCATCGGGAGCCTGGGTAAAGAGTTCCACGAGCCCGGGGTCCAGAACGTGACCGTCAGGACCGTCACGTTCACGGGGACGGAGAACGGCGTCAGGATCAAGTCGTGGGGCAGGCCCAGCACCGGGTTCGCCAAGAACGTGCTGTTCCAGCACGCCGTCATGAATAACGTCCAGAACCCGATCGTGATCGACCAGAACTACTGCCCGGGGGAGAAGAACTGCCCCGGTCAGGATTCCGGGGTTAAAGTGAGCGACGTTACGTACCAGGATATTCACGGGTCGTCGCAGACGGAGGTCGCCGTTAAGTTCACGTGCAGTAAGGCGAGCCCTTGCACCGGGATCAGGATGGAGGATGTCAAGCTGAGCTACAAGAATAAGGTGGCCGGATCGTCGTGTCAGAACGCCGACGGGACGGCTTCCGGCGTCGTTCAGCCTAGTAGCTGCTTGTAGAGAGTGGAGGCTGCAGGCGAGCATGGACACATTGGGAAAAAGTTGGCGGCGGCTGAAGATTATTCATATATTTATATACATATATAGGTTTATACTCTATACAACAAAATATATATACTTGCAAAGGAGAAGGATAATTTTCCATATATAGTTTATACTTTACACAAAGTTATGGTTTGTAATAATATACGTATTAATTATTGATTATATGATAAATTGAAACTATGAGTGGTAATTCGGATGTTATAGATGTTTAACTGGTACCTTTATTTATTAATTCATTCATTATTATTTTTTTATTCTCCAAGAAGTTATGACTAGCTCATAATTCTATAAGATTAACGGTATTATACATGAGAATATTGAATAACGATTTATCCTAATTTACAAGGTAGATGGTCTAAACTAAATTTGTACTCGAAACCATAATAGTGTAGCAAAAGTATAGCTCAATGTATACTGCATCTATAGTATTTCAAACATTTCACATACTGAAATAATGTAGGGTTTATATAGAGTACAATGACAGACTTGTATAATAACCTATTAGGATACAATCCAAGTACCACATCAAAAATACAATGGAAGGAACCCTTGTATATAAGTGTCCATCTAGCCCAATTAGTACCAGGCATTTTGGGGAGGATACCCAAGAGTAAAATAGTGCGGGCTTGGCCCAAAGCGGACAATATCGTACTAATTGAGCGGCCCGTTTTGACAAGTGGAATCGGAGCCTGGTTCGGTTCGGGGTGGTGGACGTTAGTTCGGTGGGACCCTAGCTCATTCGGTGACCTCGGGATTTATGAAAATTAACTAAATTCTATGACTCTGATAAGAAATACAACTATTAGTGTCTGTCCAAATACATATTGCAAGGTTGTTTGGTAGTTCCAATGTGGTACTTCGATTGTATCCTAACATAACCCTAAGTCCTAACACTAATATGAAAATTAACTAAATTCTATGACTCTGATAAGAAATACAACTATTAGTGTCTGCCCAAATACATATTGCAAGGTAAAATAAATGTCCAAATACTGTGTAATTTTTCATCAATATTTTTACGACTTATATGAAAAAAAATGGTACTAAATCTTAAAATATATTAAGTTTATGTATCGAACGGTAATTTGCAAATGAAACCCATCAATGAGACATTGATAACAGAGCTGTTATAGGAGTAGTTACTGTAATAATACTCTTATAATTAGTGTTAGTAGAGTGCTAAGAGCTAGTAGCACCCTATCCAATCTCTAGAACAAGTCATAATAACCCCAATTAATTAATTGGTTACTCTCTCTTTTGATCTTATTTTCCCCAAAATATATGGATGCCTTGGGATGATGCTGTGATCATGGATTAAATAAACGGTAAACAAGGCTTATTTTCAGGGTCATGTGGGCTAGATTCGTACGTAACTTCCTCTAATTCTGTTACCTGTTGTGGGGAATATTTTGTTTCATTTCTTTACTAACAGTATAGCCAAGCCATGAGAATTGATGTATGTACGGGCTCGTGTATAACTTATATATTATGTAGTGAATAATATATAATATATGGTAACGTTTATTTGTATACCATACAAAAGTCGGTGTATGTCGTACACCAGACAATACACACAGTAAGCATTTATGTCGACGATTAGTATAATTGCGGGTTCTGTTTTTTTGCACTCTAGACATTATGCTATACTCTAACTTTTGATGGATACACTTTAGACTTCAATTTGGTATTTTTTTTAATTTTTTTTACAATTGTAATATGTGACTAGAAAAATCAAATTGAAAAAATCCATAAAATAATAAAATACTAACAAGTTGGAAATGAATTGTAACACCTTAGGCGAATCCCATATCGACAAAGTAAGAGAGAGATCCATGGTTCATAAGTAAGAAATGGACCTTAACTGACCAGACGCATTTTGAGGTGAAATGGAGATTGAGTTCTTGTGAGAACTCTAAAGTTAAACATGCTCAGTGTAGAGTACAACAATGATGGTTGACCTTATGAGAAGTCACCTTGAATTGCACCTCAAGTCAAAAACCTTGAGAGGATCGAGACCCAAAACGGACAATATCTTCGTCGAAAAAAGGTTCGGATTGTTACATGAATACCCAAAAAATAAATATGAATTACATGTATTTCAAATGCAAACATCTAAAATTCATGTATTTCAAATGCACTTATCGAAACCCACTCTTATATATTTATATGTTACGCAAAATCCCAACAAATTCTTTATACAAAGATATAATTCTCATAATTAGGGATGCAACATAATATATTTTTGCTGCTTGGGAACATTTTGGTACATAGGGAGACTTCTATTCTATGCTTACATTCACCATGTTGTTGCACATGGGGCTTTTAGGCTCTTACGGTGGGTGAAAGTTGACTTTCTTCGAAATCGACCACACTAGTTTGCATTTAGCTATTTACTGTGGAAGAAATTAGATGAGAAATAATGCTGTTCTAATTTCTAAAACAAAAAAAGTCGCTCGAAGGCGCCTCAATCTTGCCCAAAAGTAATGCAACCAAGCTTGACCAAAAAAAAGCTTATTGATTAACGTCAAGTCAACAAATAATTGTGCTCGATCTCATTCATCGGGGAGAAAGAAGAAATAATTATGTTATCTAAGTACAGTCTTAATTCAATGACGAAAACTAGATCTAGTAATGCACATGGGATCGTGCTATATATCTCAAATATATCGGCCCATCTATTACATGCATCATAAGTACGTAATACTAATTAACTTAGGTAATGAAATGAAATTCCTAATGGTCATATCACGATATTACCACGTGTTTAGAAAAGTTAATATTTTCTTTGCTCAAAATGTTAGGGGTATTCAAATGGTTACCGTGATAATTACCAAATCGGATAAGGCTAAATTCTATTAACAATGCAATACAATATCATAACCAAATCGTCCAAACTAATACAACAACCAAATTAACGAAATAAAATTTTAATCAGTTTGGTTAATTGGTTAACCAAATTAACCAATATAGCATCACATTTATCATTAAGTGAGAAAAATTTTCCGGTGAATTCAACAATTTGCAATTTATATAATGAATAAAACATAACAAGCAACACAAAGTTATAGTTAACCCTTAACATAAATATATGCAACTAATGCAATTATTTTACGGTCAATAGAATTTTTCACGTAACAAAAATATATGCCGATGGTATGAGGTTAATGAATTATTTTGTTTGTATGAAGTGACTTAATTAGTCTCCAAACAATTCTCATAGGCTGCTGAAAATGCCTCTCTTTCAAGTCTTCATCCAACACAATGTATGACCTTTTATCTAAATTAACCTTCCATACAGGGGCGGACCCATGCATTAGCAAGGTGTGACACACCTTGGCTCAGAAATTTTGCAAGAGATCCATGTTTCGTTGGTACAAAAAACTTGAATTCGGGATTTCCGACATACCTCACATAATTGCAATCGACACAACTTTAATACACTACATTGATTTTGATGTCATATGGGTACCAAAATACATAAATATATATTATTTATTTAATTTTTTAGTGAAAATGTCGAGAGGAAAAAATCCACAACCCGTGGCACAGAGTTCTCTATCCTCCGCTCAACTCTCTAATTGCGATCACTGCCGGTGGAACCTCATCCTCTTTCAAACTTTTACGTTAACGCCTGTCGCCAGCCTTTCTACTTTCCATTTTATGCTATGGAGTTAATCAAGAGCAAACTTTAAAATCAATTTTATGAATGAATTTTTAGTTTTGTACGTCGAAAAAAGTTTGATCACACTATAAGCGACAAATATATTTTAAAAACCTTTTTGAATATGAAAAGTTGGCGTGTGTCACTGTGAAAAATAATAAATTGCGAACTTAACAAATTAAAAATTTATTTTATTTTTTATTAATACATTTAATTTATTAAATATTTTTTATCGGCCGACACATCTATCAAAGAATTCTGAGTCCGCCACTGCTTCCATATGTTGTGGTATACAGTCTACAAATATAAATATACGGTATAGAAACAATATTGAGCTTTATTGTTTATGAGCCTAAAAGGGAGGAACCTTTGACTCTTGAGTGGTTATGCAAAGTATTAAGTATGTGTATATAATATACTAGCTATACGGCTAATTACTTAACTGGTTAATTTTATTTGATTAGTTAGGAGTGTGTGAAACCAAACAAACCACCTAAACAAAACAAGCTAAAATATTTAACCAAACCAAAACAGTTATCCAAATTAACCAAACCAAATTATCCAAATACTACAAGTTAAATGGTTACCATAGTAACCAGTCAACAAAATGTTTACCATGTGTTCTTTCTACGCAAATTATTTTTTAAATTCCGAGTTAAAACAAATTCTATAGGATCCAATTAAGAAAAATAAGGAATCAGAAAAAGTAGTTGTTGACTGGTCGACCGTCTCTCCCATATATTTCTTCTACTTTCCCGTGTTAGACCGTCATAAAAGGAGAAAATCGGCCTGAAAAATTCATCTGAGCCACTAAATTACATTTAGGGATGGCAACAAAACCCGAACCCACGGGTACCCACCCGACCCAATCCGGTCAACGCGGGTAAAACCCGTGTTGACGGATTTTGGACCGGGATCGAGTTTAAACCCGCTACACTATTCACCGAGTTTGGTTGAGTTTGGCTTTAGGTAAACCCGCCCCATGGGTACCCGCCCACACACATATAATTACTTTCCCAGTATATTTAATATTCTAAATAATATATCTTCCTTAAAGAATTGATATTCTTTATGTTTGTGGAGACATGTATAATTTGTTCTTTCTAATTGTTTAGAATGAAGTTGATATTATGAAGTGGAGAGTGAAGAAACTTAGTTGACGAGGAAGAAGCTTTCAATTAATCTTATTGTTTATGGATGTTTATCTTTAATTTTGAACAATTTGTATTGATCATTTGTGGTTTGCTTGTATGCTCTAGATTGATGTTTTTTGTATGATTAATTTGTATGAGAAAATTGATGTTAAACTTTTATTTTGAAAGAAACTTGTTATAGTAAATTTTTACCACAAAAACCCACGGGTACCCATGAACCCGCGGATACCCAGCGGGTTGGGTTGGGTTTGAGTTTTTCAAACCCAACGAGTTTTACCCCGGGTTTTTTTGCGGATAAACCCATGGGTTTGGGTTTGGGTTTGACAAAAACCCGCCCCAACCCGACCCATTGCCATCCCTAATTACATTATAATGGACAGATGGAGATTGAGTTTTGCACCATAAGCTCCATTTTAAAACTTACTTTTGCAAAACTATTCATCTCTAACAATTTTGGTTTATGACTCATATATCCATTGGAAAGAAAAATATGGATATGGTAGGCCGCCAATACTTTGCCTTCCTACTCCACCTAAGCCAATACCCTTTTTGGCACAATATCCTCCTTAGACCATGGAAGTGACTAATTGAAGCAACATGCATGCAACTTGTTCAAAGAGTCTTAAGGCGTCGTTGTTATTAAGTGGATATATATATTTTTAATTAATAATGAAATTCCGGTTGCAAAGGAGAAAAAAGAGTTTTTGGCTCACATTACGGTTAAAAAGAAAAAGAAAAAGGAATTAAAGCGTGAAAGACAGGACATACATGCATTGCATCAAAAACTTGGGGAAGGGGAAGGCATTATTCTTGTGGCTAAAGCAACCAAAACCGAATAATTAAACATGGCTTCCATCAGCTATGTTCAGCTTCAAATAATAATTATAAAAAAAAACACAAAATCTATATTGGCAAATATATATAATATTGGATTTACCTGTTTTAATTAATCTATCGCTATGTTATTAAAATGGTCGTTAAATTACCCATTAACTAACATTCTTAAGCAAAACAGTGATCAGTGTATATAATATATCTTTATTTTCGTTGGGTTTGTGCCTTGTGGTGTCTTTTTTTCTGTCATAAATGTGCATCTTGTCTAATATTCAACTCATATATATAGTCTAATAAATTTTATGAATTATTAACAAGTCAACTTGTAAGTTAAAAATTAATTTACTTACAAGTTGTTAATTGAGGTGGCACGCTAGTCACACCGTCGAGGCCGATCATAGCTCTAAAAGAATCAACTCACGAGTTAACCTCAACAAGCTAATTAACCCACGCCGAGTCGAACTGGCTCGCGCGAGCTTTATGAGTCGGAACATGACTTATAGCTCAATATATAATTTTGTTATCAGTAAACGAGCCGAGAATGAAACAATTTTTTTTTTCTCGACTCGAACGATAGACCGCTCCTAAACAGTCCGTGGGCCATTTACGACCCCCATTGAAAGGATTGTAATCAACATTTCTGCAGAAATCCATCAAGATTTTGGAATATCCCAAAATTTTAGACCACAATTGATGTTCAAGTTTCGGGCTAAGTGAATTTTTAATTAGAAGATCCCAATTTTTTCTAGGATAAAATACCATCATACCTTGTGCCGAAATGTATGTGTTATCATTGGGATGACGATAAAAATTAAAGAAGCTTAATAACCGATCAACTAAGTCACGTCCGTCTGCAAGTTTGCTGTCTCACGTAACACTCTCATGCTTTTCATATTTTTCGACGTCGAGCAAAAAAAGACGTTGTACGGTGCACTTAATTTGTACTCTTCACCAGCCACCCAGATTCTCATGGCCCTGCTAGTAGTTTCTTGTCTTTCTGTTAAGGTAATTAATTTTGTATTTGATAATATCGATTGGGATACCGAAATCATTTAGTGATTGGGATTTGGATTGATTTTAGAGTGTAATTCGATGTTCCGGATGTCGGTATTTGGTATAGGGATATCGACACTGTACCGATTTTCACCCCCTAATACTCATTCAGTGATTCAGAATATGGTAAAACGTTAGCAAAAGTGTATCTCCGGTAGGGTTGTAAATTAGCCTGACCCGTCCTTGACCCTGTCTGACGCTTTATGCTACAAGTTCAATATGTATATCAAAACAACAATATTTTTTTAATATGGTAATAAACAAAGACTTGGTCTAGTGGTAGTATCACTAATCTTGAACCTAAAGGTCTCAGATTTGAATCGCTTAGGTAGTATTAAGTGAAAAAATTAGACCATATATCATGAAAGAATACATTTTGATTCAACTTATCAACTTATATTACTCGTTCCATGATTCAAAGTATGGTGAAAAACATAAACAAAAGTGCCTTCGGCAAAAGCAAACGGTTTTTTTTTCTTTCTTTTGCCATGTACATTAGTTTCAGACTTTCAGATAAATCAAACTAACGGTGTCCCATGACTGCCGTTAATCCGTTAATTATTAAAATCGTTTTTTTTTTTTTGAGAAAGACCCATTGCCGTTATTTACAGCAGACGAAACCCAGCTAACCGCCATGACGGCACATACCACTCGGCAAGCAAGCAAAAGGGTGTTTTTCTTTAATTATTTTGAATCCAAAAGTTGTAATCTGTAATCTGTTTTTCACAAAACAAATTTATTTATTTATACCCCAGGGAACCTCAGTCCCACGTGCGCTTGAGCGACAATGGGGCCTACTAAACCACTGGGGTACCTGCATACTAACCGGGGCGTTCTGCTACCAACATCGGGGAGGCTTTGCCTCCGATATCAAGGGTGCCGTCGGGAACGCTCAAGTGGCGCCATTGGGAATCAAACTGAGGACCTCCCACATCCAGAGCTCAATTGGTCTAGTGGTTTCACCACTCGGCTATGTAACCTTTGGCACAAAACAAAATTTTAGTTCCATTTTATGTTGTTTCACACTTGAAATTTAGTACAACGTCGCAACATTTTTTAATGAATATATATTATCCACTTTGGTCTACCTAGTATCATTTTGTTCTTGAATCCATCATTATGATTTCTCTTTCTTAAGAGGCCACTCACTGATTATGTTTAATTTTGGAACACCTCTTGTCAATTAAAAATAAGTTTTTTTTTTATGAATTATTGATTTCTTCTGCATTTTTTATGTGAGATTTTCCTAATGTATTACAAAAAAAAAAAAAATCAAGTAGCAAATAGACCAACAATACAATTTCATTTCTTACAAAAAGAACTGATTCAAACGACTCAAACATAAAATAAAAACAAAATTACCACCAAGAGTCATACTAATCTAAGTGTCAATTAACACTATAAAACGATTCGCGTTCGGCAATGAAAAAAGTGTTTTTTCGTAGAAAGCTAATTCCATTTGCTGAAAAATTACACCTCCTGCAAGTCGATGGAATTTCATACATTGCTCTTCATTAGCCCACTTTTTTTTTTTTTAATCAAAGGAAAGAGAGAGAGAGAGATTAAAAGAAGGAACTCTTGATTGCACTGTAATCAAGCTCACAAAACTTTGATCAACACAAGTTAATTAAGTTTAAGTAGATCAACTGTATCTATTCCATTCCTCCCACATTATGCAAAGAAACGGGCCTATAAATAAACCCTCCTCCAAACAACCAAAAAATTCATTCATCACTACTTCCCTACATCAACAAATCATCAAAACTCTCCCCACAAATTCAACAACCAAAAAATGAACAACTCTGCTCTCCTTTCCCTCCTCTGCCTCGTCGCTCTGCTCCATCAATCCCTAGCAGCTTCCCCACAATTCAATGTGATCCAATTCGGAGCAAAACCCGACGGCCGGACCGATTCGACCAACGCCTTCCTAGCAGCGTGGAAGCAGGCCTGCAGCTCGACTACTCGCGGCGTCACATTGTACGTGCCGAAAGGCAGGTTCCTCACACGGAGCATGTTGTTCAAAGGGCCGTGTCGTAACAGTGCCATCTTCATTCGAATCGACGGCACCCTCGTCGCACCTTCCGACATCTGGGCCATCGGAAACAACCCGAATTGGATCGAATTCCAGTACGTCAACGGCGTCACCATCTCCGGCGGCGTCCTCGACGGCAAGGGCGCACCTCTGTGGTCCTGCAAGCTCGCCGGACGTAAATGCCCCACCGGCGCCACAGTAAGTAACGGACTCTCTTCAATTAAATTAAGTAGTAACATTAATTATAAAGTAGTAAAGTAGGATTTTGGAGGTCACATGGTGTGAGGCAGGGGGGGCACGTGCCTAGCTAGCTAGCTAGCATTCTACAACAAGTCCTTCCTCTGCCTTCTTCTTTCTGATTTCTGGCTCCGTCACTGATTGCAGTTCGACTAAAAAAAAATCGCGATTTTATTGATTTGCAGACGTTGGGGTTTTCGTTCTGCAACAACGTTCTGGTGAGCGGGGTGACGTCGCTCAACAGCCAGATGTTCCACGTGGTCATCAACTTCTGCCAGAACGTGAAACTGCAGGGGGTCAGGATCTCCGCCCCGGGGAACTCGCCCAACACGGACGGAATCCACGTCCAGATGTCCACCGGCGTCACCGTCGTCAACTCCAAGGTCGCCACCGGCGACGACTGCGTCTCCATCGGCCCCGGCGCGGCCAACCTGCGGATCGAGAATTTCGCATGTGGCCCCGGCCACGGTATCAGGTAAGCCAAACACGATAATAATTAATTAAACGTGTCAAGGGCATGATTCATTTCTCATTAATGATGGAACATAATTTTCAACTTCAGGGGATTAATTATATTGAATTAGAAGCTAATTAACCAACCATGTGACAATGTGTGCAGCATTGGGAGTCTAGGCAAGAATGTGAACGAGCCAGGGGTGCAGAATGTGACAGTGAAGTCAACCACATTCACCGGAACGACGAACGGGCTGAGGATCAAATCGTGGGGGAAACCCAGTAACGGATTCGCCAGAAACATTCTCTTCCAACATGCTACGATGAACAATGTGCAGAATCCCATCTTCATCGACCAGCGTTACTGCCCCGACAAAAACTGTCCGGACACGGTAAAAAAAATAAAAAAATTCTTCAGTCGCCACTCTGCTTCGTTCTTCCGTAAAACAACATTTTCTCTAATCGCGTATTACGACGATGTATGCAGGCGTCGGGGGTTCGAGTGAGCGACGTGACGTACCAAGACATCCACGGAACATCGGCGACCCAAGTGGCGGTGAACTTCGATTGCAGCAAGAGGAACCCTTGTAAAGGGATTCGACTTGACAACGTGATGCTGACTTACAACAGCAAGCCGGCAGTTGCGTCTTGTGCCAATGCCGATGGAACGACGATCGGGCTCGTGCAGCCCGGCAGCTGCTTGTAGCTTCAAAAGCCAAGCGAAGGAGGAGGAGGAGTCCGTTCAACCTACAGTATTAATGCTGATTTGATTGTATTGAAAACTTGAAATTAGAATTGATTATAATTAAGGTTTGTTGTTATTGTAATTTGTGCGATGTGCATATGCTGGAAAGCCTGTGGCATGTCCATCAATCCTTCTTATTAGGTTGCTTGGACCCCGGCCTAGCATTCCGAATTTGTGAAATGTTAATGCTATTGATATTTGATGGTTTATTTTGTCCTCTCGATTAAGAAGAACAAACATTGTAGATAACATGAGAGTTCAGCTTTGACAAATAGTTACGAAGATAGTATAGATGTATCAAATGTGGCTGAAAAATGATAAATCAACTACAATGTTGCACAATTCTGTTCGGCCCCTTCCACTTCGAAATCTCCTTCCATTTCGGTGGACTTGTTGGATTTGCACCATCCTCCTCATCATTTTGCAGCCACTCAGACAGCAACCTTATATGCTGATTTGAGCCTGAAGCGCCCATCTGCCTCAGGTCCCCAGGTCGTGATGTCCTCTCCAAGCTCCGGGTCAGGAGTATCACTACCTGCAATAAGGTTGAGGAGTTCATTAGGCAGATGTGATTGTAAAACAGTCCAGTCCCACTCACCTGTTTTCGTTATAAGCTCCGAAACTGAGGCTCCCAACGGATCCCCGCTCCATCACTATGCACATGATCAGCCAGAATCATCCCATTCGACAGCCAAGGACTGGTCCAGAAGTTTCCAGGTTCGAATTTGAGAATGCATTTCCGCTTCTATAAGTCTCATTTAGTGGCATGTGAAGAAATAAAAATTTATGAATTTAATGTCAATAACCTTAATTTCCTTTTAGGCACATGGGAAAGTTCAAGAGTAAAAAATTAATACTTTTATCGTTAGCAATAATGATCACTCATCAGTACTGGATATTATTTACTAAGCAAAGTAGCCTGTAATATTATGGCAATTTAGGGTCGTCATACTTATCTTATACTTGATTATCACACTTAAGTTAAGTCATACAAAATCATGGCTAAAATGATGACTGAATATTTGGACCGTAGATGATGATGAGTCATCATGATGATGCAACAACATGTGCAATTAAAGAATTCATCACCACACAAGTAGGGAGGGATATGCAATAATTCGGCTCAAGCTCCAATTGGACCAGTCGAGCTTTGATCCAATCGAGTTTTTGCATCAATTTTAAATTCAATGCGATTTCAATTTAAAATTCAAAGCCGACTAAACCGAAAGCAAATCAGCAGCCAAATGCCTTTTTTTTTGTTTGATTTTAGTGCTCATATTATGGTAATCGTTTTACCAATCCTATAAGGATACGGTAACTTAATCCAAAAGAAACTATACTAAACACTTTAATAATTAATACGATTCCTAAACACTAACTAAAACCAACTAAGAAAACAATATAATATTGGCCGCCGAAATTGATAATGCATCAACTATGTCAAAGCACGATAAGAAAAGAAAATAAAGCTATGAGCTATTACAATTACTAAGTCTAAGTGTGAAAAGAAACAATTTGTAGTGCATTGTTTATAACTAAAGCAAAAATAAAGGAAAGAAAGGTGAGAAAATAAAACATTTTCATATTCAAACACTGCATAAAATAAGACTCTTAATATGAATTTTAGTTCAAGGGAAAATAAAGCGAGCTGATATTGGGATGCCTCCAACTAGCTAGAAGGATAGCTTCCCTTAGGAATAGGCAATACACATATCAATTCAAGGTTTTAGACCATTCACAATGTGGGAGGGTGGGAAAGGTGGGAAAAGAGGGAAAATGAGAGGGTTTGGTCACAATGTGGGTGTGGGAAAAGGGGTAATTAATTGAACAATTTTTTTGGTAAAATCAATTTATAGTTAATTTCAACACTTTATTTTTATATAATGATTTTTTTACATAATTAGTGATAATTAATGAATACGAACATTTCGATATAATTTTTCTCTAATTTGGACATAATTTTTTCATCACTAATTAACGTCATTAATGATGAAATCACAATAATTCATACAAGAAAGTTGTTACATTGATAGTTGAACATAAACACAATTAAGAAGAAATAAAAACAACCAAATAAACACTAAACCATTAAAATAAAGAAGAAAAAAACAAACTGACGTGGGGTCCACCCCTTCCCCTTCTCCCACCTTGTGTCTTCTTCTGGTGGGTTTTCGCCAACCTAGTTAATCTGCTAACTTGAAAATTCGTTAGTATATACTAACTAATATCCAAAATGTATGAACTAATATCCAAGTCTCCTAAGTATCTAGATATCACAAACTAGTATTCAAAACATCACAAACTAGTATCTAGATAGCATATACCAACTATTATCCACAATCAACCAACTAGTATTCAATATGGATACTCTTATGGGTTATCTGAATACTCTTATGTGTTATTTGGATACTAATTATGTGCTGTTTGGATACTATTCTGTGTTGTCTAGATATTAGTTTGTGAATTTGAGATAATAGTTGATTCATGGTGGATATCTGTTAGCAAACTTTGGATACTAGTCTGTACTCTCTAGATACTTTAGTACTTGGATATTAGTTCATATAATTTGGATATCAGTTAGTATCTGCTAACGAATCTTCAAGTTAGCAGATAAACTTTCCTCGGTTTTTCCACCCAAAATTTCTCATTTCTCCGCTTTTTCCATCTTTCCCACCCACATTGTGGGTTATTTCTCCACTTTTCCCCCTAAACCACACTACATTTGTGGAGAGTCTTATTGTTTTAATTATATTATGTCACGACCATGAGTTGGGTGTTATCACGATGGGGATGTTGGAACCAAAGCAAAACGCTTTGAAACTCGACGATATAGTACTGCTAAGCTATGGGCCAAAGTTTGGAGGTGAGTGGGTCGAGCCAGAACCAGTCTGTGGGTCATTCTTTGGTTCGAACGAGGCTTTGGTACAAAGGCCAAGCTATGGGCCGAAGTTGGAAAAAGATTGGGTTTCGAATGAGCCAATTTTGAGGGCTCAAAAGAGATATCCTTTGAGGAGAGTGGTTCGAGAAGAGTTGAAGAAATTCGAAGTTTTCGAAGAAGGAATCATTCGTGAGTTGGAGCCCAATTGGAAACGAAGAAAGCGGGAGGTCAAGAACACGAAAGTTGAATGCAACCTTAAGGGCAAGGTTGGTCTTAAGGGGGAGGGGATGATAGAAACCTAATTTCTGGATTCTATCATTATTATTAGTATTAGTATTTATCTAAATATGGTTAGTAGTCTTTGAGTCATATTAGAATAGTCTATTAGGGTTTTCCAGTATCTAGCTATAAATATATACTTTGGGGTTCTTTGTTCGATTAAGCAAAAATTAATAAGAAAGTTATCTCCCCCAAATCCCTAAAACTCTCCACTCCCCCTAATCGGCCACCGGCCAATCTTTCTTCCTCATATTCTCAAGTTCTTCCCTAAATCTCTATTCTAATCCCTAATTCTCATTTTCTATTCCCAAATATCAATCAAACCTCATCCTCAATCCTATCCGATAGGAACCCTAGAAATAGGTTTCTATCACAACAACAAACTCTAGCTAATTACTTTCGACACAACGCCTACTGCAACTGTCCTTCCTCCCTCCCCCAAAGCAAATCTCTGTCCTGTTAAAACCCAACAAGAGACATAATCAGGATCTTGAATCTAACTTGGCAAACAAGTCACCTAAATAATTAATCAAGAGATAAAACTGACCAGCTTCTAGAGGAACCGGTTGAATCAGCTCGACGTTTGCAGTGGTATCCTCACCCGACACGACCATCTCCTTCGATTCAGGCAAGTTTACCTTAGCAGTAATATCTGCAGTTCTAATGTAAAACTGGGGCCTGTCGTTAGTGCAGATGGCAGTAAAAGAACTACACTCATCGCGGTCGAGGACATATATATTTGCCTTGAATTTCTTGTACGTTTTCAAATATCCGGGTTTGGCAATAACCTAAACACAATGCCATCAAGTACAAAGACAAGACAATTGATTCAGCCATACTTCAAATATTAACAGGCAAATATCATTCCCACTCAGATACCTACCTGTCCTCGTTGTATATCTTCACTTTTCAAACCACGCAGGAGGAGACCCACACTGTCACCAGCCTGAGTAACACACAAAGAAATCAGAATCTTCAATCACAGCACAGAGGGAATAAATGACGACTAGCATGAAAAAAAGGAGAATTCTCAAGTTGTTGAATTACTTCAGCTCGGCCCAAAATTTTCTTGGACATCTCGACACCAGTCACAGTAGATTTCTGGGCGCCACCCTGCAGAAGAAAGAAAAACAAGTAACCACAGCTAACCAATAATGAGGGACATTGTAATCCAGTAACCGTATGACATTCTCGATTCAAGGTCAGGATATGAATTACTGTTGTCAGTCCCAAAATTTCAACTTCTTCGCCAACTTCGATTGTCCCTTGTTCCACACGGCCAGCTGCAACAGTTCCATGCCCCTTTAATAGAAAAATATAAAAACTTGCAAATCAGTGGTTCCGTATAGAACATTGTGATTTATTCAGGTAACAAGTAACGGAAACTCTGATTCATAGAGAGCATATCTAACGATACAAACATATGCAACCAAACAGAACAAACTGCTGGCATTTTCAGCGGTAAAAAATTTCCGCTGCATATTCAAGATAGACCGTTTCACCATTATAGAAAAATATCAGTGTCGTACCAAACATAATAATAGGGTTCCAAGAAAACAAAGGTTGCAGCCAGGTGTCCCGGTGTGAACAGTGCAACCAATACCTGAATGGAGAAAACATCTTGAATTGGCATCACGAATGGCTTGTCAAGTTGGCGCACTGGGTCAGGAATGAACTCATCCATAGCATCCATCAATTTTAAAATGCCTTTTTTCCCAAGTTCTTCTTTAGTCCCTTGGAAAACAGACAAGGCTGAACCCCTGATGATAGGGATTTCGTCCCCAGGAAACTTGAATGAACTCAGAACCTCTGGAAGAAAAAACAAACCAATAGACAGAACTTGTAGAAAGCAATAAATCGAAAAAGTCATGACACACGAAGAAACAGAATCATCTTGAAATATAAGCAACCTACCACGAATCTGCTGTTCTCTCATCTCTAAAAACGGTTCAAAATTGATATCATCACAGATATCCAGGAAACAAACCAGCGACCCCACACCCATCTTTAATATACATAAAAAAAAAACGAACAACGGATATCAATTGGGAGCAAATTCAAAAAGGAACCGCGATAAGATAATTTACATGCCAGTAGAGGTGGAATATGTTGTAGACCAACACCGAATGGGCAAAGAAAAGAGTGGAACATGCACCTGGCGAGCAAGCAACATATGTTCCTTGGTCTCAGGCATGATCCCAACAGAAGAAGATACAACCAAAATCCCACCATCCATTTGGGAAACTCCCGCAATCATGTTCTGTAGATTAATTGTAAACCAATCACAACAGAATAACAAGGAAACAAAAGGCTCATTTCTAGCTATCTAAAGTGGCTCAAGAAGTTCAGTGATTCAACACTTTCTTTGATTTGAAGCAAATTATATACTATCCATACTATAACTCCAGTATATAAGATAACAAACTAGTGGCTCACTTTAACATTATCTGTATGTCCAAGGCAATCAACATGAGCATAGTGACGCTTTGCAGTTTCATACTCCACGTGCGCCTGAAATATCATCACATAAAGAAGTACCAACAGTTTCTCAAGATATCTCCTTTTTCTACATTTTGAAAGAACGAAACGACGGAGATAGGAAAAATAAGGGCAAGATGGATTGATTATCCATGTTAGTGATGGCATTTCCAACCCGACCAGGCCCGTACTGGGGCGAGCCAAACCCACGGTCCTAGAACGGGGCGAGTCTTAACCGACTGGCAAGCAGAACATGGCAGATATGGATACACTACCTAACCTGCCCTGTCCGGCACACTAACTAACCTGCCCTGTCCGGTACACTAGCTAACCATAACGGAGAAAAGAGGAAAAACCAGGAAGCGAATAGTTATACCGTGGCAAAACTAGTTCTTCTCTTTTTCTCTTCTTGGGTCTCATCAATTTCGGCAAACGAAACAGCTTTAGCCTTGCCTTCTTCGGCTAGTACCTGAACAGAACAAAGAATCATCACGATATCAGGTAGGTTCAAGTTGCTTTCAGTTCCACTGATCTAGTCGTGATAAGAAGTTCTATTTTTCTAGCAAGAAAACCAGGAACCCTAAGAAGACAAATACTTGCCTTGGTAATTGCGGCAATTAGGGTAGTCTTTCCATTATAGAAATGCCCAATTGTGCCGACATTGACATGAGGTTTACTGCAACCAAAAAAACAAGCCAATATACTAAAGGGCTAACGCAAGCGCAAAAAAAAAAAAAAAAAGCCTGTTCAAATCAGAGAGTCGAGAGATCGATCCAACTTACGTTCTGGTGAAAGTCGCCATGTATCTCCACCATGGAGCAGAAGTCGCGTCATTCCAACTGATAGAATCGAGAATAGAAGAGTGAGTACTGGCTGATCCCCGGCAGCCCCAGTAGATTTGGGTAGAGCCCGGGAGCAAGCGCTTGGGAATGGAATTAGGGTTTCGGAGGACCACGGAAGCCATTGTGGCAGAATTTCAAAGTTTGATACGCCTAATCCTCTAATAATATATAATAATAATAATAGAGTTTTGTGTACTTTTTTTTCCTTTCAAATCTCATGGAAAAAAAAAGAATAGTATTTTAGTCTTTACAATTTCTTTATTTAAAACAAAGACAACAAACATAACCAATTACATTAAACAAATTTGTTGCAGTTTTTTGAAAACAAACCATACAAAAAGTTAAACTCTGAAAATATGAGGAATGTTCCATCATGATTAGCTAGCCCACTAAGGGGTTGTTTGCTTGTTGGATTTGAAAAATGAGGGTTTTGGCCAATAAAAACCTTGGGATTTATGTTGGATTTATTGGATTTTGGATTTGAAGAGTCTAATGTTTGCATGATAGATTTGATGATGGATTTGTTAAATAAATAACTAACCATCAAGGATTTGCAAATCCCAAATCAATATGTGGGATTTATAAGTCCGTGGGGTCCAAAAATTTGGTTCCAAAATAAAGACCAAATCCGTGGACCCCACGGATTTAGCACCCTTCAACAAACAATGGACTTATGTTAAATCCATCAAGCTTGGGATTTGGGTACCAAATCCATGACCCAAATCCAACAAGCAAACGACCCCTAAGACTCATGTAAGTATATTTATAGTGCTTGATACATCGATTTTCATAGTAGAGTTTCATGTAACTTTCTTCATTTTAAAATTTCTACTCTCTTCTTAATTTTTGCTAAGTTTAAATTGGTAATTGACTAACATGGAAGAAACTATTCATTTTATTATGTATTATGTTCTTGCATATTTTTAATTTAAAATAAAATGTTTCCTTTTTTATCATTGTTCTTGTCTCTTCCTAAACTCCTCTCAAATTCTCTCCATAGTGCTCCCTTTCACTTCTCACTACAAGGCCGCCTATGAAAACCAATCTTCTGGGATCTCTTAGAACTACGTTTTGATTGTTGGGGGATTGAAGCTAGGCAAGAGAAGATTTCAACTCCGATATAAGTCCATGGTGAATAGAATGGAGTTTAATCAAGTAGAAGACGATGTTTGATCAGTGATATCTTCCTCCTTTACTCCTCTTCCTATACCACACTCTGAACTTGAATGGGTTTTTGACTTCGTCGAAGGTTAATCGCTTCACTCATGTAAGTCAATCATTTCTTCTCTCTTGTCTCATGGTTTTATCTTTCTGATTGATAACAAAGTTACCTTTATTTTCAGGTTGTATCGCAAGCAGAACATGGAATATGGTTGTATGACCATTGCCTTCCGGATTTGTATGCTGGCGGTTAGAACTCGTTTAGAGGAGGTTGAGGTTACCTCTAGTCAGGAAAGTCAGTGGTACTGACATTGGGGCAATGGACGTGGCTTGAAGGGATCGATAACAATAAAATGTAGTATTAGTATAGTGCCCAAAGTAAAATGTAGTATTAGTAGGGAGTTGCTAAAGATCACCCTTAAAATTGCTAAAGGTCGCCCTAAAAAGTATCAAAGTTACACTTTTAACCCTTTAGCTTCTTTAGCTTCCCTTTACCAAACAAACACCACTTGGACTAAAAAAACACTATCTAAGGAGAGAAAAATCCATCATCGTAATTTTGAAGCCGATATCGTCGGTAGGACGTCTGAATCATGAGTAGCGACTCCGACGAGGTAAAAACATTAACTGGAAAAATAAAATAAAAACACAGAAAATGGGAACCGCGGGTCACCTGCGGTTCGACCATGGTCCAACCGCAAGTGACCTGCGGTTGGACCGTGGCCGGTTCAGTGTTTCATGGGGTTTTTTTTGTTCAAATCAGTATTTTCTATTTTTATATGATTTATAGTTTGTTCCATGAGATAATTTGTTGAGTTTTGATTTATATAATTTTTTTCCAGGTTTGCGATTTGGACTTTGCAAATCTGCATTTTGGAAAGGAGATGAAAGTGAATGTATTTGGGCGTACCTGGAATTTTTGCAGATTTGATGTTGATTAAGTAAGGAACCAGAACGAACCTGACAATAATAATTGTGACCTATACAGAAATTAACCGGGAAATAAATTGTGACCTATACTGAAATTAACCCGAAAATAATTTGGAATAACGCTAATTAAGTATTTGGAAAATCAAACTTTCTGTGACGAAGTGTCCGTCGCAAATCAAACTTTCCGCAACGACGGAACCGCCGCAAAACAGCCTCATTTTTTGCAACGGAGCAACTGTCATCGCGAAAAGATGCTTTTGCGACGAAATGGTCGTCGTTGAGTCATTGTCCTTCAGCGACGAATCAGTTTTTTTTTCGTCGCAGAAACTTTCTGCGACGCTGTATAGGCGACGAAGGGTTTTTTACCTTTTGCGACGCTATAAATCGTCGCAGAAAGTTTTCGCGACGAATTTTTAGGCTCTTCTGCGACGGCCAACTCCGTCGCAGAAAAAGTGAAGTTTCTTGTAGTTGCTGGGCACAGTGGATCGCCATGCATGGAAATAATATTTGGTCCAGAAGCTAAATGCCGGGAGGAGTTACGGTGCTAATTGTACAATAGTTAGCACCGTCCGAACCAAGGGAAAACTACTACTAGTTTGAATTAGTAGTGATTTAGTTTAGATGTTGTATTGTTTTATAATAATCCGTAGTGATTTCGTTATTTTTAGTAGCGTTTTTTGCTAGTTATCACAGTGCTAACCCCTATAAGGGTTAGCATGAAAGTTGAACTACTAAATGCCGCCCTAGTCTCACTACAATCGCCCTAATTTAAACATTAAAATTATCTTTTTACCCTTCTCCCATTTTATTTTTAACATATATTTCATTCTGAAACACACATAAAAAATAAACTGAATCTACGCTCCGGCGACTAGTAAAACTCTCCATAATCTAGTCGTCGATATCCGCCGCTGCCCATCGGCCATTAAATCCCGTTGCCAGCGCCAACCGTCGTTGATTCCCACCGTCCATCGCCTTCATCAGTGTCATCGTTATGGAATAAAAATTCATATGCACAATATCTATAATCATATTTGCAGACAACGTTAAATAGTGTTTGTTCATGATAAAAAAAAAACAAAATTTTCATATTTTCCCAAAGAAGCACATATTATTAGTGATTTATGAATTTTGATGGAGGATAAATTATTTTGCATGGTTTTTTGAATTCTAATTGATTTATTTATAACTTTACCATATCAATGAACCTCATAGTGCAATAAATTTTATTCTTAGTTTAAGTCTATATTTGACCTAAATTTTTGAAGTGTTTTCTGCTTTAAAAGGTTAAGTTGGGCCAATTAGCTCGAAAAAAATATTTTTTCGAAAAAAGATGAACCGTTTTTTATATAACACATAAGTCTTATTTGGAGCTCTTACGAAAAATTATTTTGAAAGTACGATATTATCTATACTATTTTCAAATTCATTTATAAAATTTAATTTATTTCAATTACATTAATTTTAAAATTAATAAATTAGAAAAGTGTCATTTTGGTATAAAGTAAACCCAACAATGTTTACTTAAGGCTCATATATTAATGAATATGATATGGAAACTATGAAATGTACATATTTGTTATTTTAACACAAGACAACTATTACTACATACAATATGGTAGTTTCTACGATGTCATTCAAGTATTCGAAAATAAACCAAACATAATAGTAAGTTAGAATGTCAAGATATAACTCCACCGGCCAATCGGCCGGGCCCTATGCTAGTAACACTTTAACCACTTTGACCATCCGCATAATTGGAATGTGGTGGATCACTAGTTGGATAACTCCAGCCACCAAGCTTGCTTCGCCCCTGCCTGATCACTAGCTGCTGATGGTCTTCCAAGATGCTGCAGGATGAAGGACGAACAAGCTGAGCAGAGCTTCCCTTCACTTTGTTGATCAGCATGCAGGCCTTCAGCAACAAATCGAGTTAGCGGAGGGTGGAGCGGAGGTGAGAGGGAGAAGGGAATGGAGTGGATTGGGGGAAGGAAGGGGATTGATTTTTGTTTCTATGATGGGTTCGCAGCAGGGAAGAAGCTAGGGGACGGTTTGTTTCTATGGCAGATTCGCGCAATAGGGAAGAAGGGGACGACGAACGGCGAATGACAATGGGGTGAGTGGAGGAGGTGGAATATTGAAAAGAATACAGACATTTTCGTCATAATTCGGGTGGTGTAGTGGTATCAGCAAAAACTCAATAAATATAAGTTTATTGCGTCCTTAGCAGGTTATCATAATAAAGAATAAACGAGTTCATGATGTTAGAGGAGGCTATATAGCCTTACTGATGGTCATCAACTTCTGCCGCAACGTGAAGCTGCAAGGCGTCAGGATCTCCGCTCCGGGGAACTCCCCAAACACCGACGGAATCCACGTCCAGTTCTCCACCGCCGTGACCATCGTCAGCTCCAAGATCGTCAGTTTCCATGACCTTCAACTCTAAAAACCCGAAGTAAGATACAATCCCAAACTCAGAACAAAAAACAAACAAAAAAAAAGCCTGCAATATAATTCCTCTCACCAACTATATATGTTTGCAGGAATCATCACTTTGCAAATGAAAAATCAAAGCAAAAAAGAGACCTTCGATAATATATTTTTACCTGGTTGACCGTCATCCCAGCTTCCAGATTTTTCATACCAGCGTCCGAAAGTACCTTTACAACCAACCCCAGAGATTTCATCCTCATCTAACATCCGTGCATGATCTAACATCTGTTCCTCCAACCATGACCTGCTACCCTCAACAATTATTCGGACGATCGGAGTAATTTGGTGGTTTTCACCTTTCAGGTACTTCTGAAACAAGTCCCTCAACTCTAAAACCCAAGTAAGATACAATCTCATACTCATAATAAACATAAATAAAAAAAAAAATCTGCAATACAATTCGTCTCGAACTATATATTTACAGCAATCGTCACTCATATTATAAAAATCAAAGCAAAAAGAGAGACTTCCGATAATATTTTACCTCGTGCTGGTTCCCAATACAGATCTTCTTCATCCGGCCCGCAGGATGAGTAGAGCTTGGTGAGTACGGAGGAATAGGCAGAAGAATCTGCAGGCAACTGCGGAGGTGGTACGATTGGAAGAGCTCTCGAAGAGGTTGCTAATCCCAAGTTGCGACGCGAATCGAGGACGAGACGCCAAGGACGGAAACTTCTTCTCCACAGAGATGGCCGCATCTTTCTTTCTATATGCTACGGCCGCTGGTCGATTAGGGATTTTTTTTCCTCTCGTGGTTCCACCTTTATACTGCGAGATTTTCTTCCTTTTTGGCAAAACTCTAACTTTGATCCTTGAATTCTCGTAATTGGTGATTCTTGCACAGGAAAAAAAACTGCCTTTTGTTCTGTTCGTCGTCAGGTGAAACTCCTTTTTATAAAATTAATATTTTCGGGTTGAAATAGACAGCACAGAAAACTTCAGGCACCAAACTGGATTAAAAGCCTTACCATATAAACTATGAAGTCCTAATTAATTATCAGCTAGCATAAAAGAGAAAGAAACGAAACCCCTAAGCCCTAATCAGCCGGCAGCTGTAGAGAAAAGATGTGGCGATCGCTCTCCGGAAATTTCTACCGGCGTCTCCTCTGTTCGCCTCGCAGCGTCGAATTAGCAAAACGTTCCCTTCCAATCTTTCCTCCTCCTTCGCTGCAGCCTGCTTATTCTGCGCGTAGTAGGCTGTTCTTCTCGTGCGAAACGGCTCCGAGACTACCGAAGCTCGCGATCAAGAGCGACGATGTTGGCAGTGAAGGTAAAAGATCGAATTATCAGAAAAAAGTCCTTTCTCTGCTTTGCTTTAAATCTCTAGCTAGCTAGCCGACGATTCGCCTCAGCAGAATGATTATTGCAGATCTCTTTTATTATTTTATCTTCACAATTCTAGGTTTGGACGATTGTTTTATCTTTGGCATTTAGATTTGAAGAAACTGATGGAGCGATTCGTGGAAAGAGATGTTTGTGTCATTTATCAGATCTTTAGGGAATTGCTTCTTCGTGTGAAAATGAAGAGTTTGTCCACAAGGAAACATGATGATAAGATTATGACCGATGCCGAGTGCCTCAGGGAGCTGCTGAATAAGGGAAGCGATGATTTTTCTGAATCTGATCTAGAGAATACTGATGACATTTCTGAATCTGATATAGAGAATACTGCCAGGACATACCGTCGCAGTGAGAGGAGCGACGGATACAATCAAGGTAAACACAAGTCTAAAGAATATCGTGATGTGCTACTCCAGTGTCTGTGTTTAGGCGTATCCTACTGTAATCTATCAATGTTTGGCAAATTCGGAGTAGGTGACTCGTGTATATACAGCTCTATATATGTCCTTGGCCACAAAGTTTGTTATTTGCTGCATCGATCCGATGCTGCTGCTGCTGCTACAGCCATGTTCTTGGCCAACAGATCTTTCGTTTTAAAATTCTTGGTTTTTGAGTGTATGTAGATTGGTTTCATGAGCTCAATGAGTTGAAGAATAAGTTGATAGAAGGGGAAAAGGATGATGCACTTTTTGCTATCAGAAAAAAGATTCTGCGGATGAGATTGTCTGGGGAGGCTGGTGACACGTTGGATCTGTATTCCCGTGATCATAAGGAAGAAATCGAAGAGTTCCGAGTCCCGCCTGAAAGTTCTTCCAGATTGTATGCCTCTTATCAATGCAAGAGAGGGGTTTTTTTCAGACACTATTCCAATTTTTTCGAGCGTAAGTGTTTACTGTTTTTTCCTTATTGATTAAAGCATTAACAACACCCATTTGTTGTTTTTTCCATTATCATGGTTGAGTTTATTTGGCAGACAACTTTTTCCCGACAATGGACAAGAAGGTCCGAGAGGAGGTGGATTTTCGTTGGAAAGAGGGCAGCAGCATATTTGAAGAAGTCGGGCAATTGCAGGAAGATGTGGAGTGTAGATACCTGATGGAATATCTGAAGAGTTTAGAGTTGAGGGGCTCTGCAGATTTAACATATTCAGGTGAACCAGAAAACAAGGAAAAGTATATGCAAGACGAGCGAAGCCATGTCAGACTTAGCTGAGTATTATCTAAATTTTGATGAATTATATAATCTTGCAAAGAAAGTGTCGGATTTCCAACAGGATATGAAAAACACGGCTTAGTTTCTTATTTGTTTAAGTTGTTGGATTCATTTGGTGTTGTATTGTTGCACCTCATGTATTTGACTAGGGATGGCAATCAAACCCATGACCGCGGGTATCCGACTGCCCCCGACCCAGTCAATGCGGGGAATCCCCGCTTTGACCGGGTATGGGGCGGGTATGGGTAAAACCCGCAAAAAGTTTGATGGGTATGGGGCGGGTATGGTTTTAGACTTTTAGCCTCCCCCGCCCCATACTCGCCCCACCGAGATAATTTCTTCATATATAAAAAAAATATGTGCATCAAATTATAATCTATCAATGATGATGAGGATAACTTGAGAAAATAAATAGTAGAAATGCAATTGATTGATCACCGTAATCAAAATCTAATTCATTTCTCTCAATTCTCATTTCACTCTTTCACTTTCCCCCTTGTCAACAAAATTATGTTAGTTAATTGTTATTTAGTAGATATATTAGAACATAATAATTTGAAAAATATTATACTCTATATTATGTATTAATGGCGATTTTAGGATCAAAATCTTTGAACCATATTAAAAAATGACCGTGTTTTATTGACTTCATGATATAATATGTTCGTTTAGAATTATAATTAGAACTTTTCTTGTAAGTTTTAGCTATAATAATGTTGGATGTACGGGTATGGGTATTACCCATGGGTACCCGAAACCCACGGGTATGGGGATGGGGCGGGCATGGATTTGGGTATTTGAAGATGGGTATGGGGATGGTTTAAGCAAACCCGCCCCAAACCCGCCCCATTGCCATTTGACTTTTGGTGCTTGCATTGCTAGGTTTTATACTCACGTAATAGAATTTGGGCAAAACACACTTTCATAGTCATAACTATCCGTCTGGTGATAATAATAGTCAAATTTTGAAAAATACACAGATATAACCATTCTGTGCTAATTGGACAAATGATTGTTGCTGACATGACCATTTTTTATTGACGTGGCATGCCAACTTGACTTCTAATTTCATTAATTGAGAGAAAAAGAAGTTGAAAAGTCACACTACCAATTTTATCTTTTACCCAATTTATTCTCTCCCTATCTCTAACATTTTTTTTTTACTTCTCTCCCTCTTAGAAGTCTACGAATACACCCATCTCCGGCCCAACTCAACAGAATGATTATTGCAGATGTCTTTTTATTTTATCTTCACAATTCTTGATTTGGACGATTGTTTATCTTTGGCATTTAGATTTGAAGAAACTGATGGAGCGATTCGTGGAAGGAGATGTTTGTGTCATTTATCAGATCTTTAGGGAATTGCTTCTTCGTGTGAAAATGAAGAGTTTGTCCAGTAATCATCGACACAACGTCTTCCTAGCATTATATGAACACAATTCATCAAATTGTCACGGTCTTCCAAGCATCATATGAACACAATTCATCGATACAACGTCACAATTTACCTCGTCTTCGTAACCACCGATTTGAAAACGAACCACCGCTTGCTTCGTGATATTAATCGTACCGTGTTCGTTGATCCAGCCGAGCTGGTAAGGATCTGGATGCCTGTGCATTGTTAATCCAAGCTTTTTGGACAGCATATGAGCTGATAACGTTTGCACAAGAGCCTCCATTGATCACAAGCGACAATGACTTCCCGTCGACTAAACATCGACTATGAAATAGATGATCCCGTTGTTCGTCGGATTCTCAATATTGAACTCGAGCTACTGGCTGCTGCTCTTGGTCACGAAATTTTAGAATTTTGGCCTCTACACTACTCTCCACCATCCCTTTGCGTAGAATCAAAATTTCCCTCATAATTCAACTACAAACAGCAGCTGCAACACACGAACAGGGGCTGCCCTGTCTTGCTCGAGAATTCTGCTTGTGCCCGAAGTAATTGATTGTTTCTTCTCCTTCGTCCTCGTGTAGAACGGGGCTCTGATACCACCTAATACGACCCTGGGGTGTATTTTTACCAAAGTAACGCAGCAAATGACTCAATCAAAGAATCGATTGAGCTCGAATCAAGAACGAAGCGCTCTTAATACGAACTTGGGATAAAACGAAACTAACGGACAATTCCACACATGGGGAAAGCTCGTATGGTATAAAATGGTAGCTGCTCGACCACGATTGAAGAGAATATTCAATCGATACAAAGCTCACAAGCTTGGAATCCACCAAACTCAAACAAGTCGCAACTTGCGCAAAACCAAAGGTTTGTTTTTCGATTAATCAAAGTCTTCTATGTTTACAACGAAAACTAGAAGGTATTTAAAGGCAAATAAACCTAATACAAACCTAATGTACCTAGGAAACAATTAAGGTAAAAACAAACTCTAAAAATAGTACAAAACTCAGCTACAAACTTCCTTTCTTGACGCAGAAGTAAGCTGCCAGCAAAACAGTCAAAAGGAAGCTTTCGTACTAACTTCGCGCCTTTCGTTCGAGGCATTCCCGAACTCCAATTCTTCATCCAATTCCTTCCCTTTGTTCACAAACATACCTAGTTTCATGTTGTGGAAGCTTTTGGACATGAATCAGGATAGCGTACGCCAGGCGTATGCCATACGCCTCCGTTCACAGTCATATGACGGTCGAGCTTTACTATTTAGACCACGAATTAACCGGAGTTTGGGGCATGATACTATGCCCTAACCTCTAATGGGCGAACCCCAATTCTTAATTCTCTAACCCTGACCATAAAATTTACTTAATCCAAAACAAATAATAATCGACGATTCTGATTCGTTGAAATATATCAAAGTACAAATAATTAGTGTGAACACATGCGTATAGCGTACGCTGACCTTTGCGTTCACACCTGTTATTTGTACTTTCATAATTTCTACCGATCTAAACCATTGATTTTCATTTCAAAATTGAAATGAATCTTTTGATTTGGGTTAGAGGATTGGGGACTGGGGGTTCATCCATTAGAGAGTTAGAGTATAGCATCATATCTCAAATATTGGTGAATTCATCATCAAAATAGTAAACTAGACGGTCGCGTACAGTAAGATTAGACGTACGCTCGCCCGAATCTAGTATATTCTCCGGGTACAATTTGGTCCCCGATTTTTTCAAACAGACTGGTCTATTTTTCGGGCCATCGCCAAGCCCCTGCAATTCCGTGCTTTACAATTTATATATATCTTTGCGTCTGGACCGGACCCGCCTATCGTTTTCTGCAATAGCAAGCTTTCTGCAGGCAATGGGTTCCGTACCTCCCTGCCGTGCTTTTCTAAAACGATACATCGTGCTTGCTAGGTTTAAGTAAGTGCATTTCAACCTCGCTTACTACGCAAAAACAGCTGATAGATCTCATTAACAATCAATTCCCCTGTACGTTCCATGGGAAAAAAACACTTAATTAAGTCAAGTTTCTTCGTAGTGGATCCAATGAATAAAAGGAATCTTATAATTTCGAAATCTGAAACGGTGAGAAAAAAAAAAAGGGTTTAGAATAGAAATGTGGTGCTTGCTCCATGTTGCTTGCGCAGGTGCCGTAATACACGCACCGCAATCAATAGCCGTTATTTGCACCATAAAAGAAACCCCATCTCAGTCACCGCGCCCACCGTCTAATTCCCGTTATTACTCTTTGATTTTACCCAATGTACGATAGAACCGTCATATATTATATATATGAGTTAAAAGCTTATATATGTCTTACACCAGACAATCTCCATCATACGGACTGACACAAACCGGTTGTACTATCGGTCATACCATTCTACTTGTCCAACTGGCAAAACGATATATATATAAATTCGGTTTGACAAACCTTGTACCTATCCTTCCCCTTATCCTTCCCCTTAACAATTCCTACTCATAATCCAAACTTTTTCTTTTATTTTGCTAGAATGATATTAATATCGATATTTTAGTACTCTCATTTATAAAAAAAAAATTTAAATTACTTCTAAGAGTTGTAAAAACGAATCTAAAATGGTCTGACCCGTAAAGTTAGCCAAAACTCAATAAAATAATCTATATTGTGTCCTTAATTAGCAGGTTATCATAAAAATAAAAAAAAATTAATATGTCCTACTCGTACAATTGAAACGTACACCCTTCGATCTAATCCTACTTATCTCCCCAACTATAAATATCCCACTCCTCTCCTTATCAAAACTCACACACACAACTCTCTCTATCCCACGATTCATTTCGACGGTTTCCCTTTTTTTCTCTTCTTTCACTTCCCCAACACACAAAAATGGCAATTCACTCTCACCTCATTTCCCTTCTCTTCCTCGCAACAACAATCACCGTCCTCATCATCTCTCCACCCACATCGGCCGCAGCTCGACGGCCGCAGTTCAACGTGGTCCGATTCGGAGCCAGACCCGACGGTCGGACCGACTCCACCAGGGCCTTCCTGACCACGTGGAGCCGGGCCTGCGGTTCGAAGGGTCGGGTCATAATGCTGGTTCCCAAAGGACGGTTTCTGGTCCGAAACATGCAGTTCACCGGGCCATGCAAGAACCGGTCCATCTTCGTTCGCATTCTTGGCACCATTGTCGCTCCAAACAACATATGGACCACCGGGAACAGTCCGCATTGGATCGAGTTCCACGGCGTCAACGGCGTCACCATCTCCGGCGGTGTCCTCGACGGCAAGGGCGCCGCCTTGTGGGCTTGCAAGAAGGCCGGCCGGAGTTGCCCTAACGGTGCTACGGTACGTATGTTAACGTGTGTAGCTATAGCTTATAGCTACTTGTTGTCAAATCTCGATCAACTCGTAATTAATGTGGTTTTTTTTTTTTGTGATTGGATCGGTTTGCTTGTTTTAATAATTGGGTTTGGTTATTTAACTTTGGTTGAAAAGGGTTTAATTGTAGCTTAATATTAATAAATTTTCTAATGTTACAAAAATTATTCAGTTGACCTTTTGGAGAAATTTTGTTTTTAATAATAAAAAGGCATGTGGAAATGATATTTTTTGGATCTTAGACTTGTACGTCAACTAGATCCTGATATGATGAGTGAGCTTGTGCTGCAATTAATGGAGCTAGACATGGTATACCATCAGAAATATAAAAACGTATTTTTGAGAATTTTTTAGAATTTTGCTATTAAAAAAATGGCTAAACTACTGATAAACTATATACAATGACGGAGTGATTAGAAATATAAAAGAGGGACTGATTTGAACCACTGTGATTGGAGAGGAGGCTAAGGTGTTACCGACTACCTTATTTCGTAAAAATTATTACGAATTTTGTATGTAATTTTATCAATATTTCAAAACTGAAGCGTGACTATATGACCTCTCCTTGCTTTTAAGTTTTAACCTAACTCCGCCACTGACTATATGGGAAATGCAGACGTTGAGCATATCAAACTCCCAGAACGTGGTGGTGAGTAGGCTGACGTCGCTGAACAGCCACATGTTCCACATGGTCATCAACTTCTGCCGCAACGTGAAGCTGCAAGGCGTCAGGATCTCCGCTCCGGGGAACTCCCCCAACACCGACGGAATCCACGTCCAGTTCTCCACCGCCGTGAGCATCGTCAGCTCCAAGATCGCCACGGGCGACGACTGCGTCTCCATCGGCCCCGGCACCGCCAACATGTTGGTGGACAAAGTCACATGTGGCCCCGGCCACGGCATCAGGTAACTAACTAAATTAAATTGTTTTAATCGCTTAATTCGCGCATTCCCCACATTACCACTATACCAAATCCGTATTTTTTATTATCTCGCGCGCGTAACGCGACTTAAAACGATTGGTCGAAATCGACGCGCGCTCGCAGCATTGGGAGCCTGGGGAAGGATGTGAACGAGCAAGGAGTGCAAAACGTGACGGTTAGGTCGACCACATTCGTCGGCACAACAAACGGGTTCAGAATCAAGGCATGGGGGAAGCCCAGCAATGGGTTCGCCAGAAACATTCTCTTCCAGCATGCCACCATGTACAATGTGCAGAATCCCATCTTCATCGACCAGCGTTACTGCCCCGACAAAAACTGTGCCGATCAGGTAAAAAAAAAAAGGTTACACATTCTTTTTTTTTTTGTTTTTTGTTTTTGTTACGCTTCATTACTTCGTAGTAGTAATAACATATAACGTTGCACCACCACCAGGGGTCGGGGGTTCGAGTGAGCGACGTGACGTACCAGAACATCCAGGGAACGTCGGCGAGCCAAGTGGCGGTGAACTTCGACTGCAGCAACAGGTCGCCCTGCCGTGGGATCCGACTGAACAATGTCAGGCTGACGTACAGGAATCGAGCGGCGGTTGCGTCGTGTAGAAATGCCGACGGAACTGCTTACGGCTTCGTCCAGCCCAGGAGCTGCCTGTAGATCACATCCCAGCAGATCGAGTAATTAATGGAATCATACTTGAAAATTTGAATGTTCTAATTGAATTATTAGTTGACAAATTTTCACATGGTGTGTAACATTTATTATATTATATATGCTCGAGCCTGTGGCATGTCCAGCACTTATCTCGGGGATGCTTGTGGAGCCCGGCTTTGTATTTTACGATTCATCAACATATCAATGGAAAATCGTACTACGATTCCTTTCTCTAAGGAATTCCATAGGGTGCTCTTCTCTGTAATTTGCATAACTTGAAGAACACAAGAGATCTGTTAACGTGGTCCATATGTATATTAGGAAATCTCCTTGAATGGTAGCTTCCTCACGAGAGACTACATATATATTAGGAAATCTCTTATTGCAATCTCTAAGCCTGAGATGATTTCTCTTCACACCAGAGATAATCAATCCGTATAGATCGATCGACTAACAATCGAAAGCTTCCGAATCACACTTCAATATTACTCGACAAAATCAAAATTTTCTAGGGGAAGACCTCTCTCTTAGGATCGTTAGCGATTATCCTTTTCCAGGGGCCAAAGGAAAGGCTTTTGGCCATCAAATTAAAAGACGATTTTCGGTGGATTCGTTGAAACCACACTCTCGTATTCTCGTCCTTTTTCAGATCATTCTTTATACTTTGATCTAAGGGGCACTCTCTGGACCGCCATTTTTTCTGAGTTGCTTCTAGTTCAGGAGTTATGATGTCTAGTCCACATATACATGATGATTCTCTATGATATACTTTGGCCTGAAATATTGAAAAACTACCCAAAAAGCATCAAATATGTATAAACACTCCTAGAGACTAACAAACGCATGTTTGAGCACAAATAAAGCAAATCCTAGTCATTGATCTGTAATTTCGACAATGTTGCTGTATAATAGGAGCTCTTACAACAATATGAGGGTGGCTCCAAGAGGACGAGTTAGGATGGTTACTATTTTTTTAGTAATCATCGTGGCTATCTACATCGCCACACTTTATTCTCAATATTTTTAAAATGATGTTCTTGATTGATTAAGGTTAATTTTGAAGAAAAAATAACACCAAATTACTATCGTTAAAATATAATTTTCAATATATTCTCTCAAATCCTAAATAATTATATATCTCCAACCTTGACAAATCACCATCTCCCTCCCTTCCTCCTCTCTCTTCTCGGCGAACAGCCAACCTCCCGCCATCACTCCTCCTGACCAACCTCCGCCATTCCTTTCCTCTCGCTCACCCTTTGCCATCCCTCTCCAGTCTCCTCTCCTCTCCTCCCAACCCCACCTCACCACCCCGCCCTCCCACCCACCACCATACATCACCACCATTGCCCTCCTCCTCTCATCTCTCTCTATCTCCCTCCTCCCCACCCCCTCACAATCTCTCTCACAGACGGCTGGAAAATGTGGGATGAATAAGAAATCATTTTATTTGGTAGTATTTTTTTGTAGTGGTAGTGTTTTTTCACATTGATATTATTTTTTCCATATTGGTATTGATTATCATGTAAGCGTATTGTTTTTTTTTTGTGAAATGGCAGTGTTCTTTTCTCTTCGCATTAGTATTATTTTTCTCTCTTTTGTATCCATTGGTATTGATTATCATACAATGAAATTGATTTGCATGTATTGGTATTGATTAAATCTGCAATGATATTTGTGTTTTGAGAAATGATGGTATTTTTATTTTTTGTCTTGGTGTTTTGTGCATTGGTATGATATTTGTGTTTTGAGAAATGATGGTATTTTTATTTTTGGTCTTGGTGTTTTGTGCATTGGTAGTGTTTTTTTAATGGATTGATATTATTTTATTGTTGCAGCGGTATTAGTTCGACTGAACCAGGGGCGGAGCCAGGATTTCGAGACCGGGGGGCAAAAATAATTAAACAAAATATATGTAGCCAATGTAGTCAAAATCCCGATTTTAATCTTAAAATCTTACGATTATACGATCTTACCTATGGGTTCCGATCCTGATTTTACTGTAAAATCTTTGAACCTTAAAATCCCATAAAATCCCGATTTAAAACTCTAAAATCCATAAAATCTACGATTTCTATGATTTTGTACGATTTCAAGGTTCATATTAATTGGATCAAAATTAGGCCGGCCAAGTTGGGTTATGCCCATGAACCGAGTCAAATTTACTTTCCCCAACCCAACATAATGAACAACACAACCCCAACCTGATAGTTAACCCTCAATTTATTTTCATTCTCTTCCTCGTATCTTCCTCTTTCGCACGTCGGCGCCCAACTCCTTCCATCAACGATATCTTCCACCCTCCCAATTAGCTTGTAGTTTGTTCCCACCACCCTCACAATAATCCAAATCTCCATTACATTGCAAGCTTTTGTTCATCTCCCAATCCTTCAGCACCACTAACCCGACCTTTTATCAATTAAGAAGGGAATGCATCAATCAATGAGTTATCTTTTCCAGATGATGGTAATCAAGGAAATATGGTGAAAGTACTTCAAGTGATCATAAGAGTAATGATATTAGTCCTTAAACAAATAAAAAACGATGAGAGTGAGGGAGAGGTTGAGGATGATGACGATGATGTGTAAGTGATGTTAATGTTGATCCTAACGATCTTATGTGATTTTCTACTCTTAACAATTAATTAACAATGATATCTATAATGTTTAAGGTTTCTTATTTGTGTGTTTCTATTATGTACAAGAAAAATATATGGATTAGTTGTGTCTGTTTAGCAAACAAACTAATCTTGGGAAATAATTATGCTTTATGTGGTTGATTGTTATTCAAGATATGCATTTTTATTACTATCTAGTGTTTTAAGTATTTATTTTAATATGAACCTTAAAATGTTATGATTTTACGATTTTAATCTACGATTTCGATTCTACCTCAGTTTTCGATTTTACTTAAAATCTAGATTTTGACTGCATTGTATGTAGCCATGTTGGATCGAACCCGTGTGCTTTAAACACACAAGTCAAGCTTATCTACCATTTGACTACATGACTATTACACAACAAACAAGTTCTACTTATAAAATTCGTACTATATATCCTTACAATCCTAGGGGCCGGGAGCCCGGGACCAATCCGGAGGGGGGGGGGGGGTGGGGGGGAGGGGGGCATCCTAGCTTAAGTGTAGCTCCGCCCCTGGACTGAACGAAACAAGGAAAAAATTGAGAAAAGGAAGTAAGAGAGATCTGGCTAGAGATTGTGAAAGTGAGAGAAAAAAAGGAAATTGTAATTGAAATATTTTTATAACTTTCTAAAATAGTAATCACCGTAACCTCCTGTCCCCCTCCAAAGGATACAAAATCATTCCAAAATCATGTGGACTTCGGCGAATATAGTTTCTGAGTTCGAATGGGCGAAACCAGGACCATTGATAGAGGCAAGTTCGGTAAGGAGACGAGAGGATTTAAAACGCAAATCTGCATCACTAGTTCCACTAAGGAGTCAGAGTTTGTGGCTTTGACTTCTATGAATGTAAAGGATAATGGTTGAGAGACTTGGTTTATGAAGTCCTATATATTTGAAACCAATCTCACCTAAGACTGATCTTTGTGATAGTAATGCTATATTAGCTAAGACATATATCCAAGTGAAAATGGCAAATACGGTCATGTGAGAGTTAGACAAGGTAAAATATGTGAATTGATCACTCATGGAGTCATGTCTAAACAATATGATTGGACTTGAGATAATTTTAGTTGATCATTAGAAAAAAAATGATTAGCTTATGATTTGGTGGTCAAGTCTATGAAAGGGATGAGTTTAAACTTCATGTAGTTTCTAATTATGAGATACCAAAATTCTCTCTAGTACATTGTTAGAGGCTGAGTTCAATGTGGAAAACTCATTATTAGAAATTGAAGCACACAATTTGTCATCCTAAGGTAGGTATTTGTTATCCTGCATGAAATAAGAGAATGAAATTTAAAACTTCCTAATTTTTATATTTGACAGAGTGTATTATGCGGGTACTCGGATAACAGATTCGACCTACGTAAGCATGAAGTGTAGCCACATCAAGAAACTCGGACTTTGGTTTAGTGTGCTCTTTTGAGAAGGATTGGGATATATGGCGGATAATATTGTCAAGGTTACTTAGAAGTTTAATAGCTTTAATTTGGGGTTGGACAAACTAAAACGATTTGGGGTTAGACCAACCAAGTCAAATATTCTAATTCAATGAAGGGACACATTTTTTTGGATTTAGTGGCGGTTACATTTTCATTGATAAGAACAAACTTATGGATAAAGACGACCTTATGATAGGGACAATCCTATAGATAGAGAGCAACATTTTAAATGGATAAGGATAACTTTTCTTATGGATAATGATAACCTTTCATATGGATAAGAATGATATCAAAGCAACCTCTCGTGAAACAATTCATGGATTCAACTCCCACACATATACGTGATGGGACGAACGATGTTAATACATTATCAAACTAATTCTTCTTCTTTCTTCCGGAAACTTTCTAAGTTTGTATTAGCATTCTTAAACGTAGAATCTAAAGTAATGATTTCAAATCAACGATTTCAAATCGTTCACATCTCACCTCACCCAAAAATTCCAAGTCTACGATGTGTACGCGTAGTAACTAGCATTAGCGAGGCAATTCAGAGGAAGCTGGCGCGTAATTAATAAGTCAAATATACAAATTCCCATTGCTCTGAATCGATCAAGAGTCAAGACATCTCAGTCAAACAATATACAGAAAAAAAGAATAAAAAAGTTGAAAAAAGAAGAATAAAAAAATTTAAGCAAACCATATCAATACACGTAGCAATCCTCGTCGGAGTAAATATAAAAAAGAATCTTTTGAAATGACATTAAACCACGCAAACAAATCAAAGCAATTCCTTGAAAGGCTAGTGGCCGCCATGCATCGCCCCACGACCGTCGTTGACATTGACATTCCCGGCGGCTTTGCTGCCGGCCACCGCGTACTTGGATTCACCGGCACCACCAGCAGTAGTAAGACTAACAGGGGAGTCATGATTGGGATGGCGCTTCCTCAGGCTGCCGGAGCGAAGCAGATCATGCTGGCCGGACGTCTGTCCGGAGAAATCAGCTGTGGCCGGAGGCGGCATCTGAAACTCCGACCTTGTCCGGCGATGATGAGATGAGCCGCTGAAGGAGTCCGGCTGGACGAGCAAGTGGTAGCTCCTGGTGGAGCCCTCGGAGAAAGACATGGAGCGGCGGTGGTGGTGGTGGTGCGGCTTGTTGTCGTTGTGCTTCTTCATTGCGTGGAACAGAAACGGAATCAGCCCGTCCATGCTTTTTCTGGTTTTTACCCTTTCTTCAAACTTGTGGGATTTTCTGGTTTGTGCTGCTTGTAGTGGTTTTTGAGGATATTATGGATTTGTTGAGATGGAATGAATGAGGAGGGAAAGGAAGGGATATGTGTATTTATATTATAGTGGGTTTGTGGTGGTGGACTTTCTATTGGATAAAGTTTGGGGTTTGTGGCGACGAAAATGTTGAATGTGGAATGGTCAATTTCAACGTGCCGATTACCAGGCAGCAGGTTGGCGAGGCGCGGAATTGGAAGAATTAGGAAAGGTGGTGGGAAACTAGCACAAGCTAGCTAGATAGATAGTGCCATCCCTAGGCAAGGAAAGTCTTTACCAAATTGTTTTCAAAATAGTTTATGAGTTATGACCAAACTAGTACTATCAGTGGGCTAGTGGGGTTTATTCTATATTTTTTCTTCAAATCATTTTGAATCCTGGGGGTTCTAAATAGCTGGAACTACTAGAAGATTTGATTAAGGAGTTTGGGAAATAAGTGGCGTTCTAGAGATGAAGAGAGTTGTCGAGCATAACAAGTATCTGGGTCTTGTCACAGAACGAGAGCGTTAGAATAAAATGGTGTTTGAGGATCTGAAAGATAGAATTCGAAATAGAAGGAAAAGACTATCCGTGGCGCACAGCCCGAGAACTACCGATTAAATAAGTAGCACAAGTGTAGTTTTCCTATGCGGTGTCAATTTTCAAGGTATCGGATGGGATGTTTGACAAATTTCATAACATGATAATGAATTTCTGGTGGGGGCATAGCCATATATATTGTATGGACAAAAATATTCATCCAGTCAATAGATTTTGACAGTGGTCAAGAGGAACTCCATTTGGCACCTGATCCTGACTCGTGCTCGATGCGACTACCCAGCTTGTGGAGGTCGATCTAATTCGTTAATGTGTTTAATTAGCCTCACTGCCTCTATTATTTATTGGAGATCCCACCAAACTCCAAGTAAAATTAACTTAGACGTTACTACAAATCATAGTAGCAAACTCCTAACCGTTTCTACGGGATTAATCACTATACATAACAACACTACAACTTTTTTTTTCAAGACATTACAACACTATAACTGTTATTATACATTTCTCGATCGATATTTATTTAATTACGATGAATTCGAACAATGCTAGGGAATAATACTCATCAAGTTTATGCGATGTGAGACGGAATTATTTCCCATCACAATTAGGAAATTCCTTTCCGAAATTTAGAACCTTAGTTTTGTATATATAATAACAAAGATTGATTCTGCAGACCATGACTCATTAACGGTAATAACTACCTCCTCCCCTGCACTGGGAGAGAGAGGGATTAAGAGAAGGGAGGGAAGAACTCAAAACAACAAAATAAAATAAAAAATTCGTTTTAACCCCTCCCACGAATCAGAATTCTCAATATGATTTCCTGCTAAGCCAAAGAAACCCATTGCGCATTCTCCTGATCCAGGACTACCCATTTTCTTGAATTCGTAGAATTAATTCTCTCGAAGGAGGAACGAGAAGAGGGGAAATGGAGGAACTGGAGTCAGGGGTTCTTGTGAAATTCCTGCAACGAATGAACGTCCATGGCAAAAAGCTGCTACGGGATCCAGATCCCGTCCTGTTACAGATCAGAAGCATCATCCCGGTGTTGAAAGACGGCGAAATTTACCCCAATCAGGGCTTCTTCCTCAAGATTTCAGATTTGACCCACGCCATGTTCGTCTCGCTGCCGCAAGAACAGGACGAAATGATCCTCTGCAACAAATTACATCTAGGACAGTTCATATACGTTGAGAGGTTAGAGGCCGCGTATCCTGTCCCGATGATCAAAGGCGTGAGGCCGATTCCAGGGAGGCATCCTTGTGCTGGGCATCCCAAAGATCTCCTCCCCAGCGAGAACCTCGAGAAATTTCTTGGGGTTTCCAAGTTGGAATCCATCGGCGAATACTGCGGCGGCGGCGGCGGTATCGAACAATCGGACAAGGGGAAAACCCTAACGGCTCCCAGGGTGAGTGTAAACGAGATGAGGGACAGAATCAAGACACTGAGCTGGACGATTGAAGACAACGGCGTTGAAGCCGAGAAGCAGAAGAAGAAGGAGGCGTCGAGCAAGAAATCGCGGCCGGCGGGCAGTGCTCCCAAGGGGAACGAGGTGAAGAAGAGCAAGAGCCTCTTGAATTACAGGCCTAGAGGGATGGATGTGGAGAGCACTCTGAGTTTGAGGGGTAAGAAGAACGAAGAGATGTGGTTGCGGAAGAACAATCCGAACGTATCGAGGAATGCGGATAGGGATAGTGATTGCGAGAGTACATTGACGACGAGCACCGGAGCTGTGAGCAGGAAGAGCTGGAATAATGATGTTGAAGTTGTGAGAATGGTGGATACTGCTGATACTTGTGTGAGTCTACTTAGTTTTTCTTTGATCAAAGCTTTTCCATTCCGCTTTACTTTAGTTCTGTTTGGTGGTTGAATGTGTGTGTGTTTTGGTGTTTGCTTGATTCTGGGGACAGAATTCTTCAGTTCAATTGTCAATGAATGATAGCTCAGATGAAAATTCGAGCTGCAAAACTATGAGGAGAGTTGTTAGTATGACTATGAACAGGCCATCGAAATATGTCAGCAAGAATTTTGTGTCAGCACCAAGGCGATTGAGTGAAGATTTCTCAAGTCAGAATGCGATTTCGAGTTCCACAGTTGATAAGCACACAGATGATAACAGGCCATCCTGGGATTATCTTCCTTCCACCTTGGTCAAAATCGGACAGGTACATAAATCAGTTTGCTTTAAACTAGATTTTCATTTCTTGATATGACATAATATCATCAGAGGGAAAAAGTTTGATTGTTCACTTAGGATCTTAAACGCTATGCAGGATGTGCTCATCCAGAGGGACCTAGCTCTTTCTACAGCAGTGGAAGCTTTACAAGAGGCTTCAGCTGCTGAGAGATTGCTCAAATGCCTGAGGTATGCACAAATCTTTCAATCACATGACTCTTTCTATCTTGCATTGCAGAAGAAATGCAGCATGAGTCTCCCTTCGTAATTAGGATTTCGTATTGAGTGAAGTTCTGATACAGGAGCCTTCTACAGTTTTTAGCACAAATGAATGAATGATCAAGTTGGATTTTTAATTTTATGCTTGTTTCCTTTATATGGACTGACTCACATTCTGTTATCCTTTTGCAGCATATATTCGGAACTTCAAGCAGCTGAGGTTGGTGACCAGCATCTAGCAATCGACAAGTTCTTCAGGCTTCAAGAGGATCTGACTCAGACGCAGCAGATCTTCCGGTCACTAACGAATGTTATCCCACCGATAACATCTCCAGACGATGAACACAACCCTCATTTTGTGATGGAAGGACACAAGCTGGCATCAGACAGAAAGCAAAATGCAGCATCATGGATAAAAGAAGCTTTAGCATCCGATCTCAGCCCAGTTTCAGCCCGCTTGGAGGCCATCAACAACGGCAATCAAGAAGCCAGAAAATCCAACAAATCAAGCCACAAGAGTCACAAAGCCAAAGGCGGTATAGTGGTTATAAGGAAGCAAAAGAGTAGTAGTCCCAACATGGTGTTTGAGATGGCGCAACACGGGGGCAACCAACCAAGCTGGGTCAAGGGAAGTGCATTGCCAGTTTCCATGGAACTCGCCAGCTCGCTGAGCGAAGAATGCAGGACTTGGTTCTTCACCTACGTTGAGGACTATTTGGAATGGGTTAGCAGAAGGATCGTCTCTGCTGAGAGATCGGATGGGCAGGCAGCCGAAATGATGTACCAGATCAAGAGAGTGAATGAGTTCCTGGACAGAAGATGTCTTCAGGATGGATCCATGTTGAAAGATTATGAATCGGAAGCTTGTGGGAGGATTAGGAACAAGATTTGTGGGATTCTACTCAAACATGTGGAGAAAACTTCCCTGCACTCCATGCCTGAAGGTTGGCAGTAAAGTAAGTGAGTGAGGGTAATGGCCATATCCTTTTGTAGGAAGGGTTTCATAACCTGAAACATGTAACTGGAGAAATCCGTATATCATGTTTCCTTGTAGAAGATACTCTTTTGTACTCATACCAGAGTTTTTTTTCTTTTTTTTCCATTCTAACTCCGAAAAGATGGTCTACGGAATGAATCAGTCCTCCTTCCTCCAGTAAGCTCTTCAAAAGTTTCATTTCTCACAAATATTGAAATGTTTAGGTGCTTCATTGGTTATTTTTTAATTGCTTAAGTCTGGATCAGTTCAGACTGGGCTTACACTTCTAGTACATTGACTGATAGGTTTGGGCTTAAAGCCCATTATATCCTTTAACGTACAGAAGTACGTGCGTGTTTAAGGGGTAAATGTCAGATTTGATCACTGTGATTACTAAATTGTGTTATATTTGGTCACTATAAAAACATATTAATTTTGGTCACCCGAATTACTGAAATAGGTCATATTTAGTCACTCTCAGTTATTCCCCGTCAGTCTTCGTTAACACTGTCAGTCAATTGCTTAAGTGGGTAACATAAGTGATGACTCACCCTTTTTTAACCCGCAATGTCACCAAACCCGACCCGCCACGTCACTCAAATGCAAAAAAAAAAAAAAAATGGATTTAACAACAAAACAATCTAAAATTGCAGATTCGACAACATTGAATTGCAAATTCATCAACAAATTGACAGAGTTTTCCCACCAACCATTTGGATGGCGACGTATGTTGCTCTGGTCGCAGAGGAGATGGACGGCAGGGCGGAGGCTAGTCTGCAGAGGGAGATTAGCAAGGCGGAACTCTCGGTCAGCAGCGATGATTCACAAGCGGGGAGAAGATGCAGGGACCAAGACTCTCAATTAGCAGCGGGGATTCCGACTGAGCGCAACGACTAAGGAGAAAAAGCAGCAGAGTGGGTGGATTCCACTCGTCCTCGATCTGGATTCTGGCAAGGAGGAAGTGAAGGCGACTATGGGATAGAGGAGAAGCCGACTAGGGTTTTGGAGGGGAAAGAGAGCTCAAATTCGAAACGGAAAGAAGCAGCACGAGAGGTGGTTGTCCCAGATCTTTGCTTTATTTGCCGGATAGAGAGGCTCGGAGTTGCCGCCAAAGAAGTAGAGCACGTTGACTTGGAAGAGCATGGCGACGAGTTTGTTTCCGTCACGTGAGGACTAGGAAGAGGGAGAAGAAGAATACATGTCGTGGAACCCATTGTCGGTGTTGTAGATCTGGATTCCTGTTGTCGAGACCTGTGAAGAAGCATCCGCAGTCATGGTTGAAGGAGAGGTGGTAGACGAAAGGGACCTCTACGGTGGGGGCGACGTCTTCGACGGGTGACTAAACATGACACGATTTAGTAATCCCGGCGACCAAATGTGGTATTAACCTATGTTCAAGTAATACAAAAAATTGGTTCCATTTTAACAGAGAAAGGATTTCTATCACTCGAATTCTTCATCGATTTGCTCGATTACGATTTGATCACAGAAAAGGGAGATTTCTGAAAAGAAGCCGATCGGTCTCGCGCTCGACCCGATCCAACATCTTGAACGAATAATACTAATACCCCGAGGCCACGAGCAGCAAGTGGTGGTTTGCAACAACTTGTACTATATTGTCACCCGAAGCTTAATGGACACCCCTCCCCGCCTCCCGAGTGGCACATGGAAGCTGGAGTATTGACGCGGCGGTGTTTATGGCACAAATTTGGGATATGAGGTTGTTGTCAACGTCGGAAATGTTTCCTACTTTTGTTTCTCTCCTGTGAGAGGATTTGTTTCCTGGGTTTCAGAGTATATTTCTTTGTATGAACTCTGGGTGAGAAAAAAAAGGTGAGTTCAATGGTGTCTCCGTGACGGGTTCCAGAGGCAAAGCGGTGGTGTTTGGCTTACAATTTAGCTTGTCTTTGTTTTGAAATAATGGATTGGCAGGTGCTTTTCTCTAAATTGATGCGCGCAGTTGAAGATGTATCTGAGGTGGGTTTGCATTGCGATGCAATTCGTTAGTTTGGAGCAGCTTGTGGATAATCCTATGACGTTCTGGTTATCGAAATATAGTGGCGGATCCATAAATTTTAATCCAAAATTTAATGTCATAATGTTGAGAAACTGATAATTTAGTTTTTAATGTCCTGAGAAAGAAATTTGAGAAATTAGGATTTAGTTGGACTTTTGTTTTAGCTTATAGTTACATTTATGTTTTTTACGGACTAACAAATTATTTGTAGTATAATGAATAACATTTTCTTTTTTTTTTCTCTTAATTGTAGTGTCCCCGAGTGTGAATCACATATTCTATTATTTATTATCATTTCTTTTCTCTAAATTCGAACTAATTTTCTCCCAAAATTTTAGGGGTGTCACGAGACATTCTTAAAAAGGACTTCCAATCACGAAATGGAATGAAGAGGAGCCATATCAATGCACTATGCAACTGGGGGTGGTGGTAGGAGGATAAATGGGTCGGGGTGGTTTCGAGTCTAGTCATTTTAATCATTCGGTCCATATACTTCACTTTTAAAATAAATACTAAAATTCAAGACCACCCAAAAACTTAGAACCTTAAGGTTTATTTTTTTAGGCTGTGTCAGGTGGGCTATACTTTTTAGTAAATACCCAACCCAACCCAATACTAAAAAAATTTATAAGTAATTTAAATTTTCAAGCAAATGAACCAAAGAAAAAACATCAAAATGCATAGAAGTTGTTGCTTGAACCTTGACGAAGAGCAATTTGTTTCAACATATGTCTAGTATTTTTCATCAACATATGTCTAGTATTTTTCATCAACATTATTTACCAAAATAAAACTAAATACATTATTCATTATAAACTGATGCATCGATAATATGTTAATCTTCTAAAATTTTATATACAAAAATAATGATATTTTCCATAAAATAACATGGCGAGAGTAGGATATGTGATTAGATAGGACTCCAATTTTGTAAGAAAATTAATTTGATTAGTAAGTGTGGTTAGGAATGTATGACAAATGAGAATCAGGTGTTACATAAATAGTAACTTTTACAAGTATTGTGAAACCATATCGAAACGGTCGACGACATGATATTTTTATAATAAATCGTGGTTTAATTATGGTTCAACTTATTCATACCGTTAGCCCCACATTTCATTTTCGCACCGATACTTTTGTATTTCCGGTTGAACCGGACGGTACAGTTTCTAAAACATTGAATTATTTTAAGAGATTTAACATTAATTTTGTTCACAATAATCAAACTAATTCTAATAGGGGAAAAAAGTCAAAACAATATCCCTACCTACCAAATTGAAATACCTCATATTTTCATTTCTCATTATCGATGAAATTTTGTTTTGTTTCTTTTATAGAATGTGGATGAAAAAAAATTTATCAAAGAAAAGAACAGTTTCGGAGTGGTTAAGAAAATGTGATCACTTCCCAATTCCCATCAGTTGGATTCTCAGACGTTGATGTTCCTTACTCTCGTTTGCCTTGTCAAAAGGCTAAAACACACACAATTCTTTCCTTCCGATCCAACAGAGAAATACAAGGGCGAAAGAGAGAGAGAGAGCAAAGGCGGAAAATAGGCGATAGAACTTCATTCCAGACGCATTCCATTTGTACACTTTTTCTCAAACACCTTGCGGACAAAATTTTCCAAGCTCCTTCTTACTTCTTCCTCCTCCCCTCCTTTGCATCTTAGATTTTGTTTCCTCATTTTGCACTAGAGACAAAAAGGGTTTCCACTCCCCAGAGCATTATTCATTCATTCGCTCCCCCTTCCTGGAAATTCCATTTTTATATTTATGCTTGGAAAAATTCGATCTTTCCCCGTTTAATCTCTTGATCTTAGCAAGCAAAACCCGGAGGAAAAAAGCTTGTCGATTCTCGGGTTGTTTTACTGGGGGAAGGAAAAATGATGCAGATGCGAAGACCGCCACGGGTTTCGATGAGTCGCTGCTTAGGGGTTTTCTTATTTATTGGGTGCTTTCTGGTGCCGGCTTCTCTGGCGAGATTCATCGTCGAGAAGAACAGCCTGAGAGTGACATCGCCGGAGAAGATAAAGGGCACCTATGACACTGCGATAGGCAATTTCGGGATACCTAAATATGGGGGTAGCATGGCGGGTGTTGTGGTGTACCCAAAGGACAACAAGAACGGCTGCAGGGAATTTGCGGAATTTGGGATTTCTTTCAAGTCCAAGGCTGGAGCCTTGCCCACTTTCGTTTTGGTGGATCGTGGAGGTAACCCCCCAAATTTCTGTTGCTTACTTCTGATTGCATGCTTGTCATCAAATATTTGAGTTAGGTAAACGCTGTAATTGGTGCCCTTTTCATTTTAGGGTTAATTTTAGAAATGGGCTCATTGTATTTGGAGCTTTATCCTTGTCCGTTGTTTCTTATGTTGCGTTTTGTTTTTTGTTGAATGCGCTAAATTTTCAGCTCATATCATCTGTTTTTGATACACACGGTCTCTCTTTCTTCTTTAGCTCTTTGTTCTCGGGCTTGATTGGTATGTCTTCTAGGTGCTGCTATACAGTTCTTGCTGATATTGACGAGCTACAGAGCCTGAGCTTATTTTGGTTGTTTCGAGTTGCTTACAACAGCACATGTTTACGATTGATTTGGGTGCATGTTGGGGTATAAACTTAGTCAGCTTTCTCATGGTTATTGAGATGCAGTCCAAGGCGGTTTGGTATTGTCTCGATAATATCTAGGTTCTAGTTGTAAGCACTAAACAGTGTGCCTTATCTATGTGGCTAAGTTGGTAAGACATGCTAAACCAAGCATTTTGATTCCCTTTCCGAGTACCCATGTGTCCTGCTTCTTAAGGATTGTGTTTCAATCAATCTACTTGGTTTGTGTCAGTTGTGCATTTCTTGTTTGCCAAGTGTATAAATTCCTTCGAATATCCTCTTAGGCCCTCATGGAGGCACTAGTTTTATGCATGTAGTCAAATATAAATTGGGGATGTGCGCTCCAATCATACATACTTTTATCCAAACCCAAACCCATGGACGCAGAAATGTGTCGTGAGCTTTCAATGCTTCTGGGAAATGAGTTTTCATCTGGAGATCCCTGAATGTCAAGTGTAAACCATTAAATCCCTTGCTGAATCCATGGGCAGGCATTTCAGTCATTTCGAGTTGTGCTTATCTTGCCTAGATGTCTTGTTTCTTGGACATTTGTTATATAAGTTTCCTTATTATGTATATAGATGTCAGAGATAATACTGAAACGGTTGCAAATGGTTACTCTGCTACTCTGGTAGGGAAACAGTTTTTTTTTTTTTTTTTTTTTACTGATGGATTATTTGATCTAGCTGCGTTTATGGTCTACATAATCTGCTATGCTTATAGTCTTTTGCCTTTTCACTTACCTGGTTGTCAATATAAATTGAATCTAAAATACTGAAGATGCAGCAATTATCATTGATTGATATGATTGGTTATGGATATATTAGCAGGTCTGCTTAACTTTTGTGAGAATAGAAGCTTCAGATATCTTTATGCTATATTTGGCATCTGCGAGTGATGTAGTTTTGGTACTTACTATCCTGTTTGTTAATGCTCGAGTGCCTGGTATTTCATATTTTAATCATTGACTTTTTACAAGCCACAGACGCGTTCCTTTGCCGGAGTGGTTGATTAAGATACCTCTCTATCCACTTGTTTGGTTTGATCAAGTGATTACCCTCGGATACAAAATTGTTGGTCTGTTTTGGACTGCATTTTGTATTATTTACCCAGCTTGTAATTGTTAACATATAGTTCATTTTCTACCCGGTTAAACTATCGTTTCATGTTGTTATTGGTATTGTATTGAAATTAAGGCTTTTTACCAGTTTATGTTTCTCAGAGTAGAGTTGCATTTTGTGTTCCATTGACCTTTTGTTTTTAGTTGTCCGAAATAATGATGAATGTTGCTCATTGTTTTTTTTCAGATTGCTTCTTTGCGCTAAAGGTTTGGAATGTTCAGAAAGCAGGGGCTTCGGCTGTCTTGGTTGCTGATGACATTGATGAAGCATTGATAACCATGGACACACCTCAAGAAGATGGTTCATCGGCAAAATATGTTGAGAACATAACAATACCTTCTGCTCTTATTGAGAAAAGCTTCAGCGACATACTGAAGAAATCACTGAGCAATGGTGATATGGTGAATGTAAATCTTGATTGGAGAGAAGCTGTTCCTCATCCTGATGATCGAGTGGAATACGAGTTGTGGACCAACAGTAATGACGAATGTGGTGTCAAATGTGATATGTTGATGGAGTTTGTGAAGGATTTCAAAGGTGCTGCTCAGATACTTGAGAGAGGCGGCTACACTCAGTTCACTCCTCATTACATAACGTGGTACTGCCCACAGGCATTTACGTTGAGCAGACAGTGCAAGTCACAATGTATAAATCATGGGAGATATTGTGCTCCTGATCCTGAACAGGATTTCAGTATTGGCTATGAAGGGAAAGATGTCGTTCTCGAGAACTTAAGGCAACTGTGTGTTTATAAAGTAGCAAATGAGACTCATAGACCCTGGACATGGTGGGACTATGTAACCGATTTCCAGATCAGATGTCCAATGAAAGAGAAGAAGTACAACAAGGAGTGTTCTGATAGTGTTATTAGATCTCTTGGTATACTCTTATTTCCTCTCTCATGTATGCCTCTGATTAGAAATTATTATGTTGGAGAAAGTGAATGACTTCATATGTTGTTTACTGTATCTGTCCCAACTTTGCAGGACTTGATATGAAAAAGATTGAGAAGTGTATGGGAGATCCAGATGCTGATTCTGATAATCCTGTTTTGAAAGAAGAGCAAGATGCCCAGGTATCTCTTTTATGTCTGCTTACAGGACTGGGTTGATGAAAATTGTGATGTTGGAATATCTCATGCCCAATTATTAGTGAAACGTGTCTAGTTAATTGACAAAGTGTTTATTGTAGGTTGGCAAAGGAACTAGGGGTGATGTAACTATACTGCCTACTCTTGTTGTCAACAATCGACAATATCGAGGTCTGATACTGATTTGCTTCTGTTCATTTAATGAATTTGCTTCCTCTGCTGTCATTGTTTTCCTTATAATTTCCCAAAGCTTCTTTGCTTCATAATTTACAGGAAAGCTGGCGAAAGGTGCTGTTCTGAAAGCCATATGTTCTGGTTTTGAGGAAACAACTGAACCAGCTGTTTGCTTGACTGGCGGTAAGTTATTAGGTTGTGGGTAGCGAATTAACTGTTACTTTGAGGCTGCTCATTGGTAAAAGTTGGTAAATACCTGAGATTTGCGTGCCCCGGGATTGAGTGCTTGGAGTGGAGATTCACATTGAACACATAGGTTATGCTATTGTGGTGCTTCATTACAGCTTAATTATTTTACTAGGAGATTATTGCCAACTATGCTATGAAAGGTTCTCTAGCATCAATGAGAATCTGAGCATCACAGCTTTACATAGGTTATGCTAATGTGGTGCTCCATTACAGCTTAATTATTTTACTAGAAGATTATTTGCCGACTATACTATGGAAGGTTCCCTAGTATCGATGTGAGAATCTGAGCATCACAGCTTTTCTGATGCAGATGTTGAGTCAAATGAATGCTTAGAGAATAATGGTGGTTGCTGGAAAGATAATGTTGCAAACATCACTGCTTGCAAGGTATGTAAAGATGGCTGTACTTCTGTCGGTATTAGGATTTGTAGTACTGATGCGCTTCCGTTTCTCACATTCTACATTTCAGGATACATTTCGTGGGAGGGTATGTGAATGCCCCCTTGTTGACGGTGTGCAGTTTAAAGGAGATGGATACAGTCACTGTGAAGGTATTTCTTACTCCTGATATTTTTATTGGCATTTTTTCTTATCTGCTATAATCATTATTCTGTAATTTTGAAGACTGTAGATCTATGCTGGTTCACTTAATTGGCTAGAATTCTCTTGTGCATGTGTGTCAAATTTTAGTGGAACTTTGGAAGCATCAGTGGCCCTTGTGATGTAATCATATTCATAACTCTGTTGCACCTAAAACCCAAGGGGTTGGTTTAGTGGTATTGTGGGTATGATAACATCCACCACACCATAGGTTGAAACCATGGGGCTAACAATTACCTTATTAAATAAAAATTCTGTTGCACCTAAAACTAGGTCCTGCCAACATATACCCCCATTACCATGACTGGTTAAATCAATAGCTTTGACCATCTGGTTCTGTGTTGTATGTGCTTAGGCTTGGAAGGAACTCTTTCTTTCCCTGTTAGATGGTTGGTCTCTGTTGTTAAGTCACATATTTTTTGAAGGGTTTGTACATTTACTTCCGTACTTTGTTTCAGTGAGTGGACCGGGAAGGTGCAAGATAAACAATGGTGGATGTTGGCATGAATCTCGAGAAGGACATGCATTCTCTGCCTGTTTGGTTGGTATCATGTTTTAAAATATCACGTTCTGTCGTGATTTGTCTTCTTCAGATATTTAACAGTGATTGTTATCAGGATGTTGATGGGGGTAAATGCCAGTGTCCTTCTGGATTTAAGGGCGATGGCAAAAATAGTTGTGAAGGTAAGATATTCTTGCATTCTGGTTTTGAAATTCTGTAGGAAAGCATGTGAATGTGGCGGCTACATCGGTTTCTTTAGATTCTTGCCTCAATGGGCTATGGTATCTCTCAGCATCAAGGCTTGGTTGGTAGCCCAGCAGCTGAACTTGCGTTCCTCAGTGTGGTATTTTCATTAATGTGTGTCACCTGTTTTCGCAGATATTGATGAATGCAAGGAAAAGAAAGCATGTCAGTGTGCTGAATGCAGCTGTAAGAATACTTGGGGAAGTTACGACTGCAGTTGCAGTGGAGGTCTGCTTTATATTAGAGACCATGATACCTGTATAGGTGAGTTTGATTGCAGCAAAACTAGAAACTCAAACCGCTATGAAACGTCCATTTTGTGGGCAGCTTATTCTCTCTATCCTTGATGAGCTTACTGCAGGTAAGGCAGCGGCTAGTAATGAAGTGAGGTCTGCATGGGCTGCTGTTTGGGTAATCTTTATTGGCTTGGGAATGGCTGCTGGTGGTGGATATCTCATCTACAAGTACCGATTGAGGGTAAACATGATGCATTAAATATGAGTTCCTCTGAGTTCTGATTTGTGCTGTCGAGAATAATTCTCGAAGAAGGATTACGTTTTGGGTTTTCCCCTGGTGAAGTAACAAATCCTAACTTGGGTGGTATGTTTCTTGTTTTTGCAGTCGTACATGGATTCGGAGATCAGGGCGATAATGGCACAGTACATGCCTCTGGAGAGTCAAGCAGAAGTGCCGAATCACCTCGGTGACCAACACGCTTGAAGAGTGTTGCAGAGGCGATCGAGGTGAATCCATGGCGTCTATAGATTACTCGGGAAACTATTTGAGACCAACCAACCAGGGGGGCATGTGTGGTTTTATACGCGAGAGCCCTTGTATGTTCATCAGTCAACTCAAGGAACGAAATATTGGGTGTCTGTAATGTTGACAAATAAAGGGAATGGTGATGTCACAAGTTGTTGCTGTTGTTTGTTATTAGTAGTAGTAGTAACTAGTAAGTAGTAGACATGTAACAACGTTTGCTATTAGGGGATTGGGAGAGACTAACTCGGATTTTGTTTATGTTTATTTCCCCTTTGACGAGTTTTATTTTTTACCTTTCTGCCGTCTCCATAACCCAGTCAGTCTGCATTTATCATATGGTGATATTACTTACTGTAATCCACTTTCCTTGCTCTTCGTTTAGAGCAGAAGAGCTGATAGCAATACTAAATGAAATAAGCTGACTACATATTACTCAACCTGTCTAACCTGCCACTGCCAGCAATCGGGATCTTGGCGATTATTGTCAAGCACGATCTTAACTTTCCTTGCGGTCCAACAGCCGATGGCCTATACCCAACAAGTTACGCTGAAAAATCCACCAAGAGGTTAATTGTTACCTAAGCAAACCATATGGAGAAGAAAAAAAAAATCCACGACAGCCCTGCCTGTCGCTTTAATGTTTTTTCATCTCCAAACCAAGATATCCGAGTTCAAGTGGTACTAGGACACATTTGGCAAACTTTTAAGAGGAAAACTCCTAGAAATCCCTCTCTTCATTTACTATAAATAGGAGCACATGCTATAGTTGTTAGACACTTTTACACCCAAAATAGTCGAAGTTCGGGAATGTCTTCACCGACGATGGTGTAAGCATCGATGGTGATGACCTCTCCATCTCTCATGGCTAACTAAGCATGTATTGTTTAGGGATGTGCATTCTATTGATCCTTCATCCATCTACAGTTCTATGATTAAATGAGATGCCTTGGGCAGGGGCGGAGCTACTTACAAGGTAGGGTGGGCCCCGAACCACCCGGGAATAGTTCGGGCCCCTAGGACCTTAAAGATACTTGGATAAAATTTAAATAAGTATGACTCGGCCAAAACATTAGTTAATATAATTATCATGTAGTCTACTGGTAGCTAATCTACTTGTCAGTGTGAAGCACTTAGGTTCAATTCACCACTTCACATTTTGCGTTATCTTGAGCGCTTTCAATAATTTTTATTTTTTAGACTAAATTGAAAGAAAGATAGCAAAAACATTTAGTTTAAAGCTATTTTGAGTGGTTTTTCAATGATTTCAAAGAACGTTGTATACTTTAAAAATAATTATTTTATTTGTACTTACGTTTAATTATTTTCGGCCCACCCAGTGTCGAAATCCTGGCTCCGCCCCTGGCCTTGGGCATTGGATGCCTTTATCATTCGATTCTTTTATCCTTGGATGCTTATACCATTCGATGTTTACGCCATTTAATACCTATAAAATTTGATGCTTAAACCATTCAAATGCTTTAATTGTTTGATGCTTAACCATTTGAATGCTTTAGTTGTTTGATGCCTTAACCATTATATGCTCATATCATCATTTATGTGCTACTATCGTATTGTTTATAAAGTCATGATAAGTTGTTAGGAAACTACTCTTGTTTGATATGTTATTGGCCTATTGCCTTGTGTGTGAATTCTAGTTGGAGGCAATTATGCATGCATATGTGAGTTCAATGCTTGTTATTTAGATCATCCTATAAACCATTGCTTTGGTTCTTGGAGGCATAAACCATTAATGTGATATCCTTATTTTCTAATTTTATTGATTACTTAATGGCATGAAGCGGAAGCACACATTAACTAGTTGTAGTTCCTCTCGCATATGACAAAAGCTCAGCTAGGAATGCATTAGTAGAAGTGATAGGGCATCATAATAGATCGATGCATAGATGTATCTTATTAATGATATTGTATGTGTTATAAACGCGCTGCTACTGATCGGGAAATCGTCGGAATCGATAAAGCAAGAATACGAAAGCGAGAATCGAAAAACACAGACACACGATTTACGTGGTTCACTAACACGATGTGTGTTAGCTAGTTCACGGGCGAGAGAGAGTCAGTTTCACTATATCGAGAAGATTACAGATTACAGAGGAGTATGAGAAGTATTTATAGTACTTCTCCATGTGGGTCTAAACCTAATCCAATCTGGCTGATAGTATGAGAAGATTACAGATTACAGAGGAGTATGAGAAGTATTTATAGCGAGACCCCCGACTAATCCAGTCGTAGCAGCTGATAGTCCGATTCAAGTCTCAAGTCACATCAACAGTATGTATGATCATCTACAGTGGCGGAGTCATGGGGGTTTAGCCTCTAAAATTTGGGAAAAAACGATTATCCAACTCTCGATAATAGTTTGTGTATGTTGGGACTGTACGTAGGCACCGGGTCGGGTCGCCCACGGGCCCGCACGTCATGGCACGATTAGAACACGGCACGAGCACGAGCACGAAATATATGTTCAGCCCGACACAAGCACTAATGATTTATGGGCCGTACCAGGCCTAAACTTAATGAGCACGGACATGGCCCTAGACATACATAGAAATTTTATTACGTCGATTGTAATACTACTACACCATCGCCTGCTACTTCTTAGTTTAGATTTGGAGGTAAAGCTTGAGCATATTTTTTGAGAAGCTAAATGTTGTAGTGGATTACTTACCTTCAATAAGTCACTCTTTATCTCTCTGTAGGGCTACATTTGTTTCCCCGAGCACTACACTCTGCTACTGGTTGTACTGTGATCGCATCGGGATTATAATTTGGCTTCTGGGTTTCGGATGGGAAACAAGGCACTCCATAAATCAATCCAAGGCAATGGTGTAAATCAAATTAAAAAGAATAAATGAATCAGAGCCGAATAGATTGGAACTTCCTCCCTCGTCCGAAATTACAAATCAAGAAAATGAAACTACGAACATCTATATACTCCAATGTCCATCCCATTGTAAGCAATCGGTGAATACATCCAGTGATCATCAGAGCTCAACAACTGCACCACAACACAACACAACACAGAAACAGATAAATTATTAATTACCCATTTGGGCAAAAGAAACACAGGATTATGTTAATGTTAATCCATAATATTTGCCAAAGTCCTCCTCCTGACCTTGATTTGAAGCTGCAAGAACTTCACATACTGGACAGCTTCTTCAAGCATGGTGCTGATATCCACTTTTGTACCATTGGGGACAAGGGTCTGCAGAACCTTCAGCCTCTCGTTGATTCTTTCTCGACGTTTCTGTAAATCAAAAGGGGGGAAGGAAAAAAGTGTTTAGATCAAAGCCAGGCAAGTGATCAACAAAAGAATCTAGCAGATTTGTTGCAGCTATAGATTAGGTTTCCCTTACTTACCCTGGCATAGAGGCTCTGTGGATCAGTGGCTGCACCCCTGCTGGCTCTTGTCTTGCCATTCAAGCTCACAGTAATGGAACCAGTACTAGTAGATGTTGTTGGCACAGCTTCTCCTCCTTCATCAATCTTCTCATCCGCTGCTGATCCATCAAACAAGGACTCGTCTGAATTGCTCGTCGTTGTAGCTGCAGCACTCTTCACATTATTGTTCTGTTCCTCCATCTTCTTGGCACCAGCTGAAGAATGCTGCTTCTTCCCCACTTTCTTTGACCTCACACTCTTCTTGGCTTTCTTGGGCTGCAAGTCGATTTCGCGGATTTGGTCAGAAAAATGAGTGCATACCATGCAACCAGCATCGCTTAATCGAAAAATTGTGTACAAGTTAAAAGACAACTTACCTCTCCTCCAGTGGCCCTTGATCTCTTCTTTGTCCCCTTGCCAGGTTTCTCTTCAGGGTGCCCTGCATCTAATATGTCAGGCTTCTGCTGTTCATCTTTATTGTTCGGTATAAAGGTCTCGTCGGATTGTGCCAAGTAAGAGGTGGTACTCATTGGAATGTGGTTGCCTTCGTTGCAAGCAAGAGGAGGCAGAGAAGAAGAATCAAGCAGCTGATGGAGAGCCATGGATGTGTCTTGACTGGAAGTTCCTTTGGAGTAAAAACCATGACTGCTGCTGCTGCTGCCACTGCCTTGTGATGTTGCTAATGATGAAAGATGCTGACTTGAAGTATTCCCAGCTGCTGCTGCTGCTGCTGCTGCTGACATGTCGAATGGTGCCGATGATGTCGAGAAGAAGTCAGAATCTAGACCGATGGAAAGCAATTGTGCCATGAAATCAGGTTCATCATGACCATTTGTGTACATCATTCCACTCATTAGAGAGCTCCAATCCATACAAGCTAAGGATTCGACTTGCTCCATGCCTCACTGAGATATAATTCGGTTTTTGTAAATGCTTCTTTTTGTGTCCTCGCTTTCTCTCTGTGTTTCTGAAAGAAAGATGAAGCAAAAAGAGGCCCTATTTATACATGTCTGCCATTGAAGGTTGCATGGCAAAGAGCTAGAAGCCAAAGCTAAGAAAGAAATCAAAGGAATGTCTTCAAGAGGCTCAAGGGGGGTGGAAATATTCCAGTTGACAAATATATCCCATTAATTAATCAAACAGTTGTTCACATTCAATAATTAACGTGCCTACAAATAAACACATAAAAATGAAACTAGAGAGCAATTTAAATGGGGCCATGTACAGCTCATTTTTATAAAGTTTTTATTTTTTGTCCCTATTTGTTGGAGGGGAGTCTCCTAAAATATTTGGCCATGTGGTTGTGCTGCAAATATATGGTATAAATGAAATGGTCTTCTTTAATTAGTATCAAGTGCTTCAAATTGTGCCCCTAAAAAAAGTGCTTCAAAATGTTTGTAACTACTTTACTTTGGGACTGGCTGCAGAACTCCGGAAAAGACACTCAATCAAGGATTGAAATATCGTACCGTATCGGTGGTTCGACCAGAAAATATCGTATTGTATCGATGGTATTAAGCGGTTGAACCACGATTTTAGCATAAAATACCCTACTGCAAACTTTTCTGATAAAACCTCCGATACGATATTTCAATCCTTGCACTCAACTAACGCTGGGAGAGGAAGAGAAGTACGATGCGTTGGGTACCGGTGATCAAGCAAAGGGACAACTATACGGGTTAAATCTTAAATGATTGGTTTGTCCATGGTAATTTGTAAGTCATTGTGATTTGTTGAAAATGGTATATTTCTTTCACTCGTGGACAACCAAATTTCTCTAGAGATTATTGGTCCAGAAAAAAAAAAAAACACCCTCTTGTAACACTCTGGACTAAAAACCCATAAAATCAGGATGATATGAGATTTATGGGCATTGAATATGAGTATATATATATATAGAACATTTCTCAAATCTACACGAGAGCAATCACCCAATAAACTTCTCATCCATGCTCCACCCTTTGTACTAATTTTAACTCTAATACTTGCAAACATATCTTTTTAATTGTTTTTCTAAATATCTATTAAAATTGTAATCCTCTAATTATATATGATGATGTCATTACTCATTAGCAATGGTTCACCAGGTTGACCGGTTGCTAGAAGAGGTACACCGCTTGATGGAAGAAATAGACCATTTAGTGGAAGCGCTAAACCGGTAAACCTATCCCAATTTCGCAAAGAACCTAACAAACTGAATCCAAAAAAAAAAAAAAAACTTTTCGCCTTTCACAACTTATGCTCCTCTCCTACCACCGGCTTCCTCTTCTCCTCCTTCACTAATGGGACCTCAGTTGCCTTCTCCTCACTGCAACATCAGCACGTCAATCGCACCCTCTACGCACTTAATGTAAGCTTCTGCGTTGAATATTCTAATTTTGCTAACCAATTGTGGGCCTAAAAAGCTTGTGGCGATGCAAGGAATACGAGGAGAGTGATTCAGAACCCTAGGTATAGTCCTCACCCATGAGGAGGAGCGAACGACATCAGATCGTCGAAGAAGAAGCGACACAAAGATATTTGAAACCCAACCCAATTCGACCCATTACTATTCGTACTCTCGAATACTATTAACAATCAATTCGGCCTTGTGATTTGATTTGTTGGGGTTAGAAAATCTAAAAATAGATTTTTTGAAATATATGGTAATAGATTTTGTAAATATAAAGTGGATGTAAGGTAATATAAGGATAGATTGTGATGTTTAGATTTCATATTTTTTTAAACAGAGTAAGGTGAATTATTTTAAAGACAAAGATACGGGAAAGAGACAGAAATTGGGGTTTGCTGGGTTTTTCCTCTTGTTTGCTCTTGTACAGTTTTTTTTTGTTTTTTCTCTTCTTTTCGTTCTAAACCATTATTAAAAAAAAAAAAAGACGTGAGGTGGTGCTATATTAGCTAGCACAGGGTTGCTATTTGCACTAAACAACGTTGTTTTCTAATGGGAAACGCCATTAACAAATTCTACAGAACAGGAATAGAAGTTGACGAGCACATATATCCTTCCTGGTATGTTTCCTCAGTTCATGTCTTTTTGTCTCTCATGTCTGTTTTTGTCTTTTTCTATCAACATCAAAGACAAAAATATAATGGAGATGATCATTAGGAGTATCCGAAATATTGTATATTCCAAAAGTATAGCAGCCCGACCCATAACTCACGAAGAGTATATTTCATCTTGTGATTAATCTAGTCGTGTGGTCTCGTCGAAACTACTGTTATAAACGCGCTGTTACTGATCGGGAAATCGTCGGAATTGATAAAGCAAGAATACGAAAGCGAGAATCGAAAAAACACAGACACACGATTTGCGTGGTTCACTAACACGATGTGTGTTAGCTACGTCCATGGGCGAGAGAGAGTCAGTTTCACTATATCGAGGAGATTACAGATTATAGAGGAGTATGAGAAGTATTTATAGTACTTCTCCATGTGGGTTTAAACCTAATCCAATCTGGCAAAGGAAACGGTTCCAGACCAAGCCCAGAAGCCGAACCCAAATAACATTAAGCCCATACACCGTGGGTCGGGGGCGTTGCCCCTGGACCCCACTCGCTGATCGGACAGCAAGACCCCGATTAACAGTCGTAGCGGCTGATAGTCCGATTCAAGTCGCATCAACAACCACGATAATCGTCAATAATTCATCAATCACGTATGCTTGATCTCTTCAAAAATGTATGAGCAACATTCTACTAATCTACAATACCCCAGGTTAACACAAAATTCCATTCTAATGTGTGATTTAATTCTTAATTAATTTTCATATGAAGTAGTAGAGGCTTTGAAATTTCGGCCGGCCGGGCCATGGCACGATCTCTGGATTGAGGAAATAGTAGTAGCTGCTCCCTTCTGAAGCCATATTATGATGAAAAAGGATTATTATGAAAAAAAATGATATCTTCGGTTATGAATCGTTGAAAGAGAATTGTCGATGGAACTTTTAATTTTCTGTAAATCCGATTCTGTTCTGATTATTTAGCTGCTGATCATGTTTACATGGCTAATACTACATTTTAAGTCAGGGTTTGAAGTGCTAGACAGCCAATTAACATTGAATAATTACATAGTTTTAATTAATTTCGCCGGCCGCACGCCCCATCATATGGTTATATGATTATGGGCGAATTATCTGTCATCAAAGCTGGCAACTGTTCCTACTTGGTATTGTTTTTGTATTATCATATGAATTAGGGATCTCAATTCTTTATCGTGGTGCCCAGTTAGCAGCAAAGCAAGAGAGTGATTTATTATGGGTATAGATGTACTATCGTGAAGTTAAAAATATATATAAGGTGGTTTCTATAGTACTTTGGGTAAAATCTAGGGTACGGCAATACCTCGAGCATTGGGAATCAAAGGGGTTAAAGATGGAATTATGTTTACTTGTTTAGTGTCTCAAGTAGTCCGTATTCTCTTGATTTTCTACTCTATTGGGCTGAAATAGTATCATATTGGATGCACCAGATTTTTTTTTTTACGTTGTCTGGTCATGAAAAACCTTTTTCACGAATCGTGCTTAAATCGTAAAGATTCTCACTAAATTATGTTATGTTCAAGAAAATCAATTCAGAATAGCAACTCAAAATTCGAATTTAGATGATTTACCAGAAAATAAACCTACTTTTTCAACGAAATGGCATAATCCAACCTACTGGTATTGTATCAGTTGGGCATATTGTGCAATAAGTAGGGGTGTTCAAAAGGATTGGTTACCTAGGTAACCATATTAATCGGTAGTCTTCGGTTAATTTGGTTTGGATAATTTGGATAATTGGTTTGGTTTAATTAACCAATTTAGCTTATTTGGTCTAGGTGGTTTGGTTTGGTTTCAACAATGCTAACCAGTGAAAACCAACTAACCAATTAATGATAAACCTAATAGACAAAATTATTTATACTTCCATGCAACCAACCAAACCAATCTTTCGTGATTCCCTATCTTATTTCCATGTGCACAACAAACCAAAGCATTATGAGTCAAAAATTAAATGACCTGCCTATTTACTAAACCAAAACATTTTGGACAGCTACTAGACTTTAGGATTACGTACAATACCAGGACAGCCACCTCAAACTATGTATAGTTTAAGTGTTTTGTATGAGAACTTTAACTTCCTAATGAGTGGTATTGTTATGTATTTAATATTTATGAATCATGGAGGGTTAGTGATATTATTATTGCTTATATATAATGATAGTTTATGATAGTAATAACATATGGTTATCTTTTATTCATTAACAGGATAATTGTTTTCATGTGTTGTTATGTTATTTGATTAATTCGATTAACCAAACCAATTAAACTTTAGTTTGGTTAATTTGGTTTTCATGTTAATTTGGACGGTTTGGTTAAGATATTTTATTTCATGGTTAATGAAATTTAGACTTAATTGGTTTGGTTATTACCACGGTAACCATTTGAACTAACTTGACTATTGGGGAGGGTTAAAACTTAAAAGACTCTGCTTCCACCTTTCTTTTACTGAAGAACTTGAGCACAATCTTACAAGACTTCATGAATACATTTTACTACTTAAACTCAACATTTACTTTCTTTGGCTAAAATAATCTCATACTAGATTAAGGACTAGGGCTCCATAATCGGAGACTTCCGTGTTACAATTACGATATCCCGACAGAATAAGAGCCTGAACCAGGTATCAAAACTTTTAGAGATGTGTTGATGATTATGATCATCAATAAACCTATTCATAAATCATATCAATTGGTAGAAAACTCCCATTATATCGACTATGTGATGGATAAAAGGATTCAGTTAAGTTATATGCATCCTAATACAAATCTGCATTGAGCGTAACTTATGAGAAAAAAGAAACTTACATATTCCGACCAACAGGCTGGGTTCAAGCTAGTTAAGAGAAAACTGAAGCTCTCCAATCCTTGACCTAATCCGATCACCCAATTCAACTCTAAACAGACCCGAAAAATCGAAACAGGGAAAAATGACAAGAAAACAGAGGGGCTGAAGTTGCCTTAAACGAAGAAAACTGGGCTGAAAGCTGAAGATTATCCGCGGATGAGAGTAATTTGCTACTGAGCTTTTTACCACTTACAATCGCCTCCTTTATCTCCCACAGTTCATCCGTATCACCCATACACAAGCAGCAAACATTGGAGGAGACATGCGTAAAGGAATGAATGAAAAAGAAGGCGCCATTCTAATTGGCTAGGTGTATAGCAATACAGCTGACCGTCGTTGAAGTTCATCAAACCTTTGGAAAAAGGCTTACTGCTGCTCGTCACCTGGCTCGTCCCCAAAACCCCGTTGTGCGATTCTGTAGTACAGTATTCCCATGGTCGCCATGCATGCCCTGCAGGTTATTATAACATACTTCTTGTTTAGTTCATGTCATTATACCTTCATAGCACCAGTCGAAGAAAAGAAAAAGAACTGCTTGCTATTCTACAATTTTTAGCATCCTGCTATAGCTGGTCGAAACTCAACCTTGCCTCTACCATGACAAAACTCTAGAGACTTGCTATCTGGAACGAATGTCAGTATGAAAATCAGAAGGGCAAATTTAGACTTTACATGATTGCTATGAAGAGAAGTATCTTTCTGGGATCCATCCTTGATGATCTCTGGTGCCTTGTGCGGACATCAGGGGCATCGTCAGCATTTGTAGCATCTTTACGTGGAGGGGCAGTTACTGGTAAAGTTGGCAATGCACTTGACCAGAAAGGGAGCAATGCTCTGAGGAACTTATGTTGGATTGGACCTGCAACATGTAACAGCTGAAGTTTATATCTAAAAATACATCACCCGATAAAAAATGCACCAATTGGTCCCAATTGAACAAGCAGCAATTCATTCCCACAAGATCTCTGACCATCAGCCCTATTAAGATCTGTTGGCCACTGTTTGTTTCCTGGATTCATTGCATTAATGAAATCGTAACACACATAAGAAATGCTTCTGCCAGGTCAAACACTATTACTGTGTTACCCAAAGAGTGCTGTTTCTGTGACTTTAGACTTTGATTAGCCTAGTGAAAATATTGATATAAAGCAAAAGGAATAAAAGAAGGCACACGTTTTGTTGACATATAGGAATTGGAAGGAATTCACACCGAGTATAGTCAATGTAATTGCATAGACAGGTAACTACTCACCCCTTCGAGAGTACTTTTTTCGGTTCCCGTCTTCATCATCTGCATAGTATGAAATTTCTGAATTTTGCCTCTCGTAATGGATACCGCCTTTTCTAGTAGTTGCAACAGGCTAGATTCCAGAAAAAACAAAATTAAAAGATAAGAAAGCTTTGTATTAAACTCTAACTGTACACTTAATACAGCAGATGTTATTACTGCGAGATATAAGATAAAAGCTCTTACAGCAGCCGGACTAGAATTGTTCAAATAATTTGCCCCAGAACTGGAACTATCAATCTCCACAATGTCCGGTATTGAAATCTTAGATGGCATCATTCCGGAGACACTTGAGTATCCCTCACCCGAGTTACTTGGATCATCTTTTGCCAACAATGACGAAGGAGAAATAGAAACCAACGGATCGGTTGCAAATGCAGGAGGTGGTGGCGGTAAGGAAACTGGATGGTTTCCGAACAGGTTCTTCTCTAGACCCGTCTGAATGATGGTGAACAGAAGCGATCAGTGATATCTACAAAGCCAATCTACAGAAGCTCAAAAGCATCACTATATGCGAAAGAGAAGGCATGAAGAGAGAACATGTAAGACACCAGAACTCAAGTAGCATCCCAAAATTTAAAGCAAGGAATCATACATGCAAATATCAAGTTTTTTTTGTCTTACAAACATGTTAGACTCGAAGAGGAATTGTCTGTTCAGTTCAAATATCAGAAGACCATTGCCGCAGGCACTTTTATAGTCAGAAGATAATGATATCAATTAATGGGGAAACATGGTATGCAGAGATGTAACAAATTAGGAATCCTAGGACAATCCATCCCGAATTTGAACGGAAGGGAAACACGAAACAGTTGATTTAAGACTCAATTCAAACAATTGTTACAGACAAAATTAGTCTATTAAATGCAGCTACGCTGTAAGGTTATGCTCCAAGTAGGTTCCAAAGGGATTATATAGAATGATTTGTGGAGCAAACCATTCAGTTTTTCACAACCACAATGACTTCTTTGCAGTAATAGATCCCCAAAGATATGACAGAAAGACATGCCTGGATAATAGCTTCCTTCAGCTTTGAATAGAAACGAGATCCCGAGTCTTTAACATTTTTCGGAGGCCATATCTGCACAAATGAAACCATACGAAACGTCAGAACTGAGGAATGCATCATGAATAAAACTACATAACAAAACAAATCTATGCAACCAACACCTAACTCAATTTTCTGCTGAGTTCTTTTGATGGTATCAAAAAGAAATGGAATTGGCAGAAGCCCAAACGACATGCCAAAGTCACAGCTTAAATGGTCTATTGAAAGGGATTTTATCTGTTATAACCAAAATAGAGCCCTACATCATGCATTAACGAGAGATGTTCCCAATAACAGGGAGCTAGATCAGAAATGCAGGCATGTTCAGACAGATTATGTATTCAGTATCACAAGACAATTGATCATGAAACCATGTACCCAATTTTAAAGAGTAAAAAGTGACGCCAACATTCTTACTTTTTGGCCCATGAGGTGAGGCAAAGATTCAGTTGCGCAGATACACTAGACAATAAGAACTCTGGTGACCCCAAGGTTTTCATTGTTTTAATAAGATAAGGTCAATAAATGAAAGTACAGTACCAACAAAAGACCGAAAGCATAACCAAATGATTTCAAACGAGACTCGAAGACAGCAGGTCATGCTTACTATATTCAAAAGACTCTTAGCTAAGAAAAACCAGAATCAAGACTCGATCGAACATGCAAAGTTAAAAAACATATGGAACATTCTATCCGAGATCTCATCCTATTCGGCCTAAAGTTTCTCGGAGTAAGCTAATGCTACCAGTAACAAGATAGCAATTTCAAAAACACAATTTCCTTAGTACAATTCACTTTAGCAGCACGCAAGCTTGGCACTACTAGAAAATAACCTGAATCAGGAGAAATAAAGAACTCCAAAAGAATAAATAAAAAAATACCGGTATTGAACACAATGGGCACACGTATCCAGCTGGTGCTGTGTGTGGAGGAAAGCTTTTGATATGTGAAACCAAACAACTTGTGTGTATTACATCTGCAACCCAGCTTAAAAGGTTAGATGCCACTCTCAATTTGCTAGGACAAAAAAACGATTGAACCATAAGAGCACTTACGCATGCAACCCAACCGAGTTGTTTCACCAGAATCCTCGTTTAAAACAGCTTGGCATAAGCAGCATTTAGGGGGCCAATCATATCCTCCATCTATTACCCACTCGGAGTACGTACGAACCTATCAAAGAAAACAAAGAAAATTAACACAGAATTTCCAACAACCTCATGCAGAAGCTTTTCATTGGAATCAAGCAATTTAGTTGCCTTCGACCATTTTATGTTGGAAATCTGGACAATAGCAGATCAGATAGGTCTAGTATAAGAAAACTTTTCTCCCTTAGACACCTTGTTCCATAAGTCAAGCAAGACTGTAATGGTTCACCTTGATCTAATGCGTCTACTTTCGTTCCAAAGTTCAAAATAGTCATCTATGACTAGCATAACACAAACTGAAAACAAATTAGTGCTAGTTTAGATCAAATATCTTTATTTCCATAAAAGACGCATACAATCACTCATCATTCAAACAGCATCCTGGGAACTTGAAACATAAACCACACATACCACGCATATCTGATGCTCTGGAAAGCAGATGCATTCCCCACAAAGAGGAACCTTGTGCACGAAACAATACAATTTAGTAGCCTGAAACAGCGAAAAAACACAAGGATCTGTCAACATTGCGAAGTTGCAACAAACAAAGATCAGAAGAGAACATTTCAACGCAAATGCACGCCACAACCGGCTCATCATAGAAGTGAAAATTAGATCAAACTAGATCGCAGAATTCCGCCGAAGCATCACTCCCGAATCAGATCTAACAACTCCACACAGAAGGAATCTGCAAATGAAAATGCCTAGTGAAGTCGAACGCTAACGAAACGTAATTGAGATGCAGGTTACCTTTCGGCATTTGCAGACCACCATCGCAGGGACAAATTGACCAGAAGCTCGATGATTTGTAGGGATGGAGAAGGAAGAGAATCAGCTCGAGCTTAGAGATGAATTCGCTGGAGTTCCAGCTAGGGTTTAAACAATCGCCGCGAGAGAAGAACGCCAGCGAGCGAGCGAGCGGACGAGACCGGAGGATCTTCCCGTCTGCCTCTGGTGTGTATATTGTTGAGCGCCGTTTCTTTCCTCTTCGTTTTTTTTTTTTTTCCTTTTTATTTTTACAATTAACGAGGAGAGGGTGATTTAGTTTGGGTTTTTCCGGTTTAGTATTTGTCTTGCTAGTTGTCCGTTGATGCGAATGTGGATAGAGATGGCAATTTCGATATAATCTGATTTATCTGATCTGTTTGGTTTGTTTTGGTATGGGTCTGTAGGCAAGGCAAGGCGGGGCGGGCATGAGTATCTCTCATTGACCCGACCTGCCCTGACCCGCCCCATTCTCAACCCGTTCTTGCCTAAATTACATGTAATCTTAGTCAAATTACTTAGGATTTTCCTTTTGCTACATTATCTTTTAGCTATAATAAAGTTGTAAATAAGTGAAAACCTCAATTTCTTCAATAATTGAACTACATTTTATCTTATTTATGGTTTCTTTCTTGGTATTTAATGAAAATAACGAATATTTCTAATGTTTTTCAGCATAAATTACATACCCATCAGGTCGATCTGCCCCGACCCGCGCCCCGTGATAAATTACCGACCTGGACCCGACCTGCCATGGGGGCGGGCATGGGTATCGAGATACCCGCCCCTGATATGCCCATTGTCATTCCTAGATGTGGATGGATGGTCTCAATTGTCCTTTTAACGTGCAAATAGGTGTAAAATATTGGGATATCGTCAATTCATCATAGTTGTGACAACGAGTGACATGTCGATCAATTGCATTTTGTTGAACCGGTATTGGTATTGAAATTGACTTTAATGTCATCGGTATGATGTTTTGATTAATTTTCGTCAATCTGAAAATTTTGGATGGTCCAACCGGAATGCTTAATTTCAAAAATTGATTAATGTGGCATCATTTTGGTGTAAGTTCATTACAAAAATTCTCGAGTCAGACGGGTGGCCTTTCTCTTTGGTCGTTTCGCGATTGGAATCCCTCCCTCATTCGGCTCCATTGCGAAGAGAGCTCGATGGCGCGACAGGAGTAAGTCATCTATGCTTTCTCCTTCCTAAGAACCCTAACTCTACATTGCGGAATATATCTCCATACCAAGTCATGAAGAGGCTCATCACAACAATGCTAGGAGATTTTCCACAACAATATATGTTCGCTCTAAAAAGTTGGGCACTAGACACTCACATCTTTCACAGATACACACATTCATCTGCCTTCGAGCGATGCTCCCCCACGGGAATGAATCTCATCTCTCAGTCGACACAAAATATGCAAGACAAATAAAGCATGATCCCGCTTCCCAGAAGGCGCGGCTTCGACAAGGCAAAAAGTACAATCCCGCTTCCCAGAAGGCATGGCATTGGCAAGACACAATAGTGTATTGAGTTAAAACTCTCAAGTTGCGGGGTCATCCTCTCTAGCACATAGCTAATGCCTAATAGTCAGCCAACTACTTATGCTTAACATGTACAAAAGCTCATGCCCATCGCATTGTCCAACAACTTAATGCATATGCTCATAGTTACAACCTATTAGCGTTAACAACAGTAGGCTAGTGGAGAAATCTTAACGATTTGAGAGCTTTAACTTATCAAGTCGAAAGCTAACCAAGGGCCAAAAACGATGGTCATGCAACTCGCACAAAGGGCAAAAACACATTGTTGAGACTCGCAAGTAAGGCAAATTAATATACTCTAAGTCTCTAACGTATTTTGTTATTCCTTTCATTCTTAAATAATACAATAACTAAAGAGAAAACTGTTGGGATACGATATTAATATGCCTAATACGACAAATGGTTACGTCATGGATGAGCCCAAACTCAACACAAGGCATATAACCTTGCACCCAACCCCACTTTAAGGAGGCCCTCAAGGCAACGAAACTTTTCCTCCCTTCTTTCATTAGGACCACACAAGGTCTCTCTCTAAACTCTCTCTACTTTGCATATTACACACTCATATCTCGTACTAACTTGAGCGTCGAAGTATAGATCATGGGAGTCATCCCTCCCTCTCTCCACAAGTTCCTCGCCTTCCGAAGAGATGAAACGAGGAAACCCATATCAAAACCTCAATAATTATTGTTATAAGCTCGGGTACCTCGTAGGTCGAAACCATAACTATGAATACACACTAGTGGGAAGGAATAAAATACACATTAGTTTATATTTCGGGGTTGATCGGTATTTCAGTATATTACCGATCCCAATTCGGAATCCCTAATACCAAATAGCACTTGAAATTCAATCCCAATCCTAAAAATAATTTGTGCATTCGGTAATACCAAATATCGAAAAATTCAATATGGTATTCGGGATATCTCAAATATCGGTACCAAACTTCTAGCCCTACCCGTTCGGACCACGAACCAGATTTTCAACTCGTTAAGTCTCGTTTTACATTTTAAAAAAAATTTAATCATACATTTTTTTCAAGTAACTGACTATGATGACTATCGAGATTGACGAAGGTCGTGACTACAGCGACCTCACCGAAATCTAACAAAGACTCATCAATGAAGAAGGGTGTTGTTGATTTTGTGTTGTTAGGTGTTATTTAGGTTGTTGGGTTCTTTTGGAGAGAGAAAAGTTTCAAATGTGTTGAGAGAATGAGGGTTATGTTTTGATTTCTAAGAATTTTTAAAATAAAATAAATAAAAAAGTAACAAAATCATTTCACTAGATTTTAAGGAGATAATCAGGGCTGATTGATCCAGAGACAGGGGAGTGGTGCTCTCACTGTTTGGAGGCTGTGTTCACGCCAGGGACGGTTCGTGCAATCTTGTAGATCCCGCTTTCTAGGGAGACCATGTCGGACCGACTTGTTTGGAAAGAGGACCCTTCTGGGGTATATACGGTGAAGTCCGGATATCGTTTGGTGGAAAGAAAGTCCCGGACACCAGGGGCGGGGAAATCTGGATGTAGTACGATGGATCGAGGTCTATGGATCAAGGTGTGGGGGTTACCTATTCAACCTAAGCTCAAGTTTTTTGTCTGGGAGCTGCTGCATCGAATCCTGCCAACAATGGAGGCTTTGTTGGAAAAGAAGGTTCTAGTTCTTGCTCGGTGCCCAGATTGTTGGGCAAGGGAGGAGACTACTGAGCATCTTTTTCCGGAATGCCCCGTAGCGCGAGGGCTTTGGGAGGCTGCGGAGTTGGTTGCAGAGCTGGAGAGTCTTCCTACGGGCTGCTTTGAGATTTTTTTCCGACGGTTTCTACAACGCGATGCTTCGGTTTCTCGTGTTGTTCGGTTGGTGTGCCTGTTATGGAGAATCTGGAAGGGTCGGAACTCGGTGGCTTTTGAGGGGTTACAGATCCTTCCATCTATCCTACGGCAGGAGTTCCTTTTTCAGGTACACGAGTGGTTGCAGGTTCCGCAGGATGTGAGGAGGGATGGTGATGGTCACGCTAGGATGTCGAGTATGGTACTGCCTGTTGGCCAGGGGGATTCGGTGGGAGGAATTATATGTTCCTTTGATGGAGCAGTCCGTGAGGGGTCCCATGCAGCAGGTGGAATGGTTTTGCGCGATGCAGCGGGTATGGTGCTGGTAGACAAGGGTGTGATGTATAATGGCCTTTTGAACCCCATGTTAACAGAGTTATCCACGTTACGTGATGCTATCCGGTGGTGTCGCCAACTTGGGTTTGTGACTATGAGGATAGAAGGGGATGCGAAGGTTGTCATTGACAAGGTCAACACAAGGAGCATCGCTGATGCTGCTGGTGGGGCGATCTTTGAGGAAATTCGTCATCTTCTGTCTGCGCTTCCTGGGTTCCAGATTAGGTTTGTGGGTAGGCAGAACAATAGGGTAGCCCATCTGGTGGCTAAGAAGGCCCTGTCTTTGTTTCCTACGGGTTGTAATGGTTTTGATTTTTGTGCTTGACTTCGATGGGAGCTAGGTCATATGTAACTTCGTATTCTTGTTTAATGCAAGGGATCGTTTCGTAAAAAAAAAAAAAAAAAGGAGATAAAATTACGAATTTTAGAGCGGCTGGCTCTTTTCTTTTTTTCGGATAGCAAAACGGAACCCGTGAAACTCGAGTTAGCAGAGCACAACACTCTTATTTACTAGCATCATCGCCTTTGCCCCTCCGTTCCAATTTCGAATTCAAATTCCTTAACCCTCCTCCGTTCCCACCGCTGCCGCCTTCCTTCCTTCCTCCTCCTTCTGCATCTAGCTTCCCATCAAGTTACAGTACACCACTGTTCTTCTCGATCCTCCTCCTCCTCCTCCTCCAAACTTCCTCCCCGAAAACCCTAACCGTCGCGCCATCCAATGACAGGTGTCGTCCCGCCGCCGGGATCCGGCCGTGACCTCTCGAACCCACCTGCCGACGGTATCTCTAATCTCCGCTTCTCCAACCACAGTGACCACCTCCTCGTCTCCTCCTGGGACAAGGTAACAATTCGCCTTCTTGTCGATTCAATCTATGTTCTTTTGTCGCTCTTTTTGGTCCTACCTGGATTGATGCTGATGCATATTCTCTTAGAGCGTGAGGCTGTACGATGCGAGTTCCAATGTCTTGCGAGGAGAGTTCTCCCACGGTGGAGCCGTGCTTGATTGCTGCTTCCACGACGACTCCTCTGGGTTTAGTGCTAGCGCCGACAATCTAGTTCGCAGGCAAGTTTCCAACTTTCTTTCTTCCTTGTGCTTTGCAGTTTGTAGTGAACTTGAATTTGGAGATTTTCCTGACCTGGAAGTCTGGAACGTGGCTTGGTCTTCACCTGGATTCTCTTTCCCCTGATATTGAATCATTAAGATCCCTTTAGGTCTGATGCATCATATAATGTCAAGAGTGATTCAGTTGATCCGTGTCAAACCTTTGGCCTTAAGGGAAAATCTAGTGCTAGTTCGCTTGCTGGCATTTCATTAATTTTGAACCTCGTGTTTCATAGCCTTTGTAGTCGAAATGAATTAGCTATGAGCAAAAGTTTTTGTCATTATTGTAGTGGGTTCTTTCAGTGATTTTAGGTTAGGGATGCTGCCATTGGAACAGGAGTTAAAACAGATCATGTACGGACAGTCTGCAAAAGTAAAGACTGCAGAACAGGAATTGATATATATAGTATAAATAACTTAATGCTCCTTCTTTAGTGTGCTAGCTGTTGTATTCTCGAACAGTTGAATCATTTTTATCCTGTTGTAATGTTTTTTTTCTTTTCCTTTCCCTTTGAATCAAAATGTGTAAGCTCTTGCTTTTCTAAATGGTTTGGGTTTCCTGAGGATTCTCCACCCGTGCGGTATGAATAACATCTCTGACCCCATTCTGTTGATGTTTCAGACTTGTTTTTAATCAAGGAAAGGAAGATGTTTTGGGGAAGCATGAAGCACCAGTCCGTTGCATAGAGTATTCTTATGCATCAGGTGAGATAATCTAAGATTTATCTGTAGAAACGTTTACGTACTTCAGCTTTGTTAAGGTCATTGAGAGCAATTTCTTTCATACAAACTTATTCATCACCATGTGCATTCCTTTCAAGTTTCATCGTCAATCTATTTTGTCCTTCTTTCTTTTTGAGTGTTTGTCTATATTGATGTTTCAAGCTAACAATTATTTAGCAGTACAATAGCATCTATTTTTATGTTGGTTCTTATAATGTGTTTATCTTAATGAGCTGATGATTGAATGTGTGATCTATCTCTGTGTAATAGGGCAAGTGATTACTGGTAGCTGGGACAAAACAGTGAAGTGTTGGGATCCCAGGGGAGCAAGTGGAAAAGAGCGCACTCTCATCGGCTCGTATGCACAGCCTGAAAGGGTTTACTCTCTATCTCTTGTTGGAAACCGTGTAGTGGTAGCCACAGCAGGTAGACATGTAAATGTCTATGATTTGAGAAATATGTCTCAACCAGAGCAGCGAAGGGAATCTTCATTGAAATATCAAACACGATGTGTGCGCTGCTACCCCAATGGCACAGGTATTGGCAGATCCTATTTTGAATTAGTTTGTTCAGCTTACTGGTTCCATTTAACTGGATAAAAGAACAATCTATATCTTGAAGTCTGTATGTCCTCTTGATGATGGATATCTTTCTCTTACATGCTTACTGTGGAGATTTCTTATATTGCTGATGTAATTGGACGAGAGACACATCTGTTTCGTGAATCATGTGTAGTCTCTCGAAGAGCCCTATGCTTGAAGATTAATAGTTTCCTTCAACATGTTCGATCATTTTTCTTTGACCTTTAGATCTTATTTTTCCACCGTGCTATGCAGGATATGCTCTTAGTTCTGTAGAAGGGCGTGTAGCAATGGAGTTCTTTGATCTTTCAGAGGCAGCTCAAGCTAAAAAGTGGGTATTCCATTTCTTCAACCTTTAGAAGAAAACTTAACACATCGTCTCCTCTTACTCGGTCATTATCACAATGTAAAGTTTCAACAAGTGTGTTGGTGTTTTTTGCTACTGCTAGTACTGCTTCATGCAGGGTCAAATGGTTGATTCTGTTAGGATATTTAAAGCAATCATGCATAGTTTATGGGGATCTTTCACCTTTGAAATTTTTGAAAGGAGTGGGACGTGGGATTCAACCTATAGCTCTATGATTTGGCTGGTTACCCAACCATTAGACCACACGAGGTCCTCCATAGTTATGTTTTCTATTTAATGGGATCAAACATATTCAGTCTCATGTTCTCTGCTGCTAATATTTATACTCATTGCAGATATGCATTCAAGTGCCATCGGAAATCTGAGGCTGGAAAGGACATTGTATATCCTGTAAATGCCATTGCTTTTCATCCTGTGTAAGTTTCTAAGCATCCCTGTAGATTAACCTTTCTCCGCAGATTTCAAAAACAGAAAAAAGGATAGCAACCTTGCTCAGAATCACATATTTAATAGAAAGTGGTTGGTTGGGTTTTATATGATATATGTGTCTCCTTACCTGCTAATCACAAGAAATAGATGAATGATAGTTGATCAACTTGCTCGCTTGCTCCATTTGAAGCAGTAGTTACAATTTGCTCTTGAATTTAATGCCTAAAAATGGATATTAGTGTTTATTATTTCGTTGGCTTGGCTGCTGCTTGGCAAGTTTTCTATTTCACTAAAACTGTACTATTTGGGAATTGACCTTTCCAGCTACGGTACATTTGCAACTGGAGGCTGCGATGGTTTTGTGAACGTCTGGGACGGTAACAACAAGAAGAGGCTGTATCAGGTATCTTGCTATGGTGCTCTGCATTTCTACGCGAAAGATGCGATGTGCATGTTCCCAGGAAGCCCTTATTTCTAATATTATTTTCCGCTCATATTTCCAGTACTCAAAGTACCCGTCGAGCATTGCTGCACTTTCGTTCAGCAGAGATGGCCGCCTATTAGCTGTGGCATCAAGCTACACATTTGAAGAGGGAGAGAAACCGTATGACAATTTCTCTCTCTCTCTCTCTCTCTCTCTCTCTCCCCCCCCCCCCCCCCCCCCCCCCCCCTCCCTCTCTGGTGCTGGTTCTAACTTGTTGATGTACATTTTGCAGCCACGAGCCAGATTCGATATTTGTCCGCAGTGTGAATGAAGTCGAAGTAAAGCCTAAGCCGAAGGTCTATCCAAACCCTCCTGCATGAGAAGAAATTGTATGACAAGGATTGCTGTGTAGTAGTATTAGTAGAATTAGCAGTATAATGTGTTCTTCGCATGAGCGCTTCATTTACTCCTTGTGAAGCTGCCGGAGCTAAACAAGTCGCATAACTGAAGCAGGTTAATTTGTGAATTACTTCATGAATCTTTTCCAGTGGTTTCCGTGCTGTGACAGTAAAAGTGTATCGTTTGCCCTAATCTTGATGGTCACGTAAACAGTATTCTAGTATTCTTTTGATCCCTCTCATGGTTTACAACTTCTAAATCGTAATGGACTGGAATGACATGGTGAGCAAGGCTGTCTTAACAAAGGTTCTTTTCACTTTTTCCAAAATCGTAGTAGGGAAAATGTAGGGATCGAAATTAACAATTGCAGCGCGCAAAGAAACCCCATTGATAGGGTTCAACGTTTTCGTTCATCGTGCACCTACGCCACATGTTTCATAAGTAGTTCAGGAAAGTTCAAAGCTACATCATTCTCATGGCAATTCTACGACAAAGAGCTGTATTTGGGTAAAAATTGGGGCAAATGTATGGTGTGCCCTAGTTGAGAAATGTTAGAGTAAACTAGAGAACCATATAACAGAAACCCTTTGCCCCCGGCAACATTAAGGTAAACCTTGTGAAGAGCTGCTACGAGTTCTGTACACTATATAATAGTTTTGAGCAGTAGCAGCATAATGGACTATCTAATTGATAATCAACCAAATCTGGTAGGAGCTGCTCGTGGACCAGCAGCCGCTGCACGCATAGCTTTAGACTGAGCAAGCAACGCATCATAGTCCTGCGTAGGGAATAAGGTTTCGTTACTTCCAAAGGCTGCGGTGCAACGTTATTATTTCACCCAAAAAAAAAAGGGTTAAGTGAAAAAAGAGCGCGTACCCGTTTCTGAAATGCATCGTCACTTGAGTCAACCAGTTTGTCTGCCAAGCCATACTCTATTGCCTCTTGTGCATTCAGATACTTTGGTCGCCGAACGTCCTTATTTATTTCTTCCTTTGATTTCCCAGTTCCTTTAGCTAACAGCTCAATGTAGTAATCCGTATTTGCATCCAGCTCTTTGGCCTGATGGAGTGATCATCATATGAAATTATAATTAGGTCTCAGGAGAAGCCAGAGATGCAGCAACTAGCGAAGGGTATTTACTATTTACACCAAAGGAGGATTACCTTGATCCACATATCTATGACAGACCCACTTGATCCATTGACTTTAGGCAGATAAAGCTTTGCTGTAATTCCGAAAAAAATACGTTTTGAAACCATGATCAGCAAGTGTAGATAGCTATTAGACAAGTAGTTTTGATTGCTATTCCATCAATTTAAGAAAGAAAAACAAAGTCATCACTTCACGAGGCTGGAACTTAAAGCACCACAATGTGTCGTGCACCATATCATATTGTCCATTTACCTGTCTATCAAAGTCATGCTTAGCTGATTATATCATGAAATGAAATTTTGAATCTTACTAGATGAGTTGGGCTGCATGGCACGATAGCCTTTGGCTCCAAGTGATAGAAGCATTGCAGCTTGACCATATGCCATCCCGCAGTTCACAGTGTAGACAGTTGACTTGCAATACTTCAAGACAGAAAAACAATTGGAACAAGAAGGTATCAGCGAATTACTCTGTTTGGTTCGGAATGATCACCTAATAAGCCAAATGCACCAATGTCCCCAGTTAACAGAGCAAGTGTATCCAAGTAGAAAGAAAAGGATAACCCTTCAAGTCATCGCAATTATCTAACAAACAGTACTTTATGGATTCATCAAGCCCTTCTAATCTATTCAAAGATACTGGTCACTAATACATGTAGTATGCAGCTCAAGACTATTTACCACAGATGTCACAGAAAGGGAAACATAATCTAGCTCTACAAATAGATTATAATCGATCTAGCTATCTTTAGTACCCATATTTCATTAGGCAGATGAAAATAGTATATTTAGAAGAAAGATACTCACTGCCATAGCATCAGCAATGGCAAATGCTTCGGTTTCAGAACCAACAGTCTCCATCTTCTCATTCTAGATTTCAAACAAAAACTGAGTCAGACATCCAAAACAGCTGGTTTGAAGGAAAAGCATTCAATCTGTACAAACAAACAACCTGTGTCCCAGTTGAGTTTATGTACAGGTAAATAGGCTTTGTCGCATCATCATAGTCCAGATACATAAACTGAGCAACAAGAAGCTCGGTGACTGCAGGTACTATCTGCAGACACAAAGAAGAGAAATGTACAACTTTCACAAAAAATAATATGCAGGTAAACCATAAGAGGGCATCAATTACTCAAGTAAAGTCGCTTACTGACCGGCATTCCAAGATAGCATATCCGAGCATCTAAGAGCAAAGAAGGCAGATCCGGAGGAGCGGATCTCGGCCTTCCAATTCCGCCCCTCCCACCTCCACCCCGATACATGCTCACACTCATGCTATATTTTGCTGGACCCATATCCGTCATACCTGATGTAGTGTACATCCCGCCATGATCCAGATAGTTGCATCTAGATGAAATGCTTTCCTGACAAGAGTAGCAGTAAACTTATTGTCTTGCAGTTCTTTGTCAGCTAATTCCGACGAATAATAGAGAGAGAGAAATTGCCAACTGGGTGAACTGCTTGTTGTTCATCAATATGTGCATATGATCAGAACTCAGAAGTACACATATAAAATTTCCAAGGACTAGTTATAACCTCTGTGACTCTTTCAGACTGCCTCCGAATGGGGTTATCTTCAGTCATAAACATATCCATTTGTGAAGGAGAAAGCCCATACAACTGCCGAGGAACATTTTGGTAGTTTTCCATCACTGCAAAAAGTAAGAAACAGATTGAGAAAATGCGAAAGAACTTTTGGGAAGAGTTGGCCCAGAATTTCTACAGAGAAATTCAGCCTCCGCTAAACTATTAACAACTTGTTCGAAAACCTAGCTCTTCCACTGAAATTCGAACCCTAGCCAGTAATTTTAGGTATCAATAAACCTGAATCACTATCCAGATCAGCTATGCTTTCCGGGCAAAAAAAACAAGCGAATGAAATGAAGAGATACTATCACAACCTCGACGAACACTTAAACCAAAACAATGGAAGGAAAGAGATACTTACGTCCGTCGATGAGGTTTTCTTGCCGGAACCGCTGAGGAATGCGGTCAAAAGGCTTCCCGGAGGCGGAAGGAGATGTGTAGTATCTACGCTGAACTGCAGCTCTCTGCTTCAGTGGATTGGCAGCAGAGAAGAGGAGGTTCGTACTGGAGAGGAAAGACGATTTTGGAAGGCCGGCAGTGGGAGCTAAGAGCTCTGTCGACGGAGCAGAGAGCGGCGAGAGCAGAGAGGCCGCCATGGCTATGGATTCAGAGGGAGAGAGATGCAAAGCGAGAGTTCCGAAGCTATTCGTTGTAGCGTCGCAGAGTTCCGAGCGTAGAAGCGACCTGGTGTGGTGATGGAGAAGCCTGAGGCGTTCCTCGGTTCCTGATTTCTTCACTTCACGATATATTTTTTTTTCTTTCCCTTTTTTAATTTCATTTTTTTTTCAATTTATGTATCTCATTTTGGGCTTTTTGACCAAGCTTGGGTTTCCGGCTTTCACTTTGGATCGTGGCCTCGTCCAGACCATATTGGTTTTTAGTCAATGCGATGCGGCTATGGTCTAAAACCTAGTGGGAACTGGTTCACAATTTTTTCGGTTAAACCGAATATTGGACCCGGTCCAGTTGCAATCAAAATTGGATGCAACCTGGTCTACTCCGGATTGCGGTCATGGATTGTGGGGGAAAATATCAATGTAGTTCAGAGGCAGAAAAGGAGTTTTATGCCGGATCCAAAGTAAAAGTCTTATTTTTTTTCGTTCTCTTGTTCAAGTAGTTGTTTTGATCCCTTCTTTTAAGAGTAAGATTTTCATACCCACCACCGCACTTGGCCAACAACTTATGCGAAGGACTCGCACTCACCCATGCATCCTCGTTTGCTTCAGTCATTAGTCCTTGAGCCTCGCTCACACACTTGCTAGATTTTACTAAGTGCTAATTCTCATTAGAGTGCAAAGTATGATTGTGGAGCCCATCGAATAATGTCAACTCAAATACATCCCTATATGTATCACATCAAAAGTCTACATGAGCATTTCATCCTACTCTAACTGCAAGTCGTCTTCTTTTAGGGTGGGGTTTGACAACAACATGGTCCTTGGCCATGTTCTTCTCACTCACTGGATTTGACTGACTAGTGGTAAAAAAAAAAACCTTTATTGTTGCACTTATAGTATAGGTAACAATATTTATTCCTCCATCTTGCCTTTTAGATTTGTTTTAGGTGTTCGCCTTGAATTCAAGCAAAAAACCTTCCTCTATGAGCATAGCGTGCATTAATCTTAAGCTCTTTCCTTTACTGTGATAAAGATGTTCACCCATGCGTCATCATCTTCCAGGGACAAAGTTAAGTGATCTGTGAGGTGAATACACGATGAAATATTACTAAATAGTTGGACAATAATAGCATTCATATCGACACCAAATAGTATTCTTAAGCATATCAAGAAGTATTCGTATCATAGACGAACTTATATTTTACATTAGAAGAACAAATTTTCATGAAATACAAAAATAGTATTATTAAACAGGTGATGAACCAGTATTCTACATAGACAAACTCACATTCATACGCCTCCAACAAGTATTCAAAAGCACCGAACAAGAATTGACTGCATTGCGTGTGAGGAAGTAGTGGAATACCCTCAAACCTGGTGGAAGAGTTAAAGCCGAAATCATGAGAAGCTCGCTAGGAGGATGACCAGTAAGCTGAATAGCCTCATGGTCAATGTTAAAATTATTGACCTAAGGTATCTCATATTGCCGTAATGTTTAGAAAGCAACAAAGATCGGAGACTGTGATGATGATCATATGCCCAAACACTAGAGTTGTGAAAGTATGAGTGTTAAGACCAAAATTTATTAGAATTGAATAGAAATACCTCACTGCTTCAGGGCAGATTGGAGGGGAGGCTCATTAAGGAGAAAGTTCCAACCAAGATTTTTAAGGTAGGGTTGATCAAGTCAGACAATTTAAGGGAATGGGATCTAACAATAGTCCTCCCGTGAATGTTTTTGCAAAGGAAAACACCGTGGTAAAGAAAAGAGATGGCGATGTGCCGAAGGATGGAAGAATTCGTAAAACTTTAAGTAGAGATGCCTTAGGAAAGCTTGTACTTAATGTTGATTCGGAGAATTTGACGTAAGGGGAGAAAGGGTGAATTAGTCATGAACTCAGAGATGTAAAGATTTTGATACTTCTACATCGTTTTTCAGGAAAGAGATGGATTCATTCGAGACTAACTGACGATCTGTAGCTCTAAGATATACAATTTTTGAAGATCACATATGATTTAAAGAAAGTAATGATTTTATTCCTAGTTGGTAAGTACTCCCAAAGTAAATGTTACACATCGCTAACTAAATCTAAAATATGCTATGGCTGCTTTCCAGATCTATACTCAATCTCTATGGCTGGCTGCCCCCTTATGTTGTGCACTTTTTGATCCTTACCATCAAATTTTAGAAAAAAAAGTTTTGAACTTTCAGAAAAGTCCCCCCAAAATTATTTTTTTTCAAATAACACATGCATAAAAAAACCGTGAATAAAATGTTCGAGCCAATAACCATAAACAAATGCCGAAATCAGCTGCAGACTTCGTTGAAACAGATAAATTAGTGAGCCATATGATTCACTGATAAAAGAGAGAAAAAAAAAAAACAGAGTGATGATTCTGTAAAGTGGGCGAGGCATGTGGACCAGAATAGAAGAATGATTCGTAGGTTTTTAGGGGTCAGAAACAAAATTTCACCGCTCTGCAGTCCTCCGCCTAGGTGCAGTGAATTTTGGATTGGAGGAGGACGATCCCCAAACTGCCAAAAACAACATGCCTAAACGTGGTGCGCAAGTAATTTAAGCAGATGGACCAAGTTGGCCACGCTACTAATAGGACACCCGGACACATTTACCACCACATAATCGCTTGCAAGTAAAACCCCGCCGTTTTGATCTTTGAACCTTTCAAACCAACGAGCGACGACGTCACGGCTTGCTGGCCGGCCGACTGGACCACCGGAAAATTTGCCGAGAAGAAGAGAAAGTTTGCTCATCATCCGTCCGCTCCGCAAAAGTTTTACTTGCACTTGGCTGCTGCTACGCCTTTAATTATAATAATAATTATTGTCATAATTATTAATTAATAATTATAATACTTTTCTCTCAATCATCGAAATGCCCATTCTGTATTTAGTATATTTGGAATGGGCGCACAGATGAGAAGGAATAATAAGAAGGGTAAAGAGTGGAAGAAAGGAATTAGTTGAATGGATAAGCCTCTCAGTCGGGGGGCCTAACAAAATCGTACGTGTATCCATGCTGCGTGGATATGGATGCTCCAAGTCGACTCCAATTTTATATGCATATATCCTTCTCAAATACCTAAACTTCTCGTGTAATTCTAATCTTGTCGAATCACTTTAAACGGTTAGCTGTTTAATCGATTATATTGTTATGATTAATCAACTAATATAAAATGGTACTGTCAACCGTAAGCAAAAAAGTTAGTTAACAACTAAATGAGAACCGAGTAAAAAGTTATGGTTATAAGTTATAACCAAACCAAACCGAGTAACAACCTAATTGATAGTTGGGAAATTTAGTGAAGGGATTAATTACTAGCCAACCACATGGGGTGATGACTCATGGGCGGACCCAAAGGTGTCTAATTTGGGGGGAAAACAAAATTAACGATCCTCTAGTGGTAGTTCAAATATGTGCTAGTGTAGTTATGGACATTTTCCCATTAAGCTGAAATTCATTTGTTGTTAGTAATTTTTAACGTAAACATAATTATAAACAACTATCCTTTATCTTCAATTTTACCAAAACAAAAAATAAAACCCAATCCACATATTGGCCAGCTCTTATCCCGTCATATTCTAACGCATAAATTAATAGCTTCGAGCTTTCAACCTCTTTTTTTCTGACAGCCCAGGCATCCATTCCTCCTCAATCCTTTGAGAATCCAGCGACGACGGCTGACCTTGACCGATGAGAGGTGATGACTGAATCAAATAGGCAATCAGTATGGGAATAATTATCTATTAGGATATACATTGAAAGATATATTTGTTGAGCACTACAGACAGCAAATTTATTTTATACTTTTCTTATAATAATTATAAACTACGATGTACTTTTATGATAACTTGTACTAACAAGAATTTTTTTTTTTATATTTAATTTTTGGACGAAACACCATTATATAAAATTCATGGTCCGCTACTATGACCTCGAGCTAGCATAGTGTAATTGCAGATTTGCAGGCAAAGGTCGATAGTATTTTTCTTTTGGATTGGTTGTTTGTTTGTTGTTTAGGTGAATATAGCTGCTCTCCGTTCCATAGTCCATAATCCATAGTCCACACCGCCGCTTCAATATATATTCCCCCCTTGATATTTCCGCGTGGAGTTTAGTGCGAGGAGTCGTATTTTTGTCATTAACTTGTGTTAACTTCTCAGCTAATAACACTTGTAGCTAGCATTTTGGAAGCAGTTGGAATTTTAATACAGAGTCCAAAACTTAATTAATCACAAATCAGCTTATCAGCATGCAACCATTCCTGATGCAGGAGGTAAAATCCAACCCACAGTTCAACTGACGAATGGCAATGGGGGGAATTTAAAGCTTGGAGATCACGCCCAAAATCTTTAAAATCAACTGATGCTTCAAAATTCTTAATCCTTACCTTGACCATTATTATTTGCTTATTATCCCTTAATCCCCAACTACTTGAGCATCAATTTTTTTTTTTTGGTTTAGCTTTCCAAAATCATTTAACAGATATTGACATCTCATGCAAGATTAATTTACGGCAGAATACATTAATTAAACAACATAAACCGCTGTGTCATGTAAACGTGACAACCTAATTAGTGTACACTAACTCCAGGCTTAGAAAGAAATTGTAGCAAAAAAAGCAACAACGTAATATACATGAGATCAGTGATAATAATTAAAAATAATGAATTATTTAGGAGTGAGTGTTAATGATTTTATCTTGAAGATCACATTGAACCGGCACCGTATCTCTCCCTCTGAATAAAACGTGCCTCACACTCCCACCATCTCTACACACACATAAACACTAACGCAACACAACTCCCACAAGATTAAAACTCCCTTCCTTTTATATTTATTTTATTACTTATCCATAATCTACCGAGGGCTTCACTTATCCACACACACAGGCCCAACCCAAAAGGGTAGTTTTGGTACTTACTATTTACACCGCCGCGTTTCCTTTCACCCCGAGGAATTCTCTTCACTTGGGTAGAAAGTAAGTAACTAAAAAACCCTAATTAATAATAAGCATAAAAGGAAGAAAAAAAAAAGCGAGGGAGGAAAACCCAAATTGACTCGGAATCGGAATTCCAATTCCTAATCCAAATCCTACTTTCTTTTCTTCCCACTCTCCACCCATTACCATTAGTTGACCGACTTCACTCTTTTTTTTTCTTCTTCCCCTTTTCCTTTCCTAGGCCTGCTGGGCTCCACCGCCAACTCTCTCTCACTCTCTATATATTCATAATTATAGCCGATCTTCCCCCTTCTCACTTCACTCTCACTCCTCTCCCTGCAAATTTCCCTCTGCTTTCTCTCTCTAATTCCGCTTTCGTGCTCCGCCTTCCCAAGTCTCAATTTGTTTGGGCAAAGGGGAGTTCTCGGTGGGTGAAATATGGCTATGGAAGCTCTCAATTCCCCCACGGCGGCGGCCGGTCCGTTCAATCGCGACGATTCATGGACCAAGAGGAAGCGCTCCAAGCGTCCCCGCTCCGATTCTCCCGGTCCACCCACGGAGGAAGAGTACCTGGCCCTCTGCCTCCTCATGCTCGCTCGCGGCGGCGGCGGCGGCGGCAAAACTGTCGAATCCAGTCCCGTCGATATCCAGCCGTCGTCGGCTCCACCTGCTCAACCCACTCCAGCGCCGCCGCCGGCGGCGGCGGCGGCTCTGAATCCGTCCTACAATTGTTCCGTCTGCAACAAGGCCTTCCCGACCTTCCAAGCGCTCGGCGGTCACAAGGCCAGCCACAGGAAGTCGGCCGCCGCCGCGTCCGTCGACAATCCTTCCACCTCGAACCCTTCCTCCGCCGCCACCACCACCATGAGCAGCGGAAGGACGCACGAGTGCTCCATCTGCCACAAGACGTTCCCATCCGGGCAGGCTCTCGGCGGCCACAAGCGCTGCCACTATGAAGGCACCCTCAAAGACAACAACAACAACAACAACGGCGGGGCTGCACGCGAATCGTCGGAGAGCACCATCGGGACAGCAGCGGCGGCGAAGAGCCAGAGCCAGAGTCAGAGTCAAAGCCGCGGCGGCGGTGGTGGGTTTGGATTTGACTTCGATTTGAATCTGCCGGCCAGCCCTGAGCTGGGATTGGCCATCGGCGGCGGCAGCAGCGTGGTTGAGGAAGCTTCCCGGAGGATCGACGGAGTAGTAGAAAACGAAGAAGTGGAGAGTCCTCTCCCCGGGAAGAAGCCAAGATTGTCGCTCGGCCTACAAGTCACCACCGACCTGGCTATCTGAAGAAGAATTACCCCTTTTACTTTTTAGGCATATATATATATAAAATAATAATAATTCTAGAATTAGCTTAATTTTTTTTCCATTGTTGCTGCTTGTTTAGGGTGGATTGGTTCAATATCTTGTGTACAGGGGAAATTCGTTTTGGGGATTTGGTAGACCAGTGTTAGTTCAATTGATTCATTTTAGTATTGCCAAATATTGATGAAAATTAATTGATATTTCCAGAATATATTCGTTGGTTCATACATACATGAAATCATTCTCATCAGAAGAAGAAGAAGAAGTCCTCTGTTTCTTCATCCTTTTCATTTATTCCGTCAAAATACAATGTATGCGTACAGGTACAGGTACAGGTTCTCCCCATCAACAAGTCAAGTCTTTTATTTCAACTAGAACCGATTGCTTAGAATTTGGTTTATGGAAAATAAATAAAATTCGGAATATACAAATCCAGAATGATCGAATGTGCATGCGGCGGTCAAGTAAAGTAGAGTGGAGGGAAAAAAGGAGAAAAGGGTTATTGCCGCGTGTGAACAGCGGTGGAAGAGAAGAGTCTACGGGCGGAAGAGCGGCGGGGCTAAGTAACGGCGGCGGGCGGTGGGTTTGGCCGTTTGAACGAAACAGGAAGGCTTGGCTAGCCATGTGGAAGAGAGTACAAGGGGAGAAAGGGCACATGTTGTTGCGTGATGAAATGCCTTTTTTTTTTCTCCTTCTCTAATCTCTCGTGAAGGTCTGGCTGGCTGTTTGTAACGAACACATTTCGCGTGGCTGAATTAGGAGGGACACGTGGAGGGCACACCACTAATCATCATCTTTAATCTTTTCGTCACTGTTGTTAGCTCATTCGGCCAACTATAATTAAGTGTCACCTGCCAAGGTCATTGGTCGAAATCCGCCTCAAACTTGGTTCTGCGTCATCAAAATCCAATTTTACGGGTTTTGTTTAACCCTGTAAAATCCTTTTGCCAAAAGTTTCCTGCCCACTAGGGGTGGGAATTTTCCGGTCAAACCAGAAATCGGATAGTATAACTCGATTCGGTTATGAAAAACCATACTCAAGGCTAAAATCGGAATTTAAAATGAAAACCCGCTTCATGTCAGTGAGCCCGGCCCACTGGCCCAGTCCTGGGCTCACCCAAGCCCAGTTCAGACTTCAGAAGCCTAAATAGTAAAATCCCCAATGTCCCATAGCCCGACCCGACCGAAAGCCTAATCTCCTCTCATCCTATTCTTAGCCACTTCTACTTCTCTCCCTTTCTTGCTACATTCGACTATAATAACAGTCCCAGTTCGGGCAGTAAGAGCATCTAATGTAGGTATGTATTACATGCAAATATTTATTTTCTGTGTTTGGGGCATGATGCTATACCTTAAACACTAATGGGTGAACTTCATCCCTAATTCTCTAATCCGAAGCATAAAATTCATTTAATCTAAAATTATAATAACCAATGGTTCTGATTCATCGAAATAAGTCAGAGTACAAATAGCAATTGTGAATGCAGACGTATATTGTATGTCATGCTTACACAATTTTAATCCATTTGGAATGTTTTAAATTTTAATAGTTGGAAGAGAGTTCACAGGTTGTAAGAAATGTTCTTCTAGTTGAACGTTAAGAAATACCAACCAGTTCAAGGAGCTGGTCCGTCGAATGAGTTATTAAAGAGCTTTGCTACGACGTACATACAAAGCAGGAGTGGGGATTGGGGAAAAGGTGTACTAATTGACTTCACCTTTTATCTCCTTCCATGTATTGTAGCAACATAATTGACTCACCTTTAGCCGGTCCACGTCCATATCATCAAAATAACGATCCAAGTAATTTGCAAATTCCTCCCGTAGCTTCTTACACTTTAGACGTGTAATTGGACCCTCTTGAGATGTTGTAAGCTTGATTTTGATGACCTCATTATGATCTCCCTGCCCGTGACTTCAACACCTGTGCTCGTCACCACGCCGCGTTATGGGTCGATGTCACGGTCGTTACTTTTGAAGATTAAAAGCTAGATAGTGAAAATTAACAACCGTGAGTTAGATGTTGATGTTATTTGTTGGATTCAAGTATAAACGTTCAGATATGATGTTAATTTATGTATTTAAATATGAGCGTTTGTAATTTTATTATGAACGTCAGCATTTTAATCAAATATCAATTGTTAGTACATTGACTTCAAATATGTTTTATATATGATCAGATTCATTTATTGTTAATAAAATTTTCACATTTCTACACATTTTACCAAACCGACATGAACCAACACACATCAATTATACCACTGATTTAATCATTTCACTTGCTAAACCGCCGCAACGGTATAAACCAGTTTGACAAACTTGGTTATAGTGTATGAGCAAATAACCAATAAAGCAAAGGCGGGTGAGGGGAGCAGTAGTGTGTCAGATTTGGCGTGCATAACTCAGAAAAGGTGGTGATGAATCAGAATGAATATAGGGAGGGACTCATGAGTAGTTCCCTTCCTTTCTCCTATATTGCACACAAGAACTGGAATGATTAATATCTCCCTACTTTTCCTCTCTTCTCTTACTGAACGATTAAAGCAAAAGAGAAAGGGAAAACTGGGGAGCCAATAAGAAAATTGTCTTTACGTTTTTTTCTTCTTTTCCTTGTACTTTTCTCGACCTTTTATCGCACACAACTGTAATGCCAAATTGAGCTACCAATTGGGAAGTGCTGCTGCTAACACAATGGTCTGCAACAAACATTTCTGAATTCTGCGTAGTTCATCCTTTTCTGTAAAAGTCGGAATTTCTTTCGAGGGTTCTCAAGATTCTTTCCGCAAAGTGAGTGATGATTGCCAGCTCATTCATTCATTAATTCTCCTGGGTTGGAATTTATTACGAGTGGAGGGTTTATTTCTTTGGCGGTTCCATTTCATGGATTTGGCTCTCTAGCTTTGGATCTTCATTCATTTTTCCACTACCCACCCAACACCAACAAGCAGCAGCAAAGCAGAGTCCTGGGTTAAGGTAAAGCTTTCTTCTTTTGCTGGTTTTAATTTTTTAAACATACTTCTTCTCATGTCCTGTCCGAGTGTCTGTCTAATGGATACTGCTGGTGTTTGCATTTCCCCAATTTTCAAGCCATCTGTCTTCTCAAACCTTGCGTCTGTGCCCTTGAATGGGTTTTCCTTTCGCTTATCTGCAAGCATTGAGTCTCGGGTTTTGTTGGGGTTTACACGGAGAGTAGCTTTTGGGGCTTGTCTTGTTGTTGGCTGTGAGTGAGCCCTTTTCTTTCGTTTAATGTTCTTTGCTTGCCAAGTTGGTTTTAGATACAATGTGATCATGTGGGGAGTTTAGTAAGGCTGGCTTGTGAGGTTCAAAATCTCTGGTTGTTTAGGATTATATATTACTAACTCTGTTTTTTCTCTTCTCAGTGGAGATATTCTGGTAGATTCCTTCATTGTAGGGATGGTATTTTGATTTCCCCCCCTTGCGATTTATTCCCCCATGCTCTTTACTACTTTGTGAGAGGGAAATGAAAAAGAAGAAAGAAAAAAAAAAAAAAGATAGATAGATGCTGCTTGTCTGCAAATTTGGTGGTTTCTTCAACTGATACCGAGATGCTGTTTTCTGTTGCAGTATTCAAACTTCAACGGTGGCCAGAGAGTAGGGAAAACAAAAATCAGAAAGCATTGTACTGAAACTTGTGGGTTTTTATAATTTTCTGTAATCAAGTTTGGAACTTGGGAACCTCTCCAAGTGGGCTTAACATGTCTTAGTTGAGAGAGAGAGAGAGAGAGAGAGAGATGGATCTTTGAATAATAAAGTGGAGTAAAGAAGAAAAACAAAGGCAGCAGAGATTGCAGAGGGGAAGAAAGATAGAAAAATTAGCAGCAGTGAGTGCTAGAGTGTGTGTGTGAGAGAGAAAGGGAGTCAGATTGATGCTTGTATGTGGGTGGGGGTTGTCTTCCAGAGTCCTGTGAATGAATTAGCTGAATAGTTTAGTTAAGAGAGCCTTGTTGGCCATGTCCCCTTCTTCTGATTCACTGCCTCCGGGCTCCGTGGGCTTTGCCGTCGATTTAGGTAACACCCATTCCTCCATATAATCTCTCTCATCTTCCTTCCTCTGTAAGAGATCCTTCATTTTTTTCTCTTTAAAAACAAACAGTTTGATCTGAAATCTTCCTCTAGTATCTCTCAGTCCAAGTTATCCCCTTTCACACAAAAACTTCAGTCCTTCCCTCTCTTTCATAGTCAGACTTGTTTCGCCTTGCCTCGATTTGCTGTCAAGATTTGGTGGTAATGCTCCATTTCCTACTGCAGAAAAGAGGATCCCCTTCTTAATTACCACATCTTTATTATTCAACCTTCCTCTCTCTCATTGAGGCTTTAGAAGAACAACCAGCAAAACCTTCTTCTTCTTCTTTCTTCTTCTTCTTTCTGATTCAGCAATCTGGTCCCCACTCCCTGGGTTATTGCTCCCATTTCCCCAATACAGGCAACTTTTCTCCTCGAGACTTGAGGGGTTATGTATATATATTTCACTGGGAAGGTGTGTGGTTTTTGGTTCTGGAGTTGTTTCTTGGTTGAATAGTGAAAGGGGGAAGGTTTGTTTGCGTGGAAGTACAGTAAAGTTTGTGGCTTTCTCTCTTTGGCAAAGATGAAGTTTATGAAACTTGGTTCGAAACCTGATTCCTTTCAGACAGATGGCGACAATATCAGGTGAGACTCATTTCAACCTTCCTTTGCTTGCTCACTTTCTCTCTTTTTCTACATAGAACTTCCAAGTTTCCTGCCTCTACCCTTGGCCTTTCTGCTTATATAGACTTGGTTTGGTTGTGTGAGTGGTGCCATTCTGATTCCTGATAATAACCAGCTGATATACTAGTATTAATGCATCAGAGTTTCAGATACCAGGGAAGCCGATACCCTTTTTCCTATCCTAGCTTCCTCATTTATCACTTGTTTTTGTCTCTTTATACTATGAAGTAGTCTGTGTTTATCATTGACTGTGTGCTGTAGATCACTGGGTATAGCTGCATTTTACTGCCTGCTTTGTGGTTGCTTATTTTTATCGATCTGTCAAGCTTGAACTATACGAGCTAAGGTCTCGATGCCGAAAACCAGATGAACACCCTTTTGATCCAATCGAATGATTTAGATGCCGTTTGTCTGAAATCGAGTATGCCATGAACAGTATGCCGAGTAATCATCTTGTTTGAAGTGGAATGAGTTACTAGAGCATTATTATGGATCTTCCATTGTTTCATGTGCAGGTATGTGGCCACTGAGTTGGCAACTGATGTCACTGTTATTGTAGGAGATGTCAAATTCTATCTGCACAAGGTACTGCTCTACCTCTACCCACCTTTCTCCAGCGTTAAAGTCTTCATCTTTAATGTCTACTAACAAGTTTGTGCCTTAATTGCAGTTTCCCCTTATGTCCAAAAGCGCTCGCTTGCAGAAGTACGCCGTCACAAGTAACGGAGGAGAAAGCAGCGATGAAGTCGACATCTCAGATATCCCCGGCGGGCCAGCAGCATTCGAGGTCTGCGCCAAATTCTGTTATGGAATGACTGTAACCCTCAACGCCTACAATGTCGTAGCTGCACGCTGCGCTGCTGACTTCCTTGGAATGCACGAATCCGTCGAGAAAGGAAACTTGATCTACAAAATCGATGTGTTCCTTAGCTCCAGTATCTTCCGCAGCTGGAAGGATTCCATCATCGTACTTCGAACCACCACCTCGCTACTGCCGCTGTCCGAAGACCTCAAAGTTGTTAGCCACTGCATAGAAGCTATAGCCACTCGAGCTTGCGTCGATCCGTCGAGAGTCGATTGGTCATACAGTTACAACAGGAAGAAACTCCCTGAAGAAAATGGAGACACTGGAATAGGAACAACGACAAACGAGATTATCATGAGAAACCGTTCAGTGCCGAGGGATTGGTGGGTCGAGGATCTGTGCGAGCTTGGGATTGAGCTTTACAAGCGTGTGATCACCACCATAACAAGCAAAGGGATCCTTCATCACGAGGTGATTGGGGAAGCTTTGAAAGCTTACGCTTACAGAAGGCTGCCAGGTGTACTCGGCAGCAGCAAGGGTGGTGTTGTCCAGAGTGAAGAAATGGTGAAGTATCGGTCGATGGTTGACGCCATTGTGTGGCTTTTGCCTGCAGAGAGAGGCAGCGTCTCGAGTAGCTTTCTTCTGAAGCTGTTGAAAGCAGCCAGTTATGTTGGCTCAGGTGATCAGACTCAGGAACAGCTGGTGAGAAGAATAGGACAGCAGCTGGAGTCGGCTTCTGTGAATGACCTCCTCATACGACGAGCTAATGGTGGTGGCGAAAGAGATGATGACAGCATGACGACTTATGATGTCGACGTGGTTCAGAAGATGTTACGAGAGTTTGCAACGCAAGATCAGATTGCTGAAGTTGAAGAGATCCAACAAGGAGCAGCTGCTGGGATTTTGTCAGATGCTTCCAAGCTCATGGTAGCCAAATTGATTGACGGGTATCTTGCTGAGATTGGAAAGGATCCCAACTTACCAGTGTTGAAGTTTGTGGAGATTGCCGAGATGGTATCTGGTGTGTCTAGGCCTGTACATGATGCTCTATACCGTGCCATCGACACCTATCTTAAGGTAGAACTCAAACTTGAAATTTGAGGCTTGTTTAGTTCATAAGCTTGGAGAGTACAGTAGTCATTGAAGAGTTAGCTGATAGCTTTAGCAAATATCAACCCATTCCACTTTAAATTTGTCAAACACAGATCAATCTAATCCAAAGACGAAGAGTTTTGTCAACCTTTAAACCCAACTAGTTTGACACCTCAAGTTGCTGACTATGGAGCTCTCCCACTTTTCATTGATTGCAGGAGCATCCAGGTATCAGCAAGAGCGAGAGGAAGAAGATATGCAAGTTGATGGACTGCAAGAAACTATCTGTTGATGCATGCATGCACGCAGTGCAGAACGAGAGGCTTCCATTGAGGGTTGTAGTGCAAGTACTATTCTTCGAGCAGGTGAGGGTATCTGCGACATCAGGGTGTAGCACCCCTGACCTGCCAAAGAGCATCAGGGACCTAAACAACGGGTCTCAAAGGAGCTCGAGATCAGCTGTGACAAACCCGGATGAGGATTGGGATGCATTGGCAACCGCGGAAGAGCTAAAGGCCCTGAAAGCTGAGGTGGCTGCATTGAGACTGCGACGGATTGGGAGCAGCAGCAGTAACAATATGGATCGAGGGGGTGGTAGCTACAGAATGAAAGGGTTGCTGAAATCCAAGAAAGTGTTTGCAAAGCTGTGGTCAAGCAAAGGAGACAAAGCGGAGAACAGTGGATCAGATTCATCAGGATCTCTTGGATCTACAACTAATGGCACTGAAGAAGCAAAATCTACACCTTCAAGGAACAGAAGGAAATCAGTCTCTTGAAAGTAGTAGAGATTTTAACATAGGGGGAGGAAGGGTTGTCCTTTTTGCTACATTGGCTCCATCCGTACTTCTGGTTGGTTTTATTTTGTGGGGTTTCCTGTGAACACTGAATTTTAACGACTGTTAACACGTTAAAAGGGATAGCAGCTTATGGTTTTAAGGAGGCGAGTACAGTTGATGCATAGCATAGAGCTCGAATGAAGAATAGTGTGTACTAATCTAAATCTAGTCCTGTATCAACTTCTGTGGAAAAAGGTTTTGGAAACTTTGAAATCCAATCCCCTGCTTGTCTTCTTAACCAGAAAACAGGAACATTCAAGTTTCCATCAAAATCTCAATTCTCAATGCAATGCGTCTTTACAGTACCTGACCATTACTACATTCTTGTCTAAAAGCCTTAAACCCAACATATTGGAACTATACGAGGCATGTGCCGACCTCGATCTACATATGGTCTAGAACAGCACTAATTTCCCTACTCCGTTACATAGGGAAGTAAATGCCAACTCAGTCATCCTTCAGATTTCCTATGCCTCCACTGCTTTATTATCTGTTCCCAACATCCTCACCCTTCTCGTAGACGAGGCATTCTTGCCACTGCTACCACTGCTCTGCCCACCGCCATTGCTCTTAGGAACGCATCTCTCCATAATCCGGATAGGGATTCCATCTAGACCGAAGTCTTCCTTCAATGACCTCGTTAAAAACCGAATCTCTGCCTCTGAAAGCTGATGCTTCTTCCCGCTTGTGAAGGCAACAAACGTGGGTGGACGAGCCTTCACCTGGGTTACGTACTTTATCTTCGGTTGCGACCCCTCACCTCTCCATGAATGCCTGCTCATAACCTGCCTCCAATGATACCAAGAAAGCAATCACGATTAACATTGATTAATGAGAATTTAAACAACCGATGATTATGCAGCCGAGGTAGTCTAACCTTACGCAACCAACGATTCAACCGAGCGGTCGATAACCTTGAGCACCATTTCTCGTATGTCTCAATCACCTGACGCATAACAGGTATCCTGCCTTTACCTTCTATCGCCGAAGTGAATATAACTGGGATTCCTGTAACCTGCAGCAGACATAAGGACCCCAGTGGTGAAAAAGAAAGTCGCCTAATTCAAAATAGGACGTGAAAAGGTAGACACACATACCTGCGGTATAACTGTTTGAATTTCCATAGGAACACTTTCCATGACCTTCTCATATAGCGAACCAGCCCGCTTTCCTTTAAGAAGGTCCATCTTGTTCACTACAACAACCAATCCACGCCCTTCTTCCACTGCTCGTCTCGCGATAACTACTTCAGCATGTGTCATACTACGTCCAGCTTGTACAATCTAATAAGTAAGAAATTAATGTTATTATGACCAATAAAATAAAAGCATTTGAGGAAAGGGGAAGCATTATCCAAGAACCTTATTGTTCCTTTCACAGAAGTACTTTCTCTATTTGCAATCTAAAAATCGTTTTGAAGCATGAGGTGTTCCCCCCAACCTTTCATCTTATTTCTTTCCTCTTCTTTTTCATCTATCAAGCTTTTGACTCCTCTTATATCAGGTGAATATAAATTAACCAAAGACATCCTACAGTAGAAATTAGGAGAACAGCCAAGGCAAAGAAAGCATGTCCAAAGCAAGGAGGTGAAGGTTTCCACAAGAATAGCATTTCACTGACCTGTTCTGCATCAAGTACTAAAGCTATCACATGAGCCCTCATCAAATTCTTTTTAGATTGCATTATGCTCAATGACGATGGTCTTTTCTCATCCTTAGTTCTGTGCAACCAACCTGCCGTATCAACCTGGATTACATAGAAGATCAACACATCCACAAAACGCACATCAAAATCAGGTGAAACTGAAAGCAAGCAAAGAGAGGAGCCTACGTGTAAAATAACAGTTGCTGAGATCTAATGGACGACAAATGAACCAATCAGGAATCAGGATTTCCATTTTGCTGCAGCTTCAGCATTAAATAAACAGTTTAAGTTGTTGTATCTGTCAGCCGACCTAGCAGATTTATCTATGTTCAATCAGTACAGTATTTCAGTTTGTCTACATTCAAAGAGAGGCCTGATAAATTCACTTTTGGAAGATGAAACAGATAAATGGACCAAACCACCACAAAATGGGGTAACCAAGAATAAAACACTCAGGAAAACTGAAGGAAGCAGATTCACTTTCAGAAAATTCTACCCTGAGGATGTTGAGGGTGGTGAACTGCATATTTGCTATATGCTTTATGGTGCTAATTATATCAATTGAGATTAGGGAGCTTAGATGTCTCTTTTGGCTTTCATGCCACAACTTACAGCATTTTTTTGCTTATTGGCAGCCAGACTTTCAGAAACGTGAAATCGGATAAATCCATCAGAAAAGCAGGAAATTAATCCGCAAATCTGCATATATTCATTTAATTGTTTCTCAGGGTTTAAAGCATAAAAAACCTTACCAAATATATAGTCCTCCCTTGAAATTCGAACTGAGCTCTAACAGAATCTCTAGTCAAACCAGCTTCAGGACCCACTAGCACCCTTTCTTCTTGTAACAAGGCATTCAGCAAGGTTGACTTTCCAACATTGGGACGTCCAACGATTGCTAACTGGAGTGGCAATTTAGAATCATCAACCTCTTCCAGACTACTTTCACTGCATTGCTGCAGGCCTTTATCCTCACAATCACCTAAGGTTAGCAATATACAGTATCAAACGATCACCGAGCAAAACATACTAATGTTCGGTCCATCAAGATAGCTACTTTAGATGCAAAATATGCGCCAGAAAAAATATATTAATATTAACTAGCACTGAACTACAGTCAGTCCACTCACGTGAGCTTGCATGATCACAACTATAACCACAAGAGTGCCTATTCACAGTAGGTCCGCCTTTTCCCTAAAAACAATAACCTCAGTATCCACACGAGTAGGTCAAACTTCATATTCTACCATACAGACTACAAGCATTTTCACATGAATGTAAGAAATACCCATGAACTTCCTTACAAACCCCCATTAGGAGAAATGTAGAACTACTTCTAGCGTTTCAACGATGGACATACCCATGATAAAAAGACTAAGTGAATTTCAGTCACAAAGAACAAAAGTATTTTAGAGCAAAGGTACCCCTTACTGTTCAAGACTTGCAACACATAATCCTCAAGAGAAGGTCTAAGAGCTTCATGCAGTGCTGTCATGCCGAATCCCGTTTCAGCAGAAATGGCAATAGGATCTCCAAATCCAAGAATACGAGCCTCATCGGCAGCTTCGCTGAAGGACTCAGTACCATCAAACAGCAATTCAGCTTTATTCAATACTACCACAGGTTTTATTTCTGGCGCATTTTTCCTCAGCCACTTGCCAACCTCCAAATCCAGCGGATGCAAGCCAGCTCTAGTTTTTCGGTAGCAATACCATGAAATGTTAAAATATTGTAATCATCAGTATCCATTTGTGACATAACTACACATTCTATATTTTTTGGAGCTACGAAGGAAAAACACCAAAACAGTAAAATCAGTCAAAATGCATAAGCTTTTCAAGAATGTAATGCATCACCAGCAAGGAAGAGAAAGGTACCGGCCAGTCCAGAGGGACAGGGGACATCAATGATAAAGAAAACCTTTTGGATATATTACAGGATGTAACTATTCAGCCATTGCCAAGTAGCACATATGGAAACAATCTTCTTGTTCAATTTCAAGTTTAACAATGATGCATCTGAAGCAGCAATACTATCATACGGCAATAGCAGACGCATAAATTTATAGATAAAAACACAGACCTGGCATCAATCAGGAACACTGCAAAATGAGTTCTTGCTAGCACATTGGCAGTCATGGTGGCTGTTCTTTGAAGAATAGACCCCGAAGTAGCTTCAGTTTCCAAGCCAGCTGAATCCAGTACTTTAAACCGCAAATCCCCCAATTTGGCAATCCCTTCTCGAATGTCACGAGTAACATGGTCATCGGGTGTATTGTAGACAAGAGCCTCCCTCCTCCGGATCAACCTTTGGCCCATGAAAATGAGGGGGGAAAAACAAATAATATCCCAAGTAAGCTCTCACACGCACAATAACTAGCTAGTATACTACCCTCTACATATTCACATAAAACAGAAATAAACAACCATGAAACTGACCGATTGAATAGGGCTGATTTGCCTACATTGGGGCGTCCAACGAGAATGACGGCTGGAAGGAAGTTGATGTCAAGTTTGGTGAAGTCGATTGGTTTTTTATGAACAACCTTAACTTTAATGGGAGCGACAGCATCCAAGCAGGAGGGATCCAAAACCCGTGCAGCCGCATCAGGTATTGAACCAGAACCAGACTTCAAATGTTCGTCCTGAGAGAGGGAGGAGCAAAAACTGCGACGGATCGTAATCAAATGTGCGAGTCGGCCTTCCCGAATATGAATGTCACCGGCACCAAATGAAGGTCCTGGAAGAGGACCATCAAGTGAAGAATAAGAGGCAATAACAACAGCAACAAAAGTGTAAACAAGGCAATTGACGGTGAAAGAGGCACTTACTATGTCCTGGTCTGAATCTGTTGGGTATACCATCTTTTGACGCGGGGATTGAGCGAGTTGGGTTTCCGGAGAGAAAGCTGCTGCTGCTGCGGCGAGCAAGGACTTTAAGGAGAAACAGTAGAGAGCCCTGCCTCTTTCGTGGAGAAAGGGCTGGGAGAGAAGTGATAAACATATACACTGCTGCTTTTCTTCTTCTTCTTTGGTTGAACTAATAATGATACATCCACAAACAGGGCATGAGAGACCGCCGCTTGCTGATTAACCGTCGTTCTGAATTAAGGAGGGGAGGCAGTGCCCAAATTTCAGACTCAAATGGCACGAAATCAAAGTAAAGCCGACGATGAGACTTTCCCCAGACAGTAACTCGATTTCCTGGCCTGCTGTGCTGGGTTCAAGCCCGCCTGATTTCTGTTAGAGGGGCATATCCGAACAGACGAACAACAACATTAAGTTCAAAAGAACAAACGCAAGCATATAACCAACAGTAGCAAGCAATTCAGAGCTATTTTGATTTTGAGATACTGAAGAAGCAGTAAAAGCTCCAAAAGAACCAGATTTCTATAGTTCGACGATTGATAGAGCAAGAACAATTAGCTCCGATTATTTGCTTCTAATGTTGAGCAAACAGCAGGTAGAAGGGCGATAAAGTGAGCTGAGCTGGAAAAAACTAAATAGTGGGAATTAGGGACTAACAAGTCGGCGATAAAGCTTCTCCGGCAGGGCTAACCGGCGACGAGATGCAGAAGACGGCCGGCGAGCTGCGGAAGACGATGCGCGGGCAGAGGAGCGGGAGAGGCGCCGATGATGCGGCCGGGGAGAGAACGCCGGCGGATTGGCGGACGGAGGTGGATTGGGGAGCCTTAGACCTTAGTTGTTGGCTATTCTCTATTCCGCTGGTTGCTGCGTGCTGCCTCGTTCGACGGACGGACGGACGGAAGGGAAGGCGTTTGTTGGCGGCCAGGGTTAGAAGCCCCATTCCGCGAAAACGCCGACGTTTCCATGATAGCCCGTGCCCGGGTAAATCCGTTCAGACCTCCGGCTTTGAGCGGTTCTGGGCTAACTCAAAATATGTCTATTTTTGCCTTCTTTTATGCCCGGTTCCGGCCTGACCTGGTCCGACCATCTGGTCTGATCTCAGTTTGTCAACCTTGGTTTTGACCGATTTTTATCGATTTTGACCGACGACCAGCTAAGCCTAAAACATGGCTATCAGGAACCGCTTGTGTGGCCGATTGTGGTCTGATCTGATCCGACCGTTCGGTTGGACTCCGGCTTGACAACCTTGGGGAGGACTGAGGAGTGGAGGGAGTAGTGTTGCTACGGATGACACTTAATTATTAGAATCGGTGGAGGCGTGCCACTGATCTTTATCTAGGGCACCTAGTGCCATCGAACTCGCTAACATGTGCACCTGGCACCATTACTGTTAAAGTTAGCACAATATTCAAAATTAGTTCTTCCTACTTTTTCATTATACAATAAATCTTTTTGACTTATCATAAGCATCATTTTTCTTAAAAATGTCTTCTGTAGGCTCCAATACCAAACATAGATCTGGCAAATAGTTCATATCTATTTTCAAAGTTTGTTACTGACTGTTGTAGTTTTTCTAGTTTATTTATTACTTGGATATTAGTTGTCTCTTCTGGTTCTAAATTTTGTTCGATTAGTGCGATGTGTCTAATTCTTTCTGATTGTGTTCTGATCATCCGTCTTTGATCTTGATGTATTGATGGTCGATTAGGTTGGAAAAGACATAACTACTATATTACTTGACAGGTTTCTATCATTCTTCCACCTCGAGGGATCGACGTGGGAAGGACACTTCCTACTATATGAGCCAGGTTTCATCATAACACCAAGCAAGCTATAAGCCTGAACATTAAGCGCCAGAAACCCTGTACTGTACTCATCTTAAAACTAATCCATGTTTAGAACACCAAATAACAGAGACAAAATGAGACGGGAATCATGGCCATTACATACAACTATATATACACTGTGCAACACTATCTTTTCTCAGGAGTTACCTCATTAACAAGAGTGTGTACTTACTGGTATACAGCTACTTAGAAGGGAGAGGGATGGAAGTTTTTTCTCTGTAATCTACTAGAAGGAGGGGTTACAAACATGGCTTGGAGGAAGACATGACATACTACACAAAGAAGACCGATCACATCTGGCTGGAACAAAAAACAACAGGCCAATGATGGTGAAGCCAAAAACTAGCTGCTTCAGTCCATGTCATTGCTCTATTTTTTATTACCTCCAGTGCAGAATCTCTCACCCGAGTGGAAAAGGTGATGCCGTATGGATGTTGGTCATGTTAGCAGTGTTTAGAGAGTGAGTGGTCAAAGTGAAGATCAGTTCTCTACACATGTTGTCAGGTTGCCGGTAGTTGGTAATCGGTTTAGTTGCATCATGTGCGTCCTCAAGCTACAGTCTTTTACCTGTTAAATACATCATCAGAGATGTCAAAACACCCGGATTCAGTACACCTGGTGAGACTGAGACTACGTTACAACTCGCACGACCAAATCTCGTGACATTTTACCTGCAAGGCCGCTAGTGTTGACAGGAAATCTCTACATTGATCAAGAAAAACTTTCTCCTTCGCTATTATGTTCACAAGTTCAGCCACCAAGGAATGCATTTCGTCAACCTGTCAGAAAACAAATGGCACTCAGATGTCAAGCTCTCTCTATATGTTTCAACTTCAAGCAAATTGCTTTTAAAAAACATAAATGTTTCAACTTATATGCCCAGTTTGTTGACTGCATAAGTTACCAAACCTACAAGACCATAAAGACGATTCTGGTGGGCAATCCACCTAGCTAATATAGTGTTAAAGGACACAGAAGTACGAGCCTTTTGAACAGATCATGTTCAAGTATCATGCTAATAAAGGAATTTAAGTATTCCATTAATCCATGAAATCCAAAGTGAAACTATATCAAGTTAACAACCATCCAGGCATTTCCACAAAACGCGCTAAGTCATCTGGTTCATGCCAAGACATTTTCATCTTGAACCTTTCCAGACACTAAACTGCTTGATTGTTGTTTGCTCTCAAGGTAGGTGACAATGACACAAGAAAATATGGTCAAGCCACATTCTCATCCTTAGTCCTCAATTATCATTCACTTGGTAAAGGAAAAACTTGATAGGTCAGATATTGCAAGACGATTATGGTCATTAGGAAACCTTAAGGAGCAGAAAGCAGGATGCATCAACGAAAAGGAGCCCAAAGAGGCACAACGGGTATGGTCCTTAGGAAACCTTAAGGAATAGAAAGCAGGATGATCAATCAAAGGGAGTCCAAAGAGGCAAAGCACAACAGCTATGGTCCTTAGTCCTCAATTATCATTCACTGGCTATGGTCCCTAAATCCCTTATATCTACCCGCTTACGAGTAATCGCGGGTGCCCAAGATCTGTGTTTCTTACATGAACTTTCTCTTGAGAAGGTAGAATTCTATATATAAGATCACAGGACAAGTTACCTTGGATAGTTGTGAGCATATCGAAGATGCCATTGCTTGCATTATATCAACTGCTGAGCCCACAGCATCCTTCAGGTTTTGTACATCGGCCTGTTATTTGAATAGAATATTAACATTGACAAGTGTTATATCCTACAACATGCAAAAATAGATTTAAATGTAATTGAGAATGGCGCCCCATACAATGGCTTTTCCAACAATTGGAAGACGGAGGGTGCTGGCCTTCAAGGCTTCAGTTGCTCCATCTAAGGAGGTAATGTGATCTCTCTCAATAACTGACCAATCATCGAGAAAATTAATCTGCATTTACAAAGGGAAGGAGCATAACCAATCAAAAAGAAAGTCACTGAAGACTAAACAAGGGTGACCTACATTTGCTATCTGACTGTGGAATAGTGCAGTAGACATCATCACATCTATAAACAAACAAGAGTATCCAGGCCTTTCTATAACTGTGCAAAGAGTATTCTTATCACAAAAAGAGCAGCTAGAGCCTCCCATTGCGGTATAGGAATCCATTAATATCCGAACTATTAATTTCCAAGACATCCATCCAACTTATTTCAAGTTAGAAGAGTAGCAACCCAACTTTTTCGGTGGTGATCTTGAATTCATACAAATGGCTTGCTTAGGGCAAGAAAAACAATGGGGAGAAAATGAAAATGATAGTTCAATGGAAACTGATCTTAATACATCATGGTTTAAGGATGAGAAACAGAAAACGAGAGAAAAGAAAAGTATGAGTTTCTTTACCAGTTCCAAGGAATAATATGAAACACAAACCGTATTAACAGTAAAATTTGAGAGAACAAAGAAGAGAAGTCAACATTCTATCAACTACTTCTAATGAACAATGCCAATTCGCCAGTGTTTGTGCTAGGAAGAATGGAGCTGGAGCTCCAGAATGCACTACCCACAATAACCACATACAATTCATTTCACATTCTAGTAGGGATGAGATTTAAATGCACATAGCAGTTGCAGATAGTCAGCAAAAAGTTATAATTAACTGGATATTTGAAACCTACTTGTCCCTTCATAATAGAAGTTAGCTTCAACTTCTGCTTCAACAGGAGCAGCTTGACTCTTTTAAGCGTAACAGAGTGCCGCAGTTCCGATATTGTCAACCATGCATTCCACATATTTTTCTGGCATAAAGGATAGACAATGATTCAGCGACAAAAAGAATAGGAGAAGATTTCCCAGTGCAAAATGAATAAACATTTAACTCGCAATTTATGAAACAACATGACGTACAAGCATTTGTGCTTCATTGGGACCGTATGGCATATGAAGAACTAAGGAAAAATCGCATTGAGCTAAGAGACTTTAGCAGAGGGAGCTTTTACGCCTTTTAAGGCTATATATTTCTGCCTAATCTTCTTCTATGCCCAAACAATATAGCATCCACATAAATGATAGTGTTCAACATACCGACAGCAAATATACTAGCAAAATTTGGAGCTACTACAACAAAAGACAACTGGAGTTTCTAATTACCAATGACAATGCTTATTAGATTTCCAAAACAACAGTTTCCTACTTAATCGGAAGCATGCTTGCTACTTGGAACTATGATTTTCTGCTTAAGAACAAGAAAAAGAAAGAGAACCAGATTCTCCTTTCTTTCTTTATCTGTCAAACAAGATACCACTGATTAATACTTTATACACGATAAAATATGGATTCCAATCTTCATTTGGAAACTCCTGAAACTTTCATTTGGTATCTAACGGCATTAAATTGCCTATTGTTTGTCCATTGAAGGCCATCATTAACAGACACTGTTTTTCCTTGCTTAAAGCACAAGCTTATACCAACATTTATTTAACCGTCAAACACCACAAATATGGTTTAGGCGCAAAAATCAATTCCTCTTGTATAGCTAACAAGGTACATGATCCAAGCAGTTTACTAACTGACCTGAAATCATAAAGACACCGAAACTAGAAGACTGAAACCAGCAGAACTATAAAGGTTAGACGCGAATCCCGTACCTCTGCATTCAGTTTCTGGACCATGAAGGTGGTATCGGCCCTCGCATTTACAAACCGCCATTGCAAGTAACGGTTATAGAGAAGTCTCAAAGTGTGTGCATCATTGATTCGGTCTTCGCCAATCTTCCCCCTCCTCAAATCAACAGAAAAACTTAGAATTGAAGGCGTACTCATTGGACTACTACTCATTGGCCTCACCCTTGAAGGACTAGACATTCCTCTCATCGGAGAAGAAGCTGAAGATGTCCATAGCTTACCAGGGGAAGCCGGCCTCGTGGACCCTCGTATAGGTGAAGCAGCCATTGATCTAGGAGATGCTAATGGACCATCAGTGCTAAATCTTTTCGACTGTGTGACCTTAGACTGTAAACTCATTCTTGACCCCGGACTCGTAGACAGTGGGGAGCCTGGATCCTGCAGCCTTCTCAACCTACTATTTGTTTCTTGCCAAAACCTTGAGGATACAACAATCCCACGAGGCCCAATTTTACCTTTGGAAATCCCAACCCCACCACCCAATTCTTGAACACCTGAATTACTACCAGAGGAAACACTATCACTGTCTGATTCAGTGAGATCACCAACAAAACAAGAGTCCTTTTCTGAATTGGCATCTGGGTTTAGCTTGGCACTGCCTAAATCCAAACTCAACCTCCTACTAGTCTCATCAAACAGCATAGACTGCTGCAATGACTTGGCCCCCAACAATCCAGATCCAACTGTCCTCTTATCTCCACCGCTGTTATAATCCAAGCTCCTAGACAACAAGGCACTTCTTTCTCTGGAACTCAAATTCCCTTCCCTATTCCTGGCCGGCCACCTATGCTGATCCCCGGGCCTTGAATTCTCCACCTGATCTCTCACAGGGGTCGCCCTCCTCCTCTCAGGGGTTGCTTTCCTACCTGCACTCTGGGGGGTTACTGCCTTGGCCTTGCTTATGGGGAGCGAAAACGCTTCCCCCTGAAAGGAAACCGATAAACTCCTAGTGGAAGTGATCAACATCTTGGTTGCAGCTGACATTTCGGAGGAGGCATTGCCTTGCTTAGATTCTGGGTTAGCAGTCGTTGGCCGAGCAGCCACCGACCGCCTCCTATCTACAGATTGGGATCTCTTGGGTCCGGCGAAAGGGGGAAAAGCAGCGGGTGAGCCGGAATTAGTAGCGCGCGAAAGAAGAGGAGAAGCGAATCTTCTTGGCAAAGTGGAAGAAGAAGAAGAAGAGGAAGAACTCGTCGTGGTAGTGGTTGTGGTAGTAGTAGTGGTGGTCGTCGAAGTTGTGGAAGTAGAAGTGGAAGGAGAAGGGGATAGGTACCTAGAAGGAACTTGCTTGCCTCTTGGTTTTCGAGCTCCACCGCCAATGCCACGGCCGTTGGGCTGCTTTTCGGAAGGGAGGAGAGGCGGCCTTGCCGGATTAGGGATTTTGTCAATGTCAGCAGCAGCGGTGGCGGCGGCGGACGGAAGAGCTGCTTGAGGATTAATCGCAGCAACCATTATGCGCGAGGCGGAAATAAAAAGAAAAGAAATCTGGAAGGGCGAGTGAGGGGCTATTAGACCCTCACATTGCCTCTTGGGGAAGACAAGAAGCAAATCAAGGAAAGAAATTGATGTGGGTTTCTCTCAAATTAAACCCTCCCTTCCTCGCTCACAAGAACGAGCTTCAAAATCTTGATGGGGAACAGTAGCCCCATAGCGGAGGTAAAATGGACAAGAACGAAGGAAAGGAATCCCCTTGCGAACTCCTAACCCTAGAAATGGGACAATGGGGAAGGAAGGGAAAGCTTTAAGGAGCTGAGGAAGAAAGAGTGGGAAGAGAACGGGAGCACAAATGCAGCAAATTGTTTTCACTGTGAGATTGCAGTAGCAGAAAAGGGAAAATGAAGGAAAGAGAGAGAAAAAAAACCAAAAAAGGGAGAAGAGTAGGTGAGAGAGAGAGAGAGAGAGGAAGTGAGCTTTGTGGAGTGAGGGAGTGAGTGTGTCTATGTCGCGGGAGCTTTGGGTTTTTGGCAGTCAGATTTTAATCTTTACAGTTGGAGTAAAAAGTAATGGAGGTCGATTATCATGTATTGCATCTTCATTTTTTTTTTGTACAAGATAAGAAAGTGCTTCAAATGCATTTCATTAACATGATGACAACAAGGTTGACAATAGGTCAAGAACGGTAATTCAATCATTTCAAAATTAATTAAGGGCACAAAACGTGCTACCCATTTCGTTTTTACATTTATTTTTTAGGGTTAAAATAATATAATAGCCAAAATTTTAATGTCCCGCAAAATAGTAGTCTAACATATTGAAAAACGAAAACATAGTCAAATTTCTGTTAATATTAACGGTGTAGTCACGAAAGTACATCTGTACATGTAAGCAAAATATATAGGTCCACATGACGAAAATTTAGAGTCACGTAAGTTAAAAGGTATATGTTTTAATTTCTTTGGCTTATGATTACAAAATTAGAAACTAAAAGAAGAGTAAGATAATGTCTTCTTCTTGTTTCCCTTGCTTTCTTCATAGTCCTCTTCACTTGCTCCCTCTTCCACCCTCCAAAACTTCTGAACAAATTCTAGAACAAGTTGTTTTAATCCTCAAGATTGAAAATTTGGGCATACAATACTATGTTGCAAAACACTCTCAATGTAGCCCAAAACATTTCATTCATCCATATATGTTTGAAACCCTCAAATTTTTTAAATTTGGACAATAATATAGGCTCCAAGTATTTAAAAGACAAGCCAATTCATTCATTCATACCTTTCATTTACACACATACATCATGGAAACCCCCCCCCCCCCCCACACCTTTTTTTTATTACCCAGAAATCTCAACCCCACGTGCTACTTTGTGGCATTTGGGGAGTACCTGCATCAACAACATTTTCAAGGCATAGCACCCGATACTGGGGGTAGACTTCGTCTCCAGCACTCGCGGTGCCTCCGGGAACACCAAGTGGTGTAGCGGGGTTCGAACCTGAGACCTCACACATCTCAAACTCGAAAGATCACACTTCCGACAAACTCGGTTGTGTTACCTTTCGTGGAACACCCCACACTTAAAGCAGGACATTGCTATCAAGTTTTTGAACTATGCAAGATGGCCAAGTCTTGTGTGGCATCATAAGAGAAAACTATATGTTTTGTGGAGAAGGTTGATGGTGAGTGAGTGTTGGACTAAGAGTTATGAGTGGAAAATTGTGTAAAATATGGGGAGTTTGTCATGGTTTTAATGCATATGATTGTAGAAATAAAATAGTTCGATTAGTAATTGGGCCAATCTCTTTACTCTTGGATTTCTTTCAAAAAGGTCTCGTACTAATTGGGCTAGGTGGACACTAATATATAAGGATTTCCCCCCTTGTCTCTATGATGTGGTACTCGGCTTGTCTCATAACAATCCTCCCCTAAAAAAAAAGGATCACGAATTTCGTGCCCTCTCCTCAACGATTATCTTAATATTCTAGATAAGTGTAGATTTTATTTGATTTACCAAACAACTGTAGGTCTCAAATCCCGAGGCCAGAAAATGAGGGTCCACCGTCCTGGATCCGAACCATGCTCTAATATCACTTGTTGAAATTGGGTAGCTCCATCAGTACGATATTATCCGCTTTGGCCCAAGCCCGCATGTTACCTTTAGGTATCCTCCCCAAGGTCCTCGTACTAATGAGCTTGGTGGATAATAATATACATGGGTCTCTTCCTTCTATTTTTGATCTGATACTTGGATTGTCCCATAGCAATCATCTCTTCAGGATAAGGACCACATACTTTGTGTCCTCCCCTCAACAACTATCTTGATCTGCATACACCTTGTATTGACAAACTCTTCCAAATAAGGATTTACAAAATCTTTTTTTATTAGCCAGAAAAAGGCATATATCAAATGTCGAGGTCTTCGAATGAGGGTCCATCGAACTAACATCCACCACCCCGAATTGAATCCGAACCAGGCTCTAATACCACTTGCTGAAAACGGATAACTTTATTCAATGCAGTCAAAATCACGCTCTAAAAGTTAAAATCTTACAGTTTTACATTTCTCGGTCACCAAAACGCTTCTACGTAGAATCGCTTTTTACTTACAAGTGTAGTCAAAATCTACGCTTTAAAACTTAAAAGCTTAAGTTTTTACGTTTTTACTTCACCAAGGCGCTTCCACATAGAATCACAATATTTTGACTGCATTGGCTCCATTAGAACGATATTATTGGCTTTGGGCCAAGTCCACATGGATTTGCTCTAGCGTTCCTTCCCAAAATGCATCATACTAATTGGGTTAGGTGGACACTAATATACAAAAGTTATTCCTCTTGTATCTCTGATGTGGTACTTGGATTATCTCATAACAATGATTTCAAAAGGAGAGTTCTTGCTTCCAAAACACTAACTACATCGATTCAACTTCTTTTTGGCATCCATTTAAGCGATAGAGAAGGTGGGTTAGTGATTTTCCAAGGGTGCATCAACTACCCAACACTTACATATATATGGTGACGTCTTCAGTGCACTCACTCTTTTTGGTGTATTCAATGTACCCGCCTCATAATCGTCATTCCGAGCATGCAATTCATGTCAAAACGATATCGATTGTTGCGTATGATATTATGAACAAAAAACATGAAGTATTTAGGGTTTAAGAATTTAGGGTTGTGGTTTAGTTTTACAATTTGAAATTTTGGTTTGGGATTCAAAATTAAAGGTTAGGGATTAAGGTAATGGATTGATTAGTTGTAATTCTATGTTATGTCATCATATTATACTAATGTTACCAATTAAAGTTCAAAATCCGATATATTATGACCACTTTTAGAGTTGGGTGCACGGAATGCACAAAAATAAGTGAGTGCACCGAAGTAGCCACCTCTATATATATATATTATGATTATACTCTGCACTGTTTGATTTTTTACAGGTGACTTCCAAGCACTGCTTCACACTAAACACGTTTAACTTCATAGGTCTTACAAAAACTCTTCATTTAACCAAAAAATGCATCATATCATTTCACTCAAAAACTTCCTTTGGGAGTCAACGTCCTCGTCCAAGAGGGATGCAGAGGGCTCTGATAACACTGGTTTGATTTGTTTTCTTTGAGCATACCGTCGCACTGTTTTGATTTTAGGTGTATCATGGTGAATTCTGGGAGGTCACCCAACTTTGTACCGCACCACACTCAGCACGTTTAACTTCAGACTTCTTACAAAAATTTCTCAATTTTATCGCAAAACACGTATTGTGAGTTAAAATTAGATTGTTCCTTATGAACTATAGAACTCTTTCGTTGTTTGTCGATTTGATATTTGTCTGAGCTGACACATTAAGCAAGTTTTTTTTTTTTTCTTCTTATTTTATTTCCGTGTGTTGACTTCGTGGCCGGTCTTATTCTTTTCTTTCTACTGCTTCTCCATTCTTTAGGTTAGAGTAGTTGCACACTCTACATCACATCCTTAATCAATATTCATACCAGTTAATGCAAGTATATAAGCTTAATTACTATAACTTGCTTACGATTTAGCGCTCATATTAGGAGAAGTTAATCATGAGCAATCACTCTTGTAAGAAAGAAAAATCTGGAGTGATCTTTCACTGATATGTTGCTTTCAGAGAAAAGTTCCCAGTTTGTTAAGCTATGAAAACAAAAGAAATAAATAAACAAGGAAGGATGGAAGACAAAGCAAAAAGTGATGTGAAGGCAGGCATGTGACTTGGGTTATACTCAAAAGCTAAGCAAGTAGTTTGAAAGTAAAACACACACCCAAACCCATTTTGGGATGCAACAAGGTGGAATTTTATAATGTTGGTATTTTTGTATATAATATGAATTTAATTTTTATTGTTATCGTTATGACACAAATCCAGTTTGTACTTACACTTTTATGTACAAATTTTTTCATGGTATAAATCGAATTTGCATAATGTTATGATAGAACTGAACTTGTACCAGACTACCACTAACGTCATGACACAAATTCAGTACCCATACATTTTTCGTACAAATTTTTTAAGGTACGAACTAAACTTATATAAACTTCGTATAAAATTCATTACTTTGACATTATAATACAATTGCAATTTGTATTTAGAAGCACTTATCAGACTACAGTAGATTGACTACTTTTGGAATTAAACAAAACAGATCCCATTTTTTCGTTAATTTTAGAATTTGGAGTTTGGGAGGGACCCCCATTGTTCCTTCTTTAGTCTTTCCACCTCCGGTTGCCTTCTCTTTTCTCTTCCCCCATCTCTCAACAAATCAAGAACTAGCAAAAGTGTGGTGTGCAACAGTCTAGTCCGATCCTGACCTAAATTAAGATAATTGCGATCTAATAGAGAAAAACATTTTAAAATAAAAAACTGGATAAAGCAATGTATTCGGTCTGTTTTGATCCGGTCCAAATGTCAATTCAGTCTATTTTTCTTTAGTATTTAGAAAATTCATGGTGATCAAAGACGGGATCATATTATATTCGATTTGATGTAATCCGATCCAAACATCAGTTTCATCTGCTGCGATCCGATACGAACCAACTCGTTGCACAACCTTACCAAGATAGGACAGGGTATGAAAGAAGGTCATCCTGTTGATATAGTTTATTCATTATTGAGGGCTATATGTGCATGCACCTCTTTTAAACTTCAGTTTTCAAGTCTTTTTTTTTTTTTTACTGTTATTGGTTGAGAGATAGCTTTCAGGGCTTTCTTAGAATGAGTGGTGCTGGGCTTAAGAAATGATATCATTCTTCCCACATTTGCACTAAATGTGTAAATTAATACACACATGTAATATGTGCTACTAATGTGAATTTTGTGAATGGGTGACCAACAAGTTAATTGGGGCTGGGGCTTTTGCTTGCCTTAGAGATTGGAACACTCCCTAAAATTATTATTATCAGTTCTTTCTTCTTTTCATTGATTTCACTTTCCCACCGTCTTCTTTTACTGTGCAATCAGTGAACAGTGCGTGTTAAGAACCTTAGCACATGTGACATTGGTCAAAAGATTTTAGCTCCTTGCATTGTTTTTTTTTAAAGAAGCTCCTTCGTTGTAGGAGAAAAAAGAAAAAGAAAAGTTTATTCTAGGTAAAGTAATACTAATGGGTTCGGTTTCAGTTAATCACTAACTGATTGAGTTAAAACCATGAAAGAAAAATTACATAAAACATCGTACTAATAAGATTATTAGTTACCGCGTGTTATAAGTTTGGTTGGCGATTAGTTTGACGGTTAATCAATAACAACCTCCAGTACACATGTGGATATTTTTCATTTTTTATTTGAAATTTTGTATGATGTCCTTTCTAATACTAAAATACAATCATAAAAATAAGTTAAAATAATTTAAATTCATCATAAACTAATATTTATTATAAATAACATCAATATAATCCAACAGTGAATTCATAATTCAAATTCTAACACATACACAATAACAAATAATTAAAATTCTTCATACCAACTAGAAAAATATATCAAACACAAGCACCACAAAATCACCATCATTCACAAACATCAAATAAAAAAAATGATTGCTAGGGTGTGAGTTAGCTTTGTCCACCGCAAATGGGAGTTAGAGAGGGGTAACTTTTGGGTTTTGACTCTTAAACATTTTTTAGACTTCGAGTGGATGGTTGTATGCAATAGGTGTGAATTATGATGTTTGTAATTGCGACTTTGGTTTTGTTTAAATCTTTAGAATTTTTCCTTTAATTAGTTAAAATTTAAAATTAAGTGGTTATTACTAGTAGGACTTATCGATTAACCACTAAGCAAAATGCAGCTAATTAAAACTCACCTGCTAAAATTTACCATGCATATCCCTTTTTATTATTATGAAGTGACAAGAAAAAATCAATATTAGGGGTAGAGATGTTTGGTGGGGGATGGGAAAACAAAAATTGGAAAGGAATTATAATATAGAATAAATTGGCAGCATGGTAGCTTGAGGGGGAAGTAATGGATTTTGTAGTGAGAGTTAAGTTGGTGAAATGGATTTTATTAGTGGCCACAGACAGCTGCAGTTGCTCTTCTTTGTTAACTTAAGAAATAGTTTTCATTGCTGAGAAGGGGAGGGAAGTAGTGGACTTAAGAAATTGATTTAAGAATTAGGAGATGTAATGAGGTTGAAGAAAGCATCAACTCAACAGTAGGGTTGGTTAAGCTTTTCTGGTAGAGTGGCTAATCCTATTTCTTTGTTGTCATGTCAGAATATTAATTACTTCCCTAGGTCACTCTAATATTGAAAGCAAACTCATGCCTACTTCATCTTAATTAAGAGATACCAAATTTAATAGTGACCAATCCAACTCACTCATAATTTATAGTCATTTTCCATTCAATTTGTTTCTCTTAGAGGAACCTAAGGGTGGGAAACAGAGCGATTTCGGTTAACCGAGCAGAATAACGCAGTTAACTGCAACCGAATAAGGATGAAATCAAGACGATGAAACAAAAACCGAAAACAAGATTTGGTGGAGAGGTTGTCGCCCTCCAAGATGGAAAACATAGTGGGTAAGATTGAACTCACGTTGAAAGAGGGCTTCTCGTGGTTGGTCCCATCGACATGAAACATTTCTTACTGGATTGGGCCAAATATTCTATAGTTTAGCATAATAGGCGGTTAGTTATTCGGTTATCTCTTTATCCGGTGCGGTTTGTGGTTATTCCACAAATCGCAAAATGGCCTATCCTACTAACCGCGATCGAATAAGACCTCACTTAAGCGGTTAATCACAAACTGCGGTTATTTGGTGTTGTTTCGGTTTAACCGCAAAATCGCAATCGTTTTCCCACCCCTACAGGAACCTATTTTAGATTATGGATCCAATCTAAAATTTCATTTAACTGAGTTTAAGACTGTAACTACTTCCCCCTGCTAACTTAAATGCTCGGATATTTTTCGGTAGGAAACACGACGCTTAAAAACTGCCCCGACCTTTACGAATTAACGAAATTGGGGAACTCATCCCGAGTTTATTTAAGTACAACTACTATCCAAGGGAGCCTACTCCTGGATAGGAATTTAATAGTGACCAACCCTACTGACTCCTTAATTTCTGGTAATTTTACATCCGAAGTCTTAACCACGTCGACTGCTAAAACAAAACGTTTAAAGATCGCTTCAACCTTTACATAGCGATGAATGTGGGAATCTCAACCCCAAGTTAAAGGAAAGTACAACGGGGATTCAAGGAACTTACTAGGCGAAGAAAACCCATGTTCTGCCAAAGATAGTGTAAAAAAATGAGCTAGCGAAATTAGGTAATCGACCACTAAATTGACAATGTAGTGAATTAGTTGGAAGCTGGAACCATAATTAAGGGTACAAGTTAATGACTAGAAGCCAATGCTTGAGCTTCGGAATGGCCAAAATATGCAACCCCCAATGCAAAAGAGCCATAATAGTTCCACTTTTCACTTGGCTTCTCGCAAACAAATAATGAAACAAGAATAAGAATTTCCAGAATCCAGAGCTTCTCCCAATGGCCAATTCCCTTCCCTGCATCCAAAGTTATTGGGTGCGCTGTACAGAACAAGACAAACAGTTGAACAAAAAAGATTATAAAAGAAGGAAAAATAGAACAGAGTAAATAGAGGAAGATGGGGACAACATTGGACTTGAGAATTCCAATGGTTATAAGAGCACTGTATCTGTATGTTGTTGTGTTGTGTCCAATTCTCCCCTAATTCTCATACTTTAGTGGTACTCGAGGTAAAATACCCGATATAGTTACTTAGTTGTTGGTTCAAACTCCCAAGTCTAACCAACCAAATTATAGTTGAGCTACTTGCTTCTTTCGTGGTACAATCATCTACTCGTTGAGCCCCTTTATATCTATCAATATAAGGGAATTGTGATCTCAACCCCCCTCTCCCCAGAAAAAAAATAATGTTGGTAGTGAATGGAGGCGTTAATTTTGCTATTGGGATTACAGGGTGTCTGTGAGAACGTGCTCACAACTAGACGTAATAATAGAATTACACGTTAAATGTCTCATAGTCGTCCAATGGATGCGGTGACATTTTGTTAAAACATGTCATCGGGTCGATTCGACAGATTCAGACCACCTAGACGCAATTCGACAGTCATGGAGGTGCCGTGAGCACGTTCGCACAGGCTCCCTGAGAGTCGGGTTGTGAGCAAAGAGTTATGTTTTGAGTGATGATCGCAAGAAAGAAGAAAAAGAATGCAGCTAGCCTGCTGCTTCCAGCTCGGACAGATGAAAATCAACTGTACATCATATAGAACTATAACTACATAGTACAATGATTGCCCCCAAAAAAGTGTCCTACAAAATATGTGCATGCCCAGCTTCAACATTACCACTTCCATTCTTTCATTTGCATTTGCATTTGCCCCATCTGTCTGTCTATCTGTGACTTGGGTTGGTTGCTTCAATGGCTGCTGGTCCTAACATTTTGTGTGCTGCTCCACATACCTTGCAAATCATAACTAGCATGGTTGGGCGCTGTAAGGAATCCTTTTCTTCCATTCTTTCTTTCTCTCTTTCCATCCTTTCCCCACTATGTAGTAAAGAAAGAATGGTCCCAACACAACTCATAGCTAACTGAGTGAAGAAAAAAAAGTATTCCAATGATGGAAAACTAGCTGGAAGGATAATAAAGTGAGTGAGCGAGTGGTGTGGTGCGGCTCTTTCTCACATCACATGGCAATGGGAACCAGAATGCCCCTTTCATCTTTAAACCAAGTATCCTAAAATCTTACTTAGGAGGTTATACCGAAAAAGTAAGTATTTTTAGAGCATTGTGTACTAAAGTTGTGTTTTAACTATGGTTCAACATTAAAAATGCATGTCTTATTGGGTCGGATATCCGGTATTTCTAATTCCAACTGGTCGGTACGATTTCTACAACATTAAAACAGAAGAGGAGCCTTGCCCAAAAACAAAATCAGAACGTAAAAATAACCTGTTACAGTAGGTCAAACAATGAATAGCCAAATCGTAGTAATTAGTAACATACATAGTTGGTTTTGGATCAAAATCAAGTTTGTATATCACCACTCCGACTGATTCCTCTTCCTCAAAACATGTCTATACAGGGCCGGGGAGAAGGGTAGCATGAGCTATGCATATGTTACAGCATTCAAACATAGAATAAAGATGTGATAATTACACTGACAAAACCTTTTCGTCGTTATCCTCCTCCAAACGTCGTGCATCTGCTGTTATTCGACATCATCCTCTCCCGTCGCCGGGTTCCTAGCCCTAGTCTGGTTGGGGTTCTCAGCGGCATAAACTTGGCCCCCCTGATGATGATCTCTCACGTCTCTAAACATCGAGAGAAGAGTGTTGAGGCCTTCATAGGAAGCCCCTCCCAAGATCCACAGCAACAGAGAGCTAAATGAATTCATCGACCCAACATTCGCGCCAGTGTCGCCTTGACCTGGAACATTCCCAGCAGTTGTAGGCGCTCCGGTGGCTGCTGGCGGCATGGGTTGGTCTGTGTTTGCTGCTGCTGGTACTTGCGGAGGAGGGGTCCTGGCATTGAATCTTGTAGTAATGTGTAGCGTTGATGCAAATATGGTCGAAGAGGTGATGTGGAAGTCGGGATGCTGCTGAAGCTGCGTTCTTCGGTTCTGCATAAACCTCTGTAGAGCTGGTACCTATAAATTGTGCAAATAAGAAGACCAAGTCCATTGATAAGAAAATTATGGACAAGCAGGTGGAGCACGAGCCATGCCCTAATTGGAAATCTTGTGATAGTAAAGAAGTGCAGTGACCAACATCTATATCAAAAAGTTTGGAGGCCGCTTGGTTGGCTGTAAGATTTGGGGAGTGATATTGTCCATAAGTTTAGATGCATAATAACACATCTAGCGGTATTGCGTCAACATGATCCAAATTCCAATCTTAAATACATGGGATAGGAAGTATTTGAAAATGCAATGAACAAATTTTATGTACAAATACACTGAACCAAGCAATGTCTTCGCAAAAATACCTTGCATGATAGCATGCGGTCGATGCTGCTGCGACAGAAGCTATTGCATTGTTTGCATTAATGATAGCCTGTCTATTCTTATTTGCATCCTAAGCTATCTTTTACTTTTATGTACAATCAGTTTGGTTTCCAGAGAGAAAGAAGAACAGAGGCTAGTCCCCAAAAATGTTCAGTGGAGAAGTTGGGGGTTCGAGGTTGTTATAGTTAAACCCCAAGTACGTGCATCAAATGAGGTTGAGCAAAACCCAAGTCATACAGAAAAGAAAAAAAAGAAGATAGGACAAGAAAGGTAAAGCAACTTGCTCAAGCACAAAATCAGTAAGGCAGTGAGATTGAAGAATAAGAAGCCAAACATGCATCTGCACGTACATAAAACCAAACAAGCCCAGATTTTATGACTTTGGAACGTATACCTAATAGAAAGTAAAGGTTCAACTAGATACGTTGAGCGCATTTAAAGAAGATGAGCAAACGTTACCTCAAAGCGATTCCAAAAGTACAGGATCAAGTGCTGCATGAATGCTGCCGTTGTAGACAAAGCCAAATACGAAAAACCTGAAAAGTACCACAGTGCAGTATACTCATATTAGGGTTCAATATATAAAGAAAGGATACTCGATGCAATGAGAAGGGAGGTCCATACCATATGTATAGGAGAAGAAATAGATGTGGAAGACCAGAAAATAGAGCAAGAAAAAGCGAGGGAAGAACTTCATTGATAGAGGCGTGCGGACACTGCAAAAGATCGAGGACCATAACTTGTCATTTGACATGCAAGAATCTCTAAATGATTAGTAAAATACTATTCACTAGCCCGTTGCCAGCTTAAGCTTTTTACACAGTTGAAGATCCCAGAATGATGGAAGCAGGATTGAATATTTGAGGAAAAAGAAACATTTGGCTTCACAATGCAATCATGATTACAACATTTGCTAAGTGGCAGGAATATATAATAAAATAAAAATAAGAAGGGCCTTTCATTCTTGAAGACCTTATCAGTGTGAAGAGTTCACACAACCAAACAAGAATCAAGACCATGAAAGCCAATAGTTGATCATCATAGAACTCAAACAGGAAAAACAGGATGCCAATCATTATCTGCAAAAAACAAAAAACAAAAGGTAGAGTAAAATGGTTTATTACTAGCTGAATAGGGGGGAAAATAAACAAATAGAAGTAGTCTACAGGAACCACCAAGCCAACAAGCAGCTTAATAGCTTATCGATATCATATGACTATTGATGTACGTAATATAGCTTCTATGATAATAACTTAATCAACCATCATGTGTGCTCACCGGTACAAAGACAAGGGACTCAATTACATGGACAAAGATCAACTGAAATGTTGGCAATCGATGTCGAGCATGGTGTTGAAGCTGCACTGAATAATTCAACAAAATAAAAGTTAGAAAGATAAAGTGACAGTAAAGTGAACCATATTCTAATGGGAAAGGAAGGAAACATGGGAACACTGACATCTGAAGGAGTACCAAGTTCACCGAGTAACCAACAAATAGGGCACGTACTATATGGATGTAGGAAGATAGCAATATGTTGGCTAGATTCAGAAGGAATAACGAACCTGTAAATCTCAACATCCGTGTCTGTGTCTCTCTCAATGTGAAGGATACAGACATTGTTGTCGTAAAGAACACAAACAGCGACATCATAAGCACGCCACACTTGGTGACTAGATAGTCTACAAGCAGAAACAAAGATCAATAATTGTTTCCTAAAAAAAAAAAAAAAACGGGCATGACTTATGATCAAGAACAATCCGAACAGTTAAACATGTCTAGTAAGATCGGTGAAGCACGGCCAAAATGCATCATGGAAAGAGCTACTGTATCTGCAACTGAGACATAAAAAAATCACATGCCTAAACTGTTTTTCTTTGCCAATGACATAGAAGAAGAAACAGACAAAATGTATCAGAGACAAGTTGTAAACTGCCAGTCTAGTTGGCCAGGACAATGCTGTAGAGGTCTGTACTTATATTTTCACCTCAAAACTTTCATTCGTCACATATCCAGCTATCAAAGCAATTTATGAGGTATTGATTTACATTCTGTTTCGTTCCAGCATAAAACAATACATACCAAAGCCAACTATGTGAAGTTTTGAAATTAGCAATCCATTACTGGAATCTAAAATTGATTTAGGCTTCACAAGTATGCATATACTTTGTTTCTTAAAGTAGACTTCTAATACGAAGCATGTTCAGATAATGTACATAGATAGCAAGACAATATTAGTTACCCCCACCACAACCTTGTATAACAAAACCTACAGAAGGCATGTGCCAATACCTCCAAACTTCGCCGGCCCTTCAGGTAGTTCTTGAGCATAGCTGAGATTGTAAAATTCATTTGTCTGAAAATTATAAAGGTAACCTACAACAGAGCCGCAAAATCTAATCAGACCAAAAACTACCTGATTATAAAACACCATAGATATGCGCCAATACTTAAATCTTAAAATTCAGATTACACCTTACATTACATTTCAAGATTTAGAAAATGAGAAATATATGTAAAAAAGCATCTCTTCCAAGCAATGGTAAAGTTTAAAGGAAACATATGAAATGAAAAACCACACTGATGTGCTACCACACTCAAACAAACTACATTGTCTCAACAAGAAATATATGTATCAAGGATGAGTGATTACCATGCCCCGGCGAGCTAAGTATGCTATTCATCAATATGGTATCATATCCAACCACTCTATTTATCAGAAGTTGCTGCCACCTGGAAAATCATTTGAACGAACAATAATTAGTGCAGGTTGCTAACATCCCACACAAGCTATCCGAGAAGGATGGTTAAAAGTAGAAATAAAGACCGTTAGACATAATGGAATAAGACAACCTTTGAGCTATTGCTCGTCAACTTATTATCAAATCATATGCCACACAAAACTCAACCAACACCATAGAACACCTACCAAGTAGAACACGAGCAGAAAAATAATGAGCTGAGTGAAACAGTGATATCATGGCCTTTTTATCAGAGCTTAAAAAAAAAATTGGCCAAAGAAACACTAATTTCTCCTAAAGACTAAGTTTATCAAAAGACCATACCAAAAAGATCACAAAGTTCTAGAGAATCGAAGAGAAATTGTCAAGATTCAGAAATAGTAGAGACTAACAGGAATGGCAACCGAATACATGTCACAAACAAATTGATAGCGTCTATATAAGTCAGATTGATGCACCAACTAATCAGTTTCAAAGGGGAGACTAACAGGAATGGCAACCGAATACATCTCACAAACAATTTGATAGCGTCTATATAATTCAGATTGATGCACCAACTAATCAGTTTCAAAGGGGCACTTAAAACAGCCTTCCCATCCTAAGCCACAGACCTGTTCCCTAAACAAGGATGCCAAGCTGATATGGATATGTTGACTGTTCGTATGTTATGCTGCAGCCTGGCCTCTTCAGGTAGCAAGAAATAACCCTGCCAATAGCCATGGAATTCAAAATTAGGTAATTAAACTAGAGATCTTCAAACACCCCTGAAGCGTTTGGAAAAGCAATTCAGTCTCTACCATGCTATCCTTGAAGGACCAGAACGTTGATCTCAAGAACATCAGAAATAAAATTGTGTCTACCTTTTCCATGGTGTACAGATAGGTCGGCTCAAAAGCTTTGCTTTTCTTCTCAAGCCACTGCACTGAAATATATAAGATGGTGGGATCATGTTAATTTTAGGAAACACTAACAAAACCAAAAACCAAACATTTTCCGAAATGATCTTTCATCAATTCCATGTGTCACCTTTACCAGACTTTAAAAACACATACTATTGTGATCAGATTTAGACTGACAAGGTGCATCTATTGGGTACACAGTATAGAGGCCACCACAACAAAAATGTAACGCGAAAATGTTATTGGATGTATTCAATTAAATAACTAATGGCCTTCCAAGACAACTGTGGAGCTTGCAGAAATCTTAAGAGATTGGAATCACCCAGTTTCTTCTTCAAAGAAAGCACGTTTTGTGCTCAAACCTTGACGAAGCAAAAGAGACTACATCGTCTACAAACTCAAAATAAAGAATATAAACAGATATTTCTAGTAGCTCCAAGGATGTAAAGGTTTAAGACTGTTATAGAAGAGGCAAAAGAGACTACATCGTCAATAACCTGAAAATAAAGAGTATAAAAAATATTTCAAGAATGGGAGGATACAATCATGGAAGCTTGGATCATTAATTATTAAGGAAACCATGGAGTAGCAATTTACCTGCATGTGTATTAGCCTGGTCCAAATGAAGTATTCTTAACCACTTGGGAACGTCAAGATTCAAAGAGATGCCCGTAATATTCTGCACTAAAAATTTCAAATCATTGAACACATACTTAATAATATGATTAAAGAAACAAAACAGAATGAAGCAAGGCATGCATATGGCAATTACATTTTCTATTTATGACCAGAGAAGATAGCTATTTCACAAGGAGTAATATCTGTCAACTATGCATGAATAGAATTGTCAAATTCGGTTGAAACAGTGTGCCCAAGAGTGGACAATCCTTGAATGTGCATGAAAAGACTCAACAAATTCTTTCAACATAAGCTTCGCCCAAGGTTCGAAATCCCTCTAGAAAGGAATGAGCAAGGGAAACTAAGGGGGAAACGAAGGAAGTTTATTCGCTAGTGTACTTACCCATAGCTTTTGGAAACTGTGTGCTACTTGCAATATATGTCTCCAAATGAATAATAGACGCCTGTGCCACTTATTGCTGAAATGAGTGATAGCTACTTTAAAATTTTCCTTGGCTGACATAGAAAAACTGCTGCGAATCTCAGGTTTCTCGGTTGCAGTAACACTATCATCAACCATTGGTTTCGAGCTTTCAGTGGTGTCATGCTGATGTTCAATAAGTTCATTATCAGTCCGCCAGAACTTCAAAGTCAATTTTCCCTTCCTAGTACTGAAACCAATCCAGTTAAACCAAACCTTTGAAGCCAGCAATGTAAAGTCATCTGCACCAACATTTGGCAGTTCCAGTTTATCTGCTACAACATTCAAATCAGGAGCTTCTGGGATGCTGTATTCTGATTCATTGTGTAGCCAAAGTCCTGCACTAGATATCTTCATCAAGAACTGAAAGTCAGCATCAGACACAAAATGTAGCCTTGTGAATGCAGAAAAGCTAAATCGAGACAATACTGCTGGAATATTGCGCAGGATAAAACACATCGTATTTGTATCTGGAAACTAAATCAAGATGTTAAACACAATTAACGCAAGCGCCAATATAACAGATAAAATCATTTAACCATAATTCCCATTATTGCTATTGATGCCAAATATACAATAGTGTCTGCCCTTAACCATAGCAAGTTAAATGCCTAGCTAACCATGAATATATATTAACTTGTTTAATGGAAAGTTGAATAAAGAAAAATATTGATCCAAGGTAATGAATCATAAACACGGAATTCGAATCAACTATACTTCTGAAACATATGTGATTTCAGTTATAAAAAAAATATTATTTCAAGGGCCAGAGACCGCAAAACAGACAGGGAAGAGTGTAAAGAATTTTGCAAAGCAATCAGGATCAGTTTACAGGAGAAGACAGAATGAAAGCACATACCTTTATGTGAATAAGTTGGGCATCCAAAGCTTCAACTCCAGGAAGCTCACTTGAACATCCCGGCTGCACATGCAAAAAGGACAAGCATTAGCACGCAGCATTTTTTTTCTTTTGCAGATGAATCTCTAAGGATGGCACCTATGAAATGCGAAATTCCAAAGACGCCAACACCCAACCACCAAAAAAAAAAGTTGGTGAAGCTGATCAAGTACAAGCGCATTACTTCACTCACTCATTCAAATTTTACTCGATGTTCTACCAAGATACACAGTCACGCACCAGCTTAGCTCGTACCAAGTGATATTGAAAACAAAAAAAAAAGGCAGACACAACCCAACAACACCATACATTCAAGGCAATCTCACAGAAAACAGTAGCACAACATATGATCTAGCCAAATTCAGACCACAAAAGAAGACCCTAGACTGAAGCTATGAACAATTCGAGGATGTACCTGTTGAACATAATTGGCGTGCATGACTACGAGAATGCTGAAGAGTGTAACAGCGATAAACAAATAGACATACTCCAAAGTAGCCCTGACTTTGGCGGTCAACACCTGCGAAAACCGCTCTTGCAATCTTATAAACGTCTGTTCCGGATCCATTCTCCCTTCACTCTTAAACCGCGAATTGAACGGAAGCTAGGGCAGCAAAATCGCCGCCTCGCAGCTTGCCCGACTGATTCCAATTATCTGACCGTAGCGGCGAGCTCCGATGACTGAAGCCTGGAAAAAACTCAGTCCCTTCCGACTCCACCCGAAGTTGATTGGGGCCCGCTCGCCCTTCGTGATACAGCAGAGAGGGATGAGAAACGCCCAAATCCAAGGTTGTAAGCTTTAGGGAAAGCTGAAGGGCGTCGTGGTTTATTTATGCTCGCGGCCGGAATAGCTGCTTCTCGCCCCGTCTTCTCGCCGGTAGTCGGCCATGGAAGAGGAAAGTTTAGTTTAGAGTTGGATTTGAATTGGAGGAGCTTTCTGCCGTAGGGGAGAGGGAAAGAAAGTCGACGGACGGTAAGAAACGAGAAGGGAGAACCATTACGCTGCCGTCTTGACGGACGGCCGTTGACCAATGGGATGGAATTGTATGAGACTATGTCACTATGAGGTATATCGTCAAACCAGTTTATGCTATATGCCACTTTTACAACTCGAATGATACAACAAGTGGTATAATCGAGTTTTGTCGGTTTTAATAAAATAAACGAGAAAAATAAAAACCATAAATATCAAATAGGCAAATAAATTTGTTAGAAATAAGCAATTAAACGTGTCAATTCGCACAAAATAATTTATGGTTAGGAATTAACTAATAGTAAACAATTAAATACATAAAAGTACAAGTATATAAAATGAATTTTATTAATGTTTACAATGATTTATGTAAAATGTAGCATTATTTATATAATATATAAGGTTAATATGGCTCTAACGAGAAAACATGGAAGGAAAACCCTAGTACTCCGCATTACACGAAGGCAATTTGTGAGAAAAGCTTCTTCTGACGCGATGACAGTATTGCCATCAACAGTCGTACCAGCCTCGACTGAAAAGCCGCTGGGTACAAGCGGAGGTCGCAGGTTGGCCACAGTATCCTCCTCGCCGGATGGTAAAAGTGAAGGAGACTCTACAAGGCAAGGTTGGCTTGGATGGTATGAATTCTGAGATGGAAACTGAAAAGGAGATGAGCCGGCAGGGAGCCCACCGTTGGATGATCTGAAACCCTAGGTTGGAAGACTGAAGCTTTAAAACTCTTTTAGAATCTGGTGGAGGAGGAGGGCTGGTATGTAGTTGGCTTGGATTCTGGAGATGTTGCGACACAAGAACGTGAAGAAGATGATATTCTTATGGAGGAGGAGAATGGTCAGAAGTGTCTGACGATCTTGTTCACAGCGGCTGAGAAAATCCTTTGGAGAAGCTGGTGGAGGTCTATGTTAGTTGTGAAGGGACTTGGAAGAAGGGTTTCCTACCTTGCGTTAGGTTGGTGCCTGAACTATCTCTAGGCTAAGCATGGAGAAATCCAGATCTCATATATGAAGAACGAGTGTTTATTGGTGAGATTCAAACACCGGCTGGACTATGAGTTGGCCTCTTCCGGAGGCCTGTGGGCTGTGGCTACTGGGGGAAACATACCTTATAGTCCACCATTGGTTTAAGGGGTTTAATACTTGAACAATGAAAATTAAATCCACAATATTGTGGGTTTAGCTACCTGATCTACCGATGGATTTATTTGAATAATGAGGCGGTGATTAAGATAGGGGAAGGAATTAGGAAGCTGATACGTGTGGATAGGGCCACGGAATGGGGAGCCCGAGGGAAATTCATGAAGGTATGTGTGGAAGTTGATCTGACACGACTACTCTTGCCTAAATACAAGATAGAAGGGGGTGACGTACCTGATACAATATGAAGGTTTAAATAACATATGTGGGGAATGTGGCACACATGGAAAACCTACGGACATGTGCGAATGTCGCTAGGCGAATCAGGAGAGCAAGGAACAATGCATGAGGTGGTACCAGAGACTCAACCCTTGGACCCAAAGAATGGGACTGTCTATGGGGAATGGATGATGGTACACAAAAGAGTAGGGGAAAATTGATTCGTGGGATGAATGAAAAGGTGTTTCACTGCTTACCATGCACAACAACTTCCACGTACTGCATGAGGCTAAGCTTGATGGTGATGATTTCATGCAGATCGGAGAGTGTAGGGGTGGTGACGCCAACAATGGGATAAAGAAGTAGAGAAAGGAAAGGGTGGATAAGGATCTCATTCTCATGCGAAGGAGGGGTCAAACAAAAGGTTCCAATCGTGCCTTAATGCAGAGTCACGACAGGTGGCAATCAAGTTAAGCAATAAGACCAATTCCCTCTTTCAAAGTGAATAGGGAAAGATGGAGGAGAGAGTGGTGAAAATAGATGAGATGTGTTAATGCTTAACGCGCTGAAGGTCGGGCTGAACATACTAGGAATGATGTTAATGGTTTGGGGAACCTATTCCCTTAAGGTCATTACTGTGGCAACATGTGAAGAAAGCTCGCAATTAGAGCTTTGAAGTCCATTTTGTGACTTGCTTCTCAGCAAGTGATCTTCATTATAGAGACCAAGCAAGCAAAAGAATAAAACGAGAAGGTGCAGAATGAATTGAGATTTACTGGTGGAGAATGTTGTCCGAAAGACACAGCAGGAGGTCTTAGCATATGGTGGAAGGAGGAAGTAAAGTTGACCCTAATGTACTATTGACTTGAAGATAGTAAAGGAATGTGATCTAGTGTGGAGGTTTACGGGTGTCTATGGGTGGTCGAGGGGTAGCATCTCAACGATAAGGAGCATGGCTATGTGGTAAGGATTTCAATGAAATTCGTCGATACACAAGAAGAATGAAAGGCGTACTTTAGAGGAGATGGATATGTTGTATTTTAATGAATACCTCATCGATCAGGGTTTGAAGGACTTGGGTTTTGAAGGTTACCAATTCACTTGGGAGAACAAGCGACGAGTGGAAGGATATGTAAAGGAGAGGCTGGATAGGTTTTTAGCGTCGAATCAATGTTGGACTTGTTCATCAATGCCCATGTTAAATACTTAGACAAGACGATATATGATCATAAACCAATATCTGTGACACCCGTGGGGAGAAAGACAGGGATCCTCTATGGGGTTGGAGCTTTCGCTTTGATCCGTTCTGGACAGGCCACGCTGACTACTTGAAGGTGTCAACGGAAGCATGGGCTAAGCCATGTGTCTCGAATATTATGAGAAAGATAAATCATTGCAGTGACAAGCTGGATGCATGGAGTATAAGCACATTCCCTAGTTACCCTTTTCTCTCTCTCTCTCCCTTTCCACTCCAAATTGGGGAGTAAACTAGAATAGTTAGTGCATTTACCCCCACCCCCACCCCCGGCACCCCTAACACTATTGCAAATATTCATGCTCCCCCTCCCATGTAACCCCTTCCCAAACATTATATAACTCATCAACCATTTGGGAATGGAATTGGGTGAGGTGGGGAAATAGACAAGCATTTGCTGATACCTTGAAGGAGTGCAGACGGTAGTTGGACGTCCATGGAAATTTGGCTCGACACTCGACAGGAGAATAAAAGGCAGCGTTAGGGAGGCCATTTCTCATATGAAGTTTTCTGTTGGAGTTTTCAGAAAACCCCAAGTACTTGCGAGTAAGGGTGGAAATCGATACGATATCGGTATCACAATACCAAATACCAAAAATCCCAAAGACCGAATTACACCCCTAAATCAATATCAATCTCACTCCATAAATAATTTTGGTATCCTAATCCCAATTCCTAAATATTTCGCTATCCCGATCGGTATTATCGATTACAAAATTAATTACCTTGGCAATTAATAATTGAATATATAAATTAGATTTGATTATTTAATTTAAGGCAAAGGGACTAAGTAAAGAGTCTTGAGTTTGCCTAGAGGCTAGAGCTAGGATATGGATAAGGAGAATGAAGGAGAGGTGACATCTCAAATTCTTGTCATTGGTAATCTTTAATTTGACGAATTGGAGGTTGAGAGACGACTAATACTAGTGTTTGCTTTTTGGTGTTATGAAAATAACAAGAGATTAGGTGAGAGAAGAGAGTTACGTAAAGTGGAAAGTCAAAATTGAGTTGAATAGGAACTTCTAAGCTGTGAAAGAGTGAGGAATGACTAAAGGTTGTGTGTTATATTTCGTTAATTTTTAAGTTTCGGCAATTCTCGATATTTTTGTATATACTGATTTCAATCCTGAATACCGAATAACACTCCAAAATGAATTCTAATCACTAAAAAATAAAACCATATTCAATAATGCCAAATAATAATAAATTCAATACAATATTGATATATATCACAAATACTAGTATCAGCTTCCAGCCTCCAACCCTACAACTACAAGGATGAGTGGGAAGCCAAGGAAGGAGAACGAAACGCAGAGGCAGTTCCACGTTGTGGCACGCTGGGTCCCGCCATTTCTTCCTCCTCCTCTTCTTTCACAACCCCATGCCTACTATCGCCGAAGGACACACAATTTGGCGGGGAGGCCATGGAAGCAACTAGTTCGAATTCCTTCGACTGCCTACGGGGTTTCGCCCCCACCACGAATTACATAAGTATTCTGCGTTCTGCTTCTCTTAACCCTTCTTCTTCTTCTATCCATGGCGCTTACCACCAAAGCCCTCTTCAATATTGGCGTTGTAGTGGGTCGAGCGGACATTCTTCAGAAATTCAACAAGCTGAGAGCTTTACCTCTCTTCTCAAGGTACCCGCTGTTTCATTTATGGGTCTCTCTTCTTCGCTTATGGTTCTTCTCTTTCAACTGTGCTCCCTTGCGTGTATCTTGCTGCCAAGTCCCCGATTGGGTTTGTGGTTTGTTGGGTTTGTCTTCAAGAATTTAGCCCCAATTCTTCTATTGTGTACAGATCACAAAGTATTCTGAAACTTATCGAGACGGGGGTTCCAAGCAAACGTTTGTCAATTGTGCATCCTTGATTCAAAATCTGCGTAAGGAAGGGATGCCTCATCTCGCCCATGAGGTTTTTCTTGAGATGAAAAGTGAAGGGTTTCTACCCGACAGCTCGACTCTTTGTGCTCTAATGCTCTGTTATGCGGATAATGGTCTCTTCCCTCATGCTCAAGCAATATGGGATGAGATGTTAAACAGTTCCTTTACGCCCACCATAGATGTAGTTTCCGACTTAATGCTTGCTTATGGGAAGAAGGGATTGTACGAGGAGGTAGCCAAGATTGTCGATCAGCTGAGTTTAAGGCATACCGAAATGCTACCAAAGGTATACCCTTTGGCTATTTCTTGCTATGGGCAGGGAGGACAGCTCGAGTTGATGGAAAGCACTGTGAACCAGATGGTTTCAAAGGGCTTTAAACTTGGATCCTCCGTCGCAAATGCCTTCCTTAGATATTACAGCATTCATGGGTCTTTAACTGAAATGGAGGCTGCATACCATCGTGTTAAAAGGTCCAGGGTTCTCATAGAGGAGGAAGGAATCAGGGCAATGTCGTCTGCATACATGAGGCAGAGGAAGTTTTACCAGCTTGGTGAGTTTGTGAGGGATGTCGGTCTTCGTAGGAGAAATGTGGGGAACCTCTTGTGGAACCTTCTGCTGGTATCTTATGCAGCAAATTTCAAGATGAAAAGCTTGCAGAGGGAATTTGTCAGCATGCTGGATTCCGGGTTTCATCCCGATCTCACGACATTCAACATCCGAGCTATGGCGTTTTTGAAGATGTCCTTGTTGTGGGATCTTCATCTGAGCCTTGAACATATGAGACACTGTAAAGTCGATCCTGATCTGGTGACTATTGGATGTGTGGTCGACGCTTACTTGGACAAGAGATTGGGTAGGAACTTGGAGTTTGCGTTCAGGAAATTGAATTTGGATGAATCTCCTGCAGTGCTCACCGATCCTTTCCTGTTTGAGGTATTGGGGAAGGGAGACTTCCATGCTAGCTCCGAGGCATTTATGGAGTTCAGGAAGCAGAGGAATTGGAGTTACAAGGATCTTCTAGCTATTTATGTTAGGAAACAACATCGAAGTAACCAGATCTTCTGGAACTACTAACTAGCAGATTGCTGGGAACATGAGAAAGTTGATGTAGAGAAGATGAAAGCTCATTTTGATGGTAGCAATTACTGGTGAGTCTTTTTGCTGATACACTACTAGTACAAGGATACAAGCAGAGGTTTCATTTTTCTACTCCGGTCAATCTCACGATTTATCTTGTGTAATGGTTGTGTTATATGAACAGAGGATGATGCCATGGCAGGGCTTGCCTTATTTAGTGAAGCAATGGATGAATTGGTTGCCTAAGATGATAGTCAAACACTTAGTAAGGGGCTGGCTCTGTGCTTCGATCGACATTCAGATTATTGGAGAAGCTGCAATCCTTGATTTGACCGTGATGATACCTTTTTTTGCCACTTACCCGTTGCTATTGGGAAACCATGTTCAATCCGTTGGAGGCTAAGAAAGGCAGAGGATTTGCTTGGTGTCAAATTGTATTCACATTTTTTCGCTTAGGAAACTTTAGTGTTTGATAAAGATGAATTGCATGTTAACTTCTTGACTTCTTGAGCAAAGATAATAACATGGTTCACATCACTTTGAATAATGTTCGAACAAATATATTTGATGTTTTTTTATGGGATTAAGTTATGCCAAATTATGGAGACTCAGTGAGAACTCCATAAATGATCCATGGCCTATTTGCAAAGAAATAGTAAATTTTGACATTGGATATAAAGTGTTTGCTTGTGAAACCTCTTTCTAGTTTTCTTTTTCCTATTTATAACCACTGGGTGTAACTGTCCTAGTGACCATCAACTGGTCGGTTGCTCCAACTGTCTCGGAGTGCTCATTATTGTCTTGATGACTAGTTGATAACCGTTGTCTTGGTGTTCATTCTCATCGTCTTGGGGACCTCTCGTCCCACCTTAGTGACTGGTTGGTGATTGATAGCCTCGATGTCGGGTTGGGTTGGTATTGCGTACTGTCTATTTGTTGGTGTTTACCAATACAACATTATGATTACTTGAGAAAAAAAACTTCTGTTGTGGCATCATTCCATGATATATACAAAGAATGAATAATAATAATAATAATAATAATAATAATAATAATAATAATAATAATAATAATAATAAAAAGGGGAGTTCATAGTTAACATTTAACATAAATACGCCCAACTAATATAATTTTATTACCATCATTAGAAGTAGTCACCTAAAAAAAATATATCAATTGTACGAGGGTAATGAATTAGGTATCTATGTGATTGTTTCAATCTATTAACATTTACTAGTGATTGAAAATGTAATTTTCTAGCGTGTCTTAATCCACCATAATGTATAAATTTTTATCTAGTTAGGAGTTTATATATTGTTGTCTATACTCCAGAAGAACAAATATAATATCATAATATTATGAGCTTTATTTTTTGGTTCCAAAAGGAGGAACACTTCACTCTTGAGTGAGTGTTTATGCAAAGTACTAAGTATTAGACTATTAGATATATTGCTAATTCTATAGTTGATTAATTGGTCTGATTGGTTAGCAACGTCTGAAACCAAAATACAGAAACCAAATAAGTAAAAAACATTAAACCAAACCAAATTATCCAAATATACTACCAGTTAAATGAGTTACCACGATATCCACTATTTTCAACACCCCTGTCCAAATATGTCTTCGAAGGGGTGGGCAATGAGCGGTTTGGATATGTTTTGGTCTCAATTCGACCCACTTGCTTACTAGCGAGCTTGTATAATTGTGACTCGCTATCCACCACATTCTTCAGCAGATTGGGTTGGGTGGGTGATACAGTTTCATTGTGGGTTAACCCGCAAAAGAAATTTACCAACTAGCCATTAAGAAAGTTTACGAACATTTATATTTTATAATATATTCTTTTTAAATTAGTAAGATTGTACCAAATTAGACACTTCCCACTTTGTCTCATGTCAGTCATGTGAATTCATTCAGTATTTGCATCCAAATTTTCAATACTCTATCAACCACTTGTGTAGAGAAATTAAGAAAGATTTCACATTTTGCGACTTTGATAAAATTAATAGCTCATAATTTGCATCCAATATCTAATGGATATTATTCAACACAATAACCAATAATAGTTAGTCCAAAAATATTTTTTATTCTCCATTTTTAGAAGTATATGGTAAGTGTGTAGTACGTTTAGAAAATATGATGAATATTCGATAGCATAAGAAATAACATTTTTTCATGTGAGAATATAGTACAGGTTACTCATGTGAGCCGCAATCCACTCACCACCCACCCACATAAGTACGGATAGGAGATTTATCAATTTCTAATCCACCCATATCAATCACCTACTGCTTGCGGTTCAAATTATTTGCAAGTGAATTGATATCAACGTGCGGATTAACCACCCATACCCACCCCTAAATTTACTTCTAGGGTTGGACTTTGGAGTGTAATTGGCCACCAGGCCGGGCCCGGAAAAGTTAAACTGCTCACAAGTCTTTTTATGAGTAGATACTCATACGGTTGGATTTAGAGCCACGCAGCACAATTTAGATCCAAGGGTTGAGGTTGCTGGGCTTTTTTCGGCTCACTTAAGTGAGCCTATGTGGGTTGTTTTTAACAAAGCCAAGCCACGTGAGGGAGCCGTAAAAGGTGGCAGGGGGTCCACTTTCATTTGGGCGGGAATTGAAAAGGAAAGATCAAGTGGCGAAAATTGGGTGGGGGAAAGGATAAATGCTTCTCTTTGTAGATCTGATATATGTTAGTGTCATTTGGATATTATTATGTGTTGATTGTGATATTACTAGCGTTGTCTCAATATTTGTTTTGAGGTGTTCGGGTATTAGTTTGTGAATCACTTTTTGTCTTTATAGGTCTGTTATCTGTTAGTGTTACTTGGATATTAGTTTTTTTTTTAAGGATATCAGTCTGTGTTGATTATGATATTACTATCAAGTCCTAACACATAAGGCTTGCAACCTTAGTTAGGGCTGCCCGCCGAGGGCCCATAGGCCGAAGGCCGATGAAACAATAATAGTAGAAGAGTGAGTGATTACGGTTTAGAGTTTAGAGTTTATGGTTAGTTTTTGGTTGGATATATTTTTGCATCAGGACGTATATTATTTAGTGTATGACTAGGGTTGTTGCTTTTCCATAAGTTTAGGTTTATGGTTTATAACATAATATATGGTAGTTCGATATTTTGTCTGTGTAGTCGGATATTAGTCTGTGACGGTCAGATACAAGTCGGTCCAGCCGACCGAGCTGAACAAGGTGGCTTGGGTCCAACACACTATCAAGTTGTAACACATAAGGCTTGCAACCTTAGTTAGGGCTGCCCGCCGAGGGCCCATTGGCCAAAGGCCAATGAATCAATAATAGTAGGAGAGTGAGTGTCTTCCAGACCCTGAAGTTAGTCCATTTGTTATTTCAGATATTAGTTTATGTAGTTGGATATTAGTCAGGTTGACAAGGATATTTGTTCGTTTAAGGGTGGATATTATTTCGAATGTGGATGGATGTTAGTCTGGGAGCCACAGATATTTGTTCGATAAAGGACATATATTTGTTTGGGGGTGAATGGGTATTTGTATGGGCGGTTTGGATGTTTGTTTTATAAACTTATATTATATGCGATGGATATTAGTGTGTAACTATTCACATGTGAACCTTATGGTCACTATTTCCATGTGAACCTTGTACTAACTATTCAAATATCATCTTTGTTTATTTAAGCATCCACCCTTACATACTGGTTTCCCATCTTACCCACCTTATTGTTCTTCTCTTCTCAAACAACTTCCATGTCTCCATGTGATTTCGGACGTTAATTTATGTGGTTGGATATTAGTCAGGGTGTCAATGATATTTGTTCGCATAAGGATGGATATTATATCTGGGGTGGACGTATGTTAGTCTGGGCGCCCGATATTTGTTCGATAAAGGACATATATTTGTTTGGGTTGAATGGGTATTTGTTCGATAGAGGACGGATATTAGTTTTGCCAGTCATGTAACCGAATATTAGTTTTGGTTGATTAGATTTTTTGTTTCCTTTATTTGGATATTAGTCTGCTTGGTTGTTCCTATTAGACCTTCTGATTAATAATATTCGTGCTTGCCCAGAAGATTATCCATCCTCCTTTTACATCACAAAACTAATGTTTACTTTTCAACAAAATAATTTCAAAACTCCCCAACTAATTACAACTACATCCACTTGACCTACTTAGGGTTTAAAGTTTAGGGTTTGTGGTTTAGAACACAATGTATGATGGTTCGATATTTTGTCTGTGTATTCGGATATTAGTCTGCGACGGTCAGATATCAATCTATGTATTGTGGATATTTGATTGTGATGGTGAGATATTATATTGTTAATGACGGGATATTGGTTTGAGACATTGGGATATTAGTTGGGATGGTGTGGATATTTTTGAGAGTTTAGGGTTTAGAGTGAGGGTTGTTTTGGTTTAGGGTTTAGAAGATGATGTTGTGGAAATGGATATGAACACAATGTAGGGTGATTCGATATTATGTGAATGGAGAATATTAGTTTGCGATGTGTGAGTATTTTTCTGTGTAGTGAGTATTAATTCGCGATGGTCATGTATTAGTTTGATGTAGTGGTATTAGTCTGTGATGTTGAGGATATTAATTATGGACTCACTGGATATTGATATTAGACGATGGGATATTAGTCTGGGTGGTGTGGATATTTGTTATGGTGAACTGATATTAGTGTGAGTGGTTTGGATATTTGTTTTGTGTGAATGTTTATCTATGATTGTTTGTGTTGATATTGAGTTTAAACAAATCCATATAAAACAAAATCGTTATTCGACAAACCACGATACAACTAGTATTAATGTCATTCCAATCCAGAAAACCCAAAGCAACATCAATCAATGAAGGAAATATTATCCTGATATATCAAAGTATTATATGCTCATGTAGCAACTATTATCCCTATATACCAGACTAGTATCTTGTCATTCAACAACTATTATTCAGAAAGCCCAGAGTAATATCTGTGCATGAAGCTACTATTATCCAGACAGCCCTGACTACTTTCTACTTAACCTGTGCTTTCATTAGAAATATCCATCATCAAAAGAACTACAATCCAGAACATAAAGAACAACCATCCATTATTAAAAAAAATGTTATTCAATTTCTTGGTCCTCATATTCCTCTGAATCATTTTCCTGTGGCTGTTTGCCACGGTTAGGTCTTGAGGATTCGCCTTCTACTCGCTACCTCTTTGCAGTTCCTTTAGTTCTTGCCATTTTGATTTCCCTGCACATAAAATATCCTGACATAAGCTAACTAATATCTGGACTTCACATTAACTATATCCATAACATTCAGAAGTAATATCAATGAAGTCATATCCACATTCGTCAAACAAAAACTCAGTCTATCATACAACTGATATCCTTAAAGATGACAACTAATATCAATGAGGTGATATCCAAATACATCAAAGCAATATCCATGAAAGTATATAGCTAATATCACTACTCATCAAACTAATATCAATGAATTGACATCCAAATACAACAGAAAACTATCCAGACGAGTGTATACTAATATCCCAAATCCACAAAACAACTAGCATCCCATGCCACAGAAAACAAATCCAGAAAGTCATCCAAAATAACGAAGCAAAAGAAAGAATCCAGATCCAGCGGTTTCCATGAAATTAGAAAACAAATCCATAAAATCCATAAAAACCCATTAAAAATCGAAGCAAAAAAATCCAGATCCAGCGGTTTCCATGAAATCAGAAAAAAAAAATACATAAAATCCATAAAAACCCTTTAAAAAAATTGAAGTAAAAAGAAAAACTCAGATCTAGTCGAATCCATGAAACCCAAGATCAAATATATGCAATCCAACGGAAGGAGAAGGGGAAAGAGAAGACGTCTACCTCAACGGCGTCAGTCACCTTCTTTTTCTTTGTTCAGCGACTGCTACAGTAGTCGAATCCGCCTTCACCGCAGTGGTGCCGTCAAAATCGTCATCGTTGCAGCCTTGAAAGTCGTTGTCGTCGCTACCGTGAAAGCCACAGTCGCCGATGCCTTGAATGTCGTCGTCGCCGTCGTCGTTATTGGGAAAGGAAGGGGAGAGAACGTGTTTTCGGGAGAGGAAGGGGAGAGGAAGTGTTTTTGAATTTTGGAGAGAGAGTGAAAGTGAACGGACAAAGAAATATAAAAGAGAGGAGGGAGGGATTTGGGTAGATAAAATCAATTGTGTTTTTTGAATTTGTGGACCAAGTGGACCCCATTTTTTTGTCCTAGAGTATCTGGGCTTGATCCAGCCGATGAACTCGGCTCTCCTCCCCTCACAAGTTGACGCCAACCTTCCTCCACCGTCTGATCTCGGCTCGGCGACGCGGATGGCCATCCGACCCTGTGAGTATATACTCACACTATATCCTGTGAGCAGGATAACTAAATTGGGCCGGGCCGCCCAGGGAAAAAAAAAAAAGAAAATCAATCGAAGAGCATCATCCTAACGGAAGTCCCGAGAGCCATCACTTCCCGGAACCAGCCAGCGGCCATCTCCAGCACAGGCGACGGCTGAACTGAAACCAGAGACGCAACTGAAGCTAACCCAAAGAAGGATCAAGCAAAGCTATTGAACAGGGCAAGCAAAGAATGGTCTTTCGATCGATATTTGACGCTCCAGAAATCAGAAGCGAGTTTGAGAAAGCAGGGGTCAGCCTTCAATTCATCCCAGTGATTTGGAAGTACGGGTCCAAAATTTCCTTCATATGCATTTGAGTACAGATTAATGTTCTTTGCCTCTCCTTCGGTTTCGTGAATTGGTGGTAAAAGTTGTTTGTTGTTCTCTGTGGGTGGTTATGATATTCAGGCATGTGGTTAAGAACCCTACCTGTGAATGGGATGATATACCAAGCCTGCCGTCTGCTGCATACTCAGTTCTCCGCTCAAAGTTCAGACCTTTAACTTCTATTGTTGACTCTGTTATCGATTCAAGTGATGGGGTCACTACCAAACTCCTCATTAAGCTTCAGGTACTTCTCTTTCACGTTTTTCTGTCTGGGATTTGCGTTGTTTTGTGCCCATCCACGGGCATGGCCAACGAAGGAAAATTGCATTGGTTTCAACACCATGGTTCAGTCATCTAGTTGCTATTGTTGCTGGACTAGCCAACGTAAAATCCAGTGCTGCTATCTCTGATGTGTACACTTCTTTCTCAGAATGGAGCATTTGTGGAGGCAGTTGTTATGAGGTATGACAGTCGTTTGGGGAGGTATGATGGCAAAACTCGTCCCGGTGGCCCAAGGTCAACACTCTGTATTTCTTCCCAGGTAGGTGATTGATAAGTTCAGCTAGCATTTCATTCTCCACATCCACTTTTGGCTTTTGTTTTTGGCGTGTGGGTGGAACTTGGTTATCTTGTGTTTCTTAAGATATAACTTTCCGCTTGCCTATGATGAATCACTTTTTTTTTTTAACTTTCTCATGTATTGGCATAGGTTGGTTGTAAAATGGGTTGCAAGTTCTGTGCAACTGGAAGTATGGGATTCAAAAGCAACCTATCATGTGGAGAAATTGTTGAACAATTAGTTCATGCTTCTCGCTTGTCAGATATACGTAATATTGTCTTCATGGTAACTACTTCTCAATCTGATTCTGACTTTGGATCTTTAGTCACGAATCTGCTTTATATTTTCTTCCTCTCTTACAATTTTCGGGTTTACTTGGTTTAAAATCTATTCAAAATTTGCAGGATCTTATTCCTCATTTCCATCAATAGTTTACACTCCCGTGCTCAGTAAATGAGCCACAACCCCCATGTCTCTGTGTCTATATGATCAACTTGATTCTACTGAACGAAAAGCTGACAAAACCCCTTTACCATCTGTTTATTGACAGGGGATGGGTGAACCATTGAACAACTATACCATGTTGGTAGAAGCTGTTCGTGTTATGTTAGCACCTCCATTTCAGATCTCACCAAAGAAAATGACTGTATCCACGGTATGTATGCAGTCGAAAATTACATGATCCAACTCTTACTAATAGATGTTAGACATCAAAGTGTGCATGTAGAGAATAGAACGCACTTCAAATCAGTAGTGATACCTTTGTTCCCGGCTTGCTCTGCTGGTACTTCAATGAAGTAATGAGCGCAGGAACCATTACTTAGTAGCATACCTGTTAAAAATTATCTTTAATTTTGTAGGTTGGGATAATCCATGCTATCAACAAGTTGCACAAGGATTTGCCTGGTTTGAACTTGGCAGTATCGCTCCATGCACCTGTTCAGGAAATCCGCTGTCAAATAATGCCAGCAGCTCGTGCTTTTCCATTGGAAAAACTTATGGCATCTTTGCAAGCATATCAAAAAGAAAGGTGAAAACTAAATTTTTTGGTTTGTGAATGTATTTCTTTTTTCCTCACCATATATCAGTTTCAGCATCTGATTACATTTTGTTCTTTAGTCAGCAGAAAATACTGATCGAGTACATAATGCTTAATGGCGTAAATGACGAAGAGCAGCATGCTCATGAGCTGGCCAAATTGTTGGAGACTTTTGAAGTGGTGAGTGACTGACTGTTGAATAATAAGGTTCAACCTTGTATGTCAATAATTAAGCAGCATTTTGTATGTGACACGGTTTTTCTGACTGTGCATCCACCAGGTTATAAACTTGATACCTTTCAACCCAATTGGAAGTTCTAGTCAATTCAGAACCAGCAGTGAGGAGAAGGTTTCGAAGTTCCAGAAAATCTTGAGAGGCGTCCATGGCATCAGGACAACAGTACGGAAGGAAATGGGTCAGGATATAAGCGGTGCTTGTGGTCAGTTGGTAGTTAATCTGCCTGATAAGAGCAAGGGAGCTGCCAAATTGACTGACATTGAAGATCTCCGATTTTGAGAGTTATTGTGATGGCCTTTTTCATTTGTGTAAGCGTAGTAGCTGAAATTGCTTTGGTTTATCAAAACTCTCTGAATCGCAGAAGCCCCTTATTAGTATAGATAGTGCAGTGATGCACACTTATTTTTTCAGAAAGCCGGTGTCTGAACTGACAGTTGCAGGCGTTATGTATAAGTATAACAGAGTTCAGAATTTTATATTCCCTTAAACAAGCATGAGTATCCTCTGTCTCTAGCTATACACATTAGAATGTCTACGAATTTGAGACAACGGAATGAACAGGTGCAGAATGGATAATGAGCAGCTGGCAGGGTGGCTTTAGCTTGAAGGTGTGAACCTGGTGCACCATTTAAGAAGAAGGTGATCAATCTCAGCATCCATTCTGGTTCCAATCCCTCCCCACACCAGCATGTGGGCGAGATCCTCAAGTGTAGATCCACTAACTTCATGAACTGCCTTGAACCCAATCCTTCTGTAGAACTTCACAAGCTACAATGAAAAATGGCCAAGTTGATACATCACACGTATACAGTAGACACCAGCAAAAGCCAAGTGCGGGAAACTCAGAGGGAAACCCAGAAACCAGAACCTTGGAATGGTAAAGGTCCGAGTCATTAATGGCGAGCAACTGAGCCACGTTGCAGCCACAGTCATAGCCATGTCTGATGGCGACAGCTCCAATGAACAACCCAATCCCAAAGATCGACTTCTCCATCCCAAGCGTCTCTCTTTGCAGCCTAATGGAGTCCAAGTGAAGAATCCTCTTCCCCCCTAGCCAGAGCCTCACCAAACCTTCGGCTCTTCCGAGTTCGTTCCCTGTTTTCAAACTCCTTGCTGTGATTCTGAAAAAGGGTCCTAAAGATTTGAGCTGGAGGTCTAGATTTTGGGATTTGGAACAGGCCAGTATATCGGCCATGGTTGGAGCAGTACTTTTCATCGCCATTTTTGGAGGAGTAGGCGAGCAGCTCGGGACAGAGGGGATATAGATAGGATGGCGCGTCTGACTGTCACATTTTGTGAGGTTGGTTTTGGGAAAGAGAGTCTCTTGTTCAGATTAAAAAGTATCAACATCTTGCTGATTTTTCCGGAAAAAATCCCAAAGTACACACGTTCTTAAAAAAAATTCCCAAAATACATGAGTTATAAAAAAATTCCCCAAAGTACACATGTTTGAGCATCACCGTTTTAGACAAACGCGGTGAAGATCATCACCGCGTTTGACAAACACGGTGAATACTTCATCGTTTTAAACAAAAACGGTGAAGTATTCACCGTTTCAAACCAAAACGGTGAAGTTTTCACCGCGTTAATTAACAACGGTGAACACATCACCGTTTTGGTCAAAAACGGTGAAGCCTTCACCGTTGTTAACTAACGCGGTGATCATTTCCCACGTTTCCCACCCCTGGTAGGTCAAAATTAGGTCGCAGCTACCACCTATTCACCGTCTGAGACAAACGCGGTGATAGTGTTCACCGTTTTTGACAAAAATGGTGAATAGTAGGCAGATTTTCCTATAAATAGCACACCACCAGCAGTTGTAAAAACATAACCACTCCCCTTTCTTCAAATTTCAGCAGCCAAAATCGAGCATAATACACAGAACAGAAATTTTTCGGTATGTTGAGACTTTTCGTATTATGGTCTAATTATGTTTTTAGTAGTTATAGTATGATTTAATTTTCGTATTATGTTGTTGTTAGTTAGTTGAACTTATGTTCGTTAGTTATAGTATGATTTAATTTTCGTATTATGTTGTTGTTAGTTAGTTGAACTTATGTTCGTTAGTTATAGTATGATTTAATTTTCGTATTATGTTGTTGTTAGTTAGTTGAATTTATTTTCGTTAGTTATGGTATGATTTAATATTAGTTGTACAATATGATTTTGGTTAATTTTACTGTCTTTAAGCTAATAGATACTTATTGTAAATTGTAGATATGGGTAAATTCAAGAAGTTTCATCTTACTATTCGGTGGAATGGAAGGGTGACAAACTCTGACATAGGCATTGATTATGAGGACGGCGAATCCATTATGCTGAAAATTGAATCCCGATTCAATTTTCAAGAACTCTATGATCTTTGTGCAGAAAGGGTTTGTACGAGCGGACAGACGAGACTTGGCAAAATTACTTACCGGTATCCAGACATGAGTGCTGGCGGGGTCGTGTTCCAAGAAGTTGTCATAAACGATGATGACGCGGTTATGATGATGTTACAGTTCCTAAGCGATAACCAAGTCCGGCTTGCAGAGGTGTATGTTGAGACCGAGGCGCTCGGTGAATCTCATTCTCACCAGTATTCTTATGATGATGGTTTTGCAGGAGGGTACGAATGGGGTGGTAGTTCGAGCAACTACCAAGGCGGTGGTTATACAGGAGGTTACGGGGAGGGTGGTGGTTCAATCAACTACGGTGGATCGAGTAGTGCAGGATGGGACCAATACTCGCAACCTCCTAAACCAGCCCCATTTGTTGAGGCCGATGGTGTTCAATGGCCTGCTTGGGGGCCAGAGTGGTATGGAATCGAGAATACCATTCGATCAGGGCGTACTTCACATGAGCGAGAGGACGATGTTGGTGATCGTGGTCATGTTGATCCTTCTAGCTCGAGCTATCCATTCGAGTCAAGCGACGAGGATACTGAGGAAGATTTGATATCAGTGAGCGAGGAGGAGGAAGATACTGATGATAACGAGGATGAGGCGGCATTTCGTGAGGCACCCACGCCATATTACACACAGGTTCCAACTCAATTTTTACATAGTCAGAATGATCCCCCCGACCTTGTCCCTATGCCAGTGTACAATCCGACGGCCAATCTGGAGGTGGGTATGGCGTTCACATCGAAAGACGCTGTGCAGGATGCATTTACAGAAAAGGCGTTGAGGCGCAATTTCGAGTGGAAGGTAAAATATTCTGACAGTAAACAATTACATGTCATATGCAAGCATGATGCAGAGGGTTGTACGTGGCAACTGCGGGCTGCAAATATGAAGAGAAAGGGTGCTTGGGTGATTCGCAAAGCTGAGACGATCCACACATGCTCCTCTTCTATACTTTCCCAAGATCACAGGCAACTAAAAGCAAAGAAGGTTGGGAGAACTATTAAGCACCTTATAGAAGCACAACCAGATATCAAGGTGAAAGCTATCATGGCAGAGGTGAAGGATCGACATTCTTACACGATAAGGTACAAAAAAGCATGGCATGGTAAGCAGAAAGCCATGGCTAAGGTGTATGGTGATTGGGAGGATTCGTATGCTTTACTCCCTAGACTTATGGGAGCAATGGAGGAGTCCAATCCTGGGACTGTTTTCGTCCCAGTATACAACAATGTATACACTGAGGATCAAGTTCGAGTACAGGATAAGCTGATGTTCCATCGTCTTTTTTGGGCTTTTAAACCATGCATTGACGGTTTTGGGTTCTGCATACCGGTTATTCAGGTATTTTACCAACTAGTTCCGGTTTTAAATGTTGTATTATTTGCTGTTAAGTATATTTCATACTAATTATATCCTAAATTTTTATTCAGGTTGACGGAACTTTCCTTACTGGGAAGTACAGAGGATGTCTTCTAATTGCCACTGGCGTTGATGGAAACAGGCGGATTTTCCCGCTTGCATTTGCATTAGTGGAAGGGGAGAACAGTTTAAGTTGGGCTTGGTTCTTTGACCAACTGCACGAACACGTGACACAGCGGGAAGATATTACGATTATATCCGATCGACATGCGGGGATAAGGAATGCTGTTGGTGGTTTTCCCGACGAGTGGGGGTGGAGATGGAGATGGTGTATTCGGCACTGGCTCGCCAATTTCCAACACAAATTTGGGAAGAAGAAAGACATAAAAAATCTACTTTGGAATGCAGGTACTCATGTTTTTCTTATGCGATTTAAGTTTGTGTTTATTAAGCTGATAAGCTGATGTTATTCATCATGTATTGACCAGTTAGTCTTTTGTTCACCTTTTAGCGGTTGCACATCAACCAAAAAAGTACGAGCAGATCATGAAAACGATCCGTCAGACCCACCGAGCTGGAGCAGTATGGGCTGAAGGTCAAGAGTTGCCCATGTGGACGTTCCATATGGACAACGGGGCTAGATGGGGCATTGCAACTACCAACCATGGAGAAAGTATAAATAATGTGTACAAGGGTCTTCGAGCGATGCCTATTTCTGTCATCGTGGAAATGTCTTATTGGAAGGTCAACGAGTGGCGAGTTGCTCGGCTACAGCTAGCTATAGGGAGGGAGTTGCAAGGTCATTCAATAGCACATGACGTATTCGCTCAAATGCAGAAGAACGATGAAAAATCAAGTAAGCATAAGGTTGTTCTTTTTAACCGCAGTGAAGGAATATTCGCTGTCGAAACAGGTATATGGGGTGGAGGGAGACGTGGTCACAATCGTCAAACGGTCAAATTGCACTACGAATTAGGGGAGTGTTCTTGTCAAAAGTATCAGAACGAAAGGATACCCTGTTCACATGCAATGGCGGTTGCTAAGTCAATAACCATGAACAGAAACAGCCTGGTGAGTCCTTACTACACTGAACAAGCGATACGGAACTCATATAATGCAGCTTTGAGCCCCATGCCAGATGAAGCGTATTGGCCTATATACGCTGGAAAGTTGATTATCCCACCGTTGCACCTAAAACGCACCAAAGGCCGTCCTAGAGTTGAAAGGATACACAATGAGATGGATCAAGTTGAACGGACGAGAAGGGGACCGAAGCGATGCTCTAAGTGCAGACAACCTGGTCACGACAAGAGGCGTTGCCCAGGACAACCATCAACTTAATTTGCATTTACTTGTATTCTGCTACTAAATTGATCGCTTGTTTAATTTTTCATTAACGTTTGCATTTGAAGTCCAAGTATTTTGTTAAATCAAAAATGTTTTCCTTGTCGATACGATCGCGCGGCCGCAAACGGCTCGTTATTTCGACCTCAAACGAATAAGATACGGGCGTTTTAGTTTATAGTACGCAAAAGTTACTTTAACGATACGATCACGCTTTGACGTCACTTATCTCACTCGTTTGGACTCGGAATTGGGATCTGTAAAATTCTATGCGATCGTGGTTGATTTTCCCAACTTTTTTGTGTTGAGGGAAGATACTGATTCTTGATAAAATGATCCAGAAAATTCATTCGACAACTTAAGTGCGTAGGATAGTTTTTAGACAATGCAAACTCAAATAACAACACCTAAAAATCACAAAAACAACATTGATAGTTCACTACAATGATAAAACGATAAATTCACTAATTTGCTTCATTTTGGCCCCCATCTCCACCTCTTCCTCCTCGTCCTCCACGACGTCCTCGACCCCTTCTTCCCCCCTCCGCCGCTGCTTCTTGGCGGGCTCGCTCAACGGCTGGTCGCGGATTTCTCTTGACCCGAGCCCCAACTGGGGTTACATATGGTGGTGGTGGTGGCTGAGTTGGAGCGGTAGCTTGACGAATGATCGGAGTTTGTTGTTGCGGGGTCTGAAACATCGAACTTTGTTGCTGATGTTGGAATTGAGAGAACCCATGAGAGAAAGTGTCCCATTCCTGAGATCCTCCATGACTCGATGAGCCTCCACCGGCATCCGCTGTAGGTGCCCACTGGTACTCGAACGGTTCGGGGAGCTCGGTTTCTTGAGTGGTACGCACCTCTTCGAACGTAGGCAAAGGCCTGCGTTTGCTCCTTCGTGGGGGCTCAACCAGGGGCACAATGGCTGCATCATCACGGAATGAGGGTCGTGCCGGGGCAGGAACGGGAGGATAGGCCACGACATCCCTCCTTTGCTCTCTGGTGCAACTCAGGAGGTTATTCATAAGTCGGGTCAACCAAGTAGTCTTCCGCTCATCCATGGTTGGAGCACTTTCGAGAGTGTACTTCGCGTGTTCCAAACCATCAACCTAAGGAAAGCACAAAATATATCAAATTAACTAAACATTAAAATAAATATATTTAAGAATGAGGGAGATTAGGATAACTTACCACCGAACCCATCACAGCACCTTGCTTTGACACCCATCTCAGGGTGAACTTCCGATACCACTGCATGTACCCATCGTGGTAGCCCATCGGTCTCGTCTCCGGCATCCCTTGCACCACCCATTGGGATCGATTCTCCCAGATGTTGATGTAGAATCCATGCTTTAGCGTCCAGTTTGCATTGTTTCGGAGGTCCATAGCATGTAGCTCCCTGAAACCTGCTGGCGGGTCTTGTGGAATTGGTTGCTCCATTCGATACTGCCTCAGGGATCGATCGGGTAGGTGCCATTCCACAATGTGCCAACAGATCAATGGCACCTTGCACAACCACGTCTCGTGATCCAGAGGGTGCCTAAGATGATGCAGCTCAACCACTTCACGTGG